AGTTACATAGTGTGTGGGCTGAAGTGTGAGGTACATAAGCTGATGACGATCGTTTTCTCGCGGTTTTTCATGCGTTTCTTTTTTTCCATATACCTACAGATCAAGCTGCGACAATCATCGGGGGAAAATAAGGGGCGGGCGTTCGGTGTTTGAGACGAGACGAGGCAGCAGCGCGTTTGCTGCTGCTGCTTTTGCTTATCTCGGTCAGCCTCACCACGGATGAATGGGGGTCGGAGTTTCAAGTTTTTTTCCTGAAGGATTGGACGGGGATGTGGCAAAAGATGGCGTGCATGTGTTTCGGGATGGGCAACGAGACCCTGGTGGCGGAGGACAGGATGGATTCGTGCATGGTATTGCGTCTCGCCTGGCTGCATGCATGCATGTGCGTACGCGCAGGTTGGGCTTTTGTACATATGTGAGTGTGCCGCGCGCATGCTAGATAGGTAGAAAGATTTTTAAAAATATTTGGTCTCACGGCAGGACGACGGGAAGGGGAAGGATTTGATACGGCGGTTATGCGCGCGGGTGAGTGGTGGTGGTGGTTGACTTTGGTGCATCGGTAGCTACCGGAGACGCGTGTGCGCGTCGAGGACGCGTTGGGGAGTTTGTGCGGATTGTGCGTTCTTTTTTTGTGTCAAGCCGTGCGTTGTTTCTCTTGTGACAATAGACCGGGGTTCGCTGTCGGAAGGGAGGGTGGGCAGCGGTTTGCCGTGGGTGGGATGACTGTGCTATGTAGCAGGCTACCAAGGATGTGTATGCGTGTCGCGTGGGATCGACGCGACTTTGCATGCTTGGTGCGAGGCACGCGACGGAGAATGTTGCTTTTTCACTTTCCTGCCCGGGCATGGCTGACGCGCGGTTTGCGGCGATCGTGCGCGAGTCGCGAGTAGCTTTTGTTCATTTTCTTTTACTCTCTGCGGTGAGTCAGGCAGGTGCGTTGGTGTCGCTGTCGACGGCACACGGCAGCGACGACCGGCTTTGGTTGGATCAACTACACAGTGTCGGCTCGGTCATGCCGGAAGGGTGTTATGTTTCTGTGCCTCATCCTTTCAGGCTCCATCCCGGCTCCTCGCCCGTGGCACAGCGCGGCGCCTATGTTGGATCTCGAGACACAGATCGGATATGTATCCACTGTTGCTGCTGACGTCGTCTGAGCGCTTGCAGTTGTTCCTTTCCCCTTGCGTACGCGTGCGAGTCGCGCTATCCAGCTGGCGCCGTCACTGCCCCCGTTGCTCAAAGCAATAGTTAACTCGTCCCGCTTTCGCATATCTGTGCCGTCCGCCACACGCAAAACGCGCCTGAGCGGCCCCCGCCTGAACGCCGCCTCTCTATCAACCCCGCCGCGGAACCAGACCACCACCCCTGTCTTAGTCGCGCCGCCGGAGACATTATTTTTTTATTCTCCTCGTGCCGTTCCACCCCGGCGTTCGAGACCTTTTCAATTCAATAAATAATGCCGACGGTAAGCTTTTCCACTTCTTGTTCTAGCCCCGAGCCCAGCCATCACACAAGCCTGCCCGCATTCCTAGCCGCCCCCGTGCCACACGAACCCTGAGCCCCGTATGTACTACCTGTGGCGCTCGCCCACAGCTAGCCACAGGGCGATCCCTCTTTTTTTTTTTTTTTCTAGTGTATCCTTTTTCTTGGTCTATTCCCCTATTCCCTCCCCTTGCCTACTTTTAGTGTGATGTTCGGTTACCCTTTTTGGTCATCGATGTCCCGTTTCGGTTTGTTCTTTGATAAGTAGGTAACTAGTTGCATACTCGCCTAATCCTTCGCCCTTCTTTCCTTTTTTCTCCTATTAGTTACACAAGAATGAACAAGAGGGAACCCGCAAAAAAAAAAAAAGGAGAAGAAGAAAGGACTGACTTTCGCCTTCGCCGCATCTCGCAAGCAGCAGCACTTCAAAGTCGGCCATCCGCCGCCGTACAGAGACGTCGTGCCTCTAGAGGAAGAAGAGCAACAAAACCACCGCGATGATTTCGCCCGGCTTCCCGCCTACAGAGACGCAGACGAAGATGAGACCGACTCCGAAGACGAGTATGATGACGACGAAGGTGATGTCGAGGCCGGCCGGTATGCGAATATGCATCCGATACAATTTCCGAAAAAGAAGAGTCGTAACGCCAAATTAATAATGGCTGTGCGACGCTGGTGTAAGAGCAGTTGCGATGCGTCGTTGGCGCGGTTCTTTGTGGGATTTGCCGTCGTGGGCGTCGTGCTGTGGTTGTGGCTGAGGTGAGTCAGGGGAGCTAGTGGGGTGGGAGAGAGCTTGTGGATAGTTCGTCTATTGCTGTATGATAAGTCTGAGGGTCCTTAGGATCTTTGTGGTGTCTTTGACGAGAAAAGGGTGTTGAGCTGAAGCGATGAGAGGGTATGGAGCGTGGAAAGTTCACTACTGCTGCCGGCGCATTTTTTAGAGGTTCGGTCCAAGATGGATATCACAGTTTCTAGACAGTCACAAAAGACCTACCAATGCAGTCTTCCAATGTACGATTCTTCGAACGATCGACACTGTTGAAGTAGTGCGGAGAGCCGCTCATAGTAATCATCCAGAATTGAAGGCCTGTTTGGGCCTAGTCCCACCTGTGTGCATAGTCTCTACTAGTTGCCATGCGCCTTCGAGGATCAATCCATTATGCTTTCAATTTACCTCTGCGCCACTCGAGCGGCAACCACAGTGAAGTCTGGTGCCTTGCAGCGCAACCTCGATGGAAGGCTGGACAGAAGGCCGCGAAGGAGGGCGAGTTTCGTGGGCAGAACTTGGTTGCTGGATGCGCTGACGGCACGCTAGCCGTCCTGTCAACCGACGAGAACGACCTGAGATTCAAGTCTTGCTTGATCTTCCCCATTTGTTCGGTCTCGTTTAAATTTTGTCGAATTAGAAAAAGTACGACGCAGCACTGATTCCAGTGCTAGCTAATGGCCTCGATATTCTTAAAAAAAAAGAAAAAGGTACTCTCTCTTTCCAATTGTCTTGAACAATCGGAAACAAGTATAAACTTCTTCAAGCCATCATGAGGGAAATAATTTTGCTTCGCTGCAGCCTCCTTGAAGCACACGTTAAGATTTGCTACACGGAGGCTTCATCCTGACTACTCATTCTACGATGTAACACTAACATTTCTTTGCTTTGAGCTACTAACCAGTATCCTCCCTGATAGACCACATGGTCATTGCATTGAATCCATGCTGCCTCAATGCAATCCCAGAGTTCCTCGAACGATGTTTGCAGCATAGTGTCCATGTCTCCGTGATGAATGGAAGCGGTTCTAGACACGCTAAGAGGAGCTTTAAGAGATGAATATCTGCGAGGGATTCTTGTAATAATAACCAGGGGGGCTAAATAGAACTAAGGGGGTAAAGCTCACATGTAAAGGCATGGAGGAGAAGGTAGCTGGTTCTCGGGAGCCGGCAACGTGCTTTTCCTGCGTGGGACTGGCTTTGAAATGTTAATGCCGAACCCTACAGCAGGCATGTCGTACGATCCTATTGGTGATATTTGCCTTCAAGTCTTGATCGAGCAATATTCTTCCAGCAAGGTTTCTATAGAGGTGTTCAGAACTGCGGGTAAGAATTTAGAGACGCTCAGTGCACAATCGTTGCTTATGCTGCCACGAATGGAAGTTTATAGTTCGGGTCACTGGAGTGTCAATTGTATCTGCGATTGCGTGCTCTCCTAATTGTCTACCAATTACCTATCTCTGCCCTGTGATGAGCAGAAGGCGCAGCTGGACGCGTTTCACGAAACTGGCGATGGTTTGTTGGTTCTAACTGGATTCCAAGGATATACTGCCAATCCAAATTATACGCACAGATTCGAGACGACCCTGAATTTACCTCAGGGAAATGTCGCAAGGGCGATCAGCCAGTTTACAGCTTTGTGAATGTGGCCTCAAGATGAACCGTGGGACGATCAGGCACAAGTTTGCAGGATCCAAAATGAGAAAGGGGTGTCATGGTCGAGTGCAAGGAAGGAGAGAAGGCTGGGTTAAATGCTCCAGAAAAGAATGATGGGGACAATAATACATAATTCAGAAGTGTCCCTTGGCAGTTCGTGTAGAGGAATCTTCGATGGTATCGTGATGGCAATTGTCCAAAAAGCCATGCGGCGGTGTGCGGAACGGGATTTATTTGAGGGGTGCAGATCGTCCAAGGTGAGGAGGCCGTGAGAACGTGCCTTGGTCCAACAGGGCGGCACTCGCCGGGCGACCTGGGGTCGCACGACAGGTGTTGACCAGAGGGCGGGCTACTACCGGCGTCTTGGCCCCCTGTTGCGTCATATTTGGACGGGCGGTTGGGGTGAAACACGCGATTGCCTGAGAGAAGGGTAGCACAGCCTCAACAGCAGGACGCAAGCGGCGTGTATTTATTCCCCCCGTCGTCACCACTCGCCCCACACCCCACATTGTTTCTGTAAATAAGCTCGTGTTCTGCGCGATTTCTCGGCGCGCGTCGACGAATCACTTGCCCTTAGTTTGACGGCTAGGCGCCCAGTCGTGCGATACCATCACCGCCCGCGGCCTCCGCGGAGGGGCGTTAGATGGGATGGGCGATCGCTCCCGAGCTGAAGCTTTTCTAGTCCCAGGCGCGGACCAACGCCAGTTCCGGTCGATCCCTCACCCCTCTACCACTGCTGCCTCTGAAGAACTTCCCTCCAGCCATCCCATTGGCAGTTGACAAGCCCGCGCGCCCGTCGTTTGAGTCGCGAGTCCGCGCCAATTCCTCCGAGTGGCTGGCGATGCGCGAGAACAGTCCGCGGCTGACCTGACCCATGCGGGAGCTATTAAAGCTTCGCCTGACCCTAATCCTGCGTTCCAAGAACAACCAACCACCTACATTTAAACTTCCTTTCCGTTCCGTTCCCTTCCTTTCTTTCTTCCTTCCTTCCCTCTCCCTCCTCCAAACCCGCTGGTCGTCAAGAGGAGGCGAACAGGAAAAAGAAAATAAAACACCATCACCCTTCCCCAATCCCCAAAACAAAACACAATAAATACACAATGTCCTCAACAGCAAAATACCACCCCCTCCTCTCCCCCATCTCCTCTCCCCGTCCGTCCCACTCCCCCTTCTACATCACCCCGCCCCGCAGCCCGCACAACATCGACGTCGAGCTCGAGCCCTTCGGCGGCGGCGAGGAGCACCCGGCGCCGCCCCCGCCGCTGCTGCGCCGCCACAGCGCCGCCCACCGCTTCTGCCGAGTCTTCGCCCTCGTCGCGGCGTGGGGCAGCATGACCGTGTTGGCCGTCGCGCTGATCTTGTTCACGTCGTACAAGGCCATGTTGATCTTGACTGGGAAGGGCGGGGGAGATGGTGGGCAGCATGGAGGAGGAGTGCAGGGAGGAGCGTATGTAGGAGGAGGGGCGGGCGGGCAGTACGGTGGGCAGCACAGTGGTGGTGGTGGGCCGTGAGGGATGATGGCTCGGTGCGAAGAAGGATTTAATCGCCATTGGGGGTTTTGTGAGGGCTGAGGAGCGGTGTGGTGGTGTTGATGTGAGTTCAGTCAGTGATGAATTGTCGATGCCGATGGAGTGCGTGGAGGCTGACTTGTGTAAAGCTGGATCCACCTGGTGGGAGAGGCCATGCTCGATGATGCGGAAGGACGAGCGAAGAGCTGGCTCTGACGCTTCCTTGGCTCCCTCTACTCAGCAAGCATCGAACTCGCCGACCTCTTTCCATCATCAAGCCTCGCCGCAAGCAATAAAGACGCCGTAGGATCTGGGATACGAGCAGCATGGAGAGAAAGGAAACAGCGTCAAGCGCGGCGGAGGTGGAGAAGGGAGTAAATAAATGTGCAGCCCAAGACGGACCGCACGACCGCCAGTTTCACACACATACTGGCAGGTGGGATGACGGTACTTTCCCTATCCACGTCTTTGTTCCGCGAAAAGGGACACCGCTTTCCATGAGCATGACTGGGCATGCTGGAGAAGTACAGGGCAAGAAAGACCTCTTGACATGGGTCACAAGATGGGTATGATCATGAACGTTTACTCCGACTGATGTCATCGGCATCGTCCTCAGTGGATTGATGCCGTACGTCCTTCGGCCTGCGGGCGAAACAGTAGTTTCTGTTCATAAGCAAATGCTATATCTAAGACTTGATCATCGAAGAACACCTCACATATCTACGATGATTTCTTGACTAAGGACCATATCATAAAATATTGGAGCTTGATGTGCTGAAGAATGTTATACTAGGGCCTGTGATCTTGTCTACATTGTGAACACCGCAACGGTGCCTGCGTCACAATCTGCAAGATGCGCGGCGTGGTTGTTGTTGTATCATGCCCAAGTCGAGAAAGGAAGTAAATGAGCCATTCTAAAGGATAGGTTCATGCTGTCATTTTGAGGAATTGCAACCGAAGGCTAGTGCGAAGAATTTCAGGGTCCTACCACCAGCGGGAGCCAGTGCAGCGGAAGGGCTGCTACGATAGCTCTCGTCCAAAACCGAACGTTCCATATCCTCTTCCAGTGCAGTAGTGCGGCGCTTTCTTAACTCTTCTTGCTTCCGCTCGTAGTCTTGATTTGCATTGTGCATCATTTCAGCATTGTAGACTTTCACATTCCGCGTGTAAGCTTGCTAGGTGAGAGGGTCAGATCCAGTACTGCTCGATTTGCGATGAGCGCTTGAAGGCGGCGGAGCCTGTACAGAACCAGCCTGGCGGGAAGGCTGAGTGGAGACTTTAGGCTCATGTGGCTGGAGCTTGGAGTGGACAGCAGTATTGTTGTTCCTCATTGCGACCTGACCAGACTTGGCCGTAGAAGTCAAAACGCCGGCAGCGTCAGAAGGTGAATCACCAGGGTCTGGAGCCGGAGGATTGACAGCGAGCTTCTTGGAAGGGCGATCTGGAGCATCTGTTGGGCGTTTACGGGTAGACGCATTCATCGGCTGGGCAGAAATCTGACTGACCACTGGCTGAGAAGAAGTCTGGACAGTGGAAGTGTTCGCCAGGCGAGAAGAAGCCTCACCGTCCGCTGGCCGCGAAGAGGCCTCGCCGACCACTGGCTGCGACGAAGCCTGATCAGTGGAGTGGCCCACTGGCCGCGAAGACGCTGGAAGAAGTTGGCGTCTAAAATGCCCTGGTGGCACTGGATCCATTCCGAGAGGTGAGGCTGATGGGGTGAAGCTGTACTCTGCGCGCTGCACTACCTTATCGGCCGCTTTCTCTCTAGATATAAAACCCCAACCCATCTGCCGTGCCAGGTCGAATGGATGGAGTGGAACTTCCTGGAGAACAAAGGAAATAGATTCTAGCTTCTGGCGGACGTAGGACGCGAGCGCCTGGGGGGTGAATGGTTGCATTGCGGAGGAAAAGCCACAGCATAAGCTGTCCCCAGGAAGTGCCTTGTTTAAGAGCCATCTCCAACTCGTGGATAGGTAGCTCTTTCGAATGAAGAGACTTGAAGCGGTGCGTTTGGAACCATTTTTGAATTTCACGGACAACGAGCGGGATGACATTAGGTGGCCAGTGGGTAATCGATGGACGAGGCAAACCAACGGGAGAGGTGGTGGCCCCAGAAAACTCCATAAAGCAAACGAAAAAAGGCTCGATCTTTTTAGACCCATAGATCTCTGGAGAGAAGCCGCCGGTTTGCATGATGTCGTAAAGTCTGCGGAGCTCCTGGTGTACCTTTTCTGGATCCGGGCGTTTAGTATCCACCCATACCCCCATACCCCCATACCCCTACTGCTGTCGGATCCGTCGCTTTCTAACCTGGGATTACAGGTACAAAGGTAAACCGCGGCTGGTTTGGGAGAGTCAGAAGCTGGAGGATCCGGGCGGCGATTCTCGGCCACGGCGACGGGCTTAGAAGCGGGAAGATCATGGCTTCGGTCGGTTGAGCGGTAACGATAGCCCCGGCCATCGTTGTCGTAGCGGCGACTGCGGCTTCAGCGGCTGCCGTCATGCCGAAATCGACTTCTGCTTCGACTGTATTCATCATAGTAACGTCGAGGTTGGTTAGCTTGGAGGCTGCGACTCCGAATCCTGCCGTTATTGTGACGTGGGCGGTAGGAATCTGGTCCACGGAAAGTTGAAGACTCCTCCACCAGCCGGGCGGAAGATCCGGCGAGGGACGCGGCATGCTTGAGTTCTGCGTGTGAAAAAAACGGTAGAGCTGGAGGGTGATTAGAGGCGTTGACGACGGTGGAGGGATAAGAGAACCGAGAAGGAAGGACGTGCCTGCCACGCAGGCTGCGTCGCTGCACGGGAAGGCGCGCACGGGAAGGCGTGGAGGGCACCTTCTACAACAACCGCTCATCACGGACCGCATCGCCGCGCGATTTGCGGACTGCAACACGGGCTTCGTTGCGGTTTTCACAATTCCTGTTAGCCCGGACGGTGAGCCATTCTTCTTCGACCAGGACATTGCCATCCCTTGATTATCTCCACAGGTGTACGAAAGAGCCTTCTGTGATGGCGAGAAATCTCAGTTGGCATGGGCTATATTGCAATGAAGCAGCTGGTGGTCTCGGCCTAGCAGCAGTTCAAGCAGCCTGATCTCTTGGCGGTGTTGAGGTGGGCGATATGCAGAGTCACATCACCTGAGATTGGTTTCTCAGCCGAATGTGGAAGGACAAATGCTGACGCATTGCCGTTGAGCCGCCATAGCCTTCAGTTCTGGTCGTACGGGTGCAAAGTCTGCCGTAGCTGAGTTTAGGTGTGGAGTTGACAGGGCTGATTCAAGCGAGTTCGGTGCATGTCGTTGCTTACTGTTACACCAATCACTGAACAGTTACACGAACGTGAGGCTGCTCTCCGCCGTGATAGTGGGCTAAATAGGGTTTGCTCTTTTGGAAATCACCACGGAAGAATTCCATAGCCTGCTAAATGTGGATGATGGGATCTATATCCGGATAGATTTTAAAAAAAGGTCAAGGCTGCATTTTCCTCCGGGTATTTGTTGCTTCATAGAGGAAGAGTGCTGCGGCGTGACCATGTGATGGTGTATAAAAGTGGAGCGGTGTAGATAGCCCTCTGTGGGGGCCGGACGCTAATTGGGGCAAAGCTGAAGGGCCGAAATCAGGCATCGCGCATGAGGGGTTTATGGTGTAGCAATCATGGTGGCTTAACCCCGCAAATGGCCCCCGCGATGCAGAAGGCTGTGCGGACCGATCGGCAGGCAGGGCCCGAGACTAGGGTATCACGGATGGGGCTGAAGACAAAGAGGTAGTAGGTGTGGTACGAAAGTTGACAGTCCAAGCCTCGTACGTAGTGGCACAGCGAGCCAAGGAGGGGGCGCTGCATGTGGATCTGAGTAAGCGGAGAGGTATTTGGCCGCACCGGCAGATATGTGGGGCAAATGATCCTTTGAGATTCGAAATGCAGGCCAAGGTGCGCCTGATCGACGGCAAAAACTAAATGTTTTGAAGGCAGCTCATGGTGGCGGATGGTGTCGCAGATGCTGGCGCAGCTCAGACCAGCCTCGTCTGGGGCAGCCTGACTCGCTGCCTTTTCCCTGCGTATTCGATGCGCGGAACCTGGCCAATGGGAGATGCGGGTGCAAAAGCGTGATATAGCATTGCTGCTATGCTCTGCTATTCAGCGTCCTATTAGCGGCCGACAGCAGAACAAACAGCGGGCCCACCGTGGGAGTTTCGGATGCTGGGTACAGGAATGCTTGGTGAAGCAGACGGCGTGTAGACGTCGGCGGGCCGCGGGCTCCGCGTGTTCCAGAGCATGATAAGTAGTAGCGGGGCGTGGGGACGGCGAATAGGGGGGAATTACCGCGCGCGAAAGATCTGCTAGCCCTACGGCGCGATGACGCCATGTGATTCGCCCTCTCGTGAAGAGGCACAGGAGCGGTTGTGAATTGGGGCGCAGCGAGAGGCAGCGGGGCGGAGGCGCGACAGGCTGGAGCGGATTGGCTGCCGCCCAAAAATAGGCACTGGGCAGTCTAGCACTCCACGCCGCTCAGTGTTTGACGCCGTTTCAGCGCCAGCGGGCGAGGCCAAGCAGAAAACGATGCAGCGCTCTTCCGCCCGAACAGAGGCGATCATTCGTGTCCACCAAGCCACTCCGCGACACCTCAGCACCGCACGCCCAGCCTGCGCCAAGCGCCCAATCACCGCCTCGGCGCATCCCTGGGATATGAGAGCTGCACCACCCTCTTGAAGCTCTTTTGCATCTCTCTCTCCCCGACCCAGGACTCCACCCGGCGCCACCATGGACTCCTGGAACCAGCAGAAGCTGCCCTTCAGCAAGAAGCGCCTATCCAAGACCGTCATCGTCTCGTAAGCCGCTCTGCCCGTCGTCCCGCCCCGCCCGCCGCTGACCGTGTGCGCTGCCAGATACATCTTCGACTATGTTATTATCGTGTACGTCACTTGCTGCTGCAACGCCACAGCACACGACCTCCTGCCGCTCCCGCCCGCCCGCTGACATGCCTCTAGAGTCCTCATCATCGCCTTCTACGCCCTTGATTCCGTCGAGCCGCACCACCAGGAGTTCTCGCTGCGGAACTACACCCTGCAATACAAGTATGCCGTCAAGGAGCGCATTCCCGTCTTCGACCTGTGCATCATCGCCGTCCTGGCCCCGGCCTTGATAATCGCTTTCTACACCCTGGTAATCGACGGGATCTTCTCCCACAACAGGGGTCCTGCGGGATCTTCGGGTAGGCGGAAGCTTCTGGGAAAGTATCGCATGAAGGACAGGCTGTGGGAGCTGAACTGCGGCGTTCTGGGCCTGATGCTTTCTGTCGGCGCTGCCTTCACCATCACCGGTACGCCCTACCGCCCAGAAACCGCCTCTGCCCGAGCTAATTGGAGACAGGCTCGTTGAAGAATGCTGTTGGCAAACCGCGACCCGATTTGATCGACCGCTGCAAGCCCAACGTCTTCGAAGACCCCCTGCCCTTTGGCCTGTCGAACCACAGCATCTGCACGCAGACTGACAATGCCATTCTCAAGGATGGCTTCCGCAGCTTCCCCTCGGGCCACAGCAGCAGTATGTCAGCCCATTCCGCTATCCCTCGATCTGTGCTAACCCGCGCGAAGCTGCCTTTGGCGGACTATACTACCTCTCGATCTACCTCGCTGGCAAGCTCCACGTGCTTGACTCCAAGGGAGAAGTCTGGAAGAGTTTCATAGTCATGGTCCCGACGCTTGGCGCCGCCTTGGTTGCAGCTTCACGAATCATGGACGCCCGTCACCACCCATTTGACGTTCTGTCGGGTAGTCTGCTCGGCATTCTCACTGCCTGGGGGTCCTACCGCCAATACTTCCCTCCCGTGAGCGAGACTTGGCGCAAGGGCCGCGCCTTCCCGATCCGTAGCTGGGGAAAGGAGCCTGAAGCGCCGCCCGAGGCCTATCCGATCAACCACGAAGGAAGGGAGCCACTGCGGGACCCATCGCTGAAGACGATAGACGAAGAGCAGCCGATGAGGGGCGCTGATAATACAGGTGCGACCAGCATCGAAGAGGGCGAGGCCGGTGCCAACGTTTTCAGGCAGCAGATTTCGAACTCCCAACGCCATCGCCAGCTCGCAGCCCAAGCCTACGGAGACGCGCGACCGACCCCATCTTCAGTATACACAGCAGATCTGAACCGAACCCCGACGGCGACAACCTACAACTCCCAGCTCCCCAGCTCGAACCCCTACGCCCCAACCTACGCCGCCCGGCGCCGACGTGGTGATAACTATAGCTCGTCGTCGTCGGAAGACGAGGCCGACGAGTTCGAGCTGCAGCGCACCTACACCCTGTCCAACCCCCAGGCCGTGTCGACCAATCCAACGGCCGCCTACAATCCGGTCAACGACACGTTTGGCGACACTACCTACCCTGCCCAGACGTCCGGTCCCTTCGCCACGCCGCACGACGAGGCCGACCTGGGAGCCGGGATGCATAGGACGTCGCCGCCGCAGGTTCCGCCGCACTCCGCACCCTACGGTTCCGGAAGGGGCGCAGACTACTAGAAGGACTTTTCAAAAGGCTTCGAAAGCCTGGGAAACTACTGCAGGAAAAAGCTGTCACGAAGCAACGGGGATGTTTTGGGGATCTCACGAGGTCCCTTTTCTGAAATCTCTTTCTTTCTCTGATTGGATTGTGTGGAATTTGGGTATAAACTGCGGTTCCATTTGAAAAAGAGCGTTTGGCTTCTGCTATATCCCCCCATATTTTTGCTGTTATAAAGCGGAGCTCTCACGTAAACGTCATACACGAAACACACACATTTCCAGGTGTTTGAGGTGTCTTGTCTTTTTGACCCACTTCTTCCATCTCTTCTCTCTTTTTATTTGGCTTCTCGTCTCTCTGTGTAGGGCACATATTTGGTTTTCTTGTGGTCCGGTGGACTGGACAGACAACTTTAGGGCTTGAGTTGTATAAGTAGAAGGGCTCCACCGGCTGGTGGGAGATTTTGGCTTTTTTGCTTTCTTGGACTTTTTTGGTTCTTTTCATGATGACGAATGAGAGATATCTTTGTGCAAATTGTTCTTATTGGTCAGGACTGAGGACTGACAGATTTCGAGCGCTAAACTAAACACTTTAGGGTGATACTCGAATGAACGTCATGAAGAATGTTTGGTCTGATTTCGAAGTTGCTCGCCCGTGGTCACCACATTGCGGATGAGCCTATTCCTACCGAAGAAGTGGCAGATTCTAGAGAATTTCCACCAACGAATGGTATGTCAACCAAAATATCCATCAAGACACAAAGCCACTTAGGGCCTTCGTACTAACTCATGAAGCGCGAGCCTTGTTACTTCTTCAAACCTTTTTTTTTGTTTTGGAGAATGCCGGGCTAGTGGCTATCAAAGATAAGCTCAAGCGTTCTATGCCATTTGCGGAGACTCCCCGCATTGTGTGGAAGGAGTCGGCATCCCGCTACGGAAATGTCCCGTAGATCCTCTACTGTAGGCAAAGCTTCTCATTCCTAGTCTCCAATCCGGAACACACTCTAGCCTGCGAATAGACGGTAGACTAGAACAAAAAGTGAGACTCTCTGACCTTAGCACTTAGCCGTTGACATTTCTTAGTTGACGAAGCCTACTGCATGAACTTCAGCATGAATAATAATACTTAACACATGTCGCTCTAATGCAAGAGAATGGTAGAATTGCTTGAGAAGGATTTCTGAAAGTGCTATACTCCCGTGGAAAACGGGACCTAAGGCGTTGCCAGAGTCTCTCTTCCATACGTCAGCTTACATCACTTGCGCGAACCAGGTTGCGGCGATAGACTTTACTCGTCCCGTCCCGAAAATACCTGCACTGAACGTCCTAATGTGGTTCCCGCCCCCAGATTTTTGAGACCCCTGCCGGCCCCGAGTACGGCGTCATGGATCAATATTGAGCCTGTGGGACAGACTCGGTCGGGATAAGATACAGAAGGTTATTGTAGCCGAAGGCTAGCCCTAGGAGAGATAGACTTTCACAATATCTGTGAGGAATGAATCGCCTTTTGCGTGTAGTTGAAGCTCTCGTCCGGAAGTAAATGTGAAATTGACAATTATACGTTTACTTCTGGACGATAGCTTCAATTGCCCATGACGTGAGCGAAAATTAAATAAAAGTTAGTCGTTGGCTGTAATAGCTCGCTATACACGAGCTTTTGTTATCAGCTCGCGACTTTTCAGAGCAGACATCTATTCAACGATTTCATATCGAAGCGCTACACTACGCGAGCGATACGACTTCACCGCCTACTGCCCCTAAAAATATGCAGACTGACACGAGTGGGAAATTAATCCGAAATGCACGCTTCACTCAGCCGGTGACCGACTCGAGAAAAATTTATCGAAACGAGTGCAAATTGAACTGAGACAAAATTACAGAGCTGCTTGACAGGCGACCTGAAAACCTATCATGCATCGAGAACTAGTCTCCAACATGAACCTGGTTGACGCGCCAATAACGAGGGCGAGTTCGAGCAGCTCCTTTAATGACTATGTCCCGACCTTTTTTTTTTTAAAAAAAAAAAGAAAACAAAAAGACTCTCATAGAGTCGGGCAAAGTAGTGACGTCTATGACTCTTCGATCTCGCAGGAGTCGCCTCATGGCCTGATTTTCGAGGGTATAGGCGAGTTTTTCGATAGATAGCAGGTCATTTTGGATTATCAAGTCGGTGAGCTGCAATGGTGGGGGGATGGTATCCCACACTTGTGGAGGCGATCGGCGACATTCTGGTCAAGTTATGTGTGCGGCGGGACGCCTTGTTCCGGCGAGATGTGGTCGCACGGGGCGCGATATTATGCAGATGGTCCAGCACAGGGTAAAGCTGTTTATGCCTTCCCAGGGTGTGATTGACTATTATATGTCTAAGAAGAAGTTTGTGGAGGCTAAGAGGAGGTGTGGAAAGGGGCTGGATATATGAGGATTAGCTGTTTGATGTTTGACGCTCGACGCGAAACTCTGATAGCTTCGGATGCGTAGCTTGTGGCAGGTCAGAGATGGAGTTTACATGCTAGGCATTTTTTGGTGGACGTCTGGCGCTCGACCCACACAAGTAGATGAGGTTGAAGTCAGGACGATGTTATTTAATTCTGAAACCTGCATCTACGTTTGAACTTAGGTTTTAACCATCCATAAAGGGAGTATGTCTCTTTAAGGGTAAACTGATAACGGTAACAGCTGTTACAAAATTTCGTGGAGCTATGATGAGTTACTGCTCATTGTCAATTGTGGTACGTCGTGTTACCTGGGCTCCATGTTATACGTCGTAAACAGGCACATCTTTACCAGCCATCAATTAAACTAAGAATGCGACCACGACTGCGGTGAACAAGGCCCGACTCGAAGTATGAAAGAGCTGTAGTGAAATCTAGAGTCAGCCTTCTTCAGCCTTTGAAGGTTTCATAGATTGTGAAAGTGAGTAGACTTTGTACGGAGCGGTGTAGTAATGCGCAGTACTTGTTTTAAATGGTGACACTTGCCAGTCCAGTTCGCCACTCGAATATTCCGAACGCCACAAGATCTTGACCAGCTCAAGCGTCTTGCGTTTCGTCGCATTCTCTGATCGGCGATTATTACTTGTATCGGAGCAGATGCAGCAAGCTTCGGGATCAGTTCCGTGTCTCAGAGGCATTGGCAGCGAGCAAGCTCCAGATCAGAGCGGATAATTAAATCGACGACATTATAGCCGTAACGAGCCAGCGTGTGCGGAACATGAGGGTAAGACAAAAGCTTACGGTCCACACGAATCGTATGTTTTTCCTCTTGTCTCGCGGCCGTTGCGGGAAGCTGACGCGATAAGTTAGCTCGCAGGTGCGGGGGAGCGCCAACCTCTCCAATTTCCCGCGCGCCGGTTTTTTAATTGAAGTTTGCCAGCGAGAACCCTTCTCGACCCACCCCGTCCTCTTTTTTTCCGTTCGCAGCCGCGAGACTCCTTCGAAACGCGATCCGACGGACCGGGGGGTGGAGAGACAAGACACACGCAACAGGTTGACGTAATCCAACGGAGAGAGACGACTGGACGAGAGGGGAAAACGTCAACAAGGGAACAGCAGCTGAGCTGAGCGAGCTGCGAGGAGCTTGGGCCGCCCGCCGCCGCACGTCGCGACAGCTTCCCCCTCATCGCTCTTCCGTCGCGCCACTTCTACTCTCTTCTCTTTTTCACTTCCGCCATTTGTGCTTTTTTTCCGTCCAATTTTTTAAACCCCCCTCCTCGCATCAATCCCTCATCAATTCAATCCTCGTCTGTCTGTACACACAGTCCACGCGACCGTCGCACGTTCTCATTCCCCGCAATGCCTCCCAAACGGCGCAAGTCCGCCGCTTCTGCGACGGCTCCGGCCACTACCGCCGCCGCCTCAGACGCGCCGCGGACGCGCACCACGCGCGGCGCTGCAACTGCAAACGACGATCCGCAGCCCGCGCCCGCGCCGCCCGCCAACAAGCGCGGTGCGAAGAAGCAGAAGAAGGATGACACCACCGCTGCCGCCGCTGAGGCACTTCCCGCAACCACCACCACTGAAGAGCCCACCACCACTGAGGCGCCTGCCGCAGAGAAAAAGGGTAAGGGTCGCGGCCGCGGCCGTCCGCCTAAGAACGCAAAAGGCGATGCTGCTGCCGAAGAGGACGCGGCGTCGAGCGCGCAGCTGAACGATGAGTTGAAGGATGCTGCGGAGGAGGCCGTGGCAGAGCAGCAGCAAGAAGAGCAGACCAGCGCGCCGGCCAAGAAGAGGGGAAGGCCGGGTAAGAAGGCCGCCGCTGCTGCTCCTGCGGCAGCAGATCCCGAGCCGGAGCCGCAACCGGAGCCGGAAGTGGCGCAAAAGGAGGAAGAGGCACCGAAGAAGCGTGGTAGGGGTAAGGCTGCTGCGAAGAAGGATGCTGAGGATGGCGCTTCTGCTGCTGATGCTGCTGCCCCTGCTGTTGCTGTCGAGGAAGCGCCGAAGAAGCGTGGTAGAGGTGCGGCGAAGAAGGCGGAGGAGAAAGAGACGGAGAAGGAGGAGCAGCCTGCGGCTCCAGCATCAGTGCCAGCTAAGAGGGGAAGGAAAGCTGTAGCACCGGCAGAGGAGCCTGCTGCTGCTGCCCCCGCCGAGCCGGTTAAGAAGGGTAGAGGAAAGGCGGCGGCCGCGGCTAAAGAGGTGGAAGTGCAGCCCGAGGAGAAGGCACCGGAGCCTCCGAAAAAGCGTGGAAAAGCCGCTGCTAAGCCTGTTGAAGAGAAGCCCGCTGAGGAGAAACCTGCTGAAGAGCCCAAGCAATCGAAGAAGCGTGGCCGACCTGCTGCCGCGAAGGTGTCCGAGGAGGAGAAGCCCGAAGAGAAAGCGGAGGAAAAGCCTGAAGAGGAGGAGGCCCCGGAGCCCCCTAAGAAGCGTGGAAGAGCTGCTAAGGAGAAGCAGACTGAGGAAGCCTCAGAGCCGCCGAAGAAGCGCGGACGGGCAGCAGCGAAGGACAAGGTAACTGAGGAGGCCGTCGAACCGCCGAAGAAGCGTGGCAGGCCTGCCAAAAGTCCGGAGAAGACAGATGCACCCGTTGATGAGGCGCCGAAGAAACGTGGAAGGTCTGCAAAGGCTCCTGAGGAGGCTGCTGTTGAGGAAGCAAAGGAGCCGCCGAAAAAGAAGGGTAGGGCTGCAAAGGAGAAGAAGGTGGAAGAACCTGTCCCGGAGCCCACCGTAGAGCCCACCGCCGAGGTCCCCAAAGTGCCTACTGCAGATGCTACCGAGGCACCCGTCGAGGCACCAAAGAAGCGTGGACGCGGCCCGGCTAAAGCAAAGACCGGAGAAGAAGCATCTGAGGTTGCCAAGGCGTCAAAGGGTCGCGGAAAGGCTGCGAAGAAGGACGAAGTGGCTGAAGACGCATCGGCTGCCAAGAAGGGTAAGGAAAAGGATACGTCGAAGGCGACTGACGCTGCTCCCAAGCCCCGTGGACGCCCGTCGAAGTCGAAGAGTGCCACTCCTGCGGAGGCGAAGGCCGAGGAACCCAAGAAAGGAACCAAGCGCAGCCAGCCGGCGAAGGATGCTGTCGAGCAAGCCGAAGAGCCCGCTCCGAAACGCCGTGGCCGTCCTCCGAAGGCTGAGGCAACACCGGCAGAAGAGGAACCCAAGCCTGCCAAAAAGACAACGAAGCCGAAGAAGAGTGAAGCTAAAGCTGACGCACCTGAGGAGCCGACCCCCAAGCCCAAGAAGCCGGCAAAGACAGCTGAGGCAAAGAAGCCCGCTGGAACCGCTGCAATTGAGCGTGATCCGATTAGTGGACTTGCTTACTGGCTTCTGAAAGCCGAACCTGAGTCTCGCATTGAAAACGGCAAGGACGTCAAATTCTCCATCGATGATCTCGCTGCTGCTAGTGAGCCTGAGCCTTGGGATGGTGTTCGCAATCACGTCGCTAAGAATCACATGCTGGCTATGAAGAAGGGTGACCTGGCCTTCTTTTATCATTCGAACTGCAAGACGCCAGGTATTGTTGGTATCATGGAGATTGCTGAAGAAGCTGCCCCCGATGAAAGCGCATTCGACTCCACGCACCCTTACCATGACCCCAAGTCGAAGAAGGAGAAGCCCACATGGTATTGCGTGAAGGTTGCTTTCCGTCGCAAGTTCGCACGTCCTGAAACCGTCACCCTCGATAAGCTGCGGGCGCTCTCTAAGGATGGCCAGCCATTGGAGAATATGCAGCTGTTCAAGCAGAGCCGCCTCAGCGTGTCCAACGTTCGTCCTGCGGAATGGAACTTCATCCTCGGTCTCGCCGGTGAAGTTGCGGATGAGGACCAAGCTATTCCACAGAAGGCAGCCGAGCCCGTTCCTGATGCGACTGAGGGTGCTAAGGCGCCAGCCGAAGCAACTGCTACTGCGAAGGATGATGCGGCCAGTGAGCCCAGTGAGCCGGAGGAACCCAAGTCTGACGATGACGCCCTCGGGTTGACGATCGGCACGCCCAAAGGCGCTGCAGCTCTGCTTGAAGCTGCCAACGACGACATCCCTGAAGACGTGCCTACCCTCGTAACCCGCGAGACTACCACCACCAAGAAGCCGGATGGCCAAATTGTGGAGACCAGCGTTGTTGAGACTGCAACCGTCGTGGAGCCTCCGTCAGAAGCACCCGTCAACGGCGGCCCAGTTGCTCCTGTCGCCGAGCCAGCTGTTGAGTCTACCACTCCTGTTTCATCTCCTCCGCAGACCTTCCACGACCTGCCCTCTGAGACGAGCCCGCTTGCCGGCTCGCACCAGCCACCGTCGGCTAAAAGCCAGCTCTACGGCTCGCACGACCTTTCCGTCCGTAGCCCGCCCGCGTCGATACAGGCTGTGATCGACAGCGCATCCGATGCAACTGGAGGCGCGTCCGCCGGCGCTGTCGTCGAGACCACCGTCGCGGTTGAGGAAAACGGCGGCACTGTCACCGGAAAGGTCATTGACACGATCACCGCTCCAGTGGTTACTGAAGCGAACCCGGCCCTCGAAACCACCAGACCTGCTCCGGCGGTGCAGCCAGCCGTTCTTGAGCCGCCGGTTGTTCAGCCTGCGGATGCTGCGTTGGCAGAGGCTGTGGCGCCGGTCATCGAGGGTCCAACTCCGAGTGGAGCTGTTCAGGCTTCGCCGCCCATTGCGAATATGAGCGCTCCGATGATTCCGTTGGCGACCGCTCCTGTGGCGCCGATGTTTGGCGGAGAGGGCGAGAGCGAGCATCAAGTCTAAAACGCAGGCAGATGGCTGCGGCACTGCTATTGATTCTACATGAATCGTTATGATGAGGATGGGAAGGCAGGTCGCTCTCTCGGGGGCTAAGATCAACTGGTGGAATTGGGTCTCACAATAGTGGCTGGATGGATGATTTTGGGTTAGGGAGGAACTATGGGATAAAGAAACGTGTGAAAAGGCTTATGACTATAAGGCGTTATAGGTATTTTTCATAGTTGAATGGTTAATGATTACTACAATTGCATGGGCATGCCATCCTGGCTTTGTTCTGGCTACCTCATTCAGCGTGCTGTTAGATCTAGATGCTTATGGCGTGTTGGACCCCTGGAAATGCTAACAAGTTCTTAGCTTACGAGGGGTCATTTCCTAGTTATAGGCAATGTCGCTTGTTTAGTCGGTAGACCCTGAAGAGGAACGCCGAGGCTACCCGGCGATCCAGGGTCCGTTGCATCATAGCGTCGGGGTCGTCAGCGAAGCTGTGACCTCGAAATATTCCGAACAGCTTTCCACAACTCACCTTCCATTCACCGCGCCTTCCGTTCTTTTTCTCCCCACCACCCCCTCTTTCCTTACCTTTTCTTCCTCACACCAATTTCTACTCCGACCATTCCTCCACGCAACAACCAAGAACACGCTCAATCATGGACGCCGCCCTCGATTCCGTGCGCACCGCGCTCCAGCCCATCACGCACAACCTCCCCGAGCCCATCCACGACGCCGGCCTCTCGCTGCTGGGGCCGAAATGCTACCAGAAGCTGATCAAGGATATCGACCCGGTCAACTACCCGGAGTGTGTCAAGCTGGCCATCAGCAAGGGGCTGGGCATCGGCATCATCGGGGCGTCGTCGATCGTCAAGGTGCCGCAGCTAATCAAGCTGCTGCGGTCGCAGAGCGCCGAGGGCCTGTCGTTCCTGGCCTACCTGCTCGAGACGTCGTCGTACCTGATCGGCCTGGCCTACAACGCGCGCATGGGCTTCCCCTTCAGCACCTACGGCGAGACGGCCCTGATCGCCGTCCAGAACGTCGCCATCGCCGCCCTCGTGCTGCACTTCAAGGGCAAGGATGCGGGTGCGGCGGCGTGGGTCGCCGGCCTCGCTGCGGCGGGTTATGCGCTGTTTGATAAGGGTATTGTGGATGAGAAGACGCTGGCTGCGCTGCAGGCCGCCGGAGGCATGCTCAGCATTGCGAGCAAGGCGCCGCAGATTGTCGAGGTCTACAGGCAGGGTGGAACGGGCCAGCTGAGCGCTTTCGCGGTAAGTCTTGGGCATCATTCTCGTTAACCTCCCTCCCTCCAGTGCTTTGCTGGATGTGGCGTGAGCACGGGTTATTTTGGATACGGGGCAAGGCTGATCGATTGTTTCTTTGTGCAACACAACAGGTCTTCAACTACCTCCTCGGCTCCCTCTCGCGCATCTTCACCACCATTCAGGAGGTTGGCGACCAGCTCGTCCTGTTCGGCTTCGTTGCGGGCTTCCTGCTCAACGCCGTCCTGGCCATCCAGATGATCTATTACTGGAACGCTCCGGCCAGCCGCGGCGCCAAGGCCGGCAGCAAGAGCAAGAACAAGAACAAGAAGAAGGCGGAAAAGCCCGTCCAGGCCAAGGAGAAGGACAGCGGAAAGCCGCTGGCGACGTCGACCGCGTCGAGCAAGGGAAAGAGCCCGAGTACTCGTCGTAGGGGTTAGATGGGGTTTCGATTCGATTAGGGTGTTTTGAGGGAGGGGGCTTTTTTCGCGTTGAAGCGTTGCAATTGATGTTGATCGAATCATCTTGTTTGGTTCTTGTGTGTGTGATTGTATGCCATTGAGCTGCTGCCGCGGCGCACTCGTACGATGTCTGGTGCCCCATTCTTGGCCTCCTGCAGAGAACTACGGATCATGGGGCAAAGCTTGTGCTGAATCTATTCTGAGAACGGTCATGCGGCATGGACTCTGGGCTTTCGTCGGCTGGCCTACGTTCTTCAGTTGAAGTATAAAGGCAAGTAACTCGACTCTGGCATTCTACATCATTCTACGGACTTGGTTCACCTTGCCTGTTCCTTATGGCGAGAAAGAATTTCACTTCCTGGGTGGGCGTGTGGCCTTATGATAGAGGCATTTCGGGCATATCTTATCATTTCACTGAATATTTTGGATGACCGGCACTACTTAACGATGCTCTTGCACGCCATCAATTTGAGATCTGATTCATCATCATCATGAATGAATCGTGATAGCCATTCAAAGGAACGCCAAAAAAAAACGGCACAGAAAAATCAATCAGCTCGTGGGGTACGCAGACGCCGCACAAGTAGTCCGGGATAGCTGGACGGAAGCAAAAGCGCACCGAGTGAAATGGTACTTCATATGTGTAGTTCCACAACCCCGATGTCGTTGATGCCGATCCTCAAACTGAGAAGTGCTCATCGCGGCGGCTTTTTATCCTCGACCCGGTGGCCGTCCGCCACAGGGGCGCGTGCAGGCGAGATGTTCTCGGGCCGCCGATGGCGTCATGCGTTTGTCGGCTTCGGTGTTGTTCACATGGTTTCTTGAGAGGCTTGTGCGGGGGGTTAGCAGCTGAGGCGAGGACCCTGACCTCCTGGAGGCAGCACATTTGTTGCGGGAGGCGGTGTTTAAAAGCAGCCAGCTTCGTTGCGGCTTGAGCGTCGTCAACGACGGTGATGTTAGTGCTTTTTACTGCCCACAAACTTACGGTTACCACTCGTTGTTCCTTGTGGAAATAGTTGGCTATCCTTGTCAGCTGGATGAGTCTGCTGTCGATGTTCACTCTTGCTTGCTTGCTTGCTGAAGCTCATCATTGTGTTGGGATGTAGAATCGCTTCATCTAGAGAAAGCGTCAAAGTCCATCAAGTCTTGTACAAGTGTAAAATTAGGCTCGTACAAAATACTGCTGACACCGACTTGTTTGACAACACGGGCACAACCCCGGCAGTGGTATGTTGACATTTTGTTGGTTCTCCACAGATCTGTGGATCAAAGCGAATGATGAAATCATTGACTTCAACGTCGAACTTTATCTAATTAATATTCAAATCCAGGTCGCACAGCACGTGAGGGAGTTTCTGGTATTCACTGCCGCCCCGCTATCTTGGCTTACTCACTGGACTGAAGTGAACGCAGGCACACTGTGCTAGTTTGAATCGGTGCATACCGCGTCACGTCATTTTTCCGGAGCACTCATGTGATCTGGGCTAAAGGGCCAACGCTTAGTCAATTGGATCATCAAGGGGAGTGGGTTGACATGATCCGGTCGAATGACCAGGAGCAGGCTGAGCAGCATAGGTTTAGATTAGTGGGTGACGGCCAAGTGTTCAAGTCGATGGCCCTGTCGTGAGGGCCTATCCCCGATTTTCTCAGATCTGGTGATTGTGACATGGAGGACTATGAAACTAAGCAGTGGTCGAAACATGGAAAAAGACACGAATACTGCAATGGATTGTGAATCAGTTGGAGAAGTTAGTTGCTTATCGAAACGCTGTGCGGACAGTGCAGAAAGATATGTAGATTCTCTTAACCTACAAGTAATGGAAGTCATTGTTGAGTAGGATCAAAAATCTCACAATCGTGTCCAGATATCAGATCCAACGAACCGAGTGCATATTGGTACTACATCTGAGGTAACAAAATTGAGTGACAGATCAGTCCCTCCGTCACAGGCTGTTTTGCGACGTTGGAACTGGGATGTTAAAGAACAACTGCGTACTGGAAAGCCTGATAGGAATAGACAATGGTCCACGCAAACTTGCAAGAACGGATGACTTCCCTGACGAACCATCGGTGGTGCTTCATATAGCAGTCGAAGTGATTGCGGCGTGTCGCCAATCGCGGTGGCCAGGAGTGGCCATAGGTGATCCGGTCTCCCAACACCGGACAAGACTATTTGGGCCAAAAAGCCCTCAAAAACTTCTCACTTCCAACTTCCCTCGCGGCCGACTTCGCCGCGGCGTCCGCAACGGCATTCCACCGCCTCGGCACCACCCAGAAGCTGACCTCGCAGCCCTGGCGCGCCAGCATCCCCATCTCCTCGCTCAGCGCCTCCCACAAGTCGCGATTCTTGATCGGCTGGTTGCTCGTGTAGGACCACCACCCACGCTGGGACCATTCCCGCAGCCAGTGCGTGGCGTGGCGGCCGACGTACTGGGAGTCGGTGATGAGCACGATGCGCTCCCAGCCGCCGGCGGCCCAGTAGCGGAACTGCAGCGCCGCGACGGCGGCGCGCAGCTCGGCGCGGTTGCTGGTGTGCGTGTACAGTCCGCCCGACGGACCTTCGTGCTCCAGCGCGAACGCGTGCCGGCCGTTCGGGCTCGGATTCGTGATGAAGCCGCACCCGCCGCGCGGGATGATGCCGCGACGTCCGCCGCCGCCGTTGTGCGAGCACGCGCCATCGACGAAGATTGCTGCCGTGCGCAGGCTGCCCAAGGTGGGGACGTGGCGGCGGCGGAGGACGAAGCAGTACGTCTCGTTCCCGGCGAAGACGTGGCGTGCCGCGAAGAGGTCGTCCGGTGTGGCTCCGCGCGGCGGGAGGAAGGCAGTGGCGGTCCAGACCCCATGCAAGCCCATCCCCATGCGCTGCTCGGCCTGCGTGGTGATGGAATCCGCGTCTGGGGGTGTCCCGGGAGTCACCCAGCGAGGATTGTCCTCTGCTTCAGAATCTTGGTCATTGGGTGTGTCATCCACAAACCTAGAAAAATGTTAGTTACTAACTTAAAGTGTGCTCCTGGCGGCAGCATTACTTTGATGTTAAGACACCACAGTGGACTAGAATTACTGGACCCATCTGTAAAGAAAATCGATATGTCGAAATAACAGTGTGCAGTGTTCAGAGTTCAGAGTCGAAGGAAAGGGTCATGAAGAGCGGGATCCAGTGATATGGAAGACTTATATACCTTGACAATGACGGGTGGCTTCTTGCAGGCCGATATCACTGGCCACTGTATATTTCACATTCTTTCACTTCTTATGCCGTGGTCGCTAGATTGGCGTTTCGTATAGGTTGAGTCAGCCGGTAGATGATAAATCAACTCTAGACCTCCACTAAGTCGGGTTACTACACTAGCAACCGCTGCCTAGCGCGATCGAACATATTAGTAAGATCTCATCCTGCTACCGGTTATCGTGCTGCTAGCGATCGCCGTTGTAGTTTTTAGAGTTATTATACTCCAGAATGTCTATACTGTCAGTAATTCCATGGCGAGCGAGATGACCAGAAGTGATATTCTATAGATGGGGTTGAAATATCGTGAGGAAGCGTCAAACTCTTGGTGGGAGACGGCAAATTTTGGGGCCCAAAGAGTATATCTCCCGTCGGCTCGCCATGCGCCCAACTTCCCCACACGCGTAGATGCGCTTCCTCGCTCTTCCATTGTGTTCTTCTCAGACGTCCCTTCACTCTCTCTCAAGGTATTTCTTCAACAGTCTCTCTGTGGACCTATACTTGTCTCGAATGCGATTGACTGGCTTAACATTAGCCGTAAGTGAATGAATCTTTCGCTAGAAGTAACGAGAACGGAATTGAGGCATTGGGGGTCACGAAGATGCGGGAATTGCTATATGTGTTTGTATATATCAACATTGGTGATAGATCCGGAGGACGACGGAATGGTCCGTTCAGACAGCCTTCCACACTCACTAGACGTACGCCTGCAAGTCCGGAAGTAAGCTATTTCCCGGACAGGTCGGCGCCCCGTAGCTAGGAGTGAAACGTCATGGCACTGCGCTATGCTGTTGAAATGCCCACACTCTGAACCTTGCCGGCAGCCTTGCAGCATGGCTATGCTCCTTGCGATGATTTCGAGTGTAGTATCTGGTCCCCCGCGATTGAGCAGATGGACCGCGAATCATCAATGTGCTCAAGATGATCAAAGCTGCATGCGTTTGCTCGCTGAGGAAAGCCAGCTCCTATGAAAGTCCCAGCCGATCAAGCACATATATGCCATCCGGAGTGATGGGATACTAGCCGTCCCGCTTGCTGTCCGCCCACCAGCTACAGTGCCCTTGTGCTTATACGTGGACCTGTGACAATAGGTAGGTAGTGAGGCCTGGGCGAGGAATCGCTGATATCAATGCTGGAAGAAGCACTGGCAGTAGATTCAAAAGGGTATCGTATGAGAAGGAAATTTTCCCACGCCGTGATGGGACCAAGCCAGCGATCCTCACGGCGCCACGCCAGTGCTGACGAACTTCAAGATGTCGTCCAAGGGCATCATCGGGCGGATGGGCGGCATGGTCTCCGTCTTCTTCTCGGCCCCAGCACCCTCGACGCCTTCCATCGCACCCTCCTCCTCGTCCTCCTCATCTTCATCCTCGTCGTCGCCCTCTTCATCCTCATCCTCAGCCGTCAAAACCTCCCTACCAATCTCGCCACCCGCCGGCCCCGCCCAATCCCACAACTCCTCAATCTGCTCGCCAGTCAGACCACCTTCCCCCGCCAGCTTCAACGGCCGCGCGCCGTCAACCCTTGCCACCGAATCCTCAGCAGCCTCATCGCCCGTAGCCAGCTTGAGGCCGTCGGCGATCCAGTCTTCCACCCAAGGCACCATCTTCTTGCGGGTCAGCTGGGTGGCCATGTTCTCATGGGAGCGGCCCGGGAAAGTGGGCAGCGGGAAGGGGTGGGCTTGGTTGAGCAGGGTGCGGTTGGCGGCGAAGGCCTCGAGCAGCGCGCTGAGGCGGCCGTTGATGATGTTGGACTGGTGGGCGACGGTCGGCCACGGCGCGGGCGGCGCGCTCGCGTCCCAGCTGTACGAGAGCTGCGTGTTCTTGAGGACTTCGAGCGCGCCGTTCAGATGCTGTAGTCGTTGCGCGAGGAGGTCGAGCGAGCGCACTTCGTCGGGTGGGGCGCGCGAGGTTGGCGCGTGGGCGTGGGCGGACATGGTGGGTGGTGGTGGTGCGGAAATCCGGGTCCAATTGGTTTGATGGTGGTGGAGTCGGATTGCCGGTGGTACGACGTGAAGTTGAGGTTGGATTGTGGGTCGAGTGCGGCGCGAAGTGTTGGAGAGTTGGTGTTGGTGTGTCGGCGAGTCGGAGCGGGCGTAATGGAAAGCAACGAGCTTGCGCGAGTCAGTCCGAGATCGGATGATGGAAAATGCGGGACGAGGGCTTGCTCTGACGCATTGTAAGAATGCAGCCAAATTATCGAACGACAACATTTCTCGCGCACACTTCTCCTTCCTTTTCCACCAGAATTCCGCTGCTTTGAGCCATGGCGAATCCAACGTCGCCGAAGGTCGAGACCAATGGCACCACGACGCGCCCTCAGACGCCCAGGGTCAACAGTTTCGCACTGACCGAATATACCGCCAACCCGACGCCGCCGCCCCAGAGCCCCGTGGTGAAGACTCAGGGTGTGCCGGAGCACTTCCTGCTTCCCAATGGCTATCCAGACGTAATGCAGCCCTTCCGAGTTCTGCGCGGCTGCCTCTGACCGTCGACCAGTACCTGCGACTGATCCTGACCTCGCGCGTCTACGAGGTTGTGAAGGAGACGCCTCTGACCCATGCCGTTAATATTAGCAACCGCCTGGAATGCAACGTCATGCTGAAGCGTGAGGACCTGCAGCCCGTCTTCAGTTTCAAGCTGCGCGGTGCCTACAACAAGATGGCGCATTTGGACCAGGAGCAAAGTTTCAAGGGCGTCATTGCTTGCTCTGCAGGTATGCCATAAGTATTGCCTGGGGATTTAGAAGTCAGGGTGCTGATTGCGTCCAGGAAACCATGCCCAGGGCGTTGCGTACTCTGCACGGAAACTCAAGATCCCCGCCACCATTGTCATGCCATCCGGCACCCCCGACATCAAGCACAAGAACGTTTCGAGACTAGGCGGGCACGTCGTCCTCCATGGAGACGACTTTGACGCGGCAAAGGAGGAGGCACACAGGCTGGAGAAGGTGCACGGTCTGGTCAACATTGCGCCGTTCGATGACCCGTACGTCATCGCCGGCCAGGGTACCATCGGCATGGAGGTCCTGCGCCAGACGAACCTGCAGGAGCTGGAGGCAGTCTTTTGCTGCGTGGGTGGCGGTGGTCTGATCGCCGGTGTGGGTGTCTACATCAAGCGCATAGCACCTCACGTCAAGGTCATTGGCGTTGAGACGTACGATGCGAACGCCATGGTCCAGTCGCTCCAGGCCGGCCGCCGCGTCGCCCTTTCGGAAGTCGGTCTCTTTGCCGACGGAGCTGCTGTGAAGAACGTTGGCGAGGAGACTTTCCGTGTGGCCTCTGAGGTCGTGGATGAGGTCATCCAAGTCACGACGGATGAGACGTGCGCCGCCATCAAGGACATCTTCGAGGACACGCGCTCCATCGTCGAGCCCGCAGGCGCGCTCGCACTGGCAGGTCTGAAGAAGTACGTCGCCGCCAACCCTTCGCCCAACACCAACCGCGGCCTCATCGCTGTTGCCTCGGGCGCCAACATGAACTTCGACCGCCTTCGCTTCGTCGCCGAACGTGCTGCGCTCGGTGAGAAGAAGGAAGCGCTGCTATCTGTCACTATCCCGGAGGCACCCGGTGCCTTCGCAAACCTGATCAAGGCTGTGTACCCCATGTCCTGCACCGAGTTTGCCTACCGCTACAACGACGCATCGAAAGCCAACATCCTCATCGGTATCGCACTGAATGCTGCCAGCCGGAGCCGTGATCTGGCCGACCTCATCACCCGGCTGGAAAAGGACGGCATGCACGCCGTCGACCTGTCGGGTGACGAAGTTGCCAAATCCCACGTCAGGTATCTCATCGGCGGTTGCCCATCCGCCGTGTCCAACGAGAGGCTGTTCGCGTTCGAGTTCCCCGAGAGGCCTGGCGCTCTGTACAAATTCTTGACTACGATGCAGCCCGACATGAACATCTCGCTGTTCCACTACCGTAACCACGGCGGTGACGTGGCAAAGATCCTGGCAGGCATCCAGTGCCCCGAGGGCAAGGAGGACGAGCTGAAGGAGTTCCTGAAGAAGATCAACTACCCCTTCAACGAGGAGACGGAGAACCCTGTCTACAAGATGTTCCTCAGAGAGTAGATATTTGGGACCAGGTAACGTGAGATGTTTTGTTATGTACGCATCATTTTTTGGAGTTTACTGGTTGGGGTTTGAAAGGTAGAGGCGAGAAATATCCGTCAACAGACTTGACACAAAAGCCAATTCAACCTCTTTCACATTACGTCGTCTACATTGAACAAATTATCCTTGCAACTTAGGTAAGTGGATGAAATCAAGGGAATATGGCGGGAATATCGCACCGATCCACAACACTTGCGAGCCGACAGGACGAGCCGTGTGGCCGCGTCACTCCCAGGCACAAGCATAGCCAATGGAGTATGGATCGTTGATAAGAGGGAGTAGTAAATGTGGAGCTGCCAAAAGTTCTTGGTGGGGCTTGGCAAGAGCTTCTTTTCCCGCCCGACGATCACCAACCCGCCTTTTTCCGCCACCTACTCCCGTGCTGACATCCACAACATCCGCCAGCCTACGACTGCTTTCACCTACTGCCGACTACGGGTGCAGGCGGAAATCAAAGAGTGGCTTCGACGAATTGGTGTCGATCTGCAATTAATTTCGCTGGTAGGTGATAAGCACTGCAATCACTAGCGGGTCATGATCAACGCCATCTCCGGCAAGAGATGCCGTCATAGATGGAGTCGAGAGCTTGGGGTTTGGAGATGTCCCCACACCGCTTGGTCAAGCTCTGGGGTTGCCAGTCCAGTGCCTTGGCGACCGATCGTCGCTGGACGGCGTGCAAGCCCGCTCGCCGCCTTTTAAATCCTCTTCAGCTCTCGTCCGCTTCACCGCATCCCCTTTTCCCTCAACATCCCCAGCATTGCCTCGCACAATGGGTGACCAGCGTCAGAATTCAGACCGCAGCGACCCTGCAGACTTGGAAAAAGAGCTGGAATCGCGAACTTCGAATGTCGATTCTCCCTCCGGCGGCTTCCGAAAGGAGGAATCCGAAGGCAAAATCCTACTCTCCGAGGAGCAAGTTCTCAACCGGGCGAGAGAGCTTCCTGACAATGCCGAGTCTGTCTATTTGACTTTTTCCGTCGATGACAGGGACATTCCGCGGAATTGGCCAAAATGGAAGAAGTGGTACATCACTTGTTTCGTCAGCATGCTGAACGTCCTCACGTGTGTTCTCCAAGCCCTCTAGAGCTTCCATGACCAGAATAGACACTGACAAATTCAACACAGCTGCCTTTGCGCAGGCGGGTACAGTTCCGGCCAAGAGCAGCTCATAGAGACTTTCTCTGTTTCTGCCGAAGTCGGAACCGTGGGCCTGTCCATGTACATCCTGGGCTTCGCTGTCGGGCCTCTCATGCTGGCACCTTTGTCTGAATATTTTGGTCGAAGCCCAGTCTACGTGTGGTCCTGGCTGCTTCTCGTCATATTCCAGATTCCGCTTGCCCTTGCGCCAAATATCGGAACCGTCATCGTCTGCCGTTTGCTGCAGGGCTTCTTCGGCAGCGCACCGCTTACAAACACCGGAGGCACCGTCAGTGATCTCTGGGCGAGAAATGATTGCGGAAGCGCCATGGCCATCTATGGATTGAGCAGTACATTCGGTCCACCTCTCGCTTTGGTCATCAGTGGCTACATTGCTTTGAACAAAGGCTGGAGATGGTTGTTCTGGGTGTACTTGGCCATCTTCGGAGGTGTCTGGATCCTCCTTGTGGTAAAGTCTTCGCTTCTTTAAGCCAGAACTTAATGCTTACGGCTCCACAGCTCACCGTCCCCGAGACGCGCGCTTCAATCATCCTCGAGAAAAAGGCAAACCGCGTCCGCAAGCAGCTACGCGCCGAAGGCTTCGACTCCGCGGCCGACAACCTCCTCGACGCCGATGCCGACGAGAAGAAGAGCCTGCACACGCTCTTCGCCATCACGCTCACCCGACCCATCCGCTTTCTCTTCACCGAGCCGTAAGTCCTTCCCTCCCAAAACGAAGCACTCTCGTCTCCACTTGAAGTAATTCTTTCGAATCTCACCCACTCTGGAAAACAGTATCACCTTCTTCGCCGCCCTCTACAACGGCTGGATCTACGGCATCGTCTACCTCCTCAACGAGTCCTTCCCGCTCGTCTTCGGCGACGGCCACGGCTTCAACGCCGGGCAATGGGGCTGCAGCTTCGCGGGGCTAGCCATCGGCAGCCTCGTGGCGGCATCGCTGCACCTACCACTACAAGAGCGCTACTACCTGCGCCGCGTGGCCGCCGCCGGCGGCACGGGCGTGCCCGAAGCCCGCATGCACCTCGCGCGCTTCGGCACCTTCCTGCTGCCCGTCTCGCTGTTCTGGTTCGCCTGGACCAGCTACCCTTCCGTGCACTGGATCGTGCCCATCGTCGCGAGCGCGTTTTTCGGCGCCGGGATATACATCATCATCTTGGCGATCTTGAACTACGTTGTTGATAGCTATCAGACGTATAGCGCGTCGGCGCTGGCGGGCGTGATACTGGTAAGGAATCTGGTGGGTGCCGGGTTTCCGTTGTTCGGGAAGCAGATGTATCAGACGCTGGGGTGGGAGTGGGCGGGGACGTTGCTGGCGTTTTTGAGTATACCGCTGTGCGCGATTCCGTTCGTGTTCTTTTATAAGGGGGAGGCGATTAGGTTGAAGAGTCCGTGGGCGAGGTATGGTGACCACCTCTCCATGAGTTTTGCGAGATTTGCTAACGTGTCTGTAGGGAACACTTTGGGCAGGACGAGGATAAGCCGCATTGATCATGCGATAATGAAACTGCATTGCCTTCTTTTAGAATATTCAGAGGCTAGCATCACGCTGTCAGACGTAATCTATCTATTTCTCAGGTTCCAGTGCTTCCGTCGAAGTTTAACCAATCAGATACTCCGTCAACTTCGACATTGCCTCCAGGAAAAGAATGATGGCTGTACCGGTCCTCGGTATAGAGCTTCTTCTTTGCACCCCCTGTGGCGTCGCCTTCGACACTGTGCCCGGGAAGTAATTGACGGCTGCGCCGAAACTTGGTATAGATCTCCCCTCTTACACGACGCACGCTGTCGACCATGTTGCTTCGAAGGCGCTCTTCCGTAAGTTGCTCCTCCTCACAAATGTACGCAAGTTGTTCCCGGAAGAGCCGTGGGAACTCGCGCCGGCTATATTCCTCAAACTCTGAGAACATGGTGGGCTCCGACGAGAGGCCGCCGAGTTAGGCTGCGTCCTGATTGCTGACACAGTCTACAATGTTAAGTCAGTGCTTCTGTGGGATTTGATAGCTAATATAAATTACAAGGAGTTTAAGGCAAAGGGTTAGATAGTACTTACATGGAGACGGTGCTTCTGTGTCACCAGGAAAGAGGATAAAATACACATTAACCCACTTATCCTCCGTACTTACGCCCCTTTTCCGCCTTTTAGACCGAAGTTGCTTTTCTTGGTCTTTGTTAATCCCTTCAATGACTGGTTTGTTGGGAACGTCTGGACATTTTTCAGCAGCAAGGTAATGGCTGTTAAGCTCCTGCTCACTGGTAAACAACTGGCAGCAGCGGATACAGTATGGCGGTTTCATGTGGCGCCGATATAAATGTTCCCTAGTAAGTCAGTACTTGATAAACACGGATCCTCCTATATGCGAACACTTACTTCAATCTTGCTATAGATGAGAATCCGGGCCATTTGCAAGAAGTATACATTTTCGTACGTCCTTGGTCTGTTTGTCCGTGCTTTTGCCAATACGGGCAAGCAAGCCTTAAAGCTTCATTCTCTTCTTCCAAGTCCATCTGTCGCTTCTTCCCCTTCTTCTGCTGGCTGTTGCCGTCATTGTTGCCCTCCTCTTGTTGTAAATCATATTCGCTGAACACCCTCAAGTGGGTTATATTTCCTGTTGCTGAAGTAGAATCTTCGTGGCTGTCAATGGCTTGGAATTGATCTGATTCCCCGACAGCCTTGTTGCTTGGCGATTCTGGTTCAGATTCATCGGCCTGAGGTGGACCAATGGCGAATAGTGCTAGCTGTTCCATGTGGGCGCCCACATGTTGTCGGTACTGCTTTTTTGACACGAGAATAGGGAGGTCATGTGGTACATGTTGGTTTATTTCCCTGAGCCGCACAGCCCATTCGTCACAGAAAGGGCAATCATCGGCCGGGACCTGTGGTCTCTGGAACCAACAAATTTCGGTCAGTTCCGAGAGTTGACTTTCTGAAAGGCTGTTCGAGTGCCGTGATGCCATATGGTCCACAAATTGGACACGACTCGTGTAATTTTTAGAGCAGCGATTGCATTTCCACGCTCTCTGGTGGACATCAAACTCATGCTCGATCCATCTGCGAAAGTCTGGAAAAGATACATCCGAGCAATCTTTGTTCACGCAGATATATGCTCGAAGATCCGCAAAAACGTGTTTCCTGTGAAAATGTGAGATATACTTCAATAAAAGTGCATCTCGATTGTGTTTTCCCGCTTTTTTCTTTTTTTTCTTTCTTCATATGTGAAAACAACTACCTTACCTCCATCGCCTTTCTGTGACATTCTGCTGTATCTGGTAGCAGTATGGGCACTCAAACTCAGGTTTCCCTCCAGACACATCCTCTAAGGGCACAACTGAGAGATCTTTTTCAGCCCTTTCTGTAACCGTCGGAGTGAATGACGTCTGGGATAGATTGTCAGCGGCGATGAATTCAATTTCTGCCGTCGTGTCTATGGCATCTAGCGTTCTCAGTGTTGATGCACTCGTAGGAGCACATTTGCTTTCACCCTCTATGACGTTGGAACCTTCATGACTGCCTGGAGAATTGTGCTGACGCTTCCTTGGGTTGTCGGCAGATTCTGTCTCCAACTCATGGCCCGACGGATAGGCTGATCTCTCTTTGTGGTTTCTGCAATAGCGTAGAAACTGTCTCCTTCGCACATTGGCCCTTCCAAGTCTTTCTGCCAACCAGGAGCCCTCTTGGTTCCTGATCTTCTGAAATTTTTCGCGGACATGAGCAATGTCGTAACGAGGATCGAATGGGGATTGGTCTGACGCAGCCGCCCTGGCATAGCGGTCTCTGTGTGTAGCTTTGCGTATGATAACTGACACTTTGAAAAGTGCGGATATACCCTCACTTACGCAAGCAAGGAGCTCTACCCTGTCGTCGTCTTCAGAAGCTGACTCAGGGGACTCTGAGTGACCTTTTCTGGGGCTTTCATCGACGATTTGTTCTGCTATGCTAGAGAATGTATCGGCCACTTCTCCCATATGGTTATTAGCAGCGTACCAGTTTGGCATCCCATGAGCTGAGAGGTACTCACATTCTTGAAGCGACTCAGCAATGTCGTCTAGCATAGCTTCTACCTGCCTCGTGACACCGGTGGAGTTGCGAAGCCGATAATCCAACGATGTTAGCTCGTTTGGAGCCTGGAGAGCTCCGATGTTCTCTGCCCAGATCTCGAAGCGGCCAAATTCTCCGTCGATATCAAGCGACTGTGAGCCAACAAATTTGCTGCCCGACCGGAGGCCTTGCAGTGCCGTGAACCCGTCAATACAACATCGAGTTTTCCGGAAAATGCACATATCCGTTTCTTGGTTGTCAAGACGTAGTGGTTTTGCAAGTAAGAGACATGGGTGAATGATAACTGAGTGGGTTTGACCGCATGAGAGCTGGGATTCCGTGGGGGAACCGACGTGTTGCCTGGTATTTCATGAGGAAACAGTATAGAACCCCGCACGAGGTAGAAATGGCCAGAGCTCTCTGGGGCTCAATATGGCGTACGCTGAATGGTCCGCTTCGCGAATCTCCCATGACTTCAGCCTCGCATGTCGCACAAGGGAGGCAGTGCACTGCGGCATATATCAATCAGGCTGCATGCTTACTTTTCCAATTCCCTAAGTTCCTCGAACTTCGGTGTCACCTATCGCAAAATGAGTGGGATCGAAATCGCAGGGCTTGCGCTTGGAGCTTTCCCACTAATAATCAGGTATCTTTCCGCATTCCAACTCAAAATCTGACACATCTGATATTGTGCAGCGCTCTGGATGGAATAAAGGAGTGTTCAAAAGTGCCAAAGCAATGGCGCAACATTCGGAAAGAGCATAAAGCGTGGAAGAGGGAGTTGATCGTGCAGGAAATGATCCTCAGACTGACCCTTGAAAAGCTCCTGCTTCCTCTTGTTCCCGAGAACCAGTCCCAGACATTGGACGATCTTCTGAACGACCCTGCTGGCTCTCTCTGGAGTGAGCCTTCACTTGTGCAGAAACTCAACGAACGTCTCCGATTTACTCTTGATCAGTATCTTGAAGTGATTCAAGCGCTGAAAGAATCACTGGAGGAACTTAGTACCCAGCTTGGAATGAACAAGGAGCACTTCCAAAACATTCTTCTTGGAAATGTAGGTGATGGATGAAATATGCCGACCATGGCTCACAATCCCATTAGGCACCGATCAACGAGCGAAAATCCAAAATTCTCGCTAAAATCGAGTTTGAGTACGTCCGGCTGAAATTTAGTACATCGAGTACCGAGCGGAACGAGACACTTAGGAAGATCGAAAGATACAATGAACAACTTTCCAAGCTTCTTCAAGGCTGTGATGAGGTGTCGGCTTTGGAGGAGTCCCGGCTCGCTCGCAGGAGCAAAGGTCGCATTGATCCCAGGCTGACAGACTTCCATCGGCATGCAGACCAGCTGTACACGATGCTAAGCAAGGCTTGGCAGTGTCCACGCAGGAGCCAACATTCTGTTCAGCTTCAGCTGCGACATCGAAAGACAGCTGAATTCAACTTTACTGTGTTCTTTGTCTTCGGACGATCGATGCCTGCGCCACTTCCACAGTGGACATGGCGCGAAACAAAAATCATGATGATTGAGCAGGCAAAATCCCAACAAGACCTGAAAATGGGATCGGCATCCACGCTGGAAACTGCACCCATCACGACATCAGAACAACCTGGAGGCTCTGATTCGGGTTTCCACATTCGGGGCAGTGCGAAGAGACGCAAGTTAGAGGGCGAAAATCACTGTCCTACCAAGTCTCCAGTAAAAACTCCGAAGAAGCGGGTGGGTTTTGCAGATTCTCCCGTGAAGTCTGACTCAATCGGCGCTCCCTCTTCGCTTTCTGCACCCCAGAGGTAGGATACTCGACAGCCAACAATCAGTACTTACGCTGACATTTGCTCAAGATCCAAGTGCGACGATGAGATCACGAACCTTTGCTCGGTCATGGCATCTTCGACGTTGACGTATTTCGGAATCCTTCGACATCACCACGAAGAGTATTCCGTCTACCCCGTCCTAAATCCCCAAGCCCCAACAGATCCCCGGGATACAGTCACGCTTCGGACAGTCCTTGACAAATCTCTTGGGATTTACCTCAGCCGAAAGCAGCGCTTCTTCATTGGACTGACACTGGCATCCTCATATCTCCAGTTGCACTCCACGCAATGGCTAAAGAGTCACTGGACCAAGTCCGACATCTTGTTTCCCCGCCACGGTGACAATGTCGCGGTAGAAGAACCATTCGTCTCGAGAGGCCTGAGTACGGGAGTGCTGGATGGGAGCATGCCTGCAAGCTCTCACGGTATCGTCTCACTCGGGATTATGCTGCTGGAGCTGGCATTCAATATGACACTTGAGGAATACGATCGCGAGCGCAAATACGTGTCTCCAGAAGGGAAGCGGGATGCGCAGCTGACTTGGCTTGCGGCGGTCAACTGGTCCAATTCCGCTGCGGAGGATGCGGGTATCGATTTCGCGGATGCGGTGAAGTGGTGCTTGCAAGGACAGCTGATAGCAGTGCAGGACAAAGAGTGGCGGAAGGAGCTGGTGGCCAATGTTCTTGAGCCGCTACAGAGGTTCTACGGCGTCTTTGAAAGGATCGCGAGACAGTAGACGACCAAACGCTGCTGTGTTACCCGACAGTCAATAGATTGTGAAGAATGATATCTCCTAGTGTTTACGGGGGGGGACTATTTGTTTTCTGGCGTACATCAATAGAGTTCAACAAGAGACCTTTTGACAATCGAGGTGTCCAGTTGATGAACTTGGCCTGGTTGATGGTGTTGATGTAGATGGAGCAATGAGAGCGGGGCAATTTCTCAAGCTTGCGGCGAACCTCCGACGGCCGAGCGGCCAAGACATTCTTCTTCGCAACTCGAGCTACCATCCACCCATCACCGTCCACCTCAGCTTCAGCGACACCACCAATTGACCTTCGACCTTACGCACACAAGCTCGAAGGACATCATCACAATGGGTTGGTTCTGGGGCTCGTCCGACAGCAGCGCCTCCGCCGATCCGGCGAAGCAGCTCGACCCCGGCCTCAAGAAATTCCTCGATCAAGAATCACCTTCTCCACCACCCGCCGCCTCCACGCCTGCCGCACAGCCCTCTCCCGCGCCTCAATCCGCACCTGCCACCACCCCCGCCGCCTCTACCTCCAATGCCGCCAAGCCCGCCGCCGTCCCCGCCGAATCCCTCTACCAAGACGGCCGCTACGCGCACCTCTGGAAGAACTACGAGCCGCTCAGCGCCATCGAAGCGCGCTCGAAATCCGACCAGGAGAAGCTGACGGACATTGTGTCGGCGTACAACGACCGGCGCGCGGGCATCGGGCGGGCGGCGCTGGAGAACTGCGCGTTCCAGCAGCTCGCGCTGTCCGACTGCTACAAGAGCGGCACGTGGATGGCGCGCATCACCATGTGCCGCACCGAGACGCAGGCGCTGGATCGCTGCTACACCATGCAGAGCCGCTTCCTCAAGGCGCTGGGTTATCTTAGCGTGCAGGGCCAGGGCCGCGACGCCGAGGAGCGCGTGCAGATGCATGCGGATCGCTTGTACCAGCGCATGCTGGAGCAGGAGCGGCTGGTCGCGGAGGCGAAGGCGAAGGGCGAGGAGCCGCCAAAGTTTGGTAGCATTTTGAGTAGGGAGAACGTCGCGGCGGCGATGAGGGGCGATGTCGCGCCGTTGACGGTGGAGAAGGCGGCGGCGGAGAGCGCGAAGGCGGCGAGCGAGAAGACAAAGGCAGACGAGGCGAAGGCGAAGGAAGCGGAGGAGAGGGAATTGGCTAGGAGTTTGGACGAGATGCCTGCTCTGGCTCCGAAGATGCGCAAGGAATTCGAGGACCGATTGAGGGAGCTGCATGGCGAGGAGCGCGACATAGAGCTGAGGGCGATCCAGGGAGAGTTTGCTGAGAGCAGGGTCATCGCGAAGCAGGTCGAAGCCGTGTTTGAGGAGGAAAAGGTCAAGAGGTTGGAGCGTCAAGCACGCGGCAAGGAAACAATGGGAGACACAATCAAGAGGTGGTGGGGGTGGTAAAAAGAATTTGTCAACTGTACGATTTGTGGATGGTGGAGAAAAAGCATATACGGAGTTCTCGGTACTACCCAGGGTGTTCAGGAGCAGTAAGCACTAAAAGGATGCCTTCTCAACTCTTTGTCGTTTCAGCAAAATACTATCATCATTAATCCCTTCGGCCCCAGCGTCTCAAACTGCTCTCTCCGAGCTTGGTGTCCTCTCGTAATACCAAACTGCGCCCTCCGTCTTCGCGCAGCTCGTCCCACTTCCAGTCGTATTGACGGGCACGTAAACTCCCTCCTGAGGCCGACCCACGACATGGCTGTAATACCACGTCTCACTCAACCGCGTCCTCCCATTATCCAAAGACCCGGCCCCCGCCGCCGTCTCGTTGAACCGCGGCCCGGAGCATCCCACATACGGCGTCGCTCCGTAAGCCTTTGCCAACGCGCCCTGGATGTCCGACAGCGTGTAGGACGTGCTGTTCGACGGCGTGATGGCCGCGTCGGCAAGCCAGTCGTAGGTCGGCAGGCGGCGGTCGAAGAGGATGGCGGTCTCGAAGAAGTCAACGACATCTGCGTGCGGGGCGTAGGTCGGCCCGTAGCAGGGGATGTCGAAGGTCGAGAAGCAGGTCGCGTGCTTGGAGAACTCGTGCGCCCAGAGGTACCAATTAGGCTGGTTTTGGGCGATCCAGTAGCTGTGAGAGGGGGTCAGTTTGGGGCGTTGGATAAAGGGCAGGGGAGAAGATCGGGACGCACGTGTTCATGTACTCCAACAGATCGTACTTGCCAAACGGCGTGAGGAAGCTGCTGATGTCGGAGCCGTTGTATGGCGGGACGAATGTGCCTGGCACGATACGTATCAGCGCCAATTCCTTTCAACTACTGGTGAGATTGGCTAACTGACCATTTGCCAGCCCATTCGTCGTGTTCGGGCTCGGCTCCGGGTCGTACTGCCTGCTCAGGTCGCAGTACTGCGTGTACGACCCGTTGCAGAAGTCGGGCCACAGGCCGTGAATCGTCCACGAGCCCTCGGGCAGGAGCTGGCCTTCAGCCTCGTAGCCAGTGTACGTGTCCCAGAACTGCGTAGCGAGAACCAGCCCACCGAACGTCTCGGTGCAGCACGTGTCGGTCAGACCTGGCTGCGCGCCGGCGGAGCAGGAAAGGATGGGGTCCTCTACGTTCGTGTAAGAATTGGTGTATCGCATCAGGTCAGGGTTGTGGGATTAATTGCGTACTCAACTGGCACGTGTGATTCAGCGAGCTCGTGTTGTACAGCGCGGCCATAGCCATGCCGCTGAATGGCAGCAGCAGTGCTGCATTGGAAGCCGAGAACAATTGCATTGTCAAGAAAGCAGGGGATGTCCCAGTCTTTGCACACGTCCCGCAAGCATCTCATATATATTTGTCTCGCCTCAACTGGCTGCGCCGTTTCTATGACTTCATCTAATTCGTACCTGCAGCTCGGGCGGAGGCCCCCGTGGGCGGAATGATTGGCTTTATCTCTTCGCCGGAGGTATTTACTCGTAGAAGGCATTTTGGTCCGGCGCGGCAGTGGCTGAGGGACACCGCTATCTACGAAAAGCACGAGGGCGCGGCGGCGATAGTGATTTGGTCGTTTAGATCTGGGCGTGGCGTTGGCGTAGTCAGAGGCGTCCTCGCTTACGGCTGTTTGGGTGCAACCGACGAGCCGGGCGAAACGTGTAAAGATAAACAAAACATTGGTGATGGGACACCGACATGTTGCATTGTCAATGCCACAGTGTCTAACACCTTTGTGTATATGCTCTCTCGTCACCATGTTTGGGAGAGAGGCAAAAAGAAAAACTAAAAAAAGAAGGAACGAGATACTACGGCCAGGCGGGATCGAACCACCGACCTTCAGTGTGTAAGACTGACGCCATAACCACTAGGCCATGGCCGCAATGGAATTACTTTTGTGAATAAATAACAATATATACTATGGTATCAATCACGTGCAATCATCTTTCCGACGCTCGCTACCAAAAAAGGTTTCGGCAATTCTCTTCTCCGGGTTCTACGACATCGCATTCATTCTGTGAGATTCATCCGAAAGATTCTCATCCGCTTATGGTCTATCTAAATTTCTATGACCGTCCAAATTAAAGGGAACCAAGTTACTGAATTACACTATATTAGTTACCAGCTTATGCGGTGCTACAGAATCTTCCGGCTCTAAAGATGCAAATCAAGTCGAGCCCAACACTTTGAAACTTTATACCAAGGGACAATGAAACGGAGCCCGTAGCACAGAGTATCCTGGATGATAAACGAAGTACTCATCGTGAGCGAAGAGTCTCCTCGGAATCCCTCTTAGGGCCACGGGAGAAAGACCGAAGAAACCGCGTAGGTCGATCCATGGGATACATGCAGGCAGCGTAGAATATATGCGCTGTCAGTAGATGGCTTTCAAACAGGAAACAACAATTATACGAGAGAAGAATGTTATGGAATCCGTCCGATGGCCCGTCAAAGTTTCAAATTAGCATCGAAAAGTGGGCGTGAGACACGGAAATGGAATATCTGACCTCCAAGCTGCTTGTGCTTTGCTATAGCGCCCGGGAAGCTTGTGCATGCGTAGAGCTCTTACAAATTAGCACAGACTATACCTGGTCATAGGCCGGGTGGGATGATGTCCACATACATTCAGCAAGCGAGGGTGTTACTATGACGTGAATGAAATCTTGGACTTACTCAAGCAGGCAGTAGCAGCAAGGGTCCACGGTGTTTTCGGGCGCCGACGCGCCCGCCCGCCTTCCATCATCGATTCCTTCCTCTTATTTCTTTCGCGCGCCCGCCTTGGACTCCACTCCATCTGCGCATCGTCAATCGCACCATGCGCGCGCAAGGCGTCCCTTCACCGCCGCCCGCGGCTGTGACAACTTCCACCATGCCGTCAGATGACGATGACGACTCCCCCACCAGCACTATCAACAGGGACAATTTCGTGCCGCCCTTCACGCCTTTGAAGCGCGTCCAGTCACTTCAGTCGCGCGAGCCAAGCATCATCGATGACCGGCCTGAGCCACCCAGCCCCAAGGACGGCTACGTAGGCCGCTGGACCGCTTCGCGCCTGTTTTCCATGAGCTTCAGCCTGCTCATGGCTGTCGTTGCAATCCACACCACCGGTACGTTTGACACGTGGTTTTTCTTGAGGATCGCACCAACTGACTACTTCCAGGTGTTGCCTGTATGATTGCATTAATGCATGGCAAGCCTGAGGACCACAATCCAAAGAGTCGTAGCCAGCGCCACCTCCGCGAGCTCAATGCCTTCGTCACCTTGATGCCCATCCTCTTCGCCACCGTAATGGGACGTTTCTTTCGCGCACTCCTTCTTTGGCGGGCTCAGAAAGGAATTACCGTTGGGGTAAGTCGATCACAGCTGGCCTATGTTTGGAGCTATCTATTGATCTAATCCAGAACCTGGAACGCTTCATCGGATGCCAATCCATGTACACTGCCCTGCACACCCAGCTAGCTATGCGTCCTTTCAGCATTATTGGGCTGTTGATAATGGCTATATGGGTGCTTCCGCCTATTGCCAGCCAGGCCTTCTTGCATCTCATCGACCTCTCGGATACATACGTTTCCGGCACAGCAACTGTCAAATATCTGCGTGTGAGTAAGGCTGCTCAGGACACGGTTAAGATAACCCAGGGCGCATCGATGCCGCTCGCAAAGAAACTGCTCTCAAGTGGAGTCTTCTTCCAGATGGCACTGCTGATGCATGCCTTCGTCAACTCCCCGCAGGACTTCAAGGGATACGTGAAGGTACCTTCGGTTCATTCACTGACTCCGGCTAAGGGAGGCTGGGATCCTACCGAGTGGAGGCATATGGATCACAGTCAGCCTATTGCTTACTCTTCGCTGATGGGAATCCCCATCGCAGGCCTGAAGGATGGTGCGAATACCACAGCAAACTTTCAATTCCCGTCCCGACACTGGACTGTGATTTGTTCGGATATCGAATCTTCCGAGCTGGATCCAGAAGAGTTCGCCGAAAAGTATAATTGGGACAGGCAGGCATTCGCCATGGATTTGGCACTTCCAGACGGCATGAGGCCATCTCAGTCTTTCTGGCCTATGCGGGTTATGACACTGAAAGGAAATCCAAGCGCCGACGCCTTCGCAGACAGAGTATTGGATTACCAGAGCTACGGACTCCCGCTCCCGAAAGTTCCGGTCAACGTGGCACACTGCACTATCGGCGTTCAGAAAGTTGTCTCCAATGTCAGCTGCCTCGGCTTGAATTGCGAGGTTGATTCCATGCTGCTCTTGAACGAGGTTCAAAGTTACGACAATCCAGTGCAATACCCATCTTCTCTCGACGCTGAAGATCAGACTGCCGGCGTAACCTCTAACGGCTGGACCGGCTGGTCTATCACCAAGAGTGTTTGGAACCCGGGCCTTTGGGATGATATCGACAAGACTCATGTGATGCCAGCCGGGAAGCCGCTTCTCGAGATTCCGTCATCCGGAACGCCCGTACAAGGACTGCGCATGGTTCTGCAAACTCTTCCATTGGCATCCGCGCTTCAAGAGGAAATACTTGTCGACAACATCACCGACTCTGATTCCCTCGCATTTACGCGTTATAAGAATGCAGTTGGCGCAACCAATGCAGAGCTTTGGCTCGACGGTAACAACGATGGGTTCGTCTCCAGGCAGTATTATCCTTGGCCTGATTATTCATCAATCCCGCTCGAGGAGTTCTCAGCTCGCCTAGAGACGCTTATCAACACATGGTGGCAGGCATTCTTCATGCCGGCCTACTACGAGACCAACCTGCAGGATCACCCGGTCTTCGATAAGTCGAACAGACTTATATTCAAGAACTCAGATCCAAGCACTCCATTCAACGACACTGCAGCTTCCATATCCGAGCCTGGTCCACGTGTGTACCGGTGCAGGTGGGGTTACATCTTCGTGGTCCTGATTACTTCTATGATCATGACGACCGCAGCCGGAGCGACGATTGTGTTCGATTTCCTCACCATTGCCCCGAACATACTCGGCTTCGCTTCGACATACACCCGCGACAATGCCAACATACCTGATTCTGGCGAGGGCTCGTACATGAGCGGTACTCAGAGGGCCAGCGCGCTTAATGGTATCATGGTCAGGGTTGGCGATGTGAAAGCCCGTGAGGCTGTTGGACATATCTCTTTGACTACGGACTTGAGAAACCCCACAGCCCTGCGCAAGGATAGGCAGTACGACTAGACTAATGCAGTCTCTTGGCCTTTATGTTGGAAGGATTGGATTTGGAAAGGCGATTGCTTTCACAGTTTGATTAGGAGAAAATATACATTTGGTTGGGAGCCCATTGTCCAAAGAGCGGAATTTTGACAAAGAACACCTTCACCCATAGGTTTCTAATGAAATGAAATGTTTGCCATAAATGGATTTGTAGTCTATTCTTTCTGATGTAAGGCTATCTGCGCCGCTCCAGCTGATCAAGGTGATTGTGTTTGAAACGCAAAAAAATATGCTGATCGCCAACGAGCCTCCGTCCAACAATTAATACAGCAGACACAAGCCGCCCGAACAATGCTCATTCCTGACAGCATCCAAAGCGTTCCTTTGTAGATAATCTACGCAAACCAACACGCCCAAATGCTAGCCCGCCCAATCAAACAGCTCCATGCACGATCCTCGCCGCGGCCTCGATCTCGCCCTCCACGAGCTCCAGCACCTGCCGCACCGACAAGACACAGCCCGCGTCCTCTCCTTCCTCCCGCGGCGCCAGCTGCCGGTGCCAGCTGACCAGGATGACGAGCATCTTGAACACCTCCTCCACGAGCCACGGCATGGTGCCTTCCAATGATCTCTCGTCACCAGCACCGACGTCGGCGCCGTCAGAACCTCCGCGCGTGCGCTCAACCTCCTCCAGCACCTGCAAGAAGTATCCCGCGTTGGTCAGCTCGTCCCGGCCGTCGCGCGTGTCATGAACGACGCTGGCGACCATCTTGCGGAGAAGCTTGCCCTTTTCCTTCTTGTCCATCTTCTTCTTCTCCTGCGTCTCCTGCTCCTCCTCGTTCAGAGATGGCTTCGCAGCCTCGCTGAACTTTCCGCTACGAGCGTCGGCGAAGAGCGGGCGCAGCAGGAGACGCGGGGCGACGGAGGGAAGGCGGAGACGGGCGTGGGTGGCGCCGAAGTCAGGGTTGCGGGCCAGGAGCTGGTCGAGGATGTGCGGCGCCGAGAGGGGGCGGGGACGCTGTGGGGTAAGTGTAGTTGAAGAAGGAGTAGAGGTGGTGGCCGGCTGGGTGGGGTTGTCGGAGGGAGTGGGCTTGTCTTTCGTGGTGGTGGTGTTGGCATCGGCGACGACGTCGTCTTCTTCGAGGGCGAAACGTACGCTCTTCTTCGTCTCATTGATCTCTTTCTTGCTGTTGGCGCTGCCTTGGGGCGATGCGGAGGGAGCGCGGACGCTACGAATGGGAATGGCGGCCATGATGGCGGCTTCGCGACGGGCGGCGGAGCGGGTGCAGACGTTGAGGTTGTTGCTGCTCAGGGTTGGAACGGGTGTAGGTGGCTCGCATAACGCGTTGTGAATGCGCTGGCCGTGGGCGCTCTGGAGAGAGGTGTTAACGACATTTTATGCTTCTTCTGAGGTGTTTGTTTTGTAACAAGACACAGGCGGGCGACTTTGTTCGAGGATAATGCGGGTTTGTGGAGTCGACGAAGCAATGTATGGATTGGTACTTACCCGCGCCGCGTTCTTAGGCGTGCGCTTCGGCTTCTTGCTCGAGGCTGTTGCGTCCATCTTCTTGCTCTGAGAATTCAGCTTGTGCGGCTTTAGAAGCGCTACGAGGACATACCATTGTGGCTTCACGGTGGTGGGCTTAGGGCTGTGAACTCGGCGAACAGTTCGGAGTTGACGCAGGATCGGGACGTGTTAACACATAAGAAGCAATTGAGTCAATTGCCCTAAAGGGTTAATCGCGCATAGCCATGCAATCCGGGTTGCGGAGAAACTGTGCGGGCGGTGCCAGTGCAGTGATTGCAGCGCCCGATTGAGGTCGTGAATGGGGCATTCCAGCCAATCAGAACGGCCAGAGCCTACGCATTCACTTCACAGTCTATAAACAATGCGTACGGGCTGCAGGTGCCTGCTCGCTTAATCTGCCCTGGTGATATTGTATTCACGTCCGAGGGCGGTCCTTAAAAGTCCTCCCATCCAGCGCCTCCGAACACTTTACTCCTCGCCCCGACGAACTTGGTACGTCCCCCACTGAACAGATACACCAGAAAGCATACTCCCGCCCCCCGAGACGAATCGAGATCATCGCCTACACGCATACTCGCATCATCAGCATCATCTGACGTTGGTGCACAGCATCTTGAACCAATCCTCATCCAACTCTCCAAACCCTCCATACACAACTACGCACCACCACCTGATAATCATGCCTTCCAACGCCATCATGGACAAGGCCAAGGGCGTCATCCGCGAGAAGGGAAAGCGGGTCTTCATGGACAAGTTCATCGACCGCCACCGCGCCGCCAACCGCAGCGCCAACCGCCAAATGCAGATGGCCATGCAGCGCCAGGTCGTCGTCAACCAAAACGATCCCACCACCGTAAGTCGTCCCCTCTCTCGTCCTCTCTCTGCTTCCCATCCCTTCCCCCTACTAACATCCAACCTTCCCCTCCTCCAGGACCCCGACCGCATCATCCCCGCCGCCCGCCGCGCCGAGGCGGCCGCAAACCTCGAGCTCTTCGGCGCCGATCACGCCAGCGATAACCGCACCACCGACCCCAACAGCGCCAAGGGCCTGCGCCTGCGCTCCGCCGCCCTCGTCCCCGGCTCGTCGGCCGCCGCGCCGCCCGTCCGCGCCCGCAACCCGACGGCCCTGGTCTCGGCGGCGGACCTGGAGGCGCTGCTGGGCGAGAACAAGGAGGCGCTTGATGCCGCGAACATCAAGCCGCAGAAGGGCGGTCGTCGCCAGGGCGGTGCTGGCAAGAACACCAACAAGGAGCGTGCTGGTGGTCGCGGAAAGAAGGAGAAGCAGGAGGAGGACAGCGACCTGCCCTCCTTCGCGTCGTCGGCCTACCCCGGCGCGCCGACTGACGGCAGCATCATCCCGCGCGGCCTGATGCACGTCAACCGCGGCTTCTGGCCGAAGGCGGTGCGCGAGCGCGTCGAGCGGGCTGAGGCGGCGGAGGCCGAGGCGCTCCGCTCGAGTCAGGAGGAGAGGCGCAAGGCTGGTGCCGTTGAGAGGCGCAAGGAGCGGGAGAGGAAGAGGGAGAGGGAGGTGGAGAAGCTCCGGAAGCGCGAGCTGAGGGAGAGGAAGATTAGGGAGGAGAGGGAGAGGAGGGCGAGGGAGAAGAAGGAGAGGGAGGAGAGGGAGAAGGCCAAGGGCAAGGCGACTCCCTCTTCTGGCGGCGCGAAGAAGAGGAAGGCGGACGCCGTGGAGAACGACTCGGATGAGGATGAGGACCCCGTCGTGGTCCCGATGAGGAAGTTCAGGCGCCTGACGAAGCCTAGGAAGGAGTAGATGGGGACTGTGCAAAAGGCGGGGAAGCGCGGAGGATATTGCTTGGCTTTTCGATGGTTCTGGTCCCTTGGGACTCAAAAATACCGGTGTGGTGGTTTTCTTATTCTGGGCTACTCTGATGAAAGGTCATGATTCTGGATGGTGTTGAGGCGAGGGAGGGTTGCTTTCTTCCTGCTTGGGCTTTCGATACCCTTCGCCCTTGAGGCGCAAAAATGCTGGTGTGATAGCTCTCTTTTTCTGGACTACTTTGCTGAAGTTACGATTCTGGTACGGTGTTGAGGTGAAGGAGGACACCTTTTTTTTTTTTTTTTGCCTGGGTTCAAATGGCCTTATTCTTTGGGAACTAAGATGTTAGTGCTTCTTTTCTTACTCTTGGCTTTTTCGATCAAAAGTTCCGGTTCCGGATGGTGTTGAGGTGAGGGAGGGTCGGCGGTTCGGCTGGTGTTTCTTCCGCCACACGCCCGGAGGATTGCTGGCCCAGCAGCTAGTTCAGTAGCAGCCAAGACATGAATTTTACCGTCGTAGAGCAGCTTATGGTGATATTTGCAATATGAAGAGCATGAGCCTCTCTAGCTTGCTGTTGGATTAAGCTTTGCATTGTTCAAGGATAAGGTTGTTGGGTTGCATCACGTGCTCACGCGCCAACCCGATTCGCGTCTCGCCGACCCGTTGTTTTCTGCCCGCCATCCCACGACACGTTACCGCTAACCCCATGGATGCCTTGCTCAGCGGCCTCAATGACGCGCAAAGGAGTGCAGTCTCAAGCCCGGCGACCGTACTCCAGGTTCTCGCGCCTCCCGGCTCTGGCAAAACCAAAACCCTCACTGCACGCGTCGCATACCTTACTTCATGTTGCGGATTCAAGCCATGGAACATCATCGTGTGCACCTTCACCATCAAAGCCGCCCGTGAGATGAAAGAGCGCATCCGCGGCTTGGTTGGCCATGGTGTCGAGGCGAAGCTCATTCTTGGCACTTTCCACTCGGTCGCTCGCCGCTTTCTCTGTTTCTATGGCCACCATATCGGCATCGAAAAGAATTTTGGTATCGCCGATACTTCTGATACCAATGCCATAATCAAGCGTATCATCAAGCGTCGCGGCTACACCACCGAACCTTCTGTTGCCCGCTCACGAATATCCGGACTCAAGGCCCGGAGCATCTGCTGCGATGAATACGCCGCCACCCAGAAACATGCAGAACAGCAAGAATTCGCTGCCATATACTCCGAGTATGAAGAAACCTTGAAATCCTCCAATCTTCTGGACTACGATGACTTGCTGCTGCGTTGTGCCGACCTCCTACGAAAACGCCCCGAATGCGTGTCCAACATTCAAGCCGTGCTTATCGACGAATTTCAGGACACGAACCACGTACAGTATGAGCTCATGCGCCTCATGGCTCAGTATCAGAAGACCATCACCATTGTCGGCGACCCAGACCAGAGCATCTATGGCTTTCGATCCGCCGAGATCAAAAACCTGAAGACCATGCAGAAAGACTACCCGGAGACGGTGGTATCAATCTTGCAGGAGAACTACAGGTCCGGAGGTGCCATCCTCCAATCCGCACAGCAAGTCATTGAGCAAGATGAAAGTCGACCGGCAAAGGCGCTGTTTGCGACACACTGCATTGGTGAACTCCCTGTATTGCGCCGCTTACCCACCGCAGGAATTGAAGCGTCCTGGATCGTTACCGAGATCCAACGCTCTCAAGCACTGACAGGCAGACTTCTTAATTATTCCGACTACGCCATTCTGCTTCGCTCTGCTGCCCTGTCCCGCCACATTGAAACTGCACTAGGCAAAGCAGGCATTCCGTATCGCATGGTAGGTGGTCTGCGTTTCTTTGACCGCATTGAAGTCAAGCTTCTCCTGGACTATCTTCGCGTCATCAACCGTCCTGATCACAATGATGCTCTTGCTCGTATTATCAACACTCCTACCCGACGAATCGGCGAGGCGACTGTCCGGAACTTACTGGAGGAAGCAGAAGAGAGGAAAGTCTCCCTCTGGAATGTCATTCTTGGTGCAGCCCAGGGAAACAGGAGACCCAAGACTAAACTCAGCACTCCAGCTGAGAAAGGCATAGCGGAATTTGTGAACATCATCCTGACCTCACAAAAGAAGATGAAAACTTCGGAACCGGCCGGATGCACTCTCTTAGATCTCATCTCGTACGTCATGAAGAAGCTGTCGTTCCAGGAGTACCTTCAGAAATCTCATCCCGAGGATTTTGATGGAAGGTGGGCCAACGTCCAAGAGCTGATCGCTCAAGCTACGGATGCTTCAGTAGCTGAAGAGGAAGATGAGGCACTGAACGAGGATGCTTTACCGATAGTTGAAGGTGTCGAGCAACGCGAACTATCAAGCGCCGAGGACGAGCTTGCTCGATTTTTGGCAAATGTCGCGCTATCCACCGAAGTCCAACAGGAGGAAGGTGCGGTCACCGAGCAGGTCACGATATCAACCATACATGCGGCAAAGGGCCTTGAATGGCCTGTCGTTTTCATTCCAGCTGCGTACGAGGGATCAATACCGCATTCAAGAGCCGAAGACCACGACGAGGAGAGGCGACTGCTTTACGTGGGTATGACCAGAGCGCAATCGCTTCTATACCTAAGCTGCCCCGTCAAAAACTCACAAAAGGAGAACACGAAACTGTCACCATTCGTGTCCGACCCCAAGATGGACAACTTCTTCATCAAGCAAGGCCCAAAGTTCAGATACACTCTCACACAGGACCTTGCTCGGATTCTGCGCAGAGATTGCCCCCCTGAGCCGGAATGCAGAAAGGGCCGTGAGCTCGTCGAGCGCATCGAGGACGATTACTGGCCGCTCGACGGCGAGGATGTGGACCCGGAAACCAAGTCCTGGGATTTCTTCAACCGAGCCACGTCCGACGAACAGCCCAGCTCCAAGCGCCGGCGCCCGAACGACTACGTGCCCGTATCCCTGACCGGAAACAATATTTCTGTAACAATGGACCGAGCCTCGTCATTTTCAATATCGAACACCACGGTACCCTCCGCGTCGTCGTCGGCGGCCGGATTCATGAGCGCCGGTGCACGGATGCGCGAGATCGAGGATGAAGCCCAAGCGCTGCAGCGCGCGGAGAAATTGCTCGCTCGAGAACACGCCAGGGCCCAGGCCCGGGACGACGACGAGGGACGAGCGCGCGAGCAGCAGAGGCACCTCGATGTGATCAAAGGCGGTAAGACAGGGTCGAAATCACTATTACCTCCCGGCCAGGGAAGCATCACGAGCTTCTTCGGCAGACCGGCGGCCGGCAGGAAGCCCGAAGCCTTGCCGGACGAGCAGGTGCGCGACGCGATAAGCTTCGTGCGTGAGAAGAAGCTCAACAAGAGCGCGACAGCCGCAGCCGCCAAGTCGACGCCATATGCAAGCCGCCCGCCGCATCCCCCACCGCCACCACGCCGCCAACATAATCAGCCCATCAAACGCAGCCTTACGGCGCCTTCTTCCGCTTTCCAACCGGCTTCCATTTCTCCGCTGGAAGGAGTCCAGAACGCGGACGCACGGCCTGCGCACGCCCCACCACGACCGCCTCCAGCCCTGTCGCGTAGCGCCACGGATCCGAGCGCCTCCTCCGCTGCTGCACCGGGCCCGGGGCACAAGCTGCGCACGGCTCCTGTCCCCGGGCGGCCCGCGCGCAAGCAATACGAGGACGAAGCTCATGAGGCGTTGCCGTTGTACGAGCCACCACCGGAGAAGGTGCTGCGGCAGCGGCGGCGGCCGTATTCTTTCATGTCGAGCTCGCCGCCGCCGCCTGTGCCGGATGAGGATGATGGGGGAAAGGGGGTTGATGGGTGGCCGGGGGAGGACGGCAATGGATGTGGGGACGACGATGGTGATGGTGCTGCTGATCCCTCTGCGGGGTTGGTGGATGATGTTGTGCCGGCGGCGACGATGCATAACACGTCAATGGCCAAGCTGACCGCCGGCAGCGGATCTTCCGCGTCTGCTGGGAGGAAGACGTTGGGGATGAGGAGGAGCGTGCAGGGGTGGGGTGCTGGCGGTGTGAATAAACCGTTCACGGCGCCGGCGAGGAGGAAGATGTGAGTGAGGAGGGGTTGTGTTCCTGTGGTTGGGGAGTTCAATGGCTTTTTTGGCGTTGGTAGATATCCGTACTGTGGCTGTTTGTTTCGCTATTGTTAAGACGCCGAAGGCTTAGAAGATACATTGTAGATTTTCATTTCATAATGATGCTCACACATGTATCATGCATTGAGGGTGGCTACCGTGAGCTTTGGGGGTTTGAAGTCATTGGACAGGCCAGTGCTGGGGACTCGTTCAATGGGTCGCGTGTCTACGAATGCCTGCTACTCAAGAAATCACCTGCACCATTCAAATCAGCCGCATGCCATGAGATCATCGCATTTCGCCAGCTGTGAATCTTAAACCTTTTCCCTATAAAATCAGGCCGCATTTTAGATTTCGAACAATCATCAGAGCATGGAAACACGGAAGCTTATACGAATCCGCTAGGACGCGACTTTGGACGCTTCACTTTTTGGGCCAGTGATGCTGATTGTACAATTTTGTGTTGGTCGTGTTCGCCTAGCCCATGTACTCCGCTGCTGCGGCCGCCGCGTTGGCTCTGGTCATGCGATGAACATAGAAGAGTGCGCGCTGATGCTTTGAAAGATGCTGAGCAACTTCATTTGGACAAGGCTATGATGTTCAGTATGTTAGTAGATTCCAGTCAGCATCAAAGAGCGCAGAGGATGAGGTTTCAATGTATGCATATTGGGTGGCCGGAGGACCGCCCAAAGTTTTGATTGCCGGTTAAATCTTCCACAGGATATCAGTACCGACACACCGCTCAGTCTCTTTGGAGATGGCCCTCTTAAATATTCTTTAATGGTAGTGAAAGCTTTCACGCTGCATGTGCTGTGTCTCCGAGCCATATCATGTGCGCTCTGCACGCCACGAAAAGCGTGAACAGGGGCGGTGCAACTGCCATGGGAACTTTGACGGAGGTGATGCCCTCCCACGACCCCCCGACAAGGTCTGTTGAATTGGCTTCTTCCCTTGATATATAAAGGTGTGCATGGAGTTTCTGTTGCTTTCGAACGCCAACAGCGTGGTCTTCTACTATCCATGGAAAAGGCTAAAAGACTTCTGCGTCACATTCGGACTTAACCTTCACCTTGTCTTTGCTGGTGTCTTTTTTCTTTCTTTTTGTGCAATCTGTTGGATGATTGTATCTTTGATTCACGGCCTTCACAGTTGAAACGCGGCGAGTATGATGGATAATCAAAACATTGGATTGCTGTTGAATAGCAGCATTTACCTTCTACGGTGATGATATGCTGAGATATATGATGACGGTGCTTAGTGTGCAAGCATTTGTGCAGCATCGGAAGATTGAACTCGCAAACTAGTGCGATTCATGAAAGCAAAGACCCGAACAACAAAGTGAAAGCCAAGGTTAACTCCATCTAAGTTCCTTGATTCTCTCCAATGGAAATGAGAGAAAGGTGCCCCAATTGCACGGAGCAAGAGGAATAACTTTCAAAATCCAAGCCTTTGTACCTCATATCCATACCGGCCTCCCAGAGCGGGCCCAAGTCGCTTCTGGACGCCGCCAAAATCACGCGCCGCGCCTATCAGCACATGATCTACGCATGATATCCCATCCTACTTTTCTGTACAGGACCTCGGCACATGAGCATCATATGCGATCCGTCTGAGCACCTGGAATCTTCGGAATGTGTAAGTATATATACCTCGGTTTAAATTCAACTCTAGGAAGACACGAGAATCTACGGCAACTTGAAGCCAAGATCGTCGAGTTCTCTGGGGTCCCACTGGCTGTTCTTCGTGGTGAACCATTGACTTTGCTCTGAACGGATTGGCTTCCTCCTCGATTGCCGGGTTCAGAAGACTCGAGGACAAGTCTGGCTCATCATTGATACGTTATGGTGACGATTCACACCATCTGACGATGCTGTAGCTCACTATGAAGGATGAAATTCAGTGGTCTTCAGTTAGAGCACTTGGCAACCGTGGCCTCAGGTTGGCCCATTGAAAATGTTGGCTGCAGACGGCCTCTCTCCTTCCCAACACAGTGACAATTTTTGCACTGATTGGTGATTCCTTGCTGCCATCACTAACCCTCAAAGGTGGAGTAGTTAGAACAGTCAAGACAGAGTTTCACAGCAAAAAGGAGCCAATATATAGCACTGATTGCGAAATTTTGATTAATAATTACGCATTAAAAAGAACTTGTCGTGAACCCTTCTTTTTCCCATCACACACACCCGTCATCAAACAAGAGAAAGGACCGCTTCTCGCAAAAAACACTCAAGACCGCGTGTCCATCAATGGCCCTCTTCCATCAAACATCCTCCGAATCCAAAAACCAACAAAGGCAAGGCAGAGAACATTGCAAAAGGAGCATGAAGAACAACCCAATCCCATCGCGTCACGAGCGCAGCGGCCGCATCTCCAACATCATCCCATCATTTCTGATGAATGCATTTAAGGCAGAGCCTGGGGAGCGTAGCTCTGGTCGGGCTTGACGACCTGGCCGGAGACGAGCTGCTTGTCGGTGTAGGCCGGGTAGATGATCTGCTTGCGGTCGGTGACGGCGAGCGTGGTGAAGCCGTTGCCCTCGCCGAACTGGCCGCTCCAGCCCGACGAGATGGTGTAGACGCCGCAGGCGACGCTGTTGTAGTCGGTGCGCGAGGCGGGCTTGCCCGTCACGTCGTAGGCGCACTTCTGCACGGCCGAGCCGTCGTTGCGGTTGACGCCGAACGAGACGTGGCACGAGGTGTCGTCGCCGTTGCAGGTGCGGGTGAAGTCGGTGACGGTCCACTGGGCGGCGACGGCGGTCATGAGCTTGGCCTCGAGGTCGGCGGGGGCGGCCAGGACCGAGGTGGTGGCGGCGAGGAAGCCGAGGACAGCGGTGGTGAACTGCATTTTGGTGGTGGGTGGTGGTTGGGTTGGTTGGTTGGGTTGAGGAGTGGTTGGAATTAGAAGCTGATGCTTTGAATGAGATGATGAGTTGTGATGGTGATGGAGAAGGGGAATTGGAGCTGCGGCAGAGGAGTTTATATATTCAATGGCGGGCTACGGAATGGAGGGAGCTCTGAGCTGGCAGGTCGTATACACATCGACGTCAGAGCAATCGAAGTGGCAACCAGCACGGTAGTCTGTGGAAGCTCGGGTAGAGCGGTGACTGCTAAATTTGGTAACGACATGGTGCGGAGAAGGGAGCAGGGAGCAGAATACGGAGCATTCGGTGGGAAATCACATGAGGCCCCGGTGTAGAGAAGGTCTCGCTGGCGGTCGGCTCGTACTGGATGGTCTGTTCGCGGTGATGTGGGTGGTGCAAGAGCCAGGCGGCAGCTCGTATTGCCGACCGCGCTACTTCGGCGCGCCGTTTTGCTTAGAACAGCGCAGTGGTGGAGAGCTCGTGTTCACGGCGAGAGCTCGGTGTCACCTTACCGTCGCATCCACCCTGGCTAAATTTAAGTAAACAGGACGTCAAAAGGAGGCGGGACGGCTAGGGCGGAGCTCGCTACGACTGCCCGACCCGGCATGCACTACGCCTGTACCGGCAGTCCACCTGCCATTAAGTCGGCCTATAGGGGCCACCTGACTTACCGCTGCCATCACCCCGCACTTCACCAGTCCATCAGGCAATGCATCCGGCTGTGCCGTTCTAGAGCACACCACCTCGCATCGGCCATGCAGAGAACCCACCATTATCCGGCTTGGGATCCTTGGAAAAAACCGACCTGCAGGGCGCCTTGTGCTCGCTCGAACAAACAACGTGGCGTCACGCTAGCGCGGTGCGACTAAGTCAGCCTCTCTTTATATTCATGTTGGCCTTTGTACCGCAGCCTCTCACCCAGCTGGTAAGGCAAGGCATTGCAAATATTTTTGCAGCTGACGTTTGCTGCTGCTGCGCTGCGACTCTGGGGTAGGACCTGTCGATCATTCCGCTCAGCGCGGCTGATGTGCGCGCGTTTGTGAGAACAAAGTCGATCGACTGTAGGATCGGCGCGTGCTGTAGATCGTTACCTGCAACCGTTCCTGTGCCTGCAGCCCCGAGATCCTGCAGGTCAGCTGCGCATGAATGATCGAAGCACTTCGTGATCGCATACAACCCAGATGAATTCCATATTTTTTATTTCCAGCCTTTGCACATGGCCCGCCTTTTTACATCCAAGACATTTGCATTTCCATCTTACAACCTCTTGATGATGTCCTCAACCACCTCGTCCGTCTTGGCCTTGCCGCCCATGTCGGGGCTCAGCAGCTTGCCCTCCTCGAGGTTCGCATCGACGGCCTTGTAGATCTTGGCAGCAGCCTCCTCGGCGCCGAGGAACTCGAGCATGAGCGCAGTGCTGCGGATGGTAGCAATGGGGTTGGCGATGTTCTGGCCCTCAATGTCAGGCGCAGAACCGTGGCACGGCTCACCGATGACGAAGCCCTTGCCGACGTTGGCAGAGGGGACGAGACCCAGGCTGCCGACCAGGGCGGCAGCGCCGTCGGAGAGAATGTCGCCGTACAGGTTGGGGGCGACGATGACGTCGTAGTCCTGGGGCTGGCGGAAGAGCTTGTACACCATGCTGTCGACAATCTGCTCCTCGACGTTGACGGTGCCGGCGTACTTGGACTGCGCGAGGGCCTTGCGGGCCGTCTCGCGGAACAGACCGTCGGTCTGCGAAAGCACGTTGGACTTGTGGGTGATGGTGACGAGCGGCTTCTTGTGGATGCTGGCAATGCCCGAGTCGCGCACGCGCTGGCGGCGCAGGGCGATGTCGCCGGCCATCTCGGAGATGTTGAACGAGGCCTTCTCCGAGATGCGCTTGATGGCCTCGGCCACCTTGCCATCGGCCGAGTCGTACGTCTTCTCCTCCTTGACGTACAGGTCCTCGGTGTTCTCACGCACGATGACGAGGTCGACGGGCGACTGCGAGTTGGCGACCGACTTGACCGGGCGCACGTTGGCGTACAGGGCGAGCCTCTTGCGCAGGGCAACAATGGGCGACGAGTAGCCGGCCGTCTTGACGGTCGGGGAGCTGTGCTCGCGTCAGCTCCATCCGCGCTGGTTCCGTTGTTGGCTTACCTGACGGCGCCGAACAGGGCACCCTCGCACTCCTTCTGCAGCGTCTCGACCGTCTTGTCGGGCAGGGCAGCGCCCGTGTCCTTGAACGTCTGGAAGCCGGCGTTCAGGTCGACGAAGGAGAACTTGAGGCCCAGCGAGGCGGGCAGGGCCTCGAGGACGCGGCGGCCGGCGGGGATGACCTGGGCTGCGTCAGAGCTCGTTCGCAGTCTGACAGAGGGCGGAGCTCACCTCACGGCCAATGCCGTCGCCGGGAATCAGACCTGGCCGCGAGTTAGCCGGAGAAGCAATTGCTGATGCTGCCTGGCTGCATACCAATCCTCAGAGCTCGGGTAGCTGCCATTGTGTGCGGGCGGGGTGCGGAACGCTGAGCTGGTGTCGCGCGTTCGACTGTTTTTTCTGGGGAAGCTCGGGCGCCCGCCCGCCGAGATCGGAGTCGGCCCGCCTGGCCTGACTATAAGACGAGCAACAGCACACTGATGACTCTTCTACAACATCTAGGGACACCCTCGAATGAGTAATGTTAAAGTCCTCCGACACTCACTCGTTTCCTTTTGCGCTTGGCTTATGTTACCGCATTTATCCCCCAGACGGTATTCAATTTTCAACAGCGTGATTGAATGATGAAGCGCATCTTGTCTTGGTCGAGAACTTCAGCAGCGTTGGCATGATAAAACCGAAAAGAAAGAGGATCGAATTCCACTCAATTCGTTGAGCATCGTCATTTTCAACCGGGCTCGGTATCCATTATTTCGTCTTAATGATGAGCCGAACGAATCCCTATCTTCCAACACGTCGATCAAGGAGGGAGCAGACCGCCGGAGTGGGGATTCCATATCCTGTAGTCCGAGACCTGCTATTTTTCTGAGACTCCTGAGCTGCGCTCATCCTAGAATTTAGACTTGAGGTATATATATGCGTGCGATCAAAGTGCATGTTGCATGGCACATGCGCTGATGAGAAGTCATGGCAGTGGTGACGTGCACAGTAGTCTCGGGTGACAGGCAAAGCGGATGGCAGTATGAGGTATAAAGCTTGAGTGCTTGTGAACCTTTAGGACTAATTAATCAGGGTAAACATTTGTTCCATTCATATATCCTACACACAATGGTTCACAAAACTTTTTCCTTTTTCTTTTCCTTTCATTTTCTGGAGTCTGCCGTTGGCGCCGATGAGATCTACTATAAACGTAAGAAAATCATCATCTTTTCCTGCTCGTTTCCTCCACCACCATGGGTTAATACCGTTTCCTAGCAAATAAACACAGTGCTGGAGAGCCAAACATCCCCTTCACCTCTCAATACTGCTATACTGGTTCCTTTTAACTCGGATCTGAGAAAAGAAAACAAAGCTTGATATTGAATGGTTGTTGTTCATCGTCCACGGTACATCTCAAAACGCTAGTTATTAACCCAGTACATACGTCTGCTCATGGTTGTCCTTCCAGTAGTCCTCTAGCAGCTTTCTCGGATGAAAGTATCCTTCCAGTCTACAAATTGATGCTCCATCAAGATCTCAACCTTCTCAACAGATGTCTGATGACCACCTGCCCGTCGCCTTCATCTCCCGCAGTCTCCACATCCCTCAGCGGGAGATATCTTCCTGTCTTCCTACAATATCTTCTCAAATCGGACACGGTCTGGAACACTTTCACTCTTTCACCTTCATCTGAATCCGTCCGCGACCACTGAATCAAGTCCACAAGATTGACATGCTTCCCCCGCAACGCGACCTGACACTCACTACACTTCTGGGGTAGCGGTACAATCCCAACGGCGCGGCACAAAGCATGCCAGTTGGCGATATCGCTCTCACCGCCGAACCAGACTTGTAGCTCTTCTCGCAGGGCTGAGAAGTATTTTGCCCGTGCATAATCGCAGTTCCAGTCTCCCTTCTTCTTCCATCCACAGTGCACGCGCAGTGCGGTAAAGGAATCAGATGGGACCTTCGTTCGGTCGTATTGGAATCCTTTCTCCACCTCGTAGGTCCGGAAGAAATCGTCGAGGGGTGTAGATTTTGGAGGTTCGCTCGGATTATGCTTGCCGTGGATGTGGTCTGCGAGCCCGGAGGCACTTTCAAAAGACCGGGAGCATTGAGTGCAAGCGTAAGATCTGGGACTACCCTTAGACTGTTGGAACAGCTTCCGGTAGGTGCAGAAACCCTTCCGCTTGAAAGCGACCTGAGTCACTTTACTCGTATGCCATCCGTTCTGGGCGCCTACCAAAATTTGAATGTTAGCGTTGACAGAATAGAAAATATCCAAGGCATCAGATATAGAGTCAGAAGCCGATACTTACCGAAGAAAGCACTACATGAGCAATATATATCAGCAAGACTTGCTAAATAAGTGGAGAACTGAAGACACCATCTCCAATAGTACGCTAAGCCATAGAGCAAATGAAATACCTTTTCCCGACAGGTGTAGAACGATCAAGCAATGTGTGGCAACTTTTTCGCTGAGCGAATCTCGTGCTGTCTCCTCGCGCATCGTGAAATAGACTGTGATCCAGTATTTTGTGGGCAAGGCCATTGCGTGCGATAGGCCATCGCGTTCGAGCTTGGGACAAGATATTGATCGATTTCAGTAGCATATCGTCGGCCTGCTCTCAGTTCAGGATTTTTGAAAGTAAGAATGTGGATGGGCTAGCAATTCTCTGGGGGTAGTGGGTTTTTTAACTCTTAGAAGGGAGGGGTAGCTGTCCGATGGGTAATGAGCTTTCTTTGCACAGTGGTATCATTTGCGTCACGCCGCCCGCTTCCACAGCAGATGGCTGCAAGTTCATGGTACTCCAGGCCAGATTTTGGTTGATTTCCCATCCAAACGCTCTTTGATAATGCACGTAGCTGCGCGGAATCCTTTCCCATATGCCTAAATGGTAAGCTAAACTGAAAGTGAAGGGGAACGGGATATGTCGCATGTTTCTGAAACAGCGCTAATGCGAGTACGTAGTACGTACTCTAAATGATCTCCCAAATGCTGCTTAAAGTAGATGTACGACTCTGAGGGATTCTCTGTACTACTCAATTAGTGTCGTAACAGGTCCCAACAATTCAAAATTAAGCGCTCCGCCGACCGCCGTCAAAGGTTATCTATTCCGACACCATGGGTCGGAATAGACTAGACAGCTTCCGCTGGATGGGAAATGTCAATCCATAAAGTGACACGGCATCACGGTGCAAGATAACCCACCCTTGCCTCAAGCGCCGCTGGAAAAATTTGCCACACGTTGTTGCATCTGCAATAGTATGCGTAAGTGAGATTTGGGGAGGCGCACGTACTCAACGACTTGGGCTTCGGTATTCCAGAGAAAGCAAGCTTGGCTTTGAGAAAAGATGCATACGCCGGTAGATTGTTTGCAACAAAGGTACTCGATTTCTTATCACTAGAGCTTTCAATGGCAATAATCCATGGGTTGACACATCCTGAACTTGGCGACCATTGTCATGAACGCGACCGCGTTCTTCGCCCGCCTTACAACGCTTAAGCTCTTTGAATTGACAGGAAGCTAAGACTTATGCGCATCTTTAACCGGTGGTTGCAAGCCGTGGTGAGTCTCGAAAGACTACGAGTTTAACTGATTGGGCCTGGGGCATCAGCTGGTATAGGACCCGCGGAAGCATGGCAGAGCTACTCGCGTGATGTTCTAGTTCTGCAAGCGAAGGCACGTTCGGTCATGGGACATGTTTCAAAAAATGTTCACTGAGCTACTATATATGGTGCACTTTTTTTTTCTTAGCTATTCTTGGTCCGTGACGAATGTGAGGTCCGGGCATGCAGCAAGGTGGAGAAAATCCTACTCGTGGTTGAGCTGCTCTCAATTCATTAAGTAGCATCTACCGCACTATCAAGTCTAGTTCCCATGCTAACAGTAGTTGTTCAGTATCCGCCTGAGAATAATCGTATATGGTTACCGTCGAGCATTACTGAAGAATGCCGCCGTCCATCACGAGGGTGATGATCAGATGATCTATGCCCAACGGAAACATGCCTGTGTTCTCGAAAACAGTCAGAGCTAAGAACGCGAGTCGAACATTCCTGTAGCCGTGCTGTTGTAGAACAAGGCTATTTGGCGCTATGCTTTGGGAGAAGCAATGCCGGGATGCTTAAGCACTCTAATATAGAACTGAAGCAGTTGAGCTGAGCGATTCTTGTGACCAGCGTGCTGATTTCCAGATCACGTTGACGATATCTCAGCGAGGTTCGACAACAAGTGACTGACATTACAATTCTCCTACGCATGTGATCGGAGGCCATCCACAAGTCCCCTGCCAGCTTAAAAGAAGCAAATCCAACCACAGGTTTAGAGAGTGGATATATCTCATCTACAGACAAAGAAACAGACGCATCGTCGATTCCACTCTTCCCTTCTGTCAGCCGTCTCCCCACGAGTTCTCGTTCCCAACTCGACCTGCTCACTGAGACTCACTTCTTCAGCGTCATCGTCTTATGCACCTCGCAATATCTCCCCGGAAGTGCCATCCTTTATCATAATCACCAAATGCCGCAGGGCTCACTCAATCTCGCGGAGCTGGCAGCCAGTGCGCTGTAAGCGGAGGCGAGTAGAGAGGAGAAATAACAAGAGATTATGCTTGCCGAAGGGGGGCACCCGCGCAAAAGAAGTGGCATATTGGAAAATCGGTTGGTAATGTGGCTTGCACGTTCGGTTGTTTATCCACGGAGAACGTTCGTTGCTGATTCTTTATATATACGGGGATTTTGCTCAAGCCGCCAGTCTGGTGAGCCGTGACAGATGCAAAGCACGAGCTCGTCATAGAGAACTCTGCGCGTGATGTCAGATACTCGTGTAGGGGCAACCCCCCACGAGTCTAATAGCAGAGAGGACGTCATGTGCATGAAATGAGCCCGGAAAACATCATATGTACAATCTGTAGTTGAAATGCATGTGAATACCGCAAGTGGCACTGAGAAAATTATGCAGTGGCTGGCCATCGCGACCCTTCACATTGAGATATCTTTCGGCTCAGAGAGTAACTAACCGAATATGTACGCCATACCAAAAACATTATGACTTGCGAAATGCGTGGCACATAAAGCAACACCTGAATCATGAAGACTTTTGGTGGAGCAATGAAAGTGCGCTCTGTCTGCAAAGGAAAAAAACAAAATATGAAAATTAGAGGAGTAGCGCATTTCGCAGGAAAGAAAAATTCTTTGAGGCTCTCTACTGTTTATTTCTCAAACCATCTACGCCTCAAAGCCCCCAAAACTCTCTCAAGAGTTCAGGAGCGCGTCGAGATCAACTCTTTGATAGAACGAAATGTGTCCGAACGGAACCCAGTACTGCGCCAGGCGATCATGCGAAATCATGATCAGTTGTGAAGCAATGAACTCATCTGGAAACGAAACGTCAGTCCTGCGCCTACCTCAGGCATAAACGGCCAAGAAAGTGGAGTGACTCACCATCCCGATAGCCCCTAGCAGCAATATGCCCGACACTCTTCACCACCCTCGCACCCCTGAAGATCTCCTCTTCCGCCGTCCTCACGAACCCATCAGGCCCGATATCCGGAGCGATGAACGTGTACTCCCCCCTCGGAATGTTCGGATCGCCCGTCAGCTTCACCGCCTCTATCCTGCCCGAAAACACCTCTTCTCTCTGCCTCTTCTCCCGTATTTTCTCCTCGTCCTCCTGCTGCTGATCACCATCTAAGACGGTCACGGTGCTGGCCTCCAAGCTCTCCGCCGCGGACCCCAAGTCAACGAACTCGTCGGCGTCGTCATCGTCGCTGGTCTGCAAGTGGCTCTGAACACTGGCCCAGCTGGCTATCGACGAGGAAGACGAAGAGGCAGTGCTAGCGTTGCTATCGCGGCGCGCCAACGCGCGGACAGCACCCTCGGGCAGCGGGCCAGGGTCCTCGGGCTGGAGCACGAGGAGGAACTCGCAGCCGTGGCCGGCGTAGTCGCCGCACCAGATGCCGCGCCAGGGCTTCTTCGGGGTGGGCTTGTACAGGCGCGGGTCCAGGGACGCGAAGGTCGTCACGTCCTCGCCGACGCGGGCCGTGGTGAAGCCGCCGGCGCCGTTCTGCAGCGGGTGCGGGTGCGAGAACTCCATCCACTTGCGCAGCCGCCAGGTGGTGTCGCTGAGCTCGGCAAGGCGCGACGGCTTGTGGCCGGTGCCGCGGAAGCGGGTGACGCTTTCGTTCCGCGTGCGCTCCGGGGCGGGAATGGTCAGCGGCGGCCACACCTTGCTGCCGCGCGAGACGATGTCGTACGGCACGGGTCGAGCCAGCATGAACAACGAGAAGAGGCCGTGGCCGGCGGCATCGTTGTGGACTTCCATGGCAAGCTCGCGTTGCAGTAGGTTGCCCTCGTCGGGGGGTTGGCTGTAGGCTGCGCGGTTTAGCTTGAGGACTGTCGTGGTGCGGTCGAGTTGGACTTTGGGCGAGAATGTGTGGATGATGACTTCTGGGTTGTGCTCCCATAGCTCGAAGGTGTTTGGTAGGCGCTCAGCAACGATCGAGTGGGCTTCTATGCAGTCTTCAATGGGGTTGTAGCGGGCAAGCACGAGCTTTCCAGTGTGCGGAGTATCGGCAAACCATAGCTTCCGGCGCGGCAAAAACCAGTAGGGGTGATGGGTTTCGAAGAGGTGCCGCCATGAAGGCGGTGGATTAGCATCAAAGTTGACGGAATGAGTGTTGGAGAGGACGATTGGCTTCCAGAGCCGTTCATCGCTGGCGTGGTTGCATAGCAGACGGCAAGTATGAGAGACTCGGCATAGATCAGGTGGTGATAATGATGAAAGGATTTGCTGGATGAGCTCGGCGGGTAGGGCGAGGAGAGGTGAGCAGGGAAGGTTGGGAATGTCCATGCTCGAGCTTGTTGGCGATAGGCCTGGATCGACAGCGCTTGGCCTTTATACGGGAGGAGGATATGGCCAGAGTGGACTGTGCCTCAGTCTTGCTGCAGTGCGGGGTTTGCGAGCTGCAGGACGCCCTTGCTGCCCAGGTGCGTGAATAAACAAGCCCGATGGCAGCAGGGAGCCAGATATATCCGGTCTTTTTACTCGTCGATACCGAATGCAGGGTTGATGATCAATAAAGGAGCAGAAATATGACAGAAGGCGAGCAATAGCAGCAATATGGGGTTGAATCGGTGGAACTTCACGGATGGTCAAGAGAGCCGATGGTGTGGGAAGCACAGCAGAGAAGCCGGTATGGTGGCGCAGGCGTCGATGCCTAGCTTGGTCGAGAGTGGCGGTAGTGCCGGCAAGAGCCTCGCAGGCCGATGATATTACTATTCAGACGTGTGGTAGTGTTCGGGAGCGGGCCGAAGTTAGGAAAGGAAGGTGGCACCGAGTAGTGCTTCTGGGGCGATAGACTCGATGACGGTTTGTCCTTGTGGTTGGAGGGAAATGAAGCTTGGCCCTGGCTTCGGGACGGCTGGAGATGGCGCGATGCCGGTCGGGTCAGGTCGTGAAACACGCGGCGTGGTGCGCGGTAGCGACAACGGAGCGGACGAGGAGGATGGCGATAGTGGTGCAGAGCGCGATTGGAACGGAACAGGTTGGGGCACGTGAGGGCGTTGAACGGCCCAAGGTGGTGGTTGCGGAGACGCGGCCGTCGATGATGGCATGATGAAACCGGCTGGTCTTTGCCCTCCGCCCTAGCCAACGGCGCCCGGCTGACCCAGACAACTGACGTGCCTAGCCGTACCGTCGCGCCCGCACATCTAGCACATGCGTTCAATCACGAAGGTTTGGACACGCGAGAATCGCCATGTGGTGGGGCTGTTTGAGCCAGTTGCCCGATCTGATGGCCGGAGCCATGCCGAGCAAATCGCTCGCCATGCATGCAGCCTCAAGCGTTTTAATATATCCCTCGCTTGGTGGTCCCTGAAATAGATCAAGACGCAGTGCTTCTTATTCAGCACCCTCGGCCCGCAAACACCAGGAATGCAGCCTATCAGAATCGTTGGGTTCTCGCGCCCTTGCCGAAGCTCCCTTTCGTCACTGAGGAACGCCTGAATGAACAGATAGGCACAGCTGAGACACGGCTAGCCGGAAGCCGACTAAGTATAGTCAACAGCAAGGCTGGGGGCCGGGCAGCAACAGGTAGAAGCAATCATCTGCTCCTGAATATATAGCTGTCTAGACGATTCCATTCGCCCCAGTATACACAGCTGACGGGATGACTTGCAACGTGGAGGTCCTGGAACGCTCTGGATCGGCAGACTTTCTTCGCCGGCATCGAGCGGTGTGGGCGTCTTGGCCACAATGTTGTCTTTGCTATAGATGCACAGAGCCGTATATGCAGCAGAGTGGGATTGCCAGCAGATTCGGGAGGGGAAAGCTGCAGAGCAGAGGGGTGTTAGTGGGGTTGCGAGTGGCTGAGGCCTATGTCTGGAGAAAAACCTGGCCGCCAGGGGATCCTTGCGCCGCGCCATCAACCCTCGAAAGAGCAACGCGCGCACGGTCGCGGCAACCATCATTCAGACGCGTCGAAGCAGCTCTGCCATCGGCGCTCTGCGGCACACGCGCAGACGAATCCTGCAGTCATCTTTTCCCTCCTTGTCGAGCATTTGCATCCCTCGAGAAGCGCCGCGACAGTTTCGCGTCGCACATGACGCAGGAGGGGGCGTCGACGCGCATGTGTTTCCCAGACGACGGCGCGATACGGAGCGAACAAGAAAACCGGGCTTCGCCATCGCAAGCGCCAGCCACGCCCGCACTTCTAATTTGCCGCTGCCTCACGTCACGACCAGTCTCCCCTTCCCCAGCAGACGAGCCTGCCGCCTAGCAACGACCCCACTCGCCTGGCAAAACATTTTGCGGACGCCGTCCTCCACCTGGCACCTTCGCTCTGCACGGCCTGGACATCCCCAGCCTTGTTATTTACCCCAGAGACACCACAGCCCTGCAAGGTAAACAACATGGCTCGTCCACGGAAGTCTGCTATTGCTGCTGAGCAGCGCAACCCGCCCAGCTCATCGCAGGACGGCCCGCGGGGCACCCGTCGCAAGAGACGTACCAGCACCGACTCCGTCGTCGACGACGATCGCTCCCGCCGCGAGTCGACCCAGCAGTCCGACCTGCCCAGCATCCGCGAGGAGTCGAACGTCGCCTCCGACCCGGAGCAGCAGCGCCCGCGGAAGAAGCGTGTGAAGCGCGTCTCCGTCAGCGACCAAGACCAGCTCGCCCAGGAGCTCCAGGAGGCCGTCGATCACGAGTCTCGCAACACTCCCGCCGAGCCCCAGTCGATCCCCACTGGTCCTCAGCCCCAACCCCAGCACACCCATCGTCGCGTCCGCTTTTCAGACCCCGGCCCGCCCATCGCATCTGCAACACCCACTCACAGATCCACCACCGGCGGCCCCATCACTCCTACCGTCCGTTCTTCCAAGCCTAATCGCCGCGTCTCCCTCCCGGCTACCTTCGGTATCGCATCCCCCGATGGCGGCCTTGTACAATTCACTCCGCTCCGTGCCGTTCTGGAGGACCGGAAGCGGAGGAGGCTTCGTCGTTGGGGTCTCAGCGAGGAGATGAACAGCATCGATGAGCACAAGCGCGAGGATGCCCGTGCACGGCGTGAACTTCAGCGTCTCCGCCAGGAGCTTCGGGACAAGGACAAGAGGGTGAACGACCTCATCTATGAGCTTGAAGTTCAGCGTCAATTTGCCATCGAGGTGCAGGATGCGGACAGGGACAAGGAAAACGCAAAAGTCAGGGCCCTTGAGGATCAGCTGGACAGTTTGAGGAAGGAAGTCGCCGAGCAGAAAGAGCGCCACGAACGTGAACTTGCAACCATCGACGAAGACCCCAACGAGGACGTCGACATGGATATGGGCATGGGCATGGACGGTCCGGCCTCGGACGACGAGGAAAACGATGGCTTCATGCTGATTGAGCCGGAGGACATCAACCTGCAAAAAGAACTTTCTCAACTACCCGACGACCAGAGCGAAGACGCCGATGGTATTGCCGAAGGCACTCAGACCGACGGCGCTTCCGATGTTCCCGATCCCAGCCATGAAGTCCAGATTCAACAGTTTGAGAATGCCATTGCCGAGCTCAGCAAGGAGGCGTCTGAAGCTAAGGCTGCTTTGCAGATCCTGTCCATCGAGCTCCAGACGCTTGGTTTCACCGAACCGGAGGCTAACGCGTATGATGTTCTCACTTCACTTCGCTCTGCCTTCCAGCATGTGCGGAACGAAGTCGAGGCCATCTGCCCCGGTGACCCCGCCACGGAGCTCGAGAACGGCAGTCTGATCTATTCGTTGGTCGAAAAGCTGAGGGGTCTAAGGGCCGAAGTGAATGAGAAGGTGGACGAGGCCCGCCAGCAGTCGGAGATGAATAACCTTCTCAACAACCAGAACAAGGGTCTTGTCGACAAGATGGCGGAGTATGAGAACAGGAGGCAGACCTTGGAGGGCCAATGGCATGAGCTCGACATCGTCAGCGAGAAGAAGACGAAGGAGATCATCGAGTTGGAGGAGGAATTGGAAGCGTACAAGGCTGCAGTCGAGGAGCGTGACAACGAAATCGTCGACCAGGATAACAAGATGGATGAAATGGAAGTCGAGCTCACAGAGCGGGAACAGGCTCAAGAACGTCTGAAGGAGGAAATCAACAGCTCCCGCGAGGAGGTCGCTTCGCTGCAGGAACTCATCAGCCGGGTCGAGGAGGAGTCCAGGAACGCTCTCGAGAGGCTGAAGGAAGAACACGCTGCTGCAATTGCCGAGCTTGAGCAGAAGCTGGCGACCGAGCAGCTCTACCGCGAGCAAGCCGAGAAGGATATTGAGGAGAAGACTTCCTTCATTACTGAACTTGAGGCCAAGGTCGAGGCTGCCGAGACAGATCTGGAGCAGCTCCGTGAGAACTTGATTGAACTCCAAGATCTCAGGGATGCCGAGAGGACTCAGCGCGAAACTGCTGAAGAGGAGCTTGATGATAAGAACGCGACGATTTCGGATTTGGAAGAGAAGGTTGAAAAGGCTGAGAGCGACCTGGAAGAGCTTCGCGAGGAGCTGGAGAGCCTCCGCAACCTTTCAGATGCTGAGCGTGAGCAACTCGAAGCTGCCATTGCCGAGGTTGAAGAGAAGGATGATAAAATCGCGGAGCTCGAACAAAAGATTCACGATGCTGGCAGCCACGCCAATGAGCTCCGTCAGAAGCTTTTCGAGCTTCAAGTCCAGAAGCAGGCCGTCATCGAAGAGCTGGAAGATACTGCCGCCAAGCGGGAAGAGCAGTACAACCAGGACATCGCTGCCGAGATCGCTCGCCGCGAGGCCGCCGAGCAGATTTATGCTGATCGCAATGCTGAGATGGCGGAGCTCCAGTCCAAGCTTCACGGTATCGAGGAGAATCTCGAGGTCATGACCATCGAGAAGGACGATCTGATCACCGAATTGGAGAAGAGGGTCGACAAGCTGGAGGAGGATCTCATCCAGCTGCGTGTGGAGTACAATGACCTTGCCGACCAGAAGGCAGAGGAAATTCAGGCTCTGCACGACGACATCGCCATCCTCAACTCCGATATCAACGAGAAGGCCGAGCTCATCGAGAAGCTTCGTGAGGAGGCTGCCGAGAACGAGGAGGCCCACAAGCGTGAGATTGAACAGAAGGAGGCTCGTATTGCCGAGCTCACCGAGGAGATGGATGCCGCCCGCACTGATATCCAATCCCTCGAGGCAACCCGCAGCAGCCTCGAGCACCGTGTCGAAGATGCCGCCGTCCAGATGCTTGACCTGCAGAACATGCACGGGAACGAAATCGACTCTCTGCGCGACAAGATCGAGAACAACGAGGCCGAGATCGACCGGCTCAGGCGAGCTCTCGAGCTACGTGAGGACAAGTACACTTCGGACATCAACAAGAAGAACGAGCAACTGGAGTCGCTCCAGCTCCTTGCTGATAACCGCCTCACAAACATTACCGCCCTCGAGAACCAAGTCGAGGACCTTAAGAGGAAGTTCCGCGAGCAGACTCTCTCCAGCCGCAAGACGATGGCGACCCTTGCGCAAAGCTTCCTGCATGCTGCCGAGGATGCTCGCGGCCTCAGCGACAGGCATGCCGAGAACTCCGACGCCGCTCTTCGCGAAGTAGAGGGTATGGTGCCCGAGGGCATGGAGGAGAGAGCCAATGCCCTGAAGCAAGGCGGCCCGGCCCGTAGGGGCAGGCGCCAATTCGACTCTGGTATCGGTGTTGCCGATGATGACGAGGATATGTTGGAGGAGACGCTGGCGTGAACATGAAAATTCATTTCACGACGGTACGAACGATATACGGGAGGTCGAGCCGAGGCCCCAGATTGTTGATTGTTGGTATACTTTCCCTTGGCGCGTGTCCCATTCTTTCCACCTACTGAGCGCTTTATTGCCCCTTCACCTTGGAAACATTGATTTGGTCCAAGAGGCTTCATTGTTGGGGCAACATATTTTTCTTGGGTAGACCTTCCTTTCATCGGCATCCAGAAGTCTTGCCACTTGTATTTTTTTGTTCTTTTCCTTTTTCTCGTAAGCGTGTCTTTTCTGTTTGGTTCCTGCAGATATTGTGTTTACGTTTGGCCCTGCCTTGTCATTTTCTTTTGGAAAAGCGTGACATGGTTCACGAACGACTTAATGAAAGATTGAGAACGAAGAGAGGCTTCCTACCAAGCAGATATCTCTCGCAGTTATTTGGGTTGATTGAAATTAGGTAGTAGTATAGGCCTTTGGGTACATGCCGTAGCAAAAAAAGCGAGGGGTTCCTCTCGACTGTTCATTTCCTCGCCAGGTAACAGTAGTTAGAATATGAATACTGAAGTAACCATCTGTCCCTCGATTTTCTGGTGCCTGTGAAGATGACTATATTTTCTTGCCATATAACGGAAACGAAAATCGAATCAGACCTGTCTCAGTAACCGATATATTTTCCTGCTGCTCCGCTCACGCATTTTCCCCACTGAGTTGATACTAACTGTGTTGCTTTTCCACCGCCTTCATAATCAACTCAATCACACCTGGCTCCGCACTCCTCCTAGATCCCTCAGCCGGGTTAATGTAAAACCTTCGCCTCGGTTCGACAAAGAGAGCAGCGAACCGCTGCAACAGACCCCTCTTGTCCCCATCAACATCCCACAACTTCTTTTTCTCTTCTCCCTCCTTTCCTCCCTTCCCCGCATCCTTCTTCTTCTTCTCAACCGCCACCCTCGGCACCCTCTCGACGTTAGCCAGCCCCCCGAGGAAGCCGCGCGGCGGCAAGGGGCGCAGCTCGCCGACGGCGGTGCCCGTCGTCTTCCAGAAGCCGTTGAGGCGCACGGTGCGCACGTCGAGCAGGGCGTCGGCGGGGGGCGAGGCGGCGAAGCGGTGCAGCAGCTGGCGCGACTGGCGGGCGTAGAGGGGCAGGTGCAGGTAGATGGAGTTGACGAAGGGCGAGGTCAGGGCTGTTGTGAGGAGGAGCGGGACGGGGGCGAGGAGGATGGCTGTTTGGGTTTTTTTTTTAGTCTTTTTCTTTTTTTTTTTTCTGTTTAGTGTTGAGGTGAGGGGGAAATGGGAGACGGGGGATGTGGTGGTGGTGGGGAGAAAGGTGGAGGGGAGGTGGTCGTTGGGTTGGTTGGAGGTGGGTTTGGAATTGAAGACTTTGAAATAGGATGAAGGGGCCAGGAACGGGATACAGTGCTATGGGATATATTCTCTGCATGATTCGTGGTGGATTTGGTGATACGAGGAGAAATGAGGGCGACGCGAGTCAAAGACAAGATCGAAAGACTTTTAAGCTTCCGAAAAGAAAATTCTGAACGCGTAGGGAATACGCAGAACTTACCAGCAGGAGCAGCCCACCACGGAGTATCTGGATGATAGTGAAGGCGAGGTGCTATTACCAAGCAGCCGAAGGCGAAGAGGACGATGGTTCCGAGCTTTGTGAAGGCGACCCACGTCGTCTTGCCTGTTCCGGCATTGTAGATCAGAAGGCGCTCGGGAAAGACTAGAGCCGCTCTGTCAGAACTTTTACTCCATGTCTCAGTTAAAAAAAAATATACTGACGAAGCTTTTTAGTCGACGCCGACTTTGCGACGAAGTCCTTGGGCGCAGCCGGCGCCGCCTTTGGTGCTGCTTGTTTGGCGGCATTGGAAGACAGGCGCAGGCCCGACAGCTTATTGGCGCATGGCGAGCGAATGCCTGGCAGCCTGACGGCGTGCAGCCTGGTCGTCGCGCGAATTCTAGCAAATTGACTCGTTATCATGACATCTACGTGTAGTCGAGGTGGAAAGAAAGGTTGGCATGAGCTCTGCGGCCCACACGTGAAGGGGAGCCCCAATTAGCGAGGCAGGGATCAGGCCGTCGATCGCCTGCATCGCGGACCCTGCGCGCCAACCCGACCATAAGAGACACGTCTCCCAGCGCCAGACAGCCTCCAAAACCTCACCGATAACCTTAAATCCTTACCGCTGCCGCCCCTGGGTCATGCGGTAGCGGAATTCCCCCACGCCGCATCATCCCCCCCTAAAACATCAGTTTCACTCGCTCCCCGCCATGAAGCTCGTCTCGCGCCTCGCCGGCGCCACCGCCCTGCTGCTGGCCGCCAGTCTCGCGCCGCTCTCGCACGCCTACAGCGACCTGTCTGACGACACGCTCAAGGCCATCCCCGCCGCTCCGCAGGACTTCGACATCCACAACGGCGCCCTGCTCGCGCCCATCCTGATCCCCCGCGTGCCGGGCACGCCCGGCAACGAGAAGGTGCGCCAGCACTTCGTCGACTTCTTCGCCAACACGCTGCCCAACTGGCACGTCGAGCTGCACAACTCGACCTCGACCACGCCCACGAGCAACGGCGAGGAGATAACGTTCGTCAACGTCATTGCGACGCGGGATCCGCCGTGGACTAAGCCCGGCGACGTGGGCAGGCTGGCGCTCGTGGCGCATTATGACAGCAAGTTGACGCCGCATGGTTTCATCGGCGCGACGGATAGCGCGGCGCCGTGCGCGATGCTCATGCATGCGGCGAGGAGCATTGACGAGGCGTTGACGAAGAAATGGGAGAAGATGGAGGCCGAGGGCGTGGGCGCCGGTGGGCTTGAGGAGGAGAGGGGCGTGCAGATCATTTTGTTGGATGGCGAGGAGGCGTTCCTGAGCTGGACCGATACCGATTCGCTATATGGCGCGAGGTGGGTTTCTTAGTCTGAGACCGATTGTGGCATGACTGACGCACGTGCAGAGCATTGGCCGAGACGTGGGAGGCTACCCACCACGCTGGCATATCTACCTTTCAGACGGCCATTTCCTCGATACAGCTCTTCTTGCTGCTCGATCTGCTTGGCGCGAAGAGTCCCAGGGTACCGTCGTACTTCCAAACCACCCATTGGGCGTACAAGGCCATGGCGAAGCTTGAGAAGCGTCTGCGTGACCTGGGCCAGTTCAAATCTTCGCCGAATCACCCTTCGAAGAAGACTGCGGCTAAAAAAAGGAACGAGCCGAGATTTCTGTCGGACGCAGACAAGGATGTTAGCCCGTCCATGGGCGGGATGGTGTCCGACGACCACCTTCCATTCATGGCGAGGGGAGTTGAGATTCTACACATAATACCCACGCCATTTCCGCGGGTCTGGCACGAAATGGACGACGACGGAGAGCATCTGGACCTTGATACCGTAGAGGACTGGGCTAAGCTGGTGACTGCCTTTGCTTGCGAGTGGATGGAGTTGGAGGGATTCATGGATACCGCTCAAGCCTCCAACATAGCGGTGCATGCGGACGAAGGGCAAGACGGTACGAAGCGGAAGAGAACGATGGATAAGGACGAATTGTGAGTCTCATCCCAATCGCTACGCTTGCCCTTGTTGTTCCTGCCATTGTTGCGGAACCAGGTTTTAACGCGTCGCTCGTCTATAGTGTACCATTATGATATTAGACCCCTGTACGAACAATTCACATACTTGACGACCTTCCAATTCGTGCGTTTACCGACGGGCAAAAGACCTTGTCACCTGTAAGTGCATTGTGCGTGTACTGCTTTCAACCTCGTGCGGATGGAATGTGCGGCCAAGCGCCGAGCGATTGGCCGTGTATGACCGCACAATGGATGCGGTGAATTCTCTTCGGTGACCGCAAGCAGACACCAGTAGCAAACGATGTGCTTTGTGTGAGTTCGTGGAGACCTCGATGCGGGACTTCAATGATGATTCTAGGAGACGTTTCTTTGTTGAGATCTCCCCCTTGGCAAGGCAAGTCAAGATAGGCTGGGGACACCCCTCGTGTAGACACTGCGGATAGCAAAATGGTCTTGCCTTATCTTGAAAATCTTTAAAAGACGCCGTGCCAAGTGGGAGTCCTGCCTTTGTCTTCCAAAAGCATCCCGACGCAAATGGCCTCAAACAAGGCACATGGGTGCGCGGTAAAATGGCTTTCTTCTCTGTTCCTCCTTTCCGCACCCTTTCTCAGCGTTAACATTCTGTCGAGCCTGCCCAGTCCGAGTCTCGCCGGCATAACTTCGACTTGACCATTTGCCGCCATAATGGCAAACCACGGGGATGGCTGGCTCTCCAGCGTGTTCGATCTTGGCGCTTATGTTCTCGACAGGCAACCATCCCGGAAGCGCCAGGGTTCTATGTTTGGTATATCTGCGGAGCCAGATGAAAAGCCTCCTCCCCGAACTCGCGCCCTGAAGCTTTTACAACGAAAGCCATCTCACCCCCGTAAGCCGGATTCTGCATCTGTCGAGGTTCCGATCGAATGGGATGTCACACGAGAGTTCATCTTGTACCCGGACGGCAGAAGGGGCCTGGTGAAACTTCCCCTTACTCACCTTGTGCAGCGCCCGTCGCACAAAATGGTGGAAAAAATCAAGGAGGGCGAGCTTCTGGACTTTCTGGCCGGCTGTAAAATCACACCTGCGGTCGATATCGCCCACGAATGGGGTCTAGAGGGCAGCATAGTGCTCTACGATCCGCGAGATCCACCAGTCTTCTGCATCGAATACGTCTACGTGACGGATCACCTGCGTGAGGAGTCCGAGACTAGGCGCCACGTCTTGGCTGATCCGAAAAGAAACCTCTTCTTCATCACGCTCAGAGGGGACGATCTTCCCACCTATCATTTCTGGCAGGATGTTGAGAAGGATGGCGATCCAAGAGAAGCCATATACTGGACAACCTACGTGAACGGACGCTCCCCGAGACGAGTAAGCCAGCAGCTGGATGACGACGAAATCGAGATTGTGGGCGAGCTTCATCGGGCACGTGAACCTTTCGATGACGAAGAAGAGAAAGATGTTGTCCAAATGCCGAAGTCAAAGGATGGTGGGTTGGTGAACGGCATTATCGACGAATCATCGGGCGAGGACTCTACTGCACTTGACGAGCCAGCTTTCGGCGAGCAAAACAAATTGATTTCGGTATCCACCCCCAAACCAACGACCACTTCGGACGATGAGCTCGGCTTGACGGAGCTCGTTGGGTCGGTCTACGATTCGGACGAAGAGTTCGATTCAGACGAGGGTTCTGAGTGGGACGAGAACTTCGGTGTCGATTCAGATAATGACGTCGATTCGGACGAAGGCGCCGAGTCGGACGAGGACTACATGCCTGAGGGAGTCGTGCTTCACAGGGGTCGTTCGAGCTATGGACTTGACCCGTCTGCCACGTACTACTACAGATGCCCTCCTGGGCTAGCTGAGCGTGGAGACCGAGACCTAAGCGACTTAATCGAGACATGGGAGGACAACCTTCGTGTTCGTGGGCTTGCATCAACCCTCCAGGGCTTTAGCGAGTACCAACCTGGAGGTGATGAGATTTGGCATTTTGATGGAGGAGAACCCCCTTACGAGCCTCCAAGGCGCAGATGGCCTCCAGGTAGAGCCTTCGACACAGTTGCTTATAAGCTGGCCATCGCTTCCGAGAATGGTGGGCCAGTCCAAAGGCTCATTGGAGACGAGCCATGGACACGTAACGATAATATTGGTTTCTGGAACGGCAACTACCGGGGCATGTATCACCCACTCGAAGATTACACCCCGGACTATCATAGGCAGCCGACAGACGTTAGAGGGATGGAGACTAAGAGGCGTTATATGTTCCAGCCGAGCTTCAACGACGGCGAACAACTTTCCGACTTGGTGGACACCCGGAACCCATGGAGGAGCGGACTAGCCAACATTTTCGGCGACCCCTTTCCAAACTACTTACCCTCCCCCGCCTCGGAAATCTTGTCCCCCATGGACTTCCAGCACGATGGACCAAATATACGGCCCCAGCGCGGCCATCCAAGCATACGAGACGTCATAATTACATCCTACGATGAGGATGGGAACCCACGGGATTCGGATTACGACGTCGTAATGACCGACCCGCTGCACCGCCAGCGCAAGCAGTCCCAAGTGCAGACCGACCCGGGGTACCGCGAGATCAAGCTGTACGACGGCAGGGTGAAGCCCGACGCGCTGCCGGATCCGTCGCGCCCCTTCCGCGTGTGGAATTGGCATGGCTTCACATCGAATGAAAAAGACAGGAATGAGCAAGTAATGGCCTTCTGGACAGTTGTAGCAGAGTTGATATTCGAGGGGAAGATGGGCAACTACGTGATAAAGCTGAAGGCCTACAACGACGACGGCACGGAACCGGAAGACGGGTGTATGCTTATGACCCTCAGCATGGTTCAAACAATCTTTGAGAATCGAATGTCAGAGTACCTATCGGATCCGGCGAGGAATGAGGTGTACTTGGTCCCAGCGCCAGATGTGAGTTCCTTTCCCTAACCCATGCTCTCTCTCTCTCTCCAGCGTATAGGGCTGTAGCTAACGAAAAATACGCAAACGCGATATAGGCACTCGAGGCCCTTGACAGGAAGATAGAAGCAGCCATCGGTATCCCCATCTTCACGCAGTCCGGTAATACCACCAGCACCCTCCACCGACTCCGCGGCAGCAGCGCTGCGATGACGATCTCCTCAGGCGCAGCAGCAGCAGCAGCAGTCCTACACAACAACAGCAGCAGCAGAAACGAGCCAGCTCATCCGCCGTTCGTGCCCACCGACTGCCGCGACTGCGGCAGCTGCCTCACCAGCCCGATCGCGTACGCGGCGCACCACATCGAGCACTTCAAGGGCCGGACGGGGTCGCCGCAGGAGCTGCATCCGGAGGTGCAGCAGGCGCTCAAGCGCGCGCGGTTCCGGCACATGTGCCCGGAGTGCGGGCTGGACTTGACCGAGGCGTCGACGTTCGGCTTCGCGATGCATCGGCGCGGGCACGAGCAGCAGCGGTCAGCAGCTCGCTCTGCCACGAAGCCTCGACAAAGGCCGTCTGGGAAACGTGTTGCGTTTGAGCCAGCAGAGAGAAGAAGAGGGGCATCACGGGCTCGCCCCAACACGGGTGCCACGAGAGAGGAGGTGGAGGAGGAGCAGGGATTGGGCGGTAGGCTCTGGGAGCTCCTGTCGGGCGTGTACAGCGCGAGCGTGGAACGGGTCAGATCAGCGAGCGCGCCGCCGGCGCCTCTCACATCATCTTCCTCTGCTCAAGCTGATCTGAAGAATTTCTCTTCCCCTCACGTATACAGAGGCTATCCCAGGAAGCTGTTCCCAGGCCCGACCCCGCCGCCAAACAGCTTCGACGAGTCGTACCTGAAGAACGCGCGCAGCATCCGGCCGCTTCCATACCCCCCTCGATCGTTTCTCCCGCCGGCAGCAAACAGCTTCTTCCCTCGCGCCACGCGCGCGACCTCCCTGCCTCCTCCGAAGAGCCGCAGCAGCAGCCTCCTAGACGACGACGACGACGACGACGAAGATAGCAGCATCGCCTCCTCCCTGCACCGCCGCCGCAAGGGCGGGCACAACAACAACAACCACCAGGACGGCAACAACAACAACAACAGAACAGAAGTCGGCGGTGGCGTCAAGAACTGGTTCGCCCGCGTTTTCAACCGCGACCACCCTACATCACCACCACCCTACGAACGGCCGCCGCCGCCGCCAGCAGGCCTCCTCCTCAGTCCACGCACCGCTGCCGCGCGCCGCGCCCGCCTCGGCGGCGAAGAAATCATCACCGCACCGCACGAAATCGAAGCCGCGCGCGCGGCGGAGCTGCGGCTGCGCGACGACATCGACAAGCTGCGCTGGGTGCACTACCTGCTGCCGGCGCTGCAGTGGGGCGCCGTCACGCCGCAGCACCTAGTCGATCGGCGGAATGAGATTAGGCTGGACGAGATGCGGCGCGAAGCCGGCGGGTGCGGGGACGAGGGGTTGATGGCTGAGGGGTGGTTGCGGCGACGGGCGCGGGAGATGTACGATCGGGAGCGCGGGATCTACTCGAGGAGGAAGGAAGAAGAAGGCGCCCGCGCGACGACGGGGGGCCCGTTTAACGATGCGGAGTTGAGATTTAAGTGGCACCAGGGGAATTTCTGGCGGTTGCAGGACTTTTCGCTCGTGGTGGAGTGCAGGAAGATGCGTGGGGAGGAGAGTGACGGAAAGGCGGAGTTTCCGGATTGGGAGCTCGCGTGGTATGCCGAGCGCGCGATGGAGAGGAAGGGGCCGGGCGAGTATGGGGAGGAGGAGGGGAAGGAGCATCATAGGTGGCGGTTGATTCAGCGGAGGGAGAGGTTGAAGAAGGAGTGGGCGAGGAGGCACCCCGGTTGGGACGAGAGTCAGGAGACTGAGCCGTATCAGGAGGGCGTGATGCCGACGAGGTGGGATCTTGGTATTCGCAGGAAGCCGGTAGGAGAGCCGCCACGGCGCAGCCAGCACTTTGGTCCTGGACCCGGACCGGTGGTGGTGGTGAGGAGGAAACCTGTCGGTAGCGGTGTTGGTCCCGTTCTGCACAGACGGAGAAGTCCTACCGCCAGGTATCACCCATACGCTGTTGAAGCTGCTTCCCCTGAATCCAGTCCCGTAAGGAGAAGAGCACTCTGGCGTCGAGTGCGCTCAAGAGAGGGCGACGACGATGCTCTGGCAGAGAGACAGCTGCTGAGGCATGGCGAAATCGTCCCACTCAGGTTGTCCCACGCCATCGCCACTGGTCAGCCTATGGCTATGATAGAGGAAGAATGGCTCCCTACGATTCGCAGATCGCCAAACTTAACGAGGTTTTGGGTTTTGCTGATCAAAGAGCTGGAGCGTTATGAGCAACAGAGAGCAGAGAGTGAAGAGGAAAAGCGGCAGGTCCGCCAGCAGACGCGCCGGCGGTCCGGGGTTGTTCTGGGCGAGGTTGCAAATGGTAGCGACAGTGGTGAGTGACGTGCTGTTTGTCGTTTTGTTCAAGTTATGGGGGAGATTGACTAATGCATGCACTGTTATAGGCATCGAACTTACTCTCGTCGCGACACAGAGGAAGAAAGCAGATGGGGACGAACAGCCTACTGAGCCACTGAGGCCGCCTACCGCTCCACCAAGACTGCCTACCGCGCCACCGATGCTGTCTACCACACCACCAGAGCCGCTACCGAGGTTAAAGAGTAGACTATTTCAGAAGTCATCATCCTCGAGACGTTTTCAGAAACCCGCCACTGAGGAAGCTTCAAAGGATCGCGACGAAGCAATTAGGCAGATAATCTTTAATAGGATGAAGACTAGTCAGAGGAAGGCTACAGAAGGAGAGAATACCACGGCAACTACAACGTCGGCACCAACGTCGAAGCGAACAGTAAGAAATTCGAGGCAGCGAAGGCAATCAATATCGGAAAAGCCTTACAGGCCTGTTGCTGAAAGTGACGACGACAGTATTGAATTGGGAGCGCGACCTACTATCCACGAGCCGGAAAGGGTGAAGGAAACCATAAAGAAAAAGACACCGACACCGACACCAAGGAAAACGAGGTCTCGGAGGATGTCCTTCTCGAGTGAAACCTACAAGCCTACCGCCGACGAAGGCGATGATGACGAAGACAAAGAGCTGACACAGGCTATCATCAAGGAGCTCGAGCAAGCGAAGAGATTGAGCAAGAAGCGAAAGCACGGCAGTGACGTAGACGGAACGTACCGCCCTAGCAAGACGGCAAGGGTCGACGGAGAGGACTCTGAGGAGTACGTCGAGCAGCCTAGGAAGAGGAAGAGCAGCGAGGAGAGTAGAAAGTCCAAGGAGCCGACTGGTATCAAGAAGACGGTGACGATCGAGGTTGCTTCCGAGCCCGCTACGAAAGCTGCTCCGTCGACAGAGACCTCGGCGTCACCTGCTGCGAAGAAGACGAATATCAAAAGCGCTGATGAGAAGCTGGGTGTCAAAAAGGTTCAGCGCGTGACGGGGAAAGGAAGGGGTGCTAGGAGCGGGTCGCCAAGTCCGGAATCAGGACCAACTCGGAGCACTACAGGGTACTCATTGCGTAATAGACAGGCCTAGTGTTTCAGCGGGTTTGTTTAGGTCATTGTATGATTTCTTTTTGGTTTTATTCTCGTTGGAAGTAATTGATAATATCATCTTGGGACTGCCCATGCTACTGTTCGGTTCTCGTTGGACAAGTTCAAGCACAGTCATGCTCAGAGTAACTTGGGCGCAGCCAACAAGACTAAAAGTGATTGCAAGCTATAGATTTGTAGATGAAGCCCCCATACGTATCAACTCTATCTAGGTATGTCTATATGAAGAGTGGTCGGCTCGTCTTAGCTTCACCCGCCATGGCTTCTGCGGCACATTGTGCTTCACAGAGCTCGGGGCTACTAGTCACCAGCACTGCGTAGAAGTGTGAGCCGTTCGCTGGTGTCCCCCCTCTTGCCAGCCCAAAGCCGCTTTCCTCGTTCCCACCTCTCCCCCAAGTGTGATGATGATGTTGGTGCGCACCGGTGACTGACTGATTCATTCGTCCTGGGCCAACCACTGCTCGAACTCCGCGTAGTCGGCGTCGATCTCCTCCTGGGTGCGCTCGGCGGCGGCGGTGGTGCCGGCAGTCTGGTTCCATCTCGCGTTGGCGGCGTCGACGCGCGCCTGCTCCTCCCTGTCCCGAGCCTGGTGTGCAAGTTCTGTAAGAGCTGTGATCGCAGTTATCTCAGTTCTCTCACAGTGTTTTACTCGAAGACTTACTCGTCCTGCGCTTATCGCGGTCCTCCGCCGCCCGTTTGGCGCGTAGCCAGCTCTGCAGATCACTATTCCTCGGCACGTCCAGGTTGATGGCCTGCCTGGCCCAGTAGTCGGCAAGCTCGTTGCCGAGGATGCCTCCGTGGCCGGCACAGGCCTTGAACTCGACGGTGAAGCCCTTTTCGGCGAGGTGTACGGCGCGGATGGCGGCCCTGGTGGCGAAGTTTCCGGCCGGGTTGAGCCAGCCGCCGCGCGAATCAGGGCTTCGGAAGCCCTCGATCTCAGCGTCCGTGTAGACGAGGATGTCGCCCGTCATGCCTGGCGCAAACAGCTGCTCGCCCTTCTCCAGTGCGTCGAAAGCGGCCTCCTGCTCGCCACTACCCGAGCTCATCGACAAGCTGCTGGCGCGAGACTCCTCCACCCACTCCTGCTCACCCGGATCCGCCTGCTTCTGCAGCTCCTCGGTGAAGTCTTGCTTCCAGACGATGGCGATGCCGACTGCGGGGCCGGTCTTGCGGTTCGCGAACGACGCGTCAGTCCAGAGGACCTTGCGGTGCGGCTCGTTCTTGGAGTCCTCGAAACGGGCCTCCATGATGTTGTCGCTGAAGATGATGCGACCGGCGTCGACGTGCTGATGGAAGCGCTTGAGGCTGATGTTGGTAGCCATTGTGATTGTATGGGTCTTGGAAATGTGTGGTTTTGGATGAGGAAGCGGACGTGGTGAGAGCAGCGATCGAGGTGCAATGGCTTCAGATCTTATACCCACAGCGCTCAGCAGAGTGCGTCTGTGCGCAGGCTAAGCGAGCCGCTAGCGCAGTTTTATCAGAGCTGAATTGAGCTCTTCATAACGCCGTTTCACATGTGATATTTTGAAGTGCTTCCGCGCACCGCCAGCGCATTTCCCGCCTTCTTTTGGGTGATTTTCCATCTCAACACCTCGATATCATCTCTACACATAAATTCGAACGCCCAGAATGGAATGTCTAGACTTGGGATGACTCGGCCGCATCTTGACCAGTTTTGGCTTCACGACTGGGTGGCAGACAAGCCATCCAGCTGTTGCCTGTCCGAAGCGGTGACTGAATTCATATATATAGCCCAGTTGCATGATGTTACATAGATCGGTCAAGGGTTACCAACGTACAATTCTGCATATATCATCGGTATGGGGCTACATTTTGAAGTGATGGTGCCTTCGCTGTCTTCAATTGAAGCTCGCATCCAGACGAAAACGGCGAAAACGGACTTCCTTTTGCCAGTTGAGCATATGTGTGACTCAATTATGCTACAGTCAAGAGAATTACCAATGATTACGGCTGAGAAGTCTACATGCCTTTCTCCAGTAACGGTGCGCAAGTCTCTCGGAGGTGAAGTTTTCATCCGAATAAATTTGCGACAAATTACAGACGCATTGCCCTTCATGCGGTGGATTCAACAAACCACAATGCTGGCGCAGAAAATGGATACTGCTCGCTGCGCGGTGCTCTGATGGATTCCAGCATCGTTCACTGACGTTGGTGGTTTCCCTTTTCGGGAGCTGGGGTTGTTCCTTCCCCGCGGGGAAACGGGCGGGCTCGCTCGGCGATTGCGCTCTCATCTCCGACGACACAACACCGCTCTCGCAGATGCATCGAACGACTCGAAGCGCCCGCCGACCCAGCGCAGGATTCCGGCAAAAGCCTGCAGCCCCGCATCAGCCTCCGGTGTTAGGCTCAGCAAATGACGACCCTCGACGGCTCGGTCGCGTGTTTCATTCGTCCGTCGACTCTTTTCCCGTCTAAGCTCTCCCAGCTTACCATTCATTTTAACCGGCCACTTTATCCGCCACGTGAGTGCGACCGGGATGCCCATCCAACGCGTCTGCACCTCTGCAAGCCCGAAGATGGGGCTCGGAATCGCGCGCATGTATAAAATGCGTGTCAGACGCAGACCCTAACTGCCGGGGTAGCTCTGCCGCACATTCTCGCTTCATTTCTCAGAGTCTGGTGCTCGCCCTGCGAGTGCTTCTCTTGATTTCTCCCGACAGCATCTTCGCATCGTTGCACACACCGCTGCCATCATGGCTGTGGGTGGTGGTTCTGCGTCGCAGTTTGACTCGGCCGCCCTGGCCCGTCGCCAGGAGCTGTCTGGAACTGCTGGACCTCTCGCGTTGGTGAAGAACCTCAAGGTCTTCGGAATTGCCTGCTTTGCCTGTCTCGGAGGCCTTCTTTATGGTTACAACCAGGGAGTGTTCAGTGGCGTCCTGACCATGAGTTCATTTGATAGAAGTAAGCTTTTTTCCCCGCAGATAGTTACCAGGATCAAACTAACACCACGGAAGCACTTCCTGAATGGACCGGTGACGAACACTCGACGCGCATGGGCTGGCTCACCAGTATTCTTGAACTTGGCGCTTGGTTCGGTGCTCTCTACAGCAGCTTTCTCGCAGAGATTCTCTCCCGGAAATACGCCATCCTGATCAACGTTGCCATATTCATCATCGGCGTCGTCATCCAAACTACCGCCGCTGCCGGAGGGATCCATCACTCTATTCTCGGCGGGCGTTTCATCACTGGAATCGGTGTCGGTTCCTTGTCCATGATCGTGCCAATGTACAACGCAGAGATCGCTCCTCCTGAAGTTCGCGGTGCCCTCGTCGGTCTACAACAGCTGTCCATCACGCTAGGCATTATGATTTCTTTCTGGATTGACTACGGATGCAACTACATTGGTGGAACTGGTGAGGGCCAGCACAACACTGCATGGTTGCTGCCACTTTCTCTGCAGCTGGTTCCTGCTGTGATCCTCGGCTGTGGCATGCTTTTCATGCCTTTCTCCCCACGTTGGCTGATCCATCATGGACGAGAAACCGAGGCCCGTTCCGTTTTGGCTAGCTTGCGTAACCTCTCGCAAGACCATGAACTCATCGAGCTCGAGTTTGCAGAGATCCGAGCTCAGTCGCTATTTGAAAAGAAGACTTTGGCGGAAAAGTTTCCTCATCTGTCCGAGCCCACCGCATGGAATACCTTCAAGCTGTAAGTCCACTCTCATAATTTGACTCTCAATCTCCAGCGCTGACAGAACCAGCCAATGGGTCGCCATCGGCTCTCTTTTCAAGACAATGCCAATGTTCCGCCGCGTGATCGTCGCTACCGTGACCATGTTCTTCCAGCAGTGGACTGGTACGCTATCATCTCCTAAACAATTAGAAAAATTGGCACTAATCGCTACAGGTATCAACGCAATCCTCTACTACGCTCCTCAGATCTTCAACAAGCTCGGCATGTCGTCCAACGCTGTTTCACTTCTGGCCACTGGTGTCGTAGGCATTGTCATGTTCATCGCCACGATTCCAGCGGTCATGTATGTCGATAAGCTTGGTCGCAAACCCGTCCTCATTGTCGGGGCTCTGGGCATGGCCATCTGCCACTTCATTATTGTTTGTTCTCCCTTGGAGTTGCCGAGTCTGATCATACGCTAATATCCCTTAGGCTGTCATCGTCGCCAAAAATCAGGACCAATGGGAAACTCACCAAGCCGCTGGCTGGGCAGCCGTCGTCATGGTCTGGCTGTTTGTCATCCATTTCGGATACTCATGGGGTCCTTGCGCATGGATCTTGATTGCCGAAGTCTGGCCTTTGTCCAACCGCCCGTACGGTATTTCTCTTGGCGCGAGTTCGAACGTATGTGTCTTCCCATGCTTTCATGAGCCTATATTAGGCCGCTAACCATTTAACTAGTGGATGAACAACTTCATCGTTGGGCAAGTCACACCAGACATGCTCACCGGCATAACCTATGGCACGTACATCTTCTTCGGTCTCTTGACCTTCGGTGGTGCGATCTTGTAAGTCTCCCAGCATGTCCTTACCCATGCAGTGACGCACTCGGCTAACTCTTGTGCAGCATCTGGCTTGTCGTCCCCGAAACCAAGAACCTGACGCTCGAGGAGATGGACATTCTGTTTGGAAGCCAGGGCACTGCGGAGGCGGATAGGGAGCGCATGAGGGAGGTCAACCGCGAAGTCGGCCTCGAGGAGCTGGTCCGGCAGGGCTCGGTCAGCCATGCGGAGAAGACTGAGGTGCTGCCTGAGAAGACTGAGCACACTGTTTGAGTAGGTGCATAATCGTGGAAGCACAGGGTCTGAATTGCCGAGACAGGCGATCTAATGTCCAACGTAAATTGGCGTAGGAAGGAAGTGGTAATCGAAGGTCAAATTTGATCGCATCAAAGGTCAAAGTTGATGAACAAATGCGACTTGTGGAATAATATGGCATAACGCCGCGTTTCTGAGGGTAGCCTTTTGAAGTGCCCTGTACTTCGCAGAACAAAATGATGCTGAGCGCCATTTCATAATTATGATGCAGCTCACCAGTTACCTATCGAATACGAATACGTAAACGTAGAATCGAGCCAACAAATCACATCCACACCGACCAAAGCCAGTTCTTCCGCTCCTGAATCCTCAGCAACGAGCAGTATGCGTAGTCGATTCTTAAACCAGCTCGCCTGCCCGCTTCCCATTTCCTTGCGGTGTGCTTCGAACAACCGATACCGGCGAAGAGAGAAGACGCTGAATTATGTAGCTCCGCCGGATGGGCAGCACTTCACCCGCAGCAGCACCTGCAAGGGAAAGAACCCGTGCGGCGGCGCGTGCATAACCGCCGCTCACACACACACACACACACACACACCCGACCAACCGGCTCTCTCGCTCTCTCCCGCTCTCCGGTGGGCCGGGCTTGGGTTGGGTGTGGAATGATCGGCCGCCGGCTGAATTTGCCTGTGCGGATCAGCCCTTGGCGGTGGCTAAGCTTTTTTCTTCCTGCACGCGTGTCGGTTAGTGGGTCAGTCAGTCAGCCGGTCAGCCAGTCCGGTGGGTGGGCGGATATGCGAGAGGGCAGGCACGTGGGGTGCGGCTAGGATTGCAGCTGATTGCTGCGGGATGATGATAGAGCGGCCTGTTTTGCATGGGTGTGAGCTGGGCAGTGTGCCCATGTGATAAAGGTTTGTCAGGGCTCACTCGTGATGCATGTGTGGCGGGTCATTCTAGATCACCGTATAAAACACTTCGATGCCAGCTCTGCTACTTACCAGAAAATCACATAGTGGAAGGACACACTATGCAGAGTCTTCCATTCTGCAGCTATTGCGCACTATACACTGTGGTTGTTGTCCAGCCGGGTCTTTTCTACGCTTCTGCTCCCAGTGTCAATTTTAAGAATAGACAATCATTTTATTGAACTTATTCTTTACATTCCAATCACCATTATCCGATCATTATGAGTTTCTCTCTATTCTTTTTCTGCTGCGCGGCGCAAGCTGTCCATGCTGGATATCTGCCGTGCCAGAGACCAGATGCTGCTCCAGCTGCGAGTTATCGAATGACGCAGTAACAATATCGACAATAACGCAGTTCCTCAAATGTTTCCATGTTTTACATACATTTTGATATAATTTTACTCTTGCTGAGCATGTCATAGCGCGTATGGTGTTGAAGTGTTTGCAGTGTGAGGCAGGCATTCCCTCAAATCGTAATGCGTAGAAAAAGCTGTCACCGTGAAGAGTCTATCCGATGAAAGTATGAGTTATTGCTTGCGTTCGAACTTGCCTGATGTTTAAATATCTCGAATTTCAAATCTGTTGCTTGTTAGTGACACCAATTGGGAGTGGCAACTTACCAAAGTCCTCCAACAGCCTTCATCCACGCGGTTCATAAGTCCATCAAGCCATCACCGTTTGCATTAATCGACAGCTGGCGCTGTTGCCGTTCGTCCGCAAGAGGTACATCGAGGTCCTGGGTATGCCAACTTACCCATCCTGGGCTGTGCGTGAAACATGAGTATTAGCCCTGCCATACGGCGGCTCAAGAGCAGCTACAGAAAAGAAAAAAAGGTCCCTCCCAGAAGACCAAAAGTCCACATCCGTCCGTAAACCCGCTCGAACACCAAAAAAAAAAAGAAGAAGAAAAACAAAAGACGGCACACCACACCACCCTCTCCCCTGAACTATCCACTCCCCCTCTTCCTCCTCTTGCTGCGGGCAGGCGGGAAGCGACCCGGGTCGATGACGTCGGGGCGGTGCGCTCTGGCGACGCTGTCGGCCAATTCATTGCCAGGGACACCCACGTGGCCGGGCGTCCACCGCAGGACAACCAGGACGCCGAGCGCCGTCAGGCGGGCAGCCAGAGAGAACACCCAGCGCAGCAGGTCGACGTCGAGCTTCTTGGGCAGGCGGCCACCCGGGCGGAGATCCCTGATTATGGCCAAGACGTTCTTACAGTCCGACAGGACCTCCACCACGGGGGTTGTTGGCGGGTCTGGTGCTGCTGCTTCTGTGGTGGTGGCGGTGGAGGAGGCATTGGCGGCGAGGACGGCCGCAGCAAAGGAACCAGGCGGCGGCGGCGGCGGCGCGGAGTTGGTGGTGGTGGTGGTGGTGCCGAAGGCAGCGGCGACAGCAGCGGCATACTCCTGGTCCTTAGGGGAGGGGTTGAGGATACCCTCAACCACCTCCAACGCGTTGAGCAGGTTGCAGCCATCTGCGAACAGCTCGGCGGCGGCGGAGCCCGGGATGTACGGCGAGGGCCAGCCCCGCTGGGCGAACTCATCGGTCGGGCTGACGCGCCAGACAGCCGACGCGCTGGTCCACCGCGTCCGTTGCGACAGGTCATCGGCGCGCGGGGCGGCGGAGCCATCCGAAAAGGAGACGAGACGGGCGCCAAAGAGGAGGGAGCTGGAGGCGGGCGGGGCGGTCGCGGGCGCGGACGCGGCTGCCGCATAGTCTTTCGCGGCTTGGTGTTTGTTTTTTCGGTCCGCTTCGATAATGACCTTGCCCGCGAAGGGACCAAAATCTGCAGGCGCGCTCATATTCGCAAGGGCGCGGGAGGGAACAGGCAGGCGCAATGGCAACGAGGGCGGCAGACAACGAAAACGGGCGCGCTGCGATGGGAGGATGGTGATGGCGCAAAGATCTTGAGCATGGTGTCGCAGAAGTAGTAAAGTACATGGCTGCGGATGGGCCGCCTGTGTGCCTTCTGGAAATGGCAGTGACCCAAGATGGGAGTCGCGACCGACAGATATATCTCGAAGTGAGGCGGCCGAAGTGAGATAGCAGAAGTGAGAATGCGGCACTGTTCTCCGGGCAGTGGCTGCGAGAAGAAAATCATTTTCTAGCCGCTGGAGTGGCTGGTACAGTTGAATCACTATCAAGCATCATAACAGGCGTAGGTTGTTATGTGGTACGGTGGTATGGTGGTACATTATGAGCAGGATGCTCGTTGTTCTGCAGAGGGACGTTTTGAGGTGTATATAAAATTACAAAGCGAACGTCCATCCTATAACCTGCTGCGAGCCCAATGGGGTCTTCGGACGGCCCAGCGGACTCATTGCCATCCTACGGTGATAAGCAGGTTCTTTTTGGCAAATCGAAAGACACTTTGTTCGAATCTGGCTGGGGCCGCTTTTTTGGTTAGTCATTCAGCCTCTGGAGTAAATATATTGGGAATTCGACATGCTTGAGGATATGTTTTGAGTGCCTTCTCCCACCTTTCCCGCCTCGCATGACACTTTGGCGGACGTATCGTAAACGCTATATTTCTTAATCTCTTTCAATCTGGCATTTCGAGCAAGAACGTTTCGACTTGATTTCACTGCTTGTCTATGCCTTTTTAGCCGTGATTATCTTATTAATTACGCCGGTCACCACCACCGACTACCTCCCGCCGCCTCCTCGGCCATTCTCGAGGTCATTACCTATACCTTAAAAGCCGTCGAAGCCCACGAGCTCCGACATGGTGAGGCGGCGATGGAGGAGTAGGAGCAGGCGCGAGGTGGGCGCTGTGCGGCTGGGCTGATGCGCGAATGCTAAGGAGGTGAACGGGTGATGTATTGAGCTACCCGAGAGAAAGCGCTAAATAACTCCCTTGACGATCACACCTGCCAACAGCGCGAGGCAGGCGCGAGACGGAAAGAAGAAGGCGGGATGGCAGCTGGCAGATGGCAGACGCAGGCGCAGGCGCAAGACAAAAGTAGGCAGCGGGGAGGACGAGAGCTAGGGCGTGGTGGAAGGTGTGGTGGAGGCGCCGAAGAGGGAAAGCTCTTGGCATGCTTGATTTGGAAGGCGCGAGAAAGAATCTAGAGAAAGTGAAGTGAGGCCGGCAACATGCCAATGCGACTTACTATCTAGAAATGAAGTCAGGCGAAGATCCTTAGGCCGAATAGTATAAAACAGATATTATGATCGATCGAGGCACATGTTATTCATCACTTTTACGGCATGGGTACGATATCTCATGTTGGTTGCCTGCTAACAGCCTTAGTGGTGGGCGATGAGGGCGGGTATATAATGCTCTACAGCGAGATTATTGGAATCCATGAAGAGGTCCACGTTAGGCTGTAACTACCGATTAAGGCATTCGTGCCCGAGCGGGTGATCGCAGGATACGAATGGGTACCACGCGAAAATCAGTGTGGACCTCATCTTTTTGAGATACTCGGTTCGAATCCAATCTGAGCTTTAACCTTTTTGTTGGCCTTTTCAACCGCCTGTTGGCCCAGATCTCATGCGACATACGTGGCTATTGTAGCAGCGCGCCTTTTTTGTCCTCTACCTCCCCGCTACTGCCATTACGCCTTCTATGCTCTTTCTCGGGTCTATCCGCTCTCGCCTGCGATCCATCTACAATGACCTGCGCGGACATGAATGGACACCATCCACGAAGCCGCAGTAGACTATGCGTCCTCGCTTGTGTTCGCCTCTCCATCCTCCAGCTCCTTCTTCTTACACGGCCGCTTGGTCTCGTTCTCATATGCCTTCGTCGCCAATCCCCTGGCTACATGGTTTATTATATTGCTCATCGCCTGCACCTAATATAATGGCAATTGCGATAGGCCAGCCAGCGTGTCGACGGGTTGACCGGGCCCTAGCTGTACATCTCAGGCTCCACCGCCGCCGAGTTGGTCGCAGATGGCTGCAACATTCAGAACGCGTTGAAGGTTGTTGAGATCTCCGTCGCTACACCGAGCTCACAGTCTATCGCTCTCAGCATAATTCTAATCTCTTGGCCCCGGCCTACATTACCTCAACTTCTCTAAGTTCAACATTTTCAAGTTCAGTATCCATGTTTCCCACAATCGACCGCCCTGCCGCCACCTGATTCCTTTGCTACGGCCATTCTCGCGGTCAAAGCCCCCTGTTATTGCGCCGCCAGCACAGCCATCACCACAGCAGCAGTAGCACCGTTAAAGCCGCCGATGGGCCTCGTGGTGGAGGTCCTGTTGTCCTACAAAGACGTCCTAATCACCATCAAGAGACTCTGCCCGGATGTTCGCCTGCTCAGAAAACTAGCTCAACTTCGGTCTACCGCGCTGGGGGATGTTCTCTCTGGTTGCCCATCCGGTGGCTCTCAGTGAGTCGGCCACGCTACATAAAATGCTCAGACACGAGTGTGCTAGTAATCGAGCTTTAAGAAGGTCTTTCATTTTCCAACCCTGTCAAGGAAGACCACTAAAGGAAGGTATCCGGCATCATAGAGTTCTTCACCTGTTAATTACGAGCCTTAGAAAGCAATGCCATGGCGGATTTGTTGTAGATAAGCAGCGAGGTGGATAAACGAGCTTATAATACGCTGAAAAGTAATCATCCGTGTAATTGAATAAGATAGCGGCGCCGCAAGCATAGTATTAACAACGACGGGCGTTGCGGTGGGCCACGTTCACCCTGCAAAAGCTATTCTATTAGCTTTCTACGCAAATAGCGCGCTGGATACTACTTTCCGTTAACTCATCACCTCTCGATAGATGCGCCACAGTGTGCGGCACGTACTATGGCTACAGCATAGCTTTAGTATCGAAAATACCTCGAGATCCGGCGCATATTGCCTTCTTACACGTAGATCTTAGGGTTGTGGCGGGCGGGCTTGTATGGCGAATACTGTCTATGGTTTCAATCCTTTCTGAGGGCATTAGAGATACTCACTATGGTAACTATGGGCGGAAAGGTACTGTTGGAAGGGTGAAGTTGACGAGAGGAAAGGAGATCGAAACGGACGCGAGCAATAAGCTATAGCTGCGAAGAAGCCGCCTGTGTATCCTCCAAGAGTGGTAGTAACTTACTATGGAAGGCACAACCTCTAAATATATCTCGAAGTAAAGCTGTTTAATCAAGGACGCTTCGGCGCAAGAGTAGAGAATTTACTTTTAAAGCAATTGTCGTAGAAGATAGTTCTTTGCTGGAATAACTAGCGACAGTATTTCTTGAATAACGAAGTTTCTATTGTGATGGTATCTTGTAGGCGGAGTGCTTACTGTTCTATCAAACGCATTTTTGGGGGGTATATTAAGTTAAAAAGCGAGCGCTGATCATATCTGATGTAATTCCAATGGAGTCCTCGGACGGTCCTGCGGTATTATTGCCATCCTACGGTGATAATCAGATGTATTCTTTTTTGCCAATTCGAAAGACACTCTGTTCGAATCTGGCTAGGGCTACATTTTGGTCATTCAGCTTCTCTCTCTAATAGTAGAACGAAATTCCGGCATGCCTGACGCTATGCATAAGTTGCCTTGCTGCTACCGGTGTTCCTTTTCTTCTCCGTCACTTCAGTGCTTTGAACGTCCAAACCCAGACAAGAGCAGAAACACATGCCGAGCTGTCGACGCTTTAGTATCCGAAGTAGTGGTTTTACCTGCGCGATCGCGAAAGAGAATCCCGGGCTCTGTCAGGACCCGAAGGACGGAACGACCAAGATTATCAGATCCTTCTCAAACGGACGCTAGAAACGCCGAAGAAATGGGAGGCGTCCGCTTCCTCCGCATCACCTTGGATCATGAAGAGTCGAACAATCGTGATATCCCACGACGAAGACACGTCTAACTCAGAGTAAGCCGTGATCTCCCAGGCTCACATAGACAGCCGTCAAGCACCAATATCAGTTCTAGTCATCCATTGCTGTGTACAGGGGTATTATTTTTATGTGCAGAGTAAGCAAGTGGCATAGGCTATGCTCCACCGTAAGCCAATAACTTTTGTTTTTTTGGGAGGTGACCATCCAGAAGTATGCCGTGCGCTAATCCAAGCCTGTGAACTTCTGCACGACGGGCTTGCCGCCGCTCTTATCCTTGCCCTTGGACCTCTTCCTCTTCTTCCTGCGTTTCCTACCCTCATCCTCGCTGCTGTCCGCGTCGCTGTCGTCATCACTGTCGTCGTCGTCGCCATCGCTATCCAGCGACCTCTTTGCGCCCTCCGTCGCATCATCCACATCATCCTCTCCAGTACCACCGTAGCCCTCATGCCAGACCTTGACGACCTGACCGCCGCCCGTGATCAACCTTCCTCCCACGTCGAATCCCAGCGCGACGACGCCCTCGCCCGTCTCATCGTGGCTGATCTCGCCAATAACCCTGTTCGCGCCGATACGCACGAAGCGCACAAGGCCATGGCCCAAGCCCACCGCAACGACCTTGCCACCCGGGCCCACGCCGTCCGGCAGCATAGCCATGACATCCAAGCTCTCGCCGCCGCCTGGACCACGATCGACCGTGACGCGCTCGTCCTGATCGTCCCACACGCCGCGCTCCCACAGCGTCAGCACGCCGCCCGAGCCGCCGACCAGGATCTTCTCGCCGACCGACGAGCCCTTCTTGGCCAGGCCGCCGACGAACAGGGACGACAGCAGCTCTTCTTCCTGGTCCTCGCTGCGCACCAGCACGCCGCGCCGCAGGTCCGTCACCGCCAGCGTCGACCCGCCCGTCGTCACCCACTGCTTGCTGAAGCCCGACGTGCTGGCCGCCGACGGCGGCATCGGCGTCAGGCTCGAGATGTAGTCGTCGTGCGGGTGGTGCGTCGCTGACGCGCGCAGCGAAGGGAAGGTGTGGTCCTCGCGCAGGTCGAACAGGTGGAGCGGCGACGAGTCAGTCGCGAGGAGGAGCGTCTGCGGGGAGAGGACGTGGAGGAGCGAAGGAGGGTCAATGGCATCATTGTTGTTGCTGCTCAATCGACTTCGTCAGCATGACCGTGAAGCGGGAAACCGCCCAATTGGGCAATTTTGGAGGGAGGTAGAGAGCCCGAACGTACCCAATGCGCGGGACATTGATCTTGCTCAGCACCTGGCCCGTCTCGCTGCTCGCGGCCTTGACCAGGCCGTCGGTGCCGGCAGAGTACAGCGCCTCGCCGTCGACGCTGTAGGCCAGGCTGCGGCAGCTGCCCTTGTGCCGCCGCGTGCGCCACGCCGTCTCAATCTGCCCGAAGCCATTCTCGCTCGCGGCGGAGGCGTCCTGGACCGAGCTGTTGTCGTCGTCTGACGTTGCGACGGGCGGCAGGCGGAACGTCTGGACGTGACCCGCTGACAGACCGACAGCGACGAGCGGTTCCGTGGGGTGGATCGCCTGCGCGAAGAGGTCGGAGCTGAGGGGCAGGTTGCAGATCGTGTCGAACATCTTGGATTGTTTTTCCTTTTTCCTTTCCCCAGCTGCTGCGCGGCCGAAGGGTGAGGAAATGGCAGGTCGGCAAAGCTCCGAGCTTTTGGAAAAGAAACGTGAAGGAGCTGTCGTTGACGCCGACCAATCAACGAGCTGCGGCCCTGGGCCTAGCCGCTGTAGGCCATGCAAAACGGTAAGGCGCAAATCATCAGCAACTTTAAACGTCGGAACCGTTGCACGCAGTCGCAAAAAATGTCACACGCAAGCCAAGCCAGTTTAGGTGGGAACAACGACAAAGTAATCTAAGAACCACAACGCAACACTAGAAGTTTTTGCTAAGCTCGCTTTCAACTTTCTTTGGTACTAGAGAGTACATCGCGGCCTTTTTCTGTAAAAAAATTTATTTCTGGCATTGGCGGTGCCAGTTATTTTTCCGACCGCGTGTGGTGCTGCCAAGAATGCAATCCTGAGGCACCACCTGTAGACCAATAAACTCGACTAAATGTATTCAATCACCACGCAAAAGGTCCGCAGATGTGATTCATGACTTTTCCATTCCGTATGAAAGCGCCCGTCTTTTTTCGTCATGCCAACATGTATATCTTACAGTGAATGTATATAAAACCCGGAGTCGCTGACCATGCGCGCTAAAACCGACTTTTGTCTTTTTTCTCTTCCAGCCCGTGAAAACCGTCCATATTAGATCCCCCCATTCGTAGATTTCTTAACAAAAAGGAAAAACACTCCTCTCTCGTTCGCCTCTCGCAGACACGACTACTGACCCCTGATCTTGCACCTCATCTTGGCAAAGAAGTTGTCGTTGCTCTCCTCCCACACCTCAGTCTCAGCCGGAAGCCTGCCGGTGTCAATGTCAGCCTCGAGAGGGTTGACGAACTTCGTCTTGAACACAATCTTGTGGCCAAAGTACAGCACGGCGAAGATGATCAGGCTGAGGTAGGCGACGAAGAAGTCGCTGACGCTCCAGGGGATGAAAGCGGTGAAGCCCTGGGTGATGATGATGAGGACGTTGAAGAAGAGGCCGTAGTAAGCGAGCCACGGCTGGCCCCTGCCCGTGTAGGGCAGCGACTCGCGGCCGATGCCACGGGCCTTGAGGATGCGCATGAAGGCGATCTGGCACCCGTTGATGCAGCCCCAGGAGATGAAACCAGCAACACCGGAAATGTTCATGAACCAGTCGAAGACCTCGCCACCGCTACTAGAAACGTTCATGAAGGCGAGAAGACCGAAAGCTGCGGTGAAGGCCACACTCCAGTAAGGAACACCCTGCTTGGTGGTCTTGGCGAAGAACTTGGGCGCACAGCCCGCGTCAGCAAGACCGATGATCATACGGGAACCCGAGTAAACGTTGGCGTTGGCGGCGGACAGGACCACGGTGAGGAGGACACCGTTGATGAGGCCAGGAATCACAGGAATGCCGGCAAGCTTGGCAGCAATGACCAAGGGTGAAGAAGAAGCATCGTCGCCGCCAAGCATCATCTGCGGGTTGTCGTAGGGCACGAGCAGACCGACGAAGAAGATGATGGCAAGGAAGAACAGCAGGATCATCCAGAAGGTGTTGCGGATGGCCTCAGGCACAGTCTTGCGCGGGTTGGCCGTCTCTCCAGCACCGATACCAACCAGCTCAGTACCCTGGTAGGTGAAACCGGCCTGGATGAGAACAGCCCAGAATCCGACGAACTTGGCGGTAGCACCCTTGGATTCCAGCAGGTAGGGAGCAAATGCGCCAGGATCGCTCCAGGTGTGGAATCCCAGGTAGCCATTCTGACCGACGCCGGCGTCAACGCAAATGGCAAAAATAACGACTAAAAGCTCGTTAGTAAAGACAATGCACAAAGTTGCGCATGGATCACATACAGCCAATGACCGTCAACACTTTGATTCCCGCAAACCAAAATTCGAGCTCGCCGTAAAACTTGACAGGCAGGAAGTTGATGGCAGTGATGACCGCCCAGAAAATGGCAATGAAAACGGCCACGGAGATGCTGTCGTCCCAGTACTGAATAATGAGGCCGGCTGCGGTAAGTTCAAGACCGTAGGTGATAGCCCACGAAAACCAGTAAATCCAGCCCATGGCAAAGCCCAGACTGGGGTCAATGAATCGCGCAGCATACTGGCAGAATGCACCGGAAACGGGAATGTAGGTGGCCATTTCGGCCAGACACACCATGACGGAGTACACGATAGAACCGACGAATGCATAAGCGATGAGGGCACCGGCTGGACCGGCCTCCGCGATGGCCTCTCCGCTACCAATGAAGAGACCTGTGCCGATGGTGCCACCTGTGGAGAGAGAGGTCTTAGCAACGCGGAGGATGAACACAAGGATCAAGAGCAAAGCGCACCAATGGCAATCATCTGCAGGTGACGGCTCTTCAGGTTCCTCTTCAGATTCTCCTGGGCCTCGAGCTGCTTCTCCAGATCCATTGAGGAGCCCTCGCTGCCGGGGAGCTCCTTGGTCGCGCCATCAGTCGTCTTCTTGGGCTCGGAGCTGGGACTGATGGCATCGACCACCTTCTCGTCCTGGCGTTCCATGGTGGTGGTGTTCGACTAGCCAGTAGCGGGGAGCGAGTAGGTAAGAAGCAACAAAAGACACGTGAGTGGTGTGGTAATGGAAACCGCTAACGGCAGGAGGTCGCGAGGCAGAGGAGAAAGGAGAATTGAAGTTGAACGAGCTTGACAGCTAACGGCAAGTTAAAGCTACATGGCGAGCACACGGGCCTAAGAGTAAAAACCTGTCGGTGACTAGACCCCATCGTCGCGAAAATTATACCGTGTCAGCCGTCGGCAAGCGCTAGTGGTCGGAGCGGCGATGGTTTCTCTCATGTAAGACGGTGGGTCGCAAGGCCCGTTTGGGAGTGACCCTCGCCCGGCTCCGAGGATTGTCGTCTCCAAGCGACGCAGGCGCTCACTTCTGGCTGGTGCGAGCACGTATCGAGGGCGCCGCTCCGCCGGTGCTGCGCGCCATCCGCGTGGATGCCTTTGATATTCGTGATGCAATTGCGTAGCTGGCCGGCTCACGGCGTGGCGGGCTTGTCGAAAGCTTCGCCGCGCCTCAGGAGATCCGACCTAAGGAGCGAAGCCCCGGCCCGAGGTGGCGAGCTACGCGTCAACGGCGCCGTCTGCCGCTAGCCGCGCGCACATCTCTTCGCGGCGCCGGACGGCGGCGACGGACTGGCCTCAATGGCACTGCGCGAGGTAACGCTGGCTCGAGATCAACCTGCCTCATCCGTCAGCTGGTGAGCGGGAGCTGAGCGGGTAGGGCTGGGGGGCCGCATAGGAACCCGCCGACGAGGCGTGATTGGAGAAAACTTTGCTGTTCGAGTCTTTCGGCCGCAGTAGCGTGCGGGATTCGGTGGTGTGAGGGCCGGAGTGCAATAAATCCTTGCAAAGAGTCTTCTAGTATCGATAACGCTTAATTGCCGATGCCGGCTTTAGCCTCCGTTGCCGCTCGGATTTGTGGCTGCGTCATCATCTCTTCTTCGGCATTAATGATTTCGAGTGGAATTCCAGCGAGATGGATTCGCTTTCTTGCCGAGTCTCAGTTGCGGTCAGTCGCGCCTCGGACGACTCAATATCCACGAGGGGGGCCTTACACCGACGGTGCTTGCCATTGCAAGATGGTCACGGTGTTCGGGGAGACCCACTGATGATCGACGCGAGTTTGATCTCATGCAGCTGTTTTGCGGGACCTCGCTGTGACCTTCACCAGATAGCTGGTTAATCCGGGGATGATTATAAAAAATGAGTCAGAGGAATGGATGAGCGACTGGCTGACTGACCGCAACAACAATGCTCGATTCAGAGTATGAACGCGAAAATGGCAGCTGTCTAACCTTCAACCTTCACCACTCCTCTTCCTTCTTTCACGTCAAACTCCACCCATCTCGCCCTGTCGCCCCTCCTCCCATCAACGATCCTCCCAGGGTTCATGACGGCGCAACCGTGGTATTTTATAGCAAAGGCCGGGGCATCCTTATCCGCAACCACCAACGCCGTCGGCAGCGGGTATAGTCCGAGAGCATGCGCGTAATCCCAGTGCACAGGCCGCACATGGAGCGGGAATGGTGACAAGTGGGACTGGTCGAGTAGCGTGCGGGTTAGCGCCTGAGCTGTCAAGCGGTCAGGGTCCAGCTGAGGTTTAGCCTGCGGTTGCTTGTCGACGTCCATGGTAGCCTCGCCGGCCCCGTCATCCGGCTGTTCATTGCGGGGCTCCACGTCCATCTCTTCATCCTCCTCTTCCTCAGAGCCGGGATCCTTGAAGCGGATGGCGGTACGCCTTAACCGGCCCGTAACGTCGTCCCGGAAGAGAACCATTTCGCCCTGGACACCAAACCACGTCAGCCGACTGGGGTTGGTCGTCCAAATTGCCTCTCCCTCTTTCCGCTTCCCCGCACCCCCAACCTCTCGGTTCGCTTCTTGAATCACGCGCCGGATTCTGCTCGTGAAGATCTCTGGGACGCCTTTCCTCGGCAGTGGGACTGCGGCCCCGGCTGAGAAAGCTGACGGCCAAGCGTCATTATCACCCGGAACGAAGACAAGTGTTGTCCGAGCAATAAGCTGCGGGAAATCGGAGAGCACCGAAGCGAGCGCGTTGAAGTGCTCTTTGTACTCGATGCTTCCTTGATTCGGAACGCCGGCCATTGTGGCTGAGCTGACAAAATTGCCCATGAGGACAATCGCAAGCGGAAATTCGGATATAGGACGGGTTGAGTATGCGGAGAGAAGCGTGCGGAGTGCGGTGAAAGACTGTGGGTTGTCAAGATTAATATCCGCAGCTATGGCGATCTTCGTCTGACAATGAGTAGAGTCTTCAGGCAGCAGTCTTTTCTGTATCTTCCGCATCTTGGCGCCTGTTGCTCTTTCAGATCCTGTTCCGAGGAAGTCTGTCCATCCAAAGGCAGGACCAACCATGCTCCCACTTGGGCCGGCAGCCATGTCAGAATCTGGAGTTCCTAGTGTAGAGGAGCGCTTCTCTGGAGGAGGGTGGCTCATGGCGAAGCTGATAAACTTTCCACCGATGGTGCCACCAATACCACCTGTGGCGCCTAGTGCAGACGCTGAGCCAGCGTGCGGGTTGCCGTAATCCTCTTCATATGTGCCTTCGACGAGGACAATCATGCCAGGTGCAAACCATCCGCCCTCCTCTAGGTGGGCTTTGGCATGAGTCACATCTAAGGCGATGCTTCCCGTTAGGTCTGATAGCGCAAGGGTACCAGTAGGCGAGACGGTAAGAAGGGCCAGTAGGAGGTGGGTTGTTCCGTGCCGACCTAACAAATTCGAGATTGGAGTGATTTTGTGACTTTGTGAAGTCGTGATGGAGCCAACGCGCTGTAGTGAAGCTCGGCTCCCGACGAGAGTCGGTGTTTGAAATAGCTCATTCCGGAGCAGCCGCTGGTGAATTATATGGTACCTTTGACGAAACATCTCTGTCTTGACTGCTGGATTGGGGAACAGAGTCGGTTTGGTTGTCGATCTGCCGATAGTCAGTACGAGATCTCTGCGATAGAATCTGCCCTGTCTTTCCTTTCAAAATGCTTCTTAGTGATGTTATACACCATTTTCGGTTGGTCGAAGCCTCCAATGACCTTGATCCAGTCTCTAGGATCCTTGCTACCATCGTCTTCCTCGTCATCAGCAACATTCAAGTTGCCCATACCAAAGCTATCCTGCTTCTCCAAAAGCGGGGGACGGCCGTTTGCACCGCTGCCATCTCCAAAGTTGAAGCTTGTATCCCTGCTCAAAGACGACGGGTTCTTAACCTGAACCACGCGCCCACCACTCATGCATCCCTCCAATGTCTTGAGTATGCTCTTCAGAAGAGGCCCGTCGCCATCGACAATGACCTGGCCGCCACCCCTCTTCCATGCCCTTGCGACCTCCTCCAGCACACGCTCGGCAAGACCCTCTTCCCGCCATCCTGAACCACAGTGTCTTCCGATGAATGTTGCGAGAGCGGCTAGAGCAGGAGATGTCAAAGTAAGGTTATGTTTTTTCGTGAAGGTCCTGAACGCGAGGGGTCGCAGCGTTGGGGGTGGTAATATTATTGGAAGAACGGCGGGTTTGAGAGCAGGTGGTGCAGGGATAGGTGCGGTGCGCAGTGGACGTGCAGGATTGACTGGCGGGGTCGCAAAAGCCGGCGATGACGAAGGAACGGGATCTGAGGCGGGGTCGACGGCGCGGCGACTGATTGAGGCCATTATGGATGGAATGGTGGTGGAGACATGTGGTGGTGCGGGCGCGGCGATGAGAGATGCGCCGGGAGACGCGTCGCGAAAACGCGTCACACGCGGCGCCGCTCTTGGCTGTCGCAACATTTCCGCGCCCGCCGCAGCTCTCGCTCACTCACCCACAGCTTGCGCCAGCACCACCTTTTGGCCCACCAATCACCACGAACCATCAATAATATCGATCGCGCTCACAAATCGCCGCGACTCCACCATTGTCATGTCGACCGAAGCCATTCCTGAAGAACCCAGCCCGAGTAGGCTGGAGGAGCTTCTCGCGGCTGCAAACCTGCAGTACTCGCTCAAGAACTACAATGGGGCTGCCGACATCTATTCGGAAGCTGCCCAGGTACAGGAGCAATTGAACGGCGAAATGGCGCCCGAGAACGCCGACCTTCTTTTCCGCTACGGCCGTTGCCTCTATAAAGTCGCCATTGCGAAGAGCGATGTGCTGGGAGGACGCGTCGCGAGCGAAGAAAAACCAGCAAAGAAGCAGAAGAACAAGCCGGCTGCAGCATTGCCGAGCCAAGACGAAAAGCTGGCCGAGGAGGTTGTCGAGGCTGCTGTCGAAGAGAAGGACGGCGTAAAGTCCGAGAAGGAGCCCACCGTCGAGAGCAAGCCATTTTTCCAGATCGTCGGAGATGAGAACTGGGATACCGAATCGGACGAGGAAGACGGTGGTGAAGAAGAAGGAGGTGAGGAAGACCCGGAAGATGACCTTGCAACTGCCTACGAGATCCTGGATGTCGCGCGCGTCCTGCTGTCGCGTCAGCTTGAGGCGCTACAGAACTCGGTGAGGGATACGTCGGACGGCGGAAAAGGCAAAGGAAAGGCTCCCGCAACAGAGCTTGACCCTGAGGAACGAAAGGTCATGGAGAAGCTGGCGGATACGCACGATTTGCAGGCCGAGATTGGTTTGGAAAACGAGAACTTTGTGGATGCCGTGTCAGACTTCCGCGCTGCTCTCGCTCTAAAGGAAAAGTACCTAGCTAAGGAGTCTTCGCTGATTGCGGAAGCTCACTACAAGCTCTCGCTTGCCCTCGAGTTTCAGTCCATGACCAAGGTCCGCGAGGCTCAAGCTCAAGCTGAGGCGTCTGGTATGCTACAGCCGCCTTGAAACATTGAGTATAAACATACTAACGAATTGACAGGTGGGAAGGTTAATCCCGAAGAGGCCAAGGTCGATGAAGATATGCGCGCAGAGGCCGCCAAAGAGATGGAGAAAGCTATCGAGTCTTGTCGCTTGCGTGTAAGCAAGGAGGAGGAAGCGCTTGCCTCCGTTGCCGCCGATAAAGCCGAAGAAGCCAAAGCACAGATTACCGACGTGAAAGAGATGATCGAAGACATGGAGAACAGGGTAAGTCAAGCTTCACATCACTTTCATGTGTAAAATAAACGCTGACATTGGGCTCAGCTCACTGAACTCCGTGGCCCTGCCATCTCCCTCTCAGCCCCCAGCAACCCTGCAGGTGCCGACCCGTCTAATCCTCTCTCAGGAATTCTGGGCGAGCTGCTCGGTCAGGCACCAGCTGAGGAGCGGGCAGAGCAGAAGAAGAAGATCGAGGGCGCAAGTGACATTTCTGGACTCGTGAAGCGGAAGAAGCCTGCTGCCGCCAGCGGCTCTGCGGGAGGCGCTTCGAAGAACGACAAGGGCCCAGAGGCAGCCTCTTCGGCAGTCGGCACTAAACGGAAGTCCGAGGCACCCGAGGATAGTGCTGTGGAGAAGAAGGCAAAGGTGGAGGACGCTTAGATGGTTTCATTATTTGGACAAAAAAGTGAATTTGGGCTTTTATGCACATATGGACGGTCTGCAGGCATGGATGGAGGAATAACATCATGGATTGGTTGTACTTTCTTGTTGGCGGTGATGATGGCGATACCAGCTACACGCATTGGCATGCGGCATAGCATTAATCTAGTCCCATTCATTCCCATAGAGTGACCCCACATATCATGGTGACGCCCTAGATCGCTTAAGCAGGACTGCCGAGCAAGGTCCTCCCTCATTCTATTTAAAACCCTGAGGGAATCTTAGAAGGATCAAACCGAGTCTTTCGATTTAGGAGGGAAAAGATTAGGGTTATTTGCCACCGCCAGCATAGCCAGCTTCCAGTGCCATAAAGGAGGCCGCTCTCTTCACTGACAATGCAGGTGCGTGTTAGGCACCACCCCATAACCGAACAAAATCACCTGAGTGGTCATTTCAACAACTTTAAATGTCATATTTCCAAAGAGAACGTGGTTGCCTCCCCCGGGTATTGCTTCCATGATACGTAACTTCCTTAAAACGCCTTCCTCGTCCACATCGACTGGGTATAACACCATCCCTTCATGCCCACAATGCCCCACTCCATGCCCATACCACTCCACTTGTGGCCACCGAACGGCACGTTAGGCGCCAGCTCAAAGTGCGTGTTGACCCACACGCTTCCGGCCTCGAGCTTCTTCGCCATGCGGCCGGCGCGGTCGAGGTCCTTGCTCCAAACACTGGCGCCCAAGCCCATCTTGGTGTCGTTGGCGCGCCTGATGACGTCGGCCTCGTCGGACCACTTGAGCAGCGGCACGATGGGGCCGAAGGGCTCCTCGACGACGATGCGACTGTCGTCCGGCGGGTTGTCGATGATGGCGGGCTGGACGAAGTAGCCCTTGCTGCTGCGCTCGTGGACGGCGCCGCCCAGCGCCGCGTTCCAGCCCTGCTTGGCGATCTCCGAGTACATGTCCTTGACCTTTTCGTACTGCATGCTGTTCTGGATGGGGCCGACCAGCACTTCCGGGTCCGAGGCCGGGCCCGTCTTGACGGCTTTGGTGAACTCGACGAGCGCGGTGCGGAATTGGTCGTAGATCTTCTCGTGGACGTAGATGCGCTTGATGTCCATGCAGATCTGACCGGAGCTGAGGAAGGCGAAGGTGCCAATCTGGAGGGAGGTTAGTGATCAAGGTAAAAACAGAGGAACGTGGACATGTGTGCCGTACCTTGGGAACCACCTTCTCGAGATCGACGTCGTCGCAGATGATGGCGGGGTCGTTGCCACCGAGCTCCAGGGTCACGCGCTTCAGAGTCCTGCTGCAGCTCTCCATGACCTTCTTGCCGGTGAAAGTCGAGCCGGTGAAGCTGATCTTGTCGATACCGGGGTGCTCGGTGAGCATGGGGCCCAGGTCGTCGCCGCCGCTGAGGACCTGGATCACGCCGGGAGGGAAGATGCGGGCAGCCAACTCGCCGAGCTTGAGGCCGCTATACGGCGTGAAGGGCGAGGGCTTCCAGATGAATGTGTTGCCAGTCAGCAGGGCGGAGCCGACCTTGCCGATGCCCAGCAGCAGCGGCCAGTTCCACGGCACGATGCCGCAACCCACGCCCAGCGGGATGTGCCGCACAACCACGCTGCGCTCATCCGTGTCCTCGATGACTTCCTCTGGGATGCGCAGCTTGGTGATCTCTCGGAGGTGGCCAACGGACATGGCAACCTCGATGGCGGCTGTCTGCGCCGGCTTGCCGGATTCCTTGACGAGCAGGTCCTGGAATGCTTGCGAGTTCGCCTCGATGCCGTCTGCTAGGGAAAGAAGCTGCGTTGCGCGCTCGTCGTAGGAAAGGTCGCTCCATGCTGGGAAAGCTGCTCTTGCGTTCTTGACAGCTTCCTCTACATCCTCCTTGGTTGAGACGGGCACTTCAGGGAGCGCCTCTTCAGTGCTAGGGTCGATTGCATGCCGGGTCTTTGCCGTGGACTTCAGTTGGTTGTTGACGACATTACTGAAAGTCTAGAATAATGTTAGCGAATAGTCCTAGGGTCGTGTCCATATAGGTGCGATACCGTGAAGTCAATCTTGTAGTCAACACTCATTGTGGGAATATAGATGGAGGAGCTGTAGGAGGGTTGTCTCAAGGCAGACTTCTGAGCTAAGAGACAAAGAATGGAAGAAGGCGTTCGGTCTGAATGGGCTGCTTTATAATGCCATCTCCTCGGTTGCAGGATTGGAAAATCATCCGCATCAGGAGAATCTGCCGTATTTAGGTCCGATTATTGAGAGTTCACCTCGGAGCTGGGTAAGCATGGTGCAGAAGCCACGGCGAAGGATTGGCGGGCGGGGTTTGCGGGGCCCCTCAGAGAGCTAGCGCCATAGCTTAGTCCTTGCTAGAAGCTCATAATTGGCCGCGTTCGTGCAGCTACCCGACGGATACAGGCCCGAAAAAATGCCTCCATCCGACGCCGGGAGGGTAGAGGCGGGTCGTGGTGGGTTTGTAAGTTGTGATAAGCATGTGGCCCCCATGAGGCACAGCCTCTTGGCATTACTCGCGAGGTAGCGAAAAGTCGCATAGAGGGGGCCAAAAGTTTCAAGTAGACCCACTGTAAAGAATTGCCATTGGACGAACTTGGCAGCAGGAGAGACTGTCGTACGATTGATGGGGTTGTTGTCAGATAACTAATGGCATGCTTCGTCAGACTATAAATGGTGGAGACATTTCCGCCTAGAGCATTCACCCTTTTCGGAGTCGATACACGAGAAGGAAAACTCCGATGCCAGTGGGGACTTGGCGATGAAACAGGTGCATGCGACACTCTAGGACCTGCAGCGGGTGCCCACAAATGTACCGACCGATCCGCGAAGATCGGGCCCGACGGCCTGTAACGGATTTACATCTGGATCGAATGACTTCGCTTCCACATAAGGACTCCCCCTGGTCGACAGATCATGTATTGACCAGACTCCCATTGGATCATTGTCTCTTATTATATTTAGGCGTCATTGTGGTAGAATTTTTTGAGGTGTTTTGAATCTGCTTTTTGTCCTCTTCATCCACGTTAACGACATCGGCGCCTCAAACGTCTCGGGCATAGCAGGCGATCCTTTGAACGAGAACTTTTTAGGAAGAAGGTGTGCACTGCGGAAAATAGCAGGTGAACGGAAAAGAAAACTTTTTTTTGAGAGAGAAAATATAGGATACCTCAATAGCCAAGCCGGTGTCGGCGGCTATCGTGGCATACTTAGGAGTAACGCATGTTGGCGGCTAGGTCTTTTCGTCTTTCGAGAGCGCCTCTTTATCGACTTGATGTAAACGTATGAACCTTCCCCGCTCCACCCGGTTCTGCATTACTCAATTTTCTTTCCAGTCAGTCAAGCCCGCGTCGCGTCCAACTCTCCGAGATCAACTAGTCCTTCTCTCGGCGGGACAAATTGCCTCAAAGTAACGCCGCCTTCCTCGAAGATCTTCGCCGAATCCACGTCCATGCTATACGCTTGACTGTATACGACCTCCGAGATGCCGACCTGAGTGATCTTGATGCTGCAGGTCAAGCAGGGGCACGTGTCGCAGTACAGAATGCTACCCTCCCTGATGCGTTCGCGGCCTGCCTCCAGCAACGCGTTTTCCTCGGCGTGAAGGCAGAAGCAGGTGGCCAGCGACGAGCCGCCGGGCATGGCGGCGTTGCAGCGCGGGCAACCGCCCTCGTTGCAGTTGCGCATGTTGCGTGGCGTCCCGTTGTAGCCGGTGCTGATGACGCGCCGCTCACGCACCAGCACGCACCCGACACGCCGCTTCATGCAGTTGCTGCGCTGCGCTGCGAGCGAGGCTAGCTGCATAAAGTACTGATCCCAGGCCGGCCGCAGTCGAGACTCGTTAGGGAGATCCAGAGACGAGAGAGCGGCACGGAGAGCGGGTAAGGAGGGGCTGCTGTTGAGAAGGCGGAGCTGGGCGCGGTGCAAGAGTGAGGCAAGGTGCGTGGGTGCGGAGTAGAGGTGGGCGTCGTTGCGGAGGACGAAAGAGGAGAGGTCCGGGGCTTCAAGGGAGGACGCGGCGCAACTTTACAGCATTAGACGAATGCTGCTTATCTCTTGGACAAAAAGAGAGCTCACCGTGCCTTGAAGCGCTCCCATCGTAGGGTTACGGGAGCATCCACGCTCACCAGGAGGAAGAAGGGACGTCGTAATAACGCATCGACAACCTCCTCATCCCAGATATCCGTGGTGACCCAACGTTCCTGCCATTTCTTGGTGACAAAATCAATTAGGCTTTCGACATTTTGAAAATAAAGCTCGTTGTTCTCGTTGGGTGGCGTGTCAAGTGGCACGTGTGCGTTGGAAGCGGATTTCTCAACCGACGGCGTAGAAGCAGTGCGTGCTAGCCTGATACGCTTGAAATTGTGCTCCTCCACTAAGTAGGACGCTATGGACGACTTGCCAGAGCAGATACCTGAGTGCGCGTCAGGATTGCTACTTAATCGTCGGTGGAGAGTTTTTGCGGAGTGACGCGGGAAATTGCTACAACAAGACGCGTCCGACGCGTCTAACGTCTTTCTAAGCTTCAGCCAAGCTGGGAAGAGCGCATAGACGCGTGAAGCCGGCGCAGATCACGTTTTCTTAATCATACAACGCTTTGGGAGGATCGACGGGAAGGAGCAGGAGCGTTAAAACAGCGCCACATGAGGCGTGGACCAACGGAGAATCGTAACATACCGCCGCAGATACCGATGAGCATGTCGGGCGAGAACGGACAAGGCGATAAGGCAATAATTTCGAGGTGACTCGGAGCTGTACCAGGCAGAAAGCGCGGCGTTGAAGCGAGACCCTGGGCATGGGCACGGGCACGGACCTCAACCGCCCCTCCACGCGGGCGCTCAGCCTTACATCATCTGCCCACGCCAACCAATGCCTGCCAGCCATCTGCGTGCCTGACAATCCAGACACGCCGCTTTCCGAGACAGTCAGCCGCTTGACGCAGGCACATGCTCACGCGCGAGATCCTGACCAGGCGCTGACGCATCGCTCCACTCTGCATTACTACGAGCGCCAGCCTCGAGCTCCGCGCAGCTCTCACAGCCCCGCAACACCGTCATCATGGCAACCGTTCAGTATGCGCCGTGGTCCTCCGACATCGAGCTGGCGTTCTACGCCTCGCTGGCCTCGCTGAAGATCAACCACGACAAGCTCGACGACAGCGCGCGCAAGATCTTGGGTCTGTACGAAATCAGACCGACCGACACGCCGGAGCGCTCGTCGCGCATGCAGATTCTCGGCTCAGCTCTCACCACTGACGAGTGAGTCCGCACCCGGCTCCGTGCCTTGCTTCACCTGCTGACACCCCTCCCTTGCGCAGACCGCCAGCCGGCTACTATCGCGCCGAGGGCATCCTCAAGAACGTCAACACCATCGAAGCTTACAAGAACCTCGACCGCGCCCAGGCCATCGAACGCGCCGGTCGTATCGTAAGTCCACACCACTTCAGACGGCGATGGAATAAGACTATTGAGCCTGCTCTCAGATCTGGGATGCCATCAACGACGGCACCATCTACTCTTGCCCCTCTCTGCTGGCCTCCTTCTCAGCCGTCTCTTTCGCCGACTTGAAGAAGTACAAGTTTACTTACCATTTCGCCTTCCCCGCCATCCACTCGGACCCGCCGTGGAAGAGTTCCGGTTCCATCCCTAAGCTCACCCCGGCCGAGACGACGGGCTTGGTCGATGCGGTCCAAACTTGGAGGTACGGCGTGGACTCGCGCCAGCATGGTTTCTTTCTTGCCAAAAAGCTGAGGCATGTTGCGGGTCATCATCATCATGAGAACGACGAGCAGGAAGAGCGGCCCAAGACACCGCAGACTCCGGGCCTAATGGAAGAATTTGGCTACACCTGGCAGGTCGGATCGCTCGCTGGCTATGAGCAGGGCTTTTTCAATAACGCCAATTTGGAGGACCGCTTCGTCTGCTTCGCCGATCCCTCGACGTATGAAAATAATCCCGGATGGATGCTGCGCAACTTGCTCGTCCTGATCCGTCAGCGGTGGAAGCTTAACGACGTCCAAATTCTCTGTTACAGGGACACCCACCGAACGCGCGATACGTCAAAGAGTATCATCATCAACCTAAAGTCACCGCAGCCGGCGGGTATCGAGGTGGATACTTCCCTCGAGACATCTACTGACAGCATTTCGTCCCGTCCAAAGAGCCCGAAGATGCCCAAGGTTACCGGATGGGAACGGAACGAGGCAGGAAAGCTGACGAGCCGACTCGTCGATCTCTCGGCGTACATGGACCCCACGCGTCTTGCAGATCAAGCTGTGGACCTTAATTTGAAGCTCATTAAATGGCGCATAGCGCCAGGTATTGACTTGGATGTCGTCAAGAATACCAAGTGCTTGCTGCTGGGCGCCGGAACATTAGGCTCTTACGTTTCTCGTAACCTGATGGGCTGGGGAGTCCGCAAAATTACCTTTGTCGACAATGCCACGGTCAGCTTCTCAAACCCCGTGCGGCAGCCACTTTTTGACTTCAAGGACTGTCTTGAGGGTGGCGCAAAGAAAGCTTGGCGGGCTGCGGAAGTATTGCAGGAAATTTATCCCGGTGTCGACTCAGTCGGCCACGTCATGTCGGTGCCAATGGCTGGCCACCCGATCCTGGATGAGAAGAAGACGAAAGAGGAATTCGAGACTCTGAAGAAGTTGATTGACGAGCACGATGCCATATTCCTTCTTCTCGATACTCGCGAGAGCAGATGGTTGCCGACCTTGATGGGCAAGGCTGCGGGAAAAATCGTGATGAACGCGGCGCTCGGTTTCGACACCTTTGTGGTCATGAGGCACGGATTGAAGCCTGGCGGGCCTGGCGAGGAGGAAATGGGCTGTTATTTCTGCAATGACGTGGTCGCCCCTGCCGATGTAAGTTCTGAGTCACCTTCGTCGTTGTGGTTGATCAAAGCTCGGACTAACACAACACAGTCACTCAAAGACGCCACTCTCGACCAGCAATGTACAGTCACACGTCCCGGCATCGCGCCGATCGCCTCGGCAATGCTCGTAGAGCTTCTCGTCAGCATTCTGCAACATCCTCTGCGCGCTCATGCCCCTGCACCGACCAACCCGTCTCCCGATAATGACCCGAAGGCCGCTTCTTCGTCGTCGGCCAAGCCAGCCTTTGACCATCCCCTTGGTCTGGTGCCTCACCAGATTCGCGGTTTCCTCTCGTCGTTCAGCAACTTGGCTATTCGTGGCCAGCCTTACGACTGCTGCAGCGCTTGCAGTGACCGCATCGTCGAGCGCTACCGCAATGAAGGTTGGGATTTTGTCAAGCGCGCCTTGAACGAAAAGGGCTGGGTTGAAGAAGTGAGTGGTTTGAAGGAAGTTCAGCGCAGGGCCGAGGAGATGGCGGCGGAGGTTGAATGGGATGAGGAGGATGAAGATGACGGCAGTGGTGAAGGCGAGTTGATTTGAACGAATGTAACGACGAACGCGAACGAGGCCACGGTTGGGATAGACCGCATCGTTGGATGGATGGGTAAGCAAGTGGCCGTGGCGGCGATTGCACGATGCTGGCGTAAAGGGAGTTTGGCGAGCTTATTCATCGAGTGGTAAGAGTGGTGGGCGGTGGTTCAGAGGGGTTACCGGATTTTCTCTTTCTAATGAAGACGGATGGTGCTTTATAGCGGGCAACTGCATCAATTTCTTTGTCCTAGAGGTTTCTGTTTATCAGCAGTATTAGGTAGCTTCTCTGCCTCTCAAGTCTTCTCATTAAGCACCCTAAGATCGAGCCGATGGTGAGCGGTCTGAAAGTCTCTCTCGATGATGAATAGGCAAATCCATACACACACAGCTTACAGAAAGGTTGGTTTATTGGTATTTCGGTGGAAGCTGACATTCCGTATTATCTAGGCTGGAGTCTTATGGTAAGCCATAGAGGAAGTACAGAGGGTTATTGCAGCCGACGGCTAGCGTGAATTTATTGTTCGTTCATACCATGCGTCAACTAGTTGAAGCTATCGTCTAGACATGAATGTAAAATTATTAATTCTACATTTGCATCTGGATGATAGCTTCAACTACCCGTAAATATTCTTTTTCATTATGCCCCAATGTAAATGCAACCACGGACCAGCTAACGAAGGAAATTGAACTGAAAATGTAGAAGAGAAAAAAAAAGAAGGAGCTTCATACGCCCTCCAGCAATCCATGGTCGGATTCGAACTGGTAATCTTGTATGGGTAAGAAGCTATCAAGTCCTCCCAATGAGGTAAGTCCCCACCGTACCGATTTTCTTGGGTCACCGTTGTCAGTAGCAAGATCGCATTGGATAAAGGGATCATAGTCAACCAAATATCGTCAGAGTTACGGATTCGGGTGGTTACTAAGCATTGTCGCTGTAAGGCATTATATACCCCCCAAAAAAAGCTATCCTTCGCGCTAGCTATCGGCTGCAGCACTCCTCTGTACAGTGAATCTGATAATGGCTTGATTGGATTCAACGACTTACCTAACTCAATACGCACTTGTTCACAAACTACCGACCCTATCAGAGTTTCGATCAGAATAAGTTACTCATCTAAAGTTTCCTGAACCCCCCTTGAACCGGTTGGTAAGCCTACCCGCCTATCGAGCTCTAACAACTGCGCAGTTGACATCGTTGCCCTGGGCTCGAAGCAGGATACCGTAGAGCCTCAAGTGCATCGACTTGTGTTCCCCAGGCGTCCGCGAAGACAAGAGAGACGGGGGTGAAACACCGACGGAACAGTCCTCGGCCGCCAACGCATTTCGGACGCATTTCAGGGCGTGCAAAAGCCAGCGCTTTGTAGGACATTGTCCATGCTCAAGAAGACGATCCATGAGGAAACGTAGTTAGGGGCAACGACAAAAAGAAAAGTTGATCGACTAGAGAGCAGACAAACCAGCGGCACCTGAAACAATCGCAAACTCTTCCTGCCCTCCGGAACAAAAACCCCCAATCACGAATACTCCACATTCTCTCCCACCAATGAAGCGCCCTCGGTTTCTCGACTGGAAGCCTCCTGGACCCTCCCCGCTCCGACACGTGACAGCTGTGGATGATCATACATCGCCCGAACCGATTCGCTCCACGACTCCGCCCGGATGGCCTGATCCGATTGACTCCACCACTCCCCCGCGATGGTCGCCCGAGCCCAAGCATTCTACTACCACTCCCTCTGGATGGCCGAGATCAGGAGACCTGATGGTGGTAATGGACCCGGCCGACTGAGAGGAGATTCGGTAGTGGGAGGAAGCCGGTCAAAGCAAGGATACTGCAGATCGGCGCCGGATCAGAACCAGGCACCGGGCAAGATTCGCCAACACCAGCACCAAGAGGTTCATTCTCACAGCTCGAAGGTTCCAGATTTCGGAGCGTTCCGTCCTCGTTCCGAGCGGAATCATGATCCACAGCAAAGATCCCAAGCGCCGTATCCAAGATCTACACGAACGCATCAACACTCTGACGGCGAAACGTTACGCATTCGAAGTCGTTATTGGTATGCACTCTACCATCCGGCTTGATCCAGTCATGGGTCTCCGACAGTTGATAGTGAAGGGCTACAATACAAGGGAGCAATGGAACGAAGTTAAGAAGAGTTCGTGGTCTTCGGAAAGCACTTCAAGCCCACCAAGCACATTTAGCTGTGGAATAAGATATGAATGGAGTAGTGAAGTCGAGGTACGACCTGAGTTCTGATGATGCCAGTTGGCGGGACTGTACTGCTGACGCCATTGGTAACATCAGGAAGTTGTGCAGTGGTGTTGCTGATTTCCGTGAACCAACTCCTTTTCTTAAGAGTCACACGACAGTGCAAGGAAAATGACCAACAGCATCCACCCAGAGCTCATACGAACAACTTACCTGACAATCGCTTTTGCGGAGGTTTATAAACCCTTCCAGTCGAAGCCATTCACACGATCCAGCAGCTGACGCTGTGGGCAAGGGTCTACAAAAGTTCAATCGTGAGATCCAAGAAGCTCATACTTACCGTCTTCGGCAGTCCTTTGGAGGTCAAGGTGGTCGACACCTACTGGCAGCAGCTGGCGGCAGCGACGCGAAATGGGGTATCAATAACTATACTGCAAGAAAAGAGGGAGGGAGGTGACCAGCACCCGCCGCCGCTACCAGCTCATCTCATCATCATCGTCGTCGTCGTCGTCGTCGTCGTCGTCATCCTCCTCCTCCTCACACTCCGCAACCCAATTCTCTCCCACCGCCTCATCTACGGTAGGCGCGGGAGCGACGGACGGGAGAAAGCGAAGCGGAAGAGCTCTCACCTCTTCCGCCTCGTCCCTCTCCATCAACGTCCACGCGTCCCTGACCTTCCGCACCTTCTCCCTTACCAGTCCGTTAAACACCATGATTGTACACCTAATCAATATTTTAGTGAGAGTTGTGGTCCACGAGGCTGCAGAAAGATCTCGCCGTAATCGTGCTAAGCCGTCGCAGCAAATGCAGGGTGTCCGACGTTAGCGGACCGTAATTGCATTTACGTGAGGTATATAATGCCTTTCAGCGAAACTGCTGAGTAACCACCTGAAACCGTAACTCTGACGATGGTTGGTTGACTCTGATCCCTTCATCCGATGCGATCCTACTACCACACCCGGCGTGTATGGAAAATCGGTACGGTGGGGACTTGCCTCATTGGGAGGACTTCTTGATAGCTTCTTACCCATACAAGATTACCAGTTCGAATCCGACCATGGATTGCTGGAGGGCGTATGAAGCTCCTTCTTTTTCTTTCTTTTTTTTCTTTCTTCATTTCCAGTTCAATTTCCTTCCAGGTATTCCCACAACTTTTGTCTCTCACGCGCGCCTGGCACAAACCATTTCGATTTCTCTATCCGAAAAATGATTAGGCTAAGCTTTGCAACACCAAATACCTTTAACGGCTTCTGAGATATTTAGAGCAGGCATGCCTGGAGATCCTCTCCCTCGACCACTATTAGCCGCTTCGAGTTCACTTATCCGGCTCGGAAGTTGCGCCAGCAGGAACAGAAATTCATACATCACTTCAGCATCCCCAAACGACCACCACGCTTGGTACACAATCATCAGCCCTGCGACCGCCCAATCCTCTCCACGAACCACTTCAACGCCGTCACAACGGGGCCCTTGAACAGCTCATCCTCCTCCGCCAACCCAATATCAAAGACGTGCCCGGCCCCCTGCACCCTCACAAACTCAACCCCGACGCCCTTCGCCCTCGCCTCGCTCTCCGCCCTCTCCGCCAACGCGAACGGCGCAAACACGTCTTCGGTCCCATGCACGAAGCACGTCGGCGGGAACCTCGCTCCCGCCGCCCCAAACCCCCTCGTCGGCTCCAACGCCGCCAGCACCTCTTCGCTGATCAACCCCTCCTCTTCGCCGTCGCCGACAGCATCCCCGCCCTCGACGCAGGCCCTGAACCACGTCCCGTGCTTCAGCGCGTGGATCATCCACGCCGACCGCGGCGACCGCAGGTCGGGCTTGCCGTTGACGAACATGGGCGGCGACGCTACTGGCACGGGACCATCGAAGACTTGCTTCCGCAGCGCAGCCGGCGCGTCGGGGACAGCCGCAAAGGCGGCGAGGGGCGCGGTCCAGAAGGGGTCGGTTAGGTACTTGATGCCGTAGAAATCCAGGATGGCGGCGGGAGGGTGGGGCTCGTTGCCCTGTTTTCGTCGGCGCGCGGCCTCTGTCAGAATCTTCTTCGAATAATGGGCGCAGCTATTGATGCCAGCAGAAGAGATGAGAGGGAAGGAGGAGGAAACATTCACTTACCAACTCCAGCGCCAACATCCCACCCGCCGAATGCCCCATAACACCAATACGCTCCGAATCCGCAATGACTTCATCGCCCGCCGTCTCGCGCCGCAGCGCGGCCGCAAGCTCCGTCCGCGCCCACGCTAGGCAGTCCCGCGCGTCGGCAAGGGGCCCCTCGCGTAGGGATACCTGCGGGCACAGCCGGTACGCGGGCGCGACGACGATGGTGTCGAGCGTCTCGGTAAGATACTTAATTTGCGTGCGCGGGATAAGTGCCGTCGAGCCCGCGGCGAAGCCGCCGGCGTGGAAGATGAGGATGATGGGTTTGGGCGCGGTGGTGGTAGTAGAAGAGTAGTGGATTTCGGCGGGGATGGGGCCGGCTGAGGGGTCTTCTTTGTAGTGGAGGGTTAATGTGGGCATTTTTGGTGGTTTCTGGTGTTATGGATCGTTGAGTGAAATTTATATATTGGGAAGCTGGAGGGGCAAATAGTTGTGAGTGACGGCGTCTGTGGAAGTGACGACAGTGATAAGCAACGGGCACTAAAGGAACTATTTAAGCGCGGCTAAGCCTCAGGGTCAAAGCTTGATTGTAGACATTAGAATCCAACGGGCTGTTGGTTGGCACTAGAGAATGATTGTGAGTGGTCGGCGGTGGCCTAAAAAGCGCCCCCACCACAGCCATCCAGCTCCTCTCGCTCTCCGCGCTCCGCCAAACACCGACGCCGAGCTATCACTACTACTCGCTCCGGCACATCTGCACCCTAAACTCCGCCCGCCTTACGACACGCCGATGATCTCGCCAACAACGCTCTTGAAAATGCCGTTGGGGTCAAAGTCCTCGCGCACCTTTTTGAAGCGCGCCAGATGGTCAGGATCAATGTTCTTGACGGCCTGCTTGAACACATCGCGCGTGTTCTTGGTCCAGTGCGGGCGGCACGGGAACTCATCGATCAGCGTGGTCGCCAGCTTGTGGTCTGTTCGCCATTAATACAACTTTTCCCTCTTCAGGAAAAACGAAGACTTACAGAACGGCTCGTTGAACCTCAGCCCGTCTCCAACCGTGGGCTTGAAGCTCGGAAAATCGAACATGATTGCGCCCTTGCTCCAGTCTGCACCATCAGCCGTGTCGTACGTGACTTGGCCGAGAAGGTCGAAGTAAGCTTTGCCGAACTTGATGTTGATGCCGCTGCGGTACGTGCTGGTCATGATAATGCCCTTGGCCGCCTCGTCGTCGAAGGCCTTGCGCACGCGCTTCAGCACCGCGTTTGCCTGCGTCACTGGGAACGCGAGCTCCATCGTCAGCCCACGTAGTCCGAAGTCCCACTCGGTGCCATAGCCCGGGTACAGCCCGCCAATGAGCACGTCGTAGTTCCATCCGTACACCGGCCACGTCAAGATCGCTTTGTCGGTCGTCTTCTCGCGGAAGTTTGGCGGTGACCAGAGCGAGAAGAAGAGCGTCTCAGCAGCGATGTTGGACGACGCCAGGTACTTGCCCGAGTTGAGCAGCGCCGCCGCCGTGTCAGCCTCGAGTTTGGTGACGGAGAAGGTGGATTGGAATCCTTCTTGATCTGACGTGTTTGCCGGCACAGGGTCGTAATAGCGGTAGTGGAATTTGCGCAGGAAAGGCCACCACTGATAGTCACCATATCAGCCCTGCTTTGACCAGGCACACAAGGAAAGTAACACTCACCCAAAAGTTTGCAGTAGCGTATGGGCTGATCAATCCGTAGATGTCCCCATCCAGGACGTCCTCCTCCAACAAACTAAACGAAAGTGACTGTCAGCATACTAAACCCCCAATTACAGACGGCAGTTGAAAAAGACAGAAAAAGAACTTACGTTTCCTGCTGCGCATACACCTTAAAATCCGGGTAAATCTTCATCTTCATCCTTACAATCACGCCCAGCAGCCCCAAGCTCGTGCTCGCCGCCAACCACTCATCACTCCCCTCATCCCTCGCCACCACCCTCGTCTTCCCACTCCCATCCACGATATGCAGCTCCTCCACACCCGCCGCGACCATCGAGTCCTCGCGCAAGCTGCTCCGGTGCGCCCCCATCGCCACACTCCCAGCCAACGTAATATTCCAATTAACAAGCGTGTACCCGACGCTAGCGCCGCGCTGGTGCAAGTACTCCGCGAGCTGGAAGAAAGTAACGCCCGCCTCGATGAGGACCGTCCCCGTCTCCGCGCCCTCGGGCAGGTCGAAGTCGGAGATGCCGTTGACGTACTCGGTGCGGATGACGAGCGTGCTGCTCGAGTTGTCGGCGCACATGGTGTCGTACCACATGTGGCCCTTGCCCGACGCCCGCACCGGCGTGCCCGCCGCCGCCGCCTCCGCCACCAGCGACTCGATCTGCGCCACCGACGTCGCGTTGATGACTGAGGCTACGTCGTTGCATGCGGGGAACCCCGGCCCGTCGAAGGTGTTGTAGGGGATGGCGGCTGCGCCGAGCGCTGCGGCGAGGAGGGGCAGGAAGGGCTTCATGAGTGGTGCCATGGTTGGAGTAGAGAGGCAGACAGTTTGCCAGAGAGAGAGAGACGGGGTAGGCAGAGGGTGTCAATGCCTAAGACAGGCGAGGAGGGGGGGGGGAAGAGAAAAGAGAAGGGAAAGAAAAAAGGAAGTCTGTAGCTATGCTGATTTCTTATAGTAACGTAGGCAGAGGGCGGATGACCCCCCAAGTCGGCAACGATGTGCTTACCCCATCCTCGTCGTGTGTTGACCCGCCATCCGGGAGGCGTTGGGCGCATGGCCTACTTTCTGCTGCTTTCCTTTTTTTTTTCTGTCGAGTAACCTGGGCTGCATGCCCATTCAGTCAGCCGCGCCTTGCTCATGTGAAAGGAAAGTGAACCCAATCATCCAGATCGGATGCCAGGCCAGCCCGTGTAAGCTCTTCTCGCTTGATCGGCATAAACAAAAGTCGGACGACACGCAGGTGCCGCATGCGAGGTACGTACAAAAGAGCATGCCAAGCACGGCGATCGTGATACTAAAACACCCCGACCCGGCGGGGAACCCTGTTCCTCGCTCCAAACGGGGCTCGTCGTAAGGAGAAGGTGAGCTTTGGACGGAAAATTAGTAGGGACGTGTACAAAGCTTCAAAAGGTACGTGGATTTTCCCTGATTCATATGCATCCTTGCTATAGGGATAGCCGCCAGAAGGCGGGCATGGCATTGGCTGGGACCTTGCAGCTTGGCGCTTATGCCTGTAAATCAACAAGGAGAATGAGGAAACCAAAACCGAAGAGCTACTCGCACGAACATGACCACATCAAGTATGGTCCCCTTTGCATACCAGGTACAGCAAAAACGTGATGTCATTGGCATATGGATTTCGAGTCTCTGCATACGTATCCAGGAAGAGCAGGAAAGCGGAGCAAAAGAAGACATGAAGAAGGAACCGCCCTGGCGTAATATACATTCAGAAAGAGCAGCTTGTGAGATGAAAACTGGAAGAAAGACCCCCTCGTCATTGTGATAGGACCCCACTTCTTCAACCAGACACCGACCTGGTGACGAGGTTACCCTGAATCTTTTTCGCAGATCTGAGATTTTAATGCAGTGGAGAAAAGAAACCCGACCGAACCCATTACCATCCCGTGAACTTGAAAGAGAGCTGATGAAACCGAGGCAATGGACATCTCCCGTGGCCTCGAGCGCAGTCGCAAATCTAGTGCCATCGTTTGACTGAAGTTAGCCGAGCGATGACATGTGAATCTCGGTGCAAATGTATACAGCCGGGAAAAAGCTCTGCCAAGCAGAAGCATTGGAGATGATCGGCAGCTTAGCCGTTCCTCGCGTACGGGTGGAATCCTCTGTGCGAACCCCGGCCACCGCCGCGGTAGTTTGCGCCCGGCTTGCCAGCATTCTTAGGGCCGGTGGGAGCGTTTGCAGGCGCGTTGCTAGGCTGGACCGGCGGCGTGGTGGCCTGTCCACGAGCGACACCACCTCCCCTCTGCGCACCACCGAACCCGCCTCTACCAGCACCACCGAATCCACCACGGGCCGCACCACCCTGTGAGCCATTGGCCGGCATGTTGGGCTGCGGAACGTCGTCGTACATGCCCTCCCAGCTGGTCGGTCCGCCTTGGTTGTAGCCGCCCTGACCGTATGCGCCTTGCTGCATCCGGCGCGCCTGCTGCTGCTCATACTTCTGCTGTTCAAATGCGAGCTGTTCTTGCGCATTGAAACCCGGACGGTTGGCTGCCGCAGCCGCTGCAGCCATCATGTTGGCGCCACCGGGACCGCCCTGGAAACCACCAGGACCCATAGCGCCAGGACCCATCTGGCCCTGCTGCATTTGTTGCTGCATCATAGGGTTCATGCCATTCTGCATAGGGGTACCGGGAGGAACGGGGCTGCCGGTGGGAGACATGGAGTTGTTGCCCCTCATCTGGTTCATGGCCATCATCTGTTGCATCATCTGTGGGTTCATCTGACCACCGCCCATCATCGGGTTCATTTGTCCACCGCCTTGCATGCTAGCGGCCATCTGTTGCTGCATCATAGCGAAGTACTGTTGCATACGTTGCCAGTACTGTGCCATCATGGCCGGGCTCATGCCATTGGGCATGCCCTGTGCACCCTGCTGCTGGTTCTGCTGGTTGTCGAAACCACCATCACGGTTGCCAAACTTATCGCCACGACGACCAAACTTTCCTCCCCTGTCATCGTCGTTATCCTTTAGATTACCACGCGGTTGTGCGCGCTTGACTTCGATGGGCTTTCCGAGGATGGCGAGCGGGCCCTGAAGACAGGCATCGACAGCAGCCTCGCCGTCGAAGGTGACGAATCCGAAGCCACGGGGTCGGCCAGTGTCCTTGTCCATCATGAGGGTGGCATCTATGACGCGGCCAAACTGTTCGAAGAAAGTCTTGAAGTCTTGCTCGGTGGCCTCCTGGCTAACACCACCAACGAAGATCTTTGCAGTCTTTTCCTGCTCCTCGCGGGGAATCGCACGCTTCGGATCAATCTACAGGAATCTTGTCACTTTAGTAATTCTTATGTGCCTGGACCATGCACTACTCACAATCTTGCCATCGAGATAGTGCTCTTTCACCATGACAATGTTGACCGTCTTGGGGTCCTTGAAGGTAAGGAAGCCAAAGCCACGGGACCGGCCGGTAGCACCATCGCGCATGACGGTGCACTCGGCGACCTCACCAAACTGAGAGAAGTAGTCACGCAGCGATTCTAGCGGATGGACGTGTTAGTACGGCTAGCAAGGCTCGCTTATTTGGGAAAGCCATCGCGTGCAGCACAGGGCATCGTATCGGGACTACTCACGATCCGTGGTCTCCCAGTTCAATCCACCAATGAACATTTTACTAGTGAATTGGTCAGTTCGTCGGCCATTGAAGAATGCGGCAAAGCAGCGGAGCTAAATAAGCAAAGAAATGAGTGGGGAGCGGCAAGCGGATCGAGTCGGTTTTCGAAGTCTCCCTAGTCTCGTCGTGCAAAGTGTCAAGCGTCGCGCTAATTGGGCCCAGTCGTGGTGCAAGCCTTGGATCTTTGGATGTGCAAGTCGTCGCGTTGACGCCGGACGGGTGCCGATTTGCTTGCCTGAAAGCAATGTTTCGCCATAGCTCTTTGCTGATTGATACTGTCCATGGCAACCGAGTGTCCAGCTGGGCTGGACCTGAAGCCATTGTGGACTCGACGCCGCCACCACGGCCTATCGTCGCAAGAGCACACTGATGTTCGGCAGGAAGCGTCTGTGTTTTGCTACGAACCGAGTGCTAGGCGCCGGCAGCTTCAGACCCCAGCGACGGAGAGTGATGCCCCAGTCCCATCTACCTGCTCGAAGCTATCCTCGCTGGCTCTATGGAGATTATCTCGACAAGAAGCTACGCTCCTAAAGGTAGCAGATTGAGCTGATTTGCGGCTGACGACGAGCATAAAATGGTGATCGAAGCTGTTGTGTACCAGTTTCCGGCGTTCCTCAATAACGCGCTTGTTATCTCTCCCGTGATTCATCCCAGGGATGCTGATGCAAGACACGCCAAACAGGCATGCCTTTGTGCGCGAATTGAGGAGGAGGCCAAGCGTGGCCGATTCCATTGTGATTTCCGCCAGAGACCGTCCCATCCCCGTTCCAATAATCGGGCTGATTTTTCTCTTGCTCCTAACCAGCTCTTCATTCCGAGGGGCCCAGAACCTGGCGCTGTGCCAAAATTTGGAAAGTGGAGTTTGTCCCGATTTCTCCATGCCCGAATCAATCATTACGTGGCTACGCTATCTTCCATGCGTACTTTGCAGCCAGGACAGCGTAGAGCCCACGACTCGGGGCTTGATACAAAACGACCCACAACACTTGGGAATCCGGAAGACCGACTCGTTCCGCTTACCTTGCTCGGTATTGTGATATGTTGGGGGAAAAGCACGAAAGCTGGGATGAGCAAAATAGTCCACTTACCCGTCTTCTTTGATGCCAATGCCGCTCGGTTGCTCGTGACCTCCAGACTGCTCATGGTGACCAGCGTGATTGTCGCCACCGTTCATGTTCACATCGCCATCGCCTGCACCTGCAATCCCACCATTGTGGCTGGACACCTGGTGCTCAACAACGGACGGAGCGGCCGCGGGCGCGGGTTCCGGGGCAGACGGCACGGCTTGGGCAGCGGGAGCAGCGGGCTGAGCGGGCTTGGAAGGAGCCTCGTCGTTCTCGTAGCTGGAAACTGGAGCGTCAGACAGAGATTTCGCGCGGCAGCCATCGTGGAAACGCACAGATCGGCGAAGAGATCCTCGTCGAGCTCCTCAGGCTCGGCCATGCTGGGAGAAATGGCGGCGGAGTGACGAAGGTGAGAGTGGCGGGTGAGGGGCCGAGGCCAGCGCGCAGCTAGTTTCGCACCGGCAGGGCGAAGCAGTCGCTGCGCGTGACGCGATCGAGGGTGTGTTTGCTCAGCGGCGGTCGTACAGGCGAGCTGGCGGCCAAGCAAGCAGCGGGGTCAGCAGGCGAGATGGTCGAGGGCGCTGGAGCAAAGGGCGCGTGGACGAAGGGTCGGGAGAGGAGGATGGCTGTGACGAGGGACAGCGCGGAGGTTGGAAGAGGAGGTTAGGGCAGGAGCGGCGTTTCCGCGGTCGGCTATGTCTTAGGGCTTGGCGCAAGCTGGTGGGCGGCGACTCGAGGCCCCAGCGCGCCTGGAGAAAGCAGCAGAGCGTAACAGCTCCGGTCCCAGATTCCTGCGTGACCTCCGTCACCTCACCCATCTCGCCCCAAATGGCTGGCAAGAAGCAGCAGCAGGTACTCCCGCCCCCTCGCGCTCCCTCGTCCATTCCACCCCCAGGCTTTGCTGACCCGCGCGACGCAAGGAAATGGTCCAGGTCGGTTCGTAACAGCTACCACCCATCCCCACGCCCTCAGCAGTCGCCAGACTGGCTAACCCTGTTGCCCTTGGCGCCTGACAGACCGTGCTGGGTACTTCTCCGCTCTCCCGCACAACGACCTAGCTAACAGGATGCAGCTCTGCCTCCCCTTTCTGGCGGACCAGCTCCGGCGCCGCTAAGAGCTATGACAGCAAGAAAGTAGTCGGCGCGTCATACTCCCACACCGACATCCTACGCTTCGATTCGCTGTAATTTGCCCCACCCTTGCAAGCCTCACTCGAAGACTCATGCTCAGAACCAGTTCCCTTTCGAGCTCCTCCCGCCCGCGTTCGCCAAATTCAAAGAAATCGCACGGCCACGAGAGTCCGACCACTACCCGCGCTAGCCCCGCAGCACCCTCTGCCCAAAAGCCGTATTCATACCTCCAATCCAACAACGACCCCGACGACGACGAAGATGACGAGGAGGAGGAACCGGAGATCACATTTGACGACGATGAGGACGAATTCGGCTTGCCAAGCATCGCCAGCATGCGAAGGAAAGGCAAACGGAAACCCCTCAACAAAGGAAAAGATCCCGGAGGCACCAGCAGCTCCCTCACAAGCCCGCTTGGATCTGACTTTGGTTCGGCACATTGGAGGATGAACAGCGGCGACATTGCTGAGGAGCGCAATGGGAACACGATCCCACTGTACCCCACCGCAAAGCCCACTGTAGGGAAGATTTTGCGACCTCAGTACAAAGACATCCTCCGCGACCCGGCAAATGCGTTGCATCTCATAGCGCACCCTGCGCTCCCTCCAGGTGCTCCCCAGAAGGAAGTAGAAGAGCACTCAGCGCGAATTGGGCGCATCAACAAGTTCAAGCGCATCCTACAGTCCAGTACCATCACACTACCAGACCTGCGCTCGACAGCTTGGTCCGGAATACCCGTGGAGGTGCGCCCAATGACTTGGCAGCTTTTACTCGGATACCTTCCCGCTAGCAGCGAACGCCGGGTCACGACGTTGGAGCGAAAGAGGAGGGAATACTTGGAAGCCGTAAGACAGGCTTTTGAGAAATCGAATGCGAGTAGTGACGTTGGGACGGCATCCGTCGCGTCGAGCAAAGGGCGCGGCCGAGGTCTCGACGAGGCTATCTGGCACCAGATCAGCATTGATGTACCTCGCACGAACCCACATCTCGAGCTCTATAGCTACGAAGCAACTCAAAGGTCCCTCGAACGGATTCTTTACGTCTGGGCTATCAGGCATCCGGCCAGCGGCTACGTCCAGGGCATTAATGATCTGGTGACGCCGTTCTGGCAGGTGTTTTTGGGTGCATACATCACCGACCCAGATGTTGAGTCGGGAATGGACCCAGGCCAATTACCAAAACCGGTATTGGATGCCGTTGAGGCGGATTCCTTTTGGTGTCTTACGAAGCTGCTGGACGGCATTCAGGACAACTACATCTTTGCGCAACCGGGTATTCAGAGGCAGGTCGCTAGCCTACGCGACCTCACAACCAGGATTGACAAGACGCTGGCGACACATCTCGAGAGAGAAGGGGTGGAGTTCATCCAATTCAGTTTCCGCTGGATGAATTGTCTTCTCATGCGCGAAATCAGCGTAAAGAACACAATCAGGATGTGGGATACATATTTGGTACGTTCAATTCACAACCCAATGCACCTATGGCAAGACTTCACTTTACTAACGCAAAAAATGTGTACAGGCTGAGGAGCGAGGCTTTTCCGACTTCCACCTCTACGTTTGCGCTGCTTTCTTGGTCAAATGGACCGACCAACTCGTCAAGATGGACTTCCAAGAAATCATGATGTTCCTCCAAAGTCTACCTACGCGTAGTTGGACCGAGAAGGATATTGAGCTCCTTCTTAGTGAGGCTTTCATATGGCAAAGCTTGTTCAGAGGTAGCAGCGCACACCTAAAGGGACAGAGTACGAAGGTCGGGAACGGTATGGTTGGAATGGGTCCTGGTTGATTCGACAACCCGTAAGGACTCTAAAATGTATTAACGGGCTGCGTCCGAACCCATGCAAGCAGAAGTTTTGTGAGATGGGACAGGGTTGCTGGATGCGGTGTTTTTGGATGGATCGGGTCTGAATGGCACTGTTTTGACACTTCTTTGATACCTCCCCGAAAAAAATCACCCAAGCGACGTAGGGAAGTTTAGTATAATTGTAATTGTATGTCTTGTCGATCAATGGCAATGAATGATAGCAAATCGGCTACCATAGTTGCTCTAAAAAACAATTCCACTAAATTATAGCTTCATTGTAAGTCTTGAAGCGAATAAAAGTATTGTTGGGCTATCGCAACCTCGCTCTAATAATGTCTGATGCTCAGAACCTCTCTAAATATTGAGCAATGCCTTTGTTGTTACCGAGTATTTCCGCTGTTCCCAACTCAACTATGTCGGACAACTCAATATAACACGGGATCATGTTGCTTTGTTCCAATCCAACCACGTATAATATATAATACGCCAGCTCGCTGTTATACTCATGAGACAGACGGCCGCTCTTACATGTCCGGTCATTGCATTAAGTAGCTTTAGATGATAATTGTGTAATGTGACAGCATTAGCAATGTCACTCATGGTTTCGAAGGATATGAGTAGATTTAGTATGCATTAAGACTGCTCCAGCTACCCGTGAATATCTCAGAAACGACCGCAATCATGTGTGAGAGAGTGATGTTGATGCTGACCAAGAAGTAAGCAATGGTCGTTGATACTGTTGAGCCCATGAAAAGTGCCGGGTAGCAATCTCAGGCCCCGATTTTTCCGAACACATAGCTTGGGGTCAACCCGCGCCGAACGGTCCAAAGGTGCGGGATTCGGCATTCCGCTGTTCTGTGTTGCATTTTCATGTCCTCTCAAAGCCCTGCGCCGCCTTTTTACTCCCCTTATGACCGACGCAGGCTCTTAGATCGTTCCCTGTTGCTTCTCTCTGACCTCCTCCAGGTAAGCCTTCAGAACTTCTACGCATCTGATCGCATTCTTCTTCCGAACCCGCAAGATGCGCAGTTTCTTCCTCGCCATTTCCCACTCCTTCTGAGCCTTCTCCTTCTCTGCCTCGAGTTCTTCGAGCGATGCCAGCAAGTCGCTGTCTTCCTTCCATACTCTTTCGCAGCTTCCCGCCATCATCATCCTCTGGCCCTCGTTGTGCAAAATGTCGAAGGAAAGTTCCAGAAACCGCTTTCTGAAGTTGCCGCCCATCACCGCATTCATCCCCGCCAGACCAGCTGCTATTTTTTGAACGAGTTGCTTCAAGTTTTGAACGCTCTTGTTCAGGATGGGTTCCATTTTGGTGAGGTGGAAACTGAGCTCGGCTTTGTGTTTGAGCACAAGTTGCGCAAAGCGAAGCGCAGGCGTGTTGGCCACGAGTGGGCGTTTGTTGATCCTCGGGACGTTGTTCTTGGTGGTATCATCTGTGTTGACCATGTTGTGGATGCTTGAGGTGGGTGCGCGAGGAAAGTTTTGAGTACCGGGATGCGTGTTTGGAGAGGACGGTGTAAAGAGGGTTTGTCGGGTGGTGGTGGTAGGAAAGCGAAGTGAGGGTGTTCGGCGACAGTGGGTGTTTGCACCGGGCACGTTAGTGGGCAGTCGCAGCGGGTGGTTGTGTCAGGTGCACCGACCATTGTCAATAGCACGGTACCGACGATGATTCACAATCCGCCTTTGGTTCACCTAGCCCATCCTGATTCCAGTAGAAGTTCTAGGGAACCAGGCTACGTGCCGCCCGCCATCATCTATGCGTGAGCGATTCAGAAGAGGCTACTATCACTAGTTGTGGACATGTGCAGCACCATTCATACTTTGACTTTCATTCTACCATCTACAGCTCAGTCTACTAAATGAATGACTCCATCTTGTCTTTCATAAATTATTTTTGTAGTGCACCCCGTTAAACTGACGCCCAACACCAGTGATACTACATAATCTGCAAGTCGGCAGCAACACAGTCTCAGTGCTAGTCATGCGGTAGCCTATATCACTTGTAGCCCAAGTCAATTGAAGTGATATTCCAAGCTTGATCTCCGGCCGCTATCTTGCGCGACAGCAAAAAAAAAAAAGAATTCCATCTCCTCCAAGAGCCATCCCTCAGCTCTAACGTGGAGGACAGCGTTGCGAAGTGAGAGTACGTGCTGTAAGAATTGACGAGCGTAACAGAAAAGCGTAAATTTTGTAACTGAGAATAGGAGGTTGGAGAAAGATTACGAAAATTTGGGAGACCCAAGATTGGCAAGAGTTCAAGCAATGGTTCATAGCCCACCAGATCGCCGGGTATGCGTCGTGTCGCCGTGTGGTCGCAATAAACTCCAATCCCATGCACCATCGCACGCACCCGAAAACTAAACGCCGATCCCACCGACGTTTCCCCGCACTGGTCAAGAATTTCTGGTCGGCATCCCTTCCGCCCTTTCCTTCTGACATCCAGCAGAACTCCACCTAATAATAACCCAATTCCCTCCCTTGATTCTTCGATAAAGCAAGGGGAAAAGCAGCCACAATGATGGAGGGTATAGAAGTCGACACCGATCTCTCCACGCACTCGCTCCTCCTCGCTGCGGCCAACCACGACGTCGCCGCGCTGCGCGATCTGCTGCGCAACACGTCCGCCAACGTGCAGGACGAGGACACGGGCTACACGCCTCTGCACGCCGCCGTCGCCGCCTTCGAGCCCGAGCCTGAAGAGGAAAAACCGCAGGACGGCGACCAGCAGCAGACCAACGGTCATGCGGCAGAGGCGAAGCCGCAGCCCAGCGAGGAAGACCTCGAGAAGGCAACCAAGGCAATCAAGCTGCTCATGGCCAACGGCGCCATCTGGAACGACTTGGACAATAATGGAGAGACGCCCGGCTGCATCGCGGCGCGCCTGGGCCTGAAGGACATTTATGGGCTGTTCGTCGACGCCGGCGTGCGCGCGGAGCTGCTGCTGAGCCGGCTGGACGAGTATCAGATCCTCGGCGACAACGGAGAGTCGGACGGCGAGGAGGACGAGGACGAAGGCGACGGTGAGGAGATACAGGTGGTGGAGGGCGAGGAGATGGAGGGATACGAGGTCGTTCAGGAAGAGAGCAGCAAAGGCGAGGATCTGAGCGCATCGGGAGTGGTGGTCGAAGCTGATGAGGGCAAGAAGGAGGAGGGTGGCCCGGCGAATCCGGACGTCAAGAGCGCCGAGTACCTGGCGTCGCAGCTCACTTTTGAGGGAGACCGGTTGCTCGACGCGGACAAAAACGGCGTGATGATGGCGTGGGAGACCTCCATCATGCAGCGCAGCGCGGATCTGCTGCTGCCGAAGGAAGGCCTGCGCGTGCTCAATGTCGGCCACGGTATGGGCATTATCGACAGGATCATCCAGGAAAAGAAGCCGGCGGAGCACCATATCATCGAGGCACACCCTGCCGTCGTGAAGCGTATGAAGGAGGAGGGTTGGACGGAGAAGAAGGGCGTCTCCGTGCACGAGGGAAAGTGGCAGGACGTCGTCGAGGATCTCGTTGCCCAGAACATCACTTTCGACGCCATTTACTTCGACACCTTTGCGGAGGACTACAAGGCGCTCCGCGAATTCTTCAGCGAGTATGTCATCGGACTTCTCGACTCAGAAGGCAGGTTCGGCTTCTTCAACGGTCTTGGTGCGGACAGGAAGATCTGCTACGACGTCTACACGAAGGTAAGCGGATTAACTACATACACTGCCATTACCTATAATCATCTAATCATGTCATCCCCTTGTAGGTTGTTGAGATGGACCTTTTCGAAGCCGGCTTCGACACGGAGTGGGAGGAGATTCCCATTCCCGACCTCGACGCGAACGGCGAGTGGGAGGGCGTCAGGCGGAAGTACTGGGTGCTCGACACCTACAGACTTCCCACCTGCAAGTTCATCGGTTGAACTGTGACTACTCTCCAATCATTCCGGCGCAGGCGGTCTGCACATCCAGAAGATGAAACCTTCCCTTAACCAAAATTGCTGCTGCTGCTTTGTCTCTCTATGATCACCACTTGTCAAGCAGTTCGTTGCTGGGTATGTCCTCCTCGTCCAACACCTTCTTGGCATTGTCGTCGATGATTGGCAGTTGCTCCAATCCCTTCTGTTTCATGTGCTTGGGAACGACGTTCGGGTCCAACAAGCCGATCTGGACCAGGACGCTCGCCTGGTCCCAGTATACCTTTTCGTGCACAAGCTTCCCGCCGCGGATACACACGACGCTGACCATGGCGACCTGTACGGCCTTATTGGTGGGCGGAACGTCGGGTAGGATCCACGGCATCTCTTGCGTGTGCCGGAAGGAGACGACCATCTCGTCGACGACGCGGTCGACGCCGGCGGTGCGTGAGATGAGGCGAATGTTCATCGAAGACGGGATGTTGGGGAGGAAGAAGTCGCGGTAGAAGCGCATCAAGTCGCCGCGGCCAATGCCGCCGGTGGCGGTCGGGACGTGGTTGACATAAGGCTGCGGGACCATAGTGCTCATGGTCTTCGCCGCGTCCTTTTCCTGGAACTTGTCTGCAAGCGCGCGAGAGAAAATTCATCAGCCCATCCGCCTACTGAAATGAAAAAGACTACGAATGCAATTGGTACTGAATGCGCATGTCCAAGCTGCTTCAACGGGGCCCTAGTTCCCCGTAGCACCATGCCCCCCAGCAATTGATCTAGGTGTAAAGAAAGCAAAGGCCGCTTACACTGAATGTGCTCTTCCCACACGCTCTCCAAATCTACGTTGATCTTAAACCCTTTCCGCACGGCTCCTAGCGTCCTGCTCCACGCCAGCCCAGCCGCGATGGGCTCGTACTCGGCCAGGTCCATCTCGGCAAACCCAGCCTCGGTGCCACGATACCAATAGGTCTTCATGGTGGTGCCGCTAAGTGATTGGGCGCCGGAGAGGTGCAGGATGAGAGGCAGCTGGGTGGGGTATTTGAAGTTGGGCGACGGCAGGACGTCCGGGTAGTAGACGACCATGGCGCACAGGCGCGGCATGGGTTTCTGGGCCAGCTGAAGGCAGACGGTGGCAGCGGTACCAAAGGCAACGATGGCGTAGTATTCGCCCAGCTGAAGCGAGTCGGGGACGGCGGCGATCTCAGAGGCGAAGGCAGGGGACACTGAGTGGTAGGTCACGTCGAAACCCTCGTCGCGGAAGAAGCGCAGAGTTGCCGGGTCGAACTCGTCGTCCTCACCACAGACGTGGAGCTGCGGCGGCTTCCTGTTGAAGGAGAGGAAGCCAGCGGTCGTCGTGCCGTTCATGTTTGCGACGGTCGGTTCGTGTCGTTGGCGCGGAGGGATCTGGAGGTCTGAAAGGTTGAGTTGTGGGCAAGCTTGTAGCTTATAGTTACAGGCTCTCGAGGAGCAGACAATGGCTTGCGCGAGCCAGCAATCGTGGTGTTGCGACGGAGACGCGAACAGCCAAGCTGTGCGGTGAGTGAGGGGGAGATGAGACGTCTCACCAGGCTGGCGGAAAGTTCAAGAAGCAGAAGTCCGCGCCCGCACGCTACGGGCTGACGTCGCCCTGACTGCAGCGCCTGTGCCTGTTATGCCCTTGTTCTGCTGCAGCTGCCATCCCAGTTTTCGCGCGCGCGTTGCCTTATCGATTGCTGCCCGGTAGGGGTCGCGCCGCGTTTTCCGATGACGTAGGACCGGGAGAGCGGCGGGCTGAAACGCCTGATCCCAGCTGGCCTTGCGGTTGTCTGGTCGCACGGAATCGACGCGAGTGGCTGCTTGCAAATTCGTCAGCCCCCGCCTTGCACAGTGCAGTACAACTTGAAACCTACTGACGGTACACCTCTCAAATTGCTTTTTTAATTGCTGTCTACCTGTGCGATGTATGTATTTGCTTTTCGGGGAGCTAAAGTCCCCAGACGAAGCCCGCGGCGCCGAATGGTCAGCCACAGCGGCCGGCGCCGGGCACGCTAAGCCTTGGGGATCCACGCCGACGCCTGCGGAGATTGAAATACCACGCGCCTGAGACTATTTACTTCCCCATCGTCAGACAAGCGATGGCCGATCATATCCGAATCATAACCGCATACACTCAGCAGCGGGAATCCGCGACGGCCGCGTGAAAAGGCCGATCACTTACCATGGCGGAAAACGAGCAGGGAATCCATTCTAACGGCACGATTCATTTCGAGACGTCCGACGCCATTCCAACACTCGAAGGAAAAGGCGTGCTCGTCACGGGCGGGGCGACAGGAGTGGGGGCAGCGGTCGTGACAGCGCTGGCCACTGCAGGGTGAGTCGACAGCGAGCTTCAAGCACAGATGTGATGGGTCTAAAGCAACATATAGCGCGTACGTTACCATCGCTGATAGCGTTGCAAACGAAGGCCAGCGCTTGATGCTAGATCTGGTCAATCAGAACAAACAGTAAGCATCACATCTTTTCTCACAACATCGCCCTCCGAAATTACCTCTTCGTACAAACCTACTTTCTTGACACGAGCCAATCTTCTCCACCCGTAAACAGCGTTCAATACCTCCACACCCCCCTTTCCTCCTTCCGCTCGCAAACGGAAACCTTCGCCCACGCCTCCGCTTTCTCCCCAACCGGCGCCCTCTCCCTCGTGATCATCAACACCCTTTCTTCCGCCTTGTCTCCCTCCTTTGCGCCTACCGACTCTCTGTTCGACTGGCTCGCCAACCCCCCTTCCGTCCCGGGCTTCCCGCCTACCTTGGGCCCTCCACCAACCGCGCCGGTCGACCTCAGCGTCACCGCCGTCTTGTACTCCGTACACCTGGCCTTCCATCATTTCAAGGCCGCTGCTTCTACTCCCGCTGCTGCTGGCGTGAAAGCAGCGGGCGATGGAGGTGGAGGTGATTGTTCGACGCACGTGAATGTGGAGAGAAATCTCCTCTTCTTGGCGCCGCGGGCGTACGTTGAGCAGGATGGGCTGAGGCCAGGTGCGCTGGCATCCGGCGCGGCGGCGGCGGGGCTACGAGCTGTATTCAAGGATTTGAGGGATGCGGTGAAAAGGGGCGTGCCGGGCTTGGAGGGGTCTGATGTGAGGGTCAATTTGGTCGCGGTAGGGGAGGTGTCGAAGAGTGATGGCATGAACAAAAGCGGAATCAGCGCCGGGAAGCAGGTCAAGGCTGATGGAGTGCTGTTGGAAGAGGATGAGGGGGAGAAGCACGAAGTGTATGTGGATGCGGTTATGCGGGTGGTGCGTGATGGTAGCTTGCATGGTGAGCTCTGCGGCAATGATCAGGAGTGATGAGAATGCTAACGGTGATTTGCAGGTTGTGCTCTAGCTGTCTCGGATGATGGTGTGCAGGGTGTAAAAGTTTGAAAGACAAGGCTGGGTGAACATTGATGCGTTGATATGTTTGGTACTGAGCGATTGAACAGGCTGGACACATCCAAGGGTTGACGATGGCTTGTTGGGTAACCTGCAAACTCTGATGCAGCATCGTTGCTCGTACGCAGAAGGTACAAAAAAACACTACCTTTTCTGATGGATCCATTTTGCTCCTTGTGGTTGCACTTTGTGATCAGACACAATTATCAAACCGATTGCCCATTCAAAACATAGAAGGGAAAGGGTCGATGATGCATGGCAGAGGAGGAGCTTTGACGGTGCACGTGCCACCCCATTAATGCCGACGCGTCCGCGGCGCGCGTCGCGTATCCCGGTAGGCCGTGTCACTGTCGCCGCCGCGCCAATCGACTCGACTGCTCTGCTCTCCAATTGACGCCGCAGAACATCTTCGCTGTCCTCGCCGGCAACCAACATGGCCTCCCGTCCCGAGCTCAAGGTCGAAGACGAGAACGGTTTTATCAGGTTCTTCCGCAACCTGCCCACGAAAACCGACGATACCGTCCGCATTTTCGACCGCGGCGATTTCTACACTGCCCACGGTGACGATGCCGTCTTCATTGCACGCACTGTACGCTGCTAGACGCGACGATGGTAGCCCTATACTGATGCGCAAACAGGTCTACAGAACCACGTCCGTCCTGCGTCAGCTTGGCCGCGAGCCTGGCCTCGAATCCGTTACCCTCTCCATCACCGTCTTCCGCAACTTCCTCCGCGAAGCTCTGTTCCGTCTAAGCAAGCGCATTGAGATATGGGAATCCACCGGCCGTTCGAATTGGAAGGTCACCAAGCAGGCCTCGCCCGGAAATTTGCAAGACGTCGAGGAGGACCTCGGCGGCCAGCTCGACTCCGCTCCCATAATCCTGTCCGTCAAAATCACGGCCAGGGCATCCGAGGCACGCCACGTCGGTGTATGCTTCGCTGATGCTAGCGTGCGTGAGCTTGGCGTCAGCGAGTTCCTTGACAATGACCTCTACTCCAACTTCGAATCTCTCCTCATCCAGCTCGGCGCGAGGGAATGCTTGGTGCAAGCGGACAGTTCAAGGAAAGATGTCGAGCTGGCTAAGTTGAGGACAATCGCCGACAATTGCGGCTGTGCCGTTTCAGAGAGAAGCTCCGTCGACTTTGGCACCAAGGACATTGATCAGGATCTCTCTCGACTGCTACGCGATGAACGCGCCGCAGGTACCCTGCCCCAGACCGACCTGAAGCTGGCCATGGGGGCTGCGGCGGCCCTGATTCGGTACCTGGGAGTCATGTCCGATCAGACCAACTTTGGCCAGTATCAGCTCTACCAACACGATCTCGCACAGTTCATGAAGCTCGATGCTGCGGCATTGAAGGCGCTAAACTTGATGCCAGGTCCTCGTGATGGCTCCAAGACCATGAGCTTGTATGGTTTGCTGAACCATTGCAAGACACCACTGGGTAGCCGACTCCTTGCCCAGTGGCTCAAGCAGCCTCTGATGGACGTGAAGGAAATCGAGCGCAGGCAGCAGTTGGTCGAAGCCTTTGTGATGGATACTGAGCTGCGACAAACAATGCAAGAGGAACATCTCCGGTCGATCCCGGACCTTTACCGCCTAGCAAAGAAGTTCCAGCGTAAAATGGCAAATCTCGAGGATGTCGTTCGCGCATACCAAGTGACCATTCGCCTCCCAGGCTTCTTAGGAACCCTCGAGGGTGTCATGGATGAGCAGTATAAGGATCCTTTGGATACGGAATATACTGCGAAGTTGAATGTAGGATCTCCAAAAGTCATCCAAATTCATACGCTAATAGTGCACTAGGAATGTTCCAACAGCTTGGCCAAACTCCAGGAGATGGTCGAGACTACCGTCGACCTGGAGGCGCTAGACAACCACGAGTTTATCATCAAGCCCGAGTTCGACGATGACCTTCGGAGCATCAGCAAGCGCTTGGAAAAGATCAGAAAGACTATGCAGGTTGAGCACTCGCGAGTAGGCGACGACCTTGATCAGGATACCGACAAGAAGCTTTTCTTGGAGAACCACAAGGTTCACGGCTGGTGTTTCCGTCTGACCCGCAATGTGAGTAGACAGTGTGCGATTCATCACCAGGTTGCTAACGACACTATAGGAAGCCGGTTGCATCCGAAACAAGAAGCAATACAAGGAATGCTCGACACAAAAGAATGGCGTCTACTTCACCACCGATAAATTGGCAGAGCTGAGAAGAGAATTTGACCAGCTCTCAGAGAATTACAACCGCACACAGCGGGGCCTCGTCAATGAGGTGGTCAATGTAGCCTGTAAGAACTATAGACCCTAGGAAACGCGATGGCCATGCTGATGCGCTCTAGCTTCGTACTGCCCGGTGCTTGAGAGACTTGCCGGTATCATTGCTCATCTGGACGTTATCGTCAGCTTTGCTCATGTATCCGTCCACGCACCCACGGCCTACGTCCGTCCCAAGATGCACAAGCGTGGAACTGGCAACACGATCTTGAAAGAGGCCCGGCACCCGTGCATGGAAATGCAGGACGACATCTCTTTTATCACGAATGATGTGTCTCTGGTCCGTGGAGAGTCTGAATTTCTCATCATCACCGGCCCCAACATGGGTGGTAAGTCGACTTATATCCGCCAAATTGGTGTCATCGCTCTCCTCGCCCAGGTCGGGTGCTTTGTGCCGTGTAGCGAAGCCGAGCTTTGCATCTTTGACAGCATACTTGCGCGCGTGGGCGCCAGCGACAGCACACTCAAGGGCGTGTCGACATTCATGGCGGAGATGCTCGAGACGGCCAACATCCTCAAGAGCGCGACGCGCGAAAGCCTGATCATCATCGACGAGCTGGGCCGCGGCACCAGCACGTACGACGGCTTCGGCCTGGCTTGGGCCATCTCAGAGCACATTGTGCGCGAGATTGGCGCGTTCGCGGCCTTCGCCACGCATTTCCACGAGCTCACCGCGCTCGTCGACACGTATCCGCAGGTGCAGAACCTGCACGTAGTCGCGCACATCGGCGAGCGTCAGCAGGACTCGACGATGGCGGACGGCGACGACGACGACGCTGCCGTGACGGAAAAGCGCAGAGAGGTCACGCTGCTGTACAAGGTCGAGCCGGGCGTGTGCGATCAGTCGTTCGGCATCCACGTGGCGGAGTTGGTGCGCTTCCCGCAGAAGGTGGTCAACATGGCGAAACGCAAGGCGGACGAGCTCGAGGATTTCTCGGGCAAGCACGAGGACATGGAGGCGCTGGGTCAGGCGAGCAAGGCGGACGTCGAGGAGGGGAGCAGGATGTTGAAGGACGTGCTGCTGAAGTGGAAGGAAGAGTGCGCGAAGGAAGGGTTGACGGGGAAGGAGGAGCAGGTGGCCAAGATGAGGGAGTTGGTGAAGGGGAACGAGGAGTTGATGAAGAATCCGTTCTTCAAGCGGGTGAGGGCGCTGTGAGTGCCCTACTGTGTGTTTTGCTCAGATGGTGGAGATACGGGTACAGGGTAGTGGATCTAGCTGGGAATGGCGTTTTGGGTGGCACATGGGAAAAGGTATCGGCTTGTTCGCTGTTGTGTAGCTGAAGATCAAGTAAGCCGTGAAAATATTTGATGTTTCCAAATAACACTGGATGAGAATGAGCGCGAAAGGAGACAGCGAGCCATGCTCTGTTTGTGAATATCTTCGTTTAGTGCACATCAATGATCCTAAATCGCAAAACGTATAGTAATTGTCACCCTAAAGAAACCAGAGGCTTCTGATATCTAATCAATTCACAACTGTTAGCATGGTACCGACCAACTTTCTAAAACACTCCGCTGTGCCCACTTTGGCATATCTCCCTTCTTCGGTATCAACTTTTTCATTTGGATTACATCTATTTACATCCGTAACCACTGCCATAGTAAGTCATAGTAAATATATACCCCGCGAAGAACGCTACACCTGTTCTATGTAGAATAACAATCTAAATAGAGGCAATTATAAAAACCAAGCACGTAGGTAGAGTGCTGTATTTCTTACGCAAAGGCTTACAGAAAGCCAAGCTCTTTTGCTACCCGCTGTGCTAATCTTGCGACCCCTACTACTTGCACATTGCCAGATACCCGGCACTACCTCCTCACTGTTAGGTCCCTGCTTCAGTTCAGACACATTCTCCACTTGTCATGATGTTTATCATCTGATGGTGCGTCAGTGAGACTCCAAAATAGCCACAAGGCTGACGTGGCTGCGTTGCCATAGGCTGGATCGCGTGGATGAAGACGTCATGAGGCGTTAAAGAGGCGCTGAGCGGGATCAATCAGAGCAAGATCCGGCCTTTCCGACGAGAGGAAAGAGAGCATATGGTCTAGCCAAAAACAGTCTCATCGTGCGAAGCACCAAATTTCTGATGTCGGAGCTGAGCAGTAGTAGATAGGAATACCAGATCAGAGAGACTGCCTCATACATGTGTGTACATACTGATTAATGAACAATAATGTACCCGTCCATCCGTGTTTCTCTATCGAGGACGAAAGGAAATTTCTTTTTTGCCCTCCTGCGGGCAAACCCGCTGTTTCTATACACAGACCTGGAAATAATTGAGAGTGTAGACCAGTCACACCGCATTCCATGCGCTCCGATAGATTTCGCTTTCCCATATCCCAGACATGACCTTTGTTCCCTAGCCAGAAAAGCACGAAGACCAACCGAAGGAAAAAGGATAAGGAGAAAAAACTACTTAACAAGAAAAAATCGAACCAACTCATTGACAATCCCTCACACCACTGGATACTTAATCCCCAACAACAGCCAAAGGCCCAATAATCTTCTGGCTCTACTCATGACGGTCATCAAGTTTCATCCATTTTTGAAACCAAAAGGGGGGGAAAGAAAAGAAGAAAGAAAAAAAAAGGAAAAGCAACTGCCTCCGTGTGCAAGCTCCCCCAACACCACGCTGCGCTCAAGAACACCAACGCAAGCAAGCACGCAACAACCAACGACTCACACTCACACACACACACAGCCATTCAATAATGCAGAGCAGCAGCCGCAGCCGCCACGCTTACAACTTCCGTATCGCCTCCTCAAAATCGTCCGAGGAGTCGCTCGTGCTCCTCGCGTGCGCGTAGGCGCCCCTGCTGCTCCCCACCCCCGCAGCGCCCTGCGGCACGCCCGGCGCCGGCACGCGCACGTCCATGGGCGCCGACGACAGGCCGCCGCCGGTCAGATTGCGGCTGTGGCCACCAGGGGCGCTGGTCGGCGCGCCGGTGGCCGACGGCATGGGCACGGTCCAGCGCTCCTCGTCGCTCAGCACGCCGGGCTCGGGGTCCTCCATGTCGGATTCCTTGAGGTCGCCGTACGTGGGCGGCGAGCCGTAACGGCCGTAGAAGGCGTCGTCGCTGTCCGACGAGAGGCTTGGGAGGTGCGAGGCGCCCTGGCGTTGTTGAGACTTGCCGTTGTTGTTGTTGTCGTTGTCATTGTTGTCGTCGTCGTAGCGGCTGTCGCCCTTGACGAGGCCGAGGCGCTCTTCCTCAGTGTCGCCGCCGCCGCCGCCGCTGGCGCGGGTGGCGTGGCCCGGTTTGCGATGGGCGAAGCTTAGGCCGGAGCGGGCGCTCATGGGGCGGAGATCACTGCTCGCAGAGTCGGGACGTGAGAAGGGGTGGAAGACGTTAGTGAAAGAGAATTGACGCTTGGTGGAGCCGGTTGTGCCTGCAGTATGAGGCGGAGGCGGCGGTGGATTGAGTCCACTACTACCCGGCGATTTGACTCGCTCGTCAATAGATGCTGCCCAGTGGACACCGCTAGACGAAGATCCAGGTGGTGGGTGATATGAAGTGTCATCTTCATGACCCTCGGTACGGAGGCCCGGCGGGAGGCCATACACATGTGGGTTGCCGGCGCCATCTGTGGCGAAATCTTGAGCAATAATAGAGCTAGGGGCTGGGGGAGGACCTCGTGAATTCAGCGAAGACAAGGAAGCGGATTTGGTAGGAACCGCAATCGACTCCAGAGGCACCGGATGCGTCGACGCGTGGGATGGGCGTCGCTTGGATCTGCGGAGGGTCGACAGACGCGAGAGAAATCCGGGATGGATATCATCGTCGCTGTTGGCGCCGTGCTCGGAATCTGAATCTGGAAAATGCGACATGCCCAACGGCGGATGGACCGTCTTCTGGCGTCGGATTGACGGCTGACCTGAGCTGAGCACCGTCTTGCGTCTGCGCAGACCGTCCCATTCGATAGACTCATTCTCCCCGATAGGCTCCATGCTCACAGAAGCAAGTGTCTTCGCCTCCTCGGCTTCTCTCCTCTGTCGTGCAACCGAGAACGTGCGGATGATAGCAGCACCACCACGAATGGTGTCAGCTCTCGGCTCGTATTCCGGCTCCTCTTGCTCAGCAACCGTTCGGACCTGGTCGAGGTCACCCTGGAACACTGCGGCATCGGGAACGTCCTTGGCAGACTTGGAAAGTTGGAGCAGAACCACGCCGGAGCAAATCTGCAAGAAACCCATGACGACCGTGGCAATGGTCGTTCCAGTGCCCTTGAAGCCCTGGAACAGGATGGCAGAAGTGACAATAGTGGCACTAGTGAAGAAAACGTAATACGTAGGCGTGACCAGCGCGGCGTTATAGATATTGAGAGCTTTCTGTCACCCTCGTGTCAGCGATACTTGCAGGCAGTGCAGCACTTCTTCAAAACTTACATTGAGGTAAATGATCTCTGTCAAAAGCGTGGCAATCACAAAAACCAAGACAACGTAAAGGAACCACTGGTTGAACTGTGAAACACCTCGGATTTGCGCAAGAATGGCAGAACCCAGCCCCTGAGTAGCAACAACGCTCAACCCTCCAATCATGCTGCATATACTGATGTATATCATCATGGTCTTCTTTGCATACCGGGGCGCCGCCCAGAGAGCGAGAAAGAGAGCGATGAGTATGACAACACCAGTGTACGACAAGAACCCGGGAGTGACGACGAGCTTCTTCATCTCCTGAATGGTGGAGACCGAGGACTGCTCGGGAGCATTGAGGACGATGACGACGGAGCCAACAATGCAGTTGAAGCAGCCAACCTTGCCAACGAAACTCAGGCGCTCTTTGAGAAATATTGCGGAGAGGATAGCGGTGACGACGACGGACAAGGCGCCCATGGGAGTGACCAGGATCGCGTCGACGAAGGCATATGCGACAAAGTTACACACCTCGCCGATGATCATGAGGGTCATTCCGGTCCACCACATCCAGTTTTTGAGGTAGCCGTATCCCTCACCAGCTTCCTCTTGGTACTTTTCGTTTGCGGACAGCAATCCCTTCTTCTTGACCACGAACGATATGCCAATGAATAGGCCGGAGGACAGTGCTAATATGATTCCAACAACCTTGTAAACCGCGGGCTTTTCCGAGGCGTCTCCAGTCGACACACCGCTGCGGGCGTAGAGCTGGTGGCCCGCCAACAGGGCGTCGCCGGCGAAATCCATGGCGGAGCGAGTAAGGAGGACCGGCTCAGTTGGAAGGGCTGTGGATTTGGTGTGCGGGATTGGAATAAATTTAGGCGCTCATGTGAGCACGAAGTGGACAAAAAGGAATGCTCGAAAGAAGACACAGATCTATCACCTTGGCGGCGGCATAAGGCGGAGAAGGTGTTTCAACAGATGTTTATGTTTGCTCGTATTCCGCCTCGTTTTCCGGCTCACGGCGCAGGTTTCGGCGATCGAGGGCGAAGGGTCGGTACACGCAAGCGGGAACCCCAGGAAGGCGGCGCGCGGAAGATTTAAGGGAAGCGGCGGCTGAGTGAAGCTGTGTGCGGGCGCTTGTAAGCTTGCGGCGTCGAGCGGCAGCGGCGATACGCGGAGAGGCGTCGTGGCGCAGCAGTGGGAGACGTGGATCCCAGCGCGTGAGGGGTCGCGAGAGGTGGTCGGAGGGAGGTCTGCGCAGCGCAGGCGAGATTGTGCTAGGCGGAGGAGTAGTGCGTGGTAAAAAGGTGCCGGCGAGCCGGGCGGCCTTGGGGCACTCGATGCGCGAGGAGGCTGGTTTACTACGTAGACATGCATGGGTCATTGGTGGACGTGACATCGGCCCTGACAAGCGATTTCATCACCGCCAACACCTTCTCCACAGCAACCGCCGGCGCCGCAATGGACGACGCCCAACAACACCATGACATCTTCAAGGCCGCCTCCGTCGCCGAGATCCAGGCCACGCTCGCCCACCTGAACCAGCAGGAGGCCCACGTTTCCGCCCGCCTCAACGACCTGATCGCGTCGCAAGAGGACCTCTCGCGCGAGCTCGGCCGCCTCGATCTCCTGCGAGCTCATCTCGGCACCCAGGTTGTCAACACCCGCGCCATTAGCAATGGCATGCTCTCCGACGCCGCTTCCACCGCGAGCCGCATCTCGACCGCCGTGAAGCGCCTGGACAATGAGCAGTCGAATGTAAAGGCCACATTGGAGGTTGTCGAGCAGGTCGCCGAGCTCAAGGCGTGCGTTCTGGGCGTGCACGGCTCCATGGGCGCGCCGCAGGACTGGGAGACGGCCGCGACCTACCTCAGTCGCGCCTCCAACATCCCCGCGGATGTGGTCAATGGCAGCTTCGCCGAGGAGATTGTGCCCACCGCAGAGGTGCCTGATCCGCCGCGTGTAACCCTGGAAAATGCCGCCGAATCGCTATGTGGCCTGTTCCTGCGTGAGTTCGAGAAGGCGGCAAAAGAAGGCGATGGCACCGCCGTCACGCGATTCTTCAAGCTCTTCCCCCTGATCGGTAGGTCTGACGTCGGCCTCGATGCCTATGGTCGCTACGTTTGTCACGGCGTGTCGTCGAGAGCCCGCACGAATCTGAACACTGCCGTTGCGAGCAGAGAGAATTTCTTCTACGCCAATGCCTTGACGAAGCTGTTTGAGCACATTGCCCAGATCGTGGGCGGCCACGAGCCGCTGGTCGAGCGTCATTACGGCACTGGCATGATGGGCAAGGTGATTGAGCGTCTCCAGATGGAGGCTGACGTCCAGGGTGGCATCATCCTGGACACATGGCGAGATGAGCGCAACATTGACAGGAAGTTGACCGACATAAAATCATACGCCTTTTCTTTCCTTGTCCAAAGCTTCTTGCCGGTGCCAAGCGGCGGGACTCCCCGCTCCGCCTCACCGGCCCAGAGAGACAGACTCACTGGCCGTGCAAGCGAAGATGAAGGAGTAGACATGAAGGAGGTGGACGGCCTTCTCGGCGAGACGGCAATAATGCTTGGAAAATGGTCTCTGTACACTAGATTCCTCGCCTCAAAGACTGCCGTAAGTAAATGCAATGCAGTAATTAGCTTTCAATTGCAACTAAGAAAAAATAGCCCCTCGATTCCGACCTTGAAGGCATCGACAACGCTCCTTTGATCATGCCCGATTTCCTCACCACCAGCAACCTCGCCAAGAAGGTGAGCGGCCACCTGCTGGAGCCGTACAACGTCATGGCCACTTTCTTCTTCCGCCGATCGGTCGAGAAGGCCTTCCAGTTGGACGAGCCCCCCGCCGATCTCACCTTGAATCCAAACAAGCCTCTCGGTTCAAGCCCTCCATTCGTTACATCAGCTGTCGACGATGTGATGTACATCGTCAACCAGGTTCTCCAGCGCTCGATCAATACTTCACAGCGCGGAGTCGTCTCCAACGTCGTGCCAACCATTGGCCGGGTGTTGGGGTCTGATTTTGTCGGCATGATTCAACGCAAAATGCGGGACGATGTCTACCCGAAGGCCGCGATACAAGGCGGCATGCCCCCTGAAGACAAGATCATTGCCTTTTTTGTTCTCCTGAACAACCTCGACGTCGCTAATGACTACATCAAACGCATCGTTGAGTCCCACATCGGCCGCCAAACCTCCGACGGGTCCGTCAACGGCGATGCCCACAACGCCCTCGTGGACAAGTTTCCGTTCGGCCACGACGCCGTCTTCGTCGAGAACTCACTAAAGTCCATGGAGCACAGCTTCGAGGCCAAGACGACCGAGCTCATCTCCGACGGCATCAGCGTCGCCTTCCACCAGGTGATGAAGCCGCGCATGCGGCCCATCCTCGCCGAGGCCTTCCGCGACATCGACTACACCATCACGCCGGACGAGCTCGCGGTGCTCAAGCAGCGCGCCGACGAGGCCGCCGTCCAGGACCCCACGCTCGCGCCCTCGACCAACACGACGGCGGGCGAGCAGGCCAACGCCGTCGACGATCTGGTACGCGCGCGCTTCGACCGCGCGTGGTCGGCGCTTACCCGCCCCATCAAGCGCATCTTGACCGAGCGCAACTTCGACCGCTTGCTCGGGACCAGCGTGTCGTACCTCAGCAAGGCGCTCGAGAAGCGCATCTGGGCGTACTACGGCCGCGTCAACGAGCTAGGCGCTGTGCGCTTGGAGCGCGACGTCGCCGGCATCGTCTCGGCGGCGGTTGCGGCGGGTGGCAGGTACGCTTTGAGGGACGCGTTCCAGAGGTGTACTCAGTTGACGATGGTCATGAACATGGAGGAGGATGAGTGGGCCGAGGTTGAGGCGGAGGCGGATGAAGGAGTGATGAGCTTCAATTGGGTGCTGGATCGGGCGGAGAGGCAGAGAGCGAGGGCCATTGTAAGGGAAAGGAGCAGCTGATGAAGAACCCAACTCTCGGAAAGGGGTAATCCGCTGGAGATGAGGAATTCTTTTGATCAAAAGTTCACGAAAAGCGACACATTACGAACCGCATCGTCCTACTATGCAAAAAGACTGAAGTTACTTGCATCTAATATAAACCTTCAGCCTTTTCCTTACAGCTTTTCTCGCTGACAATTTCATCTCCCCCCTCTTTTGCAATCTTTTTCGCCCAAGGCGGTTCTCCGTCATCGTCAAACTCAGCCCACTGGAAAAAAGAGCACCTTCAACGCAAAGGTCAGTACATCAAACCCCAAGACGCGGACGACAAAACATACCCTTCTTGACCTGGTGAATAACTGGTGTGGCACATCCACATATACCTTCCCCGGTTTTCCTTCTTCCTCTGCACGCACCGCAGCACCGTCGGCACGTTACATTTGCACCGCGGCGTATACCGCGGATGCAGATTCTCCTTGTAGTGCCGATACGTGATGTTGATGCGCTTGTTGCCGGCGACCGGATGTGGGTCGATGGCCTGCGCCGGCGCGATGCTGTGCTTCCACTCTTCCTGCATCGCCGCGTGCATCACCAGCAGCGAGTTGTGCGGCAGGTGAATCGCGATCTGGCCCTCCGCGTCAGCGCGGGCGGTATCGGAGGACTTCTGCACCTTCTCGTCGGCGGAGGAGCTGTCGTCGCGTGCTACGACCTTGCGGACGCGGAATTCGCGCGCGACGCCTAGACTGAGCGAGCCGATGACTGCGCGTGGCCCGACGTACGTGAGTTGATCGGAGTGGTAGCCTACGCTGTAGAACTGTCAGTACCCCCGGAAATGACTGGATTGTTGTACGTTGGGTCTCGCCTCTCTGAGCCCCCGTCGTAGCAATTGACGAACGAGGCGTTGGGAACCCATTCGTGGGGAGACTGATGCTTGAGTTTGGCGCCACCCTGGAATTGCTCAATGCGCCGCTTTATTTCGGCGTTGACCGCAGTCTGAACTTTCGCCTTTGCCTTATCCATTTCCGGAAGGGTGCGTCTTATGTCCTACTCTAATGTTAGCTCTGAAGTTTGAGTCGAGAAGAATTGTCCTTACAGTGATTCGGCTGCCATTGTAGATGTAATCGTTCTTCTGACGAACTGCTTCATCCCAACTATCCACATAGAAGCAAATGCTGTGCGGGCTTTCGACTACTCTGTCGAACAGTTTGAAAGTGTCTCTACCGAATGTAGGAGCTTCGGCGAGCATTTCCTTTAGCAAAGCGTCTGCCTCATCAGGCGGGAGGAAATTGTGGATTATAGAGCAAGGGGTAGCATTTTCGATATCTTCTGGCGAGTACAGGTGCAAAGTCTTCCCTTTCTTCGACGATAACTTCTTGGTTGCCGTGCCGCTCCCGCCGTCTGCGTTGCCACTTTTGATTGCGAAATGGGAAAGTGATGACTGATATCCGATCGTTGAAGGTTTCTTCCGGGGTGACTCGACATTTCCATTGTCCTTTAGAGCCTCAGAGGCTTTCTCCACCGACCCCTCTGCATCGAGTAAGAATTCAAGAAGAAAAGTTTGCTCAACTTCGGGATGTAGCGATACCAGAAGAGCGAGCTTCAAGTCTGTCGAATCCTCGTCTTCTCCGGGTGTCGCTGGAGCGGGAGCTCGTACGTCATTTGGCGACGAGATGCGACGTCGTTTTCTTGAGACAAACGCGTCCATGTTGCTGGAACGCGTCTTTGGAGCGGGGCCACATGATCTAAATAGGTGGCGGGTTTGCAGCGGAAGTGGTTGCCTGCAAGATGACGGCGGCCGATGGCGTCAAGCCCCGAACCTCGGCATCTGGATCCGTGCGCATGCAGCCCGTCGTCAGTCAAGCTTCATCCCACCTCAACCCGCCGCCTTTTCAGCTCTACATGAGCACTTTTGCGCAACATCTCCTTGGCTCAGGCCCGGAGTCATGAGCAATCTGGCCGGCCGCTACATCTCCACCAGCACTTGCACTTGAAGCGACGCGCACCGCCCATGATAACCCCGCCCAGCCACCGCCGACATCATGCTCGAATTCCGCACCCAAGGCTACAACGGCTATAGCGTTAAATATTCGCCCTTCTTCGATTCGCGCATAGCCGTAGCGGCATCCTCAAACTTTGGTCTCGTCGGAAATGGCAGGCTGTATATCCTTGGCCTCACGCCGAACGGCATTGTAGCTGAGAAATGGTGCGCTGCTTGTCGTCCTCCACCTATCTAGCTCGCCGAAAAACTGACGGGTTGGTTGAAAACACAGGTTCGACACACAAGACTCTCTCTTCGATACCGCCTGGTCAGAAGCGCACGAGAACCAGATCCTCACAGCCTGCGGTGACGGCAGCATCAAACTGTTCGACATTTCTCTATCCGATTTCCCCATCCAATCCTGGCAAGAGCACGGGCGAGAAGTCTTCGCCGTACATTGGAACCTCATCACAAAAGACACCTTCCTGTCTTCATCATGGGACGGCACGATCAAGATCTGGAACCCGCAAGCGCCGGCCTCGATCGCGACGCTGCCCACGCACTCATGCACCTACAGCGCGCAGTTCTCGCCGCACTCGCCCAGCGTGCTATCAGCCGTGTCGTCCGACTCGCACCTGCGCATATTTGACCTGCGCACGCCCGCCTCGGCCAGCAACCACCTCACGCTCAGCATCCCCATCCACGCGCCGCCCAAGGCGCGCATCGGCGCCCCGCTGCCCGCCGCCGCGCCGCCGTCCGAGGCCCTGACGCACGACTGGAACAAGTACCGCGACGGCATCATCGCCACCGCCGGCGTCGACCGCACCATCCGCACCTTCGACATCCGCCAGCCTGGAGCCGGCCCCGTCGCCATATTGCCCGGCCACGAGTACGCTGTGCGCCGGCTTACGTGGAGCCCGCACTTGTCGGACGTGTTGCTCAGCGCCAGTTACGACATGACGTGCCGCGTATGGACGGACGGCACCGCCATGGGCAACAACCCAGCCGACGCGGCGGCCAAGAATCCAATGTCGTTTGGCGGTGGCCAGGAGCTGGGCCGGATGGGCCGGCATACTGAGTTCGTAACGGGAGTGGACTGGTGTCTGTTCGGTGCGGAGGGCTGGTGTGCCAGCTGTGGATGGGATGAGAGGCTGTTAGTCTGGGATGTCAGAGCTATCATGGGCCCAGGAAATCACAGTATGTGAGCTGGCAAGGCCAAAAGTGGTATGCATTGTGCGGCGTTCCATTTCCTTGACCTGCTCGTCTTTTTTTGATTCATGATGTACGCAGCGCCTTTGGAGCACTTGTGAAAGATTATTTGTCATGTCCAGCTACGAATATCAGTAACTTTACAGTAGGAGCCATTGTAAATCCAGTATGATCAATTAATAAAGGTGCCTTGTGGAACTGAGCTGCGATTGGTTTCATGTTCAATTCGAGGGTAGATTTCAGCAGCGAATAGGGTGCACTGCCGGTGTAAACAGATTCGTCAGTGATCGTCCAGGCTTATAGGAGGACCACACCGAACAGAGATTGTCTTAAGGTGCCAAGTTGTCTCAGAGCCATGTGCAGACCCCAGAATCATGCATGTGCATCGATCTCATGCCGCCCATTCCCACCCATGCTGTCGATGCGTTTCACGAATGAATCCAACTGCCGCATCAAACGCTTCGTACTTCGTTTTCGTATCAGTCGTGAAGTCAGGTTCTACGATACCAGCGTCAGTCTACTTTTCATTGCTTATATTCTTTTTTTTTTTCCTTTCGCACAAAGGGGGGAGGGAGGACCTACGTTCAACCCACCCATGCCACTGCCCCTCCACAATCAAACTCTCCACAGCCCTCCTGCTGTCGTCGCTACTGCTACTACTACTTTCCGCCAGCTCTCGCCTCAGCCGCTCCACAAACACCAGCTGCTCGTGCAGCAGGATGTCCAGCGTCGGGATGACGAACAGCATGCGCTCGGGCAGCGTACGCAGCTCCGCCAGCGCCGGGTGCAGGCGCGGGTCCGTCAGGTTCTTCTGGTCGTCGTCGCGCGAGAGTAGTCCCAGAGCCGCCCCGCTCCCGCTCCTCCTCCTGGCGACGTACGCGTCCGAGAGCGGCAGGATGGCCGCTATCGGGCCCGTGATTCCCGGGAAGCCGGCGGGCTTGGGCTTCTCGTGCGGCGGGGAGCGGAGGTCGACGGGCGCGTAGAAGGTCACGCTGGCTTTGATTTCGGTCGTGGCCGTGGCGCTGGCGCTGGCGCTGGGATGGTCTGGCTGCTGCTGCTGCTGCGTGGCTGCGAGCGCGAGGTTCGCGCCGGCGCTGAAGCCGCTGACGGTGAGGAGGGATGGGTCGGCACCGAGGCGCTGTGCGGCGTGGGATCGTAGCCAGGCGAAGACGTCGTCTATGTCGTCGATGGCGGCAGGGAAGGGGTGCAGCGGCGCGAACCGGTAGCTGGGTAAGACGACGACGGCGCCAGTGTGGGAGGAGAGACGCGAGGCGAATGCGGCGTTGTATTCTGGGATGCCGCCCATGAATCCTCCGGCATGAATGGAGACGTGGAGAGGGGCAAGGGCAGTGGACTCTTTGTCGGTTTGAAGTTTGAGGGCCGGTGGGTGGAAAATCAGGGCTCGTAGAGGAGAACCGTGCCGGTTCGGAATATGGATTGTGGTGTAGCTGCGAGAGAGAATCCAGGGGGTGTATTTCATTAAATTGATTAAGAGGACGATGGGTTGGAAGACGAGGAGCCGCCAGCGGAGGTCGAAGGGGAGGGAATTGAACGGGTTGAATGCATTGAAAGTTGGTTCGAACCAATTCAGCAAGAACGACATGGCGACGAGTTGATTGGAATAATTGAATCGCAAGAAAGCAATGGAGAGCCGAAGCAAGGGTTCATATGCAAACGACGACGTTAGGAAATAGAAGTAAAAGGTTGAGTTTAAATTGAAACCGCTCTAGAGGCACCCCATGGTCTTAAAGACCCACTGCAGCCTGTTCCTCTCGGGCTGACTTCTGCGAGACACGGGAGCTGGCTTGTAGTTGAAGTTGAAGCACGAGGTCAGCCAGTTTCAGGTGCCTTGAGCGTCCCACGAGACCTAGTCCGCAAATAGCTAGACTTCAGATAACGTAAGCCACTCGGCAGAAAACATCGCCGAATTCTCGTCTCAACACTTTTCTCCTTACGAACCAAACACCTCATCTCCCCGCACAACATGGCCACCGACGAGGAGATCAAGGCTCACGTGGAGCAATGCTGGGCTCGCATCAAGCCCATCAGCGCCATCTACGAGTTTCTGCTTGCAGATATCCAGATTGTCCACGCATCCAAAGGCGTCGTTCGCGCACGCCTTCCCCTATCGAAGAACCATGTCAATTCCAAGGCCATTATGCATGGAAGCGTCTCTGCCACCTTGATCGACTGGGCTGGCGGCCTGGCCATTTCCTCGTGGGACTTGCGAGACAAGAACGGTGTGTCCACCGACATACACGTCACCTACGTCTCGTCCGCGAAGGAGGGCGACACGATCGAGGTCGAAGGTAGGGCGAACAAGGTGGGCGGAACGCTTGCTTTTACAAGCGTGACCATCAGTAAAGTCGTCGACGGCAATGCCGGGCCCGTCATCGCCACGGGCAGCCACACGAAGTTTGTCAAGATGTGAGCGCTGGCTCTGGCATCTTCGCTGTGTTAGGTCTAGTCGCGATGCTTGCAATCAAGCATCAACCGCCTTCTTCTTTGAGTCTGGCATGGTGTCATCAACTTTGAATGCTTTGGACTTCACTCGGACGGCGGAGAACAACTACCAGTCCTCCTGTTTTTCTTTTAGATTTTAGAAGTCGCGTGTTTGCTTCGGCATAGCACTTGGCAATGATGGGAGGATAAATACGATTGTTGAAACGTCTGCTTCGTTTCTTTTTTCTGCTTCGAGGCTCTTAGTCTATGCGTTGTCGACCCTGAGAATCCCAATTAGGGCGGTCGGGCCACCTGCATATGTACTGCCACGACGACGCGTACATGACGTCTGTCGGTGCGCTGTCACCGGTCACGGCGAGCTCCTTGAGGCCGTCGCGGCCGCCTGATTGCTATTCTTGGTTTGGTGCGGATCTGCACTGCTGTGCTTCAGATCGAAAATCGGTGGCCTCTGCTGGCTCCTTCAATCAGACTCCGAGCCTCCCCGTGCCAGGCCAGCCGGCCCAGACTCCTCCCATCTGTGCGGCCAGAGCTTCGGCAGTGCGGCCCTGCGCGTCCTTCAATGTCCGGATGTCTTCCTTGCCAGTCTGGTCTTCTCTCTCGACACCAAATTGCTTTGCGGCGTCGAAGACCTCCTGGGGAAATTGAGAGTAGTCCAAATTCGAGGCCAGGAGCAGGAGCAGCCATACGACCTCCTCGCTTCCGCCCTGCACCGCGGCGTGGAGGCCAGACTGCATCTCGCCCAGCGTGTCCTGGTAGCGCAGGATGTCGATTTTGGGACCATCCTGCATGGCGTCGTCGTCGTCGCTATCTTCGTCCTGCAGCATGTGAATCACCGCGTCAACGTCGCCGTCGCGGCAGAACTCGAGGAATGCGCGGCATTTGCGTTCCTCCGGGTAGGCCTTGAGGTAGCCCTCCTCGCTGAGCAGCGGCAGGATGTCGACATTCTGCTGCTGGCCGCCCTCGTTGTGAATGTGGCTCAGGACCTGTTGGCCGCCGTCGGGGGCCGTGGACACGATGCTAGCGTGACAGTTGGGACACTCGGTGACGGAATACGCCTCCAGCAGACACTCCCTGGGGACGCGTTAGCTGAGATTGGCTGCGCACGGCGAGGAATCCAAACACGGAATTACCAGTGGAAGTGGCATCCACAGTTCAGATGCACGTCGTCGGGGACGGTTTGGGAGGTGCGGGCGGCAGCGCTGCTGGAGCCGCCCATTTGGACGTCATCCTCGCTGTCGCTGTAGTCGACCTCGATGATCAGCGGGTTCTGGCAGGCGACGCAGGCGTCCATGGCGGGCAGTGATTTTTTTTTCGCTGGAGTTCTCACAAATTTTGGATCAGCGCGCAACAAGCTTTTAGTCCGTGCTGCGTCATCCTGGCTGCCCTGGCGGTGATCCCTTCCCCGGTGCGTGCCCCCCGTGCGCGCCCTCCGATCAGCATCAGCTTACTTCGCTCAGGAACGTACACACAATTAGAAACGCCCCAAGCCTCAGCCCCTTAGCCGCCCTCCCAGCTTTTGTGTAGCCTCAAGTCTCCTCGAGTCCTCCGCAGAGCAAATGCGCGCTTCCAGGCACCCAGAGCCATGAGCACCTCCACCGACCAGTCGCCTGCGCAGCCGCCCAGCGACTCGCCGCAACCCGCCCACGACGACACCAGCCATGCCGCGCCCGCCGACGCCGTAGACCCGCCCGCCGGCGACATGCCGCCGTCGCCGCCGCCGCCGCCGCCCGTCAACCTGCAGGCGCTGACCGACCGCGCGCTGAAGTTCCTGTCGACCGCTACAAACGAGACGCTCGGTGCCTGCCTGGTGGGTCTGGGAGCTACGACCTACCTGGTGCTTGGAAGAGTCGGCCTCGTCCTCATCGGAGTTGTCGGAGGCATCGTGCTGCACGCCCAGTGGGAAGGCTCTCTCCATGGCTTCCCCGACGATGCTACCCGCGCCGCCGAAGACCGCCGCCGCAAGGAGATCGGCCTTGACATCATCAAGAGGGTCATGGACGTGCGCGCCCAGAGCAAAGACGCCCAGTCTTCCCGCCGGCGGGATTCCGACGTTGATATCCAGCTCTTCTCGGGCAAGCAGCTGGACTACTCCGCATTCCAGCCCGAGACCTCCGCCGCGCTGACCGACCTGACCGATGCCATCGTCCGCGACTATATCAAGTGCGTCACGCGACATCTGACTAACGTCTACTTTTGTTGGGAGTGTAGCTGACGGCTATACAGCCACTGGTACGGTCCAATCGTGCCCGCCGAAATGGCATTTCCGAATGCGTGCCGCCAGACCTTGACGGCGTTCATCCTCTCCGTTTCCAACCACCTCGCCCGGAAGCGTCCGGCAGACTTCTTCCTCGAGTACCTTACCAATTCATCCGCTATCATGATTGTTTTCCTGAACGAACTGTCCGATGCTATCGGGAGCTCTCCGTCTTCAACCGCCGTCGAGGCGGTCCAATCATACCTGCGGCTTAAACCGGAAAGCAAGTTGGCGAACGTTTTGGATAGAAAGCACCAGGAGAAGAAATTCGATGCTGTTGCGGAGGATATTTTGGAGAATTATTTGGAGCCAAAGACCTACAACTGCAAGCCGGCACGCATATTCCTGAGGCAAATCCTTGCCAGGGTTGTCTTTGAGATGGCCCTGACCACCATGTCTAAGCCTGAATGGATCAATGGCTGGATAGTCTACATGCTGGAGGAAGGCGAGCCCGAACTTATGAAAGAAATAGACGCTGGAGTCGAAGGTTCGAAGGGCAATAAGCTCGAGGACGTTAAGAGCCAGGTAGAGGCCGCGGAGACTGTAGAGAAGGAGCATGCGGGCGGAGCCCAGACCAATGCAACGCACCGTCGGGTTGTCAGCAAAGCTCAGGAAGCTATGGATGAAGCGATGAAGGAGGCCCAGCGGCTGACACAAATGATTCAGGAGGAAGAGGCAGCCAAGCCCCGCGACAAGGATGAGACGAAGCTGGATAGAAAGAAATCCACTTCAGGACTCAGCGATGAGGTCTCGGATGGCACAACGCAGGAAGCGTTCACGCCGACGTCATCCCAGAGCGATCAGAATGAGGAGCGTACCCAGTCTCTCCACGACTCGGTCATTGGAAAGACCAGCCTGCAGGAATCTTCGAAGGTGAGAGATCCAACAAGCGATTCAGTCCGAAAATCTTCATCGGACGAGGAAAAGTCGCCCAAATCCACGTCAACAGCACCAAAGCAGGCGTTCACCAGCTTCGACCAGATTGTCACCTCGCCCACTCCAACAGCCCTGGGCGGACGCCCCCAGAGCGTCAGCAAACCGCCGCCTTTGACGCTGCACAACGCAAGCATTTCCATGTTCGACGACTCTCTTCCTGGAGACAAGTCTATAGTAAAATCGAAGCCGGTGGGCGACTACTTCGTCCAGATCGAACCTGCCATTCATGCCTACTCTGGCTGGATGATATCCAGGAAATACGCGGATTTCGAGACTTTGCATGAGGTCCTACGGCGGATATCCGTCGTCTCCGGGGTTGGATTCACAGAATCTCATCCGAGCCTGCCTGCGTGGAAGGGCCACACCAAGAACTCGCTCCGTGGGGAACTGGAAAGGTACCTGAATGATGCTGTTCGATGGCAGCCGCTGGCCGAGAGCGAAGGCCTAAAGAGGTTCCTCGAAAAGGACACGGGCATTCCGGGAGTGAACAAGGGATTCGGTTGGCCAACTCCGTCCGCATTCGAGCAGATGGGCAAAGGCATGTTTGACACTTTGTCCAAGGCTCCGAACCAGGCTGCGGCTGGTGGCAAAGCAATCTTCGGCGGTGTCACTGGAGTATTTGGCAGCTTGGGACCCAAGAGGAAGAGCATGGCCAACCCTCCGACCAACAGCAACAAGGCGGAAGAGGCGCCCGCGACAAACAGGCACAGGAGAGCAGAAAGCACCGTTTCCGAGCTACCCAACTCCTCCCACTTGAGGTCCGAGAGCATTCTGTCCACCAGCGGTAGACGAAGCACAGACAGTGTTCGCAGTCCCGTTGGCCGTCGCAGTCAAGAGAGCATTCGCAGCCTCCCAGTCGTCGATCAGCAACCGGCCCCCATTGCTCAAATGGAACGCCGGCCGAGTTACAACCCAGAGGACACTGAAAACAAGCCTCGGCCGAACTCGTCGAGGTCTTCGGTTTATGGAAGCAGGACACACAGCCGCAATCCGAGTAGAGCACCATCTCAAAGAGAAAGTCTGGATATCTCACCACTCATGGGTGGCGATCAGATCCTCAACCTTCCCCCTCCACCATCCGACATCTCGGATTCTTACGGTGAACCCCCGAGTCCGGAACGAGAGCGGAAGCGCGGCAGTCGAAGCGAGGAGTCTAGGCGCCTTTCAAGGGCTTCAACGGCTAGGGAGTCCATGCTCAGCGAGTCCGGCCGGGGGGTCAGCCCGCCCAAGTTTACACGCGCGCAGACGGACCCTGGCAAAGCAAGGGCCGAGTCTAAGCTAAAAGCACCGCTAAACGAGAACGAGACGCAGATGGCGGTAGAGCTTTTCTTCGCCATCATCAACGAGCTTTATACCCTTTCTTCAGCCTGGCAGATCCGGAAAACTCTTCTCGGAGCTGCCAAAACGTTCCTTCTTCGACCCGGAAACCCACAACTGGAGAGCATCCGCGTCCTCCTACAAGACACGGTGCTGGAGGCAAACTCGTCCGACGCGGGTATTGCATCGCATCTTCAAAAGTTGCGGTTCAACACCATGCCCACGGAAGAGGAGAGGAAGAAATGGCCTGTGCCGATGAGCGACGAGGAGAAGGAGAAACTCCGCGTCAAAGCCCGCAAGCTGCTCGTTGAACGCGGCATGCCTCAGGCGCTCACGAGCGTGATGGGCCAGGCAGCGAGCGGAGAGGCTCTCGGCAAGGTGTTTGATTGCCTGCAAGTTGAAGACGTTTCTAGAGGATTCATGTTTGGACTGCTTCTTCAAGCGGTTAGGGCAGTGACGGCATAGAGAGAGCCCCTTGCCCTCGGTTTTGTTGAGAGTATGATTTTCCTGTTGACGAAAAGATCGCTTTTGTTGCGACTGTAACGACAAATATTCCCCCCCACATTAGGCGCTGGATTGGAATGGTACGGCGGTGAGTGTAGCGGGTTAATTGGGCCGCTAGAGGGACATCACCCCCGCTTGCATTTGCTTTGGTGTTTTTCGCCTTCTTTCTTGTGTTGTTTTCTAGAATTCATGTCATCGTTCATTACCGCCAACCCCCCCGTATCCCCTTGGATTTTCTGCCTTACGTTCTTCTACGAGCAATGTACGATACTTGTAGCATCTTTGATGATTAGAAATACACAGGTCTAGAGCGAATGCCAGCTTAGACCGGGATTGCGGATCACATTCAACAATTAGACTGCGTTGCGTCACGAGCTTCCTGGAATCCTCATCTCAACTATACGACATCCGACATCCCCTGAAGCAGTGTGCCCCGAGCTTCGTCACACGGTCACATACGCGAGCTGACTGAAGTCATGATTTGGATAAGCTTAGTACTTCAGGTGAGTTCATGACATAAGCTCGTGCAGCAGCAAAGTTTACACGACGCTTGAAGCTCTCTTATCTACACAAGGCGCCGGAGTTTGGGGTCAAATATCACTACGCATATATCGGTTATCGGTTATCGGTTTTAGGAAAGACGGAAGCAGGGACAGCTGTAGGTGACCTCATAGCCGGTCATCCTTGAACAATCACGAAACAGTGGGTTCCACTCGGTCCACGGGAAGACGGTATCCCGGGTCCACACGCACATCATATCGCGTCATCTAAAACTGACGTACATACATAGGCATTCATACATTTATTATTACCTTTAAAGCGCGCGTACTTTCTTGCATAAGCCAACGCTTGCATGAAGTTTGTATTTGTAATCATGTACCAATCCTCTTCATCATGTCGACACCGCAGAAAGAAGAAAGGAGACGAACTGCACAGTAATCCTCCCCGCAATCAGGATGAGGAGGCGCATGTGGGGCCCATGCCCCGCAACCTCGGGATTGACGTTGAGGTGCACACAAGGGCCCACGGGCCCACCAAAAAAATGCCAGCGCCCCCGGGTATCTTCGATTCCCGCTCCGTTCCCCGCAGCCACAGCCGGGAGCACTGTTTTATCTGCGGGAAGGACTTGTTGATTATTCGTGCCGGGCACTGAGTGGTTTCCTATGCCATTGACCGACGCTAGTTGATTGGATCATGCCCTCTTCTTTACCAGTTCTAGACGAGCCGAGGCGGCGCCATCCTTGCCGATTGGGTGCGACATATAAACATCATGCAATGCTGTATTTCTCGTTTTTCTCTCAAGTTCGTAGCGAAGCGGGGTCGTCAGCTCATCCTTGGTAACGGCAGCAGGGTTTTCGTGCACTAATGTGGTAGCAGATCCGCTGTTTTGGTTCGTATCCCAGCCTACCTAGGCTCTCTGTCGGTTATGGAGAGCAGACGTTGCTTGTGGGTGGACAGACGTGAGCGAGGAGGTGGGGCTGTTTACCGTAACGGTGGCTATTGGTTGAAGAAGGTGAAGAGACACCAGAGACAAGACACTGAGCTGCAAAGGCGTCCTCATCTGCCGTGACCGAAGACTGACTGATTCCCCGCACCGTTGTGCCATCAGCAAGAAGCACAACCCGCATATCGTCTCTTCCCTATAAATATGCTTGCATCCGGATCAATTGACAATCTCCCACACCACCAAGTCTCTTCAACCCCATAACTACCAATCATGGCACCAGACCTCAACGGTATTTCTCGAAACTTCATCAAGAATGGACGATGGGACTACTCGACGCCTGGGTCGGCAGGCTACCACATCCCAGACATGCTCCTGGACGACCCGGCAACACGCAAGGTGAAGGTTCTCACCATCGGCGCGGGGTTTTCGGGGATCATGCTGGCGTACCAGATTCAAAAGAGCTGCGAGAACGTGGAATTCAAGATCTACGAGAAGAACGAGGACATGGGCGGCACCTGGTTGGAGAACAGATATCCCGGATGTGCCTGTGATATCCCGAGCCACGCCTACACTTACAAGTAAGTCATGTTCAGGGCATTCCCACGGTCTAGCTCTTGGATTACCTCATGCTTCTGTACCTCAAGCTCATATTCTGAGTGATCAGCTTCGCGCTTAACCCGGACTGGCCGCGGTACCACTCGTACGCGCCGGACATCTGGAAGTACCTGGACAAGGTGTGTGAGGTGTTCGACCTGCGCAAGTACATGACGTTCAACACCGAGGTCATCGAGGCGCGGTGGAACGACGACGCAGGGAAATGGCACGTACGGCTCCGACAGACGGACGGTGCGGGAAATGCGCGCGAGTTCGAGGAGGAGTGCGACGTGCTGCTGTACGCGACGGGCATCCTGAACAACTTCAAGTGGCCGGACCTGCCGGGGCTGAAGGACCGGTTCAAGGGGCGGGTGGTGCACACGGCGCGGTGGCCGAAAGACTACCAGCAGCGGCAGTGGGCGGGCGAGAGGGTGGCCGTCATCGGGTCGGGCGCCAGCTCGATCCAGACGGTGCCGCACATGCAGCCGCACGTCCAACACCTCGACGTCTTCGTGCGCACCGGCGTCTGGTTCGTGCAGATGACCGAGAACGCCGAGCAGATCGTCGAGTACCCCGACGAGATGAAGGACGCGTTCCGGCGCGACCCGCGGAAGATGGTGGCCCACGCGAAGAGCATCGAGGATCAGGTGAACGACATCTTCGAGGTCATGTACGCCGGCAGCGCCAAGCAGAAGGAGGCCCAGGACACGATGCGCGCCCGCATGCAGAAGTGGATCAGGGACCCGCGCCTCGTCGAGGGCTTCACGCCTCGCTTCGAGATTGGCTGCAGGCGCGTCACTCCCGGCGACCCGTACATGGAGGCCGTCACCAAGGACAACGTCGACGTCCACTTCACCGCCGTCGAGCGCTTGACTGAGGACGGCGTCGTCGGCGCTGATGGCGTCGAGCGCAAGTGCGACACCGTCATCTGCGCCACCGGCTTCGACGTCACCTACCGCCCGCGCTTCCCGGTCGTCGGCAAGAACGGCGTCAACCTGGCCGAGAAGTGGAAGGATGCGCCCGAGAGCTACCTTGGCATCACGGTGCCCGACATGCCCAACTTCTTCATGTACATCGGTCCGACGTGGTAAGTAAAGACGAAGTGATGTTTGTGACAGTGATTAACACTCCTGCAGGCCGGTCGAGAATGGAAGCGTTGCCGGTCCGTTGGGAGAAGTCGTCAAGTACACTATAAAGTGCATCAAGAAGATGCAGAAGGAGCACATCAAGAGCTTCGTGCCGAAGCAGGACGTCACCGACCTCTTCAATGAGCACACTCAAGAGTGGTACAAGCACACCGTGTGGAAGGACAGCTGCCGCTCTTGGTACAAGAACAATGATACTGGCCGCATCAACGGTGAGTGCCGAAAACTTCGACAAGACTTGAGCTAATCCATCTCTTCCACAGCTGTGTGGCCTGGTTCTTCGCTGCATTACAGTAAGTTTTTGACACTGGAAAAGGGAGCAGGGGCTGACTCGTCTTTAGTGCAAACGATACGGGAGCCTCGTTACGAAGACTACGAGATACAGTACCAAAATGGCCGCAACATGTGGGCATTCCTGGGCATGGGCCTCACCCGTGAGAGCAAGACGCCCGGCGCCGATCTGTCGCCTTATCTGAACGTAAAAGAGATCGACCCGAAGTGGCTCGAGGCAGTCGGTGCCGACTCTGATGCCCCAAGAAAAGCCAGCATTGAGGAATTGAGCAATCGTAAGTCAAAGGCGTTTGATAATGGCCACTTGAGACTGCAAACGGTAAATGTAGAGAATTAGAGGAATGAATGTAACTTTTTTCGCAGCAGCTTCTGGAGACACGCCGAAGCGCCCCCAGCCGATCCAATACAAACTCTGAAACTCACCTTATCGTTGATACTGGGCGCTTAATGACAAACAGAGCAACTTATTCCAATCAAGAGAGGGTGATGACTTGTCGACTTCGTATCCATGGCGCTTCGGCCGAAAATGGCAGCAGTACAACCTCCTAGTAGGTTAGGGCTAAGAGACGGATCGTTCCAGAACTGAAAGTCTAAAAACCTAGGCGCATGGTCAATATATATATCACCTGATAATTTGTGCGGCTGCATATCTATTCGGCTGGTTTATGCATACGCAGAGGCGTTCGAATGGAGGATGACAGAGCAAGACCTTTCCAGCTGAACGCACACGTCTTTGCATTGCCCATGTTTTACACGGCGAATTAATGTCATGGACCAGCTCGCTACATGTGCTGCAGGCCGCAGCTCCAGGCGAGGCCAAATGGCTCGTGATTGGGGCTTGGAAACGACGCTACGTCGCATAAGGTAGGTTGATATCAGCCGCCGTTGGAAGGATCTGCCCGCCGCCCGTCCCGGCTTGGTATGTACAACGTGCATGTGTACGACCTGATTACAGATCCTGCACAACGCTTCGCCTTCTGGGAATGGCTAGCAGTGATGCGCTTTTTTCCTCGTGCATCATGGCATTTTCGCGCTTATTATCCTTTCCACCATCGCTTCTCAAACTTGCGCTGTTCTTCTCTCTCCACTAATCACTCACTTTTCTAATTACTTCCAGATGCCTGAAAAAGTTCCAATGGCGACTGGCCATGAGCCAGTCGGTGGGTCGGTCTACAGCAGCGATGCAGAGGACATGGCACATTTCGGAAAAAGAGCCCAGCTGAAGGTATATGACGCCCGTTCAACTTGGCAGAGAATGCTGAATACAATCTCTTTGCAGCGAATTTTCGGCCTCGTGCACGTTGTCGGTTTCACATGCTGTCTCGTCATTACGTGGGAGGCGATGCTGGTGTCAGTGGTGCAACAGCGCTTGAAATCAATCGCTAATGATGCTCAGTCTTTTTGGAGGAGGCCTTCAGAACGGAGGAAATGCGGGCCTCATCTATGGGTATATCTTCGTTTGGATTGGGACAATTCTACAAGTAGTGGTCATGGCCGAAATGGCCTCAATGTCTGAACACTTTTTACTCCTTTCCTCAGACAACCCAGCTGACACGGCCACAACAGGATTCCGCTCGCTGGGGGTCAATACAACTGGTATCCACCGTCTCGACGAAATGTGACTCCAGCCTTTTCCGCTAATTCATGTCTCGGCAGGGTCGCGATTCTGTCACCTCGTTCGTGCTCCAAATTTCTCAGCTACATCACCGGCTGGACGTGCGTCATCGCTTGGCAATGTACAACAGCATCCTCGAGCTATCTGGCAGGTACGCTGATCCAAGGGCTGCTGGTGCTCAACTACCCAGACTACGAGTTCCAGCGCTGGCATGGCACGCTCCTGCACATTGCCATCGTCGTCGTGTCATTCTTGGTCAACACCGTCACCAAACCTTTGCTGCCAGCAATAGAGCTCTTCTTTTTCGGCCTCCACGTCACGGGCTTCTTGGCCCTTATGGTTCCACTGGTAGTCATGGCTCCGAAAGCGAGCGCGGATGAAGTGTTTGCAACCTTCTACAATGGCGGAGGTTGGTCAACAGACGGGTTGTCCTTCTTCATCGGCTTGTCAGCCACCATGTTCGCATTCATTGGTAATTAAGCGCATCCTTTCTGCTTCCTACAGATACTGACTCTTACAGGCTGCGATGCCGCCTCACATCTGGCTGAGGAGATTCAGCACGCGTCAACGACGATCCCACGCAGCATGTTCGCCTCCATCACTCTCAACGGCATCCTCGGCTTGTGCACCGTAATCGCCATCGCCTTCTGCCTGGGTAGTGATCCTTCGTCCATCCTCTCGACGCCGACGGGCTATCCGCTAATCCAGATGTTCGCCAACGCGACATCTCCCGACAACGAAAACTTCCGCGCCGCCACGGCCATGTGCTCCATCATCATCCTCGCATGCATCGCCGCTACCATCAACGTCCTCACCTCCGCCAGCCGCATGCTCTGGGCCTTTGCGCGCGAGCGAGGGCTGCCCTTCTCGTCGTGGCTGTCGCGCGTGCACAACGGCCCTTGGGCAACAACAACCAATGAAAACAGCAGCAGCAGCACCAACAAGCACAGCAACACGGTCCCCTTCAATGCCGTCCTGACCAGCTCCATCATCGCCAGTCTCCTGTCTCTCATCAACATCGGCTCCGCCGTGGCCTTCAACGCCTTCACCTCGCTCGTCGTCGTCGCCAGTTTCGCCACCTTTATCCTATCCGCCAGCACGCTGCTGCTAAAACGCATACGCCACCGCCGCCGCCACTCCACTGAGAATGATGACAGCAATGACATCCCCTTAGGCGCCTTCAACCTCGGCTCCAACGCGACCGGCATTCCCATCATCGTCGCCAGCATCGCTTACAGCTTGCTCGGTGCTTTCTTCTCACTCTGGCCGCCTGCGCCAGATCCGAAGCCCGAGGAGCTGAACTGGAGCGGCGTCGTGTTTGGCGGCGGCGTGGTGTGGAGTCTGCTGTACTGGGCCGTGTGGGGAAGGAAGGTGTACACAGGGCCAGTGTTAGAGGTGAGGAAGCACACACATCAAGACATCTTCACTTCACTTCAGTTGCGCACCACACTCATCAGAAGAACATCTTTTTCTAACTAAAAAGCTACCTCAGATCAACCCCCAACGTTAGGTTGCCACAGCCCACTTTGAAATAGTCGTCACCAAGCGCATCAATGGTCACTTCAAGCAATCACCACAAATTTCAAGAGCAGTCACTCACCTTCTTTTCCCAGCACTTAGATGCTGCATTTCCCACCCACCCCGACCTTTTTCCAGGTAGTCGACACCTCTGATGAAGCTCAGCCCAATCCCTCCCCGACCTTTTTTCGAAGAGGGTAGTCGTCACCCAAGGCTTTTTTCCAGCCCCACCCGTCCTGCCCCGACCTTTTTGTGAAGGGGTAGTCGTCACCCAAAGGCATCCAGCCCCTCCCGTCCTGCCCCGACCTTTTTCCTTTCGGAGGGTAGTCGTCACCCACAAAATTTTCTTACTTGATCTAAGCCAAAAGGCAAAGAGAGCTGAAGAAGAAGAAAGGGTGGCAAGGTCGAGGAGTGGCGGCGTATATATAGGCAGAGGAGGTGGTCCGTGCGCCCGGGGCTGTCACCTGCGGTGGTTACCTGGGTGGTTACCTGGGGGATTGGTTGGTTGGGCGGTGGAAGTGAATGGAAAGAAAATGTTCGCCGGTTGAGTCGCGGGTGGTGAGCTGCTTGGTGACACGCAGATGATGGGTGTAACTGGGCGCGCGTCTTGTGGGTAGGATTGGGGATGGGGAGGCTGTTTCTGCGTGCGTGAGACTGGCACAATGGTACCATGCATGGCCTTTTGATACTGGAGAAAAGCAAACGGGGACGATTGTTGAAAATGTGTCAACCTAGCAAAAGTATGATGCTACACCAGCACCACTGATAATCATCCGTCGGCTGACCCGAATTCATCGACGTAGGCATCATCGAGGATTATCGTGTAGTATGCCAGCCTCCATGATGTCTTCTTTGATTATGTAAATTGTCCCTGACAGCCCGCTCGCGCTACCGCTGTGCAGAATGAAACTAATCTGGCTACAGCCGGAGTCGGAATCGAAGGGAAAAGGGTAGAAGTTTTAGTTTAACTTCATGGCTGGGAGAAAAGTCGTTGCATTGGCTAGTACAAGGCAGAACACACCACATTTTGACAAACCACCCAATAAACTTGAACCACAAGGTCGCAATTGGACGCTCTGAATAGTATGAATCAAACACTCTCGCCGCAGTTGTCTTTCAACATTAACAAAACGCTTCAATTCTTTTGCGAATCTACATTCAAAATATTTTCATTCTTGCCATGTGCCCAAAAACTTACGCCTTGACCTTCTTCTTAGCTCCGATGCTTGTATCGATGCTTCCTAGCACCCAAGCGGCAGCAAAGACGGCGAACATGCCCAAAGTGATGGTGATGGGCTTACGGAAAGCCTCAATGAAGGCGTAATCGTAAGTGACCTGCCGCGTGAATCGTTAATAAGAAATCCGAGAGACAGGGAAGCTGTACGTACGATAAGGTCCCGGCCCCTCCACTCGTCGTTGAGGTTCAAGGCACTGAGGTGGAGCGTGGTGCGGCCGACAGTGTCCATGAAGGTGCGGTGCAGAGTCGTCTCATTGGAAATGATGGGGACAGTGGTCTCGAACTTGACGTTCCTAATTGAAGGGTTAGCAGTCGTTGTTTGAGGTTGGTAGGGCGGACTTACTTGGCGCCCTCAGGAAGGATGACGCGAAGGTCAACGCGCTCGTACTCAATACCCTCGCTGTTCTTGGGGCCCTCGAGGAAAGGAACCTTGAGGATGTAGCTGTCACCCGTCTGCAGCTTCCTCAGGTAAGACTTCAGGTCGCCGTTCCATCCGACCCTGAAGCTGTAGTTCCAGCCACCGAAAACGGGGTAGCGGGGCCTAATCTCAAGGTTAGACTCGCGCGGAGTGGCCCTGAAGCGGCTGGTGGACACGTTGCCGATGTCATCGGTGAAATAAGCATCGACAGAGCCGGCCTGGAGAGGCATCTTCAGGGCGCTGAGAGCCGAGGTGGGCGGGCTGGCGTAGACGGTCATCTGCCACTGAACACGCGAGAAGTGGTTCTTCAGCGAGGCACCACGATTGGTCAACCAGTAGCGCTCCTCAGCGGCCAGGTTACCACCCCAGTGACTAACTTCCAGGTCGCGCTCCAGGCGGGTAGCATGGGTCAGCGGCTTGGTGAATTCGTAGCGGACGCTGACGGGCTCCTGGGCGCCAGCGGGAATTTCGTTGTAGGGACCGTAGGTGAAGCTGGAGCCCTGCTTCGTGGGATCCTCGGCATTGTCGGCGTTCGGAGAGGGCAGGACGGTGTAGTCGGGGATGTCGGCGTTGGGGAACTTGAGCTTCGTCTTCTGCTTCAGGGTGGTGTAGGCCGAGGGCACATAGGCGCTGAAGCTGTACTCGACGTATTGCTTGTCGCGCTGCTCAATGGCGGCGGGGCGCGGCTTCAATGCGGCGAGAACGGAGTAGGAAATGCTAAGGGTTTGCTGCTCGGAAGGCTTGAGGGGCTGAGGAAGGCGAATGCGGTAGAACTCGGTCGGGCTTACGCAAGCGTTAGTCGACCCATGTTGGAGCGCATCAATGGCGGCAGACATACCTGTAGGCATCGAACTCGACGACCTCGACGTCGAAGGCAGGCTTTTCGGCATCCTTCTTGTCCTTGACCTCCAAGCCGCCTATTTCCGCAATCAAGCCGGCCTCGAAGGGCAGGTAGTATTCGTCCTGGGGCTTCTCGTCGATGTTCTCGATGACAACATTGATGGTTTCGCGCGGGTAGGCCTTCTCGAGGTTGACATTGCGCACGAGGTTAACGTTCTTGAATACCTGCGGGGGCTTGAAGGCGCCCTGGAGAATCTGCTTGGAGGAGAGCGGGTCGGAGCTGTTGTCCGCAGCTTGGGCGAACGGGCTGTGGGCCAGCAGGGCGGACAGGCAGCCCAGAACAAACGGAAGCGACCTCATTTTTCACCGCACCGACAGTGTGTCCAGCATTGACCGAAGGCGGCGGGAGGGCGATGCTGCAGGAGCTGGAGAGTAGATTGCGGAGCTCTCAGGCTGGTGATGATGCGTCCCGGAGACGTGTTCGCTACAGCGCCTGAGCTTGGGCCCGCAGATCCCTGCAGCGCCAAGCCATCATCCCGCCCACCACCTGCCTCCCACTCTTCCCTCCTCTTGCCTAAACAAGCCACCGCCTCCAGAGTCCCGATTCGAGCCACCGCCCGGACCTCTAGTGCTCTGGTCTGAGCACCACTCTGGCCGACGGCCACCTCTATCTTTCCAGATATATATCCGGCTTGCCGGCAATTTTTCTCGTATCTACCTCTCCCATTTCTTTTCTTTTGGCTATCGCAAACATGTTGGCTATGGCTTCTACTCGACAGGCCCTTCGGCGTCGTGCGCCCTGCCGGAGGGCCATCGGCATGCTCGTCAAGCCAACTAAGACGTCCATCAGCTCTGTCCTCCAAGTCTCGGATGAGGTCAGAGAGGCTCTGCACGGCTCCAAAAAGAGACCCGTTGTGGCATTGGAGACTACTATTTACACTCACGGTAAGACTACTTTGTGCATGCATGCCGACTCCAAAGTTTGTAACGTCCCCAGGCTTCCCTTACCCGGACAATGTCGCTCTTGCATCCCATCTTGAAAGCATCGTGCGTACTATGGGAGGTGTTCCCGCAACCATCGGCATTCTGGATGGCGTGGCCCGCGTTGGACTGGACCCTGAGGAGCTTATTAGGATAGCTGCTTCCGCTGGCAAGGAGGGTACCATGAAGATCTCGCGCCGTGACTTAGCTTACAGCTGCGGCCTGGTAATTAATCCGTTCTCTTCACGACGCTCATTGATCTGATGCGTTACAGAGACTCCTGGGCCCCGACCAGGGAAGGTTCACCGGCGGTACCACGGTGGCAGGTACCATGATCCTGGCCCAGCTTGCAGGCATCAAGGTCTTCGGAACCGGCGGCCTTGGTGGTGTCCACCGCGGCGGCGAGAACACCATGGATATCTCTGCCGATCTGACTGAGCTTGGGAGGACGCCAGTTGCTGTTGTCAGCAGCGGTTGCAAGAGCTTTTTGGATATTCCCCGAACTCTCGAGTACCTCGAGACCCAAGGTGTTGCTGTTGCTACCTTTGCCGATGGTCGCACTGGCTCTGTCGACTTTCCCGCTTTCTGGTCGAGAGAGAGCGGCGTCAAGAGCCCGTCGGTCGTTCAAAATGAGAAGGAGGCCGCTGCTATGATCTGTAAGCCTGTTGTCCCCTTATGTCTTTTTGCCCCATGCTAACGTGTAGCAGACGCCCAACATGCTCTGGGTCTGTCCTCCGGTATCAGCTTTGCTAACCCTGTCCCCACTTCTGCGGCAATTCCTAAGGAGGAGATCGATGGCATCATTGATCAGGCTGTCGCCGAAGCTGAAGTGCTTGGCATCTCCGGCGCCCGCAATACTCCTTTCATCTTGAACAAGATCAAGGAGCTCACCAAGGGCAAGTCGATTCCGGCTAACAGGGCACTGATCGCGTCCAATGTGGAGCGCGCCACCAACATCGCAAAGGAGCTTCTAGCGCTGGAGGAGGAGATGAAGGGAGAGAGCTCGGCGAAGAACTAGTGAGAGGATTACCTTTTTGCGGCTGACATGTGTACATAGGACTGATGGCGTGGACGTACTAGCAATATACCCGCATCGTACACCCAGCCCTCATCCTCCGCCCAATCGGCTGCGGAGCCGCAACAGGCTGCCGCAGCACCAGCTGACCAAGAGAAAGCAGACGTTGTCGTGACTGGGGCGGTAGCAGTTGACTTTGCGTGCAACTACATCCCACCGCCAAACGCCACCCCCGGATCCGTGATATCCCCGCAACTGCACACCTCCAACCAGGCCTCCATCCAGCAGACTCTCGGCGGCGTAGCCCACAACATCGCCCGCGCAGCCCACCTCGCCGGCAGCTCCGTCCGCCTCTGCAGCGCCGTCGGCGACGATGTCATGGGCCGGGTGGCGCGGGACCTCCTCGAGCGGTCCGGCCTGCCCACAGCCAGCATCATCACCCGCCCAGACGCCCGCACCGGCCAGTACATCGCCGTCAACGACGCCCACAACAACCTCACCCTGGGCATGGCCGACATGGACATCATCCAGTCCACCACCGCCACCCCATCCACCGTCCAATCCCTCTTCAACGCGCCCCTCGCCTCGCTGCGCCCCCACTGGCTCGTCGCCGACGCCAACTGGTCTCCCGAAACCCTCCACGCCTGGCTGCGCGCCGCCAAAAGCGCCGGCGCCCTTACCGCCTTCGAGCCCGTCTCGGCCGTCAAATCCGCCCGCCTCTTCACCATTAAAGACGCCCACCACCCGTTCCCGCTCTTCCCCACCCCGCTCGTCGACCTCACCACCCCCAACGCCATCGAGCTCGAGACCATGTGGCGCACGGCGCGCGAAGCCGAGCTGCTCGCCACGCGCGCCCACTGGGCCGTCACCAACGCCTTCAACCTGCCCCAGGGCGGCGCCACGCCGCTGCTCACCCACGCCACCTCTCCGGACCTCGTGCGCCGCGGCGTGCCCCAGCAGGCCCTGCAGCTGCTGCCGCTCGTCCCCACCATCCTGACCACCCTCGGCCCCGACGGCGTGCTGCTGGCCATGCTGCTGCGCCGCGGCGACGAGAGGCTAAGCAGCCCCGACGCCGCGCCGTGGATCCTGTCGAGGGGCGTGGATGTTGATGTTGACGATGAGGCGGTCGACGTTGGCGGCGTGTATATGCGGTTGTTCAAGCCGGAAGAGGTGTTGGGGGATGGTGAGGTTGTGAGCGTGAATGGCGTGGGCGATACGTTTACGGGCGTGCTGGTGAGCGGGTTGAGTCGCGGGATGCGGATTGAGGATGTGGTGCCTGTGGCACAGCGGGCGGCTGGGCTGAGCTTGAGGAGCGAGAAGGCGGTTAGTGAGGATGTGGCCAAGGTTAAGGCGTTGCTGACGTAGATGGGGCTGAGAATTGGGGGGTGTGGAATGCGTACAGAAAAAGTTCTCGAATACATGGATCAAAATTGGTGGATGATAAAAGTAGTAGAAGAGGAGGCAAAATTTACACACTCAAGACGCAAAGAGCAAACTATCCCGACCAAATAGCAGACATGTCCAGTACCCAAGCGGCCTGTTACCTTGTCTCGAAAGTGGCGGGCGCCGACACTTGGCTTCCACTGAACCTAACAAGCCCTACGATCCGCAGACAACTGGACATCGCATAGCTTCTACGGTCAGACCAAAGATGTGAAAAGCTAATGACCCTAGCAGAAGTATTTCTGCGTAACCTGACGGCCCAACCAAGGCTCATATACTAGTATAAGAACTGCGCTGGTCCTCCTTCTCTCCATGTCAACTTGACCGTTCCATTCTCCACACCTCGTTTTTTCTTTCAAACAAGGACGGTTGGTACTAAACACCAGCGACAGGACGCTCGCAATTGGCATTGGAACACAAATGAGGTAAATCAACTCTCAATCCTTGTTCTACAGAGCAATACTCCCGTCATCGAAGTCTTTCGAGTATTTTGCCACGAGAGACGGTATCATTAACAGTAGCAATAAAAAAGACGGTATCGTTTACAGTAGCAATGGAAAAAAAATTTCCCTCCCCAAGACGCCCACCATGATGCCCGCCGTACGAGATCGCTTTTCAAAAAACGAATGATCAATCGACAAATTCCAAAAATCCACTCTACTCAAGCTTCGCCGCAACAAGCTTCAGAATCTCCTCAATACCCTTCCCCCAGTTCTTCGGATCCTTGGCGACGGCCTGCCACACCTCTCCGTGCTTCGGCTCGCTCAGCACGCACTTGCTGATGACCTCCTCCCTCTTTTCATCCGTGCCGTGCTGGCACACGAACTTGTAGTACCACGCCCAAGTGTCTCCAAGATCGCTGTCCAAAAGAATGGCCTTTTCGAACCAGCTCGCCGCCTTCTCCAGCCTGCGCTCGCCCCAAAAGATGCGCGCCACGGCGACGAACAGGATCGGGTCGTTGTCGACCTTCTTGATGGCCTCGAGCGAGCGCGGCTTGCGCTGCGTGCGGGGCTCCAGGTGCCAGATCTTCTCGGCCCACAGCAGGCCCGAGTTGGACACCTCTTGCAGCGCCTGAGCCATGATCTGCGCCGCCCTCGTGAGGTTGCCGGCGCGGCGCTCCAGCCGGACCGTCTCGGTCCAGAGTTCGGGATTCTTCTTGACGGCGAGGCGCGCACGGTCGAGGACGGAACGCGCCTTGACAGTAACACCAGCTTTCTCTTCGAGGCGCGAGAGGAGGAGGTAGAGAGGTACCGACTGCGGGCATTGGCGGGTGCCTGTTGTGTATGCCTCGCGAGCTTGGGGGATCTTGTTGAGTGATTCGTAGATTTGGCCCTTTTGCATGTAGAGCTTGGGTTCCTTCGGGAAGAGTTGGAGACCTTGCGTGACGAGGTCCAAGGCTGCTTCCAGGTTGCCGAGTTGCCGCTCGTACGCCACAGACCGGTACCAAACGCGATTAGTGCCAGCTTCGCGACGGGCGACCATGAGCAGCTCACGGGCCTTATCGTGGTTGCCATGATCGGCTTCCATCTTGACTGCAGCGAGCCAGATGTCTTCGTTGTTGGGGTTCTGATTGAATGCACGGCGAATGACATCTCTGGCTTGGTCCAGTTCTCCAGCCTGCTCTCTCTCTCTAGCAAACAACAGCCAAAGCTCTTGTGCGCTCGGACAAGCTTCGACGGCCTTCTCTAGCAGATTCCAGAGCGCCTCCTTCGTTCCATGGTTGCGCTCGAGAGCGACCGCAGCGGTCCAAAGGGTCTTGGAGGTGGGGAAAATGCGGAGGGCATAGGCGTAAATGGCCCTAGCTGTCTCGTACTTTCCTCTGCCAATGCTTCCACGGGCGTCCTCCATGAAGATTTCCTTCCGGTCGTCGTCCTCGTCCAAAGACCAGCTTAGCGTCTCCCTAATGATGGCTTGGCAAGAAATGACCATTCCTTCATCCTCGCATTTCTCGGCTTCCGAAATCCATTCTTCGCGCTTGAGCATTGCAGACTCTTTGGCCAGCGACTTGATACCACGTTCCATGACCTTGAACACCATGTCGGTCTTACCCAACTGCTCCTGCAACGCAGCAGCAGCACGCCAAATCTCATGGCTCGTGGGAACAGCCTTGCGGGCCCTGTTGAGGACGAGCTGCGCGTTCTCCGGTGTCTCCAGGCGAGCGAGGGCGAGCCAAAGCTCCACAGACAGTGGGATGATCTCCGTTGCCTTCGCCAGCATCAGGCGAGCGTCTGCCGGATCCTCTTCCAAGGCAATGGCAGACTTCCAGAGATCCACACTCTGCGGGACGGCGTCCAGCGCATGGCGAAGAACCCGTTTCTTTGCCCGCAAATCAGTCTCCAGATCTGCCGCGGCCTGCCACAAGCGAGCCGAGGTATTGTTGTGCTTGATGGCGCTGGCAGCGATGATTTTGGCGTTGTGATTGTCGTTCAGACGGATATTTTCCAACCAGCAATCGATCGATTTGGGGCAGTGCTCGCAACCTCGCGCAATAACGTTTCTCGCAGCAACCGTGCGTCCTGCCACTTCCTCGAGACGTGCGGCAGCAATCCAGCCTGGGCCGTGCTTCGGGTTCGTCTTGATGACAGACTCTAGGAGCTCCCGTACACGTTTGATATCTCCGACCTGAACTTCTCCGGCGCTCAATTCAGACTTTGACAGACTGGTCAGGTATCCCTTCGGGTCGATGCTTGTCGCGGTTCCTGCGGTGGTTTCGGTTCCGGAATTCTGAGTAGCCTGATCCAAGCGAACTTGAAGCACCTTCTCACGGGCGGCTCCAATATCGGCAAAGTTGGTCATGGTGCCATCTGCATTCTCTCCCCCCTCAGCCGCTATGCTGGTGTCAAGCTGGCCTGCGTCTCGTGCGGCAGCAATTACGCTGTCGGGCACGGCGTAGAACCTTTGCCTGAGATTCTGCTTTTGCCTTCTGTTCTTGCCCGTCAGATCTCCAACCTCGGGCAGGTTAGCCCATTCCTCCTCGGAAACGCTGCCGAGAGCGCGCTTGAGATCGGCGAATTGCTGCTGGATCTTGGGGTTGTTCCGCTCGTATTCTTCACGCTCAGCCTTTTCGCGAGCCTCCCTAGACGGATTCAAGGTGTCGGTAGCCTGTCCATGCAAAGATGATAAACGCGTGCCTCCTACGACGGCCAGGGGAGCTGTAAAAGGGAAGACTAACCTGCGTGCTTTTCTCCGCCGATCCATGCGCTCATCGACCTCCTGGTATATGCGGTCCGCCTCGTCATCGTCACGGTCGTAGGTGCCGTTGGCGAACAAGCCGACCTCGTTCTCGGGATCCTGGTAGCGATCGTCGTCGTCATCGTCGTCCTTGCCGGTGGCGCCGTACGCTGTGGGTGGCGCCTGGCCGAGAGCTGCAGCGCGCTTCGCAAGCGCTTCCTTGATCTGCTCCTCGGATGGGCCTTCGCGAGCAGGACCAAGATCGGAGCGGGTGGTGAAGCCGGTGGCACCACGACCGAGACCGGCGACGTAGTTCTCGGGCGCCGGCTGGTTCAAGAAGTCTCTGCGACCAGACATGGCGGGCAAGCGGTGGGGATGGCGAGTGTGGGGTGGAGGTTGGAGCTTTGGTCGCTGTCTCGAAATAATTCACCAGCCAGGCAACGCCGCGGGCGCTAAACCCGATTCGTGCATGGAGCTCCAAAAGCGCAGCACAGCTCTTTTCCCGGACGTCTGCACCACATTACCTCACAGCCAGGCTATTTAAAAACACTCGGTGTCCCTCAATCGATCTGTCTTCAACATCTTGCTTTGGTCCACAAGCCAAGACATTTGCGGAGCAACCAGGCTTCGAAGATTGATCGCATATGTCACTCCTACATACCGAAAACAAGCTGCTACCAGAGCGTTCTGCATGTAACAATGCATTGCCTTTGGTGGCAGGTTGTGGTTTGCGACAGCCCTCACAGGACCTATGTGCCTCCTGCTACTTGCGCCGCTCGGCACCTGCACCCGTGACCCACGCGTTCCGACGCGACGGCAGACGCGACTTCCAGAACATGACGGCTTTAATTGAGCAGCACCACAGCTTTGCCCCTCTGTACACCCGTCACCCTCCGCCGTCACATTGCATATCACGACACATTACTCCGCATTGTTCGAAATATATCTTGAACCGCAAGCGATGCCCGAATTGTTAGACGAGGGTAAGTATCCGTGCCACCTCGCATTTGTTTTGCTACTTCGCCTCCACGTCCTATCGCACACTACACAAGCCCCAAGTGATGCGGTTCGCTTTCTAAAATGCGCCTACAAACCGTCGTCAATGCTATCTCCTCTATGTCACAGTCAGTTATCAGCAGTACTAACGTCACTTTCGCGGAAGATGATTCTCTTGAAGAAGAATTTGCGGACGTAGCTATTATCAGTGAGGACGACAAAGACTGGCAACTTCCGCAGCCGAAGCGCGTGAAACTCGCGGAAGCAAACTCCAAACCCACAAGCTCTGAGCCCGAGAAACCAGGAGATCAGGATGTCGTTGGCATCACGCACGATAACGAAAACAAACCACCCAGCTGCCGAGATCCAAGAAGTCCAAAAGTACAAGTCAGGATCCCGCCCTCGAACTTCCCACGCTCAATCTACGATGGGTGGACGCCGCCGCTCACTCCCACTCCTGAGCATATCGCCTTGAAAGAGCTGCTGGTATGTTTGGAACCCCGATCGCAGTCGCCTTCTCACTGTTGCTTTATCTTCTTTCTTTCGCGATGCATGAAGCTTACACGTGAAAATTAGGAAGGAGATGACCATGCTATGCACGGGTATATCATGATTCCGATTCGAGACTTTCGCATTTATCGGCCCTCCGGGGCTCCTGGGAGCGCGATTAAAATCAGCCGCCAGCATGAACTTGAACCACTTCAAAATCTCCATACTTATGGAGGTCGAGACGTTCTCCTCGTGGATGGAATCATCGCCCTAAACGGTTTCGAAAGATACATCCAAGGCGTTGCCTTTGAAACACTTGCTATAGAAGGCTATGGCGATCCGACCGTTTCTACGGTAACTGGCAATATTTCAATCCAGTCCATTCATGCCGCCCCCAAGCATGTTTGGTACCTTTTGAGGGAGCCTGCATCAGACTATTGTCTTTACTATAGTCTATTTTTGTGGATCGCGGACTTCGCGAAACACTTCGTGGACTACTTGGCCGAAAATCAAAACGTATCTCTCGAAAACTTCAAGTCTGATTTCTACGAGTTCACACGCCAGCGGCACGGAGAAAGCCAACAATTCCAACGATGGGTCGATAAATATGGTGGACATGAAAAGAAGAATGATTTCCGCCAAGCGGTAGTCTCCTACGCCAGCTTTTTATGGAAGGAGAGCTGGTCGGTGATTCCAAATACTCACGAAGACCAGATCTGGGGCGACATCAACTACATTGCCGACGAAGAAAGAGCAGAAAAGCCGTTAAAGAGGACTACAGGATCCGGGAAAACTCTTGTGACTCCCTACGTTTTTGAGAATTTCAAACATATCTCTCAGCTCACGAAGTTCTTCGAAGTCAAAGAGCTCAATGGACGCCGGGTTCGAGCAGCTACTGAGGAGCGGAGCCGTTCGCTTGGGTTTACCGATGGTCAGCGCGCGCAGCTGCTGACAAGCTCTGCACCACTCCTCAAGACAGACAAGCTCAAAACTGGAGACTATGTGGCTGTTCGACCAGAAAGATCATCACTCTGGAAGGACGGTTCTGATCTGTGGTACGCTTACATCCAGAATACTCGGCGGGACTGCTACGGAGAGCGCCTGGATGTTATTTGGTTGTATGCTCCATCCGCCACAACGCTGGCCGGCGGCGTCTATCCCTTTAAGAACGAGCTTTTCCTATCCTCGAACTGCAACTGCAATGATTCTCCGCTCAGAAAAAAGGATGTCATTGGAAAAGTGAGCGTTTCTTGGTTGCAGAGCGATGCAACTACAGATAACTCTACTAATACTCCACCTCACTTCTTTATCCGACAAAAGTTTGATACAAAGGACCATTGCTTTACGACAATTAAAGGTTCAGATTTCGTCTGCCAATGCCGGAACCAGGACTCCCTTTGGCAAGAACTTCTGGCTAAGGTGGCTATTGGCGATACTATCCTTCTTCCCGTCAATCAAAACGGCGAGCCTTCATGGAGACCTCTTGACTCGTACGACTCTTCTGACAAGATTTCGGACCGGTTAGATCCCGTCGTAGTGGAAAAATACATTGCGGAATCCCAAACCATCTTAGTACGTCGGCTGATTCGACGTGCCATGCATTCCAAAAGCAAAAGGCCTCCTAACGAGCTAATTTGGACGGAAGAATTTTTCCAAATCGTTCCAGAGCTTGTCGGCCCCAAATGCCATGTCCGCTTTTACCAAGGACGAGATCAAATCCCCAGCCCATACAATCGTAATGGCGTTGGAAACTTTTGGTTCATTACTGCGTATATGACGGAAACAGGCGAAGTGGAAAATCTCCAGCAGCCTTTTCCCACAGGGTTGAACCCAGGACTCGACCCGGCAATCCCACCGCCTCGTCCGAGAATGATCGGGTTGGATATGTTTGCCGGAGGTGGGAATTTCGGACGTGGGATCGAGGACGGGATGGCTGTGGACTTTCTCTATGCCATTGATTGGGCAAAAAACGCCGTTCTCACCTACAAGTCCAACTGCAACAACGAACATCCGTGCTGGGTGTATTGGGGCTCAGTCAACGACTACCTCAGACACGTCATGGATGGAAATTTCACCGATCACTTTGCAAGAGTTGGCAATATCGATTTCGTCGCGGCCGGAAGTCCATGTCAAGGATTTTCCAGATTACAGCGTAATACGGCGAGTGACGCGTCGCTACGCAACATCTCCATGGTAGCTTCTGTGGCCGCCTACATCGATGTTTACCGACCGAAATATGCCATCCTTGAAAACGTGGTGGCCATGGCTCATCAAGGCAAGGAGAAGCTAGGAATATTCCCGCAACTATTGTGCACTTTGGTTGGTCTAGGCTATCAAGTCTCCCAGCATCTCTTGGACGCATGGTCGTCTGGAGACTGCCAGAAGAGATCAAGACTCTTCGTGACTATTGCAGCACCGGGTCTGGCGCCTATTCCTCCAGCAACTTTAACGCATTCGCACCCACGCGGGACCCCAAGCTTGTCACTGGGTACGAATCAAGCGAATGACCAGAAGTTCGGAGAACGACGATTTCTCCCAACACCTTTTCAGCACATATCGGTGAGGGAAAGTATGGGGGATCTCCCCAACATCCAAGACTCTCACGTACAAACGTGTATCACGCATCCAGATCACCGCACAGTAAGTACTGAAGCGGGATGGACAAGAGAAATGATTCGCCACATCCCAATTTTTCCGCCTGTACAAAGCGCAATGAGCGCGATCCAGGCAGGTGTAATGCCACAGGCCCTGGCCAAGAGATTTTTAAAAGGCGGTGATATGCGAAAGAACCCCAGAAGCAGGTCCTGGTCACGAGTTCCTCAAGACGGTCTGACGTCCACAATCACGACTGCGCCAGCGGCCGCCTGCGCTATCAATGGTCGAGTACTACATTGGCAGCAGCACCGAGTGCTAAGTATTCGAGAAGCTCGGCGAGCCCAAGGATTCCTCGAAAGCGATGTCATTATAGGTTCGCCAGCAGAGCAGTGGAAGATCATCGGCAACAGCGTATCTCGATCAACCGCCCTAGCCCTCGGTGCAGCGCTGCATGAGGCTTGGCTAGCGAATCCCCCAGAGTACCAACCTTCTGCTACTCTATCAGATGCTGGGGACGATAATGCTGCTCCGGTCAGCGTTGAGGATGCTGAACGATTGCGACGCCGAGATCGAGTTGCTGTGGTAATCGATCTGACGCAAGAGGATTGAGTGGCTTGGGAAGGCTTTGAATGTCGCAGCTGTGGTTGGGGCACAGTGAAAGGGAGATTTCAAGAGGGCCGGTTTGCGTAGATGGCAGTCTACAGAAGCAGGGGTTAGAAACTCGGACTAGGGTCAGAGTATGCGCATAGAGTATGTGCAATGATTTATCTCATTCTTCCAGATATCCATTCAGAGTAGCGATCGGAAATCATTCGCGCAAGGCTTAAACAACCCGATATCCGCAAACGTTGAGATGTGATGACCACGGTCACAGTTATTATAACGGAAACTTCCAAGATAGGTTCGCCCGGTTAATGTGGCCATAGATATACCGCTGTTCTCGTTCAGATGGATGCTTCAACTCCCCATATTCACTGTTCCGATCCCGAGCAAACCGATGTTTGCAGGCACCACAGCAGCAACAATGCCCGACTTTCAAAGCGAACTTTCATCTTCCTCTCCATATTAGCCACCTGCCTCCGTCGTCGAACCAACGGCCGCACCCAATACAGCCATGATCTACCCGCTCGCTCGCGTACGTACGGGAAAAGCCAGCAGCCCTACCTACCTTGCCTACATCTCCGGCCCCTTGCCCTCTCTTCTTCCACCCCACCTTTTCGAAGCACGGGATCGTCGGTACGCAAGCTTCTGCATGACAACCTCATTTCGCCTTTTCCAACCCCCATTATCCCCACCCCCGGTTTGCCGACCAGCTAGCTCATCAGCTTTTCTTTCGTACGAGAAGGTAGGCAGGTACCCGACGAAGCGGTTGTCTCCGGAAGATCGCGCGTTTCAGACTAGACGATAGGCAGGTACCGCGCGGGGGATCCTTTCTCTCTGCAGAGCTGTGGCTGTGCTGCATGACAAGCAGCGTTTTTTTTTTTTTTCCTTAGTGATCTTTCTACTACTAGTTTTCATGCCCGACAGCTAAGTTAGTTTTAGACGTATGTGGCTTGCGGGTTGCGTCAGCAGCTGCCTTTGCGCGCCGCGAGCCTGTGCGTGCGCCAGGCCGCGTCGATCGGCGCGGGAACCGTGGCGGGGCAGCATGGTGAAGCAATTGCTGCGTGTAAGGTCCGAGAGAGACAGAGAGACGAGATTCGGCCGGAGGGGAATCTGCCGGTTTGTGTGCGTTGTGCCGCGGGGAAGAGGCTTGATGAAGCAAGGGAGAGGAGGGGTTTGGTGGGGAGTGTGTGAGGATCCAAGGGTCTTGCATCAAGTTCCATGCTAAAGCGGAAAAAGAAAGGTAAGTTGCACGAGTCGTGGGCCTTCTACCGCGGAAGCTACCGCCGGGAGGGAATGCTTTGTGATGTCAATCAAGCAGAAAAGCGCAGATCGCTTGTTTCGAAAAACGCGGGTCCCGACGAATCGTTCCTTGGGACCGCTTATGTGCAGGATACACGTAGACACGATGATCGCGCCGCAGTAGCTACTACTTACGCGTACTGCAGTGGTGGTGAGGTTGGCTGTACGTACTCCCAGGCCACCTACTCCCGACGCCACTATACACGCGGTCTGCGGCCTGTGGTTGGCCTATCTTTCCCCACGAGAAAAGAGTGGGGGATTTGGCGGTGCTTGTTCCGAAGAGGGCAGCCATGTGGAAGCTAAAAATAGCATTGGCCAAGTTGGAGGCCCGATTGCTGGAGATATCTCCGTTTCGATAAGACCGCGCATGCAACTATTGACGTAGCAACCGAGTACGATGTCACTTTCTGTTCTTTGAAGGCTTCTCCTGAGTGCTTGGCGGCTAAGGAATGCCTGATGATCGGGTAGAGAGTAAGGCACGGAGTCTAACGCGCCGCAATATCCATGTCTCTCTACCCTTTTTGCCTCGGTCCAGGTAAATGGTTGACATGCTTCTGCAGGTTTGACAAGTGCACGACAGTGACGGTAGCTGGGATCCGAGACAGGCCACAACATCATGGTTGTCTCTCTTGCCCTCGGTAACGCTGAGGAATTCACATTCTGAATCATCATCACACTAGTACAAGGTATCACAGCAGAAAGGACGCCTGTACTCTCCATACATGACCAATAATTATATCCTCCCATGTAGTTCAGAGACAGGCCTCGATCGCAAAATAATCATCAGCAACGGCAAGCGAGTCCTCTGCACCGAAGCGAGGTGCAAACAACCAGGTGAGCTAGTCCTCCAGATCTCTGGCTCCTTCCCGGCAAGTTTGGCGATCTTGGGCGGCCATGCCTAACGAGCAGTTCTTCGGTTCCGACACACCAGCCACAATCCTTCCATCGCCTGTAAGCCCCTGCGCCGGCACACGGGTACCTGACCCAGCCAGCCTCTTTGCTGCGCCTCTCGAAGCAACCCAATCTCCGCCACCGCGCCGTCGAACACATGAGCCGCCGCCCGAACGCCGAACGCCAGCGCGCGCGCGCTCCTCTCGTTTGCCGCCGTCGGCGAACGGCACACCACCACTACCACCCCCCTTCCTAAGGGCTCCGCACCTTCCTAGATCCCGGCTAGAAAGACACTCGCCGGCCGAACAGTACCGCTTTCGGGGAATGACCGGTCACGAGGAGGGGGGCGTGGTCGATATCCAGTTATTTGCTATTACTTTTGTGCTTGCTGTGCTTGGATTAATGCTTAGCCCTCTTGTGCGCACTGTCAGGGAAAAGAAAACGACGGCACGATTTAGCAGGTGGCAAAATTGGGCATGAAAGCCTTCACGGAGTCTTGTCGTTGTTGTTGTCGTCGTTGGATCGTCACTCTTTCAAAACTCCGAAGACTCCGCGCTGGCCGTCCTCTCTCTCCTTCTCTCTATCTCCTTCTCCGATTACCGATTGCCGGTTGCGCAAAACTCCGCCGGAAGGTAATGATGCATGTGCAAATGGTCTGCTGTTCCCCCCCGTATCATCGGCACGTCGCAATACACCCACGAACTGCTGCAATAATGTGTGTGCCGTGCTCCCCTGCATAAAAGCAGAGTGTATAGTGGGCACAGGATGGTCCCCGCCCAAATCGGTGCGACCTCACAGACGCGGCGGCGGCCACGCCGACAATCCCGCGCCTAACGGCAAGACCGGCGGCGTGATATGTGGTGGTGGTACGCGCAGGCGCCAGCCGCGGAAAATGCATGCCTAAGGCCACGACAGAACGCTCTGGGGAGGGGGGTTATGAGCCGTTTTGGCCGGAAGCGGCCAATTTCATCTGAGGGAACGCAAGAAGGCTCGAGTGCAGGTTGCAAGGGGGCGAAGGAAGCGAAAAGGTCCAGACCGGCCGTCTTGCACGACGTTGCGAGGTGTGCGCGTCAGCAGCAGCAGCAGCAATGTTGTTGCCTTCCTTCCTCGAAATGCGTTCGTCCGTCCGTCCCCCAGCCAGCCCTGCAGGGCCCCACGCACGGAAGACGGAACGAACGAAAAAGAAAATGGGAACACACAGATCTTTCTAGCATCGACGATAGATAATTGGAGGAGCGACGGAGAAGGGGGGGAAGTGTTGCTAGCGCCCGGCAAGACAAGCCTCTTCCCTGCGCTGCTCATCTCCTGCCCAGCAACGAATCACGAACCGGCGTCAGGCGTTCACCACACTACCGTACCAAGATGAGAAAAAAAATAAAAAAGAGCGACGGCGTGCTTCTCCACGGGAGACAGAGCTGGAGAACGGTCCTAGCATGGCTACCCCTTGGGAGAGCGTGATGACGAGCGCGGTGCGATTTACTTGATGATGCTTGATGCGTGATTGGGGGTGGACCGTGGCCTGGGGCGCCTCATCTCAAAAGCCCGTCGGTGCGCCCCCCATGCGCGCGCACACCCCACCCGAACTCCCCGCCGCATATGGTCTAGCAGCGTAATAAATGAGCGGGTGGGAAATTACGCACCCCAAGTGTGGCGTCAGGGAAAGTAGAAGAAGAGGGAAACCAGGCCGACCGGTGGTATCCGCGTCCGAGAGTAATACATGGCACAGGAATAGAAGGGCGAGGGTGAATAGTCGCGCAATATGAGTCGGTTTCACATAGAAGAATAATCCGCTTTCGAGAAGGGAACCCCCCGTCGACGGAAGGGATCGTGACTGTGAGGCCCGATTAAGCTTTGCATGTCGACCGACGCCCCTTGCCGTCGAGATCGGCGGCTGCTTTTGATTGAACCATTTCAGGATTCGGCGGAATCTAATAGTTTTGCCCGTCTTCTATCAAGTCAATTACAACAAGCACTGTCTGGACCAGCCATGTCCAGCTTAACACACTCAAGTTCGGGGTCTCTTTGACTGAAACGAATTGAAAAAAAACAGGAGATCGAGGAAGGAGTGTAGGTGGTCGGTCGGTAGAGAGATTTGAAGGTGATTCGATTTTTTTTCTGCCCGGCTGCAGAGCTGTCGAGGCAGGAAACGTGGGTGCAGGAAGGACGGGGGAGTACTGGATATCACACATGGCACCCGCGGGTGGCTTTCGTCGACAACAAAAGAGCAAATCGAGAACAGACGACTTTCAAATGCGCCCTCCGCCAAGCGTTCTCAAAAAAACAAAAGAAACCTGAGTGCTCAAACAAGTGAAAAGGAAAATTTGCCTCTGTACAAATCCGCCGTTAAGTGTTGCACGCGTAAATAGGAAATCAGATTTAGTACGCTGCCCCTCTGTAACCACCGTTGCCGGTCTCGATGTCCGGCAACCGTGGTGCCCTGCCGTCGCGCGACATGGACCTGTCCCTTTCGTTCTGGCCCATGCCTGCCGCCGAATCGAGCAGGTTCTCGTGCGAGGTGTTGCGCCCATGGTACTTCTTCGAAACGCCCTCTTGCATCGGCACCGGGTCGTAGCCCTTGGCCCCCGACATGATCGAGTGGCGCTGGCTCTTGTACTCGCCCGGGTCCATGAGCAGCGAGTTGCGAGCGTCCAGAGGAGTCAGGTTGTCGAGATCGCGGTTGAGTTTTTCTAATGTCAAAAGTTAGCGCCTTGCTTTTTGCAAATGCCCTGCAAATCAACTTACCCTGCTCCTTTCTCTTCTTGCGGTGCGGGTTCTCCTTGCAGCACACGACGATCGAGTTGACGGCAATCAGAATCGCCAAAACACCCGTCAAAACCGACTGCATGACGATGAGAACCACGCCTGTGACCGTCTTGGTCGTCTGCGAGATACCGAGCTCCTCGACGAAAACCAGAACGCAGACGACCGAAAGCACGCGAACGACCTGGATGGTGCAGTTGATGACGTTGCTCGACTTGAGCGTGTACGGCCGGGACCAGAGGAGAAGGCAAAGCATCAGCGCCTCGATGACGAGCTGAGCGCCCGTCTGAGCGAGGCCGTGGCCGTCCAATCCGGCAATGACGCAGCCCTTGGCGAACGAGTAGACGATGACGGGCACGAAAAGCCACCAGTAGCCCTTCTTGTAGTTCTCGTAAAACAAGCTGTACTTCCTCCAGGTTTCCTTATCCTCAAAGAGACCGGAAACATCACCCTCGGCCTTCTTGAACTTCTGAGCCATGGACCAAATGCGATAAGCAAAAAACCCAAGGACGGCCGTGAAGAGACCAAGCGTTACACCGGCCAAAATCTTGGCCGCCCACGAGTCGCCGTTGCTGAACTGGTAGATGCAGTAGAGAACCCAGATACCGTAGAGCAGAAGGATCAAGTTGGTGATGGTCTTGGCCAGAATCCACCAGTAACGCTTCCTGAAGTTGGTGAGCTTCGCGGGGAAAGAACCGAAAAGAGCCCAGGTTTCCAGGATGACCTTAAGGAGCAGAATGCCGACGGCGATGGCACCAATGACGATGGCGAAGACGAGCAGAATGGTCATGAACGTGTTGGCCTGGGGAATGGAGAGCTCCTCAACGTAGCCCTTGATGCCATTGACATACTCCATGACCTTCGAGTCGGAGGACGAGTCATCGTCGTCGTCGCCGTCGGAAGTCGAGCTCTCAGTGCCGTTGACGTTAGTCGTAAGCGAGTCACGGATGTAAAGGGCGGCGGTATCCAGGCTGCGCTTGGTCACGTTGCTGGATGACACGTGAACAATGGTAGCATTCCTCAGGTAGGCGTAGCTGGCGTGAGTCAGGTTTCCACCCGTCGACTGTCTGAAGTTGTCGATGGTGTTTTGCATGTCGCCCCAGGGAATCAGGCCGGTGCTGAAGCCAAAGTTCTTGGAGAAGCTGGTGTAAACCGAAGGGTACTTGACGCTCATCATTCCGTTCATGGCCATGCCTTGGAACCAGCCCATGACCTCGCCGAAGCTAGGGCTGGGGCTGATGGCACCCGCACCTGCTGCGGAACCAGCACTTGCCATTGCGGAAACACCAGTCATCAGGAGCGCGGCGCCCGCGATACCGGCCGCCACGTACGAGACACCGGCCACGGTCATACTCTTGCCGTTGGTGACCTGCGACTGGATACAGGCGAGGTCATCACCGCCATCGATCGGGGTAAGCTCCAACTTGGCGGTTCCATCGAGATCGGGAATGGTGAACGCAATGGACGGAATTTGGGACGCATACGAATCAGGTACTGTCTGCTCGCCGGATGCTGCAAAGTTGCCCTTCGGGACTGGATGGTCTTAGCATACGGGAGAAGGGGAAAAGCGGGCGCGCGACTTACTTGGGCACAACGCGGTGCTGTTGCTGCCGTCGTCTTGCTCTTCGCAGGGGTTGAAGGTCTTGCTGTAGACTTCCTTTCCGTAAGCCGACACTACCAGCGATGCCATGACCTTCTGCTCCTCGGTACTCTCGCCAGCAACATTGAACACGACCTTCTTCGTGTTCCGGTTGTAAGTGACGTCCATCTTCGTAATCTGAATCGAGGCGTCGTTCAAACAAGTGGTGAAGCCATTTGTGGTGATGACGTCGGCGGCCAGGGCGGCCGCCGGCAGTGCAGCAGCCAGCAGGAACTTTGGAAGCACCATGGCTGCGGCGACGGGGTGTTTGTGGTGGGCGACGGTGAGAGCGCCGCGGAGAGGAGTGTTTGGACTCCCAGAACGCGCTCACAGGATGCGCCTGTGGCCGCGCGGACAGCCCAGAGGGAGAGAATTAAGTCGAACAGAACAGAGGACGAATTAAAGCGGGTGACAGAGCAGGATCAACCTTGGCCGTGTCGGGAAGTCGAAAACGCGGTAAAGGGGCAGCGCAGAGAGCGCGAGAGCGAGGGACGTGGAGAAGTAGGTGGTGGTTAGAGGCGGTCAAACGAGGCGACCGCTGGAGACCAAAAAACGACGCGAAGGGTCGGCGCTTGCTGGAAGGAACGGAGAGCGGAGAGAGTGGACGGGGAGGGCAGAGAAGAGGCGCGCTGAAGGGGTGGGAGTTTCAGTTTCAAGGCGCCGCTCGGCAAGAGCTGGCGCGCACGCCTGCACCACGCGGCGTCCTTACCGGAACGGGGACCACGCCTGGGACTTAATACGCAGGGGGGCGGCCGCCGACTTTGCTGCAGAGGGGAAGGATGTGCGTTCGCGTTGTCCAGGCCCGGTGAATCCTGAGGTGCAGGGAGAGCGTCGAGATCCGACCGCCGTTATATTTCGAGCAGATTTGCTGGGCCGGCGCTGCGATCGCTCTCAAGCATCGTGCCAAGCGCGCAGACGGCGAGCTGCGGCCGTTGCCGGTCGCGACCAGGCGCGATGCCTGCTGACCGCGCCTGAGACTGCGATACGGGCGCGGCGGGCGGTGCCAGCAGCGAGGGCAGCGTCGCGCGGCGCCGGCGACGGCGATGACAGGATCAGGATCTCTGGCGGCCTGCGATTGGGCCGGCCAAGCGCCATCAGCAGCGCGGTCGTTGGCTGTTGTGCGCGCTCGCAACGTGCCAGTGGGCCCCGGCGCCTGGTTCCAGACTCAGGCGGCTCGCCGTCACGCTATCGGCAGCTGTGGCTGTGGTGCGCCAGCCCTAAAAAAAGACAGCTGCTGCCCCTGACGCGGCCCAATGGAATGCCCCGGCCGCACCTGCACCGCCCAATGGCCCTGCCGCCCACCACACGCCCGTCTCCGTGATACCCGCCACCGGCCGCGAACGCTTCCGCCGGAGAATGCGACATCTGATGCTCGGCGCCGCCGTCCTCCACCACCCGCCCGCCCGTGCTACCCGTCGCGGCGGGGCCAGCCAGCGTCGTATTCTTCATTTCTACAAGACGTCTGCGATCTGCATCTCTCCCTGCAGCCGCCGCGCCGCTTACCTCGACATCCGCCGTCTTGCCCTCAGCCTTGTGAGACACTGGGGGTGCATCGGCGGGCCTGCATCTTCATTTGTATTCCCCAGCCGTTGGTCTTCAACATCCACGTCAGCAAGCCACTGGATGGTTGGGTTGTAGGAAGTCTGCACTAGTACTCAGCCTCTTTACTAATCGCTGGAGGATGCAAAATCCATCGTCTCGTAAAGCAGAGTCACAACGCCATCGTAAAACTTTTGCCTGGATATTTTTCAAAATTCGACTCGTCCCCCCCAACCGCTTTCTTTTCTATCCCTGCGGATCCATCATCAGCAATAGTGAAGGCGCAGTCTCCCAACCTCACGTCATGTGCACATCCTGCAAAGTCCAACAAGTGCAGTTGCAAGCCAGCCTTTGCCTGTCCACGAGTCGTATTCTTGGCGACGGTTTGCGGCGACCGTTGCCGAGCCACTCGTACAAGGAAATTGTTCCCGCAGCTGCCCCAAAAGTTGAGTCAACCAGATGTGTGCAGTGCTTCCGCCTATCCTCGCCGTGCATCATCGTCTGCGCTGCTGTAACGCTGGGGAAAGTTCGTGATGTGCTTTTGAGAAGGCGGGGCTAGCGGGGCTGGTGTCTGTGCGAAGGTCATTTTTGACGCCTCATCCTCTGGTTCAACTACTACCGTCTCTTGCCAGCAAACATCTCCACCGGCGCGATACGAGAAAGCGGGCCCGCCGAGGCTTCGTTGTCACGCCGACTTCCAGTCATGACCGCGCCGGACGGCCAACTTGAAAATTGACACTGACAGAGCCAGCCGGTGCAAATTGCGCAATCGAGATGCTTCGCCGACCGCCGCTAATGTCGACTCTCTTGGCCTTCGTCGCGCCTTCTGCCTCAGCCTTCAGGCATGAGACGTTACACCAATGTCGGCTAGCTGCTCGACATGCTCGTTGTAGTTAACGCAATCATTGATTTTCTTCCACCTTGCCGTTCTAGACTGGCTCCGTACTCCTTCATGAGAATTTCTTCATTGACAGTAGGTATGCCACAGAAGAGATGCAATTGCATACGAAGATGAAGGACATCCGGATTGGCTTCGTGTCTTCACGTCTATCATCCATTAGCCGAAGTCTCGTACGGGAATTCGGGTTATATCTTTGCCGGATCATCGACAACGACGTCCCTCGGCGCTAACAAGTCCCGCGCTGTCAGCCTCATTATGGCCGTATTCTTGTAAAACTTTCTTCCGAGGCCTCACTTCTGTTCTTTTCCAGAGAGACTTACGATCGTCTCTTTCACGCTCTCGCCATAGATTCTCCAGGAGGACGTCCATTTCGCTACCTTCAGCCAAACCATATACCAACTTCTCGCACGGATTTCGGAAATGTGTGTTCAAGTTGAAGTTCCCGAATCATCTCGTTCATGACCTGCTTGTGTCAGAAAATATTCTTGATAGGATCTGGTCAAATACAAGACCTTGGTCCACAATCAGCTACGCTCTCAGCACCAATGCCGCACTCTCGAAGCCAGAAAGTGTTTCCTTGATCTATTTAGAGTATCTTCAGTCTTCGACTGCCGCTTGAGACGCTCTGATGTCGTTGAAGTTGGAAGTTAATTCATACTATGGCAACGCAGACTCCATACAAAAGTTGACAGCGTATAGCGACCAAACTAGCACGCGGAGAACGCCTTCCATCGGAAGACATCGCTGCCACAATCTGTCAGAAGTCTCCGATAAGTTGAACAAGAAATGAAGAAGAAAAAGAATGGACCCCATATTATCCACCTCTCATCCGCTCACTCCCTCCCAGCGCCGTACCTGTTCATGCCTTCACTTGACCCTTGGAGTTATCCGGGCGCCTGTAGAACCACACGATCTGCTCTATGCCCGGCGTAGGGTTCGACCGCAGCACGTGCGTGTTGCAGTTGTCGTAAAAGTCGAACTCGTTCAACAGCTCGATGCCGACCCAGGCCGGCAGCGTCGACGTGATGGACTTCTCACGCACGTATCCCGAGGGCCCGTTCTTCTTGTTGCTGTTGCGGTCGTAATCGTGATGGTCGGTCCCGTCGGTGGCGTTGACGATGTAGAAGGGCCCGCCGACAGCCAGGCTGTGCTGCGCAATCGTCGCCCACGTCTGCACCGGGTCGCCGGGCTTCGCGGGCAGGCTCACCGTCTTCGGCCGCCGCTCGGGCTCGGTCGTGTCGTTGGCCGTGATGATGAAGGTGTTGTAGCCCGACGGGTCGTAGACGGACATGCCGCTGGGGTAGGGTCCATGCCATTCCGGAATGATTGCTCCGGTGGTGGTGTTGCTGTCGCCGTCAGCTGTGGGTGATTGCTTCAGGTGATGAGTAGTGAAGGGTTCTGCTTACACAGCGGTAGCATTGATGAATCCCCATGCTCCAACGAAGCAGTTGAATGCTTTTGCGACAGACATTGTGATAGAGGGAAGAAGCTGTTAGGGCTGGATTGTTTGTGCTTTCTGATGCTGTCTCGTAGCAGTTCAGTCCCCTCTTATATACCTTTGAACCGACTCCTCTAAGGCTCAGCCGCACCGGTCCTCCGCATGTCCCCTCAGCCCGCTTCTCGGGAAGTTCCTATGAAGCTGAAGTAGCTGAGTGATCATGTCCCTGTATAACCATGGTACGGCTAGTTTCTCCAATTGGTTCCTACGGTCGTTCCTGTCCTTCAGGAACGACCACGTTTCGCAGGGCTTGCAGTCAATACTCTTCACAGGACGCATGTGGACAAGGAAAAGAAAGCCCCGGCTACCTGATCCGGCTAGCATTTCCCCGCACGATTCGCAGAGCATTGTTGGGAAGACTTCACTGGCGGGAAAGCATGCGGCTGAGGCCTGTAAGATTTTGGCATTGCACATGAGCGAGTTTGCCTCATTGGTTTCCACGCCACCGAACAGACGGCTCAATGTCGGTTTCCCCCACACTCCCCCTGTATCCTTGCTGTTAATACAGCTCAGCCGCCTCGTCAGCATGCGTGATACTCGCTTACCCGCAAAAGGAAAGTGTCAGCTTCGGCTACGTGCCTCTGGCCTGATTTCGTCAACGGAAATAAAAACGCCAAGTAAGTTGACGTAAAATGCCCTTGTTACGTCGAACTTGGATGCCTTCCGATTTGCTCTCGTCACTATACCAAGCATTCCCGTCGGAAACATCTATATAGTTAGCTTCTTTGCCAATTAGAAAATGTCCGCTTTTTATGGGGATGCATTTGCTTACATGTGGGTCAAACAAAGTAGTACATACCACCGATGCACCTACTCTAATATCTTCTTCCAAGTGCCACATGATTGGAATGGTGACACGCAGTTAAATGCATTGAAGTAAGTGGCGTGAGTTGCTCGAGCCATCCTGCTCGCAGCCGGAGCCGAAAAGAAAAAAAAAAAAGGAATCCAAGACAAATCAGCCAGAAACGCCCGATTTCATGCAAGGCCCAATTGTGGATCAATGAGGTATACGAAAGAATGAAGCATGGCGCTGCTGAGCTGGTCCAGGTCTTGTCCAAGTCGAGGGAGAGGTCTCGATAGAAGAATATTTCCCAGTCCAAGAGCAAATCTCTTTCTGGTGAGGTTTTGTAGCATAGACGTTCTGCAGAGAGGAAGCGGACTTTCGCGCAACACCAACCTTACTGGAAAATTCGCTACTGAGGATCTCTCGCCAGTAGATTCCAAGCGCCCCTCAAGATGCAATGGAACTGGCTTTCATTCTCGGAATTCGGTGTTTATGCGTCGGCTCAATTTCCTGAATCAGGGATGCTGTAAAGGAACGAGATCTTTAATATTTCAGGCTGACAAATATCAGTGAATGTCAATCACACTTTTCTGACAGGCGCTACTTATCACGAGGTAAATATCATAGTAGAGCTGTTTGGAAGAAAAAGAGCCAACTCGGCCCAGCATGCGTCGTTGGATACAGTGAGTGCATACTAGTCCATTTCCGGCCGGGTGTAAGAAGAATCTTGGCTGGAACAAATGGTTTCTCTCCGGGACAAAACACGCTGGAAATGTAAGGTTCTAGAATAGTGGGAAACCAAGGTTAAAGAACTATACCGGAAAAGCCTAAATCTAACGAACAATGGCAGCAAAATAACCTGGGTGTTTGAAAATACACTAAGATTTCAAATAGTATTTATTTTGAAACATTAAAAGAAAAAAGTAACACACTAACGTTAATCTCCCCTATCAACTTTCTTTACTAAATATTTTGATGTTTATGTTGGTTGTTTTATCAGGCGGGGTTTAACATGAAACCGCGGAGCGCGAGATCCGGCTAAACAGGTGTTGAAAAGGCCTTGAGCAGATGCACGTTTGTTTGCATCTATTGCAAGATTCTTTATGCTCCTTCACATTTCGCATCGAGCAAAAAGAGGTTTCTTTTTATGATAGTCTTTTTCTTCTCTTTCCATTTGGGTATCTGAATTAGGGAAAACGGACTACTGGTCACACCAGCACGCTTGCCTTGCTATCCTCCCTTTCCCTGGCTGTGCGCTCTTCGAGCCAGCTGGCTTGCGCCACTACTCCACCCTGCGCCTCCTCCCTCCTCTTTCCTCTCTCCAACTCCCGCATTCAACCGAAGTGTATTCATTTTCTTGCATCCTCAGTCCAAAAAGCACACGCACAACGCCCTTTACCCAACCCAAAACCCAGGAAATCCCCCATGTACTAAGCCATCTGCGCCCTCCCTCTCTCTCTCACGTCCAAAAAAACGATTAATCAAGTTCCTAAGCAACCATAAGACACCACTTGCTGCCGCCGCCCGCCCAGTCCGAATGATTTTGTGTGCGAGAGAGAGAGCAGTGCAAGTTGTGTATGGTAATAACAAGCAAAGAAGAACGCCCATTCATGCATTCCAGAAAATGCCAGGAGCGAAATGAAAGGAACGGAAGGGGAAACAGCCCGGCCCAGCTCGCGCATGATAGCGAAAAATAAAGAGGAGATAATGCACATCAAAAGAAAAGCAAGAAAGAAGCGCTGAGGGGAGGGCGTGTGGGTGCACGCCGTCTATGAGGGGAAGAAATATATGTCGAGTCGAAAAAAAAAAAAAAAGAGTTTTGAGAATTCCAGGTGGCCGGATATCATCCACAAAAGAAGTCCGGTCCGGAATGAAGCGCAGCAATGTGAAAATGATAGTAGTACAACAGGCGTGCTCCTGCGGGGTCCTCCCGCGCTGCTCGTTTCATTTCCCCTCGTTGTCGTTCTTCGGCGGCGCTCCTCGAAAACCCTGGTTATTGACCGATGGCCAATATATCATCGAGGACGGAGTTGACAGCTTCGCGATCCTTCGCCGATGCGCCCTGCCAGCCCCAGTCGTCATCAATCATCATCTCGTCTGGATCGTGATGAACGCCGTTCACGCCATTTATGGTCGTTCCGTTTGCCAGGCGGGCGGCCGTCACGGCGCTGTTTGTCGATGTGCCAAAATCGTCGATGTCCATTTTTTCTGCTTCGTAGCTCTCGCCATCGTAATAGCGGGAATTCATAACACCGGCCGTGATGAGGGGAACCTGTCCCAGATAGCTGTCGCCGAGTTCGATGGCGATGCGCAAATCGCCCAGGTTGAGGGGCTTCCTGTTCTTGCTTTCCTCGACCTCGATCGGGAGCAGGCCGGCGGGGTTGCGTTGGACTTCGCCCTGTAGCCACATCTCCTCCTCGCGTTGTAATTGCTTCCTGTATGCCGCCGTCTTGATGTAGTCGTCTCCGTTGCTGCGCACGCGGCCGAGAATATTCGAGAGCACTTCCTTGATGAACGTCTCCGTCGCAACGTTCATGAAAGCGGCTGCGTCTGGCGACGCGCCGGACGCGATTCCCTCTTCGTAACATATGGGCGTCATACGTGCCTCGATGGCCGGCGTGTCTGGAAACTCGAATGTCTCGGTGCAGAGTGGTTGGGCATAGCGCTTCCGAATTTCGAGGTCCCAATCTGTACCAGTCAGCGAGGATCGATGATAGCAAAGTTGTGTGAGGGGACGTACTGGTTTTGCTGAAACCAGCAGCGGATGCGGTTCCGGGATCTGGCAGCGATATTTGCTTTGCAGCGTGGTACTCCTGCAACTCCTTGCTGAAATAATCCGTGGGGTCCTGGTGGAGGGTCCGTAAATCTGGTCAGCGCACACAGCTCCCCCGAAACTCCGTAGGCAGTCCGGCAACTCACATCGGGTATCGCCTTGAGGCGTTTCCTTTCGCGACCCTGCAGCTCCTTGACCTCGGTCTTGAGTCGCAGCTCGGCCGCGTCGCCGCTGCTCGGCTTGCTCGTGGCGCTGGGCTTGTCGTTCGCGCTAACCCAGCTGGCGACGCCGGGCTCGGGAGGATCGCGCGTTGTGTTTGCATAGATGGCAGCGACGAGCTGATTGTGCTGATGCTCGCGCGCCGCGTCTATGGCAATGAACCAGTCTATGCGCCGTCCAAGCTCCTGCTGGTTGAGCCGGCCTGTGATTCCCCACCACGAACTCGTCAGCAAATCCGGACCGGTCAGGTATGGGGGGAGACATCGGCGGAGAGGAAATAACACGTGAGTGGGAGCATGCAGAGCGGCAGCTCTCCTGCAAAAGCAGCGGCGAACACGGACTCACCCAGCACGAACAAAGATATAGCCTCCTTATATGCGGCCCAGTGCTCGCCAATCTGGGCCTTCAGCGCGGTATAAAGCGGCTCGATGTCTATGCGCGGCGCGTTCTGCCTTGGGTTGCTGCCGGGCTTGAGCAGCGTGAGCGATGCGCCAGGCGCGGAGGACGCCGAGGCCGACGCCCCATTGACGAGGGGCAATGTCGACGACGCCTCGGCGGCCGAGTCGGAGCGCGTCATGCTCGCCATGGTGCAGGCTGGGTGGAGGGGTGATGCGGTGGATCGAATTCGGGGTTACTGGGCGCGGGGGGCGGCAGCGGCTCGGTGGTGTGGACGGCCGCGCATCCACGCTGGACGCTGGACGATGGGCGTCAGTCCCTCGGACGAGGGCGCGCGGGGGGTTTCGCAGCCAGCGCGGGCGATGGCAGGCGCGGATCCGATGATTTCGCGGTCGCAGTCGATGGCGGCGCGTCGTGGAGCTGATGAAAGGGCACGCGTGCGGCGGCGGGTTCGGAGGTGATGTCGAATTAAGCTGCGCTGGAGCTCCCTGCGCGTGGAGCCCCCAGCCCAAGCCGCCTACCTTACCGTGCCACTGCACCCCAGCCTCACTACGCGCATTTTCATGACAGAAATCACCATATATTGTTTTTGCTTTTTGCGTCGCGAGCCTGCCCGCTGCATACCTACACGAAATGCTACCTGCACACTTACTCGTCCGCAAGGCCCCCTTCACCCAGATCCACCTTGCCCACCGACCACACTTCACGCTCGTCCTCCACCTCGTCGCTGCTCAAGCCCAATCCACCCTGTCCACCCTCTGCCTCCTTTCTCTCCCTAGCCTGCGCCGCCAGCCTCGTCGCAACGCGCTTGAAGTAGTCCTGCATGCTCCTCTTGGGGCCAGGGCCCAGCGACGCTCCAGGGCCTGCCATGTACTTCTCGAACACAGCATTCTCCTCAGTGACTACGTCGAAAATAGCCAAGAATGCCGCCTCGGCCGCCAGCTTGACGGGGATGATCATGTCCCTAACGCTGGCGAAGATGGGCTGCGCCAGGAGCGCGAGGTGCGGCCTGACCAGGTCGTTGTGGTGCCGGCTGACCGTGCGGATGACCACCAGCGACAGGCGTCGCGTGTCGACCGCATTGCCCGGCGGGATGACCTGTGCCAGCGACTCGAAGATGGCTTTGGTGGCATCGAACGACTTGTTACTCGACTCGGTCAGCAAGAACTTGCCTGCGGCCAGCACACAATTGTCCGCGACCATGGCATTGGCATGAGTGATTCCGTTCGCAACCGTCGCGACCGTATCCTCACTGTGCGACTCGGTGAGCGTGTCGGGAGACTCGAGCAAGATCGAGTTGAGCGCCAGCACCGACGACTTGTTGTACGAAGACGTGAGCACCCGATTCTTGATCAGGCTGTCTGCCGTCTCGGCGGGCAAGTTCTTGATCAATGCTCCCAGCAGGCGCGCGTTCTGAATCGACATAGCATCGTCCGCCTCGTCAATATCCGCATCGATCAGGCCGAGGATCGAGTTGCGCGAAGCCTCGCTCATGCTGCCACCCGCCTTGCTGACGACTTCGTAAAGAGCCTTGAGCATTGCCGTCCTGACGCCATGGTCCGACGTCTTGGAACCAGTGACAAGCTCCGCAATGAGCGGATCGATACGTGGCGTCAGCGTGATGAGAGTTCCGAGGGCCTTGGCAGCGCGGATCCGGAGGATCTCGCTCGAAGTGTCGGCCAACGACTTGGCGAAAGTCCTCTGCAGTTGCGGCAAGAAGGGCTTGAGGAAGGTCGGGATCTTCTCGAGCAGGTTGTTGAGAGTGTAGAGAATGGCAGCTAAACCTAGGTGGTTAAAAGTGGACTAAATGATGAATGGCAATGGATTAGAAAACTTACCCTTGACCTCCACCGAACGCTCCGAAACGACACGAATCAAAGGACCGGTGATTTGCGTGACAGACGGGCGCAGAGACTCCGCGCTCGTGCGGTCGATAATGTCCGAGATGGCAAGAGCTGCCTGGGTCCGCTGTTCGGCCGAGCCGTTCATGAGACCCTGCAGGAAAATCGGCAGAATGGCGTTGATGCCCTTGGGCAAGTTGAATCCGGGCAGGTCCGAACCTGCTACGCCGACGGACTGCAGGACCTGGCGGGTGGATATGACCAAGGACTCCATCTCCTCCTTGCGTAGGCGGCCCGTCAGGGCGCTCAGCGCCGCCCAAGCCGCCTTGACGACCTCCGGGTCGCTGTCGTTGAAAGACACGAGCAGCGCCCGGATGAGGTCGGGGTAGTAGCGGGACATGTCGAGATCGGCGGCCTGGAAGAACTTGGCCAGGTGAAGGTCGGCCGCGCGGCGCCTGTGGTGGTCGTCGTGCTTGACGAGCGCCAGCATCACGCTCATGACGGTGGTGAGACCGTCATACTCATCCACCGACACCAAGACTGTGTCGAAGGAAGAGTCGAGTTCCTTCCGCAACTCGTCGTCCTTTGTGCTGACAATGTTGTCCATGAGAGCATTGAGGATGTGCGGCAACTTGCGAGTCATGGCCGAGCTGGCCACCTCGGCGAGAGATGCAATAGCACGAGCATTGAAGGCGGAAATAGGCGAAGCAATGAGCGTAGGCAGCAGGTTCGGGAGGATGATGTTGCTCCTAGTCTGCTCGGTGAGGAGGGTGAGAAGAGCGGACAAGGCGTTCTGAGCATCCTCCTCGGAGCGGAGAAGGTTGAGCAGGAAGGGAAGAACCTGATCGACGGCCTTCTTGCCGAGGATCTTCTGCAGAGCATCGAACGCCTCGGCAGCGGCTTCACGGACGTCATCGTCAGGGTCGACCAGTGCCGTACGCACCACGGAGATGAGCGTCTTCTCGTACTCCTCGAGAGACTCGGGCGCGGCAGAAGCAATGAGTTCGCGCAGGGCGATGCAGATACCTTGCTTGGCGTCCGTGTCGGTCGAAGTCTGGAGGCCTTCTTCGAGCGTAGGCAAGAGCGTGGCGAGCACTCCCTCGCCAGCCTTGCGGATAAGCTCGCCGAGAGCGTTGCTGGCAATGACCTTTTGCTCCATGTTGGAGCTTGCGAGACGGCGGATGATGAGCTGAGTGAGCGTGGGGATGAGCTCGCGAAGCGTGCGTGGAGAGGCGACCAGGGCCTTCCAGACTTGAATGGCGGCCGTGCGGACGAGACCTGACGTGTCGCAACGGCAGATGTAGAGGGACGAGAGGACTCTGTTGCGCCTCTCCTCGCCGAGCACTTCGAGCAGCGATTGGCCTGCCTCTCTGGCGCCCTCCTCGTCTTCATCCTGCTCGGTCTTGCCGCTGATGCCCGTGAGGTTGAAGAGCAAGTCTCCAACAAGCTCGACGGAGCTGAGACGGATGCGGTAGCTGTCGTCGGCAAGACCGCGCTCGAGCTCGGGAAGCAGTAGGTCAATGGCGCGAGTGGCAAAGTTCTTGACGAGCAGACGACCAGCGCGGAGGGCCGTCTCGCGGATCGACTCAATGTCGTCGGCAAGACCACCAAGGATCGGCGGAATGATCTTCTGAAGGTAGTTCGAAAAGCTGTTACCGAAGCATGCCGGCAAGAAGATGAACAGCGACATGAAGCCTTCGCGGACAGAGGGCTTGGAGCTGGTAACGTTTTGGAGGATAGACGGCAGAGTCTCCTCGAGACGGCTCGTTCCGAGACCGGCAAGCACCTCGCTGAGTGCCTGTGCGGATCCGAGCCTGTCGCCAGCACCCGTGTCGGACTTGAGAGTGGCCATGAGGCTGGGAATGAGGTCGGGAAGAGCATCCTCGCCGAGCTTCTCCACGGTGGATCCAAGCGCTTTCGACGCCGTGGCACGGGTCGTGGGGACGGGGTCGACGATTGCCTCGCGCAGACCGGCAACCAGGATTGGCAGGTGAGAGATGAGATCCTTCCGCTCCGTAAGGTGAGCCAGACTGCCGATGATCTGGGCAGCTTTGCGCTTGGTGGCAGACCTGTCACCCAGACCACGCTCAAGGATGCGGACCACGAGCGCGAGCGATGGAGCATCGAGGTAGTGCACGAAGTTGACCTTGATGAGCGACTCGAGAGCCTCGTCCGTGTACTTCGTGGGGTCGCTGAGAGCCTTGAGGAGGATGTCCACAACACTCTTGATCTCGGGGTTGCTGATGACTTCTCCGAACCGCTGCAGAGAACGCTTTGCTGAGGCCCTGACCTCCTTGTGAGAGTCGTTGAGGACGGTGGTCAGAGGCGGGATGATTTCGGGAAGGCTGATGGCGAGCTGCTGCGGGTCCAGGTAGGCCATGGCACCCAGAGAGTCGCACGCACCCTTCTTGCTACGCCATTGTTGCTCATCCAATCCGTCGAGCAAAGTCGGGAGGACCTGCTTGACACCGTAAGAGCTCAGGTTGGCGAAGCACGTCTTGGCTGCGTCCAGGCACGCCTCTCGGACGTCTGCGCTGGCGTCACCGAACCCAGCAAGAAGCTGTGGCACAACCTGGATGACGTAGGGTTCGAAGATGCGACCGAGGACGAGAGCAAGCAGCTCGTAAGCCAAGAAAGCGCCTTGCCTTGCGTTCTGGTCCTTCTTGTTCTCAGCCGCGCCCTTGAGCGTAGACAAGATGCGCTTCTCGTGAAGAAGGACGAGACCTTTGCCACGGACAATGCCAGCCAGGCCGTATGCCGCGCCTCTACGGGATGCGTACTTCTTCGACTGGAGGAGTTCGTCCATGACGTGCTGGACGTAGTCGGAAACCTTGTCGTCTGAGGCCCGCACAAGCGGGGGAAGACATTCAGCAACTGCGTACTGGACCGTCTCGGACGGGGTGCTGAGTGTCTGCAGGAGCCGCTGTACGACCTTGGGGACACGGTCATCGCCCGACGGAAGATGGCGAGCGAGAGCTCCGTAAAGGATGATGACGGCCTCGTTGACCAAGTCAGCAGCCTCGCTTCCTTGGTCGGGCGCCTCGAGGGCGCGTTCAAAGAGCCCCATAAGCTCCTCCACCTTCAGCTGTCCACGCTGCGAAATGATCGCCACCGACGCTTCGACCATCTCATCGCGAACAGCTGCGCTCTTGTCCCCAAGCGGGCCCTCTTGAATCATAAAGGACACAAACGGCACCAAATCGTCGGCCCGGAACTGGTTTGCAAGCTCGCGGAACGCCAGAGCGACACCATTCCTCGCCTCCCAAGGGTCCGTGAGATCCTTCTTGATGGGCATGCCATACCTGTCACGTTCAGGTAACCGGGGCTTCGCCCTCTCCTTGTAGATGTCTTGAAGTTGCTTGACGATGCTCTCAAAGACTTCCGGCTTGACCGAGACACATTCAGCGAGGGAGCGTGCAGCAGCTCTGCGGAGCTGCTTATCGGTAGCGTCGAGGTAGGGAAGCATTTTGACGGCGGCATCTTCGGGGAGCTCCAGGCCGTTCGCTTCCCAGATGGATTTCGCAAGGTCAACATTCTCCTGCACGTCGTCGTGGCATGCAAGCCAGATGTCTTCCGAAAAGTCGATATCGATGATATCCACCTCCTCATCGATGGCTTGAAGGACCGAGGTTCTGACGGAAACTTGAGGCACAATAGCACCCTTCGTGACGGCCAGGGTCTCCTCGGCATTCAAGTCGGATCCGATGCCTCTGCACAGGTCCATCAGGCAATCCTTGACGACCTTGAAGTGCTGCGTAAACTTCTGCATGGACTTGACGAGAATGGAGAAGAGCTTGCGTCGGGGAAGGGTCTTGTCAGAGCATGAGTCGGTATGGAAGGAAATGAATTCTAGAGCAAGGACGATCTGCTCATCGGCCTCTTCCTCATTTGCTCTGTCAATAGCACCGTTCTCAAGCACCAAAAAGACAAGTGGGAGGATGTAGGTGAGCGAGATGCTGTCGAGTGGACGCTGCTCGCTCAGGAACCTCAAACGGTAGAGCAACCTGGTGACGAGGTCGCCGAGCGGTTCGTCGGCGAGTCCGTCCGGCAGGAACGCCATATTCATGGCCCGCAAGGTGGCGATTCCAAAGAACGGTCTGTGCACGCCTAGCCTGGGCGAGATGCGTTCCGCACAGGAGATGTACGCAGAAGTAGCAGCGTCGGCAATGACGAGACCGGCACCGGCATCCATGGCTTGCAAAATCGAATCAATAGCCGGTCCAAGCCACAAGTTCGCCTCGGTAGGCGGGCCGGTTGCGAGCGCCTTGATCGTACCGACACCACGTTGGAGGGAGGCTTCAACAACGGAGACTTCTTGGCGGATCTTGGACTCCTTTTCCAACTGGGCCCTGACTTTGGCCTGCTCGTCAGGAGTGAGCTTCTTCTGCGCACCCTTCTTCGAGGCGATCTGGTCCCGCAGTTCTTGCTCCCATTTCCACGTGTCGTAGTCCTTGTCGCCTTTGGAAGGAACCCGAGCTTGTTGCTTAGCAAGCACATCGATGAAAGGAGTGCCTTCTGGAGTGCGGAATATTGCTGCTTCAGTGGGTCCAATGTTTTCGAGCTGCTTGGGGTCAAGATCTTGCTTGATCTGTTCAACAAGCCGAGGGATTGCGACCTCGGGGGCGACGAAGGCAAGATCAGCACCGGCAGCGTAAGCGGCTTGCCTCACCAGAGGAGTGTGGATGGAAGTGGTTCCCTATGTATCGGAATCAGTAAATGAGAGTCGAAAACGAATCCTGAGTGGCTCACCTTGGTCGCGTTGATGATGGTTTCCATGCAGCGGTCGAGATCGTTCTTGACAAGTTCACCAGGATCGACACCAGTCTTCAGACACGTGTCGATCCAAGACACCCGCGGCAGAAGCTGAGGTCGCGCAAGCACGAGCAGATTGATCAATTGCGAGCGTAGCGTCGAGTCGTCAACGGCAGCCTCGAGGGCCTTCTGCTCTTCAGGCGTGAGGCAAATCGCGCGCAAAGCAAGGTAGAGCTCATCGTTGCCAGTCTTGGACGTGGTCGCCGCGGTGTCCTTCTCGTTCAATTCCACGTTTCGGCGCCATTGCCAGAGGCCGTTGATGATGATGTGCGCGATACGTGCGGGATAGCGAGCATAGGCCTTGGACAAGGACCGTATCGCCTCCTGACGCACGCTGGGAGCAATTCCGGCAGCTGACGTGAAATACAAAAAGGCTTGCGACCACGACTCTTCAACCGGCGGGTCTTCCTTCCCTTCAGCAATCGTCTCAGTTACAGAGGCTAGCGCACGGAGACCCCAAGCCAGATCCTCTTCTGTGGTAAGCTTGGAGTACACCCTGTGGTTCAGCAAGAACGAGGGTTTGGGCTCCGCCATCATGACATTCTTTACGATGGAAGCCTTGGTGAGCGCGGCTTTGATCTTCTCGTCTTCGACCTTGTTCCACTTGGAGAGGCCAAAGGCTGTGGCAATGTAGGCTACTGTGACTAGACCACTTTGCACGGCAGGAATAGGGTTCTTGATTACCTCTTGCCACGAGTCGAAGAGCTTCTGAACGACAGCTTGGACAAAAGAAACAACGCCGGCCTGCCTAGCCTGCTCTTCATCAAGCGTCCAGAGCAGTTCACCGATGCGCAAGGCCCAGAGCCTTCGCACGGGCAGTCGCTTGTCACCAAGGCCCTTGACAAAGGAATCGGTGACAGCAGCTTCAACCGAGCCTCCAGTGGTAAGAGAAAACGCCAGATGCTTGGAAATAGCGCGAGTCTCCGCGCCCACAGCCACCTCGTTGGGTTCCTTGATCGCCACGGGGCCAAGGCCAGCCGGGATCTTCTTGGCGAGGGCTTCGGAGCTCTTCAAAGCAATGAGCATCTGTGCGTGGATCGTCTTCTGCTCCGCCACCGTCACCTTTCCTTGCTTCAGGGGATTCAGAACCTCGTCCGCGACCTTGTCAAGAACCTGATCGTCGGCGGAGCGAGCGGCGATTGCCTCAAAGGTGGATAGAGAACCCGCCCTGATCGTGGCGTTTGTAGACTTGACGCTCGAGAGGAGGGGTTTGAGCAGGTTCTTCTGGAGCACCTCGGAAAGGTCTAGGCCCTGCGGGAGGGAGCGCAGCATGGGCGCCAGAAGCTCGTTCAAGACGACCTCGGGAGCCCTCAGCAGCGCTTTCTCGACCGGCGGGATTATTTCCTTTTGCAAATCCTCCAGGGTCGTGAACACGCTGAAGAAGTCATGCAGGCCGTTGGTGATGTGCTTGGGCAGCACCGTCTTAGAGCCAATGATTTCCCGCACGTAGTAGGTGTAATAGTCTTTCTTCTTCTCCGCGAGCACAGGCTCGGCTGCGGGTATCCTCGAACAGACGCCTGCAATGACGCCCAAGAAGACGGCATTGCGTGCGGTGGGAGCGTTGCCCTTGGCGGTCAATGCTGCTATGGACGACTGGATGGCATCCTTGCCAATGGACTCGTTTTTGAAGACGCGGCGGAGCGCACGGCGAGTGACAACGAGGGCCGAGTTCTTCAGGCCGTCCCGGCTAGCGGAGCCCAGACACGTCTCGAGCAAGAGAGCATCGGCGGCGACGACCTGGAGCCCATGCTTCTTCCACAAGTTCTCGCGAGCGCCGAACTCCTGCAGCAGTATGGAGCACCATTCGACGAGGCTAAAGACATTGGCAGCGGCGACGCTGGATTTGGCGGACTCGGCGAGTAGGAATTTGGCAGTGCCGCCGACCAATTCCTCGGCGATTGGGCTCGCGGCGACGGCGCGGAGGCACTGGTGCACGGCTTGACGCGAGGGGCGGTCTATGTAGAGCGGATAGGTGTCAAATAGGATGAGCAGGACGCCCTTGGCGTCACTGGGGGCGATAGCTGCAGCGCGGTCAGCGGGGGGGTTGGAATTGGGAGCTCGGCGGACGCACTGCTGTCATGCAGCTGCTGCTCCACCAGCCGTAGCTTGGCGATGCGGCGCTTGGTAGAGCTGGAGAGGATGTCCTTGCGCAGGTCGAGCAGGTCAAGACCCTGCGCGCCGTCGGTCTTGACCTCCGCCATGGGTGCAAACGGTTGCGGGGGTTTGCTGCGCGGAGGAGGTGCGCGGGTACAGTGGGTGGTCAGATTTACGCGGGTGCAGATCTTGAGGGCCGGACGATGACATCGCCGCGTCCATGCGCCCAAACCGGCCACCACCACCTCGCCCACGGCCACGCTCCACTCTGCCAATTCCTCCACCGCCATCCCCGTCCCCAGCATGGCGCCCAAGAAGAAGAAGAAGCCCGCCGCCAACCCCGCACGCGCCGTCGCCACCACCTCTATCGCGAGCAAGCCCAAGGTCGACAAGAAGCTCGACTCCGCCGACGCCTCCGAAACGGGCAGTGCAGCCACGCCCGCCACCCCCGCGACGCCTGGCGATGCTGCACCCTCGCCCGCCGGCGCCGCCCCTGCGCCCAGAGAGCTGCACCAGCTCAGCCCGGAGGAGCTCGAGCAGCAGCTGGAGCGCAACGAGCTACAGCTCTTGGTCGAGAAGCACGCCCAAAAGGTCCGCAAGGAGTCCTCGCGCCACATCACTAGGGTCCAGACAGATCGCCGTGTCCTTCGCACCCAGGCCCAGTATCTGCCCACTCGCGAGTGGCTGCCGGGTGATCTCACCACCCAGATTTTGGATCTTATTAAGGACGAGATAAACGAAGACTTTTCTTCCCCGGAACACAAGTACTCCATCCGCAGTCTCTCCGAGGAAGATGTAATTCTCCGTCTGTGGACCCTTAGCCAGACTCTGGCCGACATGGGCTTTTCCAAGGATAGAGTCCGCCAGATGCTGGTTCTCATATGCCGGAATCCGCCGCCCTTAGATGCCAATACGCCTATTTGGGGTCTTCAGGAAAGTTTAGAATGGTTTGCCGTAAATTGCCCTCCGGATGAACTCCCGCCTTATGAAAGCCAAGCCCTACCGCCCGCGATTGATACCAGTAGCTCTTCGAGGTCTAGTAAGTCTTACCATCTCTGCTTTCGTCCCCTCTGCGTCAAGCCTTTCTGTACGTTACTGGAAACCGCACGTATCTTGGAGTTGGACATCACCATGCCGGTTATCGATAGGCGCCCTTGCCGGGTGAACGTAATTCCAGCAGTTGCTTTTTCCCTAGGCTCTATCCCGGGATCCGTTGAGACAGGGAACCCCAGGTGACAGTCCACTGACAGTGGCCTGCTCAGATTCTCCAAAACGCTCAGAGACTCCAGCTTCTGATCGGGCTCCTGCGTCTAGAACAAAGCCGGTTCCGACCCAACAAGAAACCGATAGTCCCGCTCCATCTGAAGAAGATTTTGATGTCAGTGATCTCGACAGCGATATGGAACCGGACCAGTTGCTCGAGACTTATATTAACGCCAAATCTCGCCTCTTCCAACTTAATCCCGACCTCGTTGCTACGGTTAATTCTCGTTCGAAATCTACTAAGAAGTCTCGCGGCGCCCCGAAGACAGCCCCACTGTCTGGGGGTGCGTTGAAACTTCAGAAGAAGATCCAACAGATCGAATCGGATGCTTTATTTGATCAGCGTGAGGCCGATGAGAAATGGGCATCCAAGCGCGTAGAATTGGCGCGGGAAGCACCCGGTAGACCAAAACGCCTTAAGGAGACTAAAATCGCAGAGTCGGAGAGTCTAGCAGAGCCGGAATCCAATGCCGCAAGCGCTGCCGACGACATCATGCAACAAGCTGCTCTGGCTGGTGATGTTTTAGCACAAAACGCAGACGATGATGATGGCCTCCTCGGCGGTATGTTCACGGCCGAACCGGGAAACAGCCAGCCTTTAGAAACGAATGGTTCCACCGGTGACTCTGTAACGGCTACCATACGTGATTTTGGTAAATCCACCGGCATGAATCCACGCAGGATATTAGAAGAAGCTTGTCGCGCAAGGTTCGTCTTCTCCATCCAGTTGTACTTTTCCCATCAATGATTTGCTCACCCCGTTCACAGAGACTCCGGGGCGCGTCTGACCTACAAGCACGTCTCGCCCACCACGTACTCAAGCCGCCATTCAGTAACAATTACTTGGACGAAAGACCAAGAACCTATTGACGCTTCGGCTATCCCCGATATTATTTGCGAGGTTGGGCCAAGGTCTGCCACCTTTACTATGATCAAAGTGGCAACTCCAGGAACCCAACAGAGTGAGGCCTACGTTTCGGTCGTTGCTCTCTTTCTAGTTTTCTCTGTTTCTTCGAAAGAGGAAAAGGTTTACATGAGGCTTCCGCCGACTTGGAGGGATCTTTGGGCAGAATTCTCCGAGACGCAGAAGAACATAACTGACGAAAAGGATCGGGAGATGGTTAAGGACCTTCGTGGCATCGTCCAGGAAACGCTTGAAAGGGAGGACGAAGACGGCGTCATACTGATGAATGGCTTCAAGAAACGCGGCAAAGGCGTGGGAGACGGTAATGGAGAGTCGAATCTCCCGATACGCAGCAACGAGGTCTCCGAAGAGGATGCCGAGCGTTTGAAGGAGATGTGGCATCGTAAGACATCCACCCCGTCCTATCAGCGGATGCTTGCCATCCGGTCTCAACTTCCCATGGCGCATTTCCGCGAGGCTGCGCTCTCGGCCGTCGAGCGGAACCAAGTCGTCATTCTCTGCGGTGAAACCGGTTGTGGCAAGAGTACTCAGCTACCCGCGTTCGTCCTCGAACACGAGCTGTCCAATGGTCGTCCCTGCAAAGTTTACTGCACCGAACCTCGCCGTATCTCTGCCATTTCTCTGGCGCAGCGTGTCAGCGAAGAGTTGGGTGAGAATAAAAACGACGTTGGCACTTCTCGATCCCTGGTTGGCTATGCCATCCGCCTCGAGTCCCACATAGCAGCATCGACGCGTTTGGTTTATGCCACCGTTGGAATAGTCCTGCGTATGCTCGAATCCTCCAAAGGGTTGGACGACGTCACGCATCTCGTGATCGACGAAGTCCACGAGCGGAGGTAAGTGCTAAAGCCCGACTCAAAGACGCACGAGCTGATTGACTTTCACAGCATTGACACTGATTTCTTGCTCATCGTTCTTCGAGCGTTGATGGTTCGTCGGCCTGAGCTGAAGGTGATCCTCATGAGTGCCACTGTTGATGCAGATCGCTTCTCAAAATACTTGGACGGCGCTCCAATCGTCACTGTTCCCGGCCGCACTTTTCCTGTACAAACAAAGTTCTTGGAAGACGCCATCGAGTTGACGCACTACGACGTCAAAACGCAGAAGAATTCTTATGCGGATCAGGAAGCCGCCGACGACGATGATGATAGTTCTGACGGCAACAAGTCCGGGACTGCAGGAAACCTCCAAGGCTACAGCGTCGCAACTCGGAACGCTCTCAAGGAATACGACGAGTACAGGATTGATTACGAACTCATCATTCGCTTGGTCGAGAGGGTGGCGTACGATCCTAACTACACGCAGTACAGCAAGGCGATCCTAATTTTCCTCCCTGGAATCGCGGAGATCCGGCAACTGAACGACATGCTCGTCGGCCACGAGTCGTTTGCTAAGGACTGGCTCGTGTACCCGCTGCATTCCACCATCGCGAGCGAGGACCAGCAGGCTGCCTTCCTGGTCCCACCGCCCGGAGTGCGTAAGATTGTGCTCGCTACCAACATCGCAGAAACCGGCATCACCATCCCGGACATCACCTGCGTGGTCGATACGGGAAAGCACAAGGAGATGAGATTCGACGAAAGGAGGCAGTTGTCCCGTCTTATTCAGTCATTCATCTCTCGCGCCAACGCCAAGCAGCGGAGAGGAAGAGCGGGTCGTGTTCAAGAAGGCCTTTGCTTCCATTTGTTCACAAAATACCGACACGACGAACTTATGGCCGAGCAGCAGACGCCAGAAATGCTCCGTCTTTCGCTACAAGACCTCGTCATGCGCGTCAAGATATGCAAACTCGGTGAAATCGAGCCCACTTTGTCGCAAGCTTTGGATCCTCCGTCGACCAAGAACATCAGGAGAGCGATTGACGCTCTGATTGAGGTGGATGCTCTGACCGCAAGCGAGGAGCTGACGCCCTTGGGGAGGCAGATGGCGAAGCTCCCTCTCGACGCAAATCTCGGAAAACTCGCGCTTCTTGCGAGCATATTTGGTTGCGTCGACGTGGCCATCACCATCGCCGCCATCCTCTCCTCCAAAGACCCGTTTCTCACCCCCTTCGGCCAGAGACAGCGCGCAGACCTAGCGCGTCTGGCCTTCAGACGCGGCGATTCCGACCTCCTCACCGCGTACAATGCCTATGCAACGTGGCGCAAAGTGTGCACGACGCCTGGGCAATCCGAGTTCCAGTTCTGCCAAAAGAACTTCCTCAGCCGGCAGAACCTGGCCAACATCGAGGACCTCAAGTCGCAGCTCCTCAGCTCCCTCGCCGACGCCAACTTCGTCGCCCTCACGCCCGACGAGCGCCACGCCCTTAGCCGCTACCGCCCCTCGTCACGCAGCCGCAGCTTCGTCCCGGTGCTCGGGTCCGCCAACGCCAATAACCAGAACGACCTCCTCATCGCCGCCGTCATCGCCTGGTCCTTCTACCCCAAGCTCCTCACCCGCGACGGCAAAGGCTGGCGCAACGTCGCCAGCAACCAGTCCGTCTCGCTTGCGCCCACGTCGGTCAACAAGCAGCCGCCGCCCGGCACCTCGCTGCGCTACCTCTCGTACTACCACATCATGCAGTCGGGCGCCAGCAAGCTCTACAACGCGCACTCCACGTCCGTCGCGCACGACGTGCCGCTCGCCCTCTTCGCCGGCGCGGGCGACGCTGATGCGCGCCTGCATGCCGGCGTCGTCGCGCTGGACGGCAACCGCCTGCGCTTCGCCGTCAAGGACTGGAAGACGTGCCTGGTCGTCAAGGTGCTGCGCCAGCGCGTCCGCGACCTCATCAACGCCCTGTTGCGGAAGCCGGGCCCGCAGACGCTGAACAGGCGGCAAGCCAGGTGGTTGGAGCTGTTCTTGAAGGTCTTCGATCGCGAAGGCAGGGATAGGGACACTGGAAGTGCGGTCAGGAAGGGATGAAGGGAGAAAAGGAAAGCGGTTGTGCGGTTGGGCGTTGTCAAGGTTTGGAGCATTCTTGTTCCCCCTCCCTCTGTACATTTGAGGTGGGGTAGTAGCTCCGTCCTTTCGTGTTCATCCGGTATTGTCATCTTTTTGGGCAGGGAAATGGGCCGAGGGAAACAATTAGAGGTCCAGATGGCATTCTTTTCTTCTAACGATAAGTGTACAAGTGTTCTCCTCAAGCACATATACGGAGAGTATACAGTGCTAGCACCTTAGAGCATGTAGGCAACGGAAAAGAAAATGGGATCATTCAGAGAAGTTTACAAATGCACCAAGGAGCATAGGAATGTATTCGGATGCTTGAAATTCATGCTCTTCTTGCCGGTCATACCATGATAACGAGGATAGTAAGATCGATAGCACTAATACCTGTTTTCCCCTGATAGCATAGGCACTTGTCTTTCTTTCCTCAAAAACCATGGTGCCCTTTTTTTTTTCTTGTTTCGTCGTAAAAGTTCGTATCCACCAAATGCAATGTTCCCATAATCTAGTCACACCCCAATCATTTGTTCTGCCCAAGTTGCATTCTCTTCTTCATTTCTTTTTCTGCTTCTCCTCAGCCGCCCTCATTGCTGCGCGGGCGCTGCGACTACCACCCAACTTCGGGCCCTTGGGTCGCTCGTCTGCGGCCTTGCCCTTGGCGGCGCTGCTGGCCGGCGGCCGGCGGTTGTGGCGCGTCTGAACGGCCTCCATGAAGTCGCGGCGGAACTGCTCGACGATGCGGTCGTCGGCGGCGCCTTCTTCGGCGTCCTTCTGCTGCTGCTCTTGCTGTGCTCGATCGTCGTACATTTCGACTGCAGGGTTGTGATAGAAGGCGTACGGATTAGCTGTATTCATGAGAGAAGGATAGCAGCTTCCTGTCTCATATCGAGGGATAAAATAAAGGGGATGATGAACTCACGTCGGCTCTCCTTCAGGATCTCTTCCACCAACTTGTCCCGTCTGATGTCCTCGCTCGTCCTCCTCTTCCTGCCCCTTCTGCCCTTAGGCTGCATCTCCTGCTCCAGCAATTCTCCGTTCTGCAGTCGCCTCGTCGCCTCCTCCGTGCGCTCGATATTCCTCTGCACGGCTTCAGGGCCCAAGTCAATCTCCATCAGCTTTCCCATACCGGCTGGCTGCCTCTGACGAGATCCGTTCGATGGGAAAGAGGGTGCCGCGGAGCTTGGCTGCTGTTGAGAATATGTAGCATCCGTGGCCGCTTCTGCAGCCGCTGCACGACGCTCGCCCTCACGCATCTCAGCCATCTTGGAATCTATATAAGCCATCCTTGAAACATTAGCAGCCAATTCAAAGACTCGACCAACCATCCCTCTCTTTTTTCTTCGAAACCCGCCGGGAGAGTGGACCAAACAGAGGGGACCACTCACATGTGCTTGTCCAACGTATCCACAACCATGCCCGTCTGCGGCGCAAACTCTTTCGCAACCACCACTTCGGCCTGTTGCTGTTCCGCCGCTGCACCGCTGACCGGAGGCGCGAGCGCAGAAGTAGTGACCTCGGAGCCTCCACTCGGCTTGCCACTACCCGATGATGAGAACTCAACACCCAGTCCCCGCGCCTTCTGCTTGCGTGCACGGCGCAGGATCTCCGCGACGGACAGCTGCCCGCCTTCCTCGTTGTTCGTCGGAGCATGCTCGGCGGTCGATGACGTAGTAGCAGGATCGGCGGCGTCGGAGGTCGAGGGCGCGGAAGCGGAGATGGCGGAGGTTGTGGCGGCAAGAGGGGCGCCGCTGACGGTTGCGTTCAGGGCGAGCGGCTGCCCTTCATTGTTGTGGTCATCGTCTTCGTCGAGGCGTTTGCGATACACTTTCTGGCGCTTGCGCGCGCGAAAGTTGGCTTCGGCCATGGGGTCCGATAGAGGAAGAGTGACACGAATGGCGCGTAGAAGGATGAACAGTCGTTGAGGATGGTCGTGGGTATCGCGGGCTTGGTTGCGATTCTTAAATCATGCTCTGGGCAGGGATGCAAGTTGCGTCGCGGGGCGAGAGCTTTGAGAGCGCGAATTGGATCTGATGCTTGGGACTCGACATGCGGTGATTTCCCGTGGGTCTTGAGAGTCGCGCAGCTCTGGTGAGCGCAGACGCGGAGCAAGAAGGGAGCAGACCCCGAGGGTGGTGGTTGGTTGGAATGGAAGAAGCTTGATGCGAAGGCGGCGAGCGGAGGTTCTGGCGGGCTGCAGGGAAGCGTGCAGGATGATGTGACGCACGTCCGATAAACTTGACCCACCGTCACGTGCAAGGACCGCCTCGGCGACATCACCCCTTGTCGTCTGGGGAAAAGATACCGGGGTCACCACTGGGCAGTAACCTTGATGGCTGCCAGCACGCACAGCAGCTTCCTGCCCACATGAGAGGCTCGCTATCCGCACACAGACTACACTGCATTTTTGCACGCTATTTACGTCCCCCAGCCTGCCGCCTGCTACCAGGCCCATCATCCACGCATTCCACCCGCTTTTCGCCTAAGCGCCGCGCTGTAATACAAAGTAGGAATTTCTGACCGGTGCTCCTGCTCCACTGGTCCGCCCTGCTATCTCACCCTCCGAAACGCTCGGGACTTTCCGTCAAAGAATGCTCAACTCTTTTTTTCCTACACGCCTCCTCCATTCTTCTGTTGAGCCAAACGCTGAAATCACTGGTCTTACCAATCATGCCAATTTGTTCGATGGTTCCACCCCCATGCCGCATAGTCATGGTCGGCTGGAGTGGGGAAATCAGATGCAGAAATAGAAACGCCAGATGCATGCTCGAATGGACCACGCCGGACGAGAATAAAGCACCGCCGTAAAAGCGCAGTGCTCGTGCAGGGAAATAGACGCGCAGCAGTGCCCGAAGGAATCGAGGACACGTGTCGCCAGTGTGGGTATGCTGTCTCTACATGTGTAAAGCCGCGATACGAAACCCACGCGGAGAACATTGTTGTATGGGAGGGGGAAGACGGGAATGCAGAGGACAATCGTGGATGGTGATGTGCCGTGTATACCACACCCGCGACTCTTCTAAGAAAAGCCGCTGAGTCGAGATTAGTAAAGGTTAAAGGGGAACCGGGTAAGCGCAGCCGAGCTGGTACTCTGGGCCGGTAGGGATAGCTCAAGCCAGAGGCTGTGCCGCCCCCCGAACACCCGATTCAATAGAAAGTTGCGCGCCGTGTGCCGCAGCAGAAAAGGTCGCCAGCAAAGGCTGGCGCCACACGTGTGCGATCGGCCTGCTGAGAGCGCTCAGACGCTCCCGTTGGTAACGCCGAGTCTGCGGCGAATAAGCTCCTGCAGGGCCAGAAGCTGCCGCCTTTCCTCGTCTCCGGGCGGCTCCATCGCCAGCGGTGCCTTCTCAGCGCCAGTCATACTGTCGACTACTTCGTCGGGGGATTCGCCCTGGAGCGTTTTGTGTCAGTGCTGACGTCATCAAATTTTCTCAGACATGGGGGCTCTTACGTTCAGGCTGTAGATGAGCGTCTGCACCGCGTCGCCGCCGAGCTCGAGGTCGGATTCTCGGTTGGCAAGCTGCACGAGGTTGACAGCAGCACGCCGGTCGGTAGGGTTGGCGCGGCTGAACCCACGGTCGTACGCCGTTGGCTGGGTCGAGACTCCGCCGGGGAAACCGGTTCGTTGAGCGCGGATGGCCTCGTCGTCCATGCGCATTCTGGAAAAGGTCAGCGGCTTGTCTTGGAGAGCAACGGGTGGCGGAGGTGACTCACTTCTTGACCTTGGATATGAAGTCCAGCTTGATGCCTTTGACCGGAAGGCGGTAGACGACGCCGTCTTCGTCGTCGTTGGATTCGAACTCCTTCTCGCTATCGCTGCTCTCGTCGGCGACCTCGATGATGCCGTTGTTTCTGAAGCCACGCCTCATGTTGACGTCGACGATGTTGGGGTTCTTGGGTTTGCGGATCCGGAAGATCCGCGTGCTGCCGAGAGCGCTGGACACAGTGGGCTCAATGGCGCGAAGGTCCCGGTCGATGTGACGCGGGCACTTCCAAACATTACGGTGCCTGCTGTTGAAAGGGATGGGTGGGGGATTCGCCATGGGCGGGTCAAGGCAGTCCAGGTGCCAGTTAGCATTGCAGATATCGCACTGGATGATCTGCTGCTTGTTAAGCGAAGACTTGCCGCACTGCACGCAAAGAATAGCGTTGCCCTTCGTGTCGAGCAGCCTGGTGTTGTCGGGCACTTCGTCCCAGCCGCCACGGCCCTTGTTGCTGCCTGATGTTAGCAGCGGCTCCGCAATGGTGAGCAATCACAAGAAAAACTTACAGGGGCTTCGTCGCTTGCACCTCCTCGTACGCGCCCTCCTTGTCTGCACGCACACCTTCGAAATGATCTTGGATGCGCTTGGGCAGAGCGAAGACGGTGGGGTTGCGCTTGTTGATGGTGGCCATCAGAGGGCCGAACAAGCTGAACGGGACCGACTCTCTCAACGCGCTGTTGCTCTTCGCCGCACACAGGTGGCAAAGCCACTTTTCGTCAGGAGTGTCTTCGAGCGGCGGGTCGCAGCAAGTCAGGTGGAAGGCCTTGTCGCAACCATCGCAGCAGAGGAGCAGGCCAGAGAAGCCACAAGCTGAACAAAAGTCATCGTTTTCGGAGCGCTGGAACTCTGTCAGAGGCGGTGAAGGAGGCAGACGCGATGAAACGGGTATGGATAATGAAGTAGGCTTGTGGAAATGCATCGTGACTGATGGGGGGAAAGGTGTGGTGGATGGCGGTGGAAAGAGCTCGAAGAGGTAAAGGGTGCGAGGGCTAGTGGGAGGGTTGGCGGAGATTTGGTCACTTACCGCGTCGTTGTCATCGTAGCCGATCGGGGATTCCATTCCGCCACTCGCACGAGCAACGCCCGCGACACCACCCGTCCTATTCTTGATCGGCCTAAAATGCAAACCGGGGCGTTAGCGACGCTCATCACTTGCTCCAAGCATTTGGCACTCTTCACAATCCCCCTGCCCGACCCGCCTCGAGTGGCTCGATGGCAATGTGAAACAAGCAGGAGCCAAGAAACACGTGTAGATGAAGCTGCGGGAAGCGCCAAGGCATGGCCGGCGCCCCAGGCATCAAACGTTGCATGGGGAGAACTTACGAATGCTTTGTGCGAGCCGACGTCTTTTGCCTCTTTGACGGCCTGTCGTTGCCGTCTGCGTTGAGGTTAGGCGTGGTAGCACGCGTGGCAGGTCCGGATCCATGTGGCGGGAACCCTTCTGAGAGGGGTGACGCGGCACTGCTGCTTGCTTGAAGGGCCGACTTCTTGAGCAGACCGTTGGTGAGCTTCAGCTTCTGCTTCTTGGGCGGAGGCAGCACGGGAGACCCGTTGTTGAGCGCGGGGATATCTGCCGATGAGAGTTCAGGTCTGATGTTGCTGACGGGGATGTTTCTGTTGAAGGATGCGACGTCCTTGAACGCCTCGCTGTACTTGCGGCGCTTTGCTTGCAACTCTTCGTCTTCAGACTCGGTCAAGCCGGCATCGTCGGGAGAGCGCTTGCTGGCGGCGCTGCCGCCGGCCTTTTTGGGGAGCGGCTTCTTCGTCCTAATGCCCAGCTTGCTGGCGCCGTTCGTGGAAGGCCCTGCCGTCGACGGCCTGGTGATGGCGGGGTCCTCCAGCACGTCAGGGGGTGGGCCTGCAGCGATACTCTCATCGACTGAACTTAGAGATGAAATGGAGGATATACTAGCCCGTCTCGAGCGGGGGGAATGCACGGCGGACGACGTCAGGCCGTTGGCGCCGACCCCCATGTCGGCCGCTGTGGGCTCCTTCGGAGGAGTGACGGCACGTTCGGAGGGCAGTTCCTCGGGAGCTGGAGATTGGATCGCGGAAGACGGGTGGATGGTGGTCGACTTTGCCGGGGATGAAGGCGAGGGTGACTGCGCGGATTGCGAGGGCGTCAAAGCGAGGCCGTTGGCACCACGCGAAATGCGCGCGCGCTTTGGGCTTCTCTCAATACTCTCTTCCTCCTGATCCTGCGGGGGCGCCTTTCGCGCGCGCTTTACGTAGCGGTCGAATTCGGCCTGCTTCTCCTTCGTGGGGGCTCTGCCGTTGTGTTTCGCAACGTAACTGAGGAGCTCAGAGAGACCCTTGTCGTTCTTGCTCTGTTGAGAGAGACGTCTTAGCACAGTGCCGATCTTCGTGTGGCCGGTAGTTTCAACCTTCGCTAGAGCGCCGCGAAGAGCCTTCTCGACGCCCATAGAAATGCCGACGTTGGCGTGCTCCTCCACAAATGGCGACGGCGAGCGGTTATCGGGAGTGCTCGGGGCTGCGGTTGGGCGGACCGAACCCACTGGCGTCTCGCTCTTGGAGCCACGCTTCGAGGCCTTGGCCTTCTTGCTCTTCTTCTTCTTGCCTGCGGGCGTGTAGTCATCATCCTCCTCTTCATCCCTGTTGGGGGGTATTACGGGCACATAGTCCTGGGGGTTCCTGTCCCGGTCCTCCGCCTGTTGTGTGCCGTCGACGTCGGGCGTGTCGCGCGAATCCTCAGCTCCAGACAGCTGGCCGTTCTTGCCCGCCACAGAGCGACGGAGGCCATCAACCCTGGACCTCGCCCTGTCCTTTGCCGTAGGCTTCACGCCCAGCGGCTGCATGGTCGTGAGGACACCCTGCCTTTCGAAGCCGACATCCTCGAAGCTGGGCGCAGGAGGCTTGAGCGGAGGCTCGATCCAGCTGTCGAGCGATGACTGACCCTTCTCTTTCGGCGGGGCAACCTGGGGCGCAGGGGAGTTGGTCGCATGGGAGCCGTCCGGGCTGGAGGCATTCGTCCGAGCGTGGGACCTGCGCGAAGGCCTTGACGGAGGCATGGTGCAAATCGGCTGCAGGAGCGCGATCCTGCTCGAGGGTTAGCATGGGCTCGCAAAATGAAGGGATAAGGGACCTACGACGCGTCTGCGAGCCGAATGGGGTGGTTGCGCGTGAGGGCGGCGCACGCGTTGTGTGCGGCGGCGGAGATGTCAAGACGAAGAGGACGGCTCGCGAAGGAAACCAAAGCGCGGCCGGAGGTCCCTCGGACAGCTTGGGACTATTCCTCTGCGCACCCCTTGTTCCGCCTCGCTGCCACGAAAACACGAGAAATGAAAAGAATTGACTCTGAGAAAAAAAGAGAAGGTTGGATCAAGAAAAGGAGGCTCTCGGAATTTTTTTCTTTTTTGCTCCGGCGGAAGGTGAGGTCGTGACGATGCCGGCGCGGAGGTGCGAGCCTTCGCCGCTAGAGCACGCTCTCTCGCTGGGCTTCGCTGTCAGCCAGGGGTGTTGCAAACACAACTGTCGGGGGAGATTCTGCACGGGCGATGCGAGAGGGGCGTGTGTGGGTGTGTTTGTGTGTGCGAAGCTGCCGGGGTGGAGGGTGGAGGGTTGAAGAAGTTTGGAAGGGCTGTGGCGGGCGGCAAGGCAAATATGGACTGTCCACAATAGCCATTCGCCTACTATTATTGACTTCGCTGCACCCTCTCACCTTCACTCTGCCCGTGACTCATTGCGTTTCCAAACTTTTTGCTATTGTTTCCTGCTCGTTGGAGCTGCTAGTGCTATTCATAATCCTGCTCGTTGCCACTCTCCCGTCACAAGCATGCGCGCCGGCATACCTTTGGATGGCTTCACCAAGGCATTGCCCAAGACAAAGTAGCGCCACGCTTCCGCGACCTTGTTGCACCGGTCATACCATAAATCGACGTACACAAGGAGTCGGTTTGCTGCTTACTCCTACTCCTCCGCAGAAGACTCGCCCTCCTCCTCCTCCTTGCTGTCCTTCTTGGCGGTCTTCTTCTTCTTCTTCTTGTTCTTGGGCTTGGCAGTCGTGGCCTTTGCAATGGGCTGCTCGAGGATCTTAAGGATCTCCTCATCGGTGATCTTCTTGTCCGTCTTCAGCTTCTCAACATCGGGGCTCTGGGGCGCCGCCAGACGGGTGATGCCGTTCTTGGTGATAGCTATGATTCCAGTCAGCGCCTCTAGTCGAGCAGCTAGTGTCTCAAATAAACAATGTAACAGAGTGACAGAACCCTGAAAGCAATCCCGGGGTGGAGCGGCTGTTTTGACCAAAAGGCCCCCTCTTTGTGCCTGCAAATGACGCGAGTACAGGGTGGGCGCCGACACCAAGCCTTACGGAGACCTGCCAATCCCATGCAGAGAGATGAAGCAGCTCTCCGGAAGCTTCCGCCAAGTTTGCAACAAACGAGCAGACGGGCGAATACTTCGGCTTCCCGATGCAGCTGAACCTTCCGTTGAAATGCCCGTTGAACCAGCCGTGTCGAAGGCGGCAAATTATTTTACGTCCCGGCTATTGTGCACGTTTTGCAATGGGCATCTCTCGGGTGTCTTCGAATCACCTTGACGTGGTTCCAAAAGTCGAGGTCGGCAGGTCCCGAGAGCTCGACTTCCTTTTCCAGGTCTCTTCTTGAGGAGTTCGGTGACGGTGTGCCGCGAGCATGGGTCTCAGAGTGCGAGACGAAAGAAAGGTGATCAACTTACCGATGGTGGACAGGACCCTGGCGACAGCCTCGTTGTCCTTGTCGCCAACAACCTCGTACGCGCGGACGACGCCGCCGCGGACGCACTCGACAATACCAACCTTACCGGCGCGCTCGTCCTCAAGCTGGCGCAAGCTGAAGGGGAAGTTGCCAAACTTCTTCACAATCTCGGACAGGGTGGCCCTGGAGCTGGGGCGCTTGAGACCGTAGGTGGTGTTGGTGCGGCGGTGAAGGGTGGTGCGGTCGGTCAGAGTCTTAACCTTGCCGGAGCCCAAGCTGACGCCAACTTCGACGCCCCAAACATCGCCGACCTCGGGGGTGCCGTCACCTCTGACACCCTCGCCCGGAGCGAGGATGATCTTCTTCTCGCCCTCGATCTCTGACCGGCCGAAGACCCACGAGGTGGTGCTCTCGACCAGGCTGCAGTCGTAGCTCTTGACGACCTTCTCGAGCAGCTGGGTCATCTGGGCCTGGGTGTAAGGCCTCTGGGCTTGGGCCTTCTTCTTCTCTTCCTCGGTGCCGGAAGCGAGAATGCCGGGCGGCAACATGAGCCTCAGGAGGAGCTCGTTTGCATAGTGGGTAGCAAGCAGAAGGTCGGCCTGGCGGCTGGGGATGACATCGTCCTTGTGCTCATGGGAGGGAATGATGATGGTGTCGCAGACAATGGTTCCCAGGTTGTCAATCTGAGCACCCAGCTGGATCTTGATGACATCGCCAGGCTTCAGAGTGCGCTCGGCCTCCTCAGTGTCGGACTTGAGCGGGGTGTAAGGCGTGACGTAGGACGAGGGCGAGACGGTAGTGGGGTGCGCGATGCCCTTGGGGATCTTCTTGCCCTTGTAGACGGTAGCGACCTTCTCTTCCAGCAGCTTGTCGCCGCGCTCGCAGATGTCAACGATCTTGGCACCCTCGATGCACCATCCTGTGGGCGGCGTCAGTTGTGGGGTGATCGCCAGGAACAGCCCTAGCACGGCAGCAGAGAGAGCGCACCCGTGACAGTCTCAAGAACGGCCTGGGAAATCTTGGCAGCCTCCTTGTACTTGGTGAGGGTATCGGGGTTGTTGAGCGTGTAGTCTACGGGCGTGTCAGCGCGAGCGCGAAGCATTTGGAGCTGGCCGTCGAGAGCTGTGCTGTGCTATGACGTAGAGCGCAACGGCAGCACCAGCGCCGGGCGGCAGCGATTGGACGCATACCAATCTCAGTTGATTCGGCCATGGTGGGCGGCGGCAGACGGCGAGGGAGTGGAAGGGTGTAGGAGGTGTGGGATTGCAAGAGAGCGACCAGCCGCGCAGCGAGAGGTGTTTGACGAGCGAGAGCCCCTCTGCACACAGACCACAAACGATTTCGCATGGTGGGGTCGCTTAAGTCATCGCTCGCTCGGGCCCGTCCCCCCCGCCTCCCAGCATCCCGTCCTCCAGCCATCCGAATTTAGGCCCCGGCGTCCTGCACCACCATGTGATACGACAGTTCAATAATATTGACTGACCCCGCCTGCCGTCCCGGGCGTCGAGCGACATGGGTTTCTGGGAGTATTTGAGCTGGCAGAAGCCCCAGCCTGCGCTGGGCGCCGGTAGCAATCAACAGCACTCATTGTCCGTCATGAAGACTCTCTACGCCGCTCTGCCGCTGCGGATTCTGACCCATAACATTCGCTATGCGACCACGAGTCCCTTTGAGGGAGAAGAGCTGTGGCCGGTGAGAGCCCCACGGCTGCTCAACGAGCTGCGCTTCCACACCATCTACAACCAGGAGGCTTTCATCGGCCTGCAGGAGGTCCTTCACAACCAGCTGACCGACATCATGACTGGCTTGAACGGCGCCGCTTCCTCCGGTGGGGACTACATCCAGGTTGACCCGACCCCGCAGCCGGATGCGGCTGAATGGGCCTACCTTGGCGTCGGCCGCGACGATGGCAAAGAAGCCGGCGAGTACTCACCCATTCTCTACCGTCCCGCCGTCTGGGACGTCGAAGATTACCAGTACTTTTGGCTTTCCGAGACTCCCAACGTTCCTTCGCTTGGCTGGGATGCCAGCAGCATTCGAATCGTCACTATTGGTCGCTTCCGTCACCGCGACAGCAGCAAACGTGTCCTGATGCTGAACACTCATCTTGATGACGCGGGCTCGGTCTCCAGGCAGAAATCCGCAGAGCTGATCACCAACTACATTAACGACTATCTCAGCAAATACGCCAATGGAACCACGCTTCCAGTCATTCTCACCGGCGATTTCAACAGCGAGCCAACCGGCGAAGCGTACCAGTACTTCAGCAACCCGCCTTCTGTGGTTAGAGACATTAGAGACAGCGTCCCGGAGGAATTGTGGTATGGAAATAATCTCACATTCACGGGTTTCAGTTCGGCAGACGGGCCATCCAAGCGCATTGATTTCATCTTCGCTGGGCCGTGGAAGAACTCGACATCAGCCGTTACTGCCTACAGGGGATACGCCGTGCTTGCAAACAAATTCGATGACGGCGTCTACATTAGTGATCACAGGGCTGTTGTTGGGGATCTCGAGGTGTAACTATGGACGAAATTTGGGCACGACGCTCGACGATAATCCCAGTATTGTGCCTAAACCATCGGACACTGACCCTCCGTTGTCGCAATCTCGTTGGTCAGCTCTCATGCCAAGAGCTGGAGAGCGTATTGACTCTGTGTGAACCTAAAACCATACGATTGCAATGTCTATCTATTTCTAGGGGTAGGCGCCGTCAAGCAAAGCGCTGAGAGATGTAGTCTGCACTCCGACTTGCTTGAGTTATTTAGTTCAGTCGAATGTGAGTCTTCCCTACTGGCAGTCTCTCCATTAGACGCACAGGTGTCAGCTAGATCTTTTGTAGATGATGAAACGAAACATAAGCAGGGGGTGAATGTTCTGGTGGAAGGGATATCCATCTCAGGATCTCCAAACTCTGTCCGCGACATCCCTTGGTCAAACTTAGCTTACTTTGTTCTTAACAGCTCGTGACTCGAAGTACGGCTGGGAGACACATAAAACGAGACATACTACGGATTCCGCCACGACTGTGGTAAGCCTAGATCGTTTGCTCTCGGTTCCTAGACAGTACCGGTAACTCTAATATTGTGACGTAGAAAGCACCTGTCGTTTTGACCGTTGCCGATAGCGACCTGCACGTTGTAACTGTGGTCTGCACATTAGATTGTTTTAATACGTGACCAGGCTATTAATACCCGAACGCAGCAGTTCATACTTTGATCTTCAATTAATCTGGAGTCTATGGAAATCAATGTGGCACATAGGAGTCACATTATTACATGCAAAATACCAAAATTATAAAGCGGTTTCAGTGAGACTTGTTGCCACCAAGATTCCCCGCGGGCAGTACATTCTGAGAGATCACACGCTTCGGGATGACCGTTTAGCAGATCTAATAATCTGTCCGCACGGTGCTTTTCTCGGAGCATTCGACTCTACGGTGCATCCATCCCCATATTAAATATTTAGTATAATGCGGTTCACGATAGGGGAGTGGCCCTCGTAACACTTTATCGTGAAGCTACTCTGTCGTTCTCTTTGCTATGCCATCTCCTATGAAGGTACTCATTTGTCACTTGTCGCTTGCGAGGCGATGAACTAGCGAGACCTGCCGCCGGCAACGCGAAAGATACGGTGTAAATTTAGGTAGCAAGACGAAAGCAAAACTACGAGTAACATACGAGTCCATCCCACGTGTCAACTACCACCACTCAGATACGGTTGGCTATTCAACGGAACATATCCGTGATCGACTTCTGTTTTCCTTTAGACTTTGATTGTGGAGAGTGCAACTCTTCCACCTTTCTCTTCGCAGCCGAGCCCTCACTCTTGAGCAAATCCGTACTCGAATAAAGGCTTGCGGGCAGATTGTACTCATTCCCAGAGTCGAGCTGCAGATGAGTGTACGCGTCCATCTTGTACCAGATTTTCGGTGCGTCGTCTCTGTCAGACGCTAGGCCGATGTCTACCAGCGCCAGAAGAACACGGCGGACGTCGCTCACGTCAAAACAATCCCGAGTGTAAATGATAATCACGCCGTATGCGTCTTTCTTGTTTATGCTTTTGGTCGACACCTTCGCGGTGGGACCGAGCCGGTTTGCAAGCACGGCGAGGCAGACTTGCTTCCAAAGCCTCGGTATGTCGTCCCAGGTGGGAAAGATCAGCCACTGGGTTGCAAATTAGCATGAACATGAGGCTTGGGTTGGATAGTAGTGACCTTGCCGCACACGACATGCGTCTCGCGAGCCAGCTCTGCTATCTGTTGCTTGAGCTTCTGCCGATCTTTGATCAACTTGCTTGTGATGGCACCCTTTCTCATGCTTGGGTTTTTCTTCTCAAGATCTTCTCTCTTCTTGCGATAGTCTTCGAGCAAGCGGCTACCTGATTCCATCAAGGCCTGGTAATCGGGATCCTGCTTGGAATGAGCTGATTGGTACGGATTGTCCACCCAGAACCAAGGGATACCGCTTTCTTCCAGTACGGTCGTGTCGGGTGGGCAGCGCTTCAAAAACTCCGAGACAGTTTCCGATGGTTGGTACCAAAGAGGATCGCCCTCGTTCGGGTAAGCGAGCTCGCCCGACTCTCCGCTCGCAGTAGCAGAGCCATCTTCCTCGGTACCTTTCAGCGTCGAGGGAGGACGCTTAGCAGCACGTGCTTTGTAGGCGACTGTTGCCAAGCGGTTTTCATGGGTGGACCAGTACTCTGACACATTGAATAAATCGCTGCGCTTCTCCAGAGTGTTGACGGTCTCATCGTCTCCTATCGCAAAGCAATTGTCAGAGCACGTTATGCGAGACTCGGTCAGCAACAGCCAGCAGCTGTTCTGAAGCTGCATTACCATAAAAGCTTGATTCGTCGGATATCCAGCCTTCACCTGACACCAATGCCTCCGTGGGTGGCATCTTGGCGGCGCACAATCTCTCTGGGCGGCATTCCAGAGACACTTTGGTCGCCGTGGTTTCATCTGGTGGAACGTGAAATGGCGGAGCTCGAGTCGTCCAGGGTGTCGTGCACGGGCCTCTACTGACGCGCGACGCGACACGCGCTCGCGTCTTCCCTCCACTGACTGCGCGCAAGGCCGATCGCATCTCCCCAGCTGCGGTCAGCAAAACACCAGAAAAGCACACCCACAATGCCGCATTCAGTCACTCCCGGGTCTTCACAGGGCGAGGACGTCGATCTCCCGGATGCTCCGGCGACCAATGAGCAGACTTCAGGCTTGGAAGATGACAAGAAGGCGTTGGAAGAGATGATGGATGCGGAGGATTCGGACGAAGAATTCTCGTCGTCAGCAGCACCGCAGGAGACAGTGTAGGCTTCGTCGTGGCAAAAGCGGGGTTAAGCAACACTGATGGTTTTACAGCAACCCTGCGTCCGCCGGCTACTCGGACCCGGAAATTATGCGCGCTTTCTACCAGCGCTTGTTTCCATTCAGACACCTCTTTCAATGGTTGAACCATTCGCCTTCTCCGTCGACAGACTTCGCCCACCGCGAGTTCGCGTTCACGTTGCCAAACGATGCATACCTCAGATACCAATCATTCCCGAGCGCAGATCTGTACGAGCGGCTGTCGTAATATACAACGGGGGCAGGCTGACCTGCTGTGTAGGTTTCGGAAGCAATGCGTGCAGATGCTCCCATCACGTTTCGAAATCGGACCGGTGTACTCCCACAATCCGCGAGAACGCAAGTCCCTACGCAAGGCGACTGCCTTCAAGCCTATTTCCAAAGAGCTCGTCTTCGATATTGATATGACGGATTACGACGAGATCAGAACGTGCTGCACGGGTGCCAACATCTGCCATCGGTGCTGGTCATTCATCACTATGGCGATCAAAGTGGTGGATGTCGCGCTCAGGGAAGACTTTGGATTCAAACACGTTCTCTGGGTGTATTCCGGACGTCGTGGCGCTCACGCTTGGGTGTGCGACAAGCGCGCGAGGGACATGGATGACCAGAAGAGGAGAGCGATCGCGGGCTACCTGGAGCTGCTGAAGGGGGGCGACCAAGGCGGAAAGAAGGTGAACGCGAAGAGACCGCTACATCCCCATCTCGAGTGCGTCCCCAGTCGTTTCGCTCGATTCCGGCCGTTTCCACTGACACGGGCAACAGGCGAAGTCTCAGGATCCTGCGGGCGCATTTCCAGACGAACATTCTCCTAGAGCAAGACCCTTGGGCGTCGCCCGAGAAGTCGGCCCGCCTTCTTTCACTCATCCCTGACAAGCAGCTCGCGGCCGCCCTGCAGAAGAAATGGGACTCGGCACCATCACGGCCTTCGTCTCAGAAGTGGGCTGACATAGACGCGCTCGCTGCTTCTGGCGCATCGAGCACGCTCGACCCGAAAGCGCTGAAAGAAGCCAAACAAGATATCCTGCTCGAGTACACGTATCCACGGCTCGACGCGGAGGTGTCCAAGAAGTTGAACCATTTGCTGAAATCACCGTTTGTCATTCATCCCGGCACAGGCCGGGTCTGCGTGCCCATCGACACTCGGGTCGTCGAGGAATTCGATCCACTCGGAGTGCCCACCGTCACGCAGCTATTGAGCGAGATCGACGAGTGGAGCCGGGCGAACGCAGGCGCAATGGAAACGGACGACGCGGCCAAGAAGATGCCGGATTGGGAAAAGACGAGGCTGCGACCTTACGTCGAGTTCTTCCGGGGGTTCGTCACCGGGCTGATCAAGGACGAGACGGCCGGCAAGAGAGGACGGGAGGAGGCGGACGGCATGGACTTCTGAGGCGATGCGAGGTGCAGTGAATCAGCCAGGTTTGGTTAATGAGTAGGGGACTGTGCTCGTGTGCGCGGCCGGGGGGTGCTCGCTGTTTTGGATTTTACTGCAGATCTATGGGTCTTAGGACGGGGTCACGGCATCATTGGTTTTGGAAAGGCGTCTACGGACCGGAGATAGGGTTAAGCTGGTGGATCTCCATGGAAGCAATGATTCAGGCCAGTCTTCCGGACTGCTGCTACCCGTGCCCGGGCAGGGCGGCAGAAGCGGGCTTGGGCGGCGGCGCGGGGGCCGGCGCATTCTACCAGACGAAGCTGAAGTGCAATTTTTGCTGCAGGCGAGCGAAGCAGGGTTCAGAGGTGGTAGTGATAATCAGGTGGTCGGGCTTCCCCATCCAGGCTGATGAATGCGAAAGCGAAGTTTTGCGCAATGGCCAACCTGCCAATGAGAGGGGCACCCGGCGGGCAAGCCAGCCCTTGTTGACGGCACCGTCATTGCGGACGCCCACGGGGCGTACCGCGGCGCGGGAAAGGCCGTCTGGGATAACCGTTCGTGCAAGCCGAGTGCGTGTGAAGAAGCGCAATCTGCGGTGTGTACCTTTTAAAGACGGGCGCGCCCCGAGGCGTCGCAGCGTCCTGCCGGCCTCCAGCGTCCCTCCAACCGCCCGGCGAGGAAGTCCCATCACGGCCAAAACACGGTGCTGCGCGTCGCAGAGGTGAGCTGGCCGCGGCTGTACTACTGATGTGTTTTGTGTTTTTCCTCGTTGCAGGCAGGGCTGGCAGCCTGCGCGGGTGCCTGGCCGGCGTCGACCCAGCAGACCGTAGCAGCACCCCTCGTTGTCGGTGAGCGCGGCGGCGGGCAGGGCAAGGCGTCTCATGCGACGTCGCTGATGCGGCTGTTGTGCCGCGCTGGCCCGGCCATATGTAAAGGACGTGGTGTTCGCTGTTCTCGGCAGCCGGCCAGGGCCAAGCGTCGAGGATGGGATAACGGGCAGCAAACCTACCTAGCCGAACGAATGTGGCACTGTCATTAGGCGCTCCAACAACAGCGACTCCCTTCTCACCCGGCGGAGCAGCGCACCGGCAGCGGGCCGCCTCCCATCGACTCCGCCGACCCAGCAGCAGCGGCCCAGCGCCATTCCGACCATCGACTCGTCCGCGCCAGCAAGCTCACGGCCGCCGGCGCTGGAGCGAAAATGCCTCGCTTAGGTAGGGGGAAAAGGGTGGCGGCCGCGGCTGTTCACGGCGCCTTTTGACCTTCGCGTAACGCGTTGACAGTCTCGAGCAGGGCACAAGAAGAGCCGAAACGGATGTGTGCAGTGCAAGCGGCGGCGCGTAAAGGTTGGTGTTGTTGGCCGTCCATCTTCTCCCACCTCCGGCGTCTCCAGCATCGTACGACGCGCTTGAGAGCTGCCGCTGATGCCCCCGGTGCCTCCAGTGCGACGAGCAGCGGCCCTGTAATCACTGCGCCAGGCACGGCGTCGAGTGCAGTCTCACCCTGCAGGATGCCCCTCCCCCGCCGCTGCCCCAGGCTTCGTCGTCCACTTCCCATGCCTCTGGCGACAGCCCCACGACCTCCGGCACTCAGAGCATCGTCTTCTCGAATGTAAGTCCTTCCAGCCTTTGCCCGCGCCCGCTCCGCTGGCCTGCGGCCGGCAGCGTGTCCAGGCCGCGCCCTTGAGCTGGCCTTTCTCGCGCCCATCAATGTCTTCACGAGCGCGCCTCCCTGGCTCGGATATAATTCATTATTCCCGGCTTTTTCTCTCGCTCGTACTCGCACCCGCGCTTTTGCGCCGAGGCATCCTTCCGCCTCACCAACCACAGGGACCAGACCATCTCAATGCGCAGCCAGGGTGAAGAGCGACTGACGCCATATACATAGCAGTCGGACCGGGAGCGACTAAAGTCGATACCATCCAGCAGCAAATCGCAATCGTCAGAGTCCAGCAAGAATGACACGCCTGTACTCAACTGGCCAAGCCAGCAACCGGCCTCGGACCAGAATCCGTTCAACATGCTGTCGCGCGCCATCCACGAGCGTGATATAATGGGCCGCTTCACTGACAGCGTTGCCGTCATGGACTGGCAGCGCGACTTGCAGCTGCTCCATCATTTTTCGACGTACACCGCTTTGACCATGTCCGAAATGGACAGCATACGTCGATGCTACCAGGTCTCGTACCCACGTGTGGGCTACGCGAGCAAAGCCGTCATGCACGGCATCCTTGGCGTGGCCGCCCTGCATCTTGCCCATCTTTATCTGGACCAGCGTGCCAAGTGGCTCGTCATTTCCACCAACCACCAGAACCGGGCCATCAGCGGATTCCGCCTGACGCTACCGACCATCACGCCGGAGAATTGTGACGAGCTGTACACTCTGTCTAGCTTGACGGTAATGCTGCGCTGTGCTTCGCTGCCGTTCCCGTCAGATCCCCGCCTCTCGGATCCAATCGACGACACCTGTGAAGTCTTCATGCTCATGCGAGGTGTCAATGAGATCTTGAAAACATCCTACGTCTGGGTCGCCCAGGGCCCCATCTCGGCCATGCTCGTCCCTGAAAGATTAGGGCCCTTTATTCCTTTTGAATCGACCGACTTGCTCCCGCTCGACGATCTCGGCATTCAGGATCGTTTCGATACGCTCAAGGCCATCGCACTGCACGACTCTTTCGACCCGGCCATTCGTAGAACATTATTGCAATCAGTTGCCGCTCTGAGCAACTGTTTCCGCCAAATCATGGTTCAACCACCCGACCGCGAGCCTGGTCTTCTCCTCATCTGGCCCATCCGCATTTTCCCGGAATTCATCTTTCTCATCCGCCAGAGGCATCCGGCAGCGCTGATATTCCTCGCTCACTGGTGCATCGTCTTCCACAACCATTCCAATTTCTGGTGGCTGGGTGACCGTGGGCAGCGTTGTGTGCAAGCAATCGCCGAGCAAATAGATCCAGAATGGAGAGATTACCTTCACTGGCCACTGGATTACATTGCTGACGAGAGCAACGTCGGTAAACCAGGCGTCGTTTGAGGCTGGCGCTTTTGGATGAGCCCAGAATCGCTGGCACTGTTCCTCGGAAACTCATTGATATCCCCATCACGACCTACAATCCACATTTCAAATCAAGTATTTCGGCTCGCGAGGAAGAGAAAGTGATCAAGGAAGGAAAACAGAAAGGGGGGAGCAAGGCGCCAGTAAGCAAAAACACAGACTCTTCCTAGTGAAGAGTCCGCAAAACATCCCTCTATGAAGTCTATTAGCAGGCCGAGGGCGTATTTTTGCGATCTGGTGGTGCCCGGATCAATTGGCATGGCAGAGAGATGAAAGCACAAGTTAAACTCAGGGTCCTCCGCGCCGAATTGGACTATGCTAGTAACAACACGGCGGATAACCAAGGAACTGCAGGTATATCATGGTAAAACCCAGGACTACGAAAAGCGGATGCTTGGCATTCAGCAGCCGCAATCGATCCGTACTTGTCACAGAGGCAGCCAACAAAGGAGAATGGCTACGCTTAAGGGCGTAGAATCCGTTGCATGAGAGGATTTGTCTTGATTGATGTTTTCAACCTTCAAGAGGCAATTTTCTCAAAGGTGTCGTTGTCATTTCCAGTCCTCCAACAGAAAGGACGGAAGAACATGCAATGACCGGCTGCAATATCAAAACGCCCGCGTCTAGCTCTTGCACCACACTACTTTCACCGCATCACTCGGCAGAATCAACCAGGATGGAACAAATGAAACGGGAGTTTAGCCAGACGACCACAAGGAATCCACTGCTAACACTATCGACTCTATGCGCTGGGTCGAACTAGCTGGACCGTGCATTTCCAAACTCTACACTGTCTGATTTCATTTTCAAAGGAAACAAATTTCTAGAGGCTCACTGAGCATGCCTCTGAAGTTCAGGGTTAAATATCAGGTTAATCATAGGAGCAGGCCAGTGAAGAAGGGCCTCAAAAAAAATCAATATGTACGACTCAAAATATCGACACCATCGTTCTCTACATAATTCCAACACTCATGTCCGGATGTGAATGTATAATTCTTAATTTCACATGGACGTCCGGATAATAGCTTCAGCTGCCCACAGGCGTCGAATTCTTCCTGCTAATTTTCGGCTCCAGTACCCCTTTATACGCAGGTAGGAGGTAGGGTTAACATCAGCGTTTCTCAAAGCACTCGTTCCTCTAGTAAGAATTAACATGTCTACATGACTTACTCAAAGGCAGACAAATCTCCTCTCTCATTTAGGAAATCGTGATCGCATTAATCTTGTACTTTTACTCCACGTCTTCTCAAAGGTTTCCTGATCTATCATTCTATCCAAAGATGATTTCGCTTTTTTTTTTTGGGACACTTCACGAATGACAACTCCTGAGATAATTTCACGGGTATAGCATCGAACAACATCTCAACGCCCATCATGATCCCTTGACCTCCACCTCCGCCGCTTTGCGTAGCCGATTCATCACAGCGGCCGCCACGTCTCCCTCCCTCTCGTCGATGCCTTCGACAAGGATGACGTCGACTTCCTTTCTATCCAGCTCTCGCAGCGCCGAGAAGAGGCCCCGCGCAATCTCTTTGGTCTCGGCGCCGAGGTTGACCTCCCAGATCTCCCGCTCGGCGTCCTCCGCTGCGACTAGCCGTTGCGGCTTAGGCACGGGGCGGATGGTGAGCGTATCGAGCATTTTGGAAATACCCAAATGCTGGCTGTGTTTCGTACCGTTTGTGGCGGGCGCTGCGCTCTTCTGATCTGCTTCTTGCTCCTTCGGCTCCTCCGTTTCATCGTCCTTCTGCTGCTGCGCAAGCGGCAGGCCACAGCCCTTTGACCACTTCTTCGTCCTGATCGTGCCCACCCTCTTGTAACCCTCTACAGAATTCTTGTTCGGCACGCCTGTGCCCGCCTCGAACAGCACTACCCTCGCCTTTGGCGAATAGTGCCGATACTTCATCCCCGGAGCGCGCGGCGCTTCCTTCTTCCTCTTCTTCGCCACCGGCTCTCCCGTCTCCTCCTCCTCCTTTCCCTCACCCTTCTCCGCGCCATTACCCATCTCAGCCTTGTCCTTGTAGGCCACGCCCACGTTCTCCCAGCCCTCGCACTGCCTCAACTCGTCAATGCTTACGCCGCCGGGCCGCAGGATGACCGGCGTGTCGCCGCTGACGCCATCGACGACGGTGCTCTCGACGCCGACGTCGCAGGGGCCGCCGTCCAGGATGGTGGCGATGCGGCCGCGCAGGTCGTGGGCGACGTGCTCAGCGGCGGTCGGGCTAGGCTTGGTGCTCGCGTTGGCCGAGGGCGCGGCCAAGGGCCGATCCGCGAGGCGGATGAGCAGCAGCGCAATCAGCGAGCCGGGCATGCGCGCCCCGAACGTCGACAGGCCGGCCGTGACCTCGGGCGCGAGCGGCGTGGACGAGGGCGCGTCGGGCAGCGGCAGGATCAAGGTGAGCGGGCCCGGCCAGAAGCGCCGGATGAGGGGGTGGTAGATTTTGGGTATCAGGTCCGCGGGGTTCTTTTTGTCGTCATCGGCGGCGGGGGAGGGGGAAGAAGGGCGCAGGAGGGAGCCCAATTGGTGCAGCGAGGCGACGTGCACGATCAGCGGGTTGTCGGCCGGCCGCTGCTTGGCCGCGTAGATGCCGCGCACGGCGGAGCTGTTGGTTGCATCGGCGCCCAGCCCGTACACCGTTTCCGTAGGGAAGCCGACGGGGAGGCTGCCGTCTTGCAGCTCTGCGGCCGCCTGCTGCAGGCGCGCGATGTCGGCGCCGGACGTGGCCCACGAGATGTCCCAGTCTTCTAGCAACGCGTCCGGATCGGGGTGCGAGAGAGTGATTGTGCCAAGCTTGGAGGCATCAACCGGCAGGATGCTGGTTTCGCAGGGCATGGTGGTAGTGGCGGCGGTGGTGCAAGACGTGGTTACGTTCTCGGTGGCAGCTGGCGCGCTCATGATGGCGATATTTGCGGCGAATGCTGCGGTGCGCAGAGGCGCAGGGCTACGGATGAGGCGTGCGAGAGGCGTGGCTGTCCTGAAGAAGCAGGCATTGGGAAAGGTGGGCATGTGGTTGTGTGCATCTAGAATTATATTTTTTGAGTCAGCTAGGACCGGAGTTGTTTTGCGCGCGTGGTCGGAAGTCCGCGGCGGGAACATCGGGCCGATTCACACGTCATAGGTAGGTAGGTTGATAGGTCGCTTTCTCCCCACTCGTGACTCTGATTTTACTCAAAAACCGTGCGGCGAATATCAAGCTGGAGAGGTTCATTGGGGTCGCATATATAAGGCCTTCCGACAATATACAGACATCTGCACACAATATCGGAAGCCTAAATAATAACAAGAGTGTCGAAGATTTATCTCTTACTCAACCGTTGAAAGAATTGAAAAAAAAAAAAAAGAACAGCTGTTGCTTTCTTAAAATTGCTCTTCTTATTCCTCCAAAATCTTTCAAATAGAAGAAAAAAGAAATTTGTAGTAGACTATTGAAAGTCTATATTACTTATTTCTTAGTTACTTACTCTTATTATCGTATTAAATATTATTGATGAGAGAAAGGTAGTTGTATTTAGACTTAATTTTGTTAGAAAAAGAAATCTAAGCTAACAATTAGATTCCCTCTTTCTTTTCTTTAGAATTCTTATAAACCGTTAGATATTTAGGTTCAAATACTTTTTTTTTCGTTGAGGAGCAAATTATGATGTTAAATATAATAAACAAATAATGAAGGCTTTATGTGGGTATAACGCCGCCCGCAGGCTAAACACCCCATGAGCTCCTGGAATAGACTTACATTACTAGAGAACCAAGTAAGCCAATGACATAAATAGCCGTAGAGCAAGCCTCCTTCCCCATGATTTACGCTTCTTTTCCAAAGCCGCACCTCTGCTCCCTGGACGTCCCTTAATGTCCGCTTCCTGTTCTGCCTCACTGTCTCGCCTCCGCCGCACCTTCCACTTCGCAGGTGGAACTTTCTGCCTCTTCAAGCAGCTTGGGCAGATGCTCCCAAAATCAAAGCGCTTTACTTCGTGCCCACCGCGAACTTGGTTGTTGCCAGATGCCTTGCGGTCCTCGGTGCATGTGTTGTAGGAAGCTAAATGCTGGCATGGCCGGTACTCGATCCGGAAGCGCTTGCACATGTTAAAATATGCTGTGGCTTCAGTACAGGGTTGTAGTGTCACACGTCAGCTTCGAATCTAAATCGACCGGTACTTATATGTGGCAAATCTGAAGCTACGTTGTCAAGTGATAGTCAAGATTCGTGCGTTGGCGGCACGCAAACACACCTGGCCGTTTATTACGCGTCTTTTTGGCAGACACGGCGCTTGAATGAACCACCTGGTTGATATTCTTGCCCTCCCCTCGCGTCGGGCCTCGATCATTTACCATGTGCATAAGCCACAAGACCATCTATTCGTGCGGCTGCGTCGAGCGCAAGCAAATGATCGACCTCTGTGAAGGCATCGTCTACGAGAATGACTGCAGCAGCGTGCAGGACCAGATTCTCACTGAACACGGGAATTGCGCGTACTATCCGAAATGCAAAAACTCGATCCTCCGTTTGCTCAAATTGAAGGACTGTCGTCCATTACCGCCAGTTTCCACAGACGACGATGATGAAGACGTCCAGCAAAGTTCTCAAGCAGAGGGCCGTCCAGGAATGAGGTTCATTGATCATCTAACACATATGCGGTTGAGTCTCTCCTCCGGCGAATGCGACTTTGAGATCGATCCGCCGGCACCGTGGAGAGTACTCCACGTCGAAAGAAATGAGAATGCAGTGGGAGAAGGCCGGTCCCTGGTGATTCTGGAGGCAAAGGACGCTGATATACGATGTTTGTCTCCTTCTGTAGTGGATGTGGAAAGCGAGCCGTCTTCAGGCAGTGTTGCATCCAAATCACCGGAGCGCAAACCACTCGACCCAAAAGATGCCGCGGAGGGCTGGTGTGAAGTCGATGGAATGACAGCAGACCTGATGTTCTAGAAATGATAGCAATCACAGTTGTGGCCTCTGCGCAAGCTAGGCAATAGTTTCGTCTATAAATCTGCAACCTGTAACGCCAGGGCCGAGCAGCTTCGGCCAGGTATCATGACAAAAGATGAAAAGTTTGAACGCCCAACTAAGTTATCTCCCATTCCATCTACAGCTCCTTCGCCGCTATCTCCCTCGTACAGCCGGTCGTTCCGCGTGCGTAGCTCCTTCGCCAACCTCTCCACGATGGGCTCACTCTTAATCTCGAGGGTCGCCTTCGACTTTCTGTGTCCAGCAAACAGAGAATTGACAGAGAGGGTGGGTGAGTCCCCTTTCAGGACACGAGGGCGAAGATAAAACGGCGTCTGCTGCTCTCGGCCGTTAGAGTCGGCGGCGGCAAGAGCGGCATTTCGCCCCGATCACATCACCGTAACGCTCGCAAATCGGCGGAGCACTCATCGAGGCGACGCTACGACGTTCACCCCGGTGGTTTTAGCGGCGGAAAGCTGCTGGTCGACTTTAGCTGCTGCTTATTTTGCTGCAGGTGTAGGCTCACCCTTTGGAGAAGAAGATGGAGACGTGGATCCTGGCGACATGGACGACGAGCACGGGGACAGTGGGCCCGCCGCTAGCGAAATGGGCACGACGTCCTCGTCTTCGTCCTCATGCGTTCCCCTCTTGCGCTCGAGCTCATCGTGCGCCTTGCGCGTGCAGCTGGGGCATTTGCGTGTGAGGTGCTCGAAGCGGGTGTGGATTTGGCTGCAGTTGCCCTCGTTGTCGGCGTAGCAGAATTCAATTATGTGGTCGGGCTTGGTGTGGCCGCAGCTGTAAACCGTGGTTGGGGATGTGCACATTTTGTTGGATTGTTGATGTGTGGTGAATAGTGTTGGGATCCGAGGGGGTGCTACTACTACTTGTAGAAACCGAGGAAAGCAAGGGAGAGACGGCAGTGGAGTGAAGCATTCAAGAAACGGCTATGCAATTTAACTGGTTGCGAGAGCAGGTGCCACTAAGGGTCCATCGACGACGTGGTGTCGTATGATGGGAGCGGCCATGAATTCGATTTGGCGCCCGTGTGCGGAGGCCTTCTCATCACCGTCGCACTGCGTCATCGCCACACGGCTGCTACATATCACAGAGAGGAAACGTGCATGATTGCAAAGGGTTCGTCGATCGGTCGATGCGCGTTGGCGTCGGGATTGGGTATACATACTCTCAGCGCCACGTCAGGTGCTTTTGGCGTGTCTGCTTTCCCCTCACGCCAGCTCGCGTTAAGCGCGGCAGCCTGCACCGCCTCACCTTATTTAGCCCTACTCCTCAATCGAAAAGTCGTACTCCTTAAAGGCGGCTTTGAATGCTTCAGCGTCGCCCACTTCATCCTCGTGCGTCTGTGCGCACTCGCGCCAGTCCACTCTGCTATCCAATCCCAACAGCTTGGCCAACACCCGTCGGCCGAACTGCAGGTCGAAACGGAACGACGCATCGAGCGGTAGTATCAGACTCGTCTCCGTGCCTTCCGACCCCTCCGTCGCGGGGCGCCAAATCTTAAGACGGAAGAAGTCGTTGCCCTCCTCGAATCCGTCACCTACATCCTTCTTTTCGAGCTTAGGGTAGCTCTCGTTCTGCGCCTGAACCTTGAATGCCGCCTCCACCAATCCACGCTCGATCAGGTCGACCGGCACGGGGAGAAATTGCCAGTGCGTGTGCACTCCACCCAGCCTGCTGACCTCCCACGTGACGGCACCGAGTTTGGAGTTGCTGGTATCTGCGACCATTTTCTGCAATGCCTTGCGGTAGCGCTCCATCTCGTCGAACGTGCTTTTGCGGCTTTGTTCGTCATCGATGGCAGCGATAGTCGGCGAATGCGCCAGAGGAATGATGAGGACGTGGCAAGGTATCTTCAGGTCCGGGGCGTACGTAGTTGTAGTAGTCAGCGGACCTTTTGGTATGGTGAGATACACTTCATTGCCGATAGATGTGATCAAGTGAGTGGCGATGGTTGGGTTCGACAGGCAGAAGAAGCACTCGCTTTGCGACGGGGGTGCTGGGCGCTGGCGCTTGTTCCCGCGCTTGCGACGGCCCTCGTCCGTGGAAAAGCGATAGTTGGATTCCTGGCTGGGCTGCGGCCTCTTCTTGCCCACGAAGGAGAGAGGCGACGCCGTCGTACCGGGAGGAATGCTCACGGGAGGAGCGGCTTTGGGGTCGATGGAGAAGGCATAGATCCACTTGGCCTTGTTGGAGTTGCCGTACGATCCGAGGCTAATGAAGCGAGTGATACGGTAGCCGTCGCCCGCATCTTCGGTGGGCACATGGAAGAATGGTTCGCGCTCGTAGAAGGCGGTCGGCGTTGTGGAAAAGTGGTAGCGCGGCTTGAGGGTAGTGCAAAGGTCCGCTACGCACTGCTGCTGAGACGGCTTGCCTGCAGGATCGACGTTCAATTCGACCTTTGAGCCGGTCTGGACATCGGCGGGCCATTCGCCTGTGACGAGTATATCGGCGGTGTTGGCGCCCTTCAGGGCGCGAGCGTCGTCTTCTCCATAGTAGGGCGGGTACTTGTCCTTGGAGACGCCTGCGGCGATGTTGGGATCCAAGGAGCCCCCGAGGGCGACGATGCGGATTCCTTCGGCGGTCTTTAGGGTGCTACGCTTGCCCAGGAAGTAGAGATTCGAGCATAGCTCACCGCTCGAGCCGTCGAGCTTGTGGGTCACCTTTTCGGGGAGAGACTTGGAGCCAAGAGCGAAGTAGATGGGCAGCGGGATATCGATTTTCCCGGCAACGAGGTCGGCCTCGTTCTTCTGATCTTCGGCTGTGGCAACCTGCGGATCAGCGAAGAGATCGCCGGCCACGATAGCAAATGCGAAATTGTTTTTAGCGTGCAGTCCAGCAACCTTCTTGAAGACCTCTGGAAACTGGCCGTTGACGCCGCCAATGACCACGCTGTTCCCGTTAGAGATACCTGCACCTAGGTTTTGAGCAGGATAACGCAGGATGGATTGTGCAAGAAATAAGCTAGAAGACAAAGCAAGCGTATGAGTAGAAATTGAGCTTACATTTTCGAGGCCATGAGGGCGGTGGGTGAGACGTTGTTTTTCACGTTGGTGCGAGCGGGAGCTAGGGAATTGCAATGCGAGCTTCAGCTGCCGTATTCCATGCTGTGCCTGTAAAGGCTCGGAAAACAATAGCGGGCGAATGGCGAGAGATTGGGTTGGAGGTGAAGCTTGGTAGCGCACCGGAGGCGACGCGAGGGCTGGAAGAGGTAAGGTGCACGGCCGGCTTGGCACCGCAAGACGCTCGGGCCGGGCGGTGAGCGGGCGGCGGAGGCAGGTGCAATCCCCGACATAACTTTTTTGACGCCTGCAGTTCCCGCCGCCGCTGTTTGCCCGCACTCCCATAGCACCTTGGAGACCTGCGCAACCATGGCCGTCGTGTCGCAGGCCAAGCGCAAGAAGACCGACAGGGTCTCCAAGCCCAAAAAAGGCGGCACCGAGTCGTCCCGCAAGCACCATTTCGAGTCCTTTTCCCAGCGCATCGCGAAGCTTAATATCGATCCCATCCGCCGAACTACGCGCCGCGTCGACGACCACGACCTCTCCAACACCACCTCCTACCTCAAGAACTCGTTCGAGGAATGGAAGGACCTCAATCTCTCCGAAAACTTCAATGCCTTTTCCCGCGAGCTCGACCCGCTCTGCGAGTCGCTTCCGCAGATCCTCCACCATGCCGACCGCATAATGGATCTGCTGATCCGCTACATCGAGAAGAGGGATGCGCTGTCGCTAGAGCCCCTGCTGAGCTTAGTGTCGCATTTTGCGCACGACCTGGGCGTGAGATTCGAAAAGTACTTTGCCCGCGCCGTGCAGACCGTGTGCCAAGTCGCCGCAAAGCACCCCGACATTGAAGTCATTGAGTGGAGTTTCACATGTCTGGCCTGGCTTTTCAAGTACCTTTCTCGGCTTCTCGTGCCCGACTTGCGCCCCCTGTACGATCTCATGGCCCCGCTGCTCGGAAAAGAACACCAAAAGAGCTTCGTTACCCGCTTCGCCGCCGAATCCATGAGCTTCTTAGTCCGGAAAGCCGGCGCTTCGTACCACAGAGACAAGGAGCCATTGCAAGTCATCGTGTCCCACGCTTTGAATGATCTCGAGGCATTAGCGCAACGGGATGACGCGTCACAGTACCAGCAGGGGTTGATGAGCCTCTTCGTGGACTCCGTAAAAGGCATACAAAACGGACTTCACTCCAGTGCGGAAGCCATACTCAAGGTGTTGCTTGAGCAGGCGCTGGCTTTCAAGGAAAATGACTCTCTCGTGCCTGGAGAGCGACCTGCGATGGACGTTGTTCAAGGCGTTCTCACGGCCACCATACACCACACAAACTCCGAGACGTTTAGACCGGTTCTACAAATAGTCTTAGACCAAATAGACGCTCCCGACCGAAGCAAGGATACCCAGATGCTAGAGAATGCTGCGCGTCTTTTGTTCACTGTGGCCGGCGTCAGGAAAGGAACCAGAGTTGCGGATTGGAGCTCTCTCATGCGCACAACATCGCATGTAGTGGCATCTGCGGAACATACGATAGCAGCGGCGGACTCTACCGTTGTTTCTGACGTTCTCGCAGCCTTGGCGGTGATCCTACAGCTCTGCCCTATGGACGTCGCCATCCCGCATCTACGCATCCTGGATACCATTTCGAGCGGCTCTTGGCAGCAGTCTTTTCTTTATTTCTGCAATTTCTTTTCTGAACTCGGAACGGACAGGTTCCAGAGCATTCTGCTTCCGCATTTTAAAAAGTAAGACGTTTTCCCCTTCCCCACATGCGCTGTGCTGATTTATTTCAGATTTATCGTCTCGAGATGGAGACAGGAAGAGCAAGGGCTTGCAATATTGCTTCCCCGCCTCGCTGGACGAGGTTGCTTCAAAAGTGCTCAGAATTCTCCTCTCACGTGCCCCCAAGCATGGCAGGAGAGCATAATCAATTCATTCAAGAAGCTAGCGGGCGCGACTCCTGCTCAGGCTGTTGTCGAGGGCGACGTGGCTCTCTGCAATGCTTACCTCGATATTGTCCGACTATCATCAGTCGATCCAGCGACCGAAGCGGAAATGTACAAGCATCTCTACGACCTTCTCTCCGGCTCTCTCGACGCAGATTTGAATGACCTCGCGCCCGAGGCAAAGTTAGGCGTAGGTGCCGGCTTCAAGTACGTCGCGGAGAACCAGAACGAAAAGTCGGAAGACAAGGCGTTGTGGGCTTCGTTGTGCTCGGCGTCAGCGAATCTCAACCGGTATCCAAAGTTCGCCGAAGCGATCCTGCGATATCTAAAGATTCACTCCAAAGGCCTCGACATGTCAGAGAATCACGTCGAGACCCTGGTCGATGCGGCCATCGAATCTCTCGGCTCGCCGTCGCATGATCTCCGTGCCTCGAGTCTGGAAATTCTGCAGCTCATCTACACCCTCAAACATGACGGTACCGAATCCGATCTTCTCTCCACAGCCATACTGATCGAAAGCACCCCCATCAGTATCCAGACCGCACGAACGGTGTCTATGAATATCCGTCGTCTCGCTGTGGGCTATAAGAATGCGGTTGATGACTCCTGGATCGCCCGTGCAATCCCTACCTTTTGCTTCGGTCTTCTCTATGTCAACTATACACAAGTCTGGGAGGATTCGTGCAGTGCCTTGAAGGAGATGTGTGAGACAAAGGAAGGCGAGACGGTGGTGTCGGAGCTGGCTTTCAAATGGCTCGAAGACGTGCCTCCTCAAGATCCGTCAACGCTGGAATCTCCCGAAAAGGAACCCAGCACGACTGCGGTAAATGAGTTTGAGTGTACTAACATCATGCATTTGTCGAACATCGCGAGACAAACCTTGGGATTGTTGGAAGACGCTGCGGAACGCCTCGTCCAGAACTTCAGGAACGAGCACAAGGAAGTCGTGTTCATCACAGGTCAGAGCCGGTCGCAAGCGCTGAAGGTCCTCAACGCCATTCCCCAGGTTGCTGAGAAGAAATCTCGGTCGCTTGTCCCCACACTCCTCCGATGGGCTACTGGCAATGCAAACGTTAGCGAAGACGTTCCAGGTGACGGCAAAGAACCTGTGCACGACGACGAAAACGACCAGTCCAGATGGGCCCGCAAAGACCAAAAGGCGATGCTGGGACTTTTCACGAAATTCACGAACCCAAAGGTCCTTTACAAGGCCGCAGACGTTTACTCTGCTCTGCTGACGCTGCTTGGAAACGGAGATGTGGAGATTCAGAAGTCGGCCTTGAAGGCAATCCTGACCTGGAAAACCCGCAGCATCAATCGTTACGAAGAAAATTTGATGAACATCTTGGACGACGCGAGATTCAGAGAGCAGATTTCCGTCTTCCTGGACCTCGGTCAGGACGATGATTCCATGAAGGATGAGGACCGTCCTGAAGTCATGCCGGTAATCCTGCGTTTGCTGTACGGCAAGGTCGTTGCGCGCGCTGGCACCAGCAGCGGAAAGCGCGGCCAAGAATCGAGGCGAAAGGCAGTTTTCATCGCGCTGTCCAAGTTTGGTGACGATGAGATTCGCCAGTTTCTCGACATCGCGCTGGGCCCTCTGGCCAACGTTTCCTTGACCGAGGAAAGCAGGCTACGGGAGGAGCCATTCGACTCGAATCTGATGGACGCGCGGAAGCAGTTCGGTCTCTTGAACATGCTGGAAGACATGCTCGATACCCTTGGCACGCAGATGGGTCCCTTCGCCGTGCAACTCGTCGACCCGGTCCTGTATTGTCTGGTCGCTGCTTCCAGAGAGTCGAGCAAGCTTTCACAAGCAGACCAGAAAGAGGCGTCGGGACTGTCCCTCCTGAACTCCATCCGACAAGTCGGCTTCCACTGCTTGAATGGTCTGTTTGCACACTGCGCAGAGTTTGAAAGGTGGGCAGAATACATTCCGACCATCCTTCACGAGCTTGTAGAGCCAAGGCTGGAGAAGTTGGCGGTCGAAACGGCGCAATCGGTGTCCGGCATACTTCGACTCTTCTCGGCGTGGAGCAAGTTTCCCCAGACCGCACCCTTCCTTGTGAAATACAACGGCGCTCTCCTGGACAAAGCCGTCGACTGCCTCGAGCTCAATTTCGCCAAGGAGCAGGTGAAGCTTTTTGTGCTGCGGGACATCCTCATGAATGTCATTGCCCTTGCCGAGGCGGATTCCATGGACGTCGATGAGCCGTCAGAGGGTAGCCCTGTATTCGTTCGGGATCACATACTCAGACCAAAGTCTGCGCATATCTTGAGCGCGATCGGCCGCGAGCTCCAAGGCAGCCCTAGCAAGGAGCTTCTCGATACTGGCGTGTCGACGGTTTCGCGACTTGCTCCTTTTGTCGCCGGCTCCGTCGAATCGGAATCCATGATTCGCATTTCCCTCTTCCTCCTGCAACAACCGACGAGAAGGGTCAGCCCGAGGACGAAGGGAGACCTCCTCAGCATTTTGCATAGTTTCCTTCCTCAGTGCGGGTTGGACGCCGATGCCGAGCTAACACGGGAGATCTACCGGGCCATCTGCTCGCTTTTCAGCTACTTCCAAGATCGGAAAAGTCGCGGCTTGCTTTGCAATATCTTGAACGATCTCGCACAAACCGATTCGAGCCTTTCCGAAGTCTCCAACCTCGCTACCGATCTCAATTCCTTTTCGGAGAGCAGGTTGGACGAACCCGACTTCGACCGGCGATCCAAGGCCTACTACAAGATCAACGAAGAGCGATACCAGGCTTTCACGATCAAGCAGTGGCTGCCGTTGGTCTACAATATGCTTTTCTACATCAAAGAACAGGAAGAGCTCATGCTTCGGATCAACGCCTCCTACGCTCTGAGAAGATTCGTGGAAGCTGCTGCGAGAGACGGCAACAAGGAACAGGAAGACTTCCAGCAGCTCATCACGGCGGCAGTCATTCCAGGCATCCAAAATGGCGTTCGGGAGAAATCCGAACTCGTGCGGGTCGAGTACCTTTCGGTACTGGCCCAGATTGTCAGGTTCTTCCCTTCCTGGCCCGTCGTCAGCGACATGCACGTCTTGCTCGTCGGGGACGATGACGAAGCGTCAATCTTCAGCAATATCTTGCATATTCAGCAACATCGCCGCCTCCGTGCGATGCGCCGGTTGGCGGACGAGGCGAGCAAGATCTCGAGTGCCAACATCAGCCACATTTTCATTCCCCTCATCGAGCACTTCATCTTCGACCGAGATGAAGATGATAGCGGCGCCGCCAACCTTGCTGGCGAAACAACCAAAACCATTGGTCTCCTGGCGCTGTGGCTGGAATGGCCGCAGTACCGAGCTCTGCTGCGCCGATACAGCCAGGGCGAAATGGACAAGACAACCATCAAGCTCCTGGGCGTCTTCATCGATAGCCTGAGCAAGGCAGCCGAGGCTAAGGGACTCGTTTCCGCGCCACGGATCGCTGACGCGGCTGACGAAGAGATGGTTGATGCGGACAGTCCTGAAGAAACGTCTGCGGAGAAGCTCAAAAAGGTCGGCCTCGCGCGAACGATGCCCAGCAAGGAGAAGCTGTCGACGGATCTGACAAACAACCTGCTCCCGCCGCTGGTCGCGTACATCCATAATAAAGATGAGTCCACCGTCAGCTTGCGTGTGCCCGTCGCCGTCATCGTCGTCAAGCTTTTGCGTCTTCTACCGGCGACGGAGTTCGCGGACCGCCTGCCGGCGGTGCTAATGGACATATGTGCCATTTTACGCAGTAGAGATCAACAGGCTCGTGACATGACACGGAGTACCTTGGCGGACATTTCGGCACTCATCGGGCCCGAGTACTTTGGTTTCCTGCTCAAGGCTCTCTGCACTGCTCTTCAGCGCGGATACCAGCTCCACGTTCTGTCTTTCACTGTACACTCGATCCTCGTCGCCATGACGCCAACGTTCAAGCCTGGCGAGCTCGATTACTGCCTGAATGATATCGTCTCGGTCGTAATGGACGACATTTTCGGCGTGACCGGCCAGGAAAAGGATGCCGAAGAGTACATCAGCAAGATGAAAGAAGTCAAGAGCAGCAAGAGCTTCGACTCGATGGAGCTCGTTGCCAAGACCACGACGATCAAGCACCTCATTCACCTCGTCGATCCGATCAGGTCGTTGCTGCTGGAGAAGCTGGATATCAAGATGGTCAAGAAGATCGACGAGCTGCTGCGCCGTATGGGGCTCGGCATCATGCACAACGAAGCCATCCATGACCGCGAGATCTTGGTCTTCTGTTACCAGCTGATCCAAGAGGTCTACAAGAGTAACGCCGACTCGACGAGGAACAAGGAGGAGGAAGATTACCGCACCCGCCGCTACCTGATCAACATGAAGGCGGCGAACAAGAACCCGAACAGGGGAGCAACCAGCTCACAAATCCACAAGCTTATCCGATTCTCTCTAGACGTCATGCGTTTCGTTCTCTCGAAGCACGAGGAGCTCAGAACGCCCTCGAACTTGGCAGGTTTCATGCCCGTCATCGGCGATGCCATCGTTTCCGGCCAAGAAGAGATCCAGATGTCGGCGGTCCGCTTGCTGAGCTCCGTGATCAAGGTCCCCTTGGAACAAATTGACAAAGATGCCCCGGTCTATGTCTCAGAGGCTGTGCGCATCATCCGCGGCGAAAAGGACACCAACACGGAGCTAGCCCAAGCATGTCTCAAGCTCATCTCAGCCGTCCTGCGCGAGCGTCGCAACACGTCGATCAAGGAAAAGGACGTCGCTTACCTACTGAAGAAGGTTCGGAACGACTTGGAAGAACCGGATCGTCAGGGAGTGACGTTCAACTTCCTCAAATCCGTTTTGGCACGCAAGATTGTCATCGTCGAGGTTTACGAGATCCTCGACACGGTCGCCTCGGTCATGGTCACCAATCAGACCAGGACGGCCCGGGACTTGTCGCGCGGAGTGTACTTCCAGTTCTTGATGGACTACCCGCAGAGCAAAGAGCGTCTGTCGAAACAGATTGCCTTCCTCGTCAAGAACTTGGACTACAAGTACAAGGAAGGTCGACAGTCCGTCATGGAGGCAATAAACCTCCTCATGTCCAAGCTCGGCGACGAGCTCGCCCAGGAAATTGCGGACAATCTGTTCGCGCCGCTCGTCCTTCGTCTAGTCAACGATGAGGACAAGGAGTGCAGAGAGATGGCTGGTCTCTTGTTGAAGAAGGTGTTTGAGAGGGCCGACGCTGAGCGCACCAAGAAGTTTGTCAACATCATGAAGACATGGCTGGAGCAGGAGGACCAGAGCCTGAAGCGCCGCCTGGCCATCCAATGCTTCACACTGTACTTCGAGGTGAAGGAAGGGCACGCTAAGGAGACAAAGTACGTCTTGCGCCAGGTTCCCGACCTGATCGACGAAGCACGCGAGCGGAAGGAAGAGGGCGATTGGGAGTTGATCTACTACTCATTGCAGGCGTTCGCGAAGCTGTGCAAGCTCTTGCCGTCGACGACGTTTGCCGTCAGCTCGCAGCCGATCTGGACCACCGTCCGCGGCTGCCTCACGTATCCGCATGCGTGGGTCAAGCTCTCAGCCGCGCGCCTCATCGGCCTTTACTTTGCCGACTTTGCCAGCCACAACGCAGCTGACGGATACGCCGAGATTCCGCTCGCCGGTTCGGGTGGCCTGCAGCTGGCCGCTGACGACATGCTCGACCTGACGAGCGCCAGCCTGCGCATTCTGCGCGTTCCAGGCGTCGGCGAGGAGCTCGCAACGCAGGCGGTGCGAAACCTCGTCTTCCTGGGCCGCTGCTTCGGCGTCAACGGGCTCGAGTGGAAGACGCGCAGCGCGGCCGACGAAGGCGCGCTCAAGGAGGCCGGCGAGGAATCGTCGTCATCCGACTCTGACGACGATGGCGAAGACGACGAGGCCGCTGTCCCTGATAAGCAGGCAACCACCCCGGCCCGGATCACCGCTCTGCATTATCTCTTCACGCGCCTCTCCCTCATCCTGCGCCGCGATCCCGCCACCACTCGGGCGCCCGCGCTGTTCCCCAAGACGGCGTCCATGACGCTGCTGGCGGCTCTGTGCAATGCGCTGCCCGCGACCGCTCTCGAACCGTCGCTGCCGACCATCCTCCTGCCCCTGCACAACTTGACCGACCCGTCCATCCCGCCGCCGCAGAGCTTGGACGAGGACTTCAACGAGGCGCAGAAGGGCCTGAGCAACACGGCGACCGAGGTCATGGGCCTGCTGCAGAAGAAGCTGGGCACCAGCGAATACTTGCAGGTGATGAACAAGGTGCGCGAGGGCGTGAAGCAGAGGAGGGAGGGAAGGAGGGTCAAGCGCGCGTTGGATCGCGTGGCGGAGCCCGAGCGGGCGGAACGGGAGAAGAGGCGCAAGAGGGAGAGGGGTAAGGAGAGGCGGAAGGAGAAGGGCCACGAGGCTAGAGGTCGGAGGAGGGGTTGGTGAGCGCGTGCGGGAGAGGTGCGACTAGTGCGGCGTTTGGCCCATGGTTTCGGCGAGTCACTTTGTAGCGTGCGAGTTGAAGGGCTTTCTTCGTACGAGGCATGTGAAGATCTGCAGAGGTCGGGGCATGTATTTCTGCATGGATTGGCGTTTTTTTCAGGCGAATAGCTGGTAGTCTCGCCCGATGGAGGAAAGAAAAGTGACATTTTATTTTTCAGCATGTGATTGTATACTGCTTAGAACACGGTAATTTGAAGTTTTTGTCATTGGTAGTATGGTCAGTAAAAGACTTCTTTTTTCGAACACGCCGCGATCGATATAGTGCTATCGGGGAGCTCTTGGTGATTGAGCTTCACATTCGATGTGCCAGCCACGCGCTTCGTCTTTTGCTGTATAAATGAAAATGCTCTTTGCATTATTCAGATTCAAGCCGCACATAGCTGGCGAACTTCCAGAAGGTGCTGAGAAAATAGCAAGGTCTATAAAAGACCACTGTATATGGTATAGGCAACCGCTACGGCGATCATCTCAACACGAATTGGTACAGGAGGAATAATAAGCCCCCCTCATACGCGTGGCTTGTCTCTCCCTCGGCTTCTTTTCTAGCTCGTGTTCCCCATCCTGCCCGCACAGTTCTCACTTGAGTTGAGATAGAGTTATCACTTAGCGCGAAGCATGTGTCAGGTTCATGTGAGCAAGAGGGAACGTGAGAGCCACACGCGCACACGCGCGCGCGCGCACACACACAGGCCGCCCGGCGACCGCTCTGGATCAACCTGCTCGGGAGCATCAGGATCGTCACGGGCAACAAGATGACCGCCACTCCCTCGACGATTCATGACTGATTCGACCCCTCCTCCCCGCATTGATGGGCCCCGAACTTTCCCATGGCGGCCGGTCATGACTAATGGAGGAGGGGGGGCCAGCTAGGACCACAGTGGGTTGCAGGAGACTGTATATCGTGAAGGATACTGCACTCTTCCTGCGTGGAAGTCGAAGTGAATTCCTGATGCAAAAGTAAAACTCCACGACATCCAAATGAAGACTCCCAACTACCCGAGTAGGTAAGCTGCGGTGGCTCCGACCAGCCGAATTGGGAAGACTCGACTCTCTTACAGTTTACCGTGCAGCGAAGCAGAGCATTTGAAGTACGCATGAAGCCAAAAAAAGGGAGATACTTGGGTGAAGAGATGGCACCAGAACCGAGCCCGTGCTCGCTCCGGGCTGAGCCCCGCCGTATATACATCACTGCATACAAGTCTGATGGCCTCGCCCGGGGCTGCATGGGATGATCTCTCTGCATGATCACGACGACGTCAGATGCATGATCGAAGTGTGCACGTTGTTCTGTGCTTCTCCTCGCCCTTCTCGCCGCTGGTAATCTGTTGTCAAGTGTTCTCGACCCATGGCCCCCGCACCAGCGGCCGGGGACGGAGAGAATGGAGCGCGGGTGTTCCCGGAGCTATAGCCTACTCTTGCTCTCTTCTTCACCTCCCCTCTACAAACGAGGATGTGGCGGCGCCTTGTTTTGCGTCAACGGAATAATTTCCCTTCTTCTTCCTTGGAAGAAGTAAAAACGGTGATATTCCGCGGCTACGGCGAACCGCACCGATGGGACGGGGGACCGTTTCGTATATGTGTGTATGCGCTGGCTGGGTCGTCTGACCCTTTTTTTCCCTGCCGATGACCGCAACCTTGGATGGAGAGATGCTGGGAAAAAAAATGCGGGAGGTGCCGCAACAGGTTAGAACAGGAACCGAAAACCAAAAAAGATGGCGTGTGTTGTCCACATCATCGCTCTCGTTCCCACTGATCATGATGCATGTCTGCACGTAAAAAGAGAACACACGAGTCGTGAGACGGATCTGCGCCAGGGAAGAGAGACCCACAGCGCATGCACGCGCACGCACACGGCAAGCGCCATTGGCAAAGCGGCGGCTGTGGTGATGTGACAGAACAGGTGGGTGGGTGTGCGTGAAGAAAAGCAGCCCAACAAACCGAAGCGGACAAGCCAGGGCCCGGGGCAACAACAGAACCCACAGCTAAGCCTCGCTCGCGACGCCTCACGATGGTTCCTGTCCTAGGCGAGGCGGAGCATGGCACGCATCACGAGGACAACAGTGTTTGTTTGTTGTCGATGCGTTGTGATGGGCGCCAAACTTGTGGGGGTTCCGGCGAACGAGGTCCCCACTTAAGAAGGGAACCGCCAGGGTTGATGGTACCAAAAAAAATCCCACCGCCCATCCAGTCTTGGTAGCTCCCTTCTGCCTCGCTCTTGTCTCACCGACTATGTGATGAAAGCAACGACGACGAAGCCGATCATGATCTTCGATCAGGTGGAGAGGTCCGTCTCGTCCTCGTCCCCGCCCACTTTTTTTTTTGTTTGTTTCGCTGCTGCAACCGCCGTAGCCTCTGCAAAAATAAGAACGGCCGCTATGAGCGGGCCAAGACACACGAAACCGTAGTAAGCGTGTAAGCGTGTAAGCACTGCATAATTCAGACTCCGGCAGCCATTATGCGTATGAGGTGAGACAGGGACAGGCACCCGCGCCGCAAACACACAATGCCGCAAACAGCCGAAGATCCCGAAGGCCGGGTGGAGGGGGAGCACGAAGCGTGAGGCGAAGGGACGAGTCGAGCGGGCGTCGGTGGTGGCGGCGATCTTACACAACACACGCGTCTCCACCCTCAACACGCAGAAAGCCGGACGGACGTAGCCGAAGGATCTTCACCGCAAGAACCCGACCGCGTGGTGGAGGCTTCGCTGTTGTCGAGTCGTTTGGAGAACGGGGCCGGCGCGTCATACGTCGATCAAACACACAGACACACCGTCATTCCCATCGTACGAGCCTCACTGCCCTCAGCTCGCATCTCCGCGCCCGGTACCTGACACGTGATCGCATCCATTGCCTTCGTCGAGAAGCTATGTCAAGAATATCCAAAGAGAAGAGGAAACATGTCTGTCAACATTTGTATATGAAGAGGAAGAAGCGAAAAAGACTGTATGCCTCCCCCCCCCAGAACGCTAACCGCCAAGTCGCCGACATTAAAACCTCCCATCTCAAGAATATTGCAGAGACGCGCGCGCGAGAGTAGCAACACAATGACAAAGCGGAGAGTTGGCTAACGACGAGCAATCTGGAGGTAGCGGATAAGGGGAGAAGAATTGTAGAGAGCCACAAGAGGTACTCCAAATCCAAAAAAGCAAACAGCGCCAAGCCGTGAAAGAGACGAACGAAGGAGTAGCTGGGAAAGTAGAAGAGAAAATCGTGTATAATCGAACGCATCGAACAAAAGAAGATAAAAGAAGCCCATCGGGACACATTCATCCGCCCAGTGCAAGAAACCCTTGCTGAAGCAAGCACGCGGTGGATAACGTACTTGCCACCTCGATGCAACCCTTGTGAAACGGGAAACCCCCAAAATACCAAAGAAATGCAACCGTAACAAGCGCATGCTAGCAGTAGATAGAGCGATGGAAACACAAAAAGCACAGTAAAAAAACAGCTAAGAAATTCGACAAAGCCATCCTCTCTCATGGGTATCACATTGCGCACCAATGATGGATTTCTTCGTCGTCTCATAACAGGAGAAAAAATCGTGAAATGGTACGTTTCGTTACGTCATGTCGGATCGTGAGTTTCGGCGAGCGTTCTTTGGAGAGGAGCGAGGGGTAAGAGCGGTTTGCGAGAAATGATCATATCCGGGGCTCAGACGAGTGCGAAGCCGTGTTTTTAGTTCTATCAGGCCCGGTTCGTGGGACGTTCGCCCGTGGCAACCGCCACGAGAGCCTCCAACCTTCTCATGTCGCCGGGTCCGTTTTGGCCCTGCTGGTGACCGCCGAATGCCGTTGCCGTTTGTCCGTGCGCATAGGGTGGCTGGGTTCCAAAGTGGTATCCCGGATGCGTCGGGGGGCGCTCGTTCGCTGCCTGCGGCGGCTGGGGAAAGGTGAACTTCGCGGGGTCCTCCATGTGCATGCTGGATGGCCGCTCCTCCACGTTTCCGTTGTTCTGCACAATCACCGGGTAATACTCGCCCAGTGACGATGTCGACGGCGTGGGCACGCCTTCGCTGCTACTAGAGTCCTCCGGAGAAGTTCTTTGGTTCCTGTAGGCGTGTTGCTGGACCTGTTGCTGGTGCTGGGGAGCGTGTTGAAGCGGCCCCATGTACCAGGCTTGTCGTTTGTTCCTGCGTGGTGTCGTCGGTTGCGTGGGATCCTGCGAGCTGTGACTTGACTCGCCTCCCGTTGAAGGCCGGCTGAGGTGAGTTAGCGGAGGTGGAGGAGCGGCGCGGTTCGCCGAAAAGGTCGGGTGCGGAGCTGTTGTCGGCCTCTGGGATTGCCCTTGATCTCTACTGCTTCCAAAGCTAAACCACGAGCCGGGTTCTCGTGGTGGTGTTGAGTTTGTAATGTCTAGTTTGTGAATTCCTCTTTGTAGCGAAAGATCCAGAGAGCTGTGGTGGTGGTGATGACCCCTGTGCTCGCGAACGTTCGGCGTCGAGGGTTCCATCGCTGCCGGCCGGTTCGGCTGGTCGACCTGCATCGGACTCGATGGGCGCTGGGTGGTGAGCGACGGCGGCGGCGGCGCGTGGTCGAACGACTCTATCCCGGGAAGACGGGTTACTTGACTCGAGGCGGGCTGGTTGGCGGCAGGCTGGGATGAGAAGGATGGTTGTGGCGCATCTGGAGTCTGGTAGTAGCTCAGGCCGCTCGTGGCCGGTCTGGGAGTCAGGGCAGAGTACGTCCCGGGGTGCCATGTTCTTCTCCGCCAATCAGCATCGGAGCTGACGGACTCGCGTCGGGAATCGCTGGAGAAAGTCGAGCCGGTGGGACTGTTGAGGAAGCTTCCGGTGTTGGAGTAGTTGGAGGGGGTGGACGACGTCAGCGGGCTGATGTAGGGAGGTGGGTAGTTGGTGCCGGGAGGTCCCTGGAACGGGTTCCCGCTGCCTGAAGGGACGGACAAGCGACGCCCAGGAACGTGGCCGGCCCACGTGACTGGCCTCTGTGCGGTTGAGGCGGGGGAATCGATGCCGGAGGGATATCGAGGACCTGGACTACCTGTTGCGGGTGAAAACGTTGCTGATGTTGGCGTACTGAATCCACTTGGCGACTGGCTGCCGAGGGCGGGATACTGACCACCAGGATTGTATGTGTCTAGCGTCAGCCGTGCTCGCGCAGCTCCGTCGCCTGCCATGGCGAGCGGAGCGGGCCGTCGGCGGACGTCATCTCGGTCGCTTGTATTCGAACTGGTCGAAGCAATGCTAGAAGCCGACAGATTCCGGCTGTGCCCTCTACTATGCGCGCCTCCGCTACTAATGGTCGAGGCGCGAGAGCGGCTGTTAGGAGGGCGCACGCGATCCGTTCGGATCTGACGCTGGAATCTCGTGCCGGTTGCCGCTAGGGAATCACCGGGGATGTCCTCGTTTACGTGGACGGTCTGGGCATGCTGACGAAGATTGTCCAAGCGCGAGAAGCGGCGATTGCAGTGGCACTGAAACGGCCGCTCGCCGGTGTGCTTTCTGGAATCCTGTCAGTGGCGCGCGGTGGCTGAGGGTGTGACGCGTGCGACGTACCTGATGTGCCTGGCCAGATGTTCGCTTCTGGTAAAGCTCAGCTGACAAGGAGGGAAGTCTGTGCAGAAGAAGCGCTGGCCCTTTTTCTTCTTGGTCGGCCGGTTGTCGCTGTTGACGCTCTCGTTCTCGGAGGCGGCGTGGCCATCCTCGTCGTCCATCACAACATCCTGGTTGTCGCCGGAGCGGGTCGAGTTGTCCGAGTTGCCGCGGCGCAGCGTGCTGTTGCGGGCCTGCTTCTTGGACTCCGGGGCAGCGGCCGAGGGGTCTGCGGGCAGCGGGCGCTGGCCGGCCAGGCCGCTGAAGCTGTCGCGGGTAGGCGTCTTTGCCGACTGCTCGTCGAGTTGACGCTGGTCGTGAGGGTGGTGGTGGAGGTGGTGGTGGTCGGCGCCGAAGAGCTTGTTCGGGCGCGGCGTGGTCGGGGTCGTCTCCTCGCCCGAGTGGCCGGGCGGCGGCTCCGGGACGGTCAAGGTGGTGTTGACGGCGCGAAAGCCAGACATCGTCAGGGCGATGATGGGCTGCGGGGTGCGAGGCTATTATTACCGCGCTGCGGCCGGGAGCTGGGAGCTGACGGTGAAACGCCAAGTCTTACTTGCTTCCTTCGGTGACACGAGCACACTGAGGATCACCGCCCGGAGGCCAGGCGGCCGGAAATGTCTGGTGTGTTCGGGAGCGGTTGCAGGTCGTCGGCGGCGGGCCACGAGACGGCGCTTCGCGGACTGGGGGGGATCGAGGGCGTGCGGATGCGGTAGCTAGTCTGTACAGGCGCTGGTCGCATCGGCATCCGGCCTGGAGTCGCACGCGCTGCGGAGCGCGCTGGTGGAGGTGTGTCGAGGCTGGTGTCGCTCTCAGGCGTGTATCATGGCATGTGCAGGCGTGGGCGGGGGTTGTGACGCCTTATCGCGGCGCTTGAAAAGATCCCCGCCACCAGCGGACGATCGGAAGGCGCGGTGCGCACGGGCAGGGCGGCTGCGGTGCGGCTCTGGGTGATGGCGGGCGCGGAGGGTGCGCGCGGTGGCCGTGGGCGGAGGTGGTGATGAGATCAGAAGGCAGGCAGAGGCGGCAAAGCAGCAGCTGTCAGGCCAGGGCGAGGGCTGGAGTACGGCACAGGCTGCGCGTCGGGCTAGTCAGCGATTCGGCCATGCATGCAGCGAGGGGTTACGTCCGCCGCCAGACGGAGAGGGGCTGGTTGGGGCGCGCTGCTAGCACGAGCCGTTTTAGCGCAGATCTAGCGGCTTCGGCCAGCAGCGCAGGCGTGGCGAGCAGGCACCGCTCCTCTCGCAGCTGCTGGGAGCGGCCTGCTGCTGAGAAATGCGCAGCCGTGGCGTAGCATCAACCTTGCACCCTCCCCACCACGCCAGCCGCCCGGCCGCGCGCCCACGAGCCTCAATGGCCAGCCTGGGCCCAGGGCAGCCAGCCCGCTGATGCGAGCGCCGCGACGAGGCCTGCCGCGCGCCTCCACTCGCACTGGCATGTGAAACCCCGTCAGCGCCCTGGTGCGGGTGCCCGCGGCGTGGCAGGGCGCGGCAGACCGAGCGCCGGTGGGGCCCGCGCTGCGAGAAACACGGTGAGTCGGCAGCATCGACGAATCCCTCCACCTGGCGCCATTGGCCCAGGAACCAATATGCAAGGGCGCCTTCTGTGCCTCGCCTAGCACCCCTCCGGCTGCGATACGCGACCTCGCAAAGATTACCCAACGTCTGACTCGGGTGCCTGCTTCGTCTGCACCGCACCTGCGCAAGGAGGCTCGTCAAGGGCATTTATTTCGAGTTTCGAACAACGCTGTGCTACAAACACGCTCGTCGCTCACCGCCATGCGCCGCCCTCTTCTCCGTAAAAACAACACTCCCTTTTTCCCTGCCCTGCCCTGCATTACCTGCCTGCTCTATTGCACCACCTGCCATCGAGTTAGTCCGGCCATGTCGACAGGATCAAGGGGGGCGCTGGAGGACTCACCTTCTCCCTTAGCATGCCCAGCCATTGTTGCAGGCTGACACCCTGGTCCGCCCGGTCCTCCACTAGCAGCGTCTGCGCCCACAGCTTCAGGCTCGGGTCGCCGTCCTCCCTGATGATGTACAACGTCGGCACCGTGATGCTGCCCACCCCCTTCATCCGGTGGTCCTTGCTCTTGTCCACCACCGCCCGAACCCGCTCGTTCATCTCGTTGTCCAGGATGGGCATGGTGGACTTGCCCTGCTTGATGCCGTTCTTGTCGTCGACGCCGAAAACATCGATGAGCAGCTGCGGCACCGCGTCGCGCCCGATCCAGATGAACTGGTTGACCCCGTCGTCGATCAGGTACAGTCCGTACGACACGATCCGTTCTGAAGACAGGTTCAACGGCGGCGGCAGCAGAATCTCGCCCGTCTCGGGGTGCGGGACCCCAGCGTCGTCGGGCATGTCGTGCAGAGAGTAGAAGCGCGGGTAGATGTACTGGATCATCAGCGGGAGCGGCAGCGTCGACAACAGGCAGAGAGCTGCGGCGCGGAGGTCCGAAGGTATTTGTGCGGATCTCCGAAGGCCGACCTGTCGTCGCGTGTCAGTGCATCGTCACGGCAGCGACGGAAGTTGTGACTTACGTTCTTGATGAGTCCCAGGAAGAGAACGGGCAGCGCCCGCAGGTTGGCGGGCAGTTGGAGACCACCGCCGATGTTTCCTCCCGCCAGCTCTTTCTTGTATGTCTGCAAGATCTCAATGACCTTGCTCTGGAGAGCGTCCCTGGCGGCATCCAATCCACTTCCCAGAGCTCTTTCCACGGCCTTGTGGCTGAAGTAAGCAGTGATTGCCTGCGCGTCCGCCGAGGAATAGACGCTCGCCAGGTTGTCCGTGGTCGGGATTGCGAGAGTGAGGACTCTTATCCTCCGCTCGCCGTTGCAGGTGGTGTGGAGCACGGCAGTCTGCATGCAGACGAAGGGCTTCGTCAACGTCTCGTCGATGGCGACCTCCACCACGTAGGCTTGGTCACGGGGGAAGGCGGGGAACGCGCAGAGATCGGAGCTGCGGTTGAAGAAGTTTCCGTAGAACGTGCTCATGCGCAGGCCGGTAGTAGCACGCACGCGCAACACCGCCTCCAGACCGATTTCGGACGAGAGGTAATCGCTGAACTCACGGGCAAACTTGATCGCGTCCTCGCTCCTCGCGGCGTTCCACCCGGGATAGAACCAGGTCTGGCCTCCGGTGTATCTCGGCAGATTCGATAGTGTGGCCACGTCCTGGTACTGAGACGAGAATAGGAACTGAGAGTGTGTTAGCCTCCGCGATCCGCAATGTGAAGCATCAGTCCACCTACCATGTCGATCGAAACCTGGTTCTTGGAGCACTCCACCGCAAAGGACTTGTAGAAGCTATTCGCGGTCTGCAAAAGCTTTCCCTCGCCGCTGGTGCCGAGGACCTTCTTGTCCTCGCGCATGTCCAGCTTGCCGTAACCGATGTTGGGGAGAGACGCGCTGAGGACCGTGATCTTTCCGCCGACGGGCGAGATGAGCTTGTGGCCCGCACGCAAAGCGGATCCCATGGCGGAAGCTCCGTTCTGGGTGTCTTGGAACATGGACTGGAGCTTGCCGAGGAAAGTCTCGATGTTGGCGCGACTTTCCGCGAGGTTCACCAACAGGTCTTCGGGAGTAGGCAGGAAAGGCTCGTCAAGGTCGCTGACGACGAGCATTCTGGGGTCGCTGCTTTCGCTTCCGTCGCGGGGAATCGAGAAGTAGTGGAGGCTGGAGTCCACAGCCATGAAACCGAGCCTCGTCCTCCTGTCCGCGTTGGGGATTCTGTCCAAGCTCTCTAGGATGCACCTGGCGGCCGTTGCCAAGAGACCGTTGGTGACGGCGGCGTAGCTGACGTCGAAGAGGAACAAGTAAACCAGCGGCTGCGGGGGCCGGACCATGTATTCCTGAGGCGCCACGAACTCGACGACGGAATAGTTCAGCTCGGGCCTCTGCCACCTGTCCACACTCTGCTGGGTCGCTGCATCCCAATCAAAGGCCTGAGGGACGTCGTTGGTCAGGTTGCACATGTTGCAACGCCAGCGGTGGCCGTGGTCGAGGAAGGTCGCGAACGGGTTGATGTACGAACGACACCTCCGACATCTCGAAATGACCTGGTCGGGGACCACCGGGACCGGATCCTCGGCATCGTGTAGGGCGGCGTACGGCTGGATGACAAGGGCCAGCGGTAGGCGGGACTTCTTCAGCAGCGAGTGGGTGGTGGGGATGGTGTTCAAGGTCGAGCGAACGTACTTCGGAGGGCAATTGGCGAACTCGGAGGGCGTGACGCTGGTCTAGGCGAGAGTCAGTCGTGCGCGTGCCCTGCCGAGCTGGCGGAGGCAACTTACGTTAGGCGGCAGGTTGATAGGTGGCGGCGGCTGGTCGAGCTCATAGACGTTGAACGGGGCGCTCATGAGATCGGTCGTGACAAGCTGATTAAGCGCGGACTGCTGCGGCGGCATCTGCGGCGGCATCTGCTGCATGGGTTGCATCGGCTGCTGCGGCTGCATCATGGGCTGCTGAGGCTGGCCGCCCAGGTTCATCTGGCCGAATTGACCTGCCAGCGGGTCAAGCTGCGGCGCGCCCACGGGCGGCGCCGGACCCTGGCCCGCAGCATTCGCGCCGAAGTCGTAGGCCTGGGCGGCATAGGCACGCTTCTTCTTGTGATGGGCGGCCGGTGCGCCCTGGTAGTCCATGGTGAGAACGTGTGGTGGGGTGGTTGTGGTTGTGAGGAGGTCAAGTGGCCGGAGGCTCTTGATGCGACGTAATCCTGGAAGGGCCCGATATTTGGCCAGGGACGGACGGCTCGTGGAATGCGTTCCGCGCGATGGTCTCGGAGCTGCTGCAGTCGCACTCTTGAGGGTAGCGATAGGAAAGAGGAGAGAGTCGGCCCCGAAACGCTTGCGCGCACGTCTTGTGAAGCTCGCTCGAGTTGGACTTGTGTCCACAAGGCGGGCGGCGCATCGAAACGCCGACCGCCTTTCTTTCTGCCCCACACCTAACCCCGGTCCCCGTCAATAGGTAATCGTGGCCGCTCTTCTCTCCAGGCACACGACGTGCGTGGCTATGCCCGCATTCTGCTGCATATTTCCCCGACTTGCAGCAGAGCATCGCCTGCGCGTCGAGCACGAGTACAAAAGCACCCGCCGCCCGGATGCAGCGCGTTCTCATGCTCAAGCAAGCTAACCACGTTGTCCCGCGTCGTCGATCCTCCAGGCTGCAAAGAATCCCTAGACTATAATAAACATTTACTAACCGGTCTGTTGTTTGGGACCCAGAGGTGGGCTGGCCATTCCCCGGATGGATGACGTATGTGACCAGTTCTTGGGTCACGCCAAGCAGCCCTACTTCTCCATCACGGTCATGTCACGTACACTGTTCAAATTACGACTTTAATGATTGGATTTCGGAAAGATATGCTCTGCACGATCTAGCAACAAGTCGATATTTACCCGGGCGTCGTCTCGCCCAAGCTTCTTTGCAATGGCCGCGGCGCTCGAGGTATCATGCCGCCCATGAACAAACAATAAACGAACCCCAGAAGACCCATTCCTTTGACCTAGCCGTGAACGCCGTTTAACCGAAGATGCCGCCCAATCTGATCCCAAGCTCGTGGAGCTGGTTCCGAGCTCCGAGCGTGTCCTTCAACCCGGCGCCTCTGCAATGCCGCGCTCTGATGTCGTGCAAGTTAAACTCCGTGGAGGTCATGCCGATCAGGTGTGATTAAAACAAAAAGAAAAGAAAGTCTGAATGAAAGGACGTGCTGGGAAGGGGGGAAGATGGTCGATCGCACATGATCATAACTGCGTGTAATCAGGAGCTCTGTTCCTGCGGTTGCGGTTTTGGTGGCGGTGCGGGTTCACCGGCTTCCTGAAGTAGGCGTTGTCCTCTTCATTAGGGAAAGGCTCGCTGAAAACCGTCCTCTGCTGGTTGGGAAAGACTCCACTCTTGCCATTCTGCATTTGGCCCTGTCCCATACCGTTCATACCCCAGCCCTGATTTCCCTGCCAATTCTGGCCAAAACCACCTCCCATGCCGTTGTAGTTGTTGCCGTACATGCCATTTTGCTGGTATCCCATTCCTCCCATGTTCCCCCAGCCTCCGTTCTGCATCATCATGGGGTTCATCATGGCCTGAGGCATTCCCATCATCGGTCCCATGCTCATGCCCATGCCCATCATGCCATTCTGATTCGGGAATCCTCCCATGCCGCCCATGCCGTTGAAGGGCATGAAGTTGCCGTTGGAGAACTGCTGGTTCATCATCGGGCCGCCGCCGCCGCCGCCGGCCAGCGCGTTCATCTGGCTCACAAACGCTTGGTCAGAGTTGCTCGGAGCCGACACCTTCATCTGCTCTTGCTGTTTGCGCATGGCAGCAGGAGCGGTAGGGATACGCTCATTCTTGAGCTCTTCGTCAGCAGGGCGCTTCTTCGCAACGCCATTCGCAGCAGCGGGTCCCGTCGGGGCCGAGGTGAGAGCATCGGGTCCTGGTTTCGACGTCGAAGGGGAGGCGGGCTTGGCATCCTTGACTTCGGGCGACTTGGTGCTGTCGTCCTTGTGGTCATCCACACCGTTGGCCACTTCGGCTTTCTCGGGCTTGGGGCTCTTCGAAGCCTCCTTGGCTTTGCGCTTGTCGTCCTCAAAAGTCTTGATCTTGGCGACTGTGTCCTCGTCGGCGACCAAGTCGTCGATGAGCACACCTTCCTTGGAGCAGTTGGGACATACGAAATCACTGTTGATAAGTGCATTCTCGATACAGTCATTGCAGTATGTCATTCCACAGCAAGGCGTCTTCATTGGATCCACAAACATGCGCTTGTCAATTGAGCACTCTAGTCCACGGTCGCGAAGTTCTTTGCTACCAGCAGAGGCGACTTCTTGTTGTGCGGCGGAAGCCTGTGCCTTGGCCTGGAACTTGTTCCAAGAAGCTTCATCAGGCTTAGCTATGACATACTCGCCCGCAGCGTTGACCATGACGCCAGACGGCTGACGCGAGTCGTCGGTGAGACCGTCATTGGTGAGCGCCACGGGCTTCTCGATCGTCTGCAGCATAGAGCGCGGAATGCCCGTCGTACGCTTGATACGGGGCTTGTTCTCGAAGTTCGGATCATCATTCGTTGGGCACGCTTGGATCCAGTGGCCTTTACAAACGTCAGCTATCTGATGAAAGAATGGGGTAAATCGTCACGCTCACCCTTCACGTGGCAACGGTGGCAGATGTAAGTGTCCGGCGGCTCGCCCTCGGGAACGTTGTGCGGCCTGCGCCCGGGACGGTAGACGGGTTTGGCGCTATTGCATTCGTCAGTAGGCACTTCTCTCATGGCTGCAACAGGGACACGTACTCGGCCATCTTGGCCTTTTGCTGCTCCCAATTCTCGGCACCGGCGGCAAACATGGCAGCGATCCTCTCCTCCTCGGTCTGGGCGGTGCTCATGGCAGCGGCACCATCGGTGGCAGGCTTGGCCTGGGTCGCAGGCTTCGTGGCGGAGGATTCGGTGCGATACGAGTTCTTGGCGGTGACGGGGGCTTTGCCGGAGACGTAGCGGGCGGCCCTGCCGTGGCCAGGTCGCGCAGCAGGGAGGCGACGAGCGAGGACCGTCGTCGAACGTGGCACGATGGTGGTGTCGTCATCATATTCTTCGACCATTAGCGGGGATCTTTTCGGGCAGGGATTTTCGAGGGGACTGACCTTCATTGGTGTCGTCGGTGTAGATGGAGAGGTCGAAGTCGGTGCCGTCGCCCAAGCCGGTGGCGGTGATGATTTCGCGCTTCAGCTCGAAGACGGAGATGCCGGTGCCGTCAAAGGTGATGCGCTGCGGCTCCTTGGACGACTTGAACTTGAAGAAGACGGACGAAGACATGGTGAGGGTGAGGTTGACGAATTCCTGTGTGGTGACGCAGAGGTGTCAAGGGCAGGGAGTGCGACGGTGAACTCTGTGCAAAGGCTTCTTATCGGTTTCCCAGAGGCAAATCCGTATTTTGAATTGTGAATGGCTGAGCTTCAGAGCAGCAGCTAGTTGGTAAAAAGGCAGAAGTAACGAGAATTGTACACAAAGTGAGGAGAGCACCGTTTCGCGGGCGCGTGTCAGCCCCGGATGCGGAGTAAGAACTGAAGACCAGAACTTCAAGCCCAGAATCCACCCTGCATGCGCAAGCTCTCCAGACGATCTTTTTCTCCCTAGGTAGCCCTCGCAGCGACCCAAGTTACCTCACCTGTGCAGCGCGTCGTTGGATGGGGTTGTGGCGTTGGCAGCGGAGAGCCGAGGCTCGGTCGGAGCGAGCGGTCGTCGGTCACGCGAGCGACGAGGGACGGCCGGCAGGCGATGCGACCGGGCCGGAAGACGGTGGTGTGGTGTCGCGGGCGCGATAGAAAGATGATGGCGGAGGGGATGGCGGAAAGGAGGCGGGGTGGTGGTTGAGGAAGAAGATGAGTCGCAGGCGGAAGTGGTGGCAGCTGCTTATTGAGTGGTCGCAGCGCACGGACCCCGGCGCCGGCTTTGCAGGCTTTGTCAGTCTCTTTGCAATTACGCGGGCGCTGCGACCACGGCGAAACGGCAACGGCCTGAGGTCGCATGCCGTAGCCATCCGCTGCGCCAACCAACGCTCCTCCTCGCGCCGCACCAAAGAGGGGGTGTAACGAGCACTCTGCCCTGCCCGTTCGCACCGGCCCGCTTCCATTGCGACGCTACAAAACAGGCAGTGCCTTTTCCGTACCACACTGCCGTGCTACTGACTGCCAGACGATAGCTCGCGTCGTGTCCTGGGAAGACTCAGCGTGGACTTTGCTATGTGCTTTATAATAGCATTTGTTCGCCGTCTAATGCCCTCCTCTGCGGGCAGCTACGTCGATCTTAACCCTCGTGTTGAATTTCGCTGCATTTCCGCCACTGACACCTCTAATATCCCGGCAAATGCTTAAGCTCGTAGGCTATCATCCATTACGAATACCATGTCCGATCCTGAGTGCAAGGCCGGTAGGATTCGGTTGGTCGAACCAGTGTCCTCAACAGTGTAACTCGGAGGTGCAGCGAGCCGTGGTCGCAACCTCTTCAATGATCGACACACAGCTCTTTTGTTATCCTGCCGGCATGGCAAACTATCTGAAAATGCTTTAATTGACGATCGAGATGGGCGCACCGCAATGAATGGCATGATGTAGGTGCCCTCATACCTTCTCGGACGACTGAGCTATCCACGCAGCTACGAACATATACCGCAATAGAAAACACCAGCGTACCGAAACACAACAATCACCTTGCCGGTGCAGAACATATAGGACCGGCCATATTATATTTCTATTGCAGAGTGGTCTGCTCAACGCCGACTTTAATGCAGGGAGATACTGAAAATTGCTTCATGTTGGTTTACTTACCACACTTAGAACTGGTGTACAGCCTCTCGCGGCGATGTATATCTCAAAGAATAGCAAGGGCTTAAACCAAGGGATTGCTGTGCCCATGAAGCTGATCTGATAGATCAAGTCTGCAGCCGACCGCTGTTTTCGAGAGTTTAAAAGAAAGCTAGCCACCAGCCGCAAGAGCGAACTATAACTTCCTTAGTACATTATTATTGAGATAAGATAGCACCCTGAAAGAAATAAAAGTTACGGTAAGCTCTCTGCACATAATCAGCCTCACCGGGTTGGTGAACTTTCGGAGAACCCGCTTGGGAGTGTCTGCGACTGTCATTCACGGAGGAAAAGCAGATGAAGAGCCACTCTGAACCATCATGGATACTAGAGACGAACAAGTGCCAATGGTTCGAATGCAGCATAGACGCTAAAGTTAAGGCATATTCTGACGACAATTGGCAGAGCAAAATTCAAGATTATTGAGATGCCGACATTACAGAGGAGCATCGCAGCCGAAGGCTAGCGTGCACTTATTTTTCGCTCATGTCATGGGCTATCGTCCGGATGAGAATTTGAAATTGACCCACATATGTTGTTTTTCTAATAAAAGAAAAGAAGAAAAAATGAATGGCAAAAGAAAAGGCCGGCGTATGTACTGGGGCATTAGGATTCTTCACGCTAGCCTTCGGGTCTCTGTACATTCCGAGGCGCTCAAAAGATGTCACTCTGTGCTCCCCTGAGAGTGCTATGGCGCGATTGCAGGCTTTGTTATGCGGGCTGACGCATGTTTATGCCACTGCGTAACGGCAGTTCCAGAGCCTTTCCTCTCGGGCCGTGTGATATCCACCATCTCTGCCTTTCGCACACCGCTCATGGATTCTCGGCTCGCAACACTCGAACCAATCTTTGGATGATGCATACGAGCTCACGAAAATAGTTTCGTTCAGCCCTACAACGTCTGTTCGCACCCCGCCAACCACCACCACCACGCATTGGCCGTGACAGCGCGCATTCTCCCCCTGCTCATCCCACCGGTCGCCCGGCTGCACTGCCACAGAAAGCGAGACTGTACCCGTAAAAATAGCTTTCTTAAACGCCGCGCGTGGCGCGCAGGCGCATGTACTTCAAACGCGGCCCGTTCCTCCAGCTGTCCCGTGCCCTCGCCCATGGAGACACGAACATCCGGCTCAGGCCAGTGTCTACGTACCCTTTCAATGGTCTCCTGCCGAACCCTGCTCACGACAAAAAAGAAGCGGTGGGTCGTCGTCCGGGGGCAGCGGCGCAGAAGGGGAAAGAAGTCCAGAGCTACATGTACTTTCGCCTGTCATCGGCGACCCCGGATCACTGCCCTGCACGCACGTGTCCCGTTGACGCACGGAGGCGAGAAACTCCATGACAGAAAGCGAGCTCATACGCACACGAATGCAACAATAGTTCGCGGCGACAAGACTTGAGAGTCAGCCAAGGCGCCCGTGGCCGTCTATCCGGAACAGGAGGTGCCACTCTGTCTTCCACTGGCCTGAACCGCCAATAGTCTGACGAAAAGTCAACAGGACCTTATCGATCAGTCAATTAATAGCTCGAGCGGCTCTTTCCGCTTATGCTGCTCTCTAACATTCCTGGGGCTTCGCTAAAGACTTCCAAAGCAAAGTAGGAGTGAGACGATCAAATGTTTAGAGGCTGAAGTCAGCGTACTCAATCGAGTAGGAACACCCTCCGAAGAAACTCGAAAAGGAAGGATAGCGCCACCTACGTATCGTGGACGGGTCAGAATCACTATATGAAACAGAATTTATACCACACTCCTTGCCTCATCGATAGGGTACAAAAGAGGGGAGTGGCGAATGAGACGAGCCAGAATGCGGCTTTCTTTACCTTTTAGCTTCCCAGCCACATACCTCATCGACGACTCTCAACTGCAAGAATACCGTGCCCATTGCGCCAACGATTGGCACAAAGGTAAGCGCGCGAACCCAAGCTGGCCACCAAAATAGTACGCAAAGGCAGCGACGGGGACGGCGCCAAAAACCCTGCCCAACCCGTCGCCCAGCCCAGCCAAACCAAGGCAGACGCCGGCCGGGCGCATCAACAGGCGGGCAAGGCCACCAGCCTTTGAAGGAACCGGTGAGCGCCCCGATCCCGAAGGAAGCGTCTCCGAGTGAGCCGAGGCCGCCTCTTCGATCTCATTCTGCTTCCCTTCAATCTCATTCGAAATCGAGACCCTTTCCCCGAGCCTGTCGCAGATCAAAAGGCTCAGTGCTTGGCCTCGACCCAATCTCCTGCGAATCCCTGTCTCTTAGGACGCCCCCGTCTTATTGACGGTGAGATGCTGTCCAGCCATCGCCCCGTTTTCGGTGACGGAGAGACAAGGATACTACGAACCTGTTCACCCGTGCGGCGCAATCTAGAGACCTGCATGCCGGGTGGGCAGTTGCAATTTCCCCATGCTGAGGTGGAGCTGGGGAAAATGGCCGCTCGAGCTCATGATTGGTGAAGTGTTAGTAGGAGCGCGCGGCACTTTACTGCACCCAAAAAGCTTGGCAGGTCGCAGGGGAGATAACGACTCAGGAGAGGCATGTTCTAGAAAAGTTGACTAAAATTGTTGCTTCGATGCAAGGTCGTAGCTCGTTATAGGTGCGGTAATTTTCCCTTCCCTTCGAAAGTCTACAAGAGTGGGACTGAACAGTATAGAGAAAAAGGTTGGTTATCAAAAATTATCAACACAGGAGAAATGAAATTTGTATGTGGCGCCTTGCGCTCAAGGCGGCCCGAAGAAATCACACCGAAGAGTAGCCCACATCTCTTGATATCCACGCCATTGAAAGTACCCAAATTCCTGGCCCAGGTGCTAAATGCTTGTCACACCTTCTGATGCAACCGTGTTGAAAGCAATCGTCTGGCTGAAGACCGCTTACGACGTGTAGGCGGCCAGGAGGCTGGAGCTGGCGACGATGGTCTCAGCCTTGAAGTACGAGTAACGCTCGATGTAGGTCTGGGACGACATCCATTCGGAGGTCTTGGTGATGAACTCCTCCTGGGTGGCGTCGTCGGCGTTCTGGAGCTGGTACTCGGTGATCCAGAGGTTCATGCCGAACTTGGTGTGAGCCTTCTCGACGTACTCCTGGAAGTACGTGATGATGCTGTCAAGGTCACCCTGGTAAGAAGAGTACCAGTGGATGTTGATCTTGTCGACCTTGCAGCCGGAGCTGGTGAAGCCACCGCAGGCATCGTAGAAGTCCTGGAGCCAGTCAAGACCCTGGTTGCGGCCAGTGGACTCACGGAGACCCTCGCCGTTGCAGACACCGGGCGAGATGAGGGTGGCCTTGCTGCCGAAGTCGTTCATGTACTCCTTGTACACCGAGGCGGCGACGTCGGCGGCAATGTTGGAACCGCCACCAGCGGTGTCGACGTCGGGCTCGTTGAAGCCCATCAGATGCGTGCAGCCGCTGGAGAGCTGCTCCTCGGCGTTGCTCTTCCAGTTGGCGAGGTCATCGCTCTCGCGGTTACCCCAGAGGATGGGGACGAACTCGACGCCGTCAGGCATGGTGCCGCCGGGAGTCTGAGCCCAGTTCCAGCCCCAGGAGATCTGGCTCGAGGTGAACTGGTCAACGACACCAGTGAAGGTGTTGTAGACGAGACCACGCTTATCAGTGATGCCAGTGACGCCGGTAGCAGCCGAGCTGGTGGCAGCGGCGCTGGAAGAGGTGGAGGAGGTGGTAGGAACCACGGTGCTCGAGGGAGCGACGGTGGTCGCCGGAACCGAAGAGGTGGTGGGAGCGACGTAAACGGAGCTGGAGCTGGCGACGCCCTCGGCAGCGGCAGAGGACTCGACGGCAGCGCTCGAGGGAGCGACGTAGACCGCAGAGCTCGAGGCGGTCGTCGCAGGAGCGGGAGCAGGCGCCTGGGTGCTGACCTCGATGGTGCTGGAGCTGCCGGGGAGGACGAAAGAGGAGGGAGCGACGACAGACGAAGGAGCAGCGTAGCTCGTGGCGGCCGACGAAGCCACGCCACTGGCGCCAGCGGTGACGGTAACGGTGACGGGAGCGTTGGTGACGGTGACGGTCACCTCCTCGCAAACCTCGTCATCAGCGGCGTCATCGACCTCAGCGGCCTTGACCTCAGCAGCCTGGATCGGGCTGGCAGCGGCGGCGGGCGAGGCCACGCTCTGGGTGTACAGCTGGGTGGCGTGGACGGTGGCGGTCAGGACCTGGGTGACGGTCGAATCCTGGGGAGGCGCAACCGGGGCGCCGCCGGTAGGACCAGCAGGGAGGGTGGAGTTGCCCATGCCGTAGGGAGCGCTGGGAGCAAGACGGCGCTCGTGGAGCCTGGCATGCTTGTGCTGGTGAGGCTGGTGGGCCAGGGCAGAGCCGGCGAGGGCCAGGAGGGCCAGTTCGTTGAGGCGGTACTGCATGGTGGGCGGGTGAGATGGTGCAGAAGTGAACAGTGGAAAGTCAGCGACTGGGAGGCGCTGATGGGGTGGCGAGCAGGAGCAAGCCGACCAGGGCTATCGCGAAATAGAGAGCGACAATGAGAGGACGAGCACGCGAGCTCAGAAAGAACGACTGCGATAACACGGTGTGGAGAGCAAGGTGGGCGAAGTGGGCGGGGGGCAGCCGCCGAGGATATATAGACTGGCGGGCTTCTGGCACGAATCGATATTGAACAAGGATGGCGCGGCCAAAGAGGGCAGTCGTACTGTTTCAGCTACGACGCCGGCAAGCCACCGGCGCTGGAGCCCACGGCGGCGGAGCCAACCGCCCAGGGACGCTGGTCTGGACGCAGTGATCAGGGGGTCGTGCAGCTGCACATCCCGTCACGCCCAGCCAGGAACCCGCCCGCGTACCTGTCCGCGTACCTGACGCTAAGCCACCATCGGTCGTCTGCTCCGGCCGCACGCACACAAGCTTCGCTGCCGCCAATCGCTGCACTGCGCCGCTCGCATGATTTTTACGAGTTGTCGGCCGTTGTTTGGCCACGGCCGGGGAGCACAGCGCTCGCCGTCATCGTCGCCGCCCGCCCGCCGCTTGGCTTCGGGAGCGACTCGACTCGACACGCAAGCGGCTGGCGGCTGAGCCAGCGACGAATCCCGCGCGGCTCCAATCTCACGCCCAGGCGCAGCGACGGGCCTCAATTTCCGGGTGCCACGAGTCTCGCCCTTCTGCGCGGGCCGAGTGGAGCGCGTCTCGCCGTGCGCGCTGTGCGCGTCTCGCTCGCTCTGTGCTCACAAAATACGGAGGACCGCGTGCTGAAACCTTGGCATCCGTGTTGCTTCTCATCAGCCCTGGGGCCCGGAGCCGGCAAGCTGGCGGCCGCCACCGACTGCTGTTGCTGCGGCCGCCGGCGGGGGCGCAGTGCCGGTTGGAGGCGGCGAGGTGTGCGGTCGACGGCGGGTAGCCGCCTGGATCGGCCGTCATCTCTCGCCAAAACCGCCAAGCTCAGAGCACGCAAGCAGATCCGCTTGGGGCTGGCACACACCACCGAGCCACGCATGCCCACGAGAGCTTCCTTCGCCGCGCCCGCCCCCCTGAGCAGACCGCCATCCTGCAGTGTGACCTGCTCTCAGCCGTATGCAGCGCCGTTGCATCTCCACATCCACAGGCTGATGTGCCGGCAGGTCTCAATCCCCCTCCATCTCGCCGTGGCCGAGACATCGCACCGTCCATTCCTAAATCCTGCGCCTCGGCCCAGCCCGCAACTCTACCGCTACCAGCAACGATCTCTGCACGACTCCGGGGCGTGGCCAAGTGTGCGAGGGGGCCCCGAGGCGTCAGCATCGACGTCAGCCCGCATCGGAAACAAACTCAAAATCCCAGACGCAAAGAAAGCCATGCACGCGTGAAACGCAACCCCATGCTCGTGGGGCGATCTACGCTGTATGCTACTGGTGTTGCGAGGAAACGCCAACGCACAGTATGCGGAGCGAACGCACGACGCGTTGGGTTGGACCAACGCCAACCGTTGGGCGGGTGGATGGCACGCGTGCCGCGGGAACAAAGCACAATGCGAAGCCTCGCACGATCGCCCGCGGTCGCTCGCACGTCCGATTCGGCTCGCGCAGAACGGGCTCTAGCAGCTCTAGCGTGCAGATGTCTTCGCTGGCTGCCGCCTGCTTTCTCATCAAGCAATGCGGCGATCGCAATAAACGGGAACTGGTGCTTGGAGGGTCCAGAACACGAGGCCAGCGGTTCGCTGCTCTGCCTGCACGGTGCACCCGTTGGAGCCCACGGTTCCTGTCTCCATCTTTTTTGGCAAAATCGATAGCGGAGAGGAGGGTGTTGAGCGATCGCCGCCCAATTGCGCCGTAGGGCTGTACGAGAAGAAATGCCGGGCCGCCCGTCAGCCCTACAAGCCCCGACTCGAGCGCTCTTCCTCACCATTCTCGGCAGAAATGACTTGCCGCTGGCCAGACCTGTACTAATGTGAGCTCCGTACTCCGTATACAGTAATAATTTCGCCGCGACGTTTGCTCTTCCACCCGCCGGCCGATTTGAGATTGCGGGATCCCTCGGCGAATTATCACCGTCGCTGCTTATTGCCGGGGGAGGCATAACACTCCAATTAATCTTCACCACAGAGAACGTCCTCGCAACCCCAGGAGGGCACGATATGTGACAGTCGTAGACCGCGATGCGGGTGCCCGGCACGAGCCACGATCAACAGAACCACAACCCACCCCGTCACACGAGAGAGAAAGACCGATGCGGCGCCATGAATACTCCGCTGGCACCGCGCGGTGGGCAAAAATAAGAGCCGCCCGTCGTCCCCACAGGACCACGTCCCGTCCCTTTCAGGAAAGAAATACGCCGCTACGTTCGAAGTTGCGCAAATCATTGAAAGGTGGAGTATCGACGAGGATCAACACGTTGCTGATATAGGTGAATTACGGAAACTAATCCCGACACGAAGGCTACGACCGCTAGGAGGTGCAAGAAGACGTGATAACCACGAGCGACTTCGCTCTTGTCGCCGTTGCTCCGACTGCGCGCCACGCACCTCACACCCTTTTGCTGAAGCACCACGACAGCAACGCACACGTTACTACTCAGACCGTTGTGTCCATCGGGCAGTTGTAACTTTGCTTCGGTGAAAAAATGTGAAACAGAAAACTTAAAAATCTCGCCACCCACCGCGCATGCATCCACAAACTCTCCACAACGATCGGGTGCTGCGCGAAACATCACGTCTCGCAGTTGCGATACGGAAAGATGAAACAAACGCTCAAGAGGTGTGGTAGGGCAGCGTATATACTCGCCAAGGTCATACACGCGCGTGCATATGTGGGTAGCATCGAGAGGGGTAGCAATCTCGAGGTTTTGCAGCATGTATGCGCCGTATCTGCCAAAACAAAGGCTTTCTTGGGGGGCACGTTGCGTATGTAGTAAAGAGGGGTATTGCGGCCGAAAGACTACCGCGGAGAAGAGCAGGGCCTCGGAATATGGGGCCTGGCGATTTTCTTTCCAGCATATGTGGGCAGTAGAAGCTATCATCCGCACGGGAATGTAGAATTACTAATTCCACACGTGCATCTGGATGATAGCTCCAACTGCCCATGACATGAGCAAAAAGCAAATTCACGCTAGCCTTCAGCCGCGATACCCCTCCCTTTGTATGCACTGCATCTGTCAGGACAAAAGTTTCTTCGAGGGCACGTTGCATATGCAGTACAAGGGATTGCACCGTCACGGTTTCAAGGCAGCCTAAGCTGCTGATATAGCTGCAGGAAAAAAAAATACAGTCAGCAATCAAAGTGACTCAAGTCCCTTGCTCGATGTGATGCAATGCACGTGTGCCGACACACATGCATCACTTGATGAGAATACTTAGACACAAGCTGCTGAGTGACCCAAAGAGGTGCTTGATGCACATGTACAATGCTACTTCGTCGATATAGCTAGAGACTGCGTTTTCTGTGTGGCACCGAGACCTGTTGTACCTACTGTGCCCGAAGCAGCTAAGAGCCGCTGGCGGCGGCGGCGGCGAAAGGAGAACTCGGTATGGATCTCAGCTTCTATTTCCATTACCAAGTTTTACCCCAATCCTCGTCGCAGCCATGCAGTCGTTGGTCCCGATATTGACCTTTTTTTTAATGCCTGGAGGCGGTCCAATATCTCTCTCACCTGTCCATGCCTCTACCACCAAACCTTTTTGCCGTGAACGCTAGACTTGATAACAAGACGCGCAACGCTAATGGAGGAAAGCCTCTGCGTCACGTCCCCGCTACAATAGGCGGATATTCGAGGTTAAAGAAAAGCCCATAAAATGTGCAATCTCCTCGATCCCTTACGCCGATGCCTTATCCCAATGCAATTACTCGTCAAAATTACTCATGAACCTGCCATATGAAAAAGGAAAGGGAACCCGGCAGAGTGAAAAGAGATGAGAAACAAGAAGAAGAAAGGGGGAAGAAAGGACTCTGCTGTTCAGCTGCTGTCGTGGAGGAATGGCTTCTCCCTTTGGATTTCCACCACTGTAACGAGCAGAGTGAGAAGGATGTCCATCTGCATTAGTGGAGTTATAGGCAACAGCAAGCACCATGAATTCGCTGTGGTGGTGAGGAACACTTGACCTGCCAGCACAGCAAGATCAAGCGAGGTAGCGGTACGCCGGAGGCGACGCATCTTCGATACGCTCCAGATACTCACGTTCGATCAGGCTCTCGATGCGCTTCTTGATCATGTTTACATCCGGCTTAAACTGGTTAGCCAGGATCGAGAGAGTCTCGGCGACAAGATTCTGGTGAGTGAGATCTTTCCGTTGCCTATCGATTCGTCAGTCATCATCTCATAAGGACTCGGGTTGAAAAGACGCACTTCATGATACGAACGATGGCAGCCTCGATACAGAAGCCTCGAGAATCGTTGTTCTTCTTCTCAGTCTCCTTGCGCTCTTTGTCGCCTTCGACTTTGTTGCCAGCCGTGACGACACCGACCTTGAGCTTGTGGAATTTACCGACGAAACTAGGGTTGAACATGAACTTGTCCGTAGGCTTGACATCCTTACTCATCGGGGTCTTTATCAAGATCCTAGTCTTGGGTGCAACGGCCAGGGACTGCAGGTTGCGAATGAGATCGTGGGAGGGAATGTTGGTCTTGGCCTGAATCTCATCAAAGGTCAAGCCTTCATCGTCGGCAAGGTCATTGAACAGCAGCAAGATGACCATGGCGTACGTCGATACGTTGAGTTCGTGCTTGCGCTCCTTCACGCCTTCTTTGGTCGGCACCTTCGGGAACGTTGCTCGAATATCGGCAGAGCCCATGTTGGCTAGCCAACTGAGCTGTCGTCCTGAATGCTTCTCTCCGTAAAATTGCTCGAACGATTTCTTGACCCTGTCAATGGCGGAGGGGAATATGCACTTGGTGCGCTTGCCGTCCACATCTTCGTTCGAGCCGCTACCCATCGACTCCAGAGGCCAGGTCATGCTCGTGAGCACATTCACGGTAAGCTCGATGCGCTTGGGGTCGGGATCTCCCAAGTTAGCGACGTACGCCTTGAAGCCGGAAGTGAGCTCTTCCGAGATGGTCATATCCTTGAACATGGCTTCCAACTTCGAAGTGAAATTGTTTCCGAGCTCAATCTTCATGCGGGAAATCATCTGCTGCTCGACGTCGTTGCTCAGCGACTTGGCCATGAGAAGACGCTTGCAGAGATGCTTCTTGTAGTAGCGCTCGAAGAGATCCTTGTCGGCGATGTATCGGAGCAAAGTGATGGCCTTCTCCAGGACAACGTCGACCTCGCTCTCCGTCTTGCCCTTGATGCCCTTCTTCATGTTCTCATCAATGAAGAGAGAAATGTATTCGGAGCTCCTGGGGAAGGCGGACGAGTTGATGAACTCGGCAAAGCTGCGTGTCAGGGCGGTCTGCATCGCTTGGTCCGAGTCAAAGGCGCGTTTCCAGATCAAGTCAAATTTGTCCTTGAGCGCCAATACATCTTCGACCCATTTGATGGCAGCCACCGTCTGCTGGTTCACGGCCCTGTCCACGACGGCCTTCTTTCCCTTTTCACCATCGTCGCCGTTCTCCGCCGGTTGAGGGGGTGCAGACGCCGCAGATACCGTGTTTTGGTTGATTTCGTTCCCCATCTCCACCACGCGGTTCTGGATGGCGCGAACAAGTTCCGTCTTTTTGGGATCCACGCGAGCGTTCAGATCGTATATCAGCCCAAGCTCTTCGACCCTTTCGTTGTCGATCATGAATTTAACGCCGCTTTCGGACTCGATAAGATCGTGAATCTTGTTTTCGATGAGCTCTTCTTCCACCACGCGCTCGATCTTAGATCTTGTAGTCTCCGACAGCGTCGACCTACAACGGTCTACTTCTTCCCGCAACCTCCTGGATGTGTGCCTGCAGTACGCGCCCGCGTCCGACTCTCGCAGCAGAGCATCTCCCTCGGCCCTGTAAAACTCCCGGCTTGCATTCAGGAAGTGCGGCTCGAAAGCAGTGACGTACAGGCGCTGGTTTTGATCCTCTTTCATGCCCTCGTACAGGCTCTCCAACATGTACACACAAGACTTGATGAGATGTTTGTCGATGACGTCGCCGTTACGTTCCATCTGAATCTGGTCCAAAACGATGCGGTTGAGGAGCTCCTGCACGGTCAGGTCTGAGTGGTTATGGTTCGGAGGTGAGCGGAGGATGTTGTCGCGGAAGAGCATCAGCGAGGTGGTATAGATCGAGGGTTGCCGATGGTCCGCGCAATAGACGCGCTCCTGTCCTTGAATCAACGATGCTAATCTCCCGTCGTGGCACCACTTAAAGCTACTTACCATGTACATTAGCACATCCGTAAGCATGCTCATGCACAGTTGATAGTCCTGCCATTCCTCGCGAATGCCCTTCAGAAACTTTTCTCCACCGACGCGACGTTCATTCGCAGTGGTGTTGGCGCTGCCCGCCTGCAAGTCCGCCACCAAGCTGCTCGAGACCAACTGAGCTGCCTTTGTCTTCACCTCGTTGCACAGCCAGTCTTTCTCGAACTGCAGGACGCTCTGGTAAAGCTGCTCTCCTTTCTTCTTCAGAATCACGCGATACGTGTGCCTGTAGAGAGCCTCATACGAAAGGTCCGAAGCGTTCTTCGTGTGGATCTGGCGGATGGCGCTGGATATCGTACCCCACGTTGACTCGAAGCTCTCGTCCCCGCCGTTTAGGCCCTATTGCAATTTTAGATATGTTGTTTTGAAAAGCGAAAGAGCCAAAAGCAAGGCATGCCGAAGACGCTGGACATCGGGACGTGGGTGAGGCGGGCATGACAAAACGCGCTGAAGGGTAGGCAGCTACTCCAGCGACCAACGAAAGTGAGACTCACCCTGCGCGGCGGGCGAATCTTGCTCTGCCTTCCCGGCTTAGGATACATGGCGGAAGGTGTTGTGGAGGGCTGTCTGAGGTTGCAAGAAGCTCCCAAGGTCGGGCTGTGGCGAGCGCGTCGAGCTCTGAAAGTGTCGGCGGGGCGCGGGGAGTGTCAGCGCCGAACGCGTAGGCTGGAGGTCGACGGACGAGCGCCAGGCCGTTTGGCGGAACGGAGTGGTCGTTGCGTGGCGCAATCAACGGCGCGAGCTCATGGCCGAGCTTACTTGAAGGGTTGGCGGAGTGTGTGTCGCGGCAGAAGTCGAGTCAGGCGGAGGTATCCAGGTGGTAGTGGCCTTGAGCGTGAGGCGGAACATGTGCGCACAGAGCCTAGGGTTGGCGGTGGCCAGTGGTGACGTTGCGGCGCGCATCAGAAGCGGCCACTAATTATGCACGGCGGACCATGGACCCTGGCAGACGATGACGGAAGGCGCCCGAACAACCACGGCGCTAGCCCGAGAGCTCTGTCGTCGCTCGCCGCAAAGCACCCAGCCGCAACACCCTTCCCGTCTTTATAATCGAAGAGTCCGTACCGCTGCCGCCTCAATCAGCCATGCGCTCCTCCCGCTCTCTTGTGCGCCTTTGTTCGCGCCCTGCCTCGTTCGCCAGCGCACCGCGCGCCGCGCCAACTTCCGTGCGCCGCATTCATCGAGAGCTCTCGCACATACGTCGGCCTCAAAGCCCATCGCTCCAGCCACGAGCATTCCTGTCGCAGCCGTGTCGCCATGCATTCTCCACCACGGCGAAGCGCTCGGAGTCTGCACCCGCGCAGCCGGACGCTTCTTCTGCCGCACCGGAGCAGCAGGAGGTTCCGCAGTACCAAATGACCTTCACCTGCAAAGTCTGCGAAACGAGGTCATCGCATAAGATTTCCAAACAAGGCTACCACCATGGCACGGTGTTGATCTCGTGTCCGGGCTGCAAGAACCGGCACTTGATCTCTGATCACCTCAGGGTTCGTGATGTACCGCCCAGTCCCAGGCTACGATGTACCACTAACAACGACCCCGACAGGTCTTCGCCGACCAGAGCACCACCCTTGAAGACATAATGAGAGAGAAAGGCCAGTTAGTAAAGCGTGGGCAGCTCAGCGAAGACGGAGATCTCGAGCTTTGGGACGATGGCTCGCAGACGAAATACGAACCTCCCGCACCAAGAGCTCCTACTACGGACGCGGTCAGCGACAACGCCGCTCCGGGAGCTTCATTCAAGAAGTCTTCATAGAGTCTTAGTTCTGAAGGTCTGTATTATACGCAACATTGCGACAAAAAAAATCGGTGGCGTTCCGGGATACACTTCTCCTTGTGCATGTGAAAGAGCATCTTAACGATTTATGCCATTCCTGTACAGCATCTTTCATTAAATATTAAGGATCTACCTTAAGAGATTACAGGCGCTTCTACAAGAACGGGGAATCAAGCGAATTTGGAAAAAAAAAAAGGAAACAGAAAAAGCAGACCGGTATTTGTAACGGGTGGCAGATCTGCATCCCAGATGCATGATCAAACGCTTTCCTCTCATCGCTTTATAAACAAATTTACCATCTCTTGCATGATCTCATGACTATCTTGCTCCATAAATCTTTAACATCGCTATATCTTGAAAATCAGCGCCCTTCTCTATCCGTCCCTACCTGCGATCACGCCCTCACGGTAACTGTCTCCTTGACAGTGGCTGTCTCGGTAACGGTCTCCTTCTCCGTGACAGTACTCGTCAAGAAGACAGTAGAGATGCTTGGGTTTACAGGGATGACCGTGATACCCGGGCCGTCATCAGAAGACGTTGAACTGGTGACCGTGGGCGGCGCAGATGTGGGCGGATCGGATGATGTGGGTGCGCTCTCAGTGCTTGAAGGGGAAGGAGTCGAGGAAGCCCCCAGGGCCGTCCTCGTGGTGCTTGGGGTTTCAGATGGCGAGGGCTCTGAGGAAGAAGAGGGCAAAGGAGTGTATGTAGCACTCGGCACGGCGGTGCTGGTGTCAGCTGTGCTTATCTGAGCGGCGCTTGTCTCAGTATACGGCGTACTGGGCTCCGGGGTCGATGCAAGAGCTGTGCTTGAGAGAAGCGTAGTCAACGACTCAGCAGATGTCGCCACCGAGGCTGCGTTTGGCCGAACGGTGGTGTAGATCGTCGTGTAAAAGACTCCTGGGATTTGAGTCGGCGAGGACGTCGCAGAAGACTCCTGTGGCGTAGATTGAGCAGAGGCCTGCAGCGATGAAGGAGAGGTGGCGGCAGTGGCTTGGGCAGCAGGGGTAGCAATGGTGTATATCGTTGTCGTCAGGTACAGCACACCTGGTTCTGAAACAAATGTGGATGCACCTGTTGTAGGGCTGCTTGCAGCTGATTGGACGGAGCTAGCGGCAGGACTGGGTGTCGGAGTATTGGGCACAGGTGTGACAGGCAGACTTGTCGGCGTCTCAGGTGCAGGGGTGGACTGCGCCGAACTGACGACTTGGCTGCTCTGCATCGACGGCGTCTGCGGCGAATAGGTAAAGGGTCTGCCACTCGAGGTCGATGGTGTCTGAGGCGAATACGTGAAAGGACGCGTGTTCGAAGACGCGCTGACCGCGGGAGTGCTGGATGTGGTTGAGTTCTGAGACGGTGTAGCACCAGGCGTCGTGGGATCGTAAGTGAACAAGCGTGTCGTGGACGACGACCCAGCCACCGAAAACTCGGGGCCTATGAAACCACCGGCAGCAGAGGATGCAGGGGTCGCAGGTGTCGACGAGTCGACGGCCGGCGTCAGGGGAGTGAGAGCCGGCGTTGTTGCAACGGTACTCGAAGGGCTCGTCTCTGCAGAAACAGTGGACTCGGCCTGAGTGCTTTCAGGTGCTGTCGATATATCGACTGTGGCGACTGGTGAGCCAGAGGGGTCCACGAAGGTAAAGACAGCTAGGGCAGGCGTACTAGTAGGGAGAGTCACTGGCACCACGAAGGGAATGCCAGTGTCGGCAGCCTGAACTGCCGGGGGAGTTGAGGGCGTGCCAACCGCGACGGGCGTGTTCGCGGCGTAGGCAGCTTCGACGGCAGGCGAAGAAGAGTTCAGATATCTAGGAAAGCTTCCGTGTGTCAGCGGTATTCATGACCACGGACTCTGACGAACTTACTTGACTCTCCGGGCATACTGGGGGAGCGGGCCGGCCACGGCGGAAACTGACAGCGCTGCCAGCAGCAGACTCCTCGTAGTGCAGCCCATGATTGGGCGAAAGAAAAGGCAGAAAGTAAAGAATGAAGGCCTGAGAAACCAGCCCAGGAAACGGAAAGAACAGCAAAATAGCAGACAGTTGCCTGCTAGGCGAAAGAAAGTGGTCTATGAGAAAGATGATCTGAAAGCAAAAACGGGGCCAGGAAAAGATCGACGAAGAGCAGCGACGGTATTAATGAAAGACTTGTCGGTCTCCAAGACGGCCTAGTGTCCGACGAGACCAAGTGACCTACGATGTGCATATGCAGGAGGAGGTTCCAGGCGGTGGGTTTTGAAGGAACGAATTAACCGCCGTTTTACTCAAAAATAGCAGAGACACAAGCACTGGCTGGGCCAGTTCCGCAAGACACCGCCAGCACGGACGACATGGGGCTATTCGGGGAGCGGGCAGGGCCGAGTGGAGCAGATGAAACGTGATCTGGGCGGCTCGCCTTCAAAACCAGCCGCCGGTCCGCCAACGACGCGCTGTGGTTGGCCGGCGCGTGAAACGCCGTCGATGGCGCCGCAGGCACCACGACCACGTCAAAGCCAGCTTCTGGAAGCCGCGCCCGAACACATAGAAAAGGCGCCGCTGCTCAAAATACCTTCAGTCCAAGCTCGCAAGCATCGTGGTCCAGTCGCGCCAGGCGCGTCAGGCATCGCGCTGCCCGACACCATCGCCTCGCATCGGCGTGCAGCGACACGCTGTCTCCCGGGCCCACGCCGAACATGCTGAGATGGGATGGTCGAGCACGCTCGTCGGGTGACGGCGCGCTTCAATACTTAGGCGCCGGCATCCCGGCTGTGCGACGCGCAGACCAAATCGAAAAGCCGTGCAGGTGGGCGGAGCAAAAGTCGGGATGCTGTACATTTTCAATATTCGCAGTGCGTGCGGAAGCGCCGTGGTTTCCGTGGAGTTGCGGTGGGCTGGAGGAGGTGTTGAGCAGGCGGGTAGCTCCATGGTGTTGAGCGGCCGGCGTATCGATAGGCCGTTGCCCCTCGCGACGGGCCGCAAACGACGCCCACACATCCCGCGCAAGCTCTCCCCGGCTCTGGCTCCCCAGTACTGCGACCTGCGCCAACGGTAAGTCTGCCCACCGCGGGCACTTCATTTTTGTTTGTTCTTTCGACTGCCGCGTCCTTCCGTCCTCCACGTCACTCTTCTCTACGAATTGGCCGCTGCAACCATGAGCGTCCGCGTGCTTGCCCGCATACGACCCCTGCTCAAGAGCGAGCTCGACAAGGACACCATTGTTACCGCCGAGAGCGCCACTGGGGATGAAAACTCGCCTCCCAACGTCATTCGAATCCCTAATCCCAAGAATGAGGCCGAGTCCTTCAGTTTCCAGTTCCAGGGCGTCTACGACCGCGCCACCACCCAACAAGAGTTGTTTGACAAGGAGGGTATGTTGCACAGGAACCTTTGATTGCGGAGCATCGGCATTGACACGTTACCGCGCAGTATCTCCCACTGTCAAACACCTCTTCAATGGCTTCGATGTCACAATCTTCGCCTACGGCGTTACCGGCACCGGCAAGACCCATACCATGCGTGGCGGGAAATCCTTGGCAGACCGCGGAGTCATTCCTCGCCTGCTCAGTTCTATATACCGTCGCTGCCGGAAGCTCGAGAAAGATGGGGAAACCCAGGTGGAGGTGTCGCTGAGTTATTATGAAATTTACAACGACCGTGTTTACGACCTTTTCGAGCCCCCGGAAAAGCGCACTGCAGCGGGCCTGCCCATCCGGGATAACCATGGCAAGACTGTGGTCGTTGGTCTTACTGAGCGGCCTTGCACCACTTTGAAAGATTTTGAGAAGCTCTACGACGAGGCCAACATGAACCGGTCTACCTCTGCAACGAAACTAAACGCCCATTCCTCGCGATCCCACGCTATATTATGCGTCCAGGTTACGCAAACGACAGCGACCCATACCCGCGTCTCGAAAGTCTCCTGTATCGACCTTGCCGGGTCCGAGGACAACCGGAGAACAGACAACAACCGGGAACGCCTGGTCGAGTCTTCCGCAATCAACAAATCTCTGTTTGTACTAGCGCAGTGCGTCGAGGCCATCAGCAAGAAACATTCAAGGATACCGTACAGGGAGTCCAAGATGACCCGCATCCTATCTTTGGGTCAGAACAATGGCCTCACTCTCATGGTTCTGAATCTCGCGCCAGTGCGCTCGTACCACCTTGATACCTTGAGCTCCCTGAATTTTGCCAATCGGACTAAGAAGATTGAGGTTGCCGAGGTTGAGAATGAAGCCGTCCTCCGTGGGCCACCGAAAACTACATCGAGCATCGCCGGCGCCAGCCTGCAGCAGCGCCAGCCGCTGAGGGCGCTGGCTGCCGCGACGAACGTGAACATCGCACACAGCTACGTGCAGCCGAAAAAGACTGACAAGCCAGCCAAGGCTTTCTCCGTGTACTCGGACAAACACAGGAGTACGAAGCCCGCAGTGGCGAGCCGTCCAGACCCTTTGAAGCGTGCTGCTACACATTCGACACTTGCATCGAAGGTTACCAAGCCCGCTAGGCCAGTGCACAGCTCGGGCTACGGCAAGCCGACGGCATTGCAGAGCGGCCTCTCGAAGGAGGCAATCGAAGCCCTCATCGAGCGTCGGCTAGACGAGAAGTTGGCCGAGCGTGCTCTCAATGAGTCCTCCACCATTCAGACTCAGGACATCAGCGAAGCGGTGAGGCAACGATTGGAGGCTTTGGAGGAGCGCGTCGGTAAGACGGAAGATGGTCGAGCGGAGGGCCTACACTTCCTTCTCATGGCGAAGCAACATCACGTTCGCGGGGAAGATGTTTCTGCGCTCAAGATGTACCAGCTGGCACTGCCGCATTTCCCAGAGAATGAGAAACTCAGCCAGAAGATTGTCAACCTGCAGGAGAAGATTCGCCTGAAGAAGGAGGCGGCGAAGTCTTCCGCTGCACCCGACTCCAGCTTGGAATTCATGAATCAGGAGCATGTGCCTGCACACCCCCGTCCTTCAGCCCTAGCGAAGCAGCCTCTCAGGAGGCCGGCGCCAGCAGCGGTCTCTGCATCAGAAGAGCGCTCATTTGTCGCACCCACTCGTCCCGTTGCCCGAAAGCTCTCAAGCAAGAAAGCAAAGCCCACCACCCGCGACGCCGATCACGACGCCTCCGAGGCCGAAGTCGACGGCCACGACGACTCGTTCGTCCCGGAGGACGATGGTGCCGCATCTGACTACCAAGAAGAAGACAGCTTCGTCTACAAGCCCAAAGCCAAAGCGCCCAAGAAGCCGAAGATGAAGATCTTCCGCGACAACAGCAGCAGTGGCCTCGACGTCTCTCCTTCAATTCCCACCGGCAGCACCCTCACACCCCGCACCCAGCGCCTGCTCAACATCATCAACACGCGCGAGGTCTCGCAAATCCGACTTCTCAAAGGCGTTGGCGCCAAGAAAGCCGAGGCCATCGTCAATTCGCTATGCGAGATGGACGGTCGCGGCGCCGACGAGTGGCTGATCACAGACTTGGAGCAGCTGGGCGGGTTGAGGGGCGTAGGGTTAAAGACGGTCGAGAATATGAGGGCCGGGCTGGCTTGTTAACATATGTCCCTGCATTTTGACGCTTTATTTCATCTTATTTCATCTCCCTCTTCTGTGGCTGCGGAGCCGGACTTGTCGCATCCGCTCTGGCTTTCAGCGACGGCGCTTTTCTGGGGGGTTTTTTTTAACGAGGAAATTTCTACGTACCGGCATTGGGATGGTGTTCTTCGGCGCTTTGTTCTTTTGGGTGTCTGATTCGTGAAGAGGCATGGGGGAGGAAAGTACAGTCACTTCGTCCACAGGCTCTTGTGGCCATAACAATAATCGCATTTTGGAAAGATGCTGGCCTGGATCTAGATACGTGCGCTTTGACGGTATGGATTTTGACATGCTTACATACTCTGAATCTAATGGGCGAGATATCAAGAACGTATTGAGTCCTAGCTATCAAAGGCTTGGTTCGCGATATTCAATAAATTCATCCGACAACTCTGCGGTAGTTGCTATCTATTTCAAGTTTTTTTCTTTTGTGTATCATCCGCGAACATGATTGAAATTGCGCGATTTGACTAACAATTGAGCCTATAATTAAGGATAGTTCTGTATTAGCTGGCAGTATAATGCAGAAAGAGCGCCTGTTGTAGTGCGACCTGAGAAGGATTTCCATGTGGAGCTCTACTTTTATAAAAACGGCTTTACGTTTTTAAACGTCTAGTAGATAAACTTTTCATATAGATACAAGAAGAATCAATCTTGAAAAGGACTTGATGAGATTCAAGTGATAAGAACCGCGTAGACTATGCCTTAGAAATATCTAGAACAAATTCAAGCCCGTGCGGTATGCATATTCCATGGGAGAATGGAGCGCCAGAACAAATGCTGAAAGACTGCGACTGACCGACGACTCGTGGTCGGTATGCTCCTTGAACTTAACCAATTATGAGAAGTAGAACTAATGACAATGGAAGCGCAAGGCGTTTGACGGCCGACGAAGAGTAAACATTTTTCAAGTTGGTATATTGTACAGCACGACGTGATCGTAGCTCATTAACTCATGCGACATGAATACCGACATCGCTACCCCGTAGTAAAACGAAGCTCGCTATGAAAAGGAAGTCGAGAAGAAAACATTGTGGTAAGCTAAACGAAATTCCGAAAAGAATTAAGAAATGCGAGATGTGTACACGGAAGGGCAAGGAAACCAAAGCATGATCCGCCGACCAGCTTATTCCTATTACCTCTCCTCATGAACGGTTACCGCATCATCAACAACAGAATCCCCCTCTAATTCCAAATGCCAACTGCCTCACGTGACCAACTTCGGCGATGCTCGTGGGCGCCGCTACTTTTTACCCTTCGATGCCTGCCCGACACCTCTCGTGAACCTTCCCAGCTGACTCAAACTGCTCTTGCTCTTCTGGTGACCTTGTACGGGGGGCTTCGTGGGTCCCTGGTCCCCACCCAACGCCGGCCTCGTCATGCTCTGCGCAGACGCCGGTCGCTGCGGCAGACCGCCCGTTTGCAAGCCTAGAGCGGCTCTGGGATGCAGCCGTCCCTTGCTGCTATCCGGAGCCGCGACACCCAAACCAACACCACCTTGAGCACCCGAGGAGCTGCCCGCGTCCGGAACGTCGGGCGAGCCGTCGATGCCGAGCATGGCATTGCGCTGGGCACGGCGGGCGCGCTCTTGTACTTGCTTGAACTTTTCGAGGAGTTCCTGCCACTTGATGCCACCCTCACCCTCGCGTGATTTGAGGCGATTGGGACGATCGAAGCCCGTGGTGGTGGTGGGTGTCGTTCGGGGTGCGATGTGTAGGTAACCAATCGCGCTGACGCTGTTGAGGCGGTTCTTCAGCGCCGCAAAGGCCGACGACTGCGGCAGCAACATGAGAAGCCCGTACAAACACTTGTACAAGTGAGGATACTTCTCAGGCTCCAAAAGTTGAAGCCGAAGGTACGTGAAGACGGGCGACTCGAGCAGCTGAACCAACTTATCGATTTGGATGAGCATGTTCACGGTCATCTCAAGCTCACCGAAGATCTGCAGGAGATGGTAGGCTTGTTCATACGCCTGTGCCAAAAGACACAGGGAGAAGGTGGCCACGGCGTTGTGACACCAAGAGCGGAAAAGAGTGACGAAAAATGCCTGGCCTTCACGCGTCTCGAGGTTTCGCAGCCTCTTGCGAAGGTCTGCGAGTTCGGGAGCTGTGATCAGGTTGTTGTTGAGGTTTTGAACCATGATGCTCGCGAACTCGACGTCCTCGTCCCTCTCCAAGCAGTCGGCGAGTGTTCGGTATATCCGCTCGGGGCTGAGTGATACGCAGAGTTGACGGATGATGAGGTTTCCGCGGGTCTCGAGCAGGCGCCTGTCCGTGGCAAATAGGCTCAGGAGGCTGACCATGAAGGAGGTGAAGTACGAGTCATCGCTGTTTTTAGAGATCTGCGAGAGCAGCAAGAGGTCTCGCGTCACGACCGACTCGGCCGGGTCCGAGAGTGTTTTGAGGAGCGCCGGGAAGGTGGCATCGTTGATTGCCAGGATCTTTTCTCGCACGTCAGCTTGCGAACCGCGACACGGATCCATTTTGAGACACTTACCTTGCGAGGGGCCTTTCGGTGAAGCATTATGAGCCAAGACAGAGCGGCTACGCGAGTTGCCTCGTGCTCATTCAGGAACTGCAGCGTGAGGGCATTGACTGCTGCTTCATAGTCCAGGTCGGCACCTGGCCGCGGTGCTGACGAGGCATCGTCACCATCAACCGGCGTCGGGGCCTCCGCTTCAGGCTTTGGCTTCGCTTCGGCCGCTTTGAGGTCCACCGTGGACTCTCGCATCGACGATCTGCCGCCCTTGAGGGAGTAATTGGACTCCCGCCGATCTGAAATGTCCTTCGTCGGGCCTGATGAAAGCTGCAGCTGCGTCACCCTCGCGCTGTCGGCTTTGTTCTCGTCAGGAAGAGACATGATGTGCTCCATCAACGACGTATTGACTCTGTTCGCAGCCAAGCGGACCTGCTCAATGTCGTTCGCCATGGCTGGAAGTACGTGAGAGAGCAGGCGCGGGACGAACAGAAGAATGTCCTCGGGGCAAATCTCGAAGAAGCTGTCGATCCAGCGCAGGCAGGTGAGCTGGATCTCCTCCTCTGCGGGTTGTAAGCAGGGGCCATTCGCATAATCACCGACGTTCTTACCTGGAGAATCGCTGAGGTACGTGACGAGTGTGTCCAAGATCTTTGGATAGTCGATTTGCACGTCTTGGCCGGGAATCCAGTCCCCGTCCGTCATCCCCGACGCTCGGTCGTTCATGGTGGTAGATTCGGTGCCGTCGCTGATCGAATCTGGAGCGTCGTCGACGTTGGTTTCGCTGTCGGCCTCGAGGTCGTGTGAACTCTGGGCGCTCCTTCCGCTCTTCATACTGGACCTAGAGCTCTTCTTGCCCTCTTCGCCTTGGCTCTTCCGGCTCTCGGCGAGACCGCGCTTGATGCGAGCAATCTTCTTGATTTCCGAGAGGAACCTCTCCAGGGCAGTCTGCGTTGCCGTGTGCACGTCCTGGTTCGGATCGCTGAGGAATCTGAGAAGGCCGCCGAGAAAGGACGGCAAGTACGACACGAGCTCTAGATCGGGTATCGAGTCGAGCAAGGTGATCCAGGAAACGAGAAAGGTGCGGGTGAAAGGGCTCAGGACGTTGATCCTTTCCTGAAGGAGGGGTATGAACTTGGGGAGAGAAAAGGCGGGCTGCATGTCAACGGAGGGGGCTGCAGAGCCGCCCAGGGCGGAATCGTCGTCGACGGCATCTTCGGGGTGGTGCAGGATGGACACGTAGGAGGCAGCCGACTCGGACACGATGTCCTTGACCAGGCGGTCGAGCAGCTCGGCGCCGTTCTTGACTGAGGCCTCCGAGTCGGCGGCAAGCTAGCAGGCTGTCAGCGCGCGATAGCAGGGTGGCGGCAGGCGCGTACCTTGCAGAGGGCGTCGAACACTTCGTTGAAGTACAGCAGAATCTCTCCTTTGGCGACCTTGGCAATGTTGTACATGCTCTCGCAGGCGTAGTATCGGACGCGGGCATCTTGGTCGGAGAAGCAGGCGAGCACAGGCGGCACGATCTCTTCGAGGTATCTCGCAACTTCCTGGGGAGCAGGTCAGCAGGCGGAGGGGCGAGAGGGCAGCTCGACGCACACTGCCCAGGGCTATCGACGCGGCCGCGAGGCCGATGAGACCGCCGTTCCTGGCGTGCGGCTGGTGCACGGCGTAGGCATATTCGTGGCAGAGCTGGTAGACAATGCGCTGGATCTTGTCGTGGTCCTTGTTCGCTAAGGCTTCGCGGACCTGAGCTTCGAGTCTGCACGGCGGCGTCAGTGGCTGGGGCGGGCTCAGGGCGGCGGTCGTGGCAGAGGGGGACGCACTCCAAGGCACCGGCCTTGCGCTTGTCGTACAGCTTGTCGTTGAGGGCCTTTTGGATGTTGGGGTCCATCTTCACGGCAGCATTGCGCAGGTGGCTGGGCGGGTTGGTGGAGTGGGGAGCGGACCAGGCGCGGCGGTCGGGTGGAGGAGAGCGTCTCTCGCGCCGTGCTGGTGCTGGTGGAGGCTATCGCAGCATTTGCAGGCTCAGCGCAGTCGTCCGCTGTGGTGACCAGAATGCAGCGCCGCGGCATGTGCAAGCATGAGCAGGGCCTGCTGCGCGACACCGGCCAATGGGCCGCCACTGTGACGTTTCGCCCAGACAAAGCAACGCGCCGCAGCTCCGCACCCTGGCACCGAGCAACTCCATCAACAACCTCCTCCCCGCTTGCTGCCTGCGAGCGACGATTCCGCACGCCCCGCTGGGACCATGCGCAGCTCCTGCCTCCCCACCCTGCCCGCCGCCTCTGCCTGAGCCGGCTTCACCGCGCCCCGGCGATAGGGGCGATTCGCCATGGAGAAGCTCAAGCAGATGATGCACCACCACCGGAAGCGCAGTAGCCATGCTCCCTCCTTTGCGCTCAACGCCTTCCGCCATTGGGCCACCGCCTTCGTCGTGTGCGACTTCAACGTCGACGTCGGCCCCGAGATCCTGATGGTCTACCCGACCGACACGCCCTTTTCGCAGGCCGATCTCACTGCAATATGCTTCAACAGGCAAGTCGCCGAACTGCAATCGCCCGTGGATTTGCTCGTAACGTGCTGCAACGTTCCACGCGTGCCCCTCTAACACTCCTGCAGCTTCCCCGAGCAACAAACACCCGAGATGGGCGAAGACCTGTCGTTTCAATTCTCAATCAGAAACCGTTCTCCTGACGTGCTGCTGAGTTCTCCGTGCGCGCCCCATGGCAGCCCCAGCACCTTCTACGGCAGCTGTCTGTTCCGTCAGGAATTCGACGGCACCACCAAGCGTAGCTACAATCAAAAGAGCCTGGTGTTGATCTCCAACCACAACTTCCCAGCCTTTTACATGAAGCTTCTGCAGCAAATGACGAGCTCTGGCATCCTGTGTGACCCCAACACCTTCGAGGCAGCTTGTACCCAGATCTCCGCCTGGCCCCCGCCCTCCATCGGCCGCCACGAGCTGCCTTTTCTCGGCTCCTTGCTGGTGCTTGAAATGTACGTGGCTCGTCGCTCTCGCCTTCGATGAACCCGCTCCGCTGACAACGCTGAAGTGCACCCCATCTTGCGTTCCCGCTGCAAGGACTTGCCTCCCCGCAAAGTGGCCGTTCGGACGGCGTCTCCGGCCCTATATATGCCTACCAGCCGACGGCCTCTTGGTCGCGCATCATCCCGTACTTTTCTTCCCTGTCAGACCTGTACACGGTGTTCGAGAAGATGCTGCTTTGTGAAAACGTCGTCGTCATGGCGAAGAGCCCGCAGACCTGCAGCGAGGTCGTATCGGCGCTCGTTGATCTGATCCGACCCATTCCCTATGCTGGAGAGATCAAGCCGTACTTGACCATGCAGTCCGAGTTCTGCGTTGCCGGCTTCAACGGAGGCACTTCGAGACACTTCATCGTCGGCATCACGAACCCCTTTCTTCTCAAGAGAATCCTGAGCGCGGCGGAGACCAGCGGCAGTACGATTCCGTACGTTTTGTATCTGCACAGCACCGGAGCTCCGGTTCCCGTCAAGCCGTCCAGCTCGCACCCGACCTGCCCGCCGGGTTTCGATATCCCTGGCGGAATCGAAGCCAACAACCCGGCCAAGAAGCTGCTGAAGCCGGACCGATCTTTCCTGCAGCAGCTGGACACCATGCAGAGAGGTGGCAGGCCGGCAACAGATGCCATCGGGCCCCTGGTGCGGCGGCACTTTGCAGAACTGACGGCGCAGTTCCTCGCTCCCATACTCAGATATCTCGCCACGGGAATGGCGCCGACCGTCGCATCGCCCGGTGGCAACCCCGCCTACGCAAACTTCTCGGAGCCTGACTTCTTGAACAGCCTCTCAAAATACGGCACGTCCATTAAGCTACGCGGACAAGGACCCCTGCAACGGCATCGTACCCGCGATGCCCTATACGGGGAGTTTTGCCGATCACCCAACTTCTACTCCCACCTCGAGATGAAACTAAGCCTCGAGAAGGAAGCTTCTGTGGGCTTGCTCAATGTGTCCAGGTGAAGAAACGGGTAAAATACGAACGCCCAAGGTCCTTGGTGTTCATTGGTGGAACTGGGACAGTTTGGTTCGGAAAGATGGACCGCAGGCCGCACGCGACGCAGCGTTTCATATGTTCTGAATGATTGAACGGCAGCAGGACACCCCGCCCCGGAAACAACGTTTCGAGGATCACGGTACATAAGAGGAGGCCCAATTCAATGCATTCTCTACCTCCGCTGATGTCCAGTACCACTTTCACTATGATTTCCTTCGTCGTCACCCTACTGCTGACGGGCACTAGAGCTTCTCCGCTGACGAGACGATTGGACAATGGCGTCGGTGTCAAACCGGCTCTAGGCTGGAACAACTACAACGCCGGTCTTTCCGCGAGCGCCGAATCGGCGTTGGCGGCGGCGAATGCGTTCGTGCAGCTGGGCCTTCAAGACCTTGGCTACACGTACATCAACCTGGATGACGGATGGTCGACTATGGCACGGGACGCAGATGGCAACCTCGTACCCGACCCGAACAAGTTCCCCAACGGCATGAAAAACGTCTCGGATCGGATTCACGCTCTTGGCCTGAAGTTTGGGCTGTACGGCGACTCTGGCACCGCAACGTGCGCCGGGTTTCCAGGATCCCAAGGCTACGAGGCGCAGGACGCGACGCTGCTGGCGTCGTGGGACGTGGACTACTGGAAGTACGACAATTGCAACACGCCTTCAGGAGATTCGCAGCCCCGATACGAGACGATGCGCGATGCTTTGCTCGCCACGGATCGGGACATCCTATACTCCCTGTGTCAGTGGGGGGTCGACTCGGTGTGGGAATGGGGGGCCAGCGTGGGCAACTCTTGGCGCGTCGGAGGCGACATCACCAACAACTGGAACTCGGTGGCCAACATAGCAGCCTCGAACGCCGGCATCGCGTCGTATTCCGCACCCGGAGGATTCAACGATTACGACATGCTTGAGGTGGGCAACAGTGGGCTGACGGAAGCCGAAGAGCGAGCGCATTTTGGTCTCTGGGCCATCTGCAAATCCCCACTCCTGCTGGGGACGGATTTGACCAAGATATCCGATTCCAGCCTGGCGATTATCAAAAACGCAGACGTGATTGCCGTCAATCAGGACCCTCTGGGACGTGCCGCATCGACGTTCACGCCATCGGGACAAGCGGCGCCCACGAGCGGCCAGCTGTACCCATACTGGTCCGGGCCTCTCAGCGATGGATTCGTGATCGGGCTCGTCGCCGCAGACGGTGTGGGTACGCTCAGCGCCAGTTTTGCGGATGTGCCGGACCTTGGGGCGGGGACATACAGCTGGACCGAGCTGTACAGCGGCAAGACTGGAAGTGGTGATGGTGTGAGCTGGACGTTCGAGGCGGAGCACGACATGGCCATCTTCAAAGTGACAGGGAAGGTTCCATCGCAGAGCTCGAGCGCGGTCTCGACTTCGGCAACGCCCAGCTGATGAGTGGCGACCACGATACCGGCGGGGACAGCTGTTGGCCGGTGGGGTCAGTGCGGAGGACAGGGCTACTTGGGGCCCACAGCAGTGAGCCCAGCCTCCCATTCGTCGCGCCATCTAGAAGGGCTCCGGAACAGTCGGCGGCTGACGGCTAGTTTATGCAGGCGCAGGACGAATGCTGCTGATTGCGTTGCTGGCGGCGGCCTTTTCCTATTTCAGGCTGATGGCTGTGGTAGTTGATCAGATAACACATCAATGATTGGCAACCAGAGCAGGATTCTGGAGAGGGCCCGATTCATGCGTGCACCCCGCCTCGTGGGCGACGTCATAAATGCTCGTACAATAGCGTTGAGGAGGCGCGGCTGCTTCAGAAAAAGCGGGCATGCAGCTGGCTCGGCGCCTTCCCGTTTCGTGCGCGGGGCTTTCTGCAAGGCACCGAGCTGCGCCGTTCGTTTCCCGAGGCGTATGTAGGAACACACCCCGCCTGCAGGAGAAGCTCTCGCCGTCACATTCTCGCCGAAAAACGCGCGTGCTGAACTGGCATGCGTCTGGGGGCCTGGGGCAGATCATCCCACAAACACGGCAAAACGTGGCTGCAGGGCGCATCAACCGGCCAGCCTAGAGTGTGGTGTAGTGCGAGTCGGGCAGCGGCGACTGATGAGGTTTTGTTTGTTGCTGTGGCCAGCGGCTCTAATCTCGGCGCCGGTTCCTTGGGTGCGCGATCAGCGAGCAGCAGCCAGCGCGCAGCCAGCGCAGCGGGCAGTGTTTAGGCAGCCCGTGGCCCCGCGCATCTTGCGCACTCGCGGAGGCAGGTCGGCTGCGGCGAGGGTGCGGGCAAGCGAGCGGCGCTCGTGAAACGGCTCATGCCTTGCGACGACGCGGCGTTGCCGGCGCCACAGCCCGAATCCGCATTAGGGGGTGGGAAAAGCGCACGTTTTGCAACGCCAACCCGCTCATCCCATTCCCACTTCTCTCCGCACTACTATCTCCAGCCCTGCATCTCCCTGGCCGGCCCAGACCGCCGTTCTCTCTTTTCTGCGCCCGCCTCCCACTCACCACCAGTCCCTCTTTCCATCCAAGCTCGTCCCCGCTGCTGCTGCTTGCACCCACACCGCACCTCCACGCCGAACTCCCGGCTGATCGTCCACTCGGGAACTAGCCTCTTGCCTGATTATCCGGAGATCTTCAGCCCCCCCATTTCCGCTCACGCTATTGCCCTGGCAGCAATCGTGCCTGCTTATTCTCGCCCTTAATTGCTCGCGTCTCCCGGGCCGTTGGACCACCCTTCCGATTGCACAATCGCCCTCGAAACACCCTTCAGCCTTCAACGTCATCCCGTCCACGTATCGCTTTCGCTCTTGCCATCACCATGGGTCTTATCGAGAAGCTGCAGGCCAGTGAGTGCCCCTTTCCAACCTGCGCCCGCGCCAAGCGCCTCCAACCAACAAGAGGCTAACACCAACGCCGCAGAGCTCGAGCTCTACCGCCTCGAGCAGCGCTACACGCGCCGCGACAAGCGCACCACGTTCATCAGCGACGCTCGGTATGTCGACGGCGAATACGTCTACGGCAGCGGCCCGTCGTCGCCCTACTCCAGCACCTCGGGCGGCTCGACTTCCAGCCGCCGCTGGAGCAAGATGCCCACGGCCGCCGTGCGCGAGTTTACTGGAAGGTCGGCGCGGTCATAAGCCCGCCGTTCTAAGCGAAACCCCTGGCCGTAGCGAGGCGCATTCGCCCGAGGGGTCGAGACACCACACGACCTAGCTCTCTCTCGCGCGCGCGGAGGGGGTTCACGAAAAGGAAGAGAAGGAGGCGCGGGGAAGCCGAGACTGTGGGGATGGGGAAACAAACAAACGGCGGCGCCGTTGAGGAAAAGAGGTGGAATGTTCGATGACGCGTATTCATTCGCTTCGGCGCGCCATCCAACGACAGGGGAAACCCGAAGCCAAAAACTCGGACGACCACGACGGCCATGGCTGCAGCTGCCCGCCTGGAGCGAGTGGACGAGGCTACAGGAGGCCAGCATCAGCGGCGCTCCTTGTCACGATTCAACTGAACCATTTGCGCACTTTCTTTCGGGCGCTTCCATGCAAGCGCCCGCAGCAGGGGAGGGAGCCGCTCTCCCTCGCTTGCTTTTTTTCTTGTCCTTTTTCTCACGAAGACCAAGCCAGAAAAGCCTTCTTCTTCGTGGCTGGGTACTTTTGTTGCATGAGCATCTTTTTTCGCATTTTACCCACCCACCGTTTTTGCTGCATATTTGGTTTAATAGGCGCAGGATTCTAGATTTGGGTCAACGCAAACGACTTCCCCATCATTTTCGACCATTCTTCTTCCCTTCGTTTTTCCTTCATTTGGGGTCGACAATTAGTTATTTTCCTTTGTTATTAGCAGACACACTTCGATACCACGTCTAGCTAGGGCTCAAAAGTTCAAGAGTCGATAGTGCGAGCTGCCGAGGATCTTCACAAAAGTTAGCCTCACAACGAATAGAGCCATTGGAACTATGACCTCCCCTGTCGCACGTGACTGGAGTTGTTGGGATCGTCACCGAAGCGAAGGATGCCTCTATATAGTGCACGTTCGTCACGCGTAGGCTGTTGCCATTTAGAAGAACAAAGTGCGTCCAATGGAGAATCGCCTCCGTCGTAGCACGTATCTGCAGCGCGGGGTAATGGGCTGTTCCTGTAGATGTGTGTCTCACTCGCTCGTGGCCGCCCCCACACGCTTCGGCTCGAACAGGGTGACGTAGGATTTTAGCTGGTGGCAACAAACAACTCAAATCATTAAACCTTCTTCCTTCCGCGGCACCCCAAATCACCGCGAACGCTCCGGGCGTGCAGGCCCGATTTCGCGGGTGAGATAATCGAGCCGGCGATCTCGTACGATTTGCAGGAGAGGGGAGGGGAGCTGAGATTGTCTGGTTGAACGCCACGTGCTCAGCGATCGTTGCTGGGGTCATCGTTGGTAGCGAGCGGTTCCTGCACCGCGCTGGAAACCTGATGGTTGCTTTTTCCTACCTCCCATCCCTTGCGTTGTTCTTCAGATTGCATTCTTCTCGCCGCACTTTGTATTTACTTTCTCGCTCTGCCTTCCGAGAGGGTGGAACATGAATGATATTAAGCAGGCGGTCAGCCATGCTGGACATACAATTGATTCAAAGCGTCTTGTTCGCTCTGTCAAATGCGAGACACAGGAACAAAGGCCTTGACTACATCAGCTAGTATTGACCATTGCAAGTAATGTCATCCGATTCTTGCCTCGTCTCGCCAATCACAGTCTGCGCAGTTCACTCTTTCGCACTTCGATCCACCGTAGGAAGAAAATAAGATCAGATCCCTGACTTTGTCTATTCATTTGACATACATTCGCTCAATATCTCGCCTTCGGTAATCGAAAGAGAAGCTGACATCCAACATCGCAATCCTATTCATATCGTGCCGGATAATCCGTTGCAATCGACGCATGCGCTAGTAGTCATCATACCTCGCCTCGTCCCTACCTTCATCGTAGCTCGCCTCCAAGCTATCCCCGTAGTTCTCAACGTCGTCACCAAACCGCTCGACCTTGCCGACGCCCTCGCCCACCCATTCGGCCGCGTTCTCGGGCGCATCCTCGACCGCCTCGACGGTGTTGTCCCAACCTTGCTCGACGTTGTTCTCGGCGCGGTCCCAGCCTTGCTCGATGTTATTCTCGGCATTGTCCCAGCCTTGTTCGACGTTGTTTTCGGCGTTGTCCCAGCCCTGCTCCACGCGGTTCTCGGCGCGGTCCCAGCCCTGCTCGACGTCGTCGGGGATGTTCTCGACGTGACCGACGGCCTCACCCGTCCAGCGCGCCGCGTCCTCAGGGAAATCCTCAACGTTCTGCTCTGCATGATCGACCTTTTGCTCGAGGCGGGCCTTGTCCTCGTCCCAGTCTTCGGCTATTTCGGAACGATCAGAAATTTAAAAACGAAGCGAGTCGGGAGGGGGGGTGGGAGATGGATGATATATATATATACCAAAGGAAAGTCCAAACTTACCCACTTTCTCGCCCTCGTGCATCAACAGCGCGCCGCCAGCCAGGCCTGCCGCCGCGCCGATGGCGCCGTACATCAAGCCGTTGCCGCCGCTTGACTTCTCTTCGACGTACTCGACGCGTTCGTTGCCGCCATAGCCGCCGTTGCCGTAGCCGCCGCCATAGCCCTGGCTCGGCGGAGGGCCGCCCTGGTAGTAGCCAGACCCTTGGTAGCTGCTGCCCGGGTGTTCAAAGGTGCGGGCGCCCGTCTGCTCGTTGATGAAGATCCAGCGGCCGGCCTCGCCGTCCCAGCGCGCGACCCACGGCGGCTGGACGTAGGGCGGCTGTTGCCCGTAGCCGCCACTGCTGCCGCCGTACGATTCTTGAGGCTGCTGCTGCTGCCCGGAGTGGGTGAATTCGGAAACGAGGTCGCCGATGAGGCCCATCTTGGGTTGTTTCTGGTGCTGGTAATGGGTTGAGGGGGGAGTGGTGAGTGTGAGAACGAGCTGGGTACTAGCTGTGTGGACACTGTGGCAGGGAAGCTGTGACACTGCGGGGTTTCCGAAGGGGTTGGCGAAATACGAAGGGGAGCTCTTGATGCGGCGCGGACATGTACATAAATAAAGGCATGGAAATTTCAGGGCCGGGTGATCAGGCTTGGTCCAATCTCGGAGGAGGGCGCTCTGATGGGGAATTGATGTGCCACAGCAGCATCGCCTTGTGGCTAATAACGCAGAACGGCTCCTCCCCCACTTGAGCGGATGTCGCGGCGCGGAACCCTGGCGTTGATCTGGCCCGCGCTTAGCTTATTAGAGGCGTGGGCTGTGCTTCGGCTTGGGTGACAGCTCAGCTGCGCGTTATTTTCCGGCGTATGCGGCTGGAACGTCGGCATGTGTCATCCTTCTCGCATCGTGACAGCCGTCGATTGGTCTGGGTTCGTTGGTGACGCGGGGCTCGGGCGATGCGACGATCTCCGCGCCAAGCTCAGCCCTGAAGCTTGTCGAAGCTTATCCCTCCGCTCCTGTCCATTCATCACTTTGCGCCTTCTGCACCAAGAGTCATGCCAAACCTGCCGATTGCAATCTCTGCGAGTCGTGCAATTCTCATACCAAAAATACCCGAGCACACAAATTGAGCTCCTCACCTCCATCTTCGCCTTCGTCAGAGCTGTGCCAAGTGCCCGTCATTAATGTGCCGGAGAAGGCGTCCGTATGAGCAAGGAGATCGATATCACGGGCCAGTCCTGTGCCAAAGAAGACACGGGTTGAGATGTTTTTGACGGTATTAAAGATGCAGACAGAGCGGAAGATTGGCTGACGCTGCTGCAGGAGTTATGGGATATTGTACAGAGGGAGTACGATGATTTCTCTAAAGCTGATGTGCGGTGATATAAAGGCCCTGCCTTTTTGCTATCCTGGTTTCAGATTTCAGCGACAGAGGGCTCTGGTAGTAGTAGCACATCAAATTAAGCTCATGAGACGAGTGATGGGTGGTCCTCGACGGGATAGTCTTCGTACACGAGCGAGGCTATGCAAAGAAGTAGAATAGCAGCAAACGATAAACCGACCTTGGGGGGATCGAGGGTCCTCGATGCCGTCACTGGCGGTTCGATCCATGCCAACACGGAGGCTTCACGCAGCACTGTGAGAAGAGCAAACGAACCCGGAAGCCACCACCTCCTTCGAGTGAAGTCGGTGCGCGCTTGGCCGCCCTCCCTATCACGGGGGCCAATGCTCTGTGCTCGCAGCAGCGCCTACTGATCCCTCTATGCATCCAGCTTTGGCTGGCGACCCGAAACTTTTCACTGGCCCGGCCTAACGAGTCGCAGCCACGAGCTGCAGGCAGCAATAGCAGACCACTCGTTCTAAATCTCTGATTGATCTGCAGTGAAACATATTAGCTCATCATCGACTTTTTTTTTGTAGGATCAGTGAGCTCCTTGGCACGGTAGTAGCAGGCCAACCATTAAACGAGCATAGAACGCAGTAGCTGATTTCTCAGCATTCGCAACATGCACGCGAAAGGATGGAGAACAACCGCTTTCAACCCAGGCTTTATTGCAGCGATCGCGCAGATTCTCCGAGGCATAATCTAACTCGTGCCTGGACTTCCCCCGCTAGGCAATCCTGGGAAACATGCTGGTCGGAGCATTTTCAGCCGCCTGACTCGCCCCGACAGTTCAACTGCAGTGCTGAAAACCACGGATCATCTCTACGAAGATGGCCCGATCCTCACGTTAGTATACCATAGTGACCGAGTGCTCGGCCTGCGACTGAGAGTCGATCATGCTTTGACATCCTCGTTCTTGATCTCTTGGGTGTCCACTTGGACTTCCTGAATGTCCACTTGAGCTTCCTGCTTGTCGACTTGGACTTCTTGAGTGTCGAGTTGGACTTCCGTGTCCACTTGGTCTTTCTGGGCGTCGACTTGGCCTTTCTGGGTGTCGATTTGAACTTCTTGGGCGTCCACTTGAACTTCTTGAGTTGTATGCACACTCCGATGCTGCCGACCGAACGCAGCAATCTTTTCCCTTCTTGCCTCCATCAGCTCGAAGCTCGTGCCTACCAGGGGCTTAAGCAGCAGCGAGCCATCGTTCTTTTCAAGCTTCTGACGCAGCACTTCGTTCAAAGTCTTGAAAGTCGCCTGCAAGTGCTTCCAGCCGAAAGTTTTCCGTCCCAGGTCGTTGGTGGCGTCGGCAGGATCGCGAATGGAGAGAAGATACGGCTGATCTTTGTTTTGTGCGCCAATTCTTTGCCCTTTGCGGAGTGCCTTTGGAGAATTAGTACACGGACACCCGGCTTCGGAAGCGAAAGTACGTACCGCCTTCTCTTCCCGGGAAAGCACCGGCTTACTTTCGATTTTTGGCAGGATTGACAATGGCTCCAACGAGATCCAATTGTTGGTCGTGTCAAATTGAGAGTAGAAGTCCAAGACTGCGAGGAGCTGCTCGGCAGGATCATGGCTGGCCGGCGACGAACCCAACTTGATACCTGCCACAATCAGGTAAAAGACGCTGTAGGAGCTGATCCCGCCTCTGAAGACATCGTGGAGCCCTCTAATCTCCAAAAGGTACCTGATAAGCATGTACAGGGAGCGAAGAGCCGGCAACTCCTCCATATACTTGTCCATAATCATCCGTGCATAGGATGTGTCGTTAGAAGCCACAATCTGAACGTCAAGGCTTGAGGGGGCATGTTGCATTGAGATGAGTGGGTATCTGGAAAAACGCAGGAAAACCAACATGAACTGGTCATCTGCCTGGTAGAAGGGGAACGTCATCTCGAGACCTTTTTTGAGAAGTTTTCTCGTCATGTGTTTGGGGGCCTGCTTCTCATCGCTCTTCTCCGAGATCTTTGGGTCGTAAAGACGAACGTCGAGGTCCGAAGTGGCGGTGGCCAGTCCATTCCTCTGGGAGCCGAAAAGTTCAAGCTTGAGTCCTTTATAGTTTTTATCCTTCCGTGAGTCAATGAAACGAGCCCACGTGTCTAGCATTTTATCCACCACAGCGATGCGGCCGGTATGCTCTTCGGGCGTGGGTTGGATATGTTCTGCAAAAGCCTCTATCTCTGCCCGGAGTCTATTTTGGAGTCAGTACGTCAGTTACATTGTTGTAGCGCGTGGACTCGACCTTTCCATTGGCGTGGCATCGGACCGCAGAGACGCTGCGAACCAAGGCAGATCTTCGTCTCTGACATCGTCTCTGCTGTGCAGCGGCTCCAGGTATTCGCCGACGTAGTCGACCGGAGGAAGGGACCGTTCCTTTGCGCCGATGTGGTATATTGGCATCGTCCTCGAGGCAGCCGCTTGGTTCGACCACTGCCATGGACCCTTCTGATCCGAGCCATTCCGCCCCTCCTTCTTCTTCGTACGCGTTTCTCCATCTCTAGCAACGGGATCGAAGCGGTCAGGGGGCAGGTCTGGCCTGAACCAAACGGTTAATTTTTCCTCTCCCGTCGGGCTGACCTTGTGGATAAGAGAGTCACGGTTGGCCTGGCGATGGGCCTCCAGGGTTACATCCAAGCTGGTCTTGCCAACGTAGCGAAACGTCGGGGACTCTCCATTGTCGGAGCGATGGCGGACGGTGGTGGAAAAGGCGGCAGCAGAGCAGTGCGAGCTGGCAACGGAGCGCAGTCTGGCCAAGGGGATGTCGAACAGGCGCGAGAGCACGACGTGCGAGCGGAGGGCATGGCCTGCATGGCAGACGGCGCGTTCGCCAGGCATGGGCGTGGGGGGCGGCGGTGGACAGTAGGTAGTCTGTGGCAGTGGTTCCTGCGTTTGTCGAGGGCGCGCGCGGAGAGCACGTCGGGTGGCACGGGCTCGCCGATTCACGTGCGGGTGCAGGGACCGCCGCTTTCACGAGCCGGGCGCCCTCCCATTGGCCAATGGCGCACGCATCTGGACGCTGCAGCTGCGCGCTGCTCGAGTTTGTGGCTTAATAAGGGGATACGCCGGGGGGTAAAAAAGGAGACGTAGGCGTGTCCGTTCGCGGCCGACGAATCAGCCAGCATCTCGCTCTGGCCGTCGTGCTGCTGGCCTCGGGAGGGCGCGCCGGCGTGGGTGGGGGGGCATGTGAAGCTTCCATCACCGGGCTGACAGCAGCGACAGCGCGTGGCATGACGGTGGGCAGAATCGAATTGCGCGCGTGGAATGGCAAAGACTGCGCCAGAAACAGCCGGCTCGCGTTGGCGGCCCGGGCCATGGCAAAGCCAAAGGGCTAGAATGACGTGGATTTACTTAATGTCCCGGCTGGCCGTTGGAGGGGCTCCGCGCGACCGCCTCGTGCTGCTCGCTCCTCCACAGCCGATCTTCTCCTATTGCTGCGTCAGACGCCATCACCGCACCCTTTAAAGCTGACAGTCGCGCTGACTGACTGCGCCCTCCGCCAATCGCCGCCCCTCCGTTCCCCCCGGTGCGACCAGCTGCAAGACCCCGCGCCTCGTGCATACAGATACTCGGTGTCGCGCAGGAGCGACGCGAGCTCGTTACCCAATCCTGAGCTGCGCCTGACGTCAATCGCAGCTTCTTTGCGCACCAACACCACCACCGAGCCCCGCCGGTATGTTCGCTGCCATTCCACGTCCGCGCCCCGAACCCACCTTGGCCGTCCTTCTCTGCCCTGCCGCAGGCCACGCTGACCGCCGCAATGCAGTTCGACCCGCGCGAGACTTTGGCCATGGCTGCCGAGCCCTCGAGGCCAGAGGGCCAATCCTCTGACGAAACGAATCCCGCCAACACCGAAGTACCCGTCACGCCCACCTCGCACACCGCCGGTGTCTCTGCCTACGTTCAACCCGACGCGCCCCGCGACCAGCCTCCGCTGCCATTCGACCCCGCGAAGGTTCCTTCCGGCCCGAATTGGAACCCCAACTCGATGCACGCCTCCGACGATGATCGCGCGAGCTCGCCCACCGACGTTGCCGCCGGCGCGAAGAGCCCGGAGGAGATTCTGAGGAGGCTCAGCCGTCCTACCTTGGACTCGGCGGAGAAGGCCGATCTGGCAGATGTCGATCCAAAGGCGGCCCATCCCAACCTGAACCTCAGCGGCCATGTCATCAGTGCCACTACCTGCGTCCCGTACAGCATCGCCTACTCGCCGGGCAATGATTGGGAGCTCCGCTCCAGGCGCGGCACTTCTGCCTTGTTCGACTCCTTCTCTTATCTCGCCTCCGCCTCTTCGCCTTGGAATCACACTCTGGTTGGATGGACTGGCGAGATCAAAGTTGCTCCGAACGCCCAACCTATCCCTGGTGACACCGCCGCGGGCCCCAATGCCAGCACCCCGTTAAACAAGGCCTCCGCACCCATCCCTGTCGATGCAGACGCGAAGCCCCAGCAGCCAGCTCAGGAGGGTATCAGCGTAGACCGGGAGCATCGCCTGCGTCTGGAAAAGCAGCTCGAGCGTGATCACGGCGGCAGGATAGTGCCCGTGTGGCTCTACGACGAGCTTCACGAAGACGAGGATGTGGTCGTCCTGAGGGACCAGTCTCGCTGGCGCCAGTTTGCCGACAAGGAGCTGTACACCCTCTTCCACTACAAGCAAAACGAACCTGCCGACGGGCGTGCCGCACGCAAGGCCTGGGCCGACTACTACCGCATGAACAAGATGTTCGCCGACAAGATTCTCGAGATATACAAGCCCGGCGACATCATCATGATCCACGACTACTACCTTCTCCTGCTTCCCAGCCTCCTCCGTCAGCGTCTGCCGAACGTTTATATTGGCTTTTTCCTGCACATCCCCTTCCCCAGCAGCGAGTTCTACAGGTGCCTGAGCCGTCGCAAAGAGATCCTCGAGGGCGTTCTCGGTGCGAACATGGTCGGCTTCCAGTCGTACAGCTACTCGCGCCACTTCTCGTCCTGCTGCACACGCGTCCTCGGATTCGACTCATCTTCCGCTGGCGTCGATGCGTACGGCGCCCACGTGGCCGTGGATGTGTTTCCCATCGGTATAAATGCGGCTGCCACGCAACGCGTTGCTCTCTATGACGAAGCCGTCACCGAGAAGGTCAAAGCGATCCGTGAACTTTACGCGGGCAAGAAGCTCATCGTCGGCCGCGACAGGCTCGATGCCGTCAGGGGTGTTGCACAAAAGCTGCAAGCGTTCGAGCTGTTCCTCGAGCGCTATCCGGAGTGGCGGGAGAAGGTGGTCCTCATCCAAGTCACTAGCCCGGCGACTCACCAGGCGACCAACAACGACGATGACAAGTTTGTCAACAAGATCTCCGACCTCGTCTCCAGAATAAACGGTGCCCACGGCAGTCTCAGCTTCGCTCCAGTCCAGCACTTTCCTCAGTACCTGTCCAAGGAGGAGTACTTTGCCCTTTTGCGCGTTGCCGACGTCGGTCTCATCACCAGCGTCCGTGATGGTATGAACACCACCAGCATGGAGTATGTCATTGCACAAAAGGAAAACAAAGGTCCTCTAATCCTTTCCGAGTTCTCCGGTACCGCTGGCAGCCTGGGCAGCGCCATTCACATCAACCCTTGGGACCTCGGCGGTGTCGCCGATGCCATCGACCGGGCTCTTACCATGACCGACGAGGAGCGCGAAGACCAGCACGAGCAGCTCTACAAGCACGTCGTCACAAACAACGTGCAGGCGTGGGTCAATAGCTACTTGCGTCGTCTCATGACCAACCTTTCGTCCTTCGACCAGTCATTCGCCACGCCGGCGCTGGATCGGGCGAAGCTTCTGTCTCAGTACAGGAAAGCCAAAAAGAGGCTATTCATGTTCGACTACGATGGCACGCTTACTCCGATCGTGAAAGACCCTCAGTCTGCAATCCCGTCCGATCGGGTCATCCGCACAATCAAGACGCTCGCCTCTGATCCGAACAACGCGGTGTGGATCATCAGCGGGCGCGATCAAGCATTCCTCGACGAGTGGATGGGGCACATCACCGAGCTTGGCCTCAGTGCTGAGCACGGCAGTTTCATCCGCCACCCCAAGAGCGAAATCTGGGAGAACCTCACGGAGAAGACCGACATGAGCTGGCAATCGGAAGTCATGCATGTCTTCCAGCACTATACGGAGAGAACCCAGGGTAGGTGACCCACGATTTCCGAGGTGGAAATATTCTAACGATGACCAGGCTCCTTCATAGAGAGGAAGAAGATCGCCCTGACCTGGCATTACCGCCGAGCCGACCCCGAGTATGGAGCGTTCCAAGCTCGCGAGTGCCAAAAGCATCTCGAGTCGACCGTTGCCAAGAAGTTCGAGGTCGAGGTCATGACCGGCAAGGCTAACCTCGAGGTTCGCCCGAGGTTCGTGAACAAGGGCGAAATTGCAAAGCGCCTTGTGGCCGAGTATGGCGACGCCCCTCCCGAGTTCATCCTGTGCTCGGGAGACGACTTCACGGACGAAGGTGAGATTCATCGCACGATGTCGTACCATGGCTCGACTAATCTTTCAAACAGACATGTTCCGCGCTCTTCGCGGCTCGAAGCTACCGGAGGATCACGTCTTCTCTGTGACTGTTGGTGCTAGCTCGAAGCAGACGTTGGCGTCCTGGCACCTGTTGGAGCCGGCGGATGTCATCTCGTGCGTTGCACTCCTCAACGGATCCGCCGATGCCGGTAACATTGGCGCCGTCGCCGTCGTCGATGGCACTATCCCTGAATCTCGACTCTGAGCTCAGGGAGTCTCTTGGCAGGAGTGTAACAATGGAACACGGCAAAGGAAAAAGAAACCCAAAAAAGAACCTCTAGACTATGTGATCACAGAGCATTTCTCAAGGCGTAGCGGGAATCAAAGCGAAAGGAAACGGAAGGTATTCATGAAAACAAAAGCCATGAAAGAGAAGACTTCTTTTAACAGGGTGACTAACACGGAGCAATAACAACTACGGAAGAAGGTTCGGCGGACGGGGAACTCTGGATACCTAGAGAAAGCGGGGTTAAGCATAGACGGGACGGTTTCTTGCAGCCCTTTTCCTGTTCTCTTTTTTTTTTTTTTTTGCTTACTTGCTTAATAATAGACGGGCAAACGGCAAAGCACATTGCATTCGAAATAGATATTTCTTCACAGACAGATGTACATGTTCTTCTGAAACAATCGGTCATCTTGAAATGGCCACTGTCGATCAAAGTAGATTCGGCATAAACACCGGTGGTCAATACTAGATACGCCGCACCCAGACTTTTGACTTGAAGAAGAGCCTGGGAGATATTTCTCCAGGCTCGATTGAAAACTTTTTACCCGTTCCATAACCACACCGATGGTCCCGTTTATACACCTGGAAACACGTGGGTGTACACTTGTCCCTTTTTCGTCTTTTCTCAAGCTGCATCGCCGTCGAGAAACTCCTCTATACCCCAAATTAAACGAAAAGAAAATCCAACGATCTAGCTCCTCTCCTCATTCCCTCTCAGGCCCTAATCTCCCACATCCTGATCTTTCCCTGCTCGTTGGCCACCGCCAGCAGCAGCTCGGCATCGACGCTCCGGCCCTCCTTCTCCTCAGCGGCGGCGCTGATGGCAGTGGCGTCGCCAAAGGCCACGGCGGTAATGCGGCCGAGCGGGGTGGCGTTTGTGGGCCAGTTGCGGTAGACGGTGCAGCTGGGCAGGTGCACGAGGCGGAGGGCGTCCTTCTTCCAGCGCGAGGCCATGGCTAGCAGCTGGCCGTCGGGCGAGAAACGGAGATGCGAGATTGGTGTCGTGAGCTGGTCGAGGACCTTGACGGGCTTCGGGGCGGCGGGGACGCCGCCGTTGGAGTCGTCGTTGGAGGGTTTGTTGCCGGCGGTGGGCAGCCACGCGCGGCGGTCGTAGATGTTGACGATGCCGCTGGAGCTGCCCACTGCGACCCAGCGGTCACCGCCCAGCCAGTCGTCGCGGCCGCTGCGGCCGCCCAGGGCCACGACTGACGTGCCGATGGCGCCCTCGTCGACCCAGCGCGCGCGCAGCCGCTGCGCCACCACGTCCCACTCGCTGACCTCGCCGTTCTTGCCCGCGATGGTGAGACCGTTGCCGTCGGCCCACCACGCAAAGTCGGCGATGCCGCCGCGCGATTCGATGCGCGCCTGGCTCTGCCACTGCAGCGTGCGAGCGTCCAGGATGTTGATGTAGCCGCCGCCCTTGCGCGCGGAGCCGAGCAGAGCCATGTACCTGCCGTTGGGGGACAGGGCGAAGCGTTCCATAGTGCGCTGCTCCTGTTGGTGGCCGTATACGCGGGTGACCTTCTCGATGGTGCCGGCCGCCAGGTTCCAGACGTGGAAATAGCGACGACGTGCGCTGAGGAAGATGCGCGAATCGTCGGGCGAAGGGTGGAAGGCAGTGGTGGTGAGAGGAGTACGCTTGATGTGCAAGGACGTGAGAAGGGGATTGGGGTTCGGCGGGACGGGCTGGACGTGGTGGAGGTAGAGAGTCGAGCTGGGACCAGACGAGAGCAGGAGTGGAAGGGTGGGATGGAAAGATAGAGAGGTGATTGCGGACGGCTGTATGCCACTGATGTCCTTTGTGCGCTGTATGTCGAGCACCTCGGCGCGAAGTCTCCGCTTCTTGCCCACTCCCGTAGTGTCCCTCCGCGTGAGGCTGTCGGCGTCCTTGAGCAGCTTCGCAAGCGGCTGGGCGGAGAGGTCGTCGTCGTCGATGTCCATATCCTCATCCGACGAGGCATCCTCCTCCGCCGACGACCCTGCGTCCTCGGAAATCTTTCTCCTCTTCCTCGAGGGCCTTCTTGTCGCTGGCACCGCCCAGTCCGGCGTCGGGTACAGGCGCTCAAACTGCCGCCGCAATCTCCGCGCGTACTCCTTGCCGTTGATCAGGTCTTCATCTTCCGTCTTGCGCAGTTTTCTTAGCCTTGGTACCGAGGCCAGCGAGACCACCATGCGCTCGTCGTCACTGTCTTCCCATGCGGGTGCATCCCTCCCAGCGTCGGCGAAATCGTCGTCGGAGTCCTCTGCGCCTGGAGCGGGGACGAGCGCTTTGGCGGCGGCATCAGGCCCGGCATCCACGAAGAAGAGCTGCAGCTCGTCAGCAGGCTGCGCAATCGAGCGTGTGGTGTCGCGGAAAACGTACATCGGCGTCTGCGACGTTGTCCAGGTCGCTGCCTTCCTCTTCCTCGTCGGCAACCACCAGTTCGCCTTGGCGCCCAAAGTTCTTCACGCCGTCGCGGAATCCGGTGCGGTCGCCAAAGACGAGTCTCTCGAGCTCCTCCTCGGTGGCATCCTTTTGCATGTCGACATCGTCGTCGGAGGCGGAGGCGTCACTATCCGAGGCGTAGCGGGCGAAGTCGGCGGGGAGCTGGAAGGGCGCGTGCTCCTCGGAGCGCTCGAGGACGGACACGGGGGCCATTGGGAGCAGCGGTGGTGGTTGTCGAGGGTCGGCGGGCGGCGTCCAAAAAATGTAGCTTGGTCGGCGTTTCGAAAGGCCGACAATTTGCCGCAACCTGACGCGCGGACTGACGACGATGCGCGCTGCCCTACGCGCAGTAATAAGCTTCCCCGGATCCTTTCATGCAGCGGGGCTCTCTCCCTCCTGAGCTCAGACGACGACGACCCGATGCAATAACACTCTCCCAGCGCCATGTAGCGGTTGGACCCGCGCCACCATGATCAACGTCGAGATCCGCCTGCGCCGCGCCATCCGCCTCAACGACCTGGTGCTGGTGCGCCGCATCGTTCGCAACAACCCGCACGTCCTGCGCAACCCGGTCTTCGAGGACAAGAGCAACACGTCGCTGCACCTGGCCGCCCGCGAGGGCTTCACTGATATTGCCGTACGTCGCGCGCTCCCCGCCGCACGACCGCAAGTTGACCGCGCCCTGCCAGGCATTCCTCATCGACGCCGGCCACGAGAATGACGGCATCTCGCGCAACACCGACCACGACACGCCGCTGATGCTAGCCGCCGCCTGCGGGCAGGTCGAGGTTGGCATCCTGCTGGTCGCACGCTTTCCGCAATGCGTGCCGTACACCAACCTCAACGGCATGGATGTTGTAAGGCTCTGAAATTATCTCGACCCGCGCCCCGTCCCTTATTAACCCCCAGCTCCAACAGCTCATGCACGCCTCCAAGAACGGCTCCTCCGCTCTTCTCCCGCACATCCTATCCGCGCCCTATCCGTGCTCCCCGCTGACCCACGACAACGACGGCAACACCGCCCTCCACCACGCCTCTGCCGCCGGCGAGCTCAAGTGCCTGCGCCTGCTCCTCCAGGCCGGCGCCAGTCCACACGCCCTGAACGCATACGCCTGGAGCCCTTTGGCCTACTCGCGCACCCAAGCAGCAAAACTCTACTTCGAGGATCTGATCGCCGAGCAGGAGCGAGCACGCTCCGGAGAGCAGCAACAGCGAGGCAAGGACGCCCAGCAGCACGCCCAGCAGGCTGCCCGTCGCGAAGCCCTGCGCTCCAACAAGGCCGTGCCCGGCGGCGTACGGCTCGTTCAACCAGACGCCGACCTTCCACTGCCGCCCGCATCGTCCGCAACTCCAGTCGACCCGACCGCTGGCCTGCCGCGGACGTCTTTGGACAGAGGGCCCGGAGCCGTCATGCTGCCGCGAGCATCCTTGGACAGGGGACCCGGTGCTTCCATTCTGCCGCGGACATCTCTAGACAGGGGACCCGGTGCTGCCATGCCGCCCTTGCGAACGTCGTTGGATAGAGGCCCAGGTGACGTACCGCGCAGTTCTTTGGACAGGGGCATTGCCGGGATGGCACCGCCACCGCCGCTCAGAACGGGCGACTGGAGTCCCGTCGAGAGGAGGAGACCGATGACGCCGAAAGGGTCGGCGGGTGGTGGGACGCCCACCATGGGACAGAGCGAATGGAGTGCTGGCCGATTCCATTCGAGAGCGAGGGCGCAGAGTGGAGACTAAAGAACGGGAATGGCAATGATTTTTATCACTTGTGCCGAAGCGGGATTTCGTTGCCTGCTTCGTATTGGCGTCTACCGGAGCGTTTAAGCCGGGGGACTGAGGCTGAGGTGCCTTCTCCTATCGTTTCCCTTCGTGTTTTGTTTTCTTTTTCTCATTTCTTTTTCCTCTTTTGTTCTCGCGAAGATGGCGTAATAAACGTGTACGGAAAGGATAAACCGGAAGAGCAAGAGGACGGTATTCGCCGCAAGGCGATGGGGACTTGTAAGAGGCGTTTTCCCACACTCGACGGGATAGATATTACAGATCCTTGCAGGTAACAATAAATTAGCTCACGCCATAAAAGCATTTCCCGAGATCTTCAACGGCCGAGTGCCAACAACGGTTCCCCCAAAATCCTTCAGGAGGCGTGCAGAAGCCGTTGGTCTCGGCCTTGGTTGAGCCCCGCCGCCAGTCAGAATAGGATGGGCCGCTACAGGAAAACGGTGGGGACGATTCTCACATGTCAAGCACCATGACAGGCCCACGCGTTTCTGTGCGCTCATTAGCGCGAGCCGCACGCTGATGTTGGTGGGGGGGCAGTTGGGAAGAGCAAGGATGACATACATACGTCAGCACCACCAACCGCCTACCAACCATCCAATGCCGCCGAACCAACGAAAACCAGCCCCCTCCCCACCAGCCTTGCCGGTCTGATTATTACGAGTGATCTGATGAACCCGAACCCGGCACGGGGAACCGGACAAGAAATGGCAAAAAGCACATGGCAAACAAGTGCATGGGGAGCCTTCCCCTCTCGACCATTACCAATGCACTTGGCCGAATCGGGCAGGCAAACTACCTCTCTTTCCGTTCCCCTCACTGCGGGTTGATCGCGGGAAGTGGAATGTTCCAGAGTTGTCGAGTAGGGCTCCAGAACACACAACACCACTGCAGAAGAACGCACGTCGGTACGGCACGATGCTGTGCAGCGTTAGTTGCACACTGGCGCGCGGGAATGCAATGCAACCTGCACATAACCCGCTCTCCTCACAGCCCACCACTAACCGGCAAAGGACGTATGTATGTGTGCACGCATGCGTGGCTACGTGCTTTGGAAGTTACCTGTTGCCATTCTGCTTCACCGCACCTGCATACTGACTACAGCAAGAAAAGCCATGTCTTTAAAAGAGGCCGGGGGCCCTGTGAACAACAGCTTTTTTTCATTATCATAAGCTCAGTGAAACCGTGAGAACCAAAAAGCGACCTAGGAAATAGAAAAGTCCCCCAAAACCGCGTAGATCAAACCAAGAACCGCCTCCGAAAGAAGATTGCCCTCTCAGCAGAAGCTGCGAGTTGTCAAAAATAGAAAGTGGAGCAGAGAAAGTAAGTACTAAGTCCGAATGCTCCCCAAACCCCCATGCTGCTGTCCCTTTTGGCCGGATTGTCAAAGCCTTGAATCCCAACCGAGAAAAAAAACATCACATGAATCCACTGAACATCAAAGGAAAACCAGACGCGCAAAGGATTGCTTTTGATCGTCATATGGCATGTCCTTTCGTTCGTCGTCCATATCCCGTTTCGTCCATCATCGACAAAGAAGATCTGACCGGAAACCAAAGGTAAAGCAAGGAATAGGTCGCTCGCTCTTTTCTTGTTCCCTTGATGCTTTCTTTCAATTCGTCGGCGTCGTCATCCGCTCACACAAAATGTCGCACAAAAAAAGCACGAATCAAATGACGTCCCCAAGGCTGCCTCCACTGCTTGCAAGATTCCGAGCGGCAGATGGAGAGAAGACTGAGATCGAGGCAAAGACAAATGTCCTTTTTTTCAACTTCAGGCACTAGAAGTTAGGAACATTGCCGTCCGTCCTGGGATGGCTGTTGTCTCGCTCTATCCGAAAACCCCACCCGCAGACGCCGAAAGTAGAATCTTAATCGTCGCATTAACCGGATCCTTTGGTCTTGCCGCTGTGCAGCCACACGAGCTTCCGGTAGACAGCTGCTGAAAAAAAATGCCCGTTTTGTCCGCAACGAAAAGTGCAATGCCATGGGGTTGCGAAATGAAGAGTACAAAGGCTCGCCGGCCCGGGCTCAGACTCCGCAGTCGAGTCGAGCCGGCGAACGGGCAGACCAAGGTTCATGAGGCTGCCAAGAATCGAAGAAGTAGGAGAGTCATTACTGTCGTCAATGCCAGAAGTTTCAGTTGAAAAAAACAGAAAGAGAAGTCAATGAAGGAATTTGCTGGCAGTGTTCATGAGATGCTCGCAAACCACGTGAGAGACCCGGGATGGAGGTCCGGGATAGTCGGGAGCAGTTGCCAACGACACAGTGCGGGGAGCCGGATATGCAGAATTATTTCCGGACGACGCCGCCATCGGAAATCGTTGGATCACCACTGATTAGTGTTCATCCTCAAAGCGCCTGGTCGTAGAGCCGTCTATTGGATCTAGTGACGAAAGCTGCCATGGCAGAAACATACTCGACTAATGACAACGAGGATGGATTACCGCCGTCCGTGTTGAGCGAGCGTGGTCTTGGCGCGCTGGAGACCACCAGGGACGGGTCCTCCAACCGCACCACCCATGGTCGTCTCAGTCAAAGTCTTCCTTCGCTTTAAGCTTTCGAGGTCGTTGCCATTCGCGTCACGGCTTGCCGGACGACCGTAATCCGTCTCGTCGTCATCGAGCTCGCGGACGCGCTTGCCCGGAAGACCGTTGGCCGGGCTATACTGGCTCGGATAGCCCGTGGGCATGGCATTGGGCGCCGGATACCCGTCCGGTCCGTTGCCATTGGCGGTGCTCCGGGTGTCGCTGATGACGCTGTACAGATTGCTCGAAGGCAGCTTCGTCTGACCAGGAGTGGCGTACCCGCTGGTCCACTGAGTCGGGCCGGTGTTGGTGGTGCGAGGAGTGGCTCTGCCTGAACCGTTCTGGTGAGGCGAGCCCGTCATGTCCTGAGAGACGTGGTCTCCGCGAATTGCTCCGGGAGCCGTCGAGCCCGGGTAGCCGTAGGACGCACGACTGCTGTACGGAGCACTGGTGTGAGTGTACTCGTTATCGTGATCCTGATCAGCTTCATCCTCGCCAGTCACCTGACCGACTTGCTCCGGCGGTTGATTCAGAAGGCCCTCCGTCGGCTTCACGTCGGCTTGCTGCACCGGATCACCGGCCGCGCGCACCGGAGGCGCCATCTCGCTCTTGGGGTACGGGGCCGATTGGACGGGTTGAGGGTAGCGAGACAGGTTCTGTGCGGCATACTGGCCCTGCTGGTTTGGAGGGGCGCTGTACATCTGTCGAGAACTGTCGTAGCCTTGCGTGGTTGGATACTGCTGTATGGTCTGCATCGTCCCGGGAGGAGTGGTTGCTGGCGTGGTCGGGACGGAGCGCGTATTGCTGAGTCCCGTGTCTATCGACAAGGGTTGGTTCCCTTGCATGTTCGATACACCGGGGTTACCCCACTCGTACGAATTGCTGGAGTTGCCCATTCCGATGATGCTCGACGCGCTCGTCGGGGGCGTCGGGAACGTATGAGCCCTGTCGATCGAAGGACGACCTGATGCGGGGTGAGGAGCAATGGAGTGCGGTGATTGCTGGATCTGGGTCGGGATCGACGGATTGCTTAGAGAATGGTGGTGGTGAAGCGGGGGCGCTTGCGAAGCGGTCGTCGGAGCGCCGATGTAGCGCTGTTGGCCCTCGGGCCGACGACGATCGAGCGCTGCCATCGCGTTTCCAGTTCCTACAGATGTCCTCTGGTTGGTTGGATGGTAGAGAAGTGCTCCAATATCGTGCACAAAGAGGGGGTAAAGCTGCTCCGTTATCTTCTCCTTGTTGGCGAAATCTAGAGCACGCTCAAAGGGGATCCTTCTCCACGTCAGTCATCTGATCATTCAGAGGTCCTCTTCGAAACTTACCAAACTCCCTTCAGGTGCATAGGCCCAATCTTCACGACGTGCCTCGTCTTCTCGCTCTTTAGGATTCCATCACGCCGACCTCTCGTCATTCCGGCGACGTTCAAGAGCTTCGTTCCATTGATGAAGTGGTTATCTGTACTGCCGTCAGTCCTGGAGCAGGCGTGACACCTTTTTTTTGCGGATTCATACCCTCTCGACGCGCCACGCACACGCCCTTGGCCTCGACCTGGAAACACAAGCTGCCCTCATCTTCCCAGAGCGTTGCGGTCACCCGGGGTTTCATCCCGGGGGGCGCGACCTGGCCTGTCGTGTCAAACTGATGAGAGGGCGCGTACCCTTGCTGGCCGGGGACGGTCGAGCCAGGGCCACCAGCGGACATTGCTGCGTCTTGTCAGTGCTAGCCCGTGCAGCGGAGGCTCGAAACATGTTGTCTCACCTGGAAGAGGTAAAGATGCCGGGACGAGCGAGTTGTTCATCGTCGCCGTCGAGGGAGTTGGAGGCATGCCATTGCCGTACGAGCTCGGGTACGAGTAGCCTTGTACCATCGGGTTGGTCGGGCCGGGCTGCAAGTACGGAGGCTGCTGGTACGATGCGTAATGGCCGATTGTGGATGGAGGGCCGGACGACGTCGCATGCCCGGGGTTGGGCATGTGGTGCTGCTGGACATCAGCGTACGACTGCATTTGGTTCATGTTGGCGTATGAGTCGGTGGCGTAACCGTAGCCGGATTGTTGATGCTGCTGGGCGAAGGGCGATTCCTGCGACTGCCCATTCAACGAGTGAGGGTCCCGTCCAAGCGTCTGGGGAGTCTGCTCGGGTGAGGGAGTCTTGAAGCCCGAGTGGCTTCCGTTCACCGATGACGAGTAAGACGTATGAGAGCTCGCGCTGCTGTTGATGGCTGAGGCAGAGCTGATGGATCCACCCCGAGGCGAGGAAGAGTTCGACGACGGATTGGCACCCGACTGGATCTGGGGCAAAGCCGGTAGCCGCTCACTCGATACAGTCGGTCGTGGTGCGAATTGAGTGTTGTACCACGGTGCGTCGACGGGGCCTCGGGAGTGGACCTGCGAGATCGACGGCAGCTCCAGCTTTTCGGTATTGTCGGGGTCTGGTTTGGAAGTGACAGGACGGGAAGGTCGAAGCCTGTTCGGAAGTCGAGTCAGTGGTGTCGGCAGGGCGGGCAATGGGGAGGTTCCCTTCGCAACGGCAGATGCAGGATCTGGGAGTGCACGTAGCCGGAGATGTGGGGCCAACGCCGCCGTGCTCGCCGGGCGCCTCGCTCGCAGTGCCGTGACGAGCCAGGGTAGGTGGCAAAGCGGACGGTTTGCAGTCGGGCGAAAGGGGACGTTTGGTTGGGGGATTGGGGGGTGGAGGGAGAGAGGATTGGGCAACAAGGCGACGGCGCGCGCACGTGGGTGAGCAAACACTGACCTTCAGGTGCAGAAGCTCACCGCGCGACTGGAGGCGACAGCTTCGCAAGATCGTTTAGGCTCGTCCGAGGCGGTTTGGTGGTTGCTCCCGCGGTGGCACAGTTTGCTGGTAGCACGATAGCGTACCCGAGGAATTTGGCGAGGACCAGGTTAGGAATGCGGCGCTTGGGAGCGAGGCTTGGAGGAAGCAGAGCAGACGACAAAAACGCTTGCAGGGCAGAAGGAACAAGGCCGTCGTGACGTCGTGCCGGTCGTAAGGGGGGAGAGGGGAGGCTCAATCGGTCGTGTCAAGGCATGCACAGCAACGAGAGGCTGACTGGTGTGGAGCTTCTGGGCGGCGCAGCAGGCGGGCGGTTTTTTGTTGTCCGAGAGTGGGTCGGGCGAAGACCAACGAACAGGCGTGAAGCTGGGGGCGCGCGGGTGGACGGGCAAAGAATAGCAGCTGGCAAATAGCCGGACAGAGCTCGCAGTCTAGCGGTCGTGGGCAGTCGTAAAGTCGTCGCAGGTCGTTGACGGTGGCCGTGCAGGATCTGCTCTGGTTGCGGCTGGTCAGCTTTGGGGCGCGGGCGGCTGAGGGGGGGACGGGCGGCGGCGCTGGACGCACCCTCGACGCTGGCGCAGTTGGTGCACAGAGAGCGTGGCCTGGCGCCGGGCAGTGGGGGAGGGCGGAGGTTTAGAAAGCGGAGGAGGTTGGGATGTGAGATGTGCTAGCGCGGGTCGGGTTGGCGCGAGCGAACCAACGCTGGCACCTGTCCAGGGCAGAGATAGGCGAGCGCTCGAGAGGGCAGCGGCAGAAGGCTGAGAGGCACGTACGTATCGGCGGGCTCGCGCTCGCTACTCACAGGCGGGCAATGGGCGGTGGTTGTGTTGAATTGGCGGGCGTTCGTTTTGAGGAGCTTCTGGTGGCGCTGCACCTGGGCGTTCTGTGCAGGCGGGCCACGACGCAGGCGAGCAGCAGCTGCTTGACCGACAGCGAAGCACGAGCCGCCGGGCGGTGCGTGGGCGCGGGTCAAAGAGAAGCGCAGGTCTCAAGATGCGTGTGCGGGACGGCGCGAGCGCTCGCAAGGGCAGTGCATGGACAGAGCCAGCGCAGCGTCGACGTCGAGGGCTGGGCAGGAGCTGCGGGTGGAGATCTCGCACGCCGCACGCTCAATCTAAATTCACTTCGGGGCTGGTGGAGAGCGTGGGCAGGATGGTGTGGCGGCCGGGCGCGAACCAGGTCCCGTGAGAGGGCCGTTTCCTCCATGCTTGCTTGCTTCTGGGCTGCAGCGCGATGCGGCAGACAAGGGCCCGCAAATGCACGCAAGCGAGTGGGCGAGACAGGGCCCGTTCTGCCTTCGCGCTCGTGATTTCTAGGCCACCACCGCCTATCGCCAGCGCCGCCCGTCAATCATCTGCCAGTGCGCCCTCTCGCCCAGCCGGCCCGCCCGCGCACCAGCCGCGCGCAGCCCCGAACGGCGGGGGGATCTGATAGCTGCACGCCTCGACACCACACGGAGATAGTGCGCGCCGCCGGCTTCCCTTATTAAGCTGAGACGCGCGCCGGCAGCGCGACGCGGTGGGGCTGCGCTTCCGAGAGCATGCCTGGCCGTCGGAATGGCAGGCCTGTCCGAGACGGCGTTCCCTGCCGCGCTCTTCATGGTGGCGTCGAGTGGTCAGAGCAGCCGGGAGACGGGCGCCATGATGTGCGACTATCGCTCTGCAGGTCAAGCGCCGCGATGACTAACCCGCGCAACGGGTGATTTGCAGTGCGCCGGTGGGGTCGCCTCAAGCGCTCAACGCTCACCGATCGAGCAGCGAGGCAGGGATCCGGCTGCGCGCGCGCGGGGCGAGCGGGCGGCACGCTGTGCAGGGCAGGTCCATCGAGGCGCCGCGCGGGTTGGCCGATCGGCGGCGTGGCTCGCCCGCAGCCAACGGAAAAACCGTCTGCGCTGACTGAAGGGGTGGTGCAACGTGCTCGCCGGAGGATGGGCAGAGCAGCGCGCCGGGTGCGACCGCGCAGGCATGGCGCGCCCCGGGCGAATCGCAGCGCGACACCCCGATGCTGGACGCTCGCCGGGGAGGCCTGAGGCGCGCGCGGCCAGCCAGCCAGCGCCCGCGTCGCTGCCGATTGTACCACGGGCGTGGTGTTGGCGCGCCCGCGCTGATTCGCCGCCGTGTTGCGGTGTGCGTCGTGTGCGCTGGCGCTCCCCAGGCGTTGTGTGCGGGCAGGGACAAGGCACGAAGGCAGGCCCCCAAGCCACCCACCGCGACAGCAGCACCGGCACCGCCTCTTCATGATGATGGAGATCACGATTGCGTCCCAGTACCGTGGGCGCCCGCGACACATCGCCCGGCGTGTGAGACGTGGATGCGGACAGCGGCCTCGAGGCGCGGCTACGCTTCTCCGCGACCGTTGAGCGATTCATGAGCGCTGGATGCCGTCAGCCGCGCATTCCTTCAAGCTTTCGACCGCGCCGGTGAGCGCTGCTGAGGGCGGCGAATCAGGGCGGCTGCCGGCCAGCTGCCAGCCACCCGCCAATGCCGCACGCTCGCAGTGACACCGATGACACGCCTCGACCTCGACGGCCTCCCAATGACGCCAGCCCGCCAGCGGCACGCAATCAGGCGCGTCGCACGGGCGAGGGTCTTAGACAGCAGTGTTGCCGTGTAAGGGTGGCGCCCAGCGGTCCCGTATTGTACTCATGCCGATCCACGGTCCTCCCTCCAGCGCCCGCGACAGCCAACGGATTTTGTCCCAGATGCAAGGGCAGGTCGCACCGCGTTCGCGTGGTTCAGGAATGGGCTCACGTTTAATACTGCGCCCACTTGACGAAGCACGCCCCTGCACACCCAGCGCAGAGCAGCCATCGCTGCCCGTCTCCGCTCCGGCTTCCTCCACGCGCGTCATGGCCGCGACACGCTCCTCGAGTGCCGGTACACCAGGGCCCACGCGGAACCCTCACGTTTTGTCGGACACGAGGCCGTCGACGGTCCCGAGACCAGCGCTGCCAGCGTGCGTGCGTGCGTGGTCGGAGGCCGTCCTCCTCCCTGCGCCTCTCGACATCTCGCAACCGCCCGCCCGGGTCCATCGATTGCTCAGAGGCTTATAGCGGCTCGCTCGCCGCCAAGAACGCCAGCGAGATGCTCCGCCGCAGAGCAGCCTTATTCTCCGAGCGCTCCGCGCGGCGCCGCGAGGCGGGCGGGAGCAGCGCTTCGTCGGCGTCAAGCATTCGGCAGCCGAGCAGCCTCATCGCTGGCAGTCTGCTGGACGGCGTCGGGACAGCGAGAAGAGAGTCGTTGATCCAAGGCCAGGCCATCGTTCCTGCAGCTGCGGGCGCACCGGCGATCCCATTGGCCGAGTCTCAGCTGCACCCGCCCGTCCTGCATATGCGTGTGATTAGCTGCACGGCCCCCCTGTCGCAGGCCTCTGCCCCGCCAGTGTCGCCATGGCCGACAGCACTTGCGGTTTCTCAAAGCGGCAGCAAACGGTGCGGCGTTGGATCGCGCCGGGCGGGAGTCGCAAGGATGCCGCCAACTGCGCTGGCGGATGCCGGGACGTCTCTTCCCCAGGTCAATCACGGACGAGCAGCCAGCGCCCCGACGGTAGGCAGGCTCTCAGCTACACGGCCTCTTCCAATCAGTGCGGGCCACGTCAAGACACCCCCAAAGCCCGTTATCGGCTGCTGGGCATAGCAAGCCACAACGGGGAATGGTAGGGGGACACAGACCACTCCTTGCAGGCCAGTTCAAGCCGAAACAGGGCCCCAGGCTGGGGCGGCGGCGCCGGTGATTGGCGGTGCGGGCCCGACGAAGCGGTACGCCTCCCAGACGGGCAAAGGTGAGGAGGTGTTGCCGCCAGGCTCGGGCTGCTTGTCATCTCACCTCACGCTCCAGGTCTCGGGCCCCGTGCAACCCATCTGTTTCTCAAGCGATTTTCTAGCGCTGCCAGCCGACCTCCTTCTTCACTTGTCGCCCCCAGTCTCTTCAAGCATCCTGGAGCGATTCAATGATCAAGCCGTCCCTTCCGCCCGCGCTCGTATGGCCACGGACAAGGGCCTCTTCACCGCCATTTTGAACCCCACCGCCGTCGTGCACACTGACCGGGATTCGTCATCGAGCATTCCCTGCTTCGATCCACACAGCCTGCCTACCCCGCCAATGGCTGCCGGCCTCATCGCGGCATCTGGCCGTCTGGACTTGAGCAACCGCGAGCAGCGCACAAGGCCCTTCCGGCCCTCGCTGGATCGGGATGCGCGCTCTGGCAAGCGCCCGCTGCAGGCATCATCCACGCACGTCCGTCTCATGGCCGCGGGCTAAAGCAGCAAGTCTAGCCACAGACCCAGCTAACTGCTCGGCTGGAGCCGCCGCGCCTTTGCCTCCGCAGATGGGTCGCGGGCGGCGGAGCGCGGCACGACATACCTACATGCATATGTACTTACAGGCTCCCGCCGCGCCCACTGCGCGCGCGCTGCGCATCTCCCAGATAGCCGCTGCGGAGCGAATGTACGCTTGACGTCGAGCAGAGGACAGATTGCATCTGAAGATCGTGGTTCTGTGGAGCACGCGGCGACGCTGGCCAAGGTCATGACAATCCCGTCGCGTCGGAACCGCTAGAAGAAAGGTCCTTGAAGTATTCCCGGCGCCAGCGAATTCAATTTTTCGCCCTCCTGCCGCCTCGGGCCAACCACGAGCATCCGACTCGGATGCTGTGCCCGCACTAGGCTCGTGGGATGCTCGGCGCCGCCAAAGTTATTGAGCAAGGACGTCAGGCTTCCCACGGGAAGGACCCCGACACCACCATCGCTTGATGGGCCATCTAGCGCTGCCGGGCGAGGGGGAGGGGAGCGAAATCGTGTCATGCCTCGCTCCAGAGCTCCTCGGTCTGCCGCTCCAGCTTGGGCATGCGCACCGGCAACCAAAAAGCAAAAAAACGAACAGAATCATGGTCCGACAGTAATGTCAGCGTCGCGCTCTTTGCAAAACCAGGACCGCTGGCATGTCCCTGCATTGATCGCCCGTCCATCCCGCCACCCCATCCGCGCGGCGCTGGGGCCTTTTGTGGCTGGCGAGCATCCGGAAAAGCGAGGCGGGAGACTCCTCGATGCAGATCACGGCCGTGAAAAATTAGCCAAGGGGAGGGGGCGTGTGTGAGTGAGTGAGTGTGTGTGTGTCTGCCGTCATGGCAGCTGAGCCTTGCGGCTGTAGTGTTGTGCTCCTGTTTGTCAAGATTGCTCGCGGCCAGCGCGGGTTCCCAGCATCCTTTCCATCGCCACCCTCCCTTTTGCGAGCTGACATGCTAACCCAGCAGAAGCCAGGAAAGCTGGTCACAGCGTCATCCCAACGTCCGGCAAGCTGCGTCTCTGGCGGCGTGGCAACAGCACGTGTGGCCGGGCAGGCAGACGTCCCGACTTTTTGTGGAGCTGTAGCTCGCCGATGTATTAATCCCGCGCTGGGCTAGTCATTATCAATGCCCCGTTTCGGATTCCTCAAAGCAAATAGGCCCTTCTAGATGGAGAGAGTCGGGGCGACTCTGCTGCTCGCTCGCTCGCCTTTTTTCCCACAACGGGCCGCGGCAGGCGCACCTGCGGTGTTGTCGGTGGCTGTGGATGGCGTCCGCCGAAAGCTGCGTCTCCCTGGGCTGCGTCGCGGTGCACTGGCCAAAGCATCTCCCGAGCACGATTTAGGTACAATGCATCCGCTCGATAGCCTACCCGCTCCGCCTGCTTAGCAGCCAGCAGCAACATGAGGCTTGTGCGCCCCATGCGGCGTCCCATGCCCGTACAGCAGCAAAAGGGCCGGTCTTCCTTTTGATGCACGCCGCCGGCCGGCTCGCGCGCGGGAGATGTTGCATCCGCAGCTCTTGACGTGCCTTGAGGCCAACCTTAAGTCGACTACACCTGCCTGCCAGCAGACGCTTCAGGCGTTCCATGGCGAGTTTCAGAAGCCTATAGAGTCTATTGAGTCCTCCCCACGTGGTGGTGTGAGACACCTTCTCGTCCCGTCGGCTCTCCCTCGACCCGATTTGCAGCTTCATTTGTCTGAGCCGTGTTCGCTCTGAGCGGCGAAGGCCCCACGTGGACAAGTTGGCCTTGGCAGAGGCTCAACAATTGACCCGGCTTATGTGTGATTGTCTTAGACTACAATGTTCAAGGCTCGACGCATGCGTGCGCGGCATGCGAAACACCAGCTGTGGCGAGAGGGAAGTGCAGCCTGCACATGTCATGCTTCCTGCGAACGACTCAATCCTTCTGCCGTGCAGCATCGCCTTCTGTCTTTGCTGTGCATTTCTTCACCAGGCTATATCCTTCGACCGGAGCCCTTTCGTTTTGTCTTCGTGGTGGTTGCGCAGAATCCGCCTTGGATGCTTACTCTCATTTATTAAAAGTTGGTCTGTCCTACACATCAGCCTCTCACGCTACCGCGGTGAGTAAGCCTTCCCTCTCACAGAACGAACCGCACGGTCAAGCGGCCGTGAGAATGATGTCGATTTCCAGCTTCACTCCCGCCAACGCTCCCGATTTTCGTCCATCCCCCGTCTTCTATTCCCGTTCAACAGACGATGCCGGTTATTGACGCAACGAAACATGTTCCCTCTGGCTTCGTCCCCGGCTCGCCAGGTCCCCTTGCCCATGAGGCGCCAAAGTGTGGGGCCAGAAGCGTTGGACGTTTTTTTGCTTTTCTTTAGCCGGAGTTTTGTCTCTGTTGGACGCTCCGGGCAAGACGTAGCGAAATGAACGTGTGTTTGTTTTTCCTTGCCCTTTCGACGTCTGTTGTGGGGTACCGTCGGTCATTACCTGCATGCAAAGGCCGGGATTCGTGAGGGATGACGAGTACCCCGGCAGCGCTGAACAGCGAAGCTGACTACTGGCATTGAGAAACGTGTACGCGCCCCGGCCACGACGTCGATGCTTGGTTGCGGGGCTCTTTCCATCCTTCCAAGGGCCGTGGTCGGGGACCGCCGTCGCTTCGTTCTGTGCCGCTCGAGGACTCTGGTAAACGTCCTGACTGGCCCCCCAAAGGATTCTGGCTAAATGCCTCATCGTCGAGCTCGCTTCGTCCTCGGGTAGCGCAATCATTCCGCACTTTACGGCGCTCAGAGCCTCCTCGTCGTCGGAGGGCCGGCTTGTCCATAGTCAGCATAAGCCTCCGACCGCCGCACGTCACTGCGGAAGCGAGCGTGCCGGAGTACCTTTCACATGCCTTCATATACGGTGGTCCAAATAGGCGAGAGGGCTATTCGACTCTATTGAGTCGGAATCCGTCCCGTCAACCCGGCGTAAGTCGTCAACTTCACATGCTTTCGAGGCCATTGGACGGCGAGGCCACACGGCGAAGCTTTGCATCCCGTACGTGCAGCGCAGCTCTGTTCTAATTTTGCACAACCCGGCCCGTGATGTCAAGTCCTCCCAAATGTCCAGCATGCTATTCCCCTTTCCCTTTGCCATTGCGGCGAGGCTCCGGGCCAAACACGTGTGCACAGCTCCGCCATTATTCCCGCGGCTCTCGGCAGTATGAGAAGCAGTTTCCTCTTTGGACATGGATCTCTCGAGATCTTCGTCGGTGCAGGGAGGGAGAGACAACGCACACGCACATCTAGACCTCTCCCGCTGGAAAATGAAGCCTCCACATCGACGAAAGCTAGTCAGGTCCGGCAGGTCTTGGCCGCCTCCATCAGCCGAGCCGGAGTGGGTACAATGAACAGCACCGCTGGTAGTTCTTTACTCCTTCGGGGCCTCACCCGAGATCCGAATCGAGCAATCGCTGCGGATTTTTTCCCAGTCCCCACCGGAAGCGCAATGCAGCCGGGCCGAGCCGCTCAGCTGCTGCTACGACAGTGAAGGACGGGGCGCACCTTTCATCTCGTATCGTTCTATTGAAAAAACCTATGTGTTGGGACCAGCCGATGCTTTCCGAACGGGGCTCGGCCAGACCGTTTGCTGTGCCTCTTTGCAGTCAGTGCTGGCCCATTACTCTCTCGCCCTGCCCACTCACGCCCCAGTGGAATGAGTCAGTGGACTGATTTTTCCAACAATATCAACAAGCCATGGGACTACCCTTTCACTAGCCCAACCGCGACGATCTGAGCGCCAAAAGGAAGCAGTCGCCCGCGGCAGGGAACCGACACACCGTGCCCAAGATCCGTCAGCTGCTCATCATGTCATTACTCAGTAGGTGCCACCACACTGAAACAATTCCTCATTGCAATCTCAAATGACGAGAAGAAAAAAAAAACACGGAGCCCTTAGCGCCGAGACACGGTTTTCTCGAGCAGATCAAAGAAGCGTGGGGGCCGAGTGCAGTATTCTACCGCAAGTTTTTGCCATGGCCTCCCCGTTGAAGACTGCAATAATGGTTCAAACCGTCCCTGTTATAGCTCAATGGCCGGGGCGCCCAGGAAACCGAATCACTCGTAGTTTGCACTGCTTCAACATACAGTGCCCGTCATGACACGCTGCTGGGAAGCAAGATAATTACCCATCACATCCAACATCAGGCAAAGCATCAGATGTATTGTAAAGCGAGGTATAGCGTCTTATATTAGCGTTAGGAACATTGTTGTCTTTGTGATGTGGAACACGTGCGGAGAGGGGCGCCCTCGGATACTGTTGTATTGATAAGCGGGTCGTGGTTTATGGAAATTCGAGAAGTTATTGCATAGGCGTACTGTATGGCACACAGAATGAGACACCGCGATGGTCAGAACGAATACTGAGCCTTCCCATTTGGCCACTGTCCTGTACTTTTACATAGCTACTCGATAAAGACACGACCGATAACCCTTGCTATGATCTGGCTCTTGATTACCAGGTGGGTAAGCTTAAAAAATCAATAGTAAAATATTCAGCCATCTACTGCACTTTCATGGAACTTACTATTTCTTTCGCATGCGTGGCTTAATTTCCGATATAACTAAGGTCTTTGCTTCAATTGGGGTTTATCCAGAGTGAATAAGTTGGTTTAGTGTTAAGCGGTGAGAGTTGTTTCTTGCTGATGCCTTTAGAATTATACGTATCCCCTTAACTAGCAACGCTACGAACGGTAAACTATATTCTATTAGAAAGTAGTAACGAATTAACATCAAATTACATCCTACATATAACAAATTTCTAAAGTTTTTCAACAACTTGAGAAGAGAGAATATACACTAAACAACTACACTAAAAGAAACCAATCCATCAGCCTCTAACATATACGTTTCCAAGGAATTTTACTTATCTACTAAATAAAACCAAGTCGCACTCAACCCGACAAGATTGTTGAATACCACCCTTACCTATAAGGCATATCATTACTCTCTCCCTCCCTCCCTCCCTCTCTCTCTCACTCTCGCTCGCGTATACTCCAAACAGTATCAACAGCTCGATCGACCATCTTAATTTCGTACAACACATATATCCATAGAGCTTCATATGTGACCCGTAGAGAACTATATCGAATCATTTCAATTGATAGGAAAAAGTGTGCTTGAATAACAAAGGAGGCGAATGTTTATGCTTCTGAAAACGGTGTTGGGATACGACCTTCCCAAAGACGGGAAAATACGTGGCCATGGCTTTGGAATAATATTCATATGTCTGTTCTTTCATGAGTATTCACCGCTTACGTGGTGGAATTTTTAATAAGTACGCCTAAGGGTTGCAGTATAGATACCTAAATATAATCGTGCATGGTTTTTACGAATATACAAGCCACCACGAGGTAATCTTGTGCCCTGAAGGATGCGCCATTGCATACAACAATACTGCTTCGGCGCATATTTAGGACTCTCACTGAAAATGCAACGCTTCATAGGTTTCTTGAAAGGCCTGGCAGGATGAAGCTTGTCGATAGTATACGGCTTTGTCTTGCACTGTGTAGTTGACAAAGGTAATTTTTCACTGCACGGTCTTACAAGATGTAGATCCCAAGCCGCGGGATTATAAGTACCACCCACCATTGATGAACTTCCTGCCATGTATACCTCTGGCAGTGCTACATATTACACTCTATTCCACTCGACAATAACAAGATGCCACCGCACATCGAAAAACCAGTGAAGGGCAAACCTGTCTGTTGTATGATGTAGCACATGATCCACTTGGACATAGGTAGCAACCTAGTCGAAATGAGAGGTCACATTCACTCTGTTTCCCCAAAGACATGAGGTTCGCCAAAGTGACAGCAGCAGAAGGCCATGGAACTGACGGCAAAAATGTCCTTTAATAGTACCTGAAAGGGCAGGAAAATTGGGTATCATGGACTCCTTGAACACATCCTCACAAAGAAAAGCAGACGCCGTTCATCTCAAAGCCCTTTGCACGCCGTATATATCCCTGCCCATGGAGTTGACCCGATCCTCCAACCCACGCTTCTTGCTCTCCAGAGCTCTGATCTCCTCCTCCTCCCTCATCAGATCCTCCATTGTCAGAGGCGCTTCTTCCGGCTCCGGTTCAGGCGGGGGAGCGTCGTCGGCCTCGTCACCATACTCGTCGCGTGGCTTGTTCATCCGGGCGAGGGTTGCCTGCTGCTCGGCAACGCGCAGCTCGTAATGTTCGATCGACGAACTGAGCCGCGCGTGCCTCTGTCTGAGCTGTGCAATCTTGTGGTTGACACCTGGGATATGGCTGTGGCAGTGTTAGGACCGCACAGTATATGGCAAGGCAATGCACTCACTAGACGCCACACAGCTTCTCTGCGCCCTCCAGCAGCGTTTCCACGTCGATGTCGCCTCTGCCTCTGGCTCCACCATACGAACGATAGCCCAGCGTGCTCCCGGCGCCACCGCCACCGCCCTCGCGAATGCGCTCGACCAAGTCATTGCCTAGGATTGCGGCGACGGCGGTGTTGCGGCGCGGCGCATTGAATACGGTAGCGCGGCGGTTGGAGCCAGAAAGAGAGGAGGGCTCCTGCGCCACGGGGGCTTTCGGGGGAGGTGGTACGGAGAAGAGGGCGCGCTCGTGAGACTCGGTGTCGCGGATCAGAGCTGTTATGTCATGCGGGTGTAGCAGTGCATTGGTGAATATCTTTGGGCGGGGAAAGCTGCGGGGCGTGTCAGCTTTTCTCAGAAGCGAGGGGGCAGATGGCGCACGGCAGCTCGGCGATTGATGCGGAACAGAGCGAAATCTGCTCGAGGTGGGCGTCGAGGAGCGTCATGGCGGACGAAGGTGTGGTGTTGTTTGTTGCTTGCAGCGACAGTCCAATGGCAACAGACGGTGCACGGACGCATCGGCGTCTGCGAGGCGTCATGGCCGACGGTAGGTGACCTCTGAAGCTCCCAAGCTGCCACCACCACATCCGCATCTGCCTCCTCCCATCAACTACTCGACCACCCTTCGTCCGCTCCTCTAGTCCGCCCCCGCCTCCGAGCCGCTCCAGCTGCAGATTCGCCCTCATTCCCCTCCATCGCCGCAGCATCGTCTCACATTCGGCTCAACATGGCGGAGAGCATGGAAGGCGTCGTCACTTCCGGCGAGCAGCCCGTCGTTGATGCAAAGGAGAAGGCCGTTGCAGGTCCGTCGTCTCGTCCTTTGGCTGTTTGGTGCTCCGGCATCGCCTCGCCGGCCGATGGGCCGGCGTGTGCGGATCCGGCCCGCCACCGCGCTGTGTTGGGAGCTAGATGAGCTGACGCCGGTGCAGACATCGCCAGCAACTTCGCGCTCCTCGAACGTGCCGTTGCGCAGTTTGATTCACGCTTCACCCTGCGCGCCCTGCGCTCGATATCCTCGCTGCGGAAGCGCCTCAACCCACAAGTCCTGACCGACGCCATCGTCTCCTACTACCCCCAGAGCAATGAAATGGGCAAGAAGCTCATCGCCGCCGTCGGTGGCTCCGCACAATCGACCAAGGCGTCGGAGGCAAACTCGAAGAAGGAGGTCGTCCCCGAGGTCGACATCTACCTTGCCGTTCTCGTCCAGGTACTGCCACCACATGCTCGCCTCTGTGTCTTTCTCACCGGCTGACCCGTTTGCATCTAGGTGCTCTTCTACGACCAGCAGGAATTTTCCAAGGGCGCAGAATGGTCGTCGTGGCTGGTCGACCACATCCGCGAGCTGAACCGTCGCACGCTCGATTCCCTGGCCGCCAAGGCTTACTTCTACTTCGCCCTATTCCACGAGAACTTGGACCCGAAGCCGCCGTCGCGGCAATCCCCCGTCATCAACATCCGCCGCCAGCTCCTCGCTGCTCTCCGCAGCGCTGTTCTGCGAAAGGATGAAGATACGCAGGCCGCCGTCATGGTCCTATTGCTGCGGAACTACCTCTCGACCGCCGACATCACCCAGGCCGACCTGTTGGTCGCGCAGACGCAATTCCCCCAGACGGCTCCCAACAACCAGGTCGCGCGTTTCCTCTACTACCTCGGTCGCATCCGCGCCATCCAGCTCAACTACACCGAGGCCCACGAGCACCTGACCAGCGCTACCCGCAAGTCGCCCACCAGCCCCGTCGCCGCCGGCTTCTACCAGGCGTCGATGAAGCTGCTTGTCGTGGTAGAGCTGCTGATGGGCGACATCCCGGAACGTGCCATCTTCAGCCAGCCCAAGCTCGAGCGTGCTCTCGAGCCCTACTTCCGCCTCGTGCAGGCGGTGCGCGCCGGTGACCTGCAGGGCTTCGTCCGCGTGGTGCAGGCCAACGCGGGCGTTTTCCAGCGCGAGGGCACGTACACGCTGATCCTGCGCCTGCGCCAGAACGTCATCCGCACCGGCATCCGCATGCTCTCGCTCAGCTACTCGCGCATCTCGCTGCGCGACATCTGCATCCGTCTGGGCCTCGAGAGCGAGGAGTCGGCCGAGTACATCGTTGCCAAGGCCATTCGCGACGGCGTCATCGAGGCCTCGATCAACCACGAGAAGGGCTTCATGCAGACCAAGCGCCCGGGCGACGTCTACGCCACCCGCGAGCCCGCCGAAGCCTTCCACGACCGCATCTCGGCTTGCCTGACCCTCCACGACGAGTGCGTCAAGGCCATGCGCTACCCCATGAACCAGCACCGTCTCGAGCTGAAGAACGCACAGGAGGCGCGCGAGCGTGAGAGGGAGCTGGCCAAGGAGATTCAGGATGGCGACATCGACGAGGATGACGCGGCGGGCGATTTCGAAGGGTTGTAGATCAGGACGAAATCGTCGGATTTATGCCTTCTTGCCCGCCATGGGGGAGATGGATTCGTAGCGAGTGTTGCGTAATGATTAGAAAAGAAGAATCAAAAGGTTCGCGATGGCTTCACGAGCCTTTGTGTTTTTTTCCTCAACGCGAAGCCGACCCATAGAATGGTTGGAAATGTCGAGATGCATGTAGTAGATGTTGAAGTGAATGAATGGTATTTTGTTATCGAGTCAAATTGACTCGCAACTTAAGAAAACCAATGCAAAGTCTCCTCAACCCAACTTTGCGCTATGCTCCCCATTTGGAAAACATCCTACATAGTTAAACATGAAGCAAAGCATTGGAGTAGGATAAAAACGACTCCTACTTAAAACGAAGATAAATATGATTGGAGAGTACGCGATATAAACAAAAATGTGAAACCCATCCTATCCGTGCCCAGATCCTGAAGTCCATGCAGTCAATACCTACTTCAGAGGAAGATGAAATGGGAAAGGAAAATCAAGATAGAAAGCCCGTAGCAAATGCGCCTTGCCTGAGCAAAATGTCATTCCGATTCCGCTTGATAAGGTGACGCCCAAGCAAACGATCTTCCAAAACCAAAACATCAAACTCAAGAAAACAAAACAAAGGTTGGGAACGCGAAGAAAGGCAAATCGAGAAGTTCATGACCGGCTGACGATGAGCAGCATGGGCATGAGTGCGCCGCCTGTTCGTCAAACAGATGACGGGCGGTCGACGGATAGTGAAGGCCTTCTGTGGGTTATAAATAACACAGAGGCCTTCTTGGTGCTCGCGCGATGGAAAACTGATCTAATCGAAAATGGGAAGTCGACGCCATCATGAGACGGGCTGCCGTGAAAAGTCGTTTCAAAAAGCTCTTCGTATCATCTTGCTCCAAGATTACTCTCAGAGAAGAGCCAAGGAGCGGCATTGTTCATCAATGAAAATGCAAACTGGAGGGTCGATTGATGCGTTCGGGAAAACGCTGGCTCATGTGCCTAGCCACCAAACGCCAGACGTACAAGACACCATTTCAAGTGTCCAACAGGTCCTCGACGTAGTCGTCCAGGCTGATGATGCGGAACGCGTCCCCCCATTTCTGGCGGAAATCGCGTTTCTTGTAAGCGTTGCTGATGCCCGCTTGCCACGAGACGAGCTCGACGCGCCACCCCTTTTTGAGAGCGCGCTCAACCATGCGCATGAAACCTTGGCTGTACTCGGCAGTTGCGGCATCGCCGGTGGCCAGCACGATGGTGGACGGTTTGTCGACATCGACGACCGATTCCAGCATCTTCAGGTGCAGAATCTCATCCACACCCTGCTCGACCCATGCCTCCTTGGCTTTCATGGGAGCTGCGGTGTTCGTTTCAGATCCACTGCCGCTACCCTCGCCGCCGCTGGAGGCGCGGTTCTCGCGCTGACGGAAATATTTTTGGCGGTCGGTTAGCTCGCGCGCCTTGAACACCTTATCCAGGATGTTCGTCTCGTAACCGAGAGACTTTGCCCGCTCGAAGGCGGGAATAGCGGGGAGCGACCCGACGAGAATGCGCTTGGCAACCGGTCGACGTCGCTCCATCAACAAAACGAGGGCTTCGAAATCGATGTCCTCCCGGCGGATGCGAGCCTGCACGGGCAGGCCGCGCATCGTTTTGACGCAGTTTTGGAAGCCGATATGGATGTTAGAAAAGTCAATGAAAACATGAATACCATCAGGCGCCTGCGTGTGGTTGACAAGCTGCGCGGGCTTGGCCAGCCAATGCTTGTCTTCGCCAAAGTTGCGAATGAGAGTCAACAGGAAATGGAGGTTCCTGTCATCCTTGTCCCGAATGGTCAAGGGCCTGGGCTGCTGTTGCGAAGGAGACGTTCCGGGGCCTTGGAAGTACAACGGCTTCTGGTTCATGATGGCATCGAGATAGCCCGAGTTCATGCCTGCGGGCGCAGGCGAGCTAAAGCTTTCATGTTGTTTCGGTGGACTGCGAGACTTCAAGGCATCGCGTTTCCTCACCGGGGAACCGGAGTGGTTCTTCGCCGCTCCATCCTTGTCAGAGCCTGAGAGCTTCAAGGGGATCGCGGAATCCTCGAGCTTCTTGGAATTCCTCGGGATGTCAATGGGTTTCGAAGTAGAAGAAAACACGTGCGCACCAGGCTTGCTGACAGCCTTCTTAGGTTCGGTGAAAGGAACCGCCTGCGGAGTCGGCACGTCCTTGGTCTTTGATACTTGGGGAGTGGAAGGTACTGCACGTGAGCGCAGGTTGTATCGGACGTCAGGGATAGGGGGAGGCTCTACGATATGGACGCTGGCCTTGCGAGCGGGCGTGTAAAGCCGTGCGTCATCTCCAGACTCGACGTCGCTGACCGTCTTCGCCTTGGCCGCCCGCTTCTCAGCTTCGGCCGCGCGGCGAGCCTTGCGATTCTCTCGCTTGCGCTGGGTCTTGGTGAGACCGGCCGCGTCTTTGGCCGGAGCGTCGGACACGTCTGCGGCAGCGGTGCCGAAGACGTCGTCGACGCCATTGGCGAGGGTGTCTGGGCCATCTTCGTCCGACCCGAGCCATTTGTGGCCTTTGCCGACCGACTGGTAGCAGGCAGCACCGTCCGAGGCGTAGGCTTCCTTCTCCTTATCGGCACTTGGTTCGGAAGGCGGTGGAGTGAGGAGCGGGAGTAGGGGCGGCGGGGCGTCGTGCGGCACGCCCAAGAACTCCCAGACCTTGTTGAAGTCGCCGAGGCCGCCGGACGACTCGTCGGCAGTCATTTGCTTCAGCTCGTCATCCTGAGGAGGCTCTGGCGGCACGGAGCGAAGAGCGGATGCCTGAGGCTTGGGCGAGAGCGAGTTGATGAGATTGAGCACGTGGGAAAAGTCCCACGGCGTGTCCTCCGGGGTTGGGGGCATGTGAGGATTTGCCATAATCAAGTGAATCTATCAAAGTGAGGTAAGGAAACTGCGTAGTGTGGCGGTCAGTGGCCTGCTCGAGTGAGGCACGGCGGCGCATCGTACAATCTAGGTCGAATGTGATCGCCTTGGGGCGCGTGGACATCGTCGGATGTAGCGGAGTCCGTTGTGCTCAGGAGAGCGGCTAGCAGAGCTTCATATCTGCGATGGCGATGGCGGATGCAAGTGGGTAGTGTGGTGGTGGCCAAAGGGTACATTGGACGGGCGGCTCCACTCGTTAAAGAGCTGCGGCGCGAGGCGGGGCGGGGCCCGTGCGCGCCTCATGACTCCGCCGCAGGCTCCGAGACTCTGAGCCACCGTCCGTCTTCGCCACGGTGCACATTCTAGACGGTCCCGGTCGACTCGAGAGCTCATCGACTCCTCGTTGTCGCCGTCCTGACACCGTGCTCGTCCCGCCTCACCCGCGCGAAGCGCTCTCGTCTCGCTTGCGCGCCGCCGCAATATCGCCCGTCGATCATTCATTACCCTGGCCCCGGCATGACGACATCAATACAACGGGCGGATCATCCTTGTGCCCTATCTCGTTATTTATTGTTGCTTCGATATCATGTACATCGAATGTGTATGCCCTAAATGACACGGAACCCGAACTCCCAGCAATGCTTCCCACCGTTACGCCGTCCTCCATTCTCACATCGTCTCCCATCCTCCGTTGTTGATGTCCCCCTCCAATTTTCGAGCAATTGTGGACGGCACCTGATGGCCCAGCCAAACGTTCCGGACGAGCGCGTCGTACCGCTTCTGGTGCAGGTACAGCTGGTGTTGTCGCCGCAACGACATGTCCGTCTCGCCATGCTTGTCCAGATACGGAGCGGGGAACCAGCTGCCGCTCTGGTGGTGCGTGTAGAGCAGCATGCACTTGCGGATGTTGATGAACATGCCAATGTTGCCGCCGCATCTGCGAATGACGTTAGAAATAGGCGATCGTGTATAGATAGATACTCACTTGGCTTGGTGCTGCATGCACCCGCCTTTGCCCCCTTGCTTCATGCAGCAGACTGCCTGGCTGCAGAAGATTTCTCCACAGAAGAGACACACGCAAGGATCTGTCAGCTCTTTGTGGGGGACGGTCGGGCACTTGCGCTTGATCGCTTCGTCCGTGAGCGTGTCGTAATTCTTTGGTAGGCCGACCAACTCGAAGATTGCCGGGTGACTGAGAGTCAGCGGCCTCGCTGGAGGGCCCGAGCGCTTGCTCTCGCGGTACGAAGCCCAATGTTTGATCCATCCCGATGCGATCGACCGGTTGATCATACTCGCCGGTCCGTCGGCGAGGTACAAGCCAAACATCTCATCCAACGACGGAAGCCGCAGCGCCTTCGAGAGGCGCTGCAGTTCGGGCTCCTTGGCAGAGTCGTACCCGGCGTCGGGGAACTCTACGCCGTAGCGGACATGCATGAGGATCACGGCCTTACGCACAAAGGGCAAGGCATAGGCTGAGACCAGCACGCGCAGGTACCGCAAGAAGTTGATGTTCTCGGCGTCAAAGAGCGACATGACCCTCTGAGCCCCCTGCCCGGCTTCGTCGAGGATGACGGCTTCCTCGTTGTCGATGACAATGCGCTTTACAAAGGCGGAGAAGACTTCCATCTGCTCTTGGCCGAGACTGGCGGTGTGGTCCCTGTAGAGATTCTCGTCGTGCACGGGGGCCTTTGCGAGCACTTCGGGATCGGCGAAGACAAACACCGCTATGGCCTTGACGACCTCGGCGAGATAGCAAAGTCGCATTACGTGGTGGACGTCGAGGTGGAGCGAAGGAACAAGGCAGACGGAACATTCCGCGAGGAACACGAACGGGTCCTGCAGGAAAAGCGGAGGGATGGATTTCGTCGGAGATGCCGTCGGGGACGTCGTCTCTTCCACCAGAGGGTGGCCGAACATCAGCTGGTGAAGCTGGCGGTTCTGGCTGTCCAAGAACTCCGTGTTTGTCCTGTTCTTTCCTTGGTGATGCATGCCCCCTACGGCAAGATAAGACGTTACGGTCTCAGACAAGACCCGGAGGTGGGTGAGCGAGTGCTCTGAAATCTTGTCCAGCAACGTACAGCCCACGTCGGATTCGGTACCACGCTGAGCGATCTCGGCGGCGGCGATCGAGAAACCGAGAGACTTGGCAAGCGTGTCGGTGTACGTCAAGTCCTCAGAGACAAGGTGAGAGCTGTGGCCGTGGGAGTGCGAGTACCTCGTCTGCAGCATGTTTGCCCGCATCGTGTCTCGCAAACGCCGGTATATGGAGTACAGCTCCAAAGGCGGTGTGGATTGAAGAGACGGTGCGGTCGACTCAGGCGTCGATACCGCAAACGGCTCTCTCGCATCCTCCTCTGCTCGGACCAAGAAGGCGGGCAATGGGAAACCGCGTGTAGCGGAGCTCTGCGTCGGCGGTGCGGCCACCGTCACGGGTCCAGGCCGCGACAGGTCGGACAGCCTGGACGAGAGAGGGGCGATCATCTTCTCTGTACCGTAATCAGAGAACATCTTGTGCTGCCGTAAGTAGGCTGGAGGAACGTCCGCACCTGCACGTTCGGCGCCCTTGTCGAGCTTGGAGATCTGGACGCTGACATGGGACTCGAGCCACGCGTCGAACGGTATCTCGGGCTCGAGGACACCCGGGTAGGTGATCGTCTTCCCTTCCCAGATGATCGGTAGAAAGGCGTTGCCGAGCGCCTTGCAGAGAGGGCACATGAATTCCTTGTACTCGGGACGCTCCGGATGCTGTCGCGCAATCTGGTTGACGTGCCTACGGTGCGTCGCCGTGTTGTAGACCTCGAAGCACGAGTAATGCATGATATGCCCGCAGCCGGTGCTGACGGGGCCTCGCTTGTTGTGAGAATAAGGGAAGCCTTTGCCCAAGTCTTGGCGCTCAGTCAAGACCGTCTTTCCCTCAAAGGTCGTCTTCTGCACAATCTTGCGATTCTTTCCGGAAACACCAAAGGGTCTGATGTGCTCAGAGGAGCGGTCCAGATCCGCTGGTGTGCTAGCGACTTCAGACAACCAGTCGGGATCCTGTACGTTCGTCTGGCGCAGGATCCCGCTTTCAGAGATGAAGGCAAACGTGCCGTAGAGCCTCTGATCGTCGGTTTCTTCTTGGCACAAGATGCAAGTGCCCGAGGGGTACTTCCAAGTTTTGTCCTCTTGGGCGGCGGGCGTATCGAAGTCCTCCTCGTCGCTGAGGTCGTCGCCCCAGTCGATGGCTTGGTTGGCCATGAAGTTGGATTGCTGTTCTTTGAATTGGGCCATGACCCGCGCCTGTCTCTCGAGAGCCTGCTTCTTTTTCAACTCCTTGTCTTGAGCGGCGGCCGCGGCTGGGGATGCCGTGTCCATACGATCGACTGGGACCGCATTCTCGAACCCGATCGGCTGTCGCTGCTGGATGCGGGACAGGATCAGGCGGATCTTCGGTTCGCAGGCCTTGAATTCTTCCTTTTCCAACAAGGCACGGAGCAGAGAAACGACGGTGCCCTGTTGCTGGAACTCGGGGTTGGGAGAGAAGTGCTTCGAGAGCGCAAAGAGGGTGAACGATCCCGAGTGGTCCTCCTCCCCTCCAGAAGCCGCAAATTCGCCCAATTCCTCGTTGACCACCACAATGATGAGCTGCAGGACGAACTGAACGAATGCCTCCAGCCTCGTCATGGGCACATTGGGAGTGACCGTAGGAGAAGCCAACGCGTAGCCGAGGAAGTAGTAGATGAACTGGGCAAAAATGGGAAGTTTGGTGAAATGAGCGAGGTCTTTGAAAATGCCGCTCCGTATGCGCGGTAGCTTGGGCTCAAAGACTATGCTCGCCGGGTCTTTTCCAGTCTTCTTCGCCATGTGGTTCCTGTAGATATTCTCGGCTTCCTCGCGGCTGTTTCGGTTGTAATGAGCAATGTACGGATCAATCTCCTCGATATACTGCTCCTTCAAGGTGAACGTTCCAGAGTCTGAAAGACCTTCCGGTGGCCTGAACAGAGTCATCTCCTTAAGTATGTCACCGAACTCGTCGTAGTCTTGTAGCCTCTCGGAGAAGCGCTGCGTGAGATCCGAATAGGCCATCGGCTTGAAGCAGAGGGTGTGCGCGATATCGCGGCGGGCTGCTGCTAGGAAGGGGTTGGGAGAGTCGTCGGGCGGCAGGAGGGAAGAACGATCGCTCAAGAGAATGATGAGCAGGTGAACAAAGTCCTCGGCCACATCAATGGTCTGGAGGTCTTCGTATCCCGGCCGCACTGCGTAATCGCCATTTACCCAGTTCGTCATGCCAAATCTGTCAATCATCTGGGCGAGGAACTGTGGGAGCGGGCAGATGACCAGGCCGATCTGCAGCAAGAAAATGTCGCGTTGGTGGGAGTTGTCCCTCTGGGTGACGCCGCGGTAAGTTGTCATCTGGTGGCGCAGGGTGATGCCGTTCCTGACCCACATTCCAGCCCTCATCTGTGCCAGCCAAGCGCACACCCTCAGAGGGAAGTCGAAGAGCGCGAGGAGATATTCATCCGGTTGGCAGTCGGGTATGTGCGCCCGTGGAGGTGAAGGGTAGTCCCTGAGCTCTTGAACAGAGAACAGCAGCAGGCCCAAGAGTTGCTCGCGCGGCATGGCCTTACCGCGGTCAATCAGCCACGATAGGGTGTAATGCAGGGCGTGGTGGAAGCTCATCGGCTCCTTCTCGACCACGAAATCGACGACCTTGTACTTGGGCCAGTTGTAAACGGGGCCCACGGCGTCCGCTTCGAAAGCTTCGAGGGTCTTGAAAGTCGTCTCCTTCTTCAGCTCCGCTTGGTTGAACCGCTTGCGTTCGGAGCCCATCGAATGGATGATGACAATCTTTGCCGTCGTGCGGATGGCGCGGCAGACGTTAGACAAGTCCGGATCCCTCTCAGACATGAAGGACTCTGAGAATTGGCGGCAGAGCTTGTTAATTTCCCGCGTGATGAGCGAGGCACTGATCCATGCGTCGGTCTCGTACTCGATGTGCTCGCCGACGGCGCGCACGTTGGGGCAGATGCCCTGATGCAGCTTGACGAGGTCGAGGAACTGCAAAAGGTAACGGTTCTCCTGGCATATCTTCTCCTGCACGTGCTCGGAGCCCAGGAGATACTTCATGTCGAGGAAGAAGTGATACATGCGGCGGTTGGTGACGGCGCCGGCCTCGAAGGCCAGCGTAGCCATTGGATTGACGTCGGATGGGTATCCGACCTGGCGCGTCGTGAGGAAGGTGTAGAGGATGGCCATCAGGTTGGTCAGGAAGTTTCCCCTTTCCACCACTTCCGAAGTGATCGACGGGGTCGTCAGCATCTGCAGCGACAGGTTGATTATGGAATGGTCCGGCTCGCGGTCCGCGATCAGATAGAGCTGGGCGAGCGTCGTGTAGAGAGCTGCGAATCGCAGCCCCAAAATACGCTTGAAGTACGGTATCGTGACCACCGTGCTGATGAAAACGTCCCGAATGTCAATGCGAACCTTCTTCCACATCCGGAGATCATAGAGGATCATAAAGTCCAAGCGAACGCGCTGCCAGAGATCTTCGTGGACGGGCAGATTTGCTCTCATGTGATATCCCTCGGGCTTCTCTTGCCAGTACTTGGCGGGGCGGGGAGGCCTTAGCGTTCTCGTCTTGATCTTCGGCGTCTTCGGCACTTCCATCGTGGGCGTCTCCTCGAACATGTTGTCGAAGGCGAGTGACTCGCCGTCTGAGTCTGCTGGAGTGTGAATCTGGTCTCGCCTGCGAGGTACGGGCGGCGGCGGTGGAGGGGGCGGGTATCCTGCAAAAGTTGCCTCCGATGCCTCGAGACTGTCCAGACCGTCCGAGCCATCCATGTCCACATCGCCATCTCCTTCTTCCCCCAGAATCTGGTCGACCTCCATGTCTTCGTCTTCGTCGTCCACGCCGTCCTCGTCATCCTCCCAGTTGTCCTCCTCGTCGGAATCGAGATCGCGCACGGCCGTCCGCCTCCCACGGGGTAGTATGCGGCCGTAGATCATGCGGAGTTCGTCCTCCGCATCCTCGGCCTCGTGGTCGTCGATGCCGTCGCGCCCAATCTTCGCGTGATGAGCCTCGCTGCCCATGCGCCAAGGCTTGAGCATCTCCTCGCAGATGACGTTGCGGAGGATGGAGCTGTCCGGGCCCACGCTGCAGCCGGAAATGTCCGAAACCCACTCGACTATGGTTTCGCACATCTGCTCGCGAAAGGTGTCCCGCGCGGACCGGATCGTGACGGTGAGCTTGATCTCCTCGATGATTTTGGCCATCCGGAGGAGGTCCTTGACGTCGTGGGAATATATGATGACGCTGCGGCCAATGTCATCGACTTCGTATGCCTTATCGCGGCCGAATCTTTGCGTCTGCTTGCACGCTCGAGCCAGTTGGTTCTCGACGTCCATGACAGTGTGCTTCTCGTCGTTCCACAGGACCAGGGCGAACTCTTGGTCGGCTTCGGAGAGCTCCACACCCCCGTACCATTTCGACGTGAGGCGTGATAGCCGTTCATCTTCGCGGATGGACTCCTCGGTCTTGGGGAGGCGGAGTTGCTCCGGGGAGCAGGAAAAGACATCGCAAAGGTAGTCGAGAGCGCGTGCGATGGTCGTCCTCGTGGCGTTGATCAGGTCTTCCGGGAGCGACGGTGGCTCCTTCGCCTTCCCTGCTGCCTTTGACTCCAGTCCGGGCAGTGCGGTGTGGATGTTGCAATGCACCGGCCGCACCCACGCCTCGGGGTCACCACAGTCGCAGCAGCCGGAGTTGCCCGGAGAGATGCTGACGTAGACGAGGTGCCCTTCGTGGTCGGAGGCGTCGAAGCACTTCGCGCACAGCACGCACGTGTCGTCCACTGTGCACGTCTTGCACCTGTAGGTTGCCTCGCCACTCTTGAAAATGTGCCCGCACGGGTGGCCCCTCGCGGCCTCGGTGTACTCGGCGCCTTCAACGGCCCCCTGCGCATCCCGGAGACTCCATGCCGTGTCGGAGCTGGGCGAGCCTTGGGGGAAGAAGAGAAGGAGATAATCGTCACGGTTCGCGGCGAGCGAGCGGAACAGGGTCTCTAGGACGGCGCGGCGAGCGGCATCGGTGTAGCGGTTGCCGAAGGTCTTGGGAAGATCACGAAGCTGTTTGCAGAGCTGCTCCTCCAGGGTAGACACGAGCATTTTGCTCGGACAGGGCTGGGAGCTGGAGCTTTCGTCGAGCTTCGACAAAGGATGTGGGGTAGGCGATCGTCACGGCTGGGCGTTCGCACGACGAGGGCCGTGAAATTCTTCGGCAGGTGGGTCTGGTAGGTTTCAAGCGCGCGGGGGCTTCATGACATAGCTGCAGGAAGATTCGCGGACGGGTCGCGAGAGGAAATGGTGGGTGAAGAAAGGTCGGGTTGCTGCAGGTCAACGAGGCGCCGCGGGCATGGGTCGCGGAGACCGTCGCGCTCAGGCGCTTTCGGAGGCAATCCGACCACTTGCGTCAGAGCTTTTGTGCCTCATGTAAGCACGGCACTCGCAACTCTACATCACCGTCGAGGCAAGCGCGCGCTCATGACTTTGCAGCTTCCAGAAAGCTCGTCTCCAATCACAAGCAAGCCGGCCCGTCCGTCACCGCGCCTTCACGCCCGCGGCCGTCCCGCCCCGCGGACAGCTTCACATGCGCGTTTACTCGATGCGAGCCCAGCCGCCGCACGATAGAGCTGCAGGCACGGTTTCGTGCGGCGGCCGTGGCAGATGTCTGCTCGATCTTCAGACCATGACGCTACGTCACGCTTGCGCGGAGCAATCCTATGAGACGGGCAGAAGAAAAGGATGTGTTTGAGGCCATCGTAGTTGGCCAGTCTAGGCGTGTTATACACAATGTACAAAGCGTGCACCCTTTGGAAACTCTAAGGTGATATCTCAGCGCTCTTTCAATTCGCCCTGCTCTACGCTCCATAAACGCCTCCCCTACTCGTCGTCGCTGGCCTCGACATACTTGTGCTTGATGTCCTTCCACTGGCGCTGCTCCGCTCGTCAGCAAACCCTCCCCTGATGACGCTGGTTTGGCACTTACGCCCTTGTTGACGCTGTCCCAGACCTTGTCCGAGGCGGTGTCAAACGACCTGTCCAATCCATCAGCGGCGCGTCCCTCTCGCCAACGCCCAGGCATCGCATCACACGTACAGTTGAGCCGCAAAGGCACCGACGAAGACGGTGGTCAAGAAGACATAGTTCCTCTTGATGAGGGAGCTGAGGCGGGTGTTAGCGGGAGGATCGCGGTCGTACGGGAGTCCGAGAAAACTTGCTTGTAGACGGAGGAGGCAATCTGCAATTGGCACGTCAGTTGCATGCGCAAAAGGTCTTGCTCAGCGGTCGGAAGCACTTACGCCGGCCATTGTGACTGCGCGGGTTCGGGGAAGGGCGTGCGGAAGGGCTGTGGTGGTTGCGCTGAGGTGGAATCGCAGGTCAACGCTGGAGGCCGCCGGAGAAGCGAATCGGCTCAAAGCGCGGTCCCATTGGTTGCCGCCGCCGTCCCTCCGGCACAACGAGGCTCTGGGCTTTCCCGCGCAACTTCACGTCAAACCCGCTGCACCACCCGTCCGCGCGCACCGCCAGCTCGCTAAGGCAGCAATTGCTCGGGCGTCGACGACCGTGCCGCCTCGAGCACATCGCCTCCTCGAATCGAGCCGCAGTTCACGCACTCACCCCGCTGCCGCCGCTCCCGCGATCTCACTTCACCCCAGCTTCGCAATGTCTTCCGACGCGTCCAAAGTCTCCCGTTCCGGCGCCGTCACCTCTGCCAGCGGCGAGCGCCACATCCCCTCTTCCACCCGCGCCGACGGCTCGGTCCGCAAGGAGATCCGCATTCGCCCCGGCTACCGACCTCCTGAGGACATCGACGTCTACAGGAGCAAGACAGCCCAAGCACGAAGGGATAGGGGCAAAGGCGGCGTTCCAGGCGCTGATCCTGCCGACTCGAAGCCGGCGACGCAGAGTGCCGCCGCCAACAAGAATGCGAAGAGACGGGAGGCTCGCAAGAAGGCCGCGGCCGCCGCCGATGCTGCGGAAGATGCCGATGGAGACAAGCAAGAATCGAATGCCACCGAAGAGGCCTCTTCCGCCGCTCCTACTGCTGCCGCTCCTGCAGAGCAGCAAAAGGATCCCGAAGCTGAAAGAGAGAAGGAGGCCAAGAAGCTCGCCAAGAAGCTGCGTCAAGCCCGCGAACTGAAGGACAAGAAGGACAAGGGCGACGCGCTGCTCCCCGAGCAATTCGAGAAAGTCATCAGGATAAATGAGCTCGTCCGTCAACTCGACAATCTCGGTTTCGATTCCAACGGCGAGAAGAAGCAGCAGGAGAGCGAAAAGACATGAAGGCCTACGTACACCATGCCCCTTCCTCGAAATCCTCTAGGCCTCTGGACGGCACGTCTGATGATTCAACTCCTCGCGAACATCAGCCGACCACGCATCCCAGGGCCGTTTACCGGATGAGCAACGCGAATGACTGAGCTACGAGCATCGATGAAGACATGAAGACCACGATATCAGGCCTTGGTGACCTGGAGTCTCTCGTCTGTTGGTAGACGTAGGTTTGGATTGGAATGAGCATGTCTGTTGAGCAAGCGCAATCGATGTGGTCCTCTTGGTATACATCAACATCTGCCCTACATGCGCTGCTGCAAAAGGCCGATCGTGCAATGCACAGTCTGCTTTTGGCAGATCTCTGTCATCTACGGTAAAGAAACCACCGGAACTCGATAGGCCCTACTCTAGAAGAAATACCGATCGTACAGTATAATCAAAGTGCATCGGGAAGAAGAAAAAAAACGTATACTCGTGCCCAATCTCGCCCTGCTCACTTCAAAGCCCAGCAACAATTCGTACAACCACTGCTGGCCGGCTAATTGTCTCGTACAGTCCAAAGTCTGACACGGTCCGGAAGCAGATTTCCTCGAGTGCCACTCTGGCGTGAAGCCCACTTGCAGGATGCTCCGCCGCCGCCGCCTCGGCTGCGCGTTCGACATCTTGGCTGGAGGGTGTCCTCGCCGAAGATTCTTGTCGCTTCCTCAAAAAGCCCCTCCCTTTGGACACCGTGGGCGCTTCGGGGATGGATGCCGGACCGGGAGAAGTCGGTCCATTGTGCTGCGGAACCGGGGCAAATGGAGCTGTTGCAAGCTTGCCCTGCAAAGTCCTTCGGAATTCTTCGACGACTCCTGGCTGGCGCCAGAATTGTGTCTTGTTCAGCGGCCCCTTGAGCCGCACCTGTTGGACAATATCGTCTGAGGGAAAGCCAACAAGTTCCAGATTTCCGTCGCCTTTTGCATCGCCGAAATCTACTGATGTCAGATGTCTGCTGAGCGCCTCGAGCGCTTTCACTTACCGAATTCTGAGATTGGCTTCTCGGCCACAGCATCGGAAGGGATCAATGCGATGGTTGTGTTTGCTATGCCGTATATCGCCTGTTCCTCGACTCTGGGATAGACGACGCCGTCGATGATTTCCCGGACGTGCCGGGCTCGCACATTGGTCAACTGGTCGATGATCTGCTGGCCGCTCGCGGGCGGGCGCCCTGAGAGCGACTCCTCGTAGCTGGGCAGCGGGATTTCACCCTTCTCGTGCGACATGGCGGTTGGTGAGGGGTGGGGGAATAAGTCGCGCAACGTGGCGGCCCCACAGGTTTGATTCGTCGAAAACAATTGACGCTGACCTGCAGCATATGCAGCACGGCTGGCCGGTGAGGAAGGCGGCGTTCAAGGCAGCCTGGGGCGAAGTGTTGTTGGTGGACCGAAGGCAGCAGCAAGCAGGGCGCAGCTTAGGTTGAAAGACTAATGCTCGCGTTGGTCGGCTAGGACGGACGGGCTTGGTTGAGGAAGGGCTATGTTTGGGTCAGCCCAGCAGGCTGTGAGGCGGACTTCCCGCTGCCAAGGGCGGGATCACGGCATCCCGGGTCTCGAGAGACCCCGATCGCGTATCAAAGGCGCATGCATGTCTGCCTTGGGCTTTCGCAGGTGACCCTCCGGGCCGTGGGAGCGAGCGAAGGATGTGGCTGTACGGCGGCCACTACGCTAGAAGCGGCTAGCCGTTCTTTCCGAATGACGTTAGCTGCCCATGGGCGAATGAAGCGCAAGGTGATGCTTGAGAGAACAAAGAATCATCGCTCCGTACGAGAAATGCTAAGAGCCGAGAACGGGTGGGTGGTTCGTTGGACCCCACGCGGAACCACTATAGAGTGGGAACCGTGCATATAAATCTGTGCGATCCCCACCTTTGGTGCAACGTTTCTGCCGGCAACAGTCTTCTCTTCAACTACACGCCAGAACCATCATCAAAATGCCTTGGTATCATGTGGCCGATCCCAATTCGTACCTCGTAAGTGGCTGCCGAGCTCCACGCCTCGGGCCTGCTCGCTAACAGACTGCTTCCAGGTCGTCACCGGCGTCGGTATCAATGGGGTTAAGATCGCGAAGAAGGCCTTCGTCTACCCCTTTCAGAAGTATATCACCATCTCGGTCACGCCGTTCGACTTCTCCATGAGCTTGACGGCCATGACGATCGAGAAGCTCAAGTTCTCGCTCCCGGCCGTCTTCACCATCGGCCCCGAGGACACGATTGAATCGATGACCAAGTACGCCGTGCTCCTCAGCGGCGAGTCGGACAGCGTGGCCGAGACCAAGGGCGGCGTGCGCAGCGTCGAGGCCGGCCGCAGCCACGTGCAAAACATCGTCAAGGGCGTCATCGAGGGCGAGACGCGCTCCATCGTGTCGACCATGACCATGGAGGAGCTGTTCTCGGCGCGCAAGGTCTTCAAGCAGAAGGTCATTGAAAACGTGCAGAGCGAGCTGGACCAGTTCGGCCTCAGAATCTACAATGCAAACGTCAAGGAGCTGCAAGACACGCCCGGCAGCGAGTACTTCGCCTACCTGAGCCGCAAGGCGCACGAGGGCGCCCTCAACCAGGCCAAGGTCGACGTGGCCGACGCGCGCATGCGCGGTGAAGTCGGCGAGGCGGAGAAGCAGGGCAAGACGAAGCAGGAGATTGCCAAGATCCACGCCGCAACGGCGGTGCTGGAGACGGAGCGCAAGGGCGAAAAGGCCTCGGCCGACGCCAAGTTGACGGCAAAGGAGATTGAGATCGAGCAGAGCCTTAATTTGGCCCGTATCGACGCCACCCGCGCCGCAGAGAGCCGCGACACGGAGCTACAGCGTGACCTCGAGCGGAAGCGCGCCGAGATGGAGCTGGAGCGCCTGCGCGCGACCACCGTCACCAAGGCCAAGATCGAGCGCGAGTCGGCCCAGCAGCGCGCTGACGCCGAGCTGTACTCGCAGGAGAAGGCCGCCGACGGTGCGCAGTACCAGCAGCGCGCCGACGCCGAGGCCCACTACTACAAGATCACCAAGGAGGCCGAAGCCGCGAACCTGCAGCGCCAGCGGGAGGCCGACGCCAACTACTACGCGCGGACCAAGGAGGCCGAGGCGAGCTTCTTCGCACGCAAGCGTGAGGCCGACGGTCTGAAGGAGATGGCCTCGGCGTACGGCGAGCTCGCCAACGCGCTGGGCGGTCCACAAAACTTGCTGCAATATTTGATGCTCCAAAGGGGGACTTATGAGGCTCTGGCGCGCGAGAATGCCCGCGCTATCAACGGGCTACAGCCCAAGATCAACGTCTGGAACACCGGCGCCCAGGGCGACGCGGCCGCCGACCCCACGGCGCCCATCAGGAATCTGTTCCAGAGCCTACCCCCGCTGCTCAGCACCATCAACGACCAGACGGGCATTTCGCCACCCAGCTGGTTGGCATCCATGGGCGACCAGCAGCAACAGGCACAACCCCAGCAACAGCAGCAGCAACAGCAGCAGCAGCAGCAGGATGCGTTGGTGAAGCAAAAGCAGGTGACCAACGGTCGTTGAAGCGCCCCACTCATACGTTGCGCCATGCAATTAGTTTTTGCTTTATTTCCGTTGCTCGATTCCCCCTCAGTATCATACCCAGCAGGTGTTTGGTTTTCGAGTTGATAACCTAGTTTCTTTCACATGTTCTCGCGATTTGTCACGTACTATTGTAAATGTATGGACGAACTTGACTGAATGTGCGTCTTTTACTAGTAAACGAGTCTTAATAGTAACGTGCGAAGTGATAATTTAACGTTTAGACAAACAAAGAAATGACTATAACTACTATCAACTGCTACTATTGCACATGTAATGGAAACGGGCATTTGTCTTGTAAGGTGAAACCCAAACTCGACTTATGCATCGAACCCCTCTCCAAAATACAAAACGTTTCACCCTCTACAAAACTTCAACGACAATAAATCCAGAGTTTGCTTATATTAGTACAAGCTTCTAGATATTAATAAAGACAAAAACAAGAAATATTGACAAGAAGCTTGGCCTGTACCTGGATTGCGTCTCAGCGAATGGTGGTTGAGACAATAAGAGTTGGGTTTGGTTTCTTATTTAAACGCTTCTTTGCAAGACTTTGGTTCTGTTGCCACGTGTCTTGTCTGAGATTCGTTGAAGTTCATGCTAAATGCATTTTTGAAGGTTCATCTGACGTTCACTGAAGCTGTTCTCGCGAGTCCGGATTAGGAAAAGACCATCTCCATTCTGAGACAAGGCGATAGTTATTAAGCATATCCAACAACCTTGCGTTTGGGGCGAAACTGCCGTGCCTAGATTTAGAATTGCATTGGCTTTCCCGAACCGTTGGGTAAGGCAACCATCCGGGCCCAAAACCAAAAGTCGTCGAGGGTCTACATGTATCTGGAGGCCGGAGCCAAGTACGAGACCGAGCGTTAATTTCTGCGGCTCGACGGCGCAGGTGCCGACGGGCTGTAGATAGGTACACACCGTGCGTATGTGAGCGGTCGATGCGTCGTACGTGCTGGCAGCGCACATACAGTTGCTAAATGAGATGGCGTGGGGGACTGGAGAGAAAAAGGCGAGTCAAGATAGCCGACTTGAGGCGAGCGGTAATGTCAATCCGTTGAAGCCTATTTCACGCCAAGTTCGCCCGCCAAGCCTCTATCTTTTCGATAGGTCCATCGGTATTGCCCAGTGCCCTTCCGGAGCCCGTCGGCTATCTCGTAAAATGGACGTGGCCGGGCTCCATGTCAATACACGCTCATTTTGCATGATTTTGCAGTTTCGAGCCTGGCATCCTCAGTCTCCGATCCCATGCGGCGTAGCCACCCCCTCTCAGTGGTACGAGAGTGGCCATAGAAGGTGCAGGAGGGAAACGAAGGTCGCTGGCAGGCTCGACTGCCGGCGTGCGCAGATCACAATACGGTTTACCAACGAGCCAATCTGCAAATCCGGAATCTTCTAATGGCGCAAAAGCAAGACAAGCCTGACGCAAACCCACGTTGTCGTAGATCTTGGATCAACAGCCGGTCGGCTAATGCAATATTGTGCTCTGTGTATTGGGACTTTCTTTTTTTTCGGGTCACGATACCTGCCCGATCAGCGTGATGGATGGAACGACCGACATCGGGAGTGGTCCAGGAAAGCTTTCTCTCGAGCATTGCCCGTCAGGCCGTCTGCCCGACAGGCCGGCGCCGTGTGGTGTTCCCTGCGAGACGTCAGGGCGATCATTTGAATCATCAAACGAGCGAGGGCTGAGGAGCACGCTATGAAGCACCCGTGGGTAATCGTCGGGAGGCTTTGACGCTGCGTCGGCATTAGACGAGTGTCCCTTGGTCGAAATTCGCCGTTGCGGCGGTGCCAAACCAGCGACCGTAAGCAGGACGTGAAACAGGCTCGCACCGAGCTCGTTGCGGACAGTGGGTGCAGCAGTGGCCATGCGCCGCCGTATGAAACAAGATTGCTCGCGACGAGGGAGGGCGAGGCAGAGTAAGCAGAGGCCAGAAGGAGGAAGATGTGCAAGCGAGGTGTGATGAGGAGTCGAGAACGACTCATCACGGAGGAGCCGCGTGCGTTGCGGACGTTAGGGCGGGCAGATCGCGGCTTGACGGCTTGTGGAGCCTGAGCCTTGCTTTTGCTGTCAGGGAGTCGTTGTTGCAGGGGTGCTAACTAATCAAACGAGCGTGAACGGGGCCCTTGCGGCGCGTATCGTGAATCTGGCTGCGCCCCGTTGCGTGTGTGATGCAATCGGGCGTCAGCCCAGCGGGTGTTTAAAAGGAGGTGCGTGAGCTCGGGCAGTATTGGCGACAGGGGGGTGCGGGTCCCCAGGCAGAAGGATTCGGGAGCACATCTCGCATCGACGCGCCGTTCTGTCATGGGGCCTGGATTCTCGAAGACCCGGGCCGGCGTCAACAGCGAACTTGCGCGAAATTTGGGACAGGCCCTTCCGGTCGTGGATCGCCCATCAAAGGTGGGCGGCGAGTGGGGCGGGCAGGCAATCGCGCGGAGTGTCGTCGAGGTTGCTGCATCACTGTGGAGTTGTAGACATTCGGTTCGCACGACGTTGCCAATGACTTTTTGCCTGAAAGATTTGCTTTTTCTTTCTTTGCTGTGCAACATACACTACTATTCGTGGATTTGGCGACGTTCCTTGCCAGAATATTCCCATGCAGGCAAACCTGAAGCTGTCCATCATCATGCCCTTTAGACCATCTGCATGATCAGCTGTACACGCCTCTTCCTCCCGTTCCGACCGTTTGACTCCTGCTCGTCCGCCCAATCCGTAGTCCCCGCCCCTGAAACTGCTCCGATCCCTGTTCAAACCAATCCCAATAATTTCAATATCGACAAAGAAGCAAAACAAGCGTCCAGCTGTGCAGTATGCCCGAAAACCTCAAACCAGAATAGACCAGATAGAACTCCGTAGACCGCCCATGGTGATGAGACGAAAAAGAAAAAGGAAATTTTGCGCCCCGCGAGGGCTTCCCTTTTATATACCACGCGCCGGCAGCCGTTGAAACAACAAAAAAAGAAAAGAGGGCCTCGTGAGGCTCTGTAATCCGCTTCCTGCGGGAAAAGAGATGCTTTTCAGCCCACCGTCCGGATCCGTATGCGCCAGGTATCGAAATGACAAAACAAAAAGGAAATGGCAAGGAAGGTGATGTCGAGTGCGGCTTGTGTGAAGGAGGGTGTGAGCGCGGCAACCGCCGGAGAAGAAAGTCGTATCGGTTCGTGAAATTCATGAGAAGCAGGCTAGGCCGGCCTGAGTTGGGACGAGTTCCCGGGTCGTCTTCAGATAGCCTGGCCGATCTGGTTGGCCTCCTCGTAGGCCATGCGCTGACGCTTCATCTCTTCGGCGTTGAAGGGCTCCGAGATGCTGGTTTGCCGGGAGTCGGTCAAAGTGGCGCCGCTCATGTTCCGGTACTTGAACTCGTGCGCAATGGCGCCCAGAGACCTCATCTTGCGGAGAGTCTTGGACTTCTCGCTTTCAGGCTTCTCGGCCTTCTCCTTCTCATGGGTGGAGAGATCTCCGTGCGTCTTCTTGCGGGACAAACGGTGCAAGACCCTGTTGATCCTGACCCGGGTGGGCGTCCTGGTTTCCGAAAACTCGAAAGAGCTGAGCTGCTGCTTGTAGAAGCTGCCGTTCGAGCTGTCGCTGCCGCTGGTGGACGGCCGCTTGGTCGTCGCAGAGCCGAAGCTGACACCCGAGTCGACCTGCTTGCGTCCCTTGCGCGGAGGCAAGTGCTCCACCGAAGGGGACGAAGGGAGCTCGGGCAGCGGGGTCCGAGGAGGTGCGTAGGTGTCAAGGTCGACCCTGGTCTGGATGCTCTCCGCGAGCTCGATAACTTCATCCGCCTTTTGCATGTACTTGTTCATCATGTGCGCCGTGCAGGGCCAGCCGTTGGCCTGACCCTCCTTTGCCTGCTCCACGATGAGGCGGTCGATGTCCGCCATGCCCCTGCCGGGAATCGAGTTGATGGTCTTGAAGAAGTCCTTCCGCTGAGACTGCACGATCTCGTTGGAGATGCCGTCGGGAACGGAAGAGGGGATAGGGGGCCAGAGAGTGTTGAGCATAGCCATGCAGTTGTGCTTGTCAAATGGCTGGTTCTTGATCTCGTGAACGAGGATCTAAGGCGGTCAGGTTATCTGCGTTGCTCGATGACGGACGGTGTTATACATACCCACTGGCGAAGATGCACGTACAGCCAGGCGTACAGCTCGCCCAGGTACTTCTCCTTACGGTTGAGAATGTTGAACAGCCTGATGATCGCCTCGTCCCGGGATACCTTCTCTTCAATCGACTCCCAAGTCTCGATGTCCACCCTCTGCCACATGTCCTGGACCATCTTTTGCCTGCGCATCTCAATGTCCTTGAGGTAGTCGAGGGCGGTGAGTGCTTGCGGGAAGTTGACACGGCCGAGTTCCTCGTGGCAGAAGGTCTCCTTGACGAACTTGCGGACGAAAACATAGGGCAGAGAGGTCCTCTGCAGAGGCAGCTGCGACATTTCGGTTTGCAGGATGCTGGTGAATTCAGGGACGCTCTCGAGGCCCTTGGCGTTGGAGGGGAGCGGGTGTTGTCCTCGCGAGGCGCAGTTGAGGATGTACATGGTGCGGAGCGGGAGATCCTTTCCTTCGGTTTGCGAGTAGAGCTGGGCCATCAGGTTGTCCTCGTGCTTGCGTTCCGAGGCCATGGAGAGTTCGGAGGCGCTGCGGCCGTGGGCCTGGCCTGCCATGACGGCGCCGACGGGGGATTTGGAAGAGTTTCTTTGGGAAGCCATGTTGTTCCTTTTGGGGGGGTGGGGTTGCGGGTGAGAGAGGTTCAGAACATCCGCGGCAAGAGAGGGCTTTTGACGTGGGTAGTGACGTGGGTAAACAAGCGAAGGTTCGAGCTCGCTCAGGGAGCTGGAAGCGCAGCCATGGTCAGCAAAGGTCTGTGTCGTGGGCTAGCGGCCGCAGGGAGCAGGGCCGGAGCAGGGCAGTGATATAGCCGCACGTGGTGCGGTCGCGGGGGCTTCGTGGCACGTCAATGCGCGCGGCAGAGGGCGGGTTCTGCACCGTGGTGGGGCTGGGAGGGAGAGTATTTACCTGCAGCGGGCGGGATGATGCTGGTCGTGGAGGCGAGAGGTGTTGGCGAAGGCGGCGCGGGGCGGCGTGGTAATGAGCGGCGGGCTGATGGCGAGAGTCGCATCAATGCGGAGGCAAAAGCGAAGGAAGGCGACAGCGTCGGGGGCGCAGGCGACTTTTTGAGCACGACGAGGAGAGACTGTGCCACGGCCGTTAAGAGTCGAGAGCCTCGATGCCGCGACGCTGCACCCTGCGCGCGCCCGCTTTTGCACCTGCAGGTTGCAGGCATGCCGCGCCGCCGCCAACGCCTGCCCCGTTTTTGCCCAAGGATCAAGGGATCAGCAATTCCGACTGAGAGGAACCGGGGCTAACTCGCCTGCTCGTCTGTCGGGGAGCATGGCTAGCACATCCGTGCTCGGCCTGCTGCAGCCAGCCCGCCGCGCCCGACCCCTGCCCGGAGGCTTCAGAAACCAGTAAAACCCCGGCGCACACATCGGGCCCACGATCCCAGGCCAACGGTGCGGCGTGCTGCGCTCCGGTGCGGTGCTCGACTCGGCCGCAGAGCGCTCGAGTCGCGCGCAGCGTGGCTGCGAGGGCCACCGGGCCACCGCGCCCGCAGCGTCACGAGCGGTGCCATGCAGCGTGGCGCCCGCGGCGGTGCTGCACCACACTGCCGACGACGCGCATTTTCGCCGGAGCTTAAAGCGACGCGCGCCGCGCCCGCCCTGCTGTGCCCGCGTCGCAAGCGCCTTGTGGTTCGAGTACGAGCGACTTCCCGACGGCTGCTGCTACGGCGGCGAAGCTCCGTGCGCGCGCTGGCTGCGCCGTTGTCCGTCCGCCGTCACGTCTCCACATGCGATGATTTTATGCCGACCTGTGTTTATTGCACGCGTGAGGCCAATCACGGCCGAGTCAGGCAAACCTTACACCAGTCAGCGCCCCTGCGGCGGCCCAGAGCGACGAGCGCTAGAGTCGATCGGGTCGGCGTGCGGCGGGTAGGCCACGCTGCACAGATTCTATTATTTGCTTTCACGGGCCTCGCAGTTCATTACGTGTACCTGCGCCGCACTCATCAGAGAGGCTACCAGAGAGCCTCACTCGTATCGCACCCCCAGCCGCGGAATGAAAGGGCCGCGCCTGGCCCTCTGCGCCGCGAGTCGTCGCTGGGCTCACAGCCAGCAGCAAGGCTGGCAGGCTAAAATACCGCGTTTGATCCGTGATGGTCGCCCTCACGACTCGCGCCTGGAGGAAAGTTTCACGTTTCACCATGGCCGTTGATCCGCTCGCTCCAACGCCTGGCTCAGGGGAACCACCTGCACCTCTCCAGACCACGAGACCGCGAGCCCAGCGTCGCGGATCGATATATGGGCCTTGGTGCGACGGGCATGCGCCGGTTCACTATTTTTGCCCGACGTCCACCGCGCCGGCCCAAGTCTGGCGACCACTTTCCGGCAGTCCGGATACACCTGGCCAGCTCAACCCGATCATTGGTATCCAGCATTCCCGCACCACTCCATCCAGGAGGGGGAACTGCACAGTGCGTCCAGGGCTGCCAATGGCAAGGAACGTGCCTTCGTTCCCTCCAGTCGCCTTCCCGAACAGGCATGTTCGGAGCTTGTCCGACCTGCGCTAGCTGCACGTCTGCACCGTCTATGCGCATTACTCCGGGCACCACCATGGGCGTCGACGCCCTATCGTGTCTGGCACCGCACGCAGGGTAGGACGAGCGCTCGATATCGATGCCGTATGTATGTAGCTCGTCGGCGGAATGACACAGCGAGCCCTTGCCGTTTTCTTTTGGCGCCCCGCGCGAATCAGCGGCCACCGAAACGACCGCCTGTCAAGACACAGCCTCGCAACTGATGGACGCCCTGTGTAACGGTAAGCTTAAAACGGTGACGCCACGACGGGAATGCCGTTCAGGGGATTGCACGCTTGGCACCTGACATCGCCTCCAGCATTGCGAGCACGAGACACAAGCTGAAGGCCTCGGACGACCTGACAAGACTCCCCGGTGTTCTGAGCGCCATCAGCTCCCCCAGCTGATTGAAAAGAATGCCAAGCTCAGGCCGTTCCCGCCGATAGCGGGCTAGGATATGCGGCTCGCCGTTTGAGTCACTCTGCGTACCCCACTACGAAAATTGCATCACCCGCTGAAGACCGACTCACAAGCTTGCGTGTACCCAGCGATCCTGCAGCATTCCGCAGCTACCGACGCCGCGGTTGAACACATCTCGGGTGACAAGGTCAGTGCGCTTTCCGGATGGAGTTGGGGGTGCTCGTCCAGAAGGGCTGCGTATTAGCAATCCGAGGCCGGCCGTCGAATGAAAAGCACCCGCAGTAGTAATGCGTCCCGTAGCACGGCCACCATGGAGTACTGCACCCTCGACGTCTTCACCCGCCACCGATTCGCCGGCAACCCGCTCGCTGTGGTCAAGGTCCCCGCCACCGTCGCACTGACGCAGGGGCAGAAGCAGCTCGTCGCCCGAGAATTCAATTTTTCCGAGACCGTCTTTCTCCACGAGCGCCGGGGCGGCGAGAACACATGGAAGATTGACATCTTCATCACGACGGCGGAGATACCCTTTGCGGGGCACCCTACCATTGGGACGGCGTGCCTCGTCCTCTCCCAGCTGCCTGGTCAGGCCGACGCCGCGGGAATTATCGAAGGCAAATTCCTCACCAAGGCCGGTGAAATCCGGCTCAAGTACTCCACGGCTGAGGCACTCGCCTCGGCGGAGATCCCTCACGACGTGCGCATCCACGGCCAGAGATTATCGCGGTCTCTTTTGCTCGAGATGCAGCCCTCGATGGCGATCCTCTCCTCGCCGACGATGCCAAGGGTGCCGGAGCAGATGCCCGTGGTGTCGATTGTCAGGGGAATGACATTCGCGCTCGTCGAGGTCGACAGCCTGGCGACACTCGGCGCGGCGGCCACGGGCACGTTCACGGTCGACGTGGCGCTGGACGAAGGCTGGGACCAGTCGTTCGTAGCGCTGTACTTCTACTTTCGATTGCCAGACTCGGCAGACGGTACCAGGAACCTTCGAACAAGGATGATCGAAGGAGGGCTGGAGGACCCGGCGACTGGCTCCGCTGCTAGCGCGCTGGCCTGCTTCCTGTCGCTCGCGGAAGGCGTGGCCGGGCAGACGCACCGCTACGCCGTCACGCAGGGGGTAGAGATGGGCCGGAAGAGCGAGATAGGCGTGCAAGTCGGGCTGGCCAAGACGGAAGGCGAGATTGAATCAGTGCAGCTCAGCGGCGCAGCGGTCGAGGTCATGGAAGGCAGGCTTGCGACGTGACGGAGCGCACCATTGGCGGGCTTTGGCGAGGGCGATGACGGAGAAAGAGGGCATAGCGAGGTGATGAGTGAAAGCCGTGCCGCAATCTCAATCACACGTGCCTTATCCCCCACGCTCCTCGCGGGCTCAATTGCGAGGCGCCCAATGCTGGCGGAAGCTTCTGCGCTTGGGAGCAGCAGCGTCAGTGCGTTGCGTGATATTTGCCTCTCCCCCGCACATCACTGCTGGTCAGGGGCGCACTTACCGAGCACCGGTGTCTCCAAAGCCGTGGGTGCCGGCCCTGTCGATATTGATTTTTTCGCTGTGGAGCGGCGAATTATTATTTGCACGGCGAGTCCCACACTACTCCGAGCACGCCGAAGGAAAAAGAGCGCCCAACCCCCCGCCCGGTGGAGGTACAGTGGGCGGCCGGTCAGCGGCACCAAAAACGAAGGCAGGCGACCTTGCGGCACGGCGGCTTGTACCCGGGACAGCTCGGCACGCCCGAGGATGCGCAGGCTGAGCTGCTCCGACACAGGATCGCCATCGGATGGCAGCTTGCCGGCGCAGGCAAAATGGAAGTGCAACGGGTTGGCGCTGATGAAATGGTAGGGGTCTCGACGGCGGCGCGGTTCAGGCTAGTCAGGCACCAGGCACCAGGCACGAGCAAAAAGCCGGCAGCGCGGAGCAGGCCTCAGCTTTCCGCCATGGCGAGCGGAGCACGACTCGAGGCTCGCTTAAGTCAGCGCCGCCTTCTCGACCGGCAGCCTCATACGCCGCCAAGTGCCAACCCGCTCGGCAAGACGAGCCCGCTAAGCACTGTCAAGACTTCCACCAAGCCATCCGACACCGACGCGGGCGCACCAGGGCGAGCGCCTCATGCGTCGCCAGGCCAGGAAGGTCGCCGGCCCTGCTGCACGCTGCCCGTCATCATCGAGGAGGATAATTAAAGGTCCATCCAGCTTCAGACGCGTGCGGGACGATCAAGCTTTTGCAGCCGCTGCCGTTGGGCGGGGCGTGAGGAGCGGAGAGGGCTGACTAAGGACGCCCAAACCTTAATGGTCTCAGATCGGCCTCCACCACCATCGCATCTCACACAGTATCCGTCTCCGTCAATGCCTTGCCGCCAGCGGAAATTCCAATTCTGCGCCGCCAGCCGCCAGAGGCTCGCTGAGCCGCTGCCGGCCCTCTGCCGTGCCCCGTGAGACAGCTTCGCCCTCATGACCGGTTTCATGCCACATCGACGCCTCTGCGCCGGCATTCTGCGATGCATGAAGACGCCCTCAGGCAGGGCCGCCATCTCAGGCTGCCAAGGGCTCTTAAGGACCGCGTCCGCTTGATCAGTCCCTCGGTTCCTACCCATCGTCCCATCCACTCCGCAATTCTGACTTTAAAGAGTTGCTCATTGGAGGCATCCGCTCCTTTTCTTCGCTTTATCCTCAGACTACGTTGAGCGTGTCTGCACTATTCACTTCACCATTTTGCGTCTTTCCCGCTAGCCGGAGTACGCTCTTTTTCTAATTTCTATTCAACTCCTACTCGCTACGCCTCCATACGAGCAGCCATGCGTTTCTCCGAGCTCGCCCTCATCATTGCCTTCCTAGGCTTCACAAACGTCCGCCTCGTCCACGCCCAGGGCGGTTTCGGCGGCGGTGGTTTCGGCGGTGGCGGCTTTGGTGGTGGTTTCGGTGGTAATGGATTCGGAGGTAACAACAATAACAACAACAACAACGGCGGCAACAACGGCGGGAACAACAACAACAATAATAACAACAACAACAACAACAACAACAACAACGGAGGCAACAATGGAGGCAACAACAACGCCCTTGCTCTGGACCAGAACAACGTTCAAGATGCCTCTCAGTCCACCGGCCAGGATGGCAACGCCGAAGCGGGTCAAGCCGACTCCGCCACGTAAGATATCCTTTCATCTTCGTAGGACTGCATCTAACAAAGCCACAGGGATGACGCCAACTTCATCAACTTCTGTTCCGGCGAGACTCTAACCAACGGCCAACAGGTCCAAAGTGGCTCTTGTAACGGCATCGTCATGGGCAAGATCCCCGCGCAGAACCAGATGGTTTCCTCCATAATCGTCTCCCCCCAGCCGAACGAGGACATTGAGGAAAACCAGGACTTCGACATTCAGGTGCAGACGGCTAACCTTGCTGCCGGCTCTTTCACGAACCCGGACAATACCTACTACGCAGCCCCCCAGGATCTCGACGGCAGCGGCATTGTTATCGGCCACACCCACGTCACCGTCCAGGATATGGGCGGCAGCATGACGCCGACCCAGGCACTCGACGCCTCGCAGTTTGCCTTCTTCAAGGGTATCAACGACGACGGTAACGGCCAAGGTCTGCTCTCTGCTACTGTTACCGGCGGTCTGCCCGCTGGTGTCTACCGTGTTTGCACCATGAGCTCCGCGTCCAACCACCAGCCCGTCCTCATGCCCGTCGCTCAGCGCGGCGCCCAGGATGACTGCACCAAGTTCACCGTTGGCCAGGTAAGTAGAAGTGAAACCGAAGAGTTCGTCACTGGATGACTAACGTTATTACAGGGCAACAACGGCGGCAACAACAATAACAACAACGGCGGCAACAACAACAACAACGGTGGCAACAACAATAACAACAACAACAACAACGGCGGCGGCAACAACGGCGGCAACAACGGTGGCAACAACGGTGGCAACAACGGTGGCTTCGGTGGCTTTGGCGGCGGCGGCTTCGGGTCTGGCAAGGGGGTCTCTGGCGGCGGATTTGGCGGATTCGGTGGATTCGGCCGCCGCACCAAGAAGTTCTCCGAGCGTGCATTCATCGCTTAGATGGGCGGCGTAATGGAAGAAAGGTTTGGCTTGATCCGATGGAGTCGGGAAAGCGTTACCGCACGTACACCATGCGCGGAGGAGGTTTGGAGCGGGACTTGAGAGACTTAGATGTTGGGCACAGCGAGCCGGTTACCGCTGATATTCCCCCATCGACTCTCTTGGTACGTTTATGACAATTTAACTCGCAGCTGTTGGGCTTATTTTCACGACTTTCTTTTTGAGGAGAAGGAATTGATTGTTTTTGTTTGTATGATACACACATAACCCCCCAAGGTCTGGTGGTTTCTGGTTTAGAGAAAATGCAGCGAGGTCCGCACCCTTGAGCGATGAATCGTTTTCTGTTCTACATTGGCCGTCACTTTCCCTGTTGGCAGCGAAGAGGCCGATGGGTCACTTCACGAAGAGCGACAAAATACGAAGGTGAGCCACGCCTACCCTTCTCGAATAGCAAGTGCGCTCGATAGTGCTGAGAACCTTGCAATACAGCTTCTAAAGAAAGAAAATGATCAAAAGTGGGGTTCTAGCGGTCTTTCCTCCTCCCATAGAGTCCTTCGCTTAACGAATATCCATGCTCAGCCACGCCGTAGCTCGGATTCTCCTCCATCCGGCGTTGCATGGATGCATGATATGAGACCCCAACGGTGAGAGGCATTGTGGAGCACGAAGTGGAGCAGAACCGTCATGTGTATATACATATCGGGCAAGGCTGCGATAAAATAAGGCGCCAAGCTTCTGGGGCTGAAACCGTTGATGGACATGGGTTTGTCTGAGATTTTGACCTGAACCCCAGATCGGAGCCGAGAGATTGCAGTAGGCGAGCGTCGCGTGCGGTTTATAGCTCGAATAATATCTAGAGAGCGCGATTTACTAGTGGTGTCTGATCCTTAGGTTTATCCGGAGGTTGGTGTGAACCAGTCGAGAGGAGCCGGGGATTAAGACCCCTGTTCTTATCCCAACATACTGACCTCGTTCATGTATCATCTAGAATAGATGGTTAGTCGAAGGACATCGGTATGCCCACATCATTCAGAACCATTGCCGCTAGAAGCAAGAGAGAACGCAAGTTCTTGTCAACTGTAGTGGACTGCCAGAAAAGCTGCTCAGTAAGCCGGAATGGACCCAACCTGGGTGGCCAAGCCTAGCGCCGTAGACCCACAAACACCACCTTCCCCCGCTACATATGTGACAAGTTTCAGCTTCCTTCACCCATCATCATCGATTTCCTCGTATCTTTCACTCAAAAAGCCAATCGAGTGGCAAAAGAAACTCGGAAGTGAAACCGATTCGCCGAGATATGATAAATCCGACAGCATGAATATACACTTGCTAAAGATGTATAAGCCCCAACTCATTTGATGTACCGCATTCCTGTCGATCTCTTGTCGCAGTTGCAAAATAACAAATCATCAAGCCAACGCTTTCTTCGGGCGCCTTAACGCCCGTGTAGGGCCGGGCTCCAGCCCTCCCATCCCTTTTCTTCCTCCGCTTGGTATGAATACCATGCGACACTGTTGGCACGTGGACAGTGTGATGCCATTACCCCTATCAATCACCACCCACTGCGGGTATCATACCGGTTGCCACAACGGTCACAGCTCTCGTCCAGCCATGCCACGTGCCAAACCACACGCTCCTTCATCCTTGCTTTCCCTCCGCATTTTCAGGGCTCCACAATCATGCGGCCTCGGGCCTCCTCATGGTGCCCCCGTTTTCTCTTTCGTCGTGTTCAATTGGCTTCCATCAGTGAGCTGCCGTAGCCTAAGCGCTAACTCTGACTTGAGAGTTCCTCGAGCTAGGGTTGCGTACCGCGCCAGGGCGAGCCAGCGTGTACTTGGCAAAGGCCCTAGCGAGCGCCTTCTTGCAAGACACCTTCTGCGAACCGACAAACGAATCGACGGCCACGGCAATGGCCCGGTCGATGTCGCCAGAGTTGCAGTACTCCGAGAGGCGCATTTTCGCAAACGCCTCGCTGATACGCATGATAGCTTCGAGATGACGGACCTGTCGCAAACGGTATTCAGTATTCATTCAACGTGTACGACCTGACGAAGTCCAAAGGTAGAATTTGAGAAATTGCACTTACAGTGATGGGATATGCGCCCGTTGCAAGGGATTCACGACGCATATCAGCGAACAGCCTGGCGACCTTGTCCTGGTCTATTTGGTACAGCTTGGGAGACACCTTCTCGCGCGCATACAGGATGTACTTGCGAAGTAGATCCTGCGGAATCTCGCCCTCCTTCCCCTCTGCCGAGTCACCATCACCGTCGACTTCCATGGAGTTCGGGTTGGTGGCAGCGTTGACGGGGTGGGCACGGCCGTGGGAATTGACGACGAAGTTCGCCAAGCGCTCGTCCTCACTGGGGTCCACCGTGTCACGAACGACACAAAGGATGTCGAAACGCGACAGAATAGGCTCCGTCAGCTCGACGTTCTGCGAGAAGGGGATGGTGCTGTTATAGCGACCTCCGATAGGGTTCGCCGCCGCGATAATGGCACAACGGGCGTGCAGAGTGGTGACGATACCCGCCTTAGAGATGGAGATCGTCTGCTGCTCCATGGCTTCGTGGATCGAGGTCCTGTCCTGGTCGTTCATCTTGTCGAACTCGTCGATGAGACAGGTTCCCCTATCCGCAAGAACCATGGCACCACCCTCGAGGGTCCATTCGCTAGTCATAGGGTCGCGGCGGACGCTGGCCGTGAGACCGACGGCGCTGGCGCCCTGTCCCGTGGCAAAGACTGCCCGGTGAGCAGTCTTCTCGACGTACTTGAGGACCTGCGACTTGGCGGTACCAGGATCACCGAGCAGAAGCACGTTGATGTCGCCACGGATGGCATGCTTGCCCTGGGCAACCTTGCTGACACCTCCGAATAGCGAGAGGGCCACTGCCGTCTTGATGTCCGTGTGGCCGTAAATGCTGGGTGCGATCGAGCTGACAATCTTGTCGACAATCTTCGGGTCTTTGGAAAGGGCCCTGATCTCGCGTTCGTCCTCTTCGGTCAGGCGGAAGCCAGCAAGCTGGTCGTGCGACTTGGCAACGTAGTTGGCCTCGAGGATCGTGGCGAAGACGGGGAAACCGTTCTTGTTATTGAGCTGGGCATCGTAGTTATTGCGGTAGACGCCCGTAATCTCAACTTCTTCTCCAGGCTTTGCGGAGTCGATCAGATCCCAGAGCAGAATCACCTCGCGGTGACGGGGCAGTCTACCTGCCGGAACGGTACCGGGTGATTCTTGGAGAGTGAGCTTCTGGTAATTCCGGTAGACGGTCCTCTCCGCGTTGAGCGTGAAGGGGCCCTTTGACTGGCAATTTTGACAAAATGAGATTTTGACCTCGACGTGAGAGTCCTGAGGGAACGGTCCCAGGGTGACGCCACACTTTGTGCAGTCAAATTTGACGTATTTCAACTGAGGGAAAACGCCGCTACGGCGGGTGACGACTCCGCTGACACGGACGAGGCAATTCAAGTGGCTCTGGCGAAGTTGGCGGAGTGTGTATTGGACAGGCAAGTCCGTGATGCGCACGTGGATCTCGGAGTGGATACGCTCGTAATCAGGGTAGTGGAGCAGGGTGACGTCCATCGCGACTTGATCGAAGATTTTGAGCATCTCGGACGGCGCGTTGGCAAGGAAGTAGGCGAGTGTGGCTTTCGACTCTGCGAGGTGGTCGAAAGAGACCTCTAGCGACTCGGCGTTGACCTCACCGAGAGTGCGGATGCGGGTGCCGTAGACCGAGGTCCCGTTCTCGTCCGTGTACTCGGTCAGGAAAGACTTGAATTCACGTGCGATTGTCTTGTGCACCGCGGGCTGGGCAACCCAATCGGTCAAACTGGAAGCCTTCACATCTTGTAGCGCTTCGAGCGAGAGCTCCTCGTCCATGATGTTGGCGTCCAAGTCCATGTCATCCTGGTCCTCGTCGTAACGGTGCCTGCGGCGGCGCGGCTGCCGAGCGAGGGCGCCAATGTCGTCATCGTCGTCCTGTAGGTATGCCGCGGGCATCTGGCGCTGACGAGCCAGTTCTCTGTCACGGCGATTGAGGCGGGCTTCGAGTTGTCTCCTGGTGGCCATATCCATGGCTTCATAGTCGCCCTCGTCATCAATGTCTCGCTGATCGTAGACGTCATTCTCGCGCTCGTTGTAGTCTCTCTCGAAGTTGTCGGCAAACAGGTCGATGCCGGCTTCGTCCTCGGCCATCTCATCAGCGTCGTCAATGTCGCCGATGAGGTCTTCCTCATCCACATCGAGGGTGTCCTCGATGTCATCACGTGGGAGCACGGGTGGCGAGGAGGCAGGCGCTACGGTCGAGGTGAGTTGGTGTCACTTCTCTTTCGTCTAGGCCACACTTACGGCTAGAGGGTGGCAGCTGTCCCGCAGATGAGGGAATGTCGTCGTCAGGCTCGCGCGACCGCTTACGGCGGTTCGCTCTCGGGGTGCCGCGGTTTGCGGAGGACATGTTGGGGCGCAGTGGTGAGCTTTTACGGTGTCAGCGCGCTCGAGGAATCTTTGACGACGGCGCTTTGGCGGGCGCGTGGGAGGCCCGAGCGCTTCTGGCGGAGCGGGAGCGTTACCTCATGGGGTATGTGACGGAGAACGATTGCGATGCGTGGCTGCGCGACGGCAAAAATTGAAATTGGTGGGGACGGGGGAAGTTTGAGAGGGTGGTGTGGTGGTTTGTGGGTGGTGCGGGCGGTTATGTGAAGTAGAGGTGCGAGAAGCTGAGCGGGCGCGCGCAGGACGCGAGACGCGTCGGCCAACGAAAAAGGCGCGTCGAGGCTAGCCCCGGAATGGAACTGTGAGTGGACAGGGGTGGCACGGAGCAACATGCGCGTCGCATTGCCGCCGCTGCGCAGCCGCAGCTCGTCATCATTCATCTCTTCTCCATCTTTTGCGGTACAACAAGCCTCTGCCTGCCGCGTTTTCGCGCGCGTCTCCTCACAGCCGTCGCCGCGCGCCACCTTCGCCATGGCTGAAAATCCACCTCGCAAGCCGTCGCGTTCCGACAGCATCTCACAGCATTCCGACGCATCGCAGACTGCGCAAGAGTACGTCACATTGTGCGCCTTTGCGCATAATAATCTAAGGGTTGTCTTGCTGATGTAGATGCGATGTAGGTTCATCAACAGTCAGCTCCAGCTCGAAGCTGATGCGCGCGAGGTCCTCCCATATGTAAGCTCCCGAACCAAAGCGCGTTGTCGAGGTCGCAGGCCGGAAGTTTAGGATATTGATTCATCACAGCAATTCGATACTTGCTCGCGTCCTCTCGGACCGTTGCGGCAGAAAGCTTGGTCCTGCCTGACCTGCAATCCCCCTCCTGACGACCCTTCCGAACCGTACACGCCCGCCGGTGTCTGCTATTCCTGCCACGTCTCTTGCCACGGTGAGCACCAGCTCGTAGAGCTTTTTGCCAAGCGCAACTTCGTGTGTGACTGCGGTACCACTCGCATCCAGTCCGATTGTCCATGCACATTGCGAGTCAACGAAGCTACCGGCGTCAAGGGCGACGTCCGCGCCGAGAGTCCCGCCCCCAGCAACCATTACGATCACAATTACCGTAACCTCTTCTGCGGATGCGGCCAAGAATACGATGCGCACCAGGAGAAGGGTACCATGTACCAGTGCCTTGGACTGGGCACTGTTGAGGATGGCGGGTGTGGAGAAGACTGGTGGCATCCCGAATGTCTCATCGGTCTTCCTCGAGACTGGTACAAGAAGGAGTCCGGCAAGGGAGCGGAAGCACGCACCGACCAGGACGGCTCCAGGAGCAAAGACGCAGGTAGAGCGGACAGCGAGACGGTTGCCGCGAATGGCACCGCGATCGAAACAACGAATGGCAACACCGACGCCAGAGATGGTGTGCCAATCGAGGAAGAGGCAGCCGAGGACGACCCACCCCTTCCTCCCGGATTCCCGGACGAAGACGCCTTTGAACACTTGATCTGCTACAAATGCGTAGAGGCGTTTCCATGGATCAAGCGATATGCAGACGCTCCCGGGTTTTTCCCTCCCGTCTACCACGTGGAAAGCGGAGACGCCACATGCGGTGCGCAAGATGTCAAGACGGAAGCCGAGCCTGCCTCTTCACCCAACGCTTTACCTGCAGAAAGCTCGAGGAAGCGCAAGGCTATCGAGGGCAAAGATGGTGATGCTGCATGGTCACATGAAGACGTTAAACGGCAGCGCAACTCTCAGGAACCACCATCCGCAACGACGGATACGCCGGACAATCCGAGATCGACGAAGGCGATCTGCCACTACTCCAACCTTCCGCCGGCGCCGACCGGTCGATTCACCCTTTTCCTCAAGGAGGATTTCCGCGATCAGATTTGCCGCTGCCCGTCTTGCTTCCCGCTCCTAACACAGCACCCCTATCTCCTGGAGGAAGAAGACATGTACGAGCCCCCCGTATCTGAATCGGATGCAGCCGATGCTCCTGCCACTGGCAGCGCAGGTAGTCGCTCTCTACTCGATCGTGGCGAGGCGGCACTATCGAACATGGACCGAGTACGGGCTATCGAAGGCGTCATGGTTTACAACCATCTGAAAGACAAGGTCAAAGATTTTTTGAAGCCATTCGCAGAGAGTGGAAGGCCTGTCGGGGCTGAGGATATCAAGGCGTACTTTGAGCGCTTGAGAGGTGACGCTGAAGGTATCATGGCTGCGCGAGGCGAGGCGGAGAAGGGTGGCGACGGGCGTAAGGAGGATGGTGATGGTGGCGGAGAGAACGGTGGCGCAGCGAGAAAGGAGCAGAGCGGTGAGTCTCGCTTGAATTTTCGACCCTCACAGAGCGCGATTTACTGATTTCCATGCAGGCTATTGACGGATTGCGTGACCTTGGTCAAGCTGCTCAGACACAAATGTCTTTTTGAAATTTCCGGATAGTCTTAGAATCGGGTCAGGTCTCTGGACCGCTTGGGTTCGAGATGACTCTCAAACTGCTTGCAAACGTAGTTGTATAATACCCTTTATTGACGATGCATGGCTTGGACGACAATTCACGGTACAGTCTGAACATTTCAATACCTTCCCTCTTGCCACAAGACAGTTGAAGCAGTGCAGATTGTTTAATAGGGGTAGCGGCTGTAAGTCCTACTGACGTCAGCAAAACCCCGGGTGGTTAAACCAACAAATTGCAGCCGGTAATTGCTCTAGCACACTTAGCACGTTCATCGGTTCATGCGTACATTCTTCTTCGTCCTTCTTTGACATTCACTTCAATCTGGTTGAAGTATCTTATATTCGGTAGAGTTCTCGATGGAAAGTAACGTTTTTAAGCAGTAAGTCGAAATTTATATTTCTCACAGAATTTCAACGCGTCCATATATAAGCGGGTTCGCTTGTTCGATTACTTGCCTATTCATTAATTATTTGTGGCGTCGTGCTGTTACGCGTAGAAAGAATGTACGCACGGGCTGATAACTATGCTAGTGATGCTAGAGACGCTGGGGATGCCAAAGTTTCTGACTAGAACCCGAGTTACTGCCATGCTCATTTCTAATTTACACCGACTGCATGGATAGCCGCTGCGAACAGACGGGGGATTTTACTAACGGTACCAAGGCCTGTTCAACCGCTCCGCTTCTTTCCGCGAAGCCAGTACGGCAGGTTTCTAAATATTCTAGGAGCTACAACGCATCATCAGAAGCGCATAAGCTCTGGTTGTGGGCAATTGAGCGTCCAGACGAGAGCCTCTACTACCTATGTAAGTCAAGCTCACTTCCGTGCAGAACGGGATGGCAAGGAATTTACGGGTTATTGATCGAACCCTCCGCAACACTTACAATTCCAAGCGTGGCTCCAATTATTTTTGACAGCCTCATCATCAGAGCTTCGCATTTGGCCTTTTGTTTGCTTTGATGGCAAAAACGAATCCAACTGATACTCTGATACCACTCGCCCAGACCACATCCAACCCTCTCACAAAATTTCTACTTTGCAAAGCGCTGCAGACTTTCAACAAAAAATAAGATCCAACCTTATTTATTGAAAAATGCAAAGCAATTAAGGATTATTCCGGCATCGCTTTTTAGATTTAAACATGATTTATTATTACGGTAGTAGTTAATCTCCCGGGAACCAAATAAGGTAAAAATAAATACTTTAGACACGAGAGCCTTGACCTACGCCGTCCAAGAGTTGGATTTAGGATGCGAGAATGAGTTCGATATGGGGTTACCCCATCGGTTTGTAGTTCTCCGTGGTATCGATACTAGGTTGTTCACTAAAAAATAAGGCAAAGCCATTGCTGAAGCAATGACCATCAACACATGAAGATCGTACAAGGATAAGAAATAGACATGCGTTTGTCAATGGGAGCATTGTCCGCCTTATGAAGGTACACTGGAGCCGAAGGCTAGCAAAAATAGCACCCCCGTAAGTTTCTTCACGACGAACGGCGTTTGACCAACGTCCACTCATTCCACATTCATGTGTCTCGACAGTTGCCTCAACTGCCCATGACACGAGCCTAGACAAGCGTCTGTTACAGTGGACGGAAAAATAAATTCTAGCTAGCCTTCGGTTGCGGTGGACGGGCTCACCTGACTATTTTGATTGCCCTAGGTGACTGCAGCTTACTCAATAGAGTTGGGCGGCGTCTCCCGGAGATAGATCCGATAGCGAAACTATTGACGATTTCCCCGTATGCAAGATGCAGCCTACTTGACTCACATTGACCAAGAAGGCAGTCTGTGTTACTGATGCATGGGTGACTGAACTTCAAATATGGTACGCTTAGCCATGTGTGTCAACGGACCCTGCCTCCCACGTGTGCGCCGCCACCGTGCCTGATAACAAAATCATGCGGATGGATCTGCATCACGTTCAGCCTCCTTTAAGTGTTTGTCTCCCTGGATGCGACGACGAAGGCCCGAACCGAGCCCTCAGGAGTATTTCTGATCTCCAGGACTGTGGCGTGTAGGCAGAGATCTCCACCCTAGCCTTGTCACGAGCGATCCAGCATGTCTCGTTGAAGATCTTCTTGACCGAGTCAGGCAAGCGGAAAGGGCGTGCTGGACTCGGATCTCACGGGTTCGGAGGATTTACCAAGGGATGTTCTCGTGAGGCCTGATTCACCCGAGGATCTTCAACTTCAAGGAGATTCAGTGACTCACCGGCCCGAAAGGGAGGACTGCGTGCCGCGGAAAGATTGTTGTTGAAAGGACGTGATGCTGTCACAGACGTCATCACGGAAAAGACGGCTTGCGTGGTTGGCCGATGGTGGTGCACGGCAGCAACGAAGGAGTGGCGCAGTGCGTCTGCTCCAGCCACGCCTCGACGATGATTTGGGTTGCTCCCGGCGTGCCGCTAGGTACGGGTGAGGAGAGCTGGTGAGGGAGCGTGCCAAGCCGGCGGGCGGTGATCAGCGGGAGTGAGAGGTATCCCTGGCGAGCGCACGCCTCCACCATCAGCTGCTGAGCTGCCGTGTTCCGGCCTGGCGCCTGGCGCTGGGGTTACGCAAAGTCAGCGGGTTGGGTTGGACCCTGAGAACGTCGCTTGTGCCGTTTTCTCTCTCGCTCTCTCTCTCTCGCAACACAACCTTCTGTTCGCAAGACTGCACGCTGCTGCCAACTCTCGATCATCGCTCTGCCGAGCTCCACAGCTTGCTTGTTTAGGCCACCAGCATGGGTTCCTTCACTCAGCTACTTCCACTGCTCATCCTGCTCGTCGTGGTCGGCGTCGGGGCGTGGGTGGGACTACAAGTAAGTCGAAACACCGCGCGACAGCCACTTCATTGGCCGCTAGCAACGCGACGATCGCTGGTCGCATGGGCCCCGAATCTCACGAGGCTATCTCCCCAGTCCTGATCGCACCAGCTAATGACGTCGCCGCGCCCAGATCTACCTCTACACAAATGAGCTGGCCGACAGAGGCAAGAAGAAGATGGAGAAGAAGAACATTGTCTTCACCAAGGACGGCATGAAGGTTGGCGTCAAGGAGGTCAAGGACGAAGACTACGCCGACAAGACGCAGAGGTGCGCAGCCCCCCGAGTCATGGTGGAGCAATATGCATGCTGACTTGGCTCCCGCCCGCAGCCTGCTGGTGAAGGCGTGGTCGTACACATCGTTTCCGGCGTACAAGAGCCGCCTCGGCTGGATGAAAGAAGCGGACCCTCCCAAGTGAGTTGATCCCACCGCGCGGGTAATCAATCAGCCCGCTGACCTGGCGTAGGTCGTCATCGCGGGCGAGCTCGAGCGGTGTCAAGGCGCGTAAATGATTTGCAGGGTAGCAGGCGGGAACTGGGCAGGTGGCGACGGGGTCTCCCAAGCGTGCGCAAACAGCCGCGCGGCATCTGGCTCTGGCTGCTCTTGGTAACTGGGTGAGGTCAGGGCTGTCTCGCCGCAAGCGCGCTGAGGGTCTGCTGCGTCTAGCGCTACGATGTTCGGAAATGCCAGGAGTAGCAGCAGTTTCATGCGTCTCCACTGCAGCAGGTGACGGGCTCTCTTCGACTGAAGCCGCCCATGTGACTCGACACGCTGCAGCGCGCACCACATGCGGAAGCGTGGCTGGGCCGCGGCGCCGCTGGACGGGCGGGCGCGAGGCCGCGGGCTATAACGCGCTCCGCTCTATATGCTGCAGCCCTGCGGGCAGCGGCGGGCCGATCGTCATTCGCAGCAATTATCAACAGGAGCCTCCTCCGCCACGGTGTTACACAGCACATAGCAGCGTGCGGCGGGGTGTGCGGCAGCAAGCGAGCGCGAGGGCGCCGCCGGTGGGAGTATCTCGGCACGTTGCGAAATACGGGGCAGCGCGGCCGCCTCGGCCAGCGCGCAGAAAAAAGGGCGCCGCACGCCAGCCGGCCGCTGCTCGATGCCCAGGGCTCGCGGATCGGGCTTGGGCGGCCACAGAGTCGAGAGCTCGCGGCGGCGCCACGCGCAGGCTAAGGGTAGAGCAGGTGGGGGCGTCGGACGGGACAATCGTGCGCGAGGGCTGTGCGCAGCCAGCCGGGCGAAAGCTCGAATGCGGCCTCGAGACTTGGGGCAAGGCAGCACGCCGCGGGCACAGGAATGCCAGCCGGCCGAATCGGGTGCTGCGAGCAGCGGGCTGCCCAGGGCGGCTGTGCTGAGGCCGGGCGTCGCACGCTCGAGTTGCGCGCAGTGGTCCGCATGCGAGACAAGAGCTGCCCTTTGTGAGAGAGATGCTGATCGTCTGTGACTCGGGTGGTGCCGTGCCCCCAGCAGTAGTGTGCTTCTCCGCCCATCTCAACACCGACCACGACCTGCATACCCTGCCTGCCCAGCGCTCACCCACGCCCTCCCCCATCCCGGAGCCGCCTCACGCCCGCCTGTCCTCGCGCCCGCCGTCCCCCTGTCAGTCGATGCCCGATTCGCACCGCCCGCGGGAGCTTCAATGAAGCTCAGGTAAGGCCAGTCGCGATCCGGTGGCCCTGTCGCGGTCCGCCTCGACTTCCTACCTGCTTTCAGACCCCGTCTCGCCCGCTGAGCCCCCCCGCTGTGAGACCTCGCCGCCCAGAGCACGACAATGACGAGGAAGGAGGAGGCCGGCCGCCATGGATCGACGGAAAGCTCTGGCGCCGAGAGCTGGCGATCGCAGGACACCGTCCGCGCCAACAGCCTGAGCGGCCGGCGACGCGGCGCGCCCATGAAGGTGAAGACGGACAAGCAGCAGAAGTACGTGCGCCCCGCTGCCTTGGCTTCGCCGGCGAGACGCCGTGTGCGAGCAGGGTCGCGTAAGAAAATGTGAGGGTGGCCAAGCCGGTGGAAGCACCCCGACGTCCCAGAGGTCTCTGCGCGCGGCGCCGCCTGCGTCCACTGTCTCGCGTCCTGCCCGACGCTGCCGACACGGCACAAGGCGCGTTGCTGTCTGACGGGCTTCGATCGAGCCCAAAGCCCCCCGCCGCTCTCGCCCAAGGTCCCGCGATCCGGGGTGCCACGGCCGAGGAGCCCGGGGGGAAAAAGCACAAAGATGTCGTCAGACGGCGCATTAGACCGCGGCCCTCCACGTGCCCCAGCCCCTTCCCCTTCGTCCTATCTGCGCCGTTCCGCTCGCTGCCCTGGCCCAGAACTGACTGAGCGCTTGCAGGAAGGACGACGACGACAAAGACAACGAGATTTCGCCGGGCACCGCTACTTCGCCCGAATTCAAGACGCCCGACTTCTCGAGCCACAAGGGGCCCGGTCTCCAACCATGGGAGCGTCGCCGGGCAGCTGACTTCAGCAACTATCGCAAAGACCTCGCCGTCCTCGAGCAGGCCGGCAACGGCGTGCCGTCCATATCCCGCGTCCCCCCTACCGCGTCGGCATCGACCCCTCCCTGGGCCAAATCCAACGGCTCTGGAGACATGACCAACTCCATTTTTTCGGGAAGCTTCTTTAACGACTCTAATGAAGATGTTACGCAGCTTTCGCCCGGCTTCCGCCCTGGCTCGGGCCAAACCGAAGAGGGGGGTTACCAAGGGGAAGATAGGCGTCCGTCCGTCGCCAGCGCGACGACGGTCAGCAGTTCTGGCTCCAAATCAAGCATTAGTCGGGGCTTTCACAAAAAGCTGCAAGGATTTTTTGGAGAGGAGTTCAATGGCAGCGATTCGAGGCAGAACTCGCAGACGAGCCTGCCGGAGCGGCAACGGAACCGCAACAACTCGCTGCACAACACGCATAGAAGTAGCATTGGCAGCCGGCCGGGCTCTCCCGCCAGCTCGCGACCGCGGACGCCGCTGCCTTCGAGCGAAGTTACACCATGGGAATATCAGGAAAAGGTGAGTTGGACGCTCCCGAAACCCGCACGAACTTGGCTGCCGGGTAGTGGAGGGGTATTTTTGTTCTCCATTTTTTTTTGGCATCTCGAAAGGCATGACGGCTAGATGTATACCTAGGCTCAGCATGCAAGTGTGGGGCTGTACATGGTTCTCGATTCGGCAGCCACTAGTCTGAGCCGCGCTTATCTTTCGATCATCGCGCCGTTGTTGCTTGTTTCGGCACTCTTGCCTGTGTACTGACCAGATGCAGGATACGCCTTCCACCTCAACGCCTGCAGACCAGCAATCGATAAGATCAGCCAAAGGGTCGCATTCCCACAAACTCCCGTTCCATGGGCACCGGCATCACAGGAGCAACGACGAATCAAAGGCCCCCGACCTCGGGCATGGGATGCCGCTGCGCCCCGTCGCCAGCAGAGATGAATCGTCGAGCAGCTACCGAGGCCGCACTGATTTTAGCATTCGCTCGGGATTAGCGTCTGCGATGACTTCCAACATCGCACTGGTCCCACGATCGAGCAGTCCGACCGGCAGCACAAAGTCGAACAAGGAGCCGCTCGGCTCGAAGTCGCCCGGCGGCCCAATGGCGGGCAAAAGATCCCTTTTCGACAAGCTGCGCCGCAAGGACAAAGCTGATCGTGGTGTAGATGGTCTGAAATTCCCTAGCATCCACACTTTGGCTGCAACAAACAATGAGGCTAACAAATGTGGCGAAACAGATCCACGCGAGCTGAAGAGCAAACTTGTAGTCCAAGCGTCGGCTGGATCATGGGGTCAGCCCTACGTCTCATACGACAAAGGGAAAAAAGAAGGCAGCAGAATACCATTCAAATCCAAACGTCCTCAGCAAACGCCCGAGGGCCCTGTCGGGAAGGATCCAAACACTGCTGAAGCTGATGCGACAGGCCATGAAGCACTGTGGAACCTAGACACCGACTTGTCGCACATGGAGGGCATCATTAACCCTCAGCAGCCACCGATGACCCCACCGATGGGTGACATATATGCAGGATGGCCAGATGACACCGCCCCCCCTGGCAAGGAGAGGGAACAGGAAGAAAAGGGCGTCTGGGACGCGCCAGACTCTTGGGCCGTGAAACGCGCCAACGACGAGAACGTTAGTCGTTTGCAAGAGCTTGACGAGCAGGGGAACCCTCAAAAAGAAGAGGTCGACCCCGGGCCTCCATTCTGCGTCCGCATCTTCCGAGTCGATTCGACGTTCGCTGTTCTTTCCGTCCCCGTCAACACGACGGTTGGAGAAGTCATTCAAATTCTGGGCAAGAAGTCATTCCTGCAGGACGAGCTCGGAAACTACCAAATTATAATGCGCAAGCACGACACGTCTCGGCAATTAGAACCGAACGAAAGACCGCTCGTCATACAGAAGCGTCTGCTCGAACAGGCCGGATACAGCGAATCGGACAGGCTGGAAGACGTAGGGCGGGAGGACAACAGCTACCTCTGCCGATTCACCTTCTTGCCGGCCAAGATGAGCGGTTATTCCAGTCTGGAGAAAGATCCCGGATTCAGTAAAATGCAAAAGTTCAGTCACATAGACCTTCAAGGACGGAACCTCATCACCATACCCATCACTCTGTACCAAAAGGCCACGGAAATCATCTCCCTCAATCTTTCACGTAATCTTTCCTTGGATATCCCGAAGGATTTCATCCAAGCTTGTACAAATCTCCGCGAGATCAAATACACGAGCAACGAGGCGTGGAGGTTGCCGCCCAGCTTGAGCTTGGCGACCCGCTTGACGATGCTGGACATTTCTAACAATCGGTTGGAACAGCTCGAGCACGCAGACCTTTGGAAGCTGCACGGTCTTCTGAGCCTCCGGCTGTCGAACAACAAGCTCACGCACCTGCCGGAGTACTTTGGAAGCTATCGCGCGCTGAGGAGTCTCAACCTCTCGTCCAACTCCTTGACGGAGTTTCCCGACTTCCTCGGTGACATTCAGACACTGGTTGATCTAGATGTCAGCTTCAACTCCATCGAAAGCTTGCCGAAGATTGGTCAGCTGGTTTGCCTGGAGAGGCTGTGGGCCACGAACAACAAACTGCGTGGCTCGTTCCCGGACGATTTGAAGAATCTCTCCAACTTGAAGGAAATTGACGTGCGGTTCAACGCCATCGACAGCATCGACGTCATGTCGCAGCTTCCACGCCTCGAGTACTTGATGGTAGGCCACAATTCAATCTCGGCGTTCGAGGGGTCTTTCGCGAAGATTCGGGTTCTGCACCTCAACCACAATCCCGTCACTCGCTTTGGACTGAGCGGGCCGGTGACAACCTTGTCGATGCTCAATCTGGCATCGGCGAAGCTCACGCAGTTGCCAGACGATTTGTTCCTGAAGGTCCCCAACCTCACGAAGCTCATTCTCGACAAGAATCACTTCGTGTCTCTGTCGCCGCAGATGGGCAAGCTCTCGAAGCTGGAGCACCTCAGTCTCGCGAGGAACAACATCGACCGATTGCCCGCAGATATTGGAAGGCTCTGCGAACTGCGCTATCTGGACGTCAGGGAAAACAACCTAAACGCGCTTCCGCAGGAGATCTGGTACGCTCGCAAGCTGGAGACTCTGAACATCTCCTCGAACGTCTTGGAAACGTTCCCGAAGCCCGGACCGCCTAATCCGACATTCCAGCCCGCCGATTCCCAGGTCGACGGAACCCCCGGAACTGCGCAAACCACTCCTGGACTCTCCAGCAGCCCAAGTTTCGAGGATCTTGGCAAGCTGGAGGATTTTGAAGCACGAAGGCCCAGCCAGAACTCGGGCCAGGGATTGCTCACAGTCAGCTCATCGCCGGGCGCTCAGAGAAGCGGTTCGGTCGCTTCGGGATACTCCTCCAGCGGAAGGAAAGCGTCGACGACGTCGAAGACCACGGACGGAACGGTGACGCCAGTCACCCGCAAAGACTCGAGCTTGTCCAACCGAATGGTTTCTACGTTCGCCGGCTCCCTCCGACATTTGTTCCTCGCGGACAACCGACTCAATGACGACGTCTTTGACGAGCTCGCCCTTCTTCCCGAGCTACGGATTCTGAATATTTCGTATAATGTCATCTACGACCTACCTCCTCGGACCCTCCGCAGATGGCAGCACATCACGGAGTTTTATCTCTCCGGCAACGATCTGACGTCCCTTCCGGCCGAAGATCTCGAAGAAGTCACATCGCTGAGGATCCTTCACATCAACGGGAATAAATTCCAAGTGCTTCCGGCCGAGCTCGGCAAAGTGGCCAAGCTGGCCATCCTGGATGTCGGCAGCAATGCGCTCAAGTACAATGTATCCAACTGGCCGTACGACTGGAACTGGAACTGGAACCACAACCTGAGGTACCTCAACCTTTCGGGCAACAAGCGCTTGGAAATCAAGCCGCACGGCGGATTCGCGGGCGCCGGCGGTTACGGGCGCGAGGGCAAGGACCTCACAGATTTCACCTCGCTCACAAACTTGCGCATCTTGGGGTTGATGGACGTCACGCTGATGGTTCCCTCCGTGCCTGACCAGAGCGAGGACCGAAGAGTGCGGACCGCAGGCTCGATGGTCGGAACGATGTCTTATGGGTTGGCGGATACCTTGGGACGGAACGAACACCTCTCAACCATGGACCTAGTCATTCCCAAGTTCCGGAGTCATGACGACGAAACGCTCTTTGGCATGTTCGATGGGCAGGCCTTGCCGGCGGGCGGCTCGAAGATTGCCAAGTACCTTTACGACCATTTCAAGAACCGATTTTCTGACGAACTGGAACGGCTTCGAACCAACGAAACCCCGGCCGATGCGCTCAGGAGAAGCTACCTGGGACTGAACAAGGACCTCGCAGGTGCAGCGACCCAGTCGCAAGACAAGGCCGGCGTCGTCCACCGCAGCAGCATGCCTGACTTGAGCGAAGAGGACCTTCACTCCGGCAGCGTTGCGACGGTCGTGTACCTAAAGGAGATGGAACTCTACGTCTCGAACGTGGGTGACGCACAGGCCCTCTTGATCCACTCAGAGGGAAGCCACAGGATCATCACCAGAAAACACGACCCGGCAGAACCCAGCGAGCGCACGCGTATCAGGGATGCCGGAGGCTTCGTTTCTCGTCAAGGAAAACTCAATGATGTCCTCGAGGTCTCGCGTGCTTTTGGATACATCCAGATGTGTCCGTCGGTCATTGCCGCTCCGCACGTGTCACACATCACCCTGCGCGAGTCCGACGAGATGATTCTTGTGGCTTCTCGGGAGCTTTGGGACTACCTCACTCCTGACTTCGCCGTCGATGTCGCACGCTCCGAGCGCGGCGATCTCATGAGAGCTGCACAGAAGCTGAGAGATCTCGCGATCGCGTTTGGTGCGACGGGCAAGATCATGGTCATGCTCATCGGTGTCAGTGACCTGCGAAAGCGTGAGCGTGCGAGGTTCCGCACGCACAGCATGTCCATGGGCCCCACCGGTTCTCCCGATGAGCTCTTCCCCTTCCCGCGCAGCAGAGGCAAGCGCCGCGAGGTCGTCGGAGACCAGAAACTTGCCCGCCTCGATTCGGAAGTGGACGCTCCTACCGGAGAAGTCAGCTTGGTCTTCACCGACATCAAGAATTCGACCCTCATGTGGGAGACTTATCCGACGGCCATGCGTTCTGCCATCAAGATGCACAACGACGTCATGCGTCGGCAGCTGCGCATCATTGGAGGTTACGAGGTCAAGACTGAAGGTGATGCTTTCATGGTCGCCTTCCCGACGGTGACTTCGGCACTGCTCTGGTGCTTCACAATCCAGAGCCAGCTTCTGGACGTGCAGTGGCCTCAGGAGATCCTGAACAGCGTCAATGGCCAAGAGGTCGCCGATGCGGATGGCAACATCATCTTCCGTGGTCTCTCGGTCCGTATGGGTATCCACTGGGGCACGCCGGTGTGCGAAGTCGATCCGGTCACGAAGCGCATGGACTACTTCGGTCCCATGGTCAACAGAGCATCCCGTATATCGTCCGTCGCCGACGGTGGTCAGATCACCGTGTCGTCGGATTTCATCGCCGAGATCCAGCGCCTGCTCGAGACGCACATAGAGTCCGACCGGTCCGGCAGCGTGGACGAGTCTCTCGGCGACGATGCTCAAGCTCAAGCCATCCGGCGCGAGCTGAGATCGCTGAGCAGCCAAGGTTTCGAAGTCAAGGACCTCGGAGAGCGCAGGCTCAAGGGTCTCGAGAACCCCGAATACATCTACCTGATGTACCCGCACTCCCTGGCGTCGCGCCTCGTCGTCCAGCAACAACGCGCTGAGGCCGAAGCAGCGGCGAACACTGCAATGGCCGGAACCAAGATGCCAGACTCGCAGCTCACGATCAACACGGAGGATGTCTGGGCGCTGTGGAACGTGTCGCTTCGCCTCGAGATGCTCTGCTCCGCGCTCGAGAGCCCTGGTAGCACCCAGCTGAAGGCACCCGAGACGGCACTGCTCGAGCGCATGAAGACTCGAGGCGGCGAGATCACGGACAGGTTCTTGATCAATTTCGTCGAGCATCAGATTTCGAGAATCGAGGTAAGTAACGCACCGCCCGCTGTTGGCGTCGAATCCACTGACACGGGCCGCACAGTCTTGCATCACGACACTACAGCTCCGTCATACCGTCCGTCCTTTCGGATATGGCATGCTCCAGCAGGCCTGCCCCATGGACGACATATTTGCCGAACTCAGCAGCCAGCTCGAGGAACTGCGCTTGCTCAAAGCTACTGCTGCGGCATAACGATGCGTATTCATGTCGAAAACGATAGTCTGGTCGCGCCATTTCCACCCGGGCGACTGCATGTAGAACATAATCCCTTTTCCCATGTTGTCCAGCGAAAAACAAAATACATGTTATACTCCGCAGCACGAAACTCGTTCGAACACTTCCTATCCTTCACCTTCAGATCACCGATCTTCACCCATCCATCCACCCAGCCACCCACCATCTACCGACCGAACGAGTCCGACCGCCATATTCTTACCACGCAGAAAAAATAATCCTCCGCCCGCGACTGTTATTCACTTCACGACATCAACGATTGTTGCGCGTTGTTTGACAAGACTTTTGAGGCGTGGTTTGACTTTGGCCGTTGTTTTCCATCATTCGAGCGCCAGGCACCGTCAGTCAGGAGAAGGGGAGGAGAAAGATAAAGGGATGCGGGCAGCGCGGGGCGCAACGCAAGGCGCTTTGAAAATGTTTTGTTCTTTTGGCCTCTCAACCTCTCTGTTGGGTATTCTCAATGCCGCTGTTGCTACTTTACACAACTGTGGGATATTCTTGTTTTGCTGGCGGGTCGACTGCTTATCGGGACTGTTCTCTTGCGCTTTTTTTTTTCTTGGGTTGCGAATCGGATTTTTGAAACTGTTGGTTCTTTAGCCGGTGGTTTGTGTTTTTATGTGTTGTTTGTCCAGTCGTCGTGTCCTCGTTTTACTGTTAGTTTCCGAGCTGTGCGGAGACGACTAGCCTCTCCTGATGTGTGTGAGTCTTGTGCGGGTTGTTGAAAAGGCGGATTTCTGAGTCAAACGTCGTTGGAAAGAATGACTCTGTCGCTATCACTATCATTACATTTTCCATCCCGCCTTCACGATTGTTTCTTCGACCCATCTCCCGTTTGCATCTTGGTGGCGCACGAAAGAGAAAGAAAGAGCGTGGGAGTGTGTACTGCTCTTCCAGTGTGCCTTGTCTTCTTTGAGGTGGCCTCAATTATGATCAACCGTCGCATTCGTGCGAGACGGTTAGCTGGTTTTCTTCCTTTATTTCTTCGTGTTGCCTCCGTTTTTCGCCCGATGTAAGAGTTGTCCTTTGCCTGTTCTGCCGGTGGTGGTAGCGATGCCGATAACATTGGGAGGAAAGCTGATTTACGTCAAATATCGTGTGCCTGATGCTTCATTAAACATGTCACAGCCACTCTTGCATCGTTATTTGTGTTGGTGTGGTTGTTTCTCGTTCATTTCGTCCATTCTTTCAAGATACAACATTAAGGTGCGCGGATGGTCTCACGGTGTCTGGCATACAACGCGCGGACGAGAGAGGGCGGTGGCTCGACGGTCACTCTTTTTTATTCTGTAGAGATGTGAGGGGAACAGACTACGTGATAGCCTCGCTCACCCTGAACGGAATTCAGGAGAAAATATTCACCAGTAAAAGCATCCGTTGATTCGACGTGTGTGCATGACGCGCAGTGAATTTTTGCTCTAGTATAAATCTTTCTAGTCTATACAGTCCCCTCTCGCAGCCGAGGGCTAGCGTGGATTTGTTTTTTGGTCATGCCATGGGCAGTTGAAGCTATCGTCCGGACGAGAATGTCGACTTAAAAATTCTATATACACGTCCGGACGATAGCTTCAACTGCCCACATATGTTATTTTTCTGAAGCAAAGCTGGGGGCATAGTTACGCTAAGTTCTAGAGCCCTGCTATCCTTCGCGCTAGCCATCGGCTGCAGCACCCCTCTGTACCCACGCCCTCTATCAAAAACCTTGCCTGACCTTGTATCCAACTCCATCTGCGCCATGCAATACCCAAAAAAAAAATAAAACCAAACGACGAGGCAAATCCAGAAGAATGGAGGCTTTTCTGGACCACTGGCTGGGGCCATCCCATGCAAGCTCGCTCTTCACTTCTTCACGACAGGATAAGTGAAGCTCTGGCCATCCATCAGGCCCCACAGCTCCTCGACAACCTTTCTCTGGCCATCGCGCCCAGACGCACCCCGGACGGCGAGGTAGCAGCGGCCCTCGAGCTCCGGATCCCAGTCGCCTAGATTGGCGCTCGCGATCAGACCGCCAGCCTCTTGCACGACCAGCCAGCCGGCGCAGATGTCCCAGACCCAGACACCGGCCTCCCAGTAGACGTCGAGCCAGCCCGCGGCGACGTAACAGAAGTCGAGAGCGGCGGATCCGGAGCTACGCACGCTGTGGACCATAGCGCCGCCAATGTCCTTGGACGAGAGGAGCTTCTTGTGCACGGATGCGCGGAGCTCCCAGTTCGGCCCGCTGCGCTGATTGCCCCATTCGACGGCGACGAGGCAGTCGTTGAGCGAATTCATGGGTGGCGGGTTGCGCTTGACGGGGAGGGGGATGCGGCGGCCGTCAGGACGGGTCAGGTATGCGCCTTTGCCCTTGATGGCGGTGAAGAGGTCGCCGCGGAAGGGGTTGTAGACGACGCCAACAACGGGCTTGCGGCCGACGGTCAGCGCGAGGGAGACGGCGACGTTGGGAAAGCCGTGGATGAAGTTGAGGGTGCCATCGATGGGGTCGGCGACGATGGTGGGGGCGTCAGTCAACTTGGTGCCTTCCTTGAACGTCTCTTCACCCAGAAACTCGAACTTGGGGTAAGTCGTGTGGATGACGTGGTGGACCATGTCCTCGACGGCTTTGTCAGTTGCGGTGACACGGTCGCTGGAGTTGTTCTTGGTATCAGAGTCGTCCACGGTGGGGTCGGCGGCGAGGATCATCTGCCCGGCGCGGTGCGCGATGCTGACCAGCGTCTCTTGAATGTCCTCGAGCGGAATGCCGCCGCACAATGAGGCCAGAAGGTGCTCATCGACGTCGGCCAGATCGAAGACGGACCCGTCAGGGCTAGAGAAGGGAGTTTGGTGATCGGATTGTGGGTAAGGTGAGGCGGGCGAGTGGAGCATGCTGGAAGCGCCGGACTGATCCGTGCTATACGACATTTTGAGCGGCATGGTGAGAGGGAAATGGTAAAGTCGGTGTTGGCGAAGAGGGTTCGTTATATACTGGGTGGCGGACAGAGCTGGGCCCGCAAGCGAAGGCAAAAGGGTGGTGCAGGCGGGTCTGGGCTGACGGCAAGAGAAGGAAAGATTTTGGAGGAAGTAATAGTCCGAAGGATCAGGCGGATTCAACGCCTACGTGGATTAGTGAGTGACGGGCGGACAATGTCGGGCGGCGGCGATGGGCGATGGCAGTGCTGGTGGGTCGACGGACTGGCGAGGGTTTTGGCAAGACGGCGAAATCAGAAGTGCTTATAAAGGTCGAATGTTCGGGAGAGCCACAGCGGCACATGTGGAGGCGGGAGCGGCGGGACCGCTTTCTGGCACGTGCAAGGAGCAGCGCAGGTGTTGACAGGCGGGCGAAGGGCGGCATTAAGAAGGAGCGCGTGAAGCACGTGAAAGGTCTGGGACAAATAAGATTGGTGGTGGTGTTGCGGGAGCGCACAGGCTCTGATTTCTCAGGCGTGGGTCGCGTTTGTCTCCCGATTGGGCCATCTCCACAACGTCTATCCTCAGCGTTATCGCCACCATGCGCCCCGCTCCGCTCATTGTTTCTTCGCCATCAGGTTACAGGCGAGGGTCAGGCGCAGAGGTTCGCCGGGGGTGGCGTGCGGCCATGTGTGCGTGGAAGCTGCACGTTGCGGGCCGAGAGGAATGCAGTTGCTAGGCTACCAGCTGATCGGGCCGCTGCGCTGCGCTGCACCGCACAAAACGAACGGCAAGCGTGACAAGGGAAGGCGCCGCCAAGCCGGGCCGCGCTTGCTTGGTTTGCCCGTTGCTTCTTGCGCGGAACGGCGGCGGACCGACGCTCCATCAAGACCATGCCAACGCCCGCCCGAACGACCTCCCCCCCGCAACCACTCCAAGATGCGCCCGCCCACCCAGGAAGACGAACGCGCTGAGGACTCGCCAGACCAAGCTCCTCAGGATCAATGTCTAGCGTATGTCCTTGACCTCTCGCGTCCAGCCTCGCCTCCGCCGCAGTCCGCCACCATCGCACGACCTCAAACTACTGACTGGATTCCAGGGTGACGCAGTGCGCAAAAGACCTCAGCAACCTGCGCAGAGGCCAGCGTCGCCGCATCCGTCGCGAGCTTGAGTCCATCGACCCGTCAACTGCCCACCCCCAAAAGCAGTCTCCGCTGTGGTCCAAGCTTCCTCCAGAGTTGCGCAATCAAATCTTCACTCTCGCCGTGTCCCAGCATGTTGATCTCACCCGCCCGTACCCAGAAAACAGCTGGTACTATCGCCCTGGCTACACCCATGCCTTTGCAATGCACACCGATCTTCTAGCCACCTGCCGCCTGGCCTACTGGGAAACCTCGGCCATCCCCTTGTCCACTGCCACTCTGCCTGTGTGGGAAGATCGCGGCCCTCCCGATGCTCCAAAGTGGCGCTTCGCAGAGTTCACCGCCAGGAACACGGCTCTGCTGAACCACGTTCACTTCTTCGTGCGCCGCCCCAATGGGCATTGGTATACGCCTCTGTCCCAGTTTCGCCCCAAGCACATTACCGTCACCATCCGTCACACGTCGTGGTACGGCTGGCCGAACGACAAGCCGCTCATGATTCTGGACACCTGGCGCCATGGTCTCATTCCGGCCAACGTCAAGTTTCCATCGTGTCTGCAAGACCTAACAATCGAATTCGAGACGCTGAAGCGCAAGAAGGACCAGTTGAACAACATCATCAAGAAAAAAGTTTCCAACTGGCGCTTCCCGCTCGAGGATGGCACCGTACTTTCCCCGCTCACCACTCCACCAAAATATTCCGAGTGGACGGGTGCAGCCGACTTTGGTGGTGTGAAGTGGCGCTTGGCCCACGGAAATCTGGACACCATCGACTATGTCGTCGTCACCATGACCTGGACGCCGCACCAGTCTACTCGCGAAACCATCGAGTCCGCTTGATTTCGAACCTTGCTCGAGGGACTGTGGACCACTCCGATTGCAATGATTTGGCAGCTGGGCGCCGTGATCTTATTCAGATGCGCTCACTCGGGATATACACTATGGCAAGGCATGGTCATGTGTCCACATGAATTATGTCAAAGGATATCGGAACCCATTGCTTCGTTTTTTCCCGTCACTTATCTCTACTTTTTTCTAGCGGCTTCAAGGACTTCTCTAGTTACCCGGTCTCTGCGTGATGTATCCACGACCCCGTAAGCATCCTCTGCTTGCTTAAATATATCGTCCTCCCAGCCGTCGCCCACATTCTCCCTCCCAGAATCATCCCAGCACCGCTGGACCGTGCCCCCTATGTTCTTGAAAAAGGCCTCCAAGCCTCCTGGACCGCCGCCGGCATGATAGCTCTTGAACGGGCCGGCGACAGCCCATCGCGGACCCATGCTGGCCTGCACCACGCGGTCCAGCTCCTCGACGCCAACAACGCCGTCCCGAACGAGGTGGACCGCCTCGCGCAGTAGCGCAAAGGCCAGCCGGTTGGCAACGAAGCCGGAGACTTCCTTGTGCAGGACCACGGGCTCGCGGCCCCGCGCCTGCCAGAATGTGACGGTCCTACGCACCGTCTCTTCGCTCGTTCGGGCGCCGGGGACGACTTCGAGCAGGGGCATGATATGGGGTGGGTTGTACGGATGGACAACGACTAGCCGCGCAGCAGCGTCGACGAGACCGGCGGCCTCGGCCTGGGCGGTCGCAGTGATGCCGGACGTGCTGCTCCAGAAGAGAGCGCCGGGCTTCTCCACGTGCTCGGCCACTTGGGCCCAGATGGCGGCCTTGAAGGGCAGGTTTTCTGGGCCTTGCTCTTGCACGATGTCGGCGTCGCGCACGGCGTCCGGGAGCGAATCCGTCAGGCGGATCGACGAGAGGTCGTACTGTCCTTCGGGCAGGTACTTGGGGAGCGTGGAAGCAACATATTCGGCCAGGTCGGGACGCGTGTCGAGGATGGTGAGCTGCGAGGGGGACTTGAGGAAGTGCAGGTGCAGCGCGGCGAAGGAGAGACCAATAGTGCCGGCACCGATGAGGGTGATGCGGGTATCGGCGTCGATGTAGTGAGTACCGGACATTATTGTTTTTCGAGTCGCGTGTAACGGCGGGGTCAAGTGTGTGGATGGCGGGGTAGCTTGCCCCGCAATTCCATGACCTTGCGGCTCAATTGGGCCGCCTCTCTCTCGTCATACAGTCCCCTCTCGCAGCCGATGGCTTTGTTTTTTGTTCATGTCGTGGGTATCTGAAGCTATCTTCCGGACGAGAATGTCGAATTAAAAATTCTACATACATATTCCGGACGATAGCTTCAAATGCCCACATATGTAATTTTTTCTAAGGCAGAGCTGGGGCATAATTACGCTATGTTGTTCTCTGCTATTCTTCGCGCTAGCTATCGGCTGCAGCACCCCTCTGTAGCTGCAGGCAGAAATTGGTTTACGCCTCGGCAATGCCTGCTCCCTTCTCCACCTCCGCCTTTTTATTCCTTCTACTGCTCTCGGTTCAATCTTTCATTCTGTCTTTCCTGCATACAGTCACACAAATCTCCAAGATGACAATTTTCAAGTCTCGCCAGCCAGACATCGAGGGTAAATAAATCCACCATTCAGAATAAATAAAGCAAAACGAAGAGCCAGCTCATAACCGCCCGCAGTGCCAACCCACCTCACGACCTGGGACTGGCTCTTCGACTCACCCTACTCGCCGCTGTCCCGCCTGGGCCGCGACCAGCTCGCCGGCTACACCGACGCCACGACGAACGAGACGCTCGACTGGGCGGCCGTCAAGACGCTGACGACGTACCTGTCGACGGCGCTGGTCCGCAAGCACGGCCTGCGCCCCGGCGAGACCGTCTCGCTCTTCAGCCAGAACTCGGTCTGGTACCCCGTCGTCATGCACGGCGCGCTGCGGTACGGCGCGCGCGTCTCGGGCGCCAGCCCGGCCTACGGCGTCGACGAGATGGCGTACGCCCTGCGCACGGCCAAGGCGAGGCTGCTGGTCACCGGTAAGGAGAGCTTGGGCGTTGCGGTGAAGGCGGCACAGAAGGCTGGATTGGAGAAAGGGAGGGTGGTTTTGTTGGAGGGAGAGGCGGAGGGGTTCGAGACGGTTAGTGTAAAAAGAGACTTTAAAAAAAGGATGTGCTGGTGACTTGCATCTAGGTGAAAGAACTGATCGAGTGGGGAAGGAAGCAAGGAGAGAGCAATCAGGTGCCGGCATTCAAGATTCCAGAGGGCAAGAAGAACGGTGACGTTTGCGGGTTCCTGAGCTTCAGTTCGGGGACGACCGGATTGCCCAAGGCTGTAAGTGGTCGACGAGATATATCAAGAGCTTTACTTATTCGCACAGGTCATGATTTCGCACAAAAACGTCATCGCCCAATGCCTCCAGGTGCAGCAGATTACGACGGCCGACCACGACAAGGTGCTGGCGGTGCTGCCGTCGTTCCACATCACCGGCCTCGTGCACGTCCTGCACCTGCCAGTTCTCATCAACGCCGCCGTCATCATGCTGCCCTCGTTCACCATGCGCTCGATGCTGGCGGCCGTCGAGAAGCACCGCATCGGCGAGCTGCTGCTCGTGCCGCCCATCCTCATCCGCCTGGTGCGCGACCCCGTCGTGGCCGAGTACGACCTGTCGTGCGTGCGCCGCTTCTCGTCAGGCGCAGCACCGCTATCACCAGAGATCCTACAGCAGCTACGCGACAAGTTCCCGGGAACGGGCTTCAAGCAGGGTTACGGCATGACGGAGAGCTGCAGCTGCATCACGGCGCACCCGCCCGACAAGTACGACTTCCGCCACGCGCACGCCGTCGGCACCATCGTCGCCAGCACCGAGGTCAAGATCGTCAGGCCCGACGGCAGCGCGGCCGGCGTGGGCGAGGCCGGCGAGATCCTCGCCCGCGGCCCGCAGGTCGTCATGGGCTACCTCGACAACGAGGCCGCCACGCGCGAGACGTTCGACGCCGACGGCTGGCTGCACACGGGCGACCAGGGCGCCGTCGACGCCGACGGCCTCGTCACCATCACCGACCGCATCAAGGAGATGATCAAGGTCAAGGGCGTCGGCGTCGCCCCCGCCGAGCTCGAGGACCTGCTGCTCGGCCACCCCAAAGTCGAGGACGTCGCCGTGCTCGGCGTGCCCGATGACTACGCGGGCGAGGTGCCAAAGGCGTACATCGTACTCAAGCCCGGTGTCGTCGTCGACGACTCGAAAGGGGGGGATGAGGCGGCGGCGGCGGCGGTAGGTAGGGAGTTGCTGGCGTACGTGCGCGAGAACAAGGTACGCTACAAGAGAGTTAGGGAGATTGAGCTCGTCGATGAGATACCGAAGAGCGCGAGTGGGAAGATTTTGAGGAGGGTGCTGCGGGATAGGGCTAAAAAGGAGGCTAGGGGCGTTGTCGTGAGGGATGCCGTGGCAGAAAGGGCGATGCTATAGAGCCTCTCGGAGTACATTTTGCACTCGTTGCCATAATCTCGGTTCTAGAAAAGAATTAAACGTATCGTTGTGTTAGAATTCGTCGTTGACGGTTAAGTGACGGGATGTAAGAGGCGGATCCCCTTGTGAGCGGTAGAAAATCGTCATTCCGCCAGACCAATCGACAGGAATGAGTTTCTCTGCGGCTGCAATGGTATTCACTGTTGTGACTCATGATGCGGTCTGACCCGTGGTACGCGCCATCAAACTTCTTCTCGGCACCAACTGATGCACCGCACACTTCTCGTCGGCCGCCTTTGTGAAATCAAAATAGAGTCCACAAAGAAAGCAGTAGAGAGGGTATAGAAAAGATATAATGCTCACAGCTTTAGTTAGTGATGGGGCAAAAAATAAAAAGGGCAAAACTACAGGCTCCCCCGGTGGGGAGCCCGCAGAAACCCCTCTCCGCCCGACCGTAGGGCGTCGCTGAAGGGTTTTTTGCGATAGGCAGTGAGTGGCGGCAGACGGGAGTTGAAATCAGGCGGGAGGTTGAACGTGGACGCTCCAAGCTGCGAGCTTGGGGATCCGCCGGTGCTACCACTGGACTATGCCAGTGCTAGCACCGGCGGATAATAGGGGAGCTGCAGGAATCAATTATATATCAAACACTCCAGGTGCACAGCAAATGTTAGGGAGATGTAAGGGTCGATTTTTCTAGGGGTTGCGGAAGAGTAGACAGAACACACTACCCACCACCTTTCTGGTATCTCACACAGCAACGGCTGGAGCGTACGTCTCTCCGGAAAGCTCAACATGGCCATGTCGGTGACGCAAAAAAGCCCTTCTCGTCAGCCATCGTGAATCTCCGTCTGGTCATAACCTCCCTCGGCCTCCTATAGGTGTATCCCACAAACGCACCCTTTTTTCTCGCCTCCATGACCTGACGCCTAAGCCCTGGATCGCGGAGGAGTTTGTCTCTCGCCCTACGCTTCTCTTTGTCTCTATTGGCCCTATTCTTTCCTTTTTCTTTTGACATTTCTCTCTCTACTTCTCTCTCTTTACCTTTGCCTTTGTCCTTTTCGCTTCCAGTCTCCGCAGGGCTGGGATCCTCGAGGTCATTCGCCTCATTTTTGTCTTGACCGGCGCCACTATCGCGAGGTACGTTCTCGCCCTCAACGCTCAGCGTCGAATCAGCATCCGGATCGGCTGCATCATCGCCGGAGCTGAGTATTTGCGTTTCGTCATCGAAGTACTTCGTCAGATCTTGGCCGACGCGGATGTGCGGGACGAACGGTGGACGCATTGCGTGAAGACGGTCCCACTGGATGCCGTGGAAGAAAACGTGCTCCTTGATTTCACGAGCGTCGTCTGCGAAGACAAAGTACCTCTGGTGACTCGGCTGCGCTGGCACACTGACGTTGGCAGAAACGTGCCTCTGGGCGGCACCGAAAGCAGCGGTCATGGGCGTAGTCGACGCATGCTGGAGGCCCGAAGAGCGCATGCTGAAGCTGCGGTGATGATGGTAGCGTGGCAAGCAGTCGTGGCGAACGTCGTTCTCGCGGTAATGGGGCGACGACAGGCGGATCTCCTTGTCGGTGAGGAGGCACTTCATAAGATTTACGGCGGTGTAGGACACGGGGGCAAGAGGAACGCGTTCGGCAGAGGGCCCACCCCAGCGTTGGTCTTGCGGGAAGCCGAGGTGGTGATGGTGGTAGACAATCTTTTGCTTCGTATCCTTACGGTCCGGACAGTAAAAGGGCGTCTGTCCGTACAGGCACTCGTACAAAATTATCCCGAGGCTCCACCAATCGCAACGACCGTCGTATTCTTCGCCTCTGATCACCTCGGGCGCCATGTACTGACTCGTACCGACGATGCTTTTGGCGAGTCGACGTTTCTGGTGGCGGTTCATCCACAGAACCGGGTTATCCTCCTTGCCCGGAGGCTCCTTGGCAGGCTGGTCCTTGACGGAGAACATGGAGGGTCTCCGTTGGGAACGGCCGAACATGTTGCTGAATCCAGGGGTCTTAGGCTCAGGAGAACTGTCTTCTACGACGTCTTGGTCGTCGCCGCGGACGTCGATGCCGAACTTCTTGAGGAGATTGTAACGTTTTTCGTTGAAGTAGGTCTGATTGTGGGCCCAATGGCCGTCAAAGGCCAATCCGAAATCCGAAATTCTAAGGTGTCCGGACGAAGTGATGAGAAAGTTGTCGGGCTTGATGTCGCGGTGGATCCACTTCATCCTGTGGGCTTCCTCAACGCACAGGATCATCTCGGCAATGTACCAGCGTGCAGTCGCTTCATCCAGGACATCTTCTCTCATGAGAAGGCCGAGAAAGTCGCCGCCGACCATGTACTCCATGACGAGATACAGGTTCGTGTTATCCTGGAAGCTCGCAATCAGAGGAACGACCCAGCGGGAATTCTCCGAGGCAACGAGGAAATCCCGCTCTGCGCGCAGATGGCCCTCCTGGCAGTTCCGCAGCATTTCGGACTTGCGGATGACCTTCATGGCGTAGACCTGCCTGCTAATCCTCGAAGGGTCAAAGCGGCCACGCTCGTCATCGCTGCCGTCGAGACGCTCAATGTCGGACTCGGTCTGCTCAGTCGAGGGGAATTTGGGCTGCGGTCGCCGCTTCTCTCGTACGAGGCGCACCACGCCAAAACTGCCTTTGCCAAGCACGCGAACGACCTCGTAGCCGGCGACCGAGACGCCTTTGGACTTGCGTCTGACCAGTGATTTGGACTTCAAAACGCGGCTTTGTCGCAAGTGGTTACTCTCTTGCAGACGCCACTGCTTCAGCCTCTCTGCCTTCTCTTCTCTGGATAGAGGAAGTACGGCAAGCTGCGATTCGACGAGCCGACGGCGCTCCTGCCGCGGACTGGGATCGGACGACAACAGGGTGTTGAAGTGCGTCTCGAAATACACCTTGGCGGCGGCGGCGGACTCGATGGTGGATACGGACGGCCTGATGGGATGGTCCTCGCGGTATTCAAAAGGAAAACGGGAATTGGACGAGCCATGAAGCTCCGTGAGGGTCGTCTCGTCGCTACCCTTGGCCTTTTCGACTTCCTTGACGCGGGCTGACGAGCTGGGGGTAGGCGAGTTGGAGCGGATGCTCTTGGGCAAGCCGAACCGAGAGCCGAAACTGCTCGAGCATGCGTCGGTCGAGGTGGGTGCTGTAGAAGCGGACTCGGGAGGAGAAAAGCTAGTTGACTTTCCCGGCGAAGAAGTGGTGAGGGCTGACGATACTTGAGAGAGCGGACTGAGCGGCGTCTCCTGGCGGTCTTGAGGGCTTGCGGCGGCCGGAGTGGATCCGGATCTGCTGCCATCGCTCTCGTCATCGACGTCTTTGGTGCGGCCGAAGAAGATGCTGGGGCGGCGGGCGGCACGGCGGTGGATCACGGTACGCTTCTTGTACGGATGGCTGAAGTGGAAAGTCATATTCGAGTAGAGATATGGGGCAGCCTGACAGCTGCCGCCGATAACGATGCGTTGCAGGCAGGTCGTCCATGGTTTTGATCAGAAAGCGGCGGATACAGGCACCTTCCCCGACGTTCCGATGCTCCTACCTTTTCGCAGAAACGAGCTCAACTTCGGAAGGCCCAGATACGGCTTCCAGAGTGAGCGGCGCTCTTCCGGAGGGCCAAATTTCGACGCATCTCGTCTCGCAATCGTCTATCAAGCGCTTGTCGGAGCGTCATCGCAGCTCGACTGTATGCCTGAGATGTGAGGCATCAGTACACGGCTTCCCTAAGCCTCAAGCAGCAAAGACCGCTCTATCGCCCCGCATGGCTGCATGCAGGTCTAAAGGTTGCTCTCCAAAGGGCCGATAAGAAGAGTCGTTGCTGAGCGCCTCGTGCGATTGAAGAGCTGGTTGTGCGTGTCAGGGAGTGCAGTACACTGGCGCAACGATCATCGGTTGATGAGTGGGTGGAGAAGGTGGGCTCGTGATCTGCCCCGATGTTCAGATCACGCCCGCTGAACCCGCGACACCCGGGGCCCCCGGCCGGGCGCATTGCGTGAGGGGAGGGTTTGTCATGCCTCCCCTCTGCCGCCCTTGCGTGCCTGTCACCTCTCCCACCTTGCCCTCTCTCCGTCGCCCAGCTGTGCAAACGCCGCCTCTGTTCTCGCTGTGCCGCAGCTCATCACACGTCGGTAGCCGCGCTTGGTGGCGCCGCAGGATTCTGCCCTACGCTATCTTATCGATTGTCATCACTAGCTCCCTGTCGCTCAAAACGTCACTGTTGTGCTAGCAAACAAACGTACCTTGCATCAGGGTCCCCTCTTTGCTCTCGTGTCCGCGCTCCTCGGACCTCTGCGACCGTACGCGCGCCGCTTTCGCATGGGGAGACATCCTGCGCTGTCAAGTGCGTCCTCACAAGCCTTGAACACCTAGAAACCCACGAGTCAGTGGCCAACAGCTCCGCTATCAAAGAAACTCCAACATCGCCATGCTCTCTGCACCTTCCCCCTTTCCTCTTTACCTTCTTCCATCCATTCCGTTCCGCCGGCGGCGCTCCAGCACCGAAACCACCGGCACCGTCAGTTCCGAAACCTCCTCGTCTCCCCCAGACGACGCCGCCGCCGCCCCAACCAACTACCTGCGCGGCAACCGCTCGCACCTGCGCTGCACGCGCTGCCTGACGGACCTCTGCCTGACATCGCAGATCATCAGCAAGGGCTTCACCGGCCGCCACGGCCGCGCCTACCTGGTCGCGCCGCCGCGGCCCTACCCCAACACGACGACGTCGGCCGGCGACGACGCGCGCGGCGGCGGCGCCGTCTCGCACCGCGACAACAACCTGCCCAACACGTACGCCCACAAGCCCGTGCCGCGCCAGCTCGTCACCGGCGCCCACACCGTGTCCGACATCAGCTGCGCCCTGTGCGGCGCCGTGCTGGGCTGGAAGTACGTCGCCGCCGAGGAGGAGAGCCAGAAGTACAAGGTCGGCAAGTTCATCCTCGAGACCAAGCGCGTGTGCCGCGGCGTGTGCTGGGAGAACGAGGACGGCGACGGCGATGCCGCCTCGTCTTTGACCCCCGTCAGGCCCGCCGGCGACGCGAGCAGCGAGGACGAGAGCGTAGAGTTCGACAGCCAGGACGAGGACGAGTGCGAGGACCTGTTTGCGGGCGTGTGGAGCCCCGCGCTGGCGAAGCGTAGGCGGAGGGGCCGCGCTTGGAGGGAGGGCAGGGGCGGCACCGGTGGTGTGGAAGAGGTCTGAAGACGACCTTGGACCCTTGTTTTCCATTCTAGTGTGCGAATCCCCATGGCATTGGAGCAGCTATGCTTTCGTCATTCCCTGGAATTCCTGGATGGCACTAATTGGCGTTTTCGATTCACTTCTCCGCTTGGTTCTTTCGTCCCTTATCTTCCTTTGGTCTTATCAGCAATTGACGAAACAGACATCATGTATACCCCCTTCGTTTTGCATACCCCAACATATCCTAGAAGGACGCCGACTCGCACTCGACCCTGAGAGTGAACAATAGCTATAGCATATCAGCAGTAATGTTTTTCTTATACATATCATCTCACCACAATAAGACCGGTGCCATCTTCGTCAGAAGACAGTGTAGCGATTACACGTGCAATCCATATCAGTGTGCAATGAAGAGCTCTTTGCTGTACGGTTGGAAAAACACCCCTTTCCTGCCTTGCCATAGAAACGCCAACTTTTATTCATACAGTGAATAGGCGGCCGAGCGATTAGCACACTGTAATAAGCGTGCTTAGAACTCGGACCGTTGTCTCCCGTCAACTAGATCGAGAACCCATTTTTTGATCCGCAAAGATTGAAGTAAGAAAAAGAAACCAATCAGCAGGGGAGCGGCGCCTGAGAGATCCGTCCTCCCTGCACTATGCCTGCATCTAGTCTGCCGCAATGCAAGTGGGATATCTCAAACGCTGGACAATGCATAACCAGAGGAAAGTCCGAGAACTAAGGAGATTTTCGTCAAGATGAAAAACGGCCGTCATACGAGTGAAGTATTCCCAAGTGTACAGTGAGTGTGGAAACCCTGCTGCACTATGTATGCAACACCCGGTCAATTGGCGAGATGCGGTCGTTCCTTAGTTGATCGAGACCATCTTGATGTCGAAGACGAGGGTCGAGTTGGCCGGGATGCCAGGGAGCGCCGACTTGCCGTAGGCAAGGTGAGCGGGGATGGTAATGCGACGCTCGCCACCGACGGCCATGCCAGCGACACCAATGTCCCAGCCCTTGATGACCTCGCCGGTGCCGAGCTTGAAGGAGAAAGGCTTGCCCTTCTTGTTGGCTGTTGCGGGTCAGTAACGATTCTCCACGCCGAGCTTGGGATTACACTTACAGTCAAAGACCTTGCCGTTCTGCAGCTTGCCGATGTAGCGCATACCGATCCTGTCTCCCTTCTTCGCGGCGGGGCCGGTACCCAGCTTCTTGTCGTCAACCGTGACGCCATTGACATTCTTGGGGCCAAGAGCACCCTTGCTGTCCTTCTTCTCCTCCTTCTTGGGGAGAGGGGAGCCAGTGGGGCCCTGCTCAAGGTTCTTGGCGAACTGGACCTTCTTCTTGTCAGCCGGGCTGTCCTTGGCCTCAGCAGCGATGGCCTTGCCCTCGTTGTTCTTGAGCTTCTTCTGCTGCTTCTTGCTAAGCTTCTCGCCGTTGGCGCTCTCCTTGCTGATCAAGTCGTCGAGGCTCTCGGCCTCCTCGGCCGAGCGCTTGTTCTTGCCCTTCTTGGCCTCGACGAGCTTGGGAGGCTCCTCGTCGTCGGAGCCGAGCTCGGTGATCCTGGGGTTCTCAAGACCATCCAGCTCATCCTCCTCCTCGTCGCTGTCGTACTCGTCATCGAGCTCATCCTCGTCAGGGGAGAGGTCGTACTCCTCATCCTCGCTGTCCTCCTCCTCATCGTGGTCGTGAGTGTGGTCAGGGATGACGTAGTTGCCAGTGAGCGAGATGTCGTAGGCGCCAGTGACCTGGAAGTAGACCTGCTCGTTCTCACCGATGGTGATGTCGAGGGGCTGCTGGTAGTTCTGCAGTGGGGTCAGTGATGCATCCATAGTGCAGAAAATGCTGCCGAGCATACCTTCTGGGGGTCGAGGGTGCAGATGACAAACTCCTCCATCTCCATCTCATCGTCATCCTCGTCCTCGGAGTCCTCCTCACTGTCCTCGTCGTCGGTGGCGCGGCCCTTGCCCTTGTTCTTCTTGGGCTTCTCATCGACCTCCATATCCTCGGCAGCCTCGAGCTCGTCCATGATCTGCTTCATGGCGGCCGCCTTGCGAGCCTTCTTGGACTTGGCGGGGTCGCTGGGGCCGCCGTTCTTCTCCTCATCGTCCTCAGACTCATCCTCGCTGTCGTCCTCGTCCGCAAGGCCCAGGCGGGCGCGAATGGCGTCGATGCTGTCATCCTCATCGTCGTCACTCTCATCGCCGGAAATGGGCTCGCGAATGAGCTTGAGAGTGGCGCGAGGAGGAACGCCCTTCAGCTCCTCGGGGATCTGGGGCTGCGCATTGGGGTCGATGGCGGCCATGGTAATGCGGAACTTTTTCTCAATCAGCTGCAAGGATTCTCAGCGGCATTTGCGCGGAGGGAACCAAACGCGACAGAGACACGGAGGGAGCGGTGACTTACGGTGGCTGGGAAATCGGGGACAGCCTGGATAGGCATGCCTCCGCAAGGGACCTCAAGGCCATAGACGGCGACAGGGAGAAGCGGCATTGCGGCTGATTTTTGGAAGTATTACTCGAAAAAGCTGGTGAATAAGGGCGCGACGAAGCGTACAGCCTGTTGCAAAATGTAGAGGCGGGGGGGAAGGAGGAAGAATGAGAGCGAAAAAAGAGAGGTAGAAGGCGGCAGAGGAGCAAGCGCAAAACGCAGCTCGAACTTTTTCTGGTCCCGAACCTAGGCGGTGAGCGAGCAGATTCTGGATTCTGCCGCCAAGATTTTAGCGCCGCCTCGCGGTGGGACTGGCTGGACATGGGGTCCGCCATGACGCGCCCCACGCCGATTCGCGTTGCACGCCATTCCATTGTCTGAGCCGCAAACCCGACCCTCGGATCGCGAACTCACCATGCTCCTCGAGGGCGCGCATCATCATGGGTTCGCGTCTCGAGAGCAATTCCGACGCTGTCCGCAAGCGCATAGAGAACCGTACGCGTCTGCCACTCGTCGCGTGCAGCTCCAGCTGACCACACTACGCGTCCAGACACCTTCGACAACGAAGAAGGCGAGGAATATGAGGCCTCTAGCTTTGGCGGATTTGCCGAATACTTCCGGCGTAAGAAGGTGAAACTGCAGAACCTCGATGCCGAGCTGCGGTCACAGTCCACCGACAAGCCTCCCATCTTTCGCGGTGTGGTGGCGCACGTCAACGGCTATACACAACCCTCGTTAAACGACCTCCACAAGCTCATAGTCACCCACGGAGGCGGCTTCATGCAGTACCTAGACGGCAAGACCACAGTCACTCACATAATCGCCAGCAGTCTCACCCCGAAAAAGGCCGTCGAATTCCGCAAGTACCGCATTGTGAAGCCAGCGTGGGTCGTCGACAGCGTCGATGCTGGCAAGCTGCTGCCGTGGGACAACTACCGCGTTGTAGACGAAGGGGCCGGTCAGAGGGTCCTCGGATTCGACAAGGGCAAGGTGGTAAGCCAGGCGAATGTGAGGGCGCGAGGTTATCGGGACCAAACCGACGCGAGCTGGTACACGAGCCAGCTCAGGACGGAAAATGGCACACCCAAGAGTGCGCGGCCTTCGTCTTTCCTCTCCCAACTCCCTTCCACACCGGGGCTGGACGAGGAAATCGATGACTTGCCTCCATCGCACCAACCAGAAGACGGCGACCCTATCGTTCAAGACGAGGAAGCCTGGTCGCCGGAGCAATCCATGATAACACCTCCCAAGAGTGGACCTGCGGAACCCGCGGAATCGGATCCTGACGCCCCGGGGCTCAAGAGGGCGCACAGTGACCGTGCAGGTTCGCCGTCGAAGCGACGGAAGATGACCGCCGAAGAGCACAATGCCATCCTTCTCGCTGATCCGAATGTTCGAAAATCCACCGTCGTCCACCCCGGGTTTCTAGAACAGTATTACCGTGAATCTCGACTCCATCATCTTTCTACATGGAAGGCGGACTTAAAGTCGCAGCTTCAGGCCATGGCGGCTGAAAAGTCATCCTCGCAGAAGCAGAAGCAGAAACGGCCTCCGGGTTCGCGCCGATACATATTGCACGTTGATTTCGATAGCTTTTTCGCTGCAGTCTCCCTCAAGAAGCACCCTGAGTACAAAGATAAGCCTGCCGTAGTTGCTCACGGTACCGGCACCGGCTCCGAAATTGCAAGCTGCAACTACCCTGCTCGTAGATTTGGTATCAAGAACGGGATGTGGATGAAGAAGGCTCTCGACCTCTGTCCGGAACTAAAGACTCTACCTTACGATTTTCCCGCCTACGAGGAGGCCAGCAAATCGTTCTACGAAGCCATACTGGATACGGGTGGTACCGTGCAGAGCGTAAGCATCGACGAGGCCTTGATAGATGTTTCTGCCCAATGTATTGCCGCCGGCGGTTCAGATGGGAAAAAGGTGAGCGAAGGGAACATCTACCGCGAACAGACCGAAGCCGACACCATCGGCCAACGGCTACGCGACGAGGTGAAAGAGAAAACCGGGTGCGCTGTATCCGTTGGCATCGGGCCGAACATCCTGTGTGCCAAGGTGGCTTTGCGTAAAGCGAAGCCTGCGGGTCAGTATCAGATCAAGCCAGACGAGGTTCTGGACTTCGTCGGTAAACTCGGGGTACAGGACCTCCCGGGGGTGGCCTACAGTATCGGCGGCAAGCTCGAGGAGATTGGGGTCAAGTTTGTTGGCGACATTCGAGACGTTTCGAAGGAACGACTGGTCAACGCACTGGGCCCCAAGACTGGGGAGAAGATTTGGGAATACGCCCGGGGGATCGATCGGACTGAGGTCGGGGATGTCGTCGTACGTAAATCGGTATCGGCAGAAGTCAACTGGGGCGTGCGCTTCACCGACCACGAGCAGGTTGACGAATTCATTGACAATCTGTGCGGCGAGCTTCATCGTCGTTTGATGAAGGAGAAGGTGAAGGGAAGGCAGCTCACGATGAAGATCATGAAGCGAGCAGCCGACGCGCCTCTCGATCCCCCGAAGCATCTCGGCCACGGCAAGTGCGATACTTTTAACAAAAGCTTGGTGCTGGGGGTTGCCACCAATGACAAGACCATTCTGGCCAAGGAAGCACTTTCGATTTTGAAAGGCTTCGGGGTTTCCCCAGGCGAATTGCGAGGAATCGGCGTCCAAATGACGAAGTTGGAGCCTCTAAAAGGCCCCGGCGATGGAAAGGAAAGTAGCCAGCGTCGACTTCAGTTCAAAGTTGGAGGGCCGAGCAATGCTGCAGCCAAGGCTCCTCCAGAAGATCCCATTCAAGACGATATCACAACGCCGAAGAAACAGAGGACTTCGGGAGACCTCGTCCGGTTCGGATCCTCTCAGCTCACTTCGGACAGTCCCAGCCGTAAACCCCTCAATACGTCGGGCACTCAGTTCATCATGCCGAGTCAAGTCGACCCTGAGGTTCTTGCTGAGCTCCCGCAGGACATCAGGGATAAGCTGGCAAAACACGCTAGACCACCACCTTCTACTGGTGGAGCGAATGTTGCGCTAGGCTCGGTCGAAGCTGGCGACCCGAATGACCCCTTTATTACCAGACCCATTGCGGGCACTGTACTGCCCAATCGGTCCCAGCTTGATCCGGAGACACTGGCAGCACTCCCAGATGACGTGCGAGCCGAAGTCTTGTCCTTCTATGGACAGTCCCTTGGCGGCAAGCTGGGCGACCAGCCTGCCCATCCCAAGTCGCCCCGCAAGAACCGATCCGTGAAAGCTGGTCTACCCAAGAAACCTGCTTCAGCATCGTTCGCCGGCCCCCGAAAGCGCGGCCGCCCTCCAAAAGCCGCATCGCTCGCTGCAGCCGCGGTAGCCAGCGGCAATGCAACCCTCACCCAGTCCAACTTCATCTCCACCCGTCTTGCTCGCCCGGGCCGTCCGCTAAGCCGTGACGGCATCGACACTGACACCGACGACGCGAACGTTACCGACCCCGGGGAGACGACGTCCCCGGACCCGGACTTCCTCGCCGCCCTCCCCGAAGATATCCGCCGCGAAGTCGTCGAGGAGCATCGCCGTGCCCGTCTCCGCAAGCGCGGAGGACTGGCCTTGTCCACCACCACCGCTGCTGCCGTCGCCGCCGAGGGAGGCGGCCGCGCTTCTCCAGCTACCAGTCGTCCTTCAGGGCAACGCACCATCCAGCTGCCGCCGCGCCCGCCGCGCCCGACCTTCACGACGCGCAAGCTGTGGCAGCCGGATCAACTGCGTGAGGCGGTGCAAGAGTGGCTTCGCGAGTTCAGGGATGACGGCCCTTATCGCGAGGATGTGGAAGCGCTAGGAGCGTACTTGCGGAAGGTGGTGCTGGAGGAACGGGACCTGGACAAGGCGGTAGGGCTTGCGAAGTGGTTTGCGTGGGTGGTTGGGGATGAATTCGTCGATGGAAGTAGTCGTGGTACTCAGGGGTCGGTCGGTAAAGGAAAGGGAAAGTGGGAAGATACTGTGGCGAAGGTAAAGGAGGTTGTGCAGGAATGTGTTGCGGACAGAGGCTTAGGAAGAGTGGATCTTTGAGTCTTTGCGATATCAGGCGTTTTGCGAGGAAGGGAAATACCCGACGCACCATCAGTGTAGCATAATTACAACTTGCGATTGTAACAGCAGGGCTATATGTGAAGTATTGACAATGGGGCAAGACCAATCCAACTCATCGTATGAGAACCAAAACCACCCGCGCGCCCCAGATACAGTCCTCTAACGAAAATATACCTTGCTTAAAGTGCTACGAAACTTTGACGATAATAAATCTACATTTATCTCTATTACTATCGGGTATTGTAGCCGAAGGCTAGGTAAATTTACATTTCATGGGCAGTTGAAGCTATCGTCCGGACGGAAGTGTAGAATTTTTAATTGGACATTTACGTCCGGACGATAGCTTCAACTACCCCATATAAGTCGACAATAGAATACAAGGTTATCTAAAATACGATAGTAGCTGAGTCCCTATATACGTACCCGTTAAGGTAAATACATTCAAATATAAGAATCCTCGGTTTCACGGCTCAAGAATTGTATTTCGTCCAGTTAAGTGTTTAGTTATTTTCTGTACCACCAAGTTTTTCACCTAATTGGCCCCAGCTTACTATCGAAAGTTACACGACGTGCTAGATGCCAAACATCGTTTCCATTTACTGCCGCTCTTAACGAAGCAACACCTTGCTTCCACCATCAGGGAGCTTGACCTTGAAGAGCACATACGGCCGCACGCGCCTCTCCGTTCCGGGATAAAACGACGGAGAGCGATTGAGTTGGTTGATGGTGAAATAAAGGTAACCGTCTTCCGACACCGAAACTGCACAAGGAGGTCAATATCAGAGGCGGCACAATAAAAGAACAAAAAGGAGAGCACCCACAAGTATCAATCCAATTGATGCGCGGATCCCGCACAAAGACGCCCGTCGTCCCGTTGGCAGGACTGTACCAATTGACGGCGTTCTGCTCAATGTTGCCCACGTACACCAGCCCGTTCGAGTCGGTCTCGAAGCCGTCACTGAAGCCCTTTTGGCCGCGCTTGGTCACGCTCGCCTGCGCCAGCACCTCGCTCGTGGCCTCGGTGGCGCGCAGGCGCGCCGTCGGCACGCCGTGGATGTGGCGGCCGGCGACCTGGCTCCAGAAGAGCTCGTCGCCGTCGGCCGACAGGGCGATGCCGTCGGAGCCGGTGGACGCGTAGGCGACTGGCCCGCCGGCGCCCTGCGGCAGGCCGTACACCGGCTCGCCCCAGACGTGGGCGACGAACTGGCCCTCGGCGCGCACGCCCGGGTAGCCGTCGAGGCGGCGCCAGGCGGCGCCGCTGGCCAGGTTGACGACGATGATGGCGTTGCGGCCCTCGTTGGACGAGTCGGTGATGTACGCGACGCCGCCCTCGCCACCGCCGGCGGGGAGGTTGGCGCGCAGGTCGAAGCGCACGTCGTTGAGATACGAGAACGGCGTCGCGACGTCGGGCGGGAAGACGATGGTTTGGATGACCTTGTCCGTGGCCAGGTCGACGCCGATCAGCTTCGGCCCCCCCACCGACGCGGGGACGAGCGTGCCGTCGGCCGTGAGGGCGCGGCCCGTGTCGAGGATCCAGAGGCGGTCGAGGGCGTCGATGACGACGCTCTGGACGCCTATGAGGTGGTCTTGGTAGTTCGCTCCGCCTGGAAGAAGAGCGTTGCGTGAGCTAATACGATTTCCCTGAAAAATGGGATCTGTTGACTTACTGGGTGGGTTCGTAGTGTAGTTGATGGAACCGCCGGGGGGGTTGTTGAACTCGGCGCTCGGATAGGGACGTTCAGTGTTGTTTGCGAAGAGCTCCGCAACTGCGTACTTGTTGTTGCTGCCATCGTTCGTGTTCTCTGGATCCAATCCCGACGGGTAATTCGAGAACAGCCGTCCACTAGAAGACACGGCAATTCCTATCAGCGTGATGAGCGCTGATTGTCATGTTCACGTTCAGTACTCGTGGCTCACCTGTGGGCCACTGGTCGTAGTACAGGTGGGCAATCTCCAATGGAGGGCCAGCGACGCCTGGGTCAGTTGCGATGTCTTGCGCAGCACTCACCCACGCAAGGAACGCGTAACCAGAGAGGGAAGCAAGGCGCATCGTCAGTAGTCACTGCTGTTTAACACGGACGAGACGAACGGAGGTCTGGAGGAATTGAATATTGGAGCGGGGAAGCCGGTAAAATAATGTCAATGGTTCCGCAGCCAAGAGCAGGGGCACGGTGATGAAGTCATTCTGTAGTGATCATGCAGGTACGCCAGAAACGGCAGGATTTCGTGATGGCTGCAGCTCGAGGGGCATGGTGGCACATGATGGTTGACTTCATCATGGATTGTTGATCGTCGTAGCGGGGTATCCCGTCTTGCTCCAAGCGAGACCTCAAACTCCTTGCCGCCTGCTCACGGGAGAATTGCACTGTCCAGTCTGCACGCCTCAACCCAGTAGCATTGGTCCTTTTAATTTTGTGACATAATCCGCGGTCCACTTTATAGACCGTAAAGCTGGCTGGACCGTCTTAGCCAGCGCAATCCGTCCCTCACTCCACCGAAGAAGTTCCCCCAAATGCACCACATGAAACCATGCTGAGGACTTGCAAAAGGAAAGGAATCGCTTAGAAGACCAACGCCGCACCCTTCGTCTTCTTGTCACCGCTGTGGAAAATGGTCAGCTAAGAGGCGGATTGAGCGCTGCAACAGGCGGACGTACCCGAGCTCGAAGTGCTTGCAGCGCTTGAGGGCGAGCTGAGCCTTGGTCTTGCAGGAAGTGCACTCCAGCCTCAGGACGACCTTCTTGGTGGTCTTGGCCTTCTTGTGGAAGACAGGCTTGGTCTGACCACCGTAACCGGACTGCTTGCGGTCATAACGACGCTTTCCCTGGGCGAACAGCGAGGCCTGGGGACATTCTGTCAGCATAATCTCCGGCTAAAAGGCGAAATTTTCACCCGTACCTTGCCAGCCTTGTACTGGGTAACCCTGTGCTGCCTGTCCGGTTGTCAGTACTTCCATCGCATTTTCAAATGAGGAAAACAAAACCGACGTGTGCTTCTTGCAAGATTTGCCCTTGCAGTAAGTCTTCCTCGTCTTAGGAACGTTGACCTGAACATATGTTAGCGTTATTGTAGCTTTCAAGGTCATAATTGCACATCATTTCGTCCGATCTGGTGAAAATTCCGCAACACCGGGACCCTGATTGCTATTGTCTCGTCGCCGTGGCCCGTGTCGTATGGCGTGGTCGGAGAAAGGCGCGGTCGAGCCGTTCTGATTGCGCATGCTGAATTGAATTTCCAAGGCGAGTGATGAGTGGAAATTTCGGGGGTGAGCTTCCGAGTCGAGCGAGCGGCGGCGGCTTCTCCAACGTCGAGAAGTGGCGAATCTTCGAGTTTTAACTTCTGATCGCTGGCCGGTACGGTCGAAGGAGCACCCCGAAAGATTGCAGCGTCGGGACGGGCGCGGGTCGAGCGGTCGCAGATGGAGCCATCGGGTCGAGCGGCGGGTCATGTAGCAAGCTGGGTGCCGGCGATGCGGAAATTCTCCCTCGAGAGTCCTCCTCTTGCAAGCGAGAAAAGCAGGCAGCTTACCATCTTGACGGTTGTTGGGGGTCACGGACGGTGGTGGGTGAGTCGTTGGCGATGGTTGTCGTCCTTGGAGATTGTGCGCTTCATTTTCGCCCGCGTTTGTGTGGGTTCGGCCCTTCGGCTCGGCGCACGTGACCCGCGCAGAACACAGGCCCGACCGAAGGCTGCACTCTCGCTCAACTTCATTATTGTACTGAAAATACAGGGAACAGAATTCACATTGACCATCCCTCCGAGTAAAAAACTTGACAACTCCACCGTTCAATTCGCATTACCGCCTACCACAGGATTGCCAGTAGTCCCGCCACTGCACCAGCACCTGTCATGACCGCCCTGACCGCGTTCAGCTTGCTCCACTTGGCCACGAGTGACTCGATGTCCTGCTCGGTAAGGGCGGACTCGCCGGACTCCTTGTCTTCGAGTGACTCGACGTGTGCGATCAGCTTGTTGTTCACCGGCTTGATGAAAAGCAGCGTAAATGGTACGATCGCAGGGACAACCACCGCAGCCAGGGAGGTCAAGTAGAACGACCTCTCCAAGAGTAGGCCGATATGCTTGCCATCTAGGAAGTGTCGGTTTGGTGTCAGCGCTCGCTCGATAAATTGCAGCCGGTTATTTCAAAAGGCCGGCTCGAACAAGTCTCTCCTTGGTGTGTCTTACGCTGCGTCATTAGATAGGAAAACGACACGCCGGATACCAGTGCCACAACGGGCCCAGTGGCCATGCCGAGCTCAAACTGGTATTTCCATTGCTTGACCCTAAGCTCTGCGGGCGATTTGTTGATTGTTGGAATCAGCGCAAAGCTGATCCAGCCGCATGCACCTGTTGAACGCCGTGGTCAGCACCGCGGACGATGTCGAATGCGACTTGCATACCAGACCACCACGCCGCAGATGTGATCCCCACCACCTGCGCGGTGCGAACGAGAATCGGGACCGAGTCGTTGGTAATCGTCGCCATGGCTGCTTCCTTTTGGAGATTGGAATTTCAAAGCTTCAATGCTGCAGTGATGGAGACTACAAGCTACGTCCTGGTGCCGCCTAGCTTATCCCCGCCTTCCCGCAACACATGATTTAGGGCATGAATCCTGCTGGGGTGATATCTCGCAGCCATCAACTGCCATTGGACCATTCGGGGAAGCGTACCGACCGACGCGAGTTCCGGGCTCTCGGCCCCGCCAATCCCGTGTCACTCCGCGTCTACATATTTGCAGCGAGATCACAGTTGAGATGCTGCAATCTCCCCGCAGTTTCAATAAAGCAGCAACAATCGACACTAGAAACATTGTCTTGTAGAAACGCCGGGTCCATTCCATTCACACTACGCCGGGTATTCATAGCTATTCCTGTACAGAAGAAACCCCAAACGGCCGTCCTAGAAAACTTAATGAAATATGTAGTGAACGGCGTGACCTGCGCAGTGCAACCTAGTGGATTGGCCGGCCTTCATCCCAATGTTTTTTCTCCTTCACCTCTTCTTTTATCTGCGGTTCGTGGGGGCTGTCGGTCAACATCTCGCGGCCCTGTTCCTTCTTGACGCCTCCGCCCTCGATGGCGCCGACGGCACCGACCCACTCCCATACTCTGCTCACATCTCCCGTGCGAGTCTCCCTTACGCTGGGTCGCACATTAGAATTCTGCTCGACCTTCTTCTGCACACGCTGCCACAGCTTCTGTCTTCGCTTTGCGCTGAACTCGTCTCGAAGAATGTCGTCCCGGAGCTGCCCCATGCTGATGAAACCCTCAGGGTACCTGTGCGGATTCTGTGCGTGGTAAGCTGCTTGCGCTTTGAGTTGATCCAGGGCAAAGCTGGCGAGGAGCTTTGCACGCTGTTCGGTCGCAGTCGACGACACCCAAGCGGACTTGGAGTAGAGGAAGGCGCCGAACATGGCCAGCAAGCTTATAAGCTTCCAAAGATGGCGTGCCAACGCGAGGCGGACGGATCGTCTTGCGGCGCAGGCGAGGGAGATTCGAGCGAGGCTTCTGGAGCCGACTGTTCTGGTTCCGGAGACTCTGTTGGGGCAAAGCCGTATCTGATCAGTCAGATGATTCAGCAGATCTAAAGGGAAAGGAAATAAGCAGACTTACCCGTCCACTTCGCTGAAAACTTCGTCCCGGAGCATCACGTCGCCAATGGCGCTGGACCAGAGATCATCAAATTCGTCTTGAGACATGCCCTTTCGACGCTTGGTAGAGATCTCCTTCTTCAATTCTTGCTCGTTGATCTCGGGACTGGCAAGATGCTTGCCGGTCTCGTCGACGAGATCGCCGCACTCAAACTTGGCGTTCCGGTCACGGAGCTCCTCCACCGCACGGTCCGCAACTGCCTTCACCTTTCTGGCCTTCTCGCTGTCCGGCTCGCACGTAGGGGGCAAGGGAACGAGGCCTCCAAATGAGAGCGGATGCGGTCTAAGGATGAAGTCGTCCTCGCATCTGGTCGTCAATTCTGCGTAGCAATAAGCGTGGTTGGGGCATGGCTCGCACTGCGGCAGAAGCACCTCGATACCCTTGGCGTATTCAGGAACTTCCAGCTCGTTCAAGCTGATAGGATTTCTCCCAACACCGCAGTAGCCGACCGCAAGCTTCTCGGCGCGCCACCAGGCCCCGAATCCACCGAGCAGGGCTACTAGGATCGTCAACGGCGCAGCCTTCAGTGCTCCCGAACTCCTCTGAGGCGGCCGGCTTCTCCGTGGAGGAAGAATATCGGTTCTGCCCTGTGCCGCCCTCTCACGGACAAGCTCCAGCTGTTCCTCTGGTGTGAATTCCTCGCCCGCATCGAAACCGTCTTGCTCATCTTCAGACTCCTGCGCCACCATCAGGTCTTCTTCCTCTTGCTGGAAGATCGGTGTAGGAGAGCGTCTTTTAGGCGTGGGATCTCTCTTGCGCGGGATCGGCGACTCGTGTCTCTTCACTAGGGATGGGGTAGCATCGTAGTCGTCAGGCGCGGCGCTGAGAACCTCAGTCCTTCTCCGGCTCACGCCGCTCTTCCTCTTATCTCGCTCAACGGTGCGAGGATCGTACGCTGGAGAGCCACTCTGGAAAGGATTGTCCGAAGAGAAAGGGCTTGATTCATCATACTCCTGCTTCTTGACAACCGGAGTCGCAGACTGCCTCGATAGCCGCGATGAAGGGGGCCGTTCTTCAATGTTATCAAGTTCTGGGGCGCGGACAGGCTTCGTTGACGCGCGCTTCGAGGGCGACCTTGACGCCCTGCTCCGCGGGACGGGTGTGAGGTCAAGGTCTGGCTCCACGGAGGCGGTCGTACGACGTGTGCTCCTACGGGTGACAGTGCTGGGTGCTAGTGAGGGGGCATCGCTCTCCTCGGTCATCCCTCTAGTGGACCGACGGGTGCTCCTCCGCACGCTCTCGGATGGCGCGAGGGAAGCGACTTCATCCTCCTCGCTATCGTCAGGCGTAGCGCTCGTTTCGCGGCTCGAGGGTACATCGACTATGCCTCTGGCCGAGCGTTTGGTCCGCGACTGGGCGGCCAGCTGTGTTTGCGCCTGCGGAGCGACATATTGGTTGAAGAGGGCAATGAGCTCAGGCTTTTTGGCGGACGAAGGGTATTTGACATTATGCGCGACGAGGATTGAGCGCAGCTTGGGCACTGTGACGGAAGAAGGGTCGAAACCCGGCCGAAAGTATTCGTATTCGTCCATGGTGGTTGGTAGAAGTTGGCGGTTGCTAGGAGTGACGTGCTACGTCAGAGAGGCAACCCGGCCGAACCGGATTGGCGCGAAAGCTGGTTTAAAGGGCGAGCGATCTTTGCGCTGAAGACGGTTATTGGCAGTCGTCGAAGGTGCTGCGAGAGACGGTGGTCTTGCACAGGTCTCGGAAGGCCGGCGGCGATGGTAAGCGGTAAACATGGCCTCAGCTTCTGGTCTTGGCTTTTGCCTCTCACCAGGCAACGCCCGGAGACGGGATGAAGCGCCGTCACGTGCTGTATCTCACCTCTCGTCTCAGGCAAAAAACAGAACACCATCTGCCTATAGCTCACCTCATTGTGATTCATCGCATTTTGATTCGCCAAAATTCACACAAAAAATTCTGCATATGACTCCTTTGTGCTCGCGTAAGCTCGCATTCGCCCCTTCTTTGCGTCAGTCAAGGCGTCCATAGCAAACAAAACCTCGTATTACAATGGTCACATTTGATTTACTCGCAAACAGGTGTAAAAATTTTTTTTTACGTATGGAAGTAAAATCGACATGCACATGCTTGGTCTTGACTGAAATCCACGATTACGCGACTATATATCCTTTGACGTAAAGATTGTGCCTATGATGAGTGGAATTAGAGGCGCAGGGCAAAATCCCCATAACCCATTAAGGTATGAATATTGAGTCTTGTAGGACAGTTTCTTGGCATCATGCTAAAGACCTGTTGACATCAACTCGTACGCTGATCTACCGATAACCCCGTGTAATCGTAAAGGCTCATGCACGCTCCCTGCATCCGGCTGTGAAACATCGTTGGCCACACCTGCGCCACTAAGACAGAGACTGTTTCTACACAGCCAATGCCCCCAGTCCTGAACAGAAGTCTCGCGTCGAGGATGGAAGCGTGGTACGCTATTGCGCGGAGAATATAACCCGTCCAAACAGCTCTCGGACCACAAATCCGAGGAGACAGAACTGTCTCAAGGTGTATACCTTGCGAGAGTCTGCCTCGTTAGAGCCACTGCTCTTCTCATTGTACAGAGGCAGGTCCTCTCACACAGGCGGCAGCAGAGATGGTCCACAGGTGCCGCGTTACAACACGGCCATGAGACATGCATTTGTCACCGGCAAGGCTTTGTATCCAACAGGATGCAGTATGCAAACGGTGAGGTAGGCAGAAGGGTGTGCATGATGCAGAAGCCGCTGACGCGAGGCAGGCGGATCTGACTGGACGAGGAGACGGTGGAGGGGCTCTGGGACACTGAATCCCAAAAGTCCATGCGTGAGATGCAAGCGCAATGCCACGTCTATGGGTATCCACAGTCGTGAGCATGTGAGAGAACCCAATACAGGCATGTGGGCGGCCTGAACCCAGCTGCTACAACAGAACGTGGCGGGTCAGTCTGCCGACCTATTGGGCGGGAGGTGAATGTTTTCGAAGAGGCACAATAAGAAGATCTACCCAACGCGGCCCGCCGTTTTGGTGCGTGGCATGGCAACCAGGTTGGCCATTAGCGCGCGCGTGGAATAGGCAATGCCTATCGGTCAGCCAAACGCGGGCATAGGTGCCCTTGTCACCTGGGCGCGGATTACCACCGGTCTGCTAGGCAGCAAGAGCCGCGCCCCTTCCTTCCTGCGGCTGCCCGAGTCGACAGAGTACGGCGGAGGGAGTTTTTTAATATCGTGCTGTCAGCGGGGCAAGAGGATGGTGAGCGCTCACCGTCGAGGGGGCTATGCTGGAGGTTTGCTCTCTTCGGTAGCGGCGCCACATGCCGACCGGAGGCAATAGGCAGGCATGCGGGAGGGGCACCGCAGGCACGGGTTGCGACGCCGTGGCGTTCGATACGGCGGTGCTGTGGGTAGACGGCGGGAGCAGCAGGGCTGACGCGCAGAAGCGGCACGAGGCCGGCAAGGCATCCTGGAGGTGCCGCTGATGCCACGCGGACAGTTGGGTGGGTGTTGGGTTGGAGGACATATTATGACGGGCGGCGCCCGCGCAGTCGCGAAGGGTCGATGCCCTACCACCCACTACGTCATCTGCCGTGCGGTCGAGCCCGAATCCCAGAGGCAGAGAAGGCGGTAGAACTTGGAAGCTGCCACCTCGAGCTGCCCAAGCCAGCCACCCGCGAGTGTTGAATGCGCAGCCGCCCGCTCTCCTGACCTCTTTTTCTTCCTTCGTCTCTCCTCGCGCACACTCGGTCTCCATTCCCCAGCCAAGCTTATCCGCGGGTCCCGTCAATCACGCGCGCGTGCGGAGGCCCACCACGCGCGATCGGCAGCCCTGCCAACCCAGTGCTCCGTCATCCGCCCCACGACCCGCCAGCCTCGCAGCCTCCCGCCCGAGCCCAAACACTGGCTCTGCTCCCGCTCGAACCATCCAAAGCGTTGCTGCGCTAGCCGGCGATCGCTCAGCACCGACAACAACAACTGCTGGTAAATAGCAGCTCGCGCTGCACGAGCCCGTCGCACGACTCGCTACGCACTGCACGCACGCTGCCGCCTCACCCCGCGAGCAGCCCCAGATGTCCGTCATCTACAAAGAGACGACCCGCGAGCGCGACTGGGACCTCCAGTCGCACGCCTCTCGCAAAGCCCCCTCCTCCGTCGTCCGCCGCTACCGTGTCTCCGACGACCACCCGTACGATGACGATCACTACGAGGAAACCCGCATCGTTACCCGCGAGCGCGAGCGCGACTCCGACCCGACCATTGTCCGCCAGCGCTACGTAGTCGACCGAGACGACGACCGCGCCTCCGGCCGCGACGTCCACGAGTACCGCTACGTCGAGCGCGAGGTCAACCGCCCTGCATCGCCCCGCCACGACGTGCACGAATACCGCATTCAGCGTGACGTCATCGAGCACTCGCCGTCGCCCCCTCGCGTCCGCCAGTACACCATCGAACGCGAGATCGACGAGGAGCCAAAGGAGCCTTATGCACTGGAAAAGTATTCCAAGTCTACCGAGTTCTTCTCACGTCCGTCGCCCCCGCCGCAGCCCATCGTCATCAGGCAGTCCAACCCGCAGCCCATCATCGTCCAGGAAGCTCCCGTCAGGCAGCAGATCATCTTGAGAAGGGAGGAGCCCCAGTACGAGATCATTGAGCGCTCCGAGGTGGACGATCGCCAGGTCACCAAGCGTCCAGATCCCCGCGAGGATGACTACTATTACGAGCGTAGAGTCCGCGAAGTCGACCACGGCCGCGGTTGGGAGGAAGACGACTACTATGAGCGCAGCCGCACACGGCATGCCGAGCACGACTGGCACAGCGACGACGAGTATGAGTACATCCGACGCACCCGGGATGAGGAATTCCGTGACAGCAGCCCGCACCATCGCCGCCATCTGGCTGAGGGCATCGTTGCTGGCGTCGGCGCCGCCCAGTTGATCCGTCACCAGCGCAGGAAAAAGGGCGAAGATCCGGGCCATGGAGTTCGACAGGCTCTTGGCTATGGCGCTCTCGGTGCCGTTGGTGCGGAGGCTCTTTCTCGCGCTCGGAAGGAATTCAGATCGCGCTCCCGGTCCGAGGGACGTCATCATCACCATCACCACCACAGGCGCGACAGGTCGCATTCCAGGGGTCGCAAGGTAGCGGGCGTAGCTGCACTTGCTGCGGTAGGTGCGCTCGCGTACGCTGCTGGTCGTGGCCAGAAGGGAAACAACGTCGCCAACGTGGTCGAGCGGAGAAGCCGTTCTAGAAGGCGCCGCCACTCGGTCAGCGGAGCAAGTGGCGACGAGTTCAGCCCGTCGCCGTCGCGTTCTAGGTCAAGAAGCAAACACCGTGATCCAGAGCACAAAAACAGGCGCATGGCCCAAGCCGGTCTCGCTAGCGCTGCCGTGGCTGGCCTCGTCGAACGAGCTCGCAGCAGGTCTCGGAGCAGACGCGGTAAGAAATCGCGCAGCCGCAGTCGGCTGAGGACCGGTGTTCCCATCGCTGCCGCTGGCCTTGGTGGAGCGGCGCTTGCTGGACTCTACGAGAAGAACGCGGCCAAGAAAGAGGCCAAGGAAGAGCGCATGTCACGATCCAGATCAAGATCAAGATCTAGGTCCAGGTCTGTACCCTCACGATCTCGGCGGGCATCCGCGAGTGACCCAGCCCTTGTAGTTTATGGCGGTGATCCTATTTATGTCGAGCCAAGTGCCAGCGGACGTCGTCGTCGCTCCGGAAGCCATGGCTACGATCCTGAGGATCCTGCTGATTACCGTGGTCGACGCCGCCCAACTGATTCCGACTCGGAATCCGAAGGGAGAAGGCATCGACACCGGTCCAGCCGCAGCAGGAGCAGGAGTCGTTCCAGAGCGGTCGCCGAGGCAGCGGCGCTTGCTGGCGTTGCGGGCGTCGCCGCCCACGAAGCTGCCAAGAGACGAGAACGTAAAAAAGCAGAAAAGAAGGAGAGGAAGCGTAAGTCCAGTGGATACGGTCTCAATAAACAATCTTGGCTAATGGGTCGTTCAGGTGCAGAGGAAGAACGTCCGTTCAGCGAAGAGGGCTACAGCTCCCCTCTCCCGGCCGGCTACCCTCCTGAGCCTTTTCCTCCAGGGGCGTATCCACCCGAGAACGGACGTTTCTATCCGGAGAGCAACCAATTCCCTCCTCCGCCGCAAGGGTACGATCCGGCGATGCAACAGCCCCCTTACGAGCCGGCACCTTTTGGCGGACCTGCTCCGTATAATCCAGCCGACTATGGCCCTAATCCCGGTCCTGCGCAGCCGTCTTACTTCCCTCAGCAACAAGCACCATACTTTCCGCCCCCGCCCAGAGAGCCGCAGCCTGAGTTCCACGAAGACCGGGGCCATCATCGCGGAGATGACAATGTGAGTGCTCCGTCTGCTCCGTTTGCTCCGTCGTCGGTTGAGCAACCCTTTCTTGGTGGGTCCACCGTTCATTGATGCATTGAACTGTTGGACAGCCAATGGCTCGGAATACACTAACGCGTGCGCTTGTAGATGGTCTAAGGACCGGGGCGACGAGTGAAGCATCGCAACAACAGTCGCAAAAGTCCGAGAAAACCGTCCAATTCGATTTGCCAACCCCCGCACTATCACCAGAACTGACCCGCGAACGCCCCCGGAAAATCGATGATGACGAGGAATATGAGATTGTAAATTCCGACGAGAATTCCACAGGAGACCGGCGACAAAATAGACCGCCGCGCCCGCGCAAGTACGACGAATACGATGACCACGATGTCGACGATCATGACCTTCACGAATATCGAAGTCCCCCAAAGCATTCTCGCTCAAACTCCCGGAGCCGATCAGATTCGCCTTCTTCTATTTCGTCCGGCGAGACGGTCGAACTTCCACCACGTTTTGACCCGAATGGCCGGCCCGTACCGCAGCGTGGCGAGGACCCGCTCGCTGACAAGTTGGAAGACTTTCTCGCTGGGCGCAACTCAGCAGGGAAGATGTTCCAAAAGCTCACGGGTGATCTTCTGGGTTCAGGAGGCGCAAGCGGAAGTCGGAGTGGCGGAAGAGGGCGGTAGGCGGGCATCGCTCTCGCAGGCGTTTTGTCCTTTTGCCCGTTCTTTTTTCTTTCTTTTTTTGAGAAACAAGCTTGGCGATGATACCTTGTTTTTCCCCCTTCGACTTTGCCGTTCGATAGATACTGACGATTGTCTACGATTATTAACGAATCTCCTTGGGTGCAATTCGGCTTGTTCAATCATCACAAAAATCATGATCAAGTTGGCTTGTCACCACATTGACGATACATTTTTAATACCTTTTTGTTTCATTTTTAAAGATTACTATTTGATGCAAAGATTGGTCGTTGGTTTTACTTCTTGGCTTCCTGAATCTCGTGTATTTAGTCTTTTTTCTAACTCTCTCTTCCCTTCTTGAAAAAAGAACATCCCTTCCAAATGACTAGTAATGATCACAAAATCACGAAAACTGAAAGTAGTAATGGTATCACGACTTCACACCAGAGCCTTGACGGAATCCTTGGTGTTCTTGGTTGCAATGCAAAGCCGTCCAGAATCCTGCACCATGTATAAAACGAATAGACTCGCATCGATGCATAAATGTGTGAACCGCATGCCTCTAAAAAAAATCCTTTGTACGTGACGGCCGTGCAAGAAACGCTGTACTGAAAGCTCTCGGTGAATTGGAGAAAAAGGGAATATGAGAAAGAGCAAACAGCCAGCCCAATGATGCACAAGAGAAAGCCAGCCCGCCAACCCCCAAACACACTCGAGAAGATGCGCTCAAAACTCGAAACGACGACGCCGTCACCCATCATCTCCGGAAAAAATGCTAGACGCGATCATCCTCCCTAGTTTGCCATTCAACATCATTTAAGACAAACGTCGCAAAAATCAAATAGAGCCGTTCGGTCTCTTTCCCTCTCTTCTTCCCTACATACAGCACAGCACGTAAACGGACACAGCTTCAAGGAGAATTCTTAGTCGAAGAACTTGCTCATGGCTTTCTGGGCCAACTCGACGCCCAGGAAGGTCGCGGCATTGGCAGGCACAGCTCTCGCAAGGGCGGGGCCCAAGCCAGGGAAGAAGGCCCTAGCGCCGCCGCCGCGAACGTAGATCTCGCGGATGGTGCCGCGGATGGTGGGGTTACCCTCGGCGCTCTGGAGCCTGCTCTTGATGGTGTCGACGGGGAAGACGGGGATCCACATGGCGACGCCGGCGGCGCCGCCGGCGGCCATGACGGCGGTGAGCGAGAGCTCGCCTGGGGAGCCGTCGGCCTTCTTGGGCGTAAGCCGGCGCTTGATGATCTCGTACGTGGCGAAGTAGGCGGCTGAGCCGGGCCCGTCGCGCGCCAGCGTCATGGCGGAACCGCGGAAGACGCTGCGAATACCGCCCTCGGCGTACAGCTGGCGCACGACGTCCACGCCGCCGCTGTACTTGGGCTTCTCGCCAGGCGCCAGCTGCTTCTGGCCCTGGATCTGGAGGAGGACTTTGACGCGCTCAAAGGGCGCAGTGATGAGCGTCATGGGGATGGCGCTGAAGAAACCGGCGGCCGAGGTTTGCGCGATGGTGAATTGGTTGTTGTTGACGGTGGACACGGAGGAGACGAGCTGCTTGCCGACATCGTAGCCCCAGAAGGAGACGGCGACTGTGGTGGTGTTAGTCTGGGCTGGATGCGGTTGGAGAAAATGGCGGAAACTTACACATGGGCGTCACGCCGACCAAAGGCGCAGAAACACCGGCGTAGAGACCCTGCGTGGGCGAGTGTCAGTCCTCAGATTCTTCACGCGGAGAGAAAAGAAGCTTCTGCAGGTCGCCGTCGCACGACACGACAGCGGCATCAGCCTTGCAGGCGACCCCTCTTCTTCACGACCCTCACACCGCTGGTGCGGCTCATTCCACGAACCACAACCCCAGAAAACGACAGAGCAAACAGGAGGAAATGGAGAACTCACCCTAGCCAAGCCTTCCCTCGCGACAGTCCTCCTCACGACGTCCATGGCGCCGCTGTACACGCCCTTCTCGGCCGTCTGCAGCCGCACCTTGACCAGGTCGAACGGATGGCCCACGACGACTGCGCACACGCCGCCCACGCCTCCCGCTATCAGCGCGCGCAGGCTCTGCAGCGACGACTTGGTCGCCTCGGCCACGTCGTGCTTCAGCTCTTCCTTGCTCGGCAGCGAGGCCGCGGCCGCGTTCACAGTCTTCTCCGCCGGCATTTTGTTACGGTGTGTCTGGTATGACCCGGAACGTGGCTAAGGACGTAAGCGGAGGTGGTTATGGACGGTACCGCGCGTGCGCTTGAGCGGCGGCTTGACTGTTTATGAGGAAGAGGGTCGAGGCCCGGTTGTTTGCGAGCGTGTGTGATGGAGGCGTCCGCTGTCGAATCGGACGAAAGGCGCCGGGCTTCCCTCTTTCAGCAAGACGGAATGAGGCGACGTGGGAGGATTAGGTGTTCAAAGGCTGGGCGCCGCGCGTGACAAGCAGCGTGGGCGGGGTGTGCAAGCGAAATACTACGTGTAGTATGCTTGCGACGCGGTGTTGACAGGAGAGGGAGGGGCGCGCGAAGTGAAAAGGAGGGGTGAAAGGAGAAGAGCCGCGGGGTGGATGAAGATGGGTGAAGCGGCGCGGTGGGTAGAGCTTGAGCTCGGACGGCGTGTGGGTGAGGACCTCGGTATGAGCAGATTTTGGGGCGTGGACCGCGGATTCAATATATGGGCTTCGGCCCCTCGATTCCCAGACTCCAAAAAATTGTTGCGGCTCCTCGCGCCGGCCGACGGACGCTCGCTGCATCCGCCCGCGCGTGGCTGAGAGTTGGGGCATGTGAAAGTTGCCGAGGCTCGATGCACCGCCTTCAGCCGACAGCCCGGTCCCGGCCCCTAGTAGACGTCATTGGTCGCGCTCCGCTCTCCGCCCTCTGCCCAGCCCACCCCACGCGGCCAGCACGCCGCAGGCCCTTCTTCGGACGAAAGCAACCTATGGCGGGAAAACGGCCTGGATGTACGTACTTCATTAAACCTGCCTCACAGGCCTCTCGTTTTGTCTATGTGTCTCGTGCTACATGCATGCTTCCATCTAACCCGTGACTTCGTCCGTTGCCGTACGCGCGTAGCACTACCGAGATCCAACCCCACAGCCAGGTCACCAGAGCTCCATTCGTGCGCCCCGCCCCGCCTGTTCACTGTGGGGCCCCGGCTTCCTGCCGGGCTTCCGCTCCGCCTGACCCCTCCTTGGCACTTCCGACGTAATCTCATCAGATCAGATCCAAGAGGTCGTTGCTCGATTTCTGCTGTTGTTGCTGCTGCTGTGGTGGCGGCGGCTGCGATCCTCCACCTAGGTCCATGGTCGCAAACCCGTTCATGATATCGTTCGCTCCATTCGCGCCGGGAGTGCCCGCGCTGGCAGGTGCCGCCGCCGCTCCGCCGCTGCCAAACAGGCCCATGAGATCGTCCATGTTGTTGGTCGGTCCGGGCCCTGCCGACGTTGGCGATGCCACGCGCTGTGGTGTTCCTGCCAGCCCCTCCAGACCGGACGCTCCTGAAGGCGGCTGGCTTTGCATCGAAGCCGGCGCCGCACCGTCGAAGTCGATGTCGAGCAGGTTCTCGACATTGCTGGGCGGCGGACCCGAGTTGCCCGACACCGCTGCCGCTGCCGCCGCCGCGGCGATCGGGTTCTCGCGCGCGAGCTGGCGTTGTTCCCTGTGACCTGTTAGCATCCGTACACTGATATTCGCTACCAAGGGCAACGCACTCGATGGCGGCTTTCTGCATCGCCTCGGCACCGAATCGTCCTTGGCCGAGGAACGACTCGGGGAGCTTGTGGTATACCGACGCCAGCGTCGACAGCTCTTGAATGAGCTGATCCAAGAGTGCGGGAGGTAACGAAGGGATGGTCGTGGTGATCGGGGGCTTCTCCGACAGGACCACGTTCTAGTTTCCGTTAGCACCGGCCGCCGCTCGAGGGGATCGGCGAGGACTTGCCTTTGTGATTTGCGGATCGCTCGACAGCAACCTCCAGTAAACGTATGCGCGGTCCCTGACATCAGGGTTGTCGCACTCTGCGGTTGCCGACTGGAGAACCTTCTGGACCAGGCCTTGCGACTGATCAGGCTTCTTCAAGAAAAGCTTGACGACGGCTGTGAGGATTTGCAGCTGAGTCTGCGCAAAAGGTTAGAACGGTTATGCATGGCTTGTTGGGTGTCATACCTGGGTGAATTCTTCGCTGAATCCATCGACGAAGCCTGCGAGGATTTCTCCTGCGTTGTTGATCTTCTCTGCATACTCACCAACAATCCAGATGAGGGAGCCTCTGGCGATTGGTTCATCTAGGTCGTCAATGCACTGGCAGAGCGTGGGTATTATGCCCTCGTATCCAGGGTATTTCCGGAAGATGTCCTTGACCACGACGATTGCTTCTTGCACGACGTAGTTCACCTTGGTGTTGATGAGGTCGAGGAGGGCATTGACGCAGTTCTCCGTGGCGGTCTCAATCTTGATGGCAACCTGGCCAATGGCCTTGACAGCTCGCCTGGCGAAATCCATGTCCACTTCGGTAGCGTATTCCTTCAATTCCTGGAGCAATTGGTCGACGTTCCTGTCGTTGGCGATGCGCACCATGATCTCGAGCTTCTCAAGCTTGAGGTAAGGGGGGTCGTTGTACTTGCAGAAGAAGACGCGCATCTCTTTGCTGAGAATGTCGGGCTGCTTCTGGAGAAGGAGATCGATGTTGCGGAGGGCTACGTATTGAACTTCGGGTGCGGAGGACACGAGGGTCACTGGGCCAATTAGCCAGGACCAGCGGCAAGACGGGTACATTACTCACCGAGCGGGGGAGCCATCTTCTTCAGGTAGGACTTGGCAAGCTCCGGACCGATAAACTTCATGTGCAAGAAGACGACCTTGACGGCGGCAAGGACGACGCTGGGGTTGACGTGCTGGAACTGCGGCGACACCCTCTCGCAGATATGCTCAGCCTCCTTGACGTCCGAAGCCTTGTAGTCAGCCAGAGCAGTTAGTATAGTGACACGGCCCCACTCGGTACACTCGTTCAGCGCCATCAACATCTTCTTTAATCTCTGAGGTGTGATTTCGAAAACATTCATTTCGGGGGCGGACTCGTGAATCTCAACGAGAGCGGTGACGGAATTGGCGACGACCATGGGGTTGGGGTCGCCAATGAGCTCCTGCAGGGTTTCCAAGAAGCCGTTCTCGACGCACATGGTGGGGTTGAGATCGAACAGCTTGGCAACGCAAATGACGGCCGTCTTGCGGACGTAGGGCGATTCGTCGCGCAGAGTCTTCCTCAGCGGCTCCTCCATGTAATCCACCATCTTGTCGACGCGAATGCAGCCCATTGTCCTCACGGCGAGAGCGCGGACCAAGGGGTTGGGGTCCTCGGAATCCTGGACAAAGGTGTTGACGGCGAGAATGCAAAGGTCGGGGTGTGATTTCGCATAGTTCCTGCACGCGGCAGCGGTCAGACGATGGGAAGGGCCGGGAGAGCAGGAACGCAACGCACATGAGGTACAGGTACACAAGCTTCTTCTGGTCGAGGTCGGCCGTGGCAATGTTCTTCAGGACGTCGGGGAACAAGGCGGACACATCCTTGCCCAGGGTCATGGACATGATGGTCTTCTGGATTGCTTCCTTGCTGCGCTCTTGTCAGCATGGCAGACGGGTGGCAGGATGGTCGGTGGATGCGAACCGTTCGTAGGCATATTGCGATCTAGCTCTAAAGTCAGCGCCTAGCACACACAGCACGCGCGTGGATCGCACTCACACAAGGCCGGCACGCAGCTCAAAAGTCTCACCCTTGCGGGGGACGGCGAAGGCGCCGCGAATTCTGTTGACCGCCATCTCTACTGGTCAGCTGCAGAGGTGACGACGGTGGTCGTGCCCCTCATGCACCAATTTCCTGGTATTATTTCGGAGCCTGACGCCGCAGGAACGGGGGCCGGCTTTGGAGACGGAGGGAGGCGCGGGCGATCGGCAGCGAGTGTGGCGAGCTCAGGAGGGCGGACCGACGACGTCCGCGGGTTGCAGAGGTGGTGGGCGGTGAGGATGCGAGCGCGTGGTGTCGCGGAGAAGCTCGAGGCGGATGCGGTGTTCTGGCTTCTAGTAGCGTTCAGGGCTGGTCCACCGCCCTACGCAACCACCCAAGCTTAAAGTCCAATGCCAAGCCGCCCACAGTCCGCTCCCCACCGCACCCATGCAATCCGCCTCTGCCACCGCGCCCCTGCAACCTCGACACGCAAAGCTGCAATCTTGAGATGGTTCGGTCGCATTCTGGCTCTCGCTGCACTGTCCATGCTGACTCGCCTCCCAGACCTCGAATCTACCCAACCTCCGCCGCCTCTTTGTCGAGGCGCGCAGCGAGGCCGAAGAGAGCGCATATTCCCGCAATGCTGTACGCTTCACCTCCTGATCTAGGCATGAATCCTCTGACGACCAAAAAGTTCTACAACTTGGTTCTGTTCATGTCTTCCGTCGCCGTCTTCAGCCTGGTTGCTCAGCGTATGACTGTCGGCAAAGTCTCTGCCTGATCAAATCACGCACCATCCCGACCAATTGTCGCACCGCCCAGCCCAGCTCCGATCTGGGTTTTCTGAATCCAGAGCATCACTTGGCTCCTACGAATCGGAAAGGTGCTGCCGAATGCTGCGCACGGGACTTCGTGTGGCGGCCACGTCTTCCATTGGGACATCAAAGACTCTGCGAGCGGACCTCCCATCAGCGTACCCAGTGTTCTCCGCTCTGACTCTGTCACTCCGGCAAGCTTCCACCGAAAATATCTCGAGCCCTTCTCTAATGCCTGTCCTGATTTGCTTGGCCTTCTTCGACCGAGCTGCTGACGTCATGATCCTGGGCGAAAAAGACCATACAGAGGGGTGCTGCAGCCGATGGCTAGCGCGAAGAATAGCAGAGTTTTAGAACATAGCGTAAATATGCCCCAGCTCTTCCTTATAAAAAGAACATATGTGGGGAGCCGAAGCTATCGTCCGGACGTACATGTAGAATTTTTAATTCGACATTCTCGTCCGGACGATAGCTTCATCTACCCATGACATGAGCAAAAAAAAAAATCCACGCTAGCCATCGGCTGCGAGAGGGAGCTGTATCCTGCAAGGTTGCCAATGTCAAGTAGACTGCGCTTCGAGCTGCGGAGAGAAACATCGGTTTTGGAGATTTTCATTAATCACGGTCAAGATAGCAATTCTGATCCTCCGTTTCCACGGCTAACATCGGTCGGCTGATATCTGTGTATCATTCCATTTTATGTCTATAAATCAACCATTCTACATCTTCTCTCACTCACGCCTTCAAGTGTTATCCCGAGGACATGTCGTAGGTAGTTGAAGCTATCATCTGGATGCAAATGTCGAATTAACAATTATACCTCCATGTCCGGACGATGGCTTCATTTGCTCAAGTCAGACAACTTCCACAAATATCATGAAGTTCATTTGTTCTGGTGGGTCTTAGTTATCCCTTGCTTCAACACCCTGCTATTCTTTGCACTAGGCATTCGCAGTAATACCCCTCTGTACACAATCTGGAGCTCCTCAGTGCAGTACGAGCACTGTCCGCAAGGTCCACCATCATGTCGTGCTCGAACACTCTTGTAGCCGGCAGTAATCGGCGATACTGTCAAGGTGCCTGCACTCACAATGACCGCAAGTGCAGTGCCTTAGGCCGTTGGAGTCAACGGTCAGTGCGATGAGCTGGCACGTATAGGGTCTGTCGTTTAGTGTTCTCATTTCGATAGTATTGTTGATAAATTTAATTGCTGCTTGGGGGTGGGATTGGGGGTACAGATATGCTGTTGATGAAGGATTTTATAAGTACAGCTATTTTAGCTCCAGCAAGCTTTGAGCATCTGCGCATTGCTTATGCAACGCTGCTCACATGCAAAGCGTTGACTTTATTGACAGTAAAAGGGCTGATCGAGAACAAGCATTCTTCAGCTTATGGCGCGTGTCTAAGACGTTGTGACCCATCGATAAAGGTAAGCCAAGCTGCAACTCATCGAGGTCCTTCAGAGGCATACGCCAACCAGGAAGCTCTAGACACTACCGAGAGGTTACAACTAGCTGGCCTAAACGGAACCGCAGCAGATGACAAAAGAATTTGACCTCCCCGAAACTTTCACCAGAAGACAACTTGTCAAAGCCGGCGAAACTAATATGCAAGCGCACAAGACTGAATGGACGAGCAGACACGCGAGCTTCTTTAAGAATTCGATTATATTCCTATTGAAAATACATACAGTAGACCTTAAGCAGGACGAAGCGAATGACGACGCGGGTATCCTTTTGGGGTATCAAAAAACGTGGTCAAAGTCCAGCTCCCTCCTCAGACAACTTTCACACCCTCCACTGCAGAGCAATTCGAGCAAAAGAATAAAAATAAAAACCGGGTACTCGTAGCAATTCGTTCCTCGTTCATCGTACAAATTCACCACGATTCGTTGCGCGCATTACCGATAATGTGCGATTTAGATGCTCTCGACCTGGCCGGCCTGGAGGGCCCTGTCAAAGCCGGTGTTGTGGGTGCCATGGCCGAAATCCGCGACGCCTTCCTCGCGGTACCTGCTGGGACCTTCGCCGACGGCATCGGCCTGGGCAAGCTGCGCCTGGACGGTCTGGTTCGTGGCAGGCAAGAAGATGACCTTGCTGTTCGCGGTCTTGGCCATTGCCTGCATAGCCTCCAGGTAGCGGATCTGCATGGCAGGAGCGCTGGACAGGATGTCGGCAGCCTGGCGCATGAGCTTGGCGGATTCGACTTCGGCGCGTGCGGCGATGACCTTGGCCTCTCCGGTACGCTTGCTCTGGGCGGCCATAGACAGAGAGTCTTGAAGCTCCTGGCTGAAGATAATGTCCTTGATGAGCATGCTCTCGACCTCAACACCCCACGAGGTCGAGGTGTCCTCGATGATCTCGCGGATCGAGGCTGCAATTTCCTCGCGGCGTTCGATAACATCCTGGAGCACGCGGGCGCCGATGACGTGGCGAAGGGTGGTCTGAGTGCGCTCGACGAGCGCCTGGCGGATATTGGCGATGCCAAAGGCGGCCTTGTGCGGCGATGTGATACGGTAGTAGATGACTGACGTGAGATAGAGCGAAACATTATCCTTGGTCATGCAGACCTGCTTGGGGACCTCTGTTTGGTTTACGTTAGAAAGAGTATTGCTGCTGGCCTTGGCGTGTTCTCGCTACTTACCGACGATCTGGATCTTGACATCGACCTGAATCAGGTTCTCGCTGAGCGGGTTGACTTTGACGAGACCGGGGTCGACGGCGCGGGCGAAGCGACCGAACTTGGTGACCAGGCCAACGTTGCCCTGGCTAACGGGCTTGTACGGGTTGGGGCAGCAGAGGCAGCACGGAATGGCACCGAGGGTGCCAATGCAGGAGCCCAAGGTATCGATCATGGCACCGTACCAGCCGTGGCCAGAGTCTTCGGCTTCTGGCTTCAGGACCTGGGCATAGCTAGGCTGGAGATCCTCGCGGCGCGGGGGCTGGACCTTGACAATTGGTTCGTCGGAGTTATCTCGAATGCGCCTGGCAGAGCTGGCGGTGCTGTCGGACAGCGGCGCCTTGCCGTTGGTCTGCGGAGCACTGGAGGAGTCCATTGCGGCGTTGGTGGTGCGCTAAGTTGATGCGTCGTTTGCGACGGTGAAGGTGGAGAAGGCGGGCGGGGAAGCTTCCTGGTCGATATGTTGTGTGCGACAAACAGTGTTGCAAGTCGCGGGATATGGAGGCGTGAAATGTGAGAGGAGGAGACAACAGATTGTGCGAGCGACAGGTGATATATAACTAGCGCGGTCGCAGTTGGCTGAATGGCGGAGACGCAGACTGAGACAAGGGCGCCTCGCACGAAGGATGCGGAGGTGAGCTCACCAGAGGGTCGACCTTACCCGATCGGGGAGTGAGCTTGCAGCGGGCCACGGCCAATGCAAAGCTTGTCGCTGTAGTGAGCAGGTGCGACCGGGGGGCTGTGCAAAACGCACCAGGGCCCAACTCCTCATCACATCACACCTCCGACTTCCAACTGCGCGCGCCGCTTCCTTTGCACCGTTTCCAGGCATAGGAGGATTGAGCAGCAGGGCAGTGTCGCAAGGCAGCAACTGTGCGACGTCGTTGCTGAGGGACCGGCCCGGAGCCGTTAACCATGCGCCAACGATCAAAACAAAATCATTTCTTCCGCCCAGGCTGGGCATATGACATCAGGTGGTGGAATGCGCCCACTGGCAGTCGGTAAAGCCGGCATCGCGGGAGTCGCCTGAAGTGCACGGCAATGATCCTTCGGCGGTCACGGGTCCCATCAGAGTGCAGCCGCCACCGCCATTCGGCTTTGTGCCGTACGGACGGCGGCTATTGTGCCTCAGCCAACCGCGGTATCGCGAACAGCCGCGCCCCTTCTTGGTAATAATGCTCGACTTTTACGAGCTCACCCTCGCAAGGCAGAATCAGCCTCAGCACGACGGCCTAACTGATCAGGCCCGGGCGGTGACGCACCAGTCTCCGTCCGCTTTCCAAATATATACATTGAAGGATGCGCCAAGCCGAGGACTCCACGGCGCGAAAACAACAGCGACATGGCGCAGTCCCGCTGTGTTGGCCGCACGTGCCTTTCACTCCCTTTGATTGCATGACCTCGGACGTAAAGCTGGCGAATTCTCATTGGGCATGATGCCGCGACGCTGAGCGAGTCCCGTGGTGGATCGGCACCTAGAAGGAAGAGGCTGTGTATTCGCAGGGCTGAAGAAGGCCTTCGCTGCTTCTCTGGACCCACATAATCTCATCACAACCTTTGCGAGATATTGGGGGCCATCTCCAGCAACCAAGCCTTGCAGTCGCCCAAGCATCTCTGGGGTTGGCACCTTGGGTCGGTGCCTAATCCGAATACTGAGTTTATTGTCGTGGACGAGTTGAGCACAGAGAGATCTCAACGGCCACGGGCAGCAGCTTGGTCTTTGGGACATGTTCGTAAAATTGTCCGTGCCAAAGCCTGAGCCCTTTTTCCCCGCCTTTTCTGTAAGCCACCTGATGCACGATCCCGCTTTTGCATCGTCCTTTGCCTCTTAATATCCTAGGGTTGCGGGATTTTGCCCCAAATGGTGGCTATGTCTTCCCGCTTGCACTGCCTGAAAACAACTCACCGGCAGAAGCGAGACCGAGAGACGTTTGTGCGACCAATCTCTGAGGCATTGATGGATGCCGCAAGAGTTTGACCAATGGCCATGCCATATCAACGCACGCTCAAACATGAGTTTACTGTCGTTGTTCCAATGGACGGCGTCCCCCTAGGAGAGTACCGTCTTTCACGCACTCACACGTCCTGTCCGCTTCGTCAATTGACAATCCCTTACGGTCGTCTACAAGGTAATTTGTCTTATACTCTACCTTCAAGCCGGATCAGGCCCTCCTTGGCAGAGCTTGTGATCGAAACTCCTAACCTGTGATACTTCAGGCCACCGTCTCACCCCATCCGCTGCTGGGGCAACCAAGTTGCAAATGTTCAATGATAATCTCTTTCTCCCAAACCACAATATCGATCCCATCCCACAACTATATCGCACCCAGCGTACAGCCCACTCGCTCCGCCGGATCCTCGACTAAGCTCTTCCACTCGGGCGGCAGCAGTTTCCACGCGGTGACGATTAGCCCTTGGCCCCAACCCTTGGCCCACCAGAAGCCGCGCAAGTTGTTCACCAGCACTGCAAACTGAGCCAGCATCACCAGGGCACCGGGCCGATGCTGTCCCAGATAATCGACCCAGCGATCGGGCACGACGTTCGGCCAGATCATCGTGGTGCCGACCAGGTCTAGCGGGCCCTCGGGCGTCGAAGGCCGCAGGATGAAGGCCGTGTACATCTGCAACATGGACAGGCACTCGGCGTAGACGCTGCGCTCCTCGTCGTCCATCTGAGGGGCGTCTGGTGTTGATATGGGTAGAGGCTCGTCGACCAGCACGCGGCGCAGCGTCGCGAAGCGACGTTCCATGTCCGGGGACAGCGGCTCTTCGGTGACGAAGCCCGGCTCGAGAATGGGTCGCAGAGGGCTCTCGCGGATCCAGTCCCACACGGCGCTCTGGCGCAGGATGGACGGGACGCCGCGCATCAGGCGCATCCATTCGGACGGATCCTCGAAGTCGATGACGGAGGCGGCATTGGGGTCGGCGGATTGGAGGCGGTGCATGGAACCGAGAACATACAGGGCCAGCCAGGCGGAGAAGAGGAAGACGCCAGGGCAAGTCTCGCGGGTCAGGTTGGTCAGGCGCTCGCGGAAGGCGCAGAGGGCAATGTTCTGATGGGCGGCAGAGATGGTGCTGTAACGGCGGCGCTTCTCGATGTCGCTGCAGCAGTGAGCGCGGTGCAGACCGGAAATGGCGAGCAGACCGTGCATCAGGGGTGGATCCGAGAAGGCGATTTCGGGGGCGGCTAATCTGTAGACTTCGAGGACGTCGGAGCGGGTGGAGAAGGTAAGGCTGGTGGAGACGGTGTAATGATGCAAGAGTTCCATGTCCTCGACAGAGAAGGTAAGTGGAATTGAAGTAGGGGCTGGGGATGCGAGTGCCGGCGACGGGGATGCGGGATTTGGCTGTATGTTTGGGGCGAGGGCGACGGGTGATTGGGTGCGGCTGCTGCTATCTGAAAGGGTCGACTTTTGGGTTGTTGGGCGGCTGTAGGGCAGATTGGGGACGACGAATTGAAGGCTGCATGACTGCTCTCGCTTTATGCAGTTGCCGCACGAGGGTTTCTTCTCGTCGCACTGTCGAGCGTGTTAGCAAGCCCCGCGGCCACGGCGTGCTGGTCTCTTGCGGCCGGCGAGGGAGCAAAGCTGCAGCGAGAAAGGGCGTAGGGCTGAGTCAGTTACTCTCACGATGTGCGTAGATCTCGGTGCAGGCAAGAGGGCTGGGGGCGGGTGGCTGCAGGGAAGCGCTGGAATTCGGCGGGCGTTGCGAGAAGAGGATCATACTTTCACGCGGCGCTGCTTGCACTGCACGCAGCCGGTGCGCGTCTTCTTGTGCGATCGCCTGGTAGCGGGGCGCTTGGACTGCGATTCATCGGGCATGGCGACGACAGGCTGGAGCGTGCAGCTCGCGAGACGTTCACAAGGTCGCCTGGCGAGGCGAGGAAGGGGGCGATGGCTTGCATCGCCATGTGGGGCGCCCGTGTCGCGTCGCCGCACCCCCAACATCCGCCGGAAACGACAGGGCTGCGGATCAACAATCCCACCGACGCGTCCATCGTGTCCGTGTCCCTTGGTCTCGATCCGACGCACCCGATTGAGGTTCCGAGGATGTCGCAGTCGGCTCTCAGGACGTGCGGAAGCACGAAAGCAAAGAGGCGGAGATGGCGCTTTTATATCCAGATGCAGCCGTCCCGTCGTACAGTCAGTCTCTCGTACACCGTGTCTGTTTATTGGCGAGCGCGCACGCCAAGACGCTAATTTTTGGGTCCCAGCCGCGGCCTATAAACTACTGTATTTTATCCACACAGGGATGTCTTCATTCAAAATTCTGTATTCACGCACTAACACATCGACGCAGGTCCGCGATCCTGAGGCATAACTCTTCATTCTATGGCTCTAGCTAACGGCTACAGTACACCTCTGCATACAACGAACTCTCAGGTCCGTGGCATCCATCGCTATATTGTACCCAAGAAAAAGAGCGGCGTGATTCGTAAGCGAGTGTCGTGGCTGCGTGGCTGGAGTACAGAGACCCTACTCGGCGAGGGCCTCCTCGAGGCTCAGGACACCATCGCCGTTCGTGTCGTGCCTAGCCCGGTTGATCAGTGTCATGCTTATATCTAAAGGAACGAATAAACGGAGGACCCACTTGTCGAACCATTCGACGTAAGCCTTGTCATCATCCGCAGCACCGACGTACTGAGTGTACTGGTGCAGGGTAAGGTTTCCGGTGCCGTCAACATCAGCGGCGTTGAAGGCATCGGTGGCCGAAGGGACCTCGCTCGCTCCGGCTTCGACGGCACTCCCCATGGCAGCGGCCGAACCGCTGCGGCAACCTAGAACAAAAAGGTTAGTTGTGATATGTAGTTTTGTTTCGTCCAACAACGTACCGCCCTCGCAGTTGCAACCAGTCCAGTCGCAAGGCCCGTAGCCGCAGTACGGGGTGCCCGTAGTGCCGTCCCCGCAAATTCCGTTGCTGTCGGCTCGGCAGCACGCGGCGGCGGCGAACGGAGCAATGGCGGAAAGGATGACGAAGAGCGTGGAGGGCTGCATGATGGCTGAAGTGTTGGTTGACTTTGGTTGAGCTGAGTTGACTGTGGTGGTGATTGATGGTCTGGTTTGCAGGCACTGGACTCGCTTTTATATTTCACAGTCCTCTCTCACATCGAAGTTTACGTGAGTCTGTCCCTCCGAATCCGAGTATACGTGAACCAGAATAGGCAATCCGTGGTCGCCCTACGGTGAAAGGTCCGCATCGAAGTATACTTGGACCCGAATGGGCATGGCTGAGCCCTACAGTGCAAGGTCCGATGGGGATGTACGTAAGTATAGTAGGAGATTAGCGGCTAGGCTCAACAGTGAAACGTTCATTCAGTCTAAATGATCCTAAACCGGCATGTACATGAACCTGACTGGGCAATACATGGCTGATCCCCATGGTGGAGACCCCCGAAAACGTTGCCTGATGAATGTGGATATGCGAACCAAGGCTTTGTAAGGTCAATTGTGATGGGCTTGGAGGCTGGATTGCCGTAAGCTGCCGGCGTTCCGTTGGCCGTGGGCCATGGTCGATTGGCGATGAGGCTTCGGGTCGTCCCACTAGATCAGCGCTGATCACGTCCTGTGCCAGCTGGCGGCGCAGGCATTATACGAATTGTGTGGGGTTTCAAGCTTATGGAAGACGATTGAGCCCTAATACCGACAATCATGCCTCAAGAGAGTGCACGAGGCTGATGATCTGCACGTGCAATCACGCCACGCAGTTCCTAAACCATCTTCTTCTTCCCCGGAATTCGGTTCATGTTCACAACAGTCACTCTTCGCCCGCATACAGCATGCAAATTGCAGTCAATGTGCTATGGAAAAGAGGTAAGCACTAAGCAGGGTCAGCAGGGTTGGATACACATACGCTTGGCTAAAGTGGAGCACGGATGAAACCCTGCAACCGCAGACAATGGCACACGAAAAGTTGGAGATGGGGATCCAGGTACGAACAATCCGGTCACTCAAGTCTTGGAGCTCGAAGATATTGAGCAATGTGACAAGACGGAAGTGTTGAACGATGATGGCATGGAGAAAGCGTGTCATTTTTCAGTATTCTAAACTAAACTTGGATCTAAAGGTAATATGGGGGCTAAGGTCAGTACATGTTCGGGTTTCCAAGACTGTCGTTCCGTTAGGGAATCGTCATTATGGTTCATGATGCGTGGACCATTGCACGGCCAGGATCCACCTTATTGTTACCTCACCATCTCCACTGAATGTAAGGCGGGCGTAAACACTAGCCACGAATTTGCTTTCAGCTGACTTGGCTATGCTCCACCAGGAATAAGACAACAGACAGAAAGGAAAAAGACTAGGGTTGCTTCCACTACAGCAGCGTCATCCGTAGGAATCCGATAATGCCCGGTAACTGAGGTGATGGAAACGGGATATGGTGCCTGAAAAGCACTTCGCGAGGCTGGAGTGTCGGCTTGGCGGCATGGCTTCTTCTCCCAGCCGCTCAGACCTTTCCCGATAGAGTAGCGAGTGGTCAGAAATATCGATTCTTACCGCCGTATTTCAGAAGCTCAGGACCAACCGCCTGATGTTCAGACTTTACTTTTCCCTTGTTGGTCTGGATTGATTGCTACCTCGCCTCGTCCAGCGAGTGATGGACGGGGCTCGTCGGGCCTGTTGCAACCGAGAGCTTGCCTTGTGGCCGGTGGCAAGTCTATCCCCTGAATTGGCAGCCTGGTGGCTTGGCAGCGTATTCTCCCGCGCAAACACAGGATCAATCGCGTGATTTTTCTACGTCCACCGAGGCGTCGTGTGTTAATTCTGTTTTTACGCATACTAATAGAAACTGGTGAGTCTCCTGACCATGTTGGAGCCAATGAAGTCTGTTGCGACAAACTGTGCTGCTGGTGCGATCATTCGGGTGAAACTGCGCATTATAAAGCTCAGAAACTGGGCCAATACAGGGAATTAGGAGGCCAAGATAACGGAGGAGCTGTTGTTTCTTCGACGCTGGGCGACGGTTGGGGTGCTTTCGTACTCATCAGCGTTTAAACTGTTTCCCCTGAAATTTCCGTCTTGTTTGGAGCTCCTCTCCATCAATCAGAAGTACTTCACCGTGTAAGAGAAGCTATCTCTGTGAAGTTAATCGTGAGAGACTACAGCCTGCGGTTCACCCGACTGCCGAATCTGCAAGTTCTACACATAGATATGGGCGGTGCAAGTCGGGGTGTGTTGGAGCGCGGAGAGGTCTGCGGGCATTCGTGGGGTGGCCAGGACACGGTGCCTGAGTCGTTTCACTTCGGTCACCGAAGGAGACGTACTGCTGGCCAGTGTGGCCATTCCACGTAGTTCCTCTGGAGTCCCCGCTTGCATTGAGGCCATTTGCTGCTCGAGTAAGACAGGATTCAACTGCAATGTAAAGTCATTTGCTGTTTGAGTATAGCGTGTTCATTCAAACGACATCCGGTCTCGGCGTGAAGCTGCATTATCTATGAATGGAGCTGGATGATATATTGTCAAACTTTGAGAAAGGCATGGCACCGCGCTGAAGTTCATTGTCGGCACAGGGCCTTATATTCGGGTATAGATCCATCCCGATTCTTAACATTTAAGCTGAGTTTGATGATTATTAAACAGGACTGGGCAAGTTGTCTGTCTCATCGACCAGCTATGACGATAGGCTGGGACACGGGATGGAAGGCAAAGAAAATTTTTGATTGTATGGAAGCTTCATTTCCTGAAATTTAATATCAAAAAAACCCACCCCGTTAGTATGCAGGTATGAACTCACTCAAGAAAATGTAATGGCTGGTCTACGGTAGCAGATTTCCGGGAAGGAATTAGTAGTGACGGGCCACTAAGCTATCAAGCGGAAGCTAGCCGGGCTTGACCATTTACTTATTATACTACACCGATCAGTATCTTGAAAAGGATTAAAACACTTCAAAATACCAAGGGAGAACCTACGTTGTCTAAGTATTATTGTTCTACTAGATCCGTGTCATATCGTATAGGGCGGTCGGAAAAAAAAGAATTCAACGAATGCAGGGGAAATCATTGCGATACGACTGTTGCTTATCATAAGCGAGCATTACCATTTTGCGCGTTTAGGCTCCGGTCGTACTGCGCTGGCTCTCATTGGGCAGTGTCCCGATCGGCCCGCTTACCTATTATCGCAACCATGGAGATGGTTAAGCTCTCGTTCAGATGCATCTACCTACTCAGATATATTCATGTCAGGACGGACGTTTCGGCATCTGCTGCAATTTTTAGACGTCGTACCCGACGTATCGCGCCTCCGCGCAATGTTCAATCCGCCAGCCCCACATTGGCGCGTCTCGTAAAGCAGACTCGCAAATGGCGGCCTCTGATTCGCTCGTTTGGCTCATACGAATACGTCGGTCTGCACAGAATACGCCTACACCACGCCAAATGGTCCAAGGAGGATGGAATTGGCCGTTTGCACAGCCTGGAGGCGGGTGCTTACGTCCGATCCACTTCTGCACAGGTATATCTATCCGTGGATGCCTTCTCGATCATCTACCGAAGTCCACGCATGCTCGTTTCCTGCTTCTCCCTGTCCACCAAGCAGATTCGCTTCCTGTTCTGCCCGCAGACCATCAGTCCAACATGTCCGACTCTGGATACCACCCGTCCCTCGACGACCCCAACGCCTACGTGCTCTACCGCTACCATCCCAGCCTCCCGGCCGCCATCATATTCGTCGTCGCTTTTGTGATAACAACATTCTGGCACTGCTGGCAATGCGGCCGCACGCGGACGTGGTACTTCATTCCGCTCATCATCGGCGGCTTCTGTACGTGCACCCGGCGCCGCGGAGACTTTTTCGGCTGACGCAAAAAAAAAACACAGTTGAGTGGGTTGGCTACGTCGGCCGCGCCCTCTCGTCGCAGGACCAATGGGCGCTCGGCCCCTTCATCCAGCAGTCGCTGCTGCTCCTCGTGGCGCCCGCCCTGTTCGCCGCCTCCATTTACATGATCCTGGGCCGCATCATCCTCGTCACCGACGGCGAGCAGCACTCGCTGATCCGGCAGAAGTGGCTGACCAAGATCTTCGTCTCGGGCGACGTCATCTCGTTCCTGGTGCAGGCCGGCGGCGCGGGCATCATGTCGGCCGGCAGCGCGTCGTCGATGCACACGGGCGAGAAGATCGTCGTGGCTGGCCTGTTCGTGCAGCTCGCCTTCTTCGGCTTCTTCATGGTCGTCGGCCTGCTCTTCTACTCGCGCATCTCGCGCCAGCCTACCGCTAAAAGCATCGTCGACGACGGCTCCATGCCCTGGCGCAAGCACTTCTGGGTCCTCATGGCCGCCAGCCTGCTCGTCTTCGTCCGCAGCGTCTTCAGGGTCATCGAGTATCTGATGGGCAACAACGGATACCTGCTCAAGCACGAGGTCTTTCTGTACATCTTCGACGCCGTGCTCATGTTCGCCGTCATGCTGCTGTTCAACCTCGTCCACCCCAGCGAGATCACCCGCATGCTGAAGGAGAGCGACAGGAGGGAGGTCGGCATGGAGGAGATCCGGGAGAGATACATGGAGGATAACAGTGCGTGATGATATTCGCACAAGGCGTTTTCTGGTTATTTCACGTTGACAAAAAGACTAGACTTGAAGCGAACTTGATTCATATTTGATTTGTCCTGATATTTCCAGCTGCCAACCGAAATTTCCCTCTTCTGCAGTGCCACTGGTTTTTCCCCCCTTTGAGATGCCCTTGCCAGGTGCCTTGCGAATGTATTTGCCTTGTGAATGCATTGATTGATGTGCCGGGAGCATAGTTGAGATTGTGGAGTAGAGTGATTGCTCAGCGGCTCAGTTTGGCTTGTTACAGGCGTGTGGGCTTGTTTGGCGATGGGAGTGAAGGCGAGGTGAGGTGAGGTGAGGTTGAAGGTTGGTGAGTAGAGATTGCTGGACTTGCTCTTGTCAGAGGAATGTCGAAAAGTAATGGAAAGAGCTGGGCATTACTTACCAGGATCTTCTCAGGTGAAGTGAGGCAAGCAAGCCAGAGAGAGTCGACCACAAAGTGAGGTTGATGGTTGATGAGTAGAGATTGCCGGACTATCCCTTGTCAGAAGAACGAAGAGCAATGGAAAGAGTTGAGTGTCACTTACCAGGATCTTCTCAAGCGAAGTGAGGCAAGCAAGCCAGAGATTCGACCACAAAGTGAGGTTGGTGGTGATGAAGCCAAGTCAAATCGTGACAGTGGTAGTGATGTGTCGACATTGACTTCCGTAGGCTTGGGAGGCATCGGTCGCGAGCTCCTCCCAACCTCCTACGAGAAGAACAATCAGCATGTCGCTTGCTGGCGGGTGACTTACGTTGAGATGCCCCGCCAGCAAATGGCTCTCTTTGCCTGGCGTCATTGGCTTAGACCAAGATCTTCTCGAGGGGGTCGGTTCGGAGTCGGACTTCTTGTGGAGTGGTTGGACTCGTTTTAAGCCAAAAGGCAAAGAGAGCTGAAGAAGGAAAAGAGGAGCAGAAGATGGAGGGCCTGGGGTTTTTATAGGTAGGCTGGTGGTCCAAGCGCAGGCCATGTCACCTGCAACGCTGTCACCTTGTCGCCCAGCAACGGGCTTTCACATGCTGCTGCCTTCTCGAGCTTTCTTTCCAAGGCGGAAACGTATGGAACCGGGGGCTATCTAGAGAAATTGGGCCTTCTCGAAACCTTCTCGTTTCTAAACCCATTCTAGACGGGTCTTTACTTTCTTTCTTCAACAAACATGTCCAGACGTTTACCTCGACTACCCACCAACGAAGACTATGCCTTTTTCGTGAGACAGAGGACTTTAATCTACTGCAACCCACTGTGGTGGAATAGTGGTAACGGGACGGGCCGCATGATCGACGTCAGGCATACAAAAGCTATAATAATATCGGGCCGGGGCCGCAGACCGTGTCTTCCCTTCTGCCGAAACTCAAAACCTTCTTGCCTATTTGTGGTTGGTGAGCTTGGACAAGGGTTGGCCTGTCTCGTTGTGCTCTCGGTATGGCTACACTCCTCCAGTTCAGCCTCACGAGGCGGTACTATGCTTATGACTGTAGTTATTGGCGCAAATGGACCAAAAAATGATAGACGAAGTTTCTCGCATCAGGTATCGTACAAGCTAGGATCGTCTCGGGTACCTTGACACCTCCAGATCAGCTGTGAAAACAATGCCTCAGTCGTGAAATCATCTCATGTCTATTATTAATCTATCAAATGACTGGAGCCTCCCCGAGCCCTTCGCCTAACTCCTTTCCAGATGAACATCTCTCTTCTTCACAGTTCCATGACAAATCCAGCCGCAGCTGTCATTCCCGCGACGACCACGGCGCTCCAGACAGCATGCCTTCCTGCGCCGGCGCCCCAGCTCGCCGCGCCGCTCGTCCGGTTGTACAGCGACAGCGCCCACGAGCCACCACATGCTTCGGTCTCGTTTGCTTTGCATGGGATGCCGCACGCGCCCTCGGGCAGCTCGGTCGACAGGCTCGAGAGATAGGGGCTGCACCAGCACCTGTTGCGCAAAGAAAACGTCAGTACTCACAGCATAGGAAGAAGAAAAGCAGCAAAAGAAAGCGCGCGAACGTACTCTCGTCCGTACTCCAGGCCGGCGTACTGCGAGCCGCCGCAAAAGTCGAAGCACCACTCGGGCGTCATCTCGTCCGTCGCGTTCATGCTGCCGCCCGACAGCGCGCGCACGCCGCCGCCCTGCACGAAGCCCTGCGTCTCATTCCAGCAGCCTGCGTACTCGTAGCCGCTGCTGCCCTGGTTGATGGCCAGCGTCGCCGACGGGTAGGCGCTCGTGCTCGTCGACGTGGCGGTGCCGCTGGTGCTGGCCGAGCTGGATGTGGCGGTCGACGTGGTCCTCGATTCCGAGGCGGAAATGGTGGTGCTGCTCGATTGCGCAAAGGCGAGGGCGGGCAGAAGGATGGCCGAGAAGAGGGCGGAGATGGGGGCCATGATTGCAATTGATAGCGGCAAGAAAAGCGACGAGAGGGAAAATCACCAGGAGAACGGAGAGGAAGGGAGCGTCAAAAGAGCGCGGCGGTGGAGATTTGTGGCGGGCATTGTTGGGCCGGACTCAGCTGAAGGAAAAATAGGGCGGCGCAGGGTAAGCTTCGTTCCTGGGGCTAGGCTTCTAGATACGAGATAGTGGTGTCGAAAGAAGGCAGGCGGGGCGGCAGATGGCGGCACTTGATCGCCGGAGGAAGCAGAGGAAGCAGCCAGACCGCGGCGAGACCGGGGAGACCGATTATTTTAAGCGAACGCTTGTCGGGAGATCTGCCCGCCCAAGCTTTCGCTCGCTCCGAAGGAGTCTACTATCGAGATAGCGTGAAAATTCAAGGGTCTCGCCTCCATCACAAAACCATCACCCCAGCCGCGTCATCTTCACTCGCCCCGACTTTTCAGCAAAATACCCAAAAGGATACCACTTGACTTCGCACACCCCGACCCGGGAACTCGCCGTGCCATTCTTGTTCTGCTTGACTAGCAGAAGCGTCGCGACATTCCTGATTCCGTCCGAGAGCTCATGGCGATTGAGCAGGATTGCTTGCAGAGACTCGCCGACCAGCTGGCTCTTTAGAAGGGAGCTGTTGCCTCTCTGAATGACCGCCCTGCTGCTGGTGCCGTCCGAGGTTTCCCGCTCAAGCGCGACCACGTCTCCAAGGAGGCACACCTTGACGTCGAAAGCGCAAGCCTCGATGTGAATGTATCGAGAATATTCACCGGGGTTTTGCGTGACGTGTTCTGCGTCGGAAATGGAGGCGATCGGGCGCAAAATGCCATCCAAGCGCTCGACCCATATTGCTACGTCGGGAGCCGTGTCGACTTTCAGTCTCGAGAAAGTCACTGGCCCTTTCCAGCCGAGCCAGGACCACGAAGGGTAATCCCAACGGCGTTGCGACATGTCGAAGTCATGCTGCATATCCCACAAAAGAGACATGCAGCGGCCATTGTTGATCTGGATGGCCCAGAGATGGTGCAGTCGCGGTTCGCACTGCTCCAACGCATGGAGAATCCCACTGAAAGCGTTGAGCGCATCCGAGTCGTACCTAAGGACCCGTCGAGAGTACTCTTCAACATAGTACGGGAAAGGTCTCCTCTGCTCTCCCATGACGTTCGACAGGTGCACGCCGAAAAGCGGTTTCAACGTGCACCCAGCGCCGTGCCTGAGCGGTATTCGCAGCACTTCCTGCGCCGTCATGTCTGCACATTCGAACACGACCTGTTCTGACGTGAAGAAAAGACGCCTCCGAGAGAAGCAAGCTTCTTGGAAAGTCCAGCCTCGCGTCATCCACGGCGATTGAGTGATGGACTTCATGTTGGCTTCGACGAAAACCAGGGCCCCATCGGCAGTGGCAATGAACGACTGCGGCGCCCTCGGCGTAGCTCCAATCCCCGGCAGTCCCGAGTCCACGTTGTCTCCATGGGCTGCTATGATGGTGAGGTCTGCGTTCGAGAAGATTTTGTGCATTTGCTGGATTTGGTCGTGCTTCTCGTCAAGGCGATGCTGGTCGATGCAATACCGGTCGGCCCAAAGATATCGAAGATCGGGGAGCCCGAGTCTTTTGATCAGTTGGATGGCATCATCTACCGTCCGTGGCAGGGCTGCCGGCAGCGTCTCTCCCTCTGCCAGGGTCGGGCCGGTGTCAGAGCCCCACGTATAACTCAGTGCCGCGAACTTCATTCCTGGCTTCCAGGGGACAACACGAGCGTCCATGCAATCTATGACCTTCATGCTCCGGGGAAGGTCACGGCTCCCTTGGAGACGGCAGTTGAAGTGGTTTGTGATGCATGTCGTAAGCCAGTGTCTAACTGCTACTATATCGACTTCGTTCTTCCAAAGAAACCGGGAAGAAGCTGGCTGACTCGATTTGAAACTCGCAGTGCGGACGCATCCAATGAGATCGTCGTGGCGATGCAAGGCCACGGTCCCGGCAGCCGTCCTGACGAGGTGGTAACGATGTCGGTCCTTGAATGCAAAGTCAGGCTTGAACTTGTCGACGAGGTGGCACAAGGGCGTGCCGAGGGACGCTTTGGCCGGTGTATTTTCTGACAGCCATGTTGAGATCGAGTCTGGTTGATGCATCTGGAGCCATGTTGGCAGGAGGATAGACGTCTCGGTATTTCGGATGACCATCTGGAAAGGGGTGTCAAAATTATTGATGATGGACCCTTGGAACGGTGAGCGGAGCGGCCATCCGTGCAGTCAAATAATTGAACATCGCCCCCAATACCAAGCCCGTCGCTGAGGATTTGATGCTTCTGACCGCCATTTGGGTCTCTCAGCCCGTATCGTGTTGGATGGTTATGACGAAGTTTGTCGGCACGGTCAGCGAGGTCTGGAACATTGCGGGGGGAGCCCGTGGTCTGGCCAGATGCACGGAGCTTGACGTCATGCGGTCTGACGTGAGAAGGTTAATGCAGAGGGTATCGCAGCCGATAGCTAGCGTAGATTTATTTTTTGCTCATGTCATGGGCAGTTGAAGCTATCGTCCGGACGTGTATGTAGAACTTTTAATTCTATATTCTAGCTTCAACTACCCGCATATGTTAATTTTTCTAAGGCAGGGGCGAAGAATAATTAGAAACCTAGATCAAGAGACTATATACTGGCTCTTTTTTTTAAAAAAAAAAAAAGAAAAAAGAAAAAAATGGGGCTATCGTCCGGACGTGAATGTCACATTTACATAGCTTCAATAACCCGTGACATGGGCTAGCCTTCGTCTGTGGTGGAATGCTCTGAGGCGACAGGGAGCCCTGGAGCTGCGGGGGGCTGTTTTGCCGAGCGGGCGGTGCACTCTCACGCCATCTCCTCTCCGCCTCAACCAAACTTTCCCCTCGACAATGAGCACCGCAATCCGCTTCATCGCCTCCAAAGGCAGCAAGACAAGCTCGGTCGGCTCCATCTCTCTTGCCTGCCACGTCAAGCCGGGCGCGTCGGCCAAGCGCGAAGGCGTCAACAGCGTCAGCGATGATGGCGTCGAGCTGTGCGTGTCGGCGCAGGCGAAAGAAGGCGAAGCGAACAAGGCGGTACAGAAGCTGATCGCCGAGGTGCGTTGTACCTTTCAAATTGCATTGGATTCATCCGCACGGCGGACGAAACGCCGATGCGTGCGTCGTGAGGGTGTGCCGGATGAATGCCTCGATCCATCAGTTCACGTTGCACAACACCCCCTCAAATCATTTTCCCAGCCACTGACATCGTCCAGATCCTCAAGGTCCCCAAGTCTGACGTGGAGATTGCAAAGGGCATGAAGTCGCGCGAGAAAACCGTCATGGTGCACAACCTGGCCAAGAATCGCAGTCCTGAGGAGCACATCGAGTCAATTCGAAACGCTTTAATTACAGCTATGGACAATTAAAAATAACTCGTAAAAGTTTCCTCCGTTACCCAAGAAGGGTATGGTATTTCCTTGAATCGTAAATAGTTTGCCCTGTTTTCATCCAATGTCGCTCAGTGCGTACAAGTCCGCTGACTTTTTTGTTTTACAGGCTTAAGCGTACTGCCAAGCGTTGGTGCCGCCGGTGTAGTTGGAGGCCAGGAAGTTGAAGCCGAGGCAGTTGGTCTGGTTAAAGCCACCGCCGAAGATCTGGTAGGGGAAGGTGCCGTTGGGGGAAGCGCAGGCAGTGAAGCCGTTGGTCCAGCCGAGGTAGCCCAGGCCAGAGCTCGACGACAGAGTGAAGCCGGTGGTGACGGAGCCCTCGGGAGTGTAGGCAGAGTGCGCCTGGGTGAAGGACAGGGAGCCGTCGGGGGCGATGTAGACTGCTCGCCGCGTTAGCATCGAGTTTTCTATGTTGCTGCTGTCGGGAACTTACCCTGCTGGCCGCCGGGAACGGCCGTGTTCAGGCCCAGAGTGTTGTCGCCGCCAGCGAAGACGGTGACATTGCCGGGGTAGGCGGTCTCGCAGTCGGCAACGACGGACGAGGGGCAGTAGGAAGAGGTTTCCTTGCCGATCCAGAACTTGCCGCCGGCAGCGTTGATGCTGCCAAAGTGGATGGGAGAGGCGGAGCGAGCGGCCAGGCCGACGAACTGGCCAAGGGCAGCCGGGGCGGCGGCGAGGAGGGTGGCGGCAATAGCGAAGGACTTCATTGTGAATTGAACGAGTGTTTTGTTTCGTTTGTTGTTTGGTTTCTCGACGGCAGAGGTTCTGTCCTTTTATCTGTGGTGCTGCACAGCCTAAGGGGTGGCCATGACGCACGGGAGGGCCACCGCTCGGTGTCCGGGCATCTGCTGTAGCTCGTATTGGTGATCTGTGAGGCGTGATGGCACTGCAACCTCCACACCGATAGTGCGCCCTACGCCTGACTCGGCAAAGCAGCCGGCGCTTTCGGGCTCTTAAACCGACGTCATTCGCTCGCCGCCGCTTCCGCCCAATTCGATGCATGTCGACGGCTCAGAGAGCGCACATCTCGTATCGCGCCGTTGAGCATTGCCCTGTTCGCTGCTGCAACGGCTCGGGCCCGCGCCAGACTGGTGCGTAGCACATTGAGGGCGGCAAGGGTCTGCGACACTGGCATGCAGGGCCACAGTCGAGGCGAGTGTGACGGGTGTGGCGGCCGATAGGCTGCGTTAAGCTCATCGAGGAGGCGCAGCCAAAAATATCCGGCCCTACTATTATTTTTTTTTCTCAACCTGTCTTCGCAACCACCTTCGCTCTTTCAGGGCTGTGCGGCTGACCGCGAGTCGCCATCGGCCGGGAGCCCCGAGGAGAAAGGACAGCGCATAGGTGCTCTTGCTGACCTCCACAGCCCGTGGTCAAAGCGCGCCATCCATGTTTCCAGACGTTTTCTCTCGCACGAAAGCTGCTCTCTATCTGTGGACGCCACCGCTGCGCCAATCTCTCGTCCGGCCGCGCCGGAGGAAACCGCCGATCATGAGGCTGAAGGCGGTCACGCTGATCTTCCCAATCTGCGCCCGACAAATTGCCAGCTCCGACCATTTCCCATCTGTACACGATTGTCAGCTCGTCACATCGTGCTTCTATTTTTGGGAGCGTCGCCCGGCCATGAAACACCCGAACGTCGAGAAACATGTGATGAAGCGCTTTTCGATGACAATTGTACCTGTGTGGTGCATGTCGATCACCCAGAGACGTAATCTTCTCGCAGTAGCTGCCTCATGAGTCTTAGGTGCCGGTTTTGCGGAGAAGTCGGAACAATTACCTTGAGACAGCGGATCTGAACATCGTGATATCGGTAACATATAATCCATGACATCAACCATTAGTCCCACGCCTCGACGTGCTCGTTAGCACCGCTCCGTCTCGTGCCTCTGATCAAACGCAGCTGCAAGATTCAGAGCTGAGGCCTGCCACCTTCGAAACATGACACAGGCTTTACGAGCATCGAGCGATGCATGTGGAGTCGAGATGATCAGCACAGAGTGGCTCGTTGGCGCGCACCAAGAAGCGAGCTGACCGGGGGCTGCAGTGAGCTTTTCCACATCCGAACTCGACCTCGTAAACGGAAGAGACCCCGTTGCATCCCCGGTACGCATAGGGCTGTCTTTTGCCGTGACGTGCATGTTGATGCCGTTCCTGAAACTAGAATATACGGAGTCCTCGGGGCTACGGCGGGTTATAGCAGCCGAGGGGTACTCGATGCCATTCTGCATTTACATTCGGACGATATCTTTACTGTCCACTTCTTTTTTTTTTTTTCAAAAACTTCTGAGGCATGGTTACGCCATGTCCCGGGACCCTGCGATCAAGGCGCCAGCCTTCGGCAGCACTTCTCTGTACAGATCGAGCAGACAGGCCAATGCAGAGTGCCTGTGAAACGCACATGGAACCTCCGAAGCCGGCATCGATACATCTCTGGCGGGAACTATTGGTAAGAATCAAGTAAGACAAGATAGTCAGAAGCGGAAGAGGAAGCTAACCCCACCTAGTTGGCTTGACTATGGAATACGAGGAAGGACATGAAAAAATCGTGACCTCTGACAAAGTGCTAGGTCCCGGTTTAGTCGATGCAATAAAGCGCGGAGTCAGCAGTGGTCGCAGCAGTTCCAAGGTCCAAAACTCAACACAAGTGAAGGATGCAACGTTGCACATGCATTACTGTCTTTCTCAAAAACTTGCACGCGGGTAGGCGCATATATGTACTTCGCCAGGTTTAGACATCAGAAAGCTTCTTCGCGCCCAAAGTCTCATCGTCAGGAAGCAGGCGGGCTTACTGCCAGAAGCACAGTTTACCGCTGGCTGTACCAGCTGCGATCCAGTCCATGCTGGGATGGAATTGTGCCACGGCAGGGACTGCTGTGATTCCATCGCCCCCTAACTGCGCGAGCTGCTCTCCTTTGCTGGTATACACATCCACGAACCGGTTCATGTTTCCAATGCAGAAGCGCTGCACGCCATCTTGCGGCATCTGCTGCCATTGGGCTCGTAATCTAGACCGCGTTAGCTTACACAAGCCTAGCACCAGGCCGGTGTTTGACTCACATTGTCACCCATCTACCAGTTTGGTTGTTATGAGGGATGATCGTTGCGGGCTCCATCGCCTCGTCGCTCAGCCGTGCGCCGGTCTTCCAGTCACCGCAATCGGTGAAGTCGTAGATTTTGACCGTGTCGTCGTATGAAGCGGTAGCGACATGGCCGACAGAATTGAACGCGGCGTGCGACACGGACAGCCTGCTCTCGTGTTCTCCGAGGAGTGTTGGCGCTCGAGCATCGCCCTTGCCGGTGATTTTGCGCAAGTCCCACACCTTCATCGTGCGATCCAGAGACGCCGTTGCAAATAGGTGCTTGTGGATAGGATGCATGCTGAACCCGCCAATTTTCTTTTCCGACAACTGGAATACCTGGGTCTTATCCGAAGGAGCGCGGATATCGTGCATACCAAAACTGCCGTCAAGAGTGGAAAAATACACCATATTGGCTGTTCCGACGTCGACTCCAGAAAGTGGCGCGTCCTCGGACTTGTCCGCCGGCGCGTAGATTTCCACCGCCATTCCTTTGTTTAAGTCGAGCTTCCTAACAGACGAGTCGTATGATGCCGAGAATAGCGCGTGCGCATCCGTAGCGCTGAATTGAAAGGCAGATATCGTTCGAGTGTGTATCTTGAATGTCGTCACCGCAGGCTCCGCGTCATCATCTTCCTCGTCATCTTCAGCCTTGATGTCCGGCACGCTTTGAGATCCGTCAAACAACCCGAGGTTTCCCATCTTGTCTCCGGCAAATATCAAAGCCTTGTCGGCGGTCGGATGGAATCCCATGGCGTATATGCGCTCAGGCGTGAGTTTAATCTCTGAGGACCCGTCAGTGCACTCGATAAATAGGCTGGGAGCAAGGCTTACGATTCGGTTCAAATCCCTCCCATAGCTGAAGTCCACTCATCTTCTCGCGCAGAGCTCGTAGCTCCTTGTCTGTCGTTTTCTTTACATTTTCGGCGGTGAAAGTTCTTTCGTACGGCATGGCAGGGCCGACGCCTCTCAGGAAATTTCCACTCTGATTCCAATGCTGACCGGCCACCACGACGTCGCTGAGATTTAAATCATCGCTGATGCGCTGGCGTTTCGCTCTCTCGGCCTCTTGCAGTGCCGCATGTTCCTCTTCAGCCTTTCGTTTAGCAACCTCACTATCTGCAACGATCCCTCGCAAGCGAGAGGACGTTCTCCTGTACCTCGATCAGCGGCTGCGTGGGAAGCAATTTCCCGGATCTTTGCTCACCGCGGCACAACCTCTTCTTTTTCCTTCTTCACAGCCGGCTTTTTCTTCTCTTTCTTGGCCGGCGTCGAGGAGCGCGCCTTCGATGCTGCAGGCGCAAGGCCTGCCTGCTGAGCATCCAGTTGAAGCGACCTTAGAAGGGCTTGATTTTTCGCGATTTGCTCCTGGCGCTTGAGCTCATACTCGCTCAGCTGGGGTTTCGCGCCGCGAGCCATGGCGATACGAGAGAGACTAATTGGTGTTGCAGCGTAAGCGATTGGGTCGGATCGAGTTCAGCAGCTGCCGGGAGGTATTCACGGCGCGTGGTGGTGCTTGCGACGAGAGAACGCGAGCGCGACGGTGAAGTCATCGACGGGTGGCGCCTAAACGCGTCGTCGCGTGCTCGCGCGATTTTGCTCGGAATTACCGCGGAGCATTACCCTCGTCGCCGCCACCAGCCCTTCCAAGTTCAAGCTTTTTCTTCTTCTTTTTTTCCTATCAATTCCGCAACCCGCCATGACACCTTCGAGCGTAGCGCAGCGGACGCTGCTCCCGCTGAATACAACTCTGCTACCTTTTTTGTACCAGACGAGGACCATACTGGGCCGCGGTCCGCGCCGGTCGTTCGCTCGAACAGATACCCAGATCAGGTGCCTCAATGCCGCCAGCGAAATTGCCAGTCGGCGGAATCCTTCCCATGGCGATGAACGCGCCGACACCGGATACGCGAGCGATGTTCCCTTTGAATCGGAGCAAGAAGAGTCTTTCCACCAGCAGCGCAACGCGACAATTACGGAGAGAGAGCGACGAACCTTTGAAAACCTCTTCAAAAAATACAATGCGACGAAACCCGTCTACGGAGAAGGGAAAGGCGACGTCAATGACGATTTGACCGATGATACTTTGGAATCCATCCTCGATCAAGCTATAGCTGGTATGGAGCCAGGCGACACTGGCCCCGTATCCTCGTCTGGCATGACTCCTCTGGCACGGCGAGAGCTCATGAAAAAAAGGGCCATCCACCATGAAGAGGAAGACACGCTGCTCAGGAAGGCGCAGAGGAGGGAGCAATTTGAACGCATCGAACAACTGATGAAAGCGGCGAAGAGTGATGTTGAACTGTGGAATGTTTTGGAAACGGAGGTCCTCTCTGTCATCCGGCGCCTGGACTTGGATGCCCCGCGACCTCCTCGCGGCCAGAGCGAGGAGACGGAGCGAGATGAACAAACGGAGTCCCAGGGAAAAGCGGACCCTTCGTCCGAGTTGGAGATCATCGGACCCAACTACCCGTCTCTCATGCTCGTCGCAATGCGGCAACTCCGCGTGGACTTTCCAGGATCTACCCTGGGGCTCGCTCTACTTCCCGCGATCAAAAACCTGGGCAGAGGGTCTTACGCCCTGGGTGCGAGTACAGAGCTCTACAATGAATTGCTCGCCATGACATGGCTTACGTATTCCGACTTTCAAGGTCTCGATGACTTACTGCAAGAAATGGAGAATGGGGGAATCGACTTCGATGCAAATACGCTCGATCTCCTGGATTCCATCAAAAGGAACGCCTTGGATGCGCGGTCGCGGCGTCTTGGAGATGGCGCAAGCGCGATATTAGAGATGGACCGCTTTAAGCGCGGCATCAAGAGGTTGCAACGGTGGAGAGATGCAATCAGACTGCGGATGGAGGCCGAGGCGATACGTCAGGCCAAGGAGCGCGAGTTGCAGTTGTAGTTAAGGATGCGTCCAGAAGTAGATTAGGACGCAATTTGCAAGAATTTTCCAAGCACGATCAAGCAGTTTCGTAGACAGAATGTTGGTGGTCGTGCCATCAGACCATTTGCAGAGCTCCGCGGCTGCGGATTAACGTCCGCGCAAATCGGTGGAAGCCGGACCGCCGCTTCAACACCATGGCTTCCACAACGCGCGCCATCCGGCCAGCTTTTCGCAAGCTGCCAAGGTCGGCTTCACGACTCAATGCCACCCAGCTGTCGCGCTACCACTCGTACGAGCACGCCCAACCAGCGCCATACCCGCCCGCAGAGTCCGCAATTCTCTCCGCCGCGCTCTCACACGTCCCGGTAACTGGCTTTACCAACACCGCCCTGCAGCTCGGCGCTCGCGATGCTGGATATCTAGACGTTTCGACAAACCTCTTCCCGCGCGGACCCTTCGACCTGATTCAGTACCACCTGGTCACCCGACGGCTCGCGCTCCGCGATAGCGTGCAGTTTCCGAACGATGGCGACAAGCAGCTGGGGATCGGGGCGAGGGTCAGGTTGCTGACGCTGGAGAGGCTTCGGGCAAATGCGCCAATCGTTCACCGCTGGCAAGAGGTAAGAGCTCCTATCGCATGAGCCGGCTTTGACGTTAATCATCTCCACAGGCCCTTGCCATCATGGCCCAACCCTCATACGTGCCAGAATCGCTCAAGGAGCTCGCAAAGCTTTCTGACGAAATTTGGTTCCTCGCCGGCGACACCAGCGTTGACAGCAGCTGGTACACTAAGCGCGCGAGCTTGTCGGCAATCTATTCAGCGTCGGAGGTGTTCATGACCCAAGACCAGTCCACGAACTTTAAGGATACCGAGCGGTTCCTAGACTCGAGGCTGGAGGACCTGAGGAAGATTGGAGGGGCTACCAGCGCTCTCTCGGAGTGGCTCGACTACACCGGGCACTCTGTGGTGAACGTTTTGAGGAGCAAAGGGATGCGTATCTAGGCGGGATTCGTGCGATCCGCGTCTCGGGTGAAAATGCACCTATCTGTAGGAAAACTAGATTCATTGAGCTCGTAAAAAACTGTGTATATGCGCGTTTAACTATTTACACTACGTTTCGTGCTGCTGGATGAGCACCCCCCGTGGGCAGCTGAGGCAAATACCCGGACAGAGGTGTGTTTCAAAAGAATACGAATAAGAGTGTCTCTGACAAGGTCTGGTAAATTAAGCTCCAGCGAGATTTATCTGCACGAGCGCGTGGGCATGCCTACCTAGGAAGCTACGGTGCTGTGTCGGCGAACCAAATCACCGACCGCATCATCGGCAATCTGGGGAGCTACAGGCAACCAAGCTCTCAACCTCACATTCACCCGACTTTCTCGTGCAGTACGTGCTTGACCGCGCAACGACCCTTTCCCGAAGCTGCGCTCACTGCGTCGGCCCACGGCAGCTCGATCACGCGGTATCTACAGCCAACCCACTTAGCCGCAGCGAGCTCCGCTCATCGCCATCCCGCCTCTACCTACATCCTCGCGTCACCCCCACCACCACCGCTCCTCCACCTAACGACATCATGGCGGACGCCGCTGTGATCTTCAGCTTCCCTCCGGACCAGACTACACTGGAGCAGCTCTCCCCCGCCGAATATGACCACTCCATCCGCCACTTCATTGCCCAGCTCGCTCGCATATCCAAAGCCGTCTGGCAGGTGGGACAGATTGGAGACCAGAACTTGCTAGAGGTATGCGATGATGTCAAAGCGCACCATGCGGCAATGTTTCGCGCTGACTAGGATGGTGCAGATAATGAACCCGGCAGTCAATTCGATACCCTACCTCTACGTCCTCGTCCACCAGTTCCAGTCCAAGCTCGACTCCGCTGGCTCCGCGCTGAACGTGCCGGATGAGTGCCGCCCGGGAGGTGAGCTCTGGCTGAAGCTAATCAACTACCTCAACGTCTTCGACCCCATACAGATTCGTTACGTCGGTTCGGATTGGAGGAGGGCTGTGGAGTACGTCGACCTAATCACACGCTTGATGGACACAGTATGTTGTACCGCGTTAGGGATACCGAGGCATTGATGCTGATCTCTTGTCTGCAGCCGGCCGTGGGCCTGGTACCCATTCGCACGGCCTTGAGCCGCATGGACCCTTCTCTAGCTACCTTCACCTCGGTGCACCTGCTCTACCTCCGTCTTTGCCACGAGGTTAGGGCCTTCTACGAGGCTCTGCCCATTCTCGATCAGTTCATCCGTAGCTTCCCTTCCCAGTCGATCGCGGGTGCGGAATTTACGTTGCCATGTGCAGACCATTTCACCAGCGCTGGCTACATAACCGTACGTTCCGGTCTCTCAGACAGGATCACCGCAGCAGATGTTCACGAGTACTTTCTTCTCGGCGCAAACACCTACTTGGCATTGCGCCAGTACAAGCAGGCCCAGCTGCTCCTAGAGTACATCCTGACCACCCCCACGCAAAACGTCGCGAGCGGCCTCATGGCGGAGGCTTACAGGAAGTGGGTCTTGGTAGGATGTCTGGTTGACGGTGCTGTAAGTATTTGGCCACCAAAAGCTCGGCGCATCGAAATTGACTTACGCTCTGCCGCAGCCGTCTCAGAATCTCAAGCCGTCCAACAGCCACGCGATTAGGACGATCAAGTTGGCATCAAAGGCGTACGACACAGTCGCCGAAATCTTCCAGGGCGGTGACCCCGTCCGACTCCAGGCTGAAATCGATGTCGGCGCGCAAATCTGGAACGAGGATGGCAATTCCGGTCTGATCAGGGAGGTTCAGGAGCACCAGGCAAAGCTTTACGTCAGGAATCTCCAAAAGACATACGCAGCAGCTCCCGTGTCGACCGTCGCCAAGTGGCTCGGCCAAGCCCCGGATGCTGCCGAAGCGTACCTGAAGGGTATGGTCGACGACGGCTTCTTGAATGCCACGATTGAACAGAGCGCAGACGGCCAGCAGATTCTGCGATTCCACTCGCAGCTGGCCAGCGGCCCACGCACCAAGACGGAGCAGCAGCAGCTCTCGGAACTCGTTGCTCAGACGAAGAGGACCGATGAACTGGCCGAACATGTCAAGGCGGCCACGCAGAGGCTTAGCTTAACTAAAGAGTATGTGGAATTCGCTAAGAAGAAGGCGCGCCAGAAGGACGATAGCGGTCAGGGACTGGGCGAGACGATGGACACGTCCTGGGATGCATACGAGCAGGACGAGGACATGATGGCAGATTTGTGATGAGCGCCCCGGCTGCTATGTCAGCAATGATGACTTGATGAGGTGGCTGGATTGCATGACGCGGCGTCAAGGCGCGCATCGAAGAAGAGACGAAAGCTAATACAGAAAAGACGGCACGACTGGTGCAAGTGTCGAGTTTACGGAGTAAGGATAACTGGGTGGAAACCGCGCCATAGACTCGGGGGACATTAGTTCTGGCGACTTGCTACATAAGGTAGACGGACTCCAAAACCGAGTGCAACGAATAGGTGGTGTATGGTGATACGTGCTTCGCAAGAGTGGATCAGGGCCGTTATCGCGAACATTCTAAGGTCGCAAGCGCTCAGCTGAGCGTATATCAGCCATGCCGGAAAGGGCGTCTTGCAGCCCCCGCGAGTCACTGGCATCGAGGATCCAGACGCAAGCTGCCTCAGCGGCAGCCGAAGGGGGCACAGCGCGCCCCGCTGGCGGCAAGGCTCGCCTCACAACCAACGCTGGAAAAGCGCAGGTGCGGGTCTCCACGACGGATGGTCAGTCGCGGAGCGTAGCACATGTCAGCAGAGGGTAGCTGCTCGAGCTGTTTGCTTGTTTCGCGTCACTGACCAAGTGTTCGTCGTTGGCGGTAGGTCTCGGATTTGGGCCAGGATGGGCGCTGTGCAGCGCCTGGCCGGGGGATTCCCACGTGCGGCCGTTCCACAGGTCAACGGCAGCGTCCTTCTGCAGGCGAGCTTAACAAGAGGGCGGCCCGCAGCGGCCCCCTTGCGTCCTGGGGTGCGTTCCTGAAGAGCGGGCGAGATCGCAGATTGCGGCGCCGCTGCGATATTTTATTGCGGCGGCCGGGCAGCAGGCCGCGGAGGGTAACATCGACTAGGTATTGCGCAAGCCCGCGCGGTGGGCTCTGGCGCTCGGATTTATGGCGTCTGTGTCGGTGTCGGCGCGCCAGGGGCGCTTCTTGCGCCGTGCCGCGATCCCTGCATCGGTATCTGGGGTTGGGGGGGAGGGCCCTGATGAGCCGCATGCCCAGCAGCGCCGGCGCGAGCTCAGCGTACCACTCGGCGGGGCGCGCTGGGCGGATTGTTCTAGGGCGCTCGCTGCTGGTGCTGCTGCTGCCGCGCGCAGCGGCCCAGGGACCGCCGCGCGGGCGGCGGATGTTATTAGCCATCGCGATCTGCAGCGCCGACTCGTACGTCTGTCGAGGTGCGCGACAAAAGGACCCTGCCTCCGACCAGAGCGCCGTGAGGCCTCTAGCTGCTGTCGCCCTGCCTGCATCCGCGCGCTGTTGCCGCGGCTGCCCTACTTAACCCGGGCGTTCTGCATCCATCGCGATCGACACGCAGCGCCGAGCGAGACTCCTGCTGCGCGGCTCTCGAAGCCACAAGCGCGGCCGCCCTCTTCACCCCCCTGTTCATCACTCACAAGGGGCCGGACCACTCACAACACCGCCTGCGCGGCGCCTCCAACCCGTAAACTGCCTGCAGAGCAGCACAACATCCGCCCCGGCCCCAGATCGCAGTCCCCTTTTTTTGTACCCTAGGCCGCGACGAGGCTTCGGGCAACAACAGCAAGCACTGTGCGCGCGCACGCTTCCGCTCCGGCTCGCATGCATGAACTAGGCGCATGAGCTTCGATTATTTGGGGCTCCGTCTCTTACCGCCAATTGGCCTCGCCCAGGACGGCCTTTACCTAGGACGATGCATTCCGCTAGCAACGCCCACGCCGCCGCCGCCGCCAAATCGTCCCATCATCGCAAGGCCTCCCACTCGAATACCAGCTCCCTGTCGTCGACCTCCTCCTCCACTCTCAAGCGGGCCTCGTCGCTCAAGGCCTCGTCCTCCGCCAACCCCTCGCATCTGCCCGCCGCGCCGCCGCTGGATCCGCCCATTGAAGACGAATCGTCGCCCGACGCACACAAAAGGCTCAGGAAGCGCTCGTCCACACACCGCCGCCGCTCCACCGTCGCGCATGCTGCGCAGGAGCAAGTGAGCAGTCCCATCCGCGAGGGCGTTGGCAACCTGCACCGCTGGTCGCAGTCGTCCACCTCCAGCCGTGCGTCTTTGGCAAGAGACCTGCGACAGGGTAGTTTCTCAAGGCGGCTGAGTTTCAGCGGCGGACCCCCCCTGGACCCCCTCCATGGCTCTGCGCTGCAGTCTCCGCAACGATCACCTACCAGGAACCGCTCGCCGGACGTGAGCCCTCGGGGCAAGGCTCGACCGTATTCCCCGCCGCCCAAGATCCCGACACCAGACCCTGCGCCGGCCCTGCCGCTGCTGCCGGCGACAACCTTTGACCCGAGTTCGCCTTTGACCGCCGCGACCACCAACATCTCGACCTCCGGCCTCTTCACGCCGCCTGCGACCCTGCCGTCGGGTCCCGACTACTTCAACCACAAGCCATACGTGCCCACTGCGACCTCGCCGCGGACCAAGAAACAACCCCCGGCCAAGGGTTTTGCCAAGTCCGCCCTCGCCTCCCCTCCCGTCCTCGAGAGTGCGAGCGGCCGAGCGGCCAGAGCGCCGCACTCTGCCTCAGCCTCCGTATCGTCTCGGTCCCGTGCCCCGTCTGTGGAACAACAGCAAAGGTCAGCAAGTGCGCTCGGAAAGGAGCGGCGTGCGCCCACGCGAGAGCGGGCAAGAAGTAGGACGAGGGACAGGAGCGTTAGCGGTACGACGACCGCGTCGGAGGACGAGGGCAGAAGGGCATCGTCACGGAATAAAGATCGTGGGGAAAAGGACAAAAAGACAATGCTGTCGCGAGCGCTGCAGAAGGCCAACACTGCCGTGTTGCTCGACAATGCGCAGAATTTCGAGGGGGCGATGGAGGCATACGGCGACGCGTGCCGGCTATTGCAGCAAGTCATGTTGCGGAGTTCTGGAGAAGACGACCGGAAGAAACTGGAAGCAATTGTAAGCGCGCCCCGTCCCGCCGTGTGTCTGTCCGGCTGATTGCTAACATTCGTCACAGCGCGTAACCTATACCAACCGCATACAAGAACTGAAGATGCTCGACCCTGCATGGCAGTCGTCCGGAGGCAAGGCGTTGCCTTCACGACCCATGAGCGACCAATCGCTCGCGGATACCCAATCTTTCATAGATAATGTGGTGGACGATGAAGAGGAGGAACCTGTGGTCATTGAGACCGCAACGATCACGAGAATCGTGAATGACAAGTCAGTCGAGTCGACGAGGACGCAGACCTCCTTCCAAAAACGACCCGCGCGAGAATCAGTCATCAGCTCTGCGATCCGCGACGTCGAGAGCTCAATACCAAAGTCGTCGGAGCCAGAACCGCTCCTTTCTCCCCCACCGATCAAGCCGGGCGGAAGTCTGCAGCATTCGGACCATCCCAGCCTCGACTCGCCGATGGAGCGGAACTACCTGCCCCCTCCGTTGTCGCCCCGTCGTACTCGGACCCCCAGCGCCTCCGCAGATCCTTTCGACGAGCCTGGCGTGCGCGAAGTCGTGGAGCATAGATCCGCCAGCCAGGCGAGCCAAGTCAGCCAACACCACCACCGTGCAGCCAGCAACGAGTCCATATCTTGGCTCGACACTATCGACGAGTCGGGGGGTTCCTCGTGCTCCTCTTCGGTACACTCGTTGCAAATGGGCTCGCTGCAGCGCAAGCACTTGCGCTACGCCAGCGGTGCCACAGAAGCCGAATTCGACGCTGCTCTTGACGCGGCTGTCGAGGCCGCCTACGACGACAACCTGGAGCCGTACGAGGAAGAGGGCATGGTGTCGCCGTACCGTAAGAACGTGGAGCTCGCGAGGGAACGTGTACGGGAGGCGGAGAGGGAAATGGCCATTGAAGCGGCGAAGAGACACGACCGCGAATCGCGGATGCGCGGGGACTCGCTGCCGCACGTTCGCGACGGCAGCTTGGACCTCGGAGGGCAGACTGAAGAGGCGGACGACGAAGAGCGCATACTGGACGAGATGACGAGGGACTACATGTTGGACGACTTCGACTTTGGCCTCCAGTCCAAATCGGCATTGCCGCGCCAATCGGACTCAAGCACCTTCTCTGGAAGCACCTGGCACAGCTCAATGTCCTCCGCTCGCAACACGGCTGGAACCTCGCTCTCAACCGTCACGGAATTGGACACCTCGCCCACGTCCACGGTCACTCCCAAGCCCCTGCCCGAACGCCCGACCAACACATTGCCTCCCGTCTCGGAATCCGAACCTCAGACCGAAGTTCCCATCCCGCCCGCCCCCTCGCACAAATCCACGGGTTCCGGAGGCGCTTCTAGCGTGAGGAGCAGGAGACTTTCCGGACAGAATGCCAAACAGCTCAAGATCGAAACTTCGCTGCCGGCGAACCAAGGGCCTCTGACGCAGCCGCCGTACACGTTGAAGGTCGACGAGACCCCGGCTTTGCCGAAAACGGCCAACCCAACCTTGCCAAACACGTCGTTGAAGATGCCCTCGCAATCCAATTTGCAGGCCCCGTCACTGAATTCGGCCGCTGTCAGCCCGGCAGACAGCATGCCGTCAATCTCACCGTCGACGTCCCTTACGCAGGCCATGTCGAATGAAAACATTACGAGCGATCCCTCGAGCCGCACTAAGACGAGCGGCCCTCCTCCGCCCCTGAAGAAGAACAAGTCCTCCTTGAGCTTACGGAACCGACAAATGTCGGTCTCGAGTCCGGATGGATCCGACGTTTCTGTCGGCACGCCGCTCAGCACCACGTTTACGACCTTCAGCCAACGCAAGCCGAGCAACGCGCAGCTCGCACAGACCCCTGGTATCCCGACCTTTACGCTCGATGGCATGAATCTGCCGACGGGTGGCATGCATCTCTTCGAGGCCGACATCCACTCGCCGTACAGCCCCGGATCGCCCAATCCTCTCGCCATCAATGCCCCCATCCCTCTCGAGCCTTGCCCGGAAAGCTATCTTCTCCGTCCTTTCTGGCTCATGCGCTGCTTCTACCAAACTCTCGCGCACCCTCGTGGTGGATATCTCTCGACGAAGCTGTTCGTTCCACGCGACATTTGGAACGTAAAGGGAGTCAAGATCAAGTCGATGGAGGAAAAGATCTCGAATATCGACCTCCTCACCGCCGCTCTGCTCAAACTCGGCAGGGTTGACACGCTCGATGCGGATGCGACCCTCGAGGAAATGCAAGCCCTCGAGCTCGTTTTGGACCAGGTCCAGTCCAACCTCATCAAGAAGCTCGGTAGCGAAGTCGGCACCGGTGGCGTAAGCTCGATGTTCAAGGATGCACAGACGGTCGGCGTCACCTCTCCCGACGGCAGCACTGCCACCGAACTACCTTCGAGACTTGGTGGTACAAGCAATCGTTATCTCAACACCTGGAAGAAGCTGCGGTCGAAGAATTCCGGTGTGAACCTGGCCAACCTCGCGTCGAACAAGGAGGTTTCCAAGGATTCGCTGACGATGAGCACTCTACCGATGACGACCTTGCCAAACATTCGCTTTGCAAAGCGTGAGGTTGCGCAAGTTGAATTCATCGGGCCGAACGCAAGCTACATGGGATCATTGACGCGACTATTTGACGCCGTCCAGGTGCTAGGTAAGCAGCATACTTTCGGATCTGCTGCGAGTAAGAAACCGCTGGCTAACAGGTGTCCTTTCTTTTAGATCAAATAGCTCGCCAGGTCGAGGATCCAGGGCTGAAGCACTCGTCTCCCACGCACGTCGGTCTAGAGCTGAGTACCCGCCACGCTGCCGAATTCTTTGGCTTCTACATCTGTCGGTTCGTCCTCAGCGACATCGCCATGATGTTGGACAAGTTCATCAAGCGCGGGAGCGAGTGGGTTCTGATATGATTGCTTTTGGCCGCTCCGACGTTCAAACCGACTCGATTCTCCACGCCCTCCCAATCACGACGGCGAGTGTGTTCTGCTGCTCGTTGCAACCTTTTCTCTGCATGAGCTTTGCATCGCTTCCCATACACACACAATGATCTTTTCTGTCTTATTACTCAATATACCACTTTTCGTGTCTCTCTCCCTCTCCCTCTCTCACTTCTTCTCTGACTCACTTTCCCTTTCCCGTCCAGCCTTCATACCCTTCCTTCGAGAGTATCTACGTTGGTTTCTTCTATCTTCCATCATGGCGGACGTATTCAGGTGCTGTGGGCTTTCTCTTTTCTCAAGACTGGTGGGATCGTTTGGGCTAGCGGTTGTCTCTTGTGTCGGTTGGGTAGCGCGGACGGCGTAGGGGGGACTTATCCGGCAAAGATTAGGAGCGTGAGCGAAAGAACGGGAAGAAGAGCAAGGATGTTGATATGCTTTTTGTTCTCAAGCCTTGTGCAAATGATATCCCTGGTCGCTTGTTCTTTCTACTTTTGTATTCTCTCTTCATGTGATATGGCTTCGTCACGAGGATACCCTCAATTCCTTTTTTTCCGTCCGTCTCTTCATCTTACGTTTTCCTTTCTTTCATCTGCTGATATTTCGCAATCGCTATTTGCCTGAGTTGTCGAACAGTTGCTATTCTTGGATTTTCAGGGGTGGAACTCGGAATCATCATCCGTACATCGCATCGGGTATCCGACATCTTTTCGACGTTGTTCGCGAGCTTCCATCCCGAGTTTTGGCTTGATTCCTTGTAAATACACCTTCGCTTCGTAATTATTCTCCTACCATGGTTTACGCATCTATTGCGTTTCTGTTGTCTATTCTCATCGCTACCTGCACCCCCCTTTTCATTTCTTAAGCAGGGACGAGGGCTAGCGTAGCGAGGTAAATATTCGTGTATATGCAACAATCCGCCTCTTCGGCGGCGTAAACAGTATATATGATTTGATGCGTCTAGTAATTGTTTTTATGATTCTAATCAAATTTATCTGTGCGTTAACGTCGCCTATACTATAGTAGGTACCGTCAGATGAGCCAATTATAACTCGATTTCACCCATATCTATGAATAGTTGAAGCAATTGTTCGGCATTGATGTGAATATAATAATTCTAACAAGGTCCAGTTGATAGCCTCCACTGCCCATCTTTGTGAAAATAGTTGCAAGGGACCATTTCTTTGGAGTTTTCGGTGCGTTGAGTTTAACATACGTTACAGGAATATCCCGGAGCCTTTACAGAGCGATAGCAGCTGAAGGGCTGGGGCGAAGGATAGCATGGCCCTGGAACAAAGGGTCGCCATCGTTTTTTTTTTAAAAAAAAAAAACATATGTGAGGAGTAGAAATTATCGTCAACATATGAATATGGAATTAATTAGCTTCAGCTACCGATGACACGAGAAAAAGGGAGGGGGGAAGGGGGAAGAGGGGAAATGAGGCAATTGGCAGACCCAACATATGTCGTATGAATGGACCAACTCACACAGACCAAATCTAAAACCTACGCTTTTCAAAGCGCTGCAAAACTTAAAATAAATTTAAGCTTATAATTAACACTGCGTAGCTACAGAGGGGTAATGCAGCCGATGGCTAGCGTGAAGAATCCTCGAGGGTAACTATGCCTCATCTTTTTTTTTTTTTTTTTCAAAAACAAAACAAAACAACATATGGGTGGTTGATGCTATCGTCCGGACGTGTATGTAGAGTTTTTAATTCGACATTCTCGTCCGGACGATAGCTTCAACCACCCATGAGCACAAGCAATAGCCTTCGGTTGTAATATTCTTGTATGCTAGATCTGATCGTGCCTCATTGTCTACAATTATTGATCGGGGCGGGTCGGAGTTTTTCTCTGCAACAACCACTAACGGAGGAAAAAGATGCCAGTCGTCCATACGTCCACGCTGCTACAAAACCCCAAACGCCTCAGTATGATGCTAACAAGAGTAAAAGTACTTTCGACTAAATGGAAAAATCATGGTCGTAGAAAATGGTATCAAGGAGTAAAGTCAAATGCCGCAATAGAAACAAGTCATAACAATATGGGAGGAAAAAAAAAAAAGGCGGGGGGAGCCAGGGAAACAAACAAAACAGCTCTCATGGAGGGTGAATTGGAGAGTAGGGAAATTAAGGTCGTAGGAGAAGAAAAAGGTACGCAAAGCACGAACACGCTTCACTCGTCAAAAACAGGCTCCAACCGCACGCCGCCAAAGCTCCACCCGCCGACGACGACGCCCTCCTCGAACTTCTTCGTCACCATCAGGCCCAGGGCGCCATCTAGGCCCACCTCGGCTTCGACGTCGCCCGCGATCTCGACCCAGCCTTTGCCCTTCTTGTCGGCGTACCGCGTGCGGCCGACGCGCACGCGCACGGCATCCGGGTGCAGCAGCACGGGCACGATGTCGGGCGTGATTTTGACGTCGACGTAGCGGGTGCCGAAGGTTTTGGTGTCGAAGGGCTTGCCGACCGAGAAGACGAGCTCCGTCGGCGGCTGGATGTTGTTGTCTGCCACACCCACCTGGCCGCCCTCTCCAGCAGCAGCAGTCTTGGCAGGCTCGAAGAAGCACACGATGAACTTGACGCGGTACTTGCCCGGAGGGATGCCGGTACGCAGCGCGCGCAAGCACACGTTCTCGGCGTGCCGGCACGTCAGCACCGCGCTCTCCTCGCGGCGGCCGTCGCCGTCCAGGTCGAGGGCCACGGGCAGGATCTTCTGGGCACGGCCGCTGTGCGGATCGACGGCGATGCCGGCCTTGCCGGAGGGGCTGGTGTCGCGGGTCGCCTCGAGCCGTTGCATATCGCTGAAGGTGGGCCTGATGCCGAGCGGGAAGCCCGTCTTAAAGTCGAGCTCCTCGGACACGAACTCGCCATCTACGAGCCCTCTGCCCGCGATACCGCAGCGGAAGGTGAGCGCGCCGATGTCGAACTTGGGCGGCAGCGCTGATAGTTTGACTATGAGCTCGCTAAGTTTGTAGGCACGCTGGAGTTGGTGGCGCATGTATTGCTCCGTCAGCGCCGCCATCTCGTCCTCCTTCATCCACTGCTCGAGAGATACGTCGGCCAGCCCGCTCTCGACGTCGAAGCGGTAGTAGTGCGTAGGTGAGCCGTAATACATGCGTTGCATTTCGTTGTCCACGCGCGCGGTGCCCGTAGCCATGGATACCAGGGCCGACGCGAGTGCTATGTCGGTGCCCAGACCAAAGGGCAGCCAGTTGGCAACCTTCTTGACAGATGGGATCGTCTGGAGGCCGGTGCCGATGGAGACGATGACGCCGATGGGCCGGCCCTCCCAGATGGACTTGGCGGCGTAGTCGACCTCAGCGCAGGGGTTGTTGAAGCCGACGCCGCCGTCAAGGTAGGACATGCGCGGTGTGCCGAACGTCATCTCCTCGAAGAAGGTCGGGGCTGCGGACGTGGCGCGCAGGGCCTCCCAGATCTTCGTTTGCCGATCGTTCGGGTCGTAGGTGGAGAGAATGCGCGGCAGGCCGAGGGCGTTCTTGAGGGTGCTGACGACAAAAGTACGGCATCCTTTCCGATTCGGCCGGCGGTGGACAGAGCCCTTGGGGTGTATGCGGAAAGTGTTCCTCCTCGTGCGGCCGTCTTTTGACTGTATGGACAGGGCGTCCGAGTCTTTGGACATTTTGCTGCTGTAGCTCTGCCACAGCGTTGTGCGCGACTCCTCGATTTCTCTTGGGAGGCTGAAGCTCGCCTCAGGCGATTCGGTGAAGCGCGGGGGAGTTGGCTGATCGGCCCATATGTTCTCGGCTTGGGTGTCCAGCGGCTCGATGATCTCCTCGAATAGCGAGTCGTCCCACATGGGCTCGTCTTCGCTGTAGCCGAGCTCGACGAGTGCTCTCTTGATGGCGGCCTCGAGAACGGCACCGGAGAAGCGGGTGGAGCTGGTGGGCAGCTTCACGCCGAGGACGGTGATGGAGCGGTCTTTCTTGAAGATTTCCTCGGCGAGCTTGGTGTAGATGCGAATGCATTGCTTGACGTCGAGGCGCAGCCTTCCAAGGAGCACGGCGATGATGCCGCCGGTCGAGGTGCCGCCGATCAGATCGAAGTAGTCGCACGGCTTGAGCGGCTTGGTGTGACCGGGGTCGCGCTTGCCCAGGCGCTTTTCCTCGTGCGCAATGTTCTCCATCAGATCGTCCAGGACCATCAAGCTCGAAAGACCGCGCACTCCGCCTCCGTCGAGCGAAAGGAGGCGGAGCGGGGCGTGGGGGTTCTGCTTGAATCCTGCCATGGGTGGCGAAGGCATGTTTGCTGTTTGGTGCTGTGTGCGGGGCATTATTTATGCAGTCGTGACTGGCCGGAGGCCGCCTCGGTGACGCAGCCGCCAGAGCCTCCAGCGGCGATGGTTTTCAGGCGGGTGAGTCAGTGTGTCTTGGTGAAGGGTGTTCTGTTGAATCTGTACGACGCTGATTCGTTGGTTCGTAAAAGCTACTGCCTAAACGGGGCGAGGAGCCATGGGAAGGGCAACGCAGGTACGAAGGCAATAAAGCGGGTGCGCAGTAGAAGAGATGTGGCGCAGAATGCAGCGGGACGGGACGCAGTGGAGTCGATATATTACTATTATTCCTCGAGTGGCTGGTTGGGCAGGCATCAAGCGATGCGGCTGAAGGCAGCTTCTAATTTGGTCAGCCCGCCCGGCAGCCGGCACACGCGTGCAGCGTCATTCGTCGGGCTGCCTTCTGTGTCAGCTGCAGTTGAGTCTGGTCATGGGGGGCGATCGCCCGTCCCCGCCCTGCGCCTCCTCCCGTCTTGGCCACGATCGGTATGATTGGCCCGCTGCGATAAGCACAGTAAGTTGCCTCGTCTCTCGTACCTGGCCGTCGCATTTGCCTCTGAAACAGCAAGGAATGAGATAAAAAAAAAAGGAAAGACATGACGGTATACCTACCTCCCCCGACCCTCGTTCTATACACCTGTGCTGGGCCGCGGTAGGCGGTAGACTTGCGTGTCCCTCAAGCCCAAGGTCGGGCTCTGAAAGTCCTTCTCCCTGGTTTTCCACAGAACAAAACCGCATTTTTGGAGCACCTTGCGGCTGCCGTCGTGGTCGGGGTCGATCTCGGCCGTGGCGTAGTCGTAGACGCCATCGTACTTTTTCCAGAACAAGGGCAGGAAGGCCGTGACGGCCTCGGTAGTAATGCCCTTCCCCCAGTAGTCGGGGTGCAGCAGGTAGCCGATCTCGGGGGCACGGGCGGCGCCCAGCACGCCGATGACTTTTGTGGTTGTGGTGTGTTCCGGGTCGGTGGGCAGGAGCTCGATGGTGAAGTTGTAGCAGTTGGATCGGCTCAGGCAGCCGCGGACCCACTCCTCTGTTTGCGAAACATCAGTAGCTGGGCCTGTTGGACTGTGGAGCCAGGTTAGCTTTCATGGTGTGCCGACTGCCGACTAAGCGGGCACGTACGTGTATTTCATCACCTCCGGGCGTTCGCGGAGCAGATGCATGTCGGCGACATCATCGAGGCGCATGCGTCGCAGAAGGATCCGACTAGTCCTAACGCACTCGTCCTGAGACTCTGTGGATGCCGGCATTGCGTGTTGGCTCTGTGGATAGGAGGTCTGGTCAGCTGCGAAGCAAGAAGTTGACTCATTGCGCGTGGTTGGGGACTTGGCACGGGGTTCTGGGGGGCCGGGGGGCCTGAGGAGCCCAGAACCTCCATCATGATGGGTGAAGAAGATGCTCGGGCTGTAGCGACGACGGAGATCGTGTGCATCAGCGACGATCCCGGTCTTCTGCCGTGGCACCGGCCACCTCTTCCACTGCCATCCGGAACACCGTCCCGAACACCACTACCCTGCCTCGCGGGCCGTGGGCCCTGCGGCTCTGCACACCCATTTCATCTCTGTCACACGTCGCCGCCATGTCGCACATGACGTCGCCGTCGCCTCGACTCTTTCAGACTCGTCAATCTGGGTTGGAGGAGATCATGTGCACCGGCCATTATGTCACCGAATACGCAAGAGGGTGGTCAGAAACTCTCATTCCCCACTCACAGCCCCGTGGCGCCTCAGCATCAGCCTGCGCTATCATCCTTCCTATCGGATATTTTACGACCCTACTCATCCGTCGGATTTGACACCGTCTCGACGCACATCGTTTTGAGGATACCCGACCGCCCGCTCGACAAAATGTGCTCTTCGCTCTCGTTGTCCGGCCCGCCGCTGACCGTGTTCTGAAGCTCGCTGTGACGTCTACTGTATACGTCGAATTCCACGAGCTCTTGTCCCTTGAACCTGCGGTCCGGAGGGAACATTTCGCCTGCATACTTGCTTCCTCCCTCTCTTCGAGACCGCCCGGACGAATTCCCTCGGAAAGTCCCCTTGAATATTGGCCGAAGCGGCGGGATGCACGCCGTAATGATGGCTATATTGCATTCCACCTGCGACCAGAGGAGAATCTGTCACCGTGTCAGCACAGTCGTTCCTCCCGCTCCCGCGAGAAGTACCCACATATATCGCATCATACGAGACGTCCTTCGAAACCGTGTATATGTAAAGCGCGTTGAGACGCACTATTGACGCTGCCACCGCGACACTGCCAGTCATGAAAATACCAATCAACGCCCCTGACATGTCAGCGTGCGAATTCTCGCCGATCGAGTCTACTTACAACGTCGGTTCCTTGGAACATTTAGCTTTACTAGTACCGGAATGGGAAGAACGAGTATTAAGAAATCCGTCGCGATGCTCACCCCGGCCATCGAAAAGTATGCCTTGGGAAGATTGTTGCAGCCCTTTGGAAACGTCGGGCTCCACGCATTGGAGATTTTGTGTGGGCATTCGAAGGCGTTGACAAACACCACCACGACCGTGTACGTAGCGACAGTCGTCGCCATCACCCAGACCGATATTTTGAACGCCTTCTGCGAGAATATTCTGTAGTAGAGCGCGAGGATGCTTGCCTTGACGAAGAGCAGAGCAAACGGATACACTAGCTGGTATGCGTACCAATGCTTCAAAGTCGGAATGAGAATCTCTGGAGGCAAGTCGGCAAGATGTCTCCTGTCATGCCTTCATTAGCGGTGCACTTTGGGCGGACATGGCGCGCTGTTACCCTGTGCCATAGCTGACGTGTATGACGTTTGCCACACTCATCCCAAGAACAACCAGAAAGGCTGCTACTATGAAGTAGTCGTCCGTACCAACGTATTTGACGTATACGATTCGACAGTAAAACCTCGTGAGTGTCAACAGATGCTACTCGGTTCGATAGACCTGACTTCTTACCTGAGGATCACCGTGATGGTCGAAAAAAAGAGCAGTAGTCCCAAGAGGGCCAAGAACATTGGCTGCCGAGATCCATTATCGGCTGTGATCTTCTGCATCTTGGGCATCAGGTGGGCAACAGCTACTCGTCTCCGAATGACCTGAAAGAAACGTGGAAGCCCAGCAGCTCAAGTACGACACGGGCACTGCTGCTTAGCCGGTCTAACTCTCGCTACACCTATTTACAGCTGCGACATTTTCGGGCCATTTTGTCAGGTTTACCATCTACCTTCTGGGCCTTCGATCCGAAGGCATTCCCTAATTGCCGGGTTTAAGTGCGAATGCGACGGCAATCTGAGGCCGAAATCCTAGACCCGGTCGGATCGCTCGACTGTGCCGTCTTCCTCTCCTCTCTTCATAACCGACAGGAAGCAGCGCCTTTGTGCCCGAAATGAATGGCCAAATGCCGGGTCTTCCAATGCACTCAATTATATCAACGTAGATGCCAAACCACGACGACGCAACCAACGCTTGATAACTCCGGAGCATGTCAATCGATCACTCTTCGCTCGATTGACGTAGCCACACTCCATCGAAGTCATAGAGCCTATCGAAGCAATCACTTGTGTGATGCACGACATGAAAACGCCCTCAAGCAGGGTTTGCAACAGAATTCTGATCAGTGTTTGCGTGGCGAGGCCGAGGAGCAATTTACTCACGGCCCGGATCCACGGCTCCCAATGGGCGGTTGTGTGTGGGATAAAGTTGTTTACCCACAAAAGCTCCGCAGCAATGCGCGACCTTCCATCTATTGACTCGGCGCCAGAGCCCCGGTGTTGCTGTGCCGCAGATCATATCCGTGCTACCGCTGCACGCAATCGAACATCTCCCGCCAATGGGAACGCACTACCGACGTGGGTCACTCTCCCCCATACGGCAGACCAGATGAAATAACCCTTCACAAGTTCTTTGCGATGAGCGATATTTAGCTGTGCAGGAAGCAGGCATGTCTCAATGATTATGCATTCATGTGCAGGCGCATGCTTCAACTACCCACGACAGATAAGTTTCTCTAAAATACCCTCGTGCAGGGATGGCTTGTGATCGAGCACGCGCAGATCTCTAGAATTTCTACTAACCTCGGAAGGTGGGAACAACTATATAGATCACACTGTTAATCCCTCCCAATGTTCATACCACCCAGAGCTTCCGCCCCGGTCTATAAGACGCTCGATCTGCATACGTTGCATCGTGCCCGGTGAATACTGTGACTGTCGCGTCCCCCCTCTTCCGCGCGGAGATTGTGCTGGCGAGGCACAGCTGGACGTGCCGTTGCGGCGCGGACATGCCGCCTTTGGTCCGTTTCGTATGATAGATTTCAGGGCTCCCCAACCGAACGAACTGCGGTCTTGCGTGTACGGCGAAGCGCGCTTTGCGTAAGCCAGACAAATATCCGAGATGTGTGGCGCCGGACTCGGTGGGACCCAGGCCATGTACCGGCAGTACAAAGAACCGGTCACCTCCATGCGCCCGAAACCCTGACGCTTGCATGTACCGGTCCCCTTTCCCTTAGTGCACAGCCTGAAGAGAATTGTTCAAGAGATGCGTCTCCCGATTGTATTGGGGGGCTTGGCTCTCGCCGCGTTTGGCGCACCCACGGCCATCGCTAGCAAGCCTTGCATCAACCCGCCGGTGCGGAAGGAATGGTATGAGTTGCGACCCTGCTGATGCGTAGCTGGAAGCTTATTGGTCGCAGGAGAAAGCTCTCGCTTTTCGAGAGAACGGCGTACATCGACGCCGTTTTCTGTCTGACGCGATTACCCGCTATAACCGGGCTGAATGGCACGGTTAATCGTTTTGATGATCATCATGCTGTCCACAAAGACCAAACTCCAGCAATACATTGGGTGGTATGGGCCACATTCGTCGGTCGTCTCTACTGCCTCAGCTGAACAGGTTCTCGCAGGGTCACTTCGCGCTGTGGCATCGCTATTTGATCGCAACCTACGAGAAAGCATTGAGGGAGGAATGCGGATACAGAGGAGCACAACCGTAGGTTGCACGAACTCCGGACAACGATTAGGGGTGCCTGTAGCTGACCGAGTTCAAAGTTACTGGGACTGGTCTCTCGACGCATCGGCAGACGAAAACAGCACGGCGATCTTCGAGACGGAAGTCTTCAGCCCCATCATCGGCTTCGGCGGCAACGGTCCATGGGTTGAGGCCACGGCCGAGCAGAACCCGCTGAACCTGACAGGTCGGACGGGCGGCGGCTGCATCAGCGACGGGCCCTTCGCGTACCCTGCCTTCCAGGTCAATGTCGGGCTGCCCGGCTGCCTGAAGAGGGATTTCACGCCTTGGGTCATGAATAGCTTCGCGCAGCAGAGCAATGTGGACTACGTGACGGGCCAGCCGGATTACACGAGCTACGCACGCGCGCTCGAGGGGATCCCGAGCTTCTCGCAGCCGAACATCCACGGTAGCGGGCATTTTGGCGTCGGTGGCGTGCTGGGCACCATCGGGGATGCGGCGAACAGTCCAGGTGATGTACGGGCGGAAATCCCATTGCGATGACTGATTCAGAAGCGCTGACGGATTACGACAGCCCCTCTTTTATTTGCATCACTGCAACCTCGATCGCATCCTGTGGGAATGGCAGAAGAAGGATTTGCCGGCGCGCTTCCACGATGTCGGAGGCCCGGTCGAGCCCTTTGACTACAGCGGCAAGAACGTCACGCTAGACTTCGAGGTGGACATCGGGCGACTGGCCGGAAATGCGACGCTGCATGATTTGCTGGATCCTCGCGGAGGGACGCTTTGCTACAGCTACGAGTGAGGAGCTCGGCGGCTGTGCTGTAGGCAGTTGTGAGATGAGCAGGTGCAGATAGTTTCGACGATCAATCGCAGGCAGAAGTTTTTATACATGAACGCACGGGCCACTGCTTAGCCGTCCTGTAGTGCGACTAAGCCACCGTCGCCCACACATCCCCCCGTCCCACTCGACCACCTGGGAGATATAGTTCCCAGGACTCAATGGGCCTGCATAGGGAGCTGCAGTGGTAATTGTCGCTGTGCGCCTTGGGAAGAGGCGACACCAAGGAACCTGATGTCGGGCTCCGCGCTTTCCGCCTCCGCAAAGGGGGCCACCTTTCTCATCCTCTTTCAGGTCGGCTCGCGAGCCCTCACTTTCGCAGTCAACCAAGTCTTGCTCCGTTTCCTTTCTCCGGAGGTGCTTGGCGTCGCCGCCCAGCTCGAGCTCTACTCCATCTCCGTCCTCTACTTCTCCCGCGAAAGCTTGCGCGTCGCCCTGCAGCGCCAGGCCGGCAGCATCCAGGCCGTCATCAACCTTTCTTACATCGCCATTGTTCTCTCATACATCCTGTCACACACCCTTGCCTGGCTATGGCTGCGTGCCGATGTGCCCGACGTGCCGTACTTCCGGCAGTCGCTGTGGCTCTACGCCTACTCTGCCGTCTTCGAACTCTGCACCGAGCCTGCCTTCACCGCAACCCAGCAGTTAATGCTCTACAAGGTTCGAGCATCGGCTGAAAGTGCCGCCACTCTCGTGCGGTGTTTCGTCACCTGCGGCTTCGCCATTTGGGCTAGCAAGCAAAAGTTGGATACAGGCGTGGCGCCCTTCGCCATCGGCCAGACTACGTACGATCTCGTCCTGCTCGCCGTATACCTGTGGCACGTCATGCCGGTTGCCAAAAAGGAGAACTTCGCCCTCCTGCCGCAAAGCCTGAAGAAGAAGTATGTTTGCTCTTCGATCCACTCCACAAAAGGAAAACTAACACCTTCCCAGCGACCCCAAAGAATACATCCTCGACTGGTTCCCGCGCTCGCTCTGCAAGCTCAGCTTCTCCCTGTACCTCCAGTCCAGCATCAAGTACGTCCTCACGCAGGGCGACGCCATCCTCATCGCGTCGCTCGCCACGCTCGCCGACCAGGGCGCCTACGCCTTGGCCTCCAACTACGGCGGCCTCATCGCGCGCATGCTCTTCCAGCCCATCGAGGAGAGCAGCCGCAACCTCTTCTCGCGGCTGTGCTCGTCGTCGGAAGCCGGCAAGAAGCCGGCCAAGGACGGGGTACGGCAAGCGCGCGTCATCCTGCAGACGATCGTGCACTTGTACGGACTCATCTCGCTCGCGGCGTGCGCGCTGGGGCCCACGCTAGCGCCGCTGCTGCTGCGGGTGGTAGCAGGCGCGCGCTGGGCCGACAACTCGGCGGCGACCGAGACGCTGGCGTGCTACTGCTACTACGTGCCGCTGCTGGCGCTGAACGGCGTCGCCGAGGCCTTCGTCGCCAGCGTCGCCACAGAGCGCGATCTGCACCGCCAGAGCGTGTGGATGGGCGGCTTCTTTGCCGGCTTCGCCGCCGCCGCATACCTGTTCCTGGGCGTGCTGAAGATGGGCGGGCAGGGCTTGGTGTGGGCGAATTGCGTCAACATGGGTTTGCGGATTATTTGGGCGAGCGGATTCATCGGGCGATGGTTTGGGGAGAACGGGGAGGTGAGTGTTTCTTCCTGACTCCTTTCTCTCTCTCATCGCTGACATGACTTAGCGATTCGACTACCTGGCGGCGCTGCCAAAGGGTCTCAGCGTAGCGGTCGCGGTTGCGGCACCGGTTGCGCTGAGGCTATCGGAAGGGCTCTTGTCCGGGTACGGATTGCTCGGAGAGCTGGCCAGATGTGGTGCTATTTCTGGCATTTTCGCACTCAACATGTAAGTGGTTCCTACGGCGCGGTCGAACGACGGACTGACATTCGGGGCAGCCTTGTATTTGAGCGTGAGTATCTGATGCAATGCTACCAGATGCTCCGGCCGAAGGCGGACGCAGCGCAGGAGAAGAAGGAGAATTGAGGTGGTCTGGGGATGCGGGGATGGGCAGGATCGCCGCGACGGGAGGAATAGGAGCGGATCAGATGTAACAGAGCGCGAAAGGTAGCGTATCGGAGCTTGACTGCTCAACTTCAAACGTCGCAATGATTCCGACGTCGCTGTGCGTTGGCATCACCCAGGGGGAAGGCCGACATCGCTGCGCCGTCTGGCGAGCCGACTTTCGGCGAGGAATGGGGGCGTGGGAGAGTGATATCGTGATGTTCCCCGATCCGGTAACTTGTTCTTTTCTTATTTTCGCCGCACGCCCGCCGCTCCTCCGCATCGGAAGGGACCTAGGGCGACACCGGACGAAGGCTGGCGGACTCGTTTGAAATCGGGTCGTGTCATTGGCGAGCCGTGTCCGTACGTCGGACGCCGTGGGCCCGTGAGTCGCAGTCGGCCTGTACCACCAGCAAAGCCTCCGGTTGCGCATTGCGACATCTTTGCGTGTTGGGACCCTGTCATCGTTTCCTCATCTATCTGCAGACATCTCCGTGAAACTGCCGCATTCGTAGAAATCAAGGGTCTCGGATGCTGACGCTCGCTGTGGCGGTGCGGGCGAGCTCCGAGCTCGCAGCCACACCCGCCCGCGGCCAAAGCTTCGACTTTTCCTCTCCCAATCGCATTCTCGCCATTTGCCATTCTCAACCCCAGAGGCCAAGCACGCATGCTGTCCGCCCGCCTTATACGCCAGCTGGCCGATAGCGCCCTGCTCGGCCGCCTCCCCGTCGTCTTCGCCGCCCCCCACCGTCTCTCGCTCTGCTCGACAGCTACTCGCCGCGCCGTTTCCACAGCCGCAACCTCGTCCCGCCATGAAGCTACACGAGCTGCTGCCCTTCCAGCAACACGCCAATGCGTCCGCTTCTCATCTTCATCCACGCGCTGGAAGAGCCGCCAGGGCCGCGACCATTTCGCCAGGGAAGCCAAAATCCGCGGGCTCAAGAGCCGCGCCGCGTTCAAGCTGCTCGAGGTAGCTACAGCCGTCTCACATCTCCAGGATCTGTCTCACGCGAATCGCTACAGATGAACCAGCGCTACCGCCTCTTCCGCGCCGGTAACACGGTCGTCGACCTGGGCTACGCGCCGGGCTCGTGGTCGCAGGTCGCCATTGACCGCACCCAGCCAGGCGGCCGTGTCATCGGCATCGACGTCATTCCCGCCCAGCCGCCCCGCGGCGTGTCGACGATACAGGGCAATTTTCTGAGCGAGGCCGTGCAGGCCGAGGTGAGAGCGTACGTGCAGGATCCGGAGAGGGGGAGGCCGGTGAGGAGGCAGGTCATTTGGTCGGGAGACGAGGAAGCAGAGGCCGAGGAAGATGGGGCTGTGGAGCACGGTGAGCATGCGGAGACGAAGGGGTATACGGAGGCGGAATTGGAGCAGCAAGAGATGGGCTACATCGATCGCGAAAGAAGGGCTCCGTTGATTGCGAGGGAGGATGAAGAAGACGGTCATTCGCACGGTGAAACGGAGCATGCGGTCGGAACGGCAACGGGGGCTGGAAAGAAGAAGTCGGGCAGGCGCGCGGAGGATGAGGCCATGGGCCGCGTGGTCGATGTTGTGCTGAGTGATATGTCCGCGCCCTGGGATCAGACGTCCGGTTTCCACAAGAGGAGCATTACTGAGCCCTATCTTAGGATGATGAATACGAGCGGAATGGCGTTCAGAGACCACGCAGGCAGCATGGTAAGGCTCGTTTGCATCTTGAACGTACGTGAGCTGATTCGTCTGGTTTAGGATCTTTGCAATGCCGCCCTAACCTTCGCTTTCGACACACTACGCACCGGCGGCAATTTTGTCTGCAAGTTTTACCAGGGCGCCGAGGACAAGGCGCTTGAAAAGAAACTGCGCCGCATGTTTGAGAAAGTCTTCCGCGAGAAGCCCGAGTCTTCGAGAAGTGTGAGTTATCCCCGTCCGGTTGGTTCAAAGCATCCAGAGAGCGGCATTGACGGCTTTCAATTTCTAGGAATCTAAGGAGTCCTTCTTCGTTGCCTTGAAGCGGAAACCGGACCCTACGAAGGAAGAGGTCTTCGGAGAAGTTTGATGCAAGATGTTTTGGTTAAAAGAATGATACCCCTACTCTTTTATGAGTTCCTTACGGAAAGTCTGGATACGTGAAGCTGAACGGTCGCAAGATTTATAGTAAGGTCCCAGGCGTAATTATGCCCCAGCTCTTCCTTAGAAAAAAAATAACATATGTGGGTAGTTGAAGCTATCGTCCGGACGTGTATGTAGAATTTGTATTTCTAGTGATCAAGTTTTGAAGATTTTTAAACAACAGCACTTCGCATTCATAATAGGCTGGCGAGTACAGACTTCTCACGACTTTTGGAGCAAACAGACATGCAATTGAGCCTACACCCGCTCTCAAAGGGTTTTACCAAACACGGAACAAGGCTCACCCAAGTACGATGGCGTTGCCCGTTCTACCACTTTCTACGCAACACAGCAGGCACCGAAACCCTGCATATAAATCTTCCGCTTTCTGCCTCCAACTCTCCTCTTCTCCCTCTCTGTGGCCACATCCAAAATCACTTGAGCACCGATTCTTGATCTGACCGAACCCACCACGATGCCGCCGTCAGGCTCCAACGAGGGTCCACCGGCCTTCTTCGTGGCCTTCGAAGACTATACCTTCAACAGGTCGCTGTCGGTCCCGGACAACTTCAAGACGCTCGCCGCCAAACGCGGCTGGGGCGTGGGCTCCAAGCTTTGGCATCGCCAGTGGAAAGCTTGCTTCGGCCGCGCGTACGCCGCCGACCAGGACCCGTTCGACTTCTTCAAGACCTTCTCCGGCTACCGCGTCGACCGCGCGACCTCCGTCCTTGAGAACTTCAAGCGCCTTGCCATTCGCCGTCACTGGGGTGCGGGCTCCAAGCTCTGGCGCCGCCAGTGGCGCGCCTGCTTCGGTACCGTCTACACCAACGACGACAACCCTTTCAATGGTGATGGAGATAGCTTCGCCGGCACCGCTGACTCGTCCGCTGCTTTCAAGCCCGACCACACCGCGACGCTGGAAACCGAATTCAAGCGTATGGCGCTGCATGAAGGCCTCAAGCCCAGCGATGACAACTACGCCGAACGCCGCACCCACTTCTACCAGCAGGAGTTTACCCGCTTCTTCGGCAACGACAAGCTGCGCAACCTCCAGAAGCTCTGCCGCATTATCGACGTCCCGGTTGGAGATACCATCACTCAATGCAAGAAGGTAGTGACCCTGAATACCCGTTTGAATCTTCAATAACGCCTTCGGGATATGAATATAGGCACTTCAAGACCTGGACGTGATGATCAACCTTGTCAACCTGATCAACCACATGCGCACTCTGCCTCCCGAGCAGACTCTTGACAACATGGCTGTGTTGGAAGTCGCTGCCAAAGAGTTTGCCGGCCCGTGCAAAGAGGTGGGGCTGATCAGGTTTGAGAGCTGGGAAGCCTTCAGTAGATACACTAAGCGCAATCCCTTCCCTAAGAGAGCCGCGAAGGCCAACGGCTTCGTCAACAACTTGCTGCGGGAGATGCAGAAGCTGTCTTCGCGCTGCACTGCGTAATTGACGTCAGCGAGATTGTCATTTCGGTCCCCTTTGCTTCGAAAATTGTCTAGATGAAGGGGGTTTGGACGAGAGGTACCTCTTCATTACTGGGGCTCCAGCGCCTTTGTGCGTAATGTGGTCGACTGAGACTATATTGCTATAGGATAATGAAATCAGTGTGACTGATGTTTGTGGGCTTTCTCGTAGCCGATGGCTAGCGTGAAGAATAGTGGGCTCTAGGCGTAACTATACCTTAGCTCATTCTTAGGAAAATGGCATATGTGGGTATGTGAAGCTATCGTCTGGACGTGTGTGTAAAATTTTTAATTCGACATTTTCGTCCGGACGATAGCTTCACATACCCACATATGTCGTTATTCGTTACAGAAAACAAAAAAAAAAGAGAGAGAGAAGAGGGCACATATCATAGGTAGTTGAAGCTATCGTCCGGACGTGTATGTATAATTATTAATTTGACATTTACGTCCGGACGATAGCTTCAACTACCCACATATGTTATTTTTCTGAGCTGGGGCATACTTACAGTCCCCTCTTGCAGCCGATGGCAAGCATAGATTTCTACTCATGTCATAGGTAGTTGAAGCTATCGCCGGAACTGTCCTATGTATTATGAAACTTTGTAAGACAGAGAGGGGAAGCTCAGATATTCCGAGGAAAAGGCAGAGTCCGTCGGAGAATATTTAGAGGTTATTAACTTTTCCTTTGCGCCATCCAAAACCAACCAACCATGTAACACAGTCCTCCGGAGAAAAAAGCAGAGTTCGTCGGAGGACTTAAGAAGTGATTAACTTTTTCTTTACGCCAGCAATCAACTATGTGGCGCAGTCCTCCGGAGAAAGAAGTAGAGTGTCGGAGGACTTAAGAAAATCCGATACCGTAAGACTCCAACACGGCACGCATCACACGCATATCCGCCAATATCTGCTCGTTTTGGGCTTCAATATCCGAGTTCTCTTGCGTAAGGTCCTGTACTCGGGTGTCAAGTTCTAGAGTGCGCTCTCGGAGACTGCGAACTTCCGCTACAAGGGCAAAGTTCCGATCCTCAAAGGATCCGAAGGTGTTAGGTGGTTGACGAGGTGGGTTGGTCCGAGAAGTTTCGGAACTCGGCTGGTCGAAGATCGATGTCGGCGCTCTTCCGATTCTTGGGTTGCTTGGAGACGGCATGGATGTTCCGAGGCCCGTCAGAGGCGTGCTGCTGAAACTTGGTGCGCGTCCTCCTCCGATGGAGCTCGGTGCGATAGGACGCGAGTTCGGTGCCATGGGACTATATCCGAAGTGTCCGTAGCCAACACCTCCGTCCTGATGACCGAAGCCTCTGCTCTGGTGACCGAAGCCTCTACTCTGGAGGACGAAACCTCCGCTCTAATTCTTGGAACCTCCGGGTGTTGTGGGAACTGCTTGATCCGAGGGCGGAGCCTCTGGCTGGATTGCAGCCTTCTTGGACTTCTTGCCGGCGGAGTTGGTCTTCGATTTGCTGGGAGGAACGTCTTTCGGCTTCGGCGCCGGCTTGGGGGTGCGCTATCAAACACGGAACAAGTCAGAAAATATATCGAAGAAGCAATGGAAGAAGCGCAACCGTACCTTACATGTTCTCTTTCCTGAGAAGCAGTGTAAACAGGTCGCGTTAGCCCGGAAAGGCTTTGGAGGACCGGACTTCTTCCAGACTATGCAGTGCAACCCCTTCTGCTTGCAGTGGTCGCAGGGCGAGTCGCACTCCTCCGTGTGAGCCGTGCGGCCCATGACCATCACCCTGTCTCTGATAACCTTCGGATACCAATTTTTTTGAGGATCCGGAAATTCTTTCTCGCCGTACAAATTAGTCCAAGTGCCGCCGTGTAGCAGGTGCTTGTACTGCGGATATCCTTTGAAGGGTCTTTTCGAGTCATCGCCACCAGCTTCTCCATTCTCCGGGGCGTTGTCCGGGCCGCGTTCATCGTCTTCGGGGGTATCCGGGCCATGTTCATCTTCGTCTTCGTGCCTGGAGTCATTGTCCGGGCCACGTTCACGGCCTTCGTCGTCGAACCAGGAGCGTTCGTATCTGGGAGTTTGCTCCATCTCCGGCCGGAACACTGCTGTTGTTTCGGGTGGAGTTTGCCGCGCTAAGCACAAACCCGACGGGAGAAAGTCAGCATGCGTTACGCCAAAAGAAGGAACACAGGAAGAAACAGCAGAGGCAACTCACAGTAAAGGGGAGGAATTTCTTCCTCCGCAGATTGAAAGTCTTCTTCCTCCGAGTTGTCCGGAACGTACGCGAAGCTGTTCACTGCAGCGTCACGGATGAAGCGGTCCTCCGGCGCTGTTCGCTGCAAGGCTCGGTAACGTCCCAGAATATTGAGGAGTCGGGTGTGAGGATGAGTAGCGGCAGCCGCGGAAATGCCAGTAGTTGAGCCAGAGGCTCCTTCTTCCGAGCGGTCCTCTTCTGGGTGGCTCTGGGGCGCTGTCATGGAAGTCCGGCTGGATGACGCTATTCAGATACGGATCAGTGTCGGAAAAGAGAAGATGTAAGGTGAAGCAGGGTTGGATTCTGGCAGGGACAAGTGAGGAAATGGCAGTTGGAATGAAGGTATTCAAGGTGAGAGCTTACGAAGTGAGGAGACGCCTGCCGGAGCAAGGCGCTGGCGCATGAATTGCTCATAGGAAGATCTGGGTTTGCAACGGGAACAATGGAACAAATAAAGGACGATCCGGAGTCCGAGAAAGGGCAAAGCGAGCTCCGAAGCATACCTGTGGTGGTGGTTGAGGAAGAAGAGGAAGAAGGCGAAGAGGCCTGAGGAGCATGGTATATATAGGACAGTGGTCCGTACGTGGCAGCCGCACGTGAACACACAGGGTCTTTGCGCCTACCTGCAGAGGCAACCAGCGCCTGCCTGCCGAGCCTTCCAGAAGCTAACCGCGGAAGGAACGCATAGCTAGGAGGGAAGCAAGGTACATCGTTAGTAGTTACTGCTGCTCAAGCAAAACCTCAAAACTCCTTAGCTTTATCTGCCTGGACAACAGCACTTCACATTCATTCGCAAGAGGGGACTGTAAGTATTCCCCAGCTCAGAAAAATAGCACATGTGGGTATGTGAAGCTATCGTCCGGACGAAAATGTCGAATTAAAAATCCTACATACACGTCCGGACGATAGCTTCAACTACCCACATATGTTATTTCGCGCTAGCCGTCGGCTGCAGTACCCCTCTGTATGTCCAGTACGTACCTGCATAGGAGTTCACCCGCACATGACCACAAGGAAAAAGATATTGACCCCGCGCAAAGACATGTGGTTACGTCAGGGCGGAGCACAGCCCTGCATAGGGCAAAATGCTTGTGTCAGTCGGCTACCGCGGCCATGGGTCAGAAAAAGGAAAGTGCTTGCTCGGGCTGATGCAGGCGCTCGGATAAGAGCGTGGGAGCATCCATCGAAGCAGCAACTGGCCAGCCGTCTGCAAAGCCTGATTTGGAGTAGGGGATGACTATCGGACGGCAGCGCCATGTGACGGCGATCAACCAATCTGCAAGCGTGCCAGACTGGCACATTGCGGCTCCGGGAAACTGTGCACGACGGTGCAGGGAGGATCCCGAGGTGCGCCTTCGACCTGGGGAAGCATCCGACACCTAGCCGCGTCAAGCCGCGGGGGTGGCAGAATTAGAAGTTCTACTGACGGCAGAACGAAAGGAGCAAGGAGCTGGATGATGCGTGGGGATAAGATAGCGCCGAGCACGGAGCGGCAGGCCACGCAGCTGCTGATTTGTCCATGCCGGCCGCATGCGGGATCGCGCGGGAGCCTCCGGCCTTGACTTTCCTTCCCCGGAGCTTGGACGCCGGGGGCTCCACCGACTTGCGGACGTGCACCGCGCCCAGGCCACTTTCTAAACTACGGGCTGAGCTCTCGACCTCTAAGTACAGGATGAGACGAAAGCCCGCCTACAACTGCGTTTAACGGTCAGACTCAACACCAGTGCGAAAATCTAAACACAGTCGTTACGTAAAGCTGAATAGATACGATGGGACTCCTGTCCGACCGGCAAACGGGCATAAATAGCCTCCCGTCCATCGCAGACCGATTTCCTCGTTCCAAATCCGCTCGCGGCATTCCAGCCTACACCCCGCCCAAACACCCTCTTTCAGCCACCTAGCCATTTTTTTTCGCTCTCCTCACTCCCTATTCCAAAATGACCCACGCACCCACTCTGCAGCCCAAGTTTCTTCCCACCCGTGACGACCTGGGTGTCGTTGCGGTTGGTTTCTCCGGTGGCCAGGTACATCGAGTCGACCTCTCCCCAAACACCTCGTCGCACATGACTAATGCGGTCGCACACACAGAGGAAGGCTGGTGTCGATGCCGCGCCCATGGCCCTGGTCGAGGCCGGCCTGCTCGACCAGCTGAGGGATGACCTTGAGTTCAAGATCAGCTACGACGGCGAGGTCCACACCTACGCCGACGTCGTCCCCAAGGAGGACCCAGACCACCGCGGCATGAAGTGCCCGCGCACCGTCAGCGCCGTCACCCGCAAGCTGAGCGAGCAGGTGTACGAGCACGCCCGCAAGGGCCGCTGCGTGCTGACCCTGGGCGGCGACCACTCCATCGCCATCGGCTCCATCTCCGGCACCGCCAAGGCGACCCGCGAGCGCCTGGGTCGCGAGATTGCCGTCATCTGGGTGGACGCCCACGCCGACATCAACACTCCCGAGACGTCGGACAGCGGCAACATCCACGGCATGCCTGTCGCCTTCCTGACGGGCCTGGCCAAGGAGGACAAGGAGGACATGTTCGGCTGGATCAAGGAGGACCAGATGATCAGCGTCAAGAAGCTCGTCTATATTGGCTTGCGTGACGTCGACGTCGGCGAGAAGAAGATCCTCCGGGAGAATGGCATCAAGGCCTTCTCCATGCACGACATTGACAGGTGAGCAAGGCCAACCCTACCTACCGCGGCTGAGCGCTTACCCATCTCGCTTAGGCACGGCATTGGAAAGGTCATGGACATGGCCCTCGGCTGGATTGGTAGTGACACCCCCATTCACCTCTCCTTTGACGTCGACAGCCTCGACCCTCAGTTCGCTCCCAGCACCGGCACCCCCGTGCGCGGCGGTCTTACCCTACGCGAGGGCGACTACATTGCTGAGTGTGTTGCCGAGACGGGTAGCCTCATCGCTCTCGACTTGGTCGAGGTCAACCCTAGCCTGGAGGCTCAGGTGCGTCAGATACGAATCACATGCGTGCTAGTAAGCAAGCTAACGGGATCTTCAGGGAGCGTCCGAGACCGTTCGTGCAGGGTGCTCGATCGTGCGCTGTGCGCTGGGTGACACGCTGCTGTAAGCACTGACAGCCCTTTTTCTTCCTCAACTCCAATTCCTTTTGTCCTCGGAAGTTGTCGGGTGTCGCAGTTCCCAGGAGAAAGGAGCCTTCTTGTGTAGACGGTTATACCCGGTCTTTGAGTCATTTTTAGAGCGGGATTTTCATTATCTTCATCATGAATAGACAAAGTAATGCCTACAGGAATTTCTGAATTGCATCTTATCGCGCCGTACGGCTCTCCTCAACGTTTCGCTCATTGTTCTTGCCGCTCCCAACGGGCCGTGATAAAAGGTCCTATACAGCATAGTCTGCAGCGCCATACCCCTTGGGGAACCGATGTCGGGTTGGAGATTTGTTGGATTAGTCGAGCAGGCCATTTTTTTGCGTGGCCAGGCTGAGATGACTGTGTCGCCGGTGGAGATGGCTTGCGGGCCCTCTTGCGTGCAATGCTTGCTCCGAACTTCGCCGGGTGGACGGCGAGACCGCGAAATAAGAACGAACGGCCAGCCCGGTGTCGCTGAGAGGCAACCCAGAGACTTCCCGGTGCTCGCTCTCTTCCGTCAATTCCCGGTCTCGTAGACCTATTTCAATCTGTTTCTCCTTTCCCGCGGCCCTCCAGCCTTCCGTGTTCCGGCCGACGTCTAGAATCCTTGCCCGCAATAAGGCTGGGTTGCGACTGACTCGCGTACCGATCCTCTCAGCGCCTTACGTCATCTTGACTTCGCGCAGAAGGAAGAGCTACGCACGAGGTCGAGCAGCTGGTAGAGGCTTCGGCTCGAGGGATTAGAAAAGAGCTCGCTGCCCCGCCCAATCCGGTAGTGCTTATTTCTTTTCCTCAGAATCGTTCTTGCAATCGCTGTCGTGGCATTTCCATCGCAATGTCAACGGCACTATTGCAGCGCCGTGGACGCTTGGGTAGGTTGCCTGCCGCCCATCTGCTCAATGTGGCATCCCGTCCGACTTCCGCAACCCCGAGTATACTTTCGAACGCGCTGCAGAGGCGAGGCCTGTCTGTGAATCAGCTTGATTCCGAGCGAGACAGTATGTGCGGATGAAACCCTTTGAAGCATTGCACGTAGTTGACCGGATCAAACAGATAGAGAACGCGTGCTTATCCTCGGTTCTGGTATGCTTATTTCCCTCTCCCTCTTTGGCAGGCGAAGCACCCGGGGCTGTATCTAGCTCTCGGATTTTTCCGTTCAGTGTCGTCACGTTTCTTCAAGCATTGGCCAAGCTCACAAGATCCGCAGGATGGGCCGGATACAACCTTGCACGGCAATTGGATCCGAAAAAGTACCAACCGGTCATTGTGTCGCCTCGTTCCTACTTCGTCTTCACCCCTCTCCTCGCATCGACCTCCACCGGTACACTCGAGTTTCGCACCGCGCTCGAACCGGTCCGCAGCAAGCGCACACGCGTCGCCTACTTTCAGGGATGGGCTGATGCGGTCGACTTCAAGAACAAGACCGTGTCTGTCGAGGAGGCCGTCGACGACCCGCAGCAGGGCGTTGCGCTCACGGGAGAACGCCACGAGGATGAGTCACCTGCGGAGGGCAGGGTAGAGAAGGCCAAAGAGTCGAAGAAGGGGCAGCTCTTCGACATCAAGTACGACAAGCTCATCATCTCGGTGGGATGCTACAGCCAGACGTTCGGCACTCCGGGCGTCAGGGAGAACGCGCTGTTCCTGAAGGACGTCGGCGATGCGAGAAAGATTCGGAATCGCCTGCTTGCCTGTGAGTAGGGTGGGCCTCGGACGGTCTTGGGGAGTGTTGCTGAACGCGTTCTAGGCTTCGAAACGGCCGCATTGCCTACCACCTCCGAGGAAATGCGGAAGAATCTCCTCAACTTTGCAATCGTTGGAGGCGGCCCCACGGGCATCGAATTCTCCGCGGAACTGCACGACATCATCCGGGAAGACCTTTCCAAGCTGTATCCCTACCTCATGAAGTACTACAAGATCACTGTTTACGACGTCGCGCCGAGGGTCCTATCCATGTTTGACGAGAATTTGGGCAAGTACGCGATGAAGACGTTCAAGCGAGAGGGAATCGACATCAAAACCTCTCACCACGTGGAGGAGCTGCGCCGCGGAGTACCAGCTTCTCAATCAAAATTGTCGGGAGTCAAGGAGCCGAGAGCTTGCTGGACGCTGAAATTGAAAGAGGAGGGTGAAGTGGGCGTCGGCATGTGCGTATGGAGCACGGGACTGATGATGAACCCCTTCGTCGAGAACGCTCTCGGACGGGTGCAGCCGTTGCCAAACCGGGAAGTCCAGCTCCAAGGGAAGGAGGACGGCCGCACATCGAACGACGCGTGGCTCGTGAAGAAGCACCCCAAGACCGGAGCAGTCGTCACCAACGGCCAGTTGCGGGTCATCCTGGAGCCGCAGGGCCAGGGTGAGGGCGGCGGGTCTCGAGCGATCCTGGAAGACGTGTACGCGCTGGGTGACTGCGGGTCCATCGAAAATACCACGTACCCGGCGACTGCACAGGTCGCAAATCAAAAGGCCGTCTGGCTCGCCAAGAGGCTCAACCGTGGCGACATCGAGGGCCAAAGCTTTACGTGGAAGAACATGGGTATCATGGCGTATATCGGCAACTGGAGGGCAGTGATGCAGACTGGTGGAGGAGGAAACATCTCGGGCCGTGCCGCTTGGTTGATCTGGCGTGGAGCCTACCTCACCAAGGCCGTCAGCTGGCGCAACAAGGTCCTCATCCCCGTTTACTGGTAAGTGGATCGAACAGTGTCCCCAGGTGTTTTAGGACCCTTGCTGACCTCCCTCAAGGTTTATCAACTGGGCGTTCGGCAGGGACGTGTCTCGCTTTTAGCAATTACAGTCGGGTCCTCGGTGAGAAAGGGTAACCCGGCGTGTACGATATAAAAATGCTGCGGCGGGAGTGGCGTTTTGGGTCGGCGGGTTTCCGGTATGCGGAAGTCATCATGTATAGAGCGCATCTACAATCAACCAACAGCGTGCTTTTCCGACTTTTCTGCTGCAGCACCCGCGTGTGAGATTAGCCACAGGCGCGCAGAGGCAGCGGCGCGTCCTGCGACACGATAATGGAGCGTGTAGGTACCTTTCTCGATCCGGCAAGACGATGGAACATCACGTGGGCTGTCGTGGCGGCTGCTTTTTCCCGCGGTCGGCAGGACGAGACAGACGGCGGTTCGTCAGGACAGATGGTGTTGGAGGGCGAGGCAGCTCAGGGCTGAAGTCAGCTCGCAATGCCCCGACCCCTCGTTCCTTCCATTCGCGGCGCGCCAACACACCTCACTCCAACGCCCATCCCTGACATTGGCTGCTCTCCGTGACACAAGCTTGTCTGCCTGGCCCGCACTCGTTCCTTCGGAGGGGGTCGTTCGCGGTGCTCGGAATATGCACGCCAGCCCTCTCTTCCATTCTGCCCCAAGCAGCGCGTCGGATGTGCTGCATGTCTTCTCTTACGGCTAGCTGCAGCAGACGTGCCACAGCCGAGACGTCACCGTCGGGATTCCATTGAGCAGCCGCCGCCGCCCAGGACAAACAATCGCATCGCGAGGCGCTGGTTGTCGACACGTCCTATCGAGTTGGCTGCCCCTCGCTCGCCGCCATGGTACGCTCGCTCATCAGATGATTGCGCGCTCTGCTTCCCAGAAGCCAATACCCACGTGGATCCTGCTAACGGTTTTCGTGCGCTGCTGCGCAGGCCGACGACGCGGTTGGACCTGGCCCAGCACCGCCGGTGGAGCGCAGCAATTTCGAGCCAGAGATTGTTGGTGGTGGTGCGTGGTCGAGCAAGGCCTCGAGAGCCTCTCAGCAGCCGCCGCCGGACGAGAAGCCGGCCTCTTTCGTCCGCGGCCATCAGCGCAAAGCTGCAAAATCGCCGGGTGTTGCGAATGACGATCGGCGGGCAGAGTCGCCGACGCAGTGGGAGGACGTTGAGGAGGCACGAGCGACGCGAGTCAGGAGGGCCAGCGCACGCAGAACCGCATCTGGCACGCGCACCTCGTCTTCAGCCCAGCAGACGTCGCTCACCTCGTCTCGTGGAAGAGCGGATCTGGAGCCAGCACCCTCGGTGCCCCGCAGCACTCCATCGTCGTCGTCTGTTCGCGGCTGCAGGCGTCCGGGCTTCTCTGCCGGCGCGTCCACGCCGCCGGCGGAAGCAGACGGGGACAGACACTACTACATCAGGTCCACCGCCGCCCAACATCGGGACCGCGCCAGCCCGCAGCCCTCTCACCGGTCAGGGTCTGGCGTTGACCTCGGCGCGAACCCTCAATCACGCCGCCATCTTAGACATAAACACAGCTCCTTGCATCGCCGTGCCGACGCCCTCGCCCAGCTCTCCAGCCCTTCGCTGCTCTCCGTCTTCTCCAGCTTGACCAGCTTGACTCACTCGTCCAGCGGGAGCAACTCCACCGTCACGCAAAAGTCGTACGACAGGTCCCAGGGCATCAGGAAGCGCAAGCATTCGTCCAAACACCGCGGCGACAGCGGCCACAGAGGAACCTCCTCCAAGCGCTCGGAGAGTCGAGGCTCCGCAAAGTTAGGCGAACGCCCTCAGCGGAGACGACGTCGATCGAGTCAGCCGCCCGCTGCCGCCCGCCAGCCCGCGGAGCCGGGTCCGTCGATATTGTCCTGCGCCGAGACCTCTTCTCTGGAAGCAAATTGCTGCCCCGCTACCGACCCCCGGAAGCCATTCGCCGGTGATCGTGATCGCGTGAACTCGGACTCCGGCATTTCCGTGCGGGACAGTAGCCCCGAGAGGGGAGATTGTATGGACGGCAAATCCGCCGGGATGCCGTGGGGCCCGTACGAAGATGACTGTGATGAAGAGGATAGGCAGAGGCAATTTGAAATCGACAGGCTCACCCAGGAGTTGCAAGCACGGGACCCCCAGGTGGGGGGCGGTGGCGACCGCGTGCTCGAGAAGCAGATGGCGCAGGAGGAGCAGCTTCGACGGTACATGATGCGGAGCCCGATGCACCACCACGCGCGGGACGAACCGCGTTATTCCCACAATGACGACGCCGACTCGCCTCGTGGTCCAACGGTTTTCCCCTATTATTACTACAACAACTCACAGCCACAGCCCGGGCCGTATTGGGCCCGTTCGGATCCACCCCCTCCGCCCGTACCTCACGCGCCGGCCCACGATCCGGGCTATCATGCAGCGCAGCCGTACGGGAACTTCCAGCCGCCGCCATCCCCACACGGCCGCGGCAGCCGGCAGCTGCAAGCTGGCCTACCGGACCTCACCAAGACGACGATTACGGGGTACGAAAGGCTTGCCTTCGCGCTCGCCGAGACGAGCACGTGGCACGACGGTGAAGAAAGCGGAGCGGCCGGGCCAAGGCCCTTGTACCGCCGCTTCGAGTATCTCAACCATCGGATACTGCTCCACATACAGGATGAATTGGCCGAGCTCGAAGAAAAGCTCCGCGGGCTGGACGAGTGTATTGCCCAACAGCAGGCCCATGCTGTGGACGAAGTAGGCAAAGCGCTGCCTGCCTCGCGACGTTACGATAGTCGATATGGGACCGATCTGCACCAGCGACGCACGTTACTGCTGGGGGAGATCTACTGCAAGTTGGGCCAGTACAGTAGGGCGCTCCTATAGGACGCAAGGCTGCATGCGCTCCCGCACGCTGCTAACTTTAGAAACAGGCAACGCGATTCACTCGTTCGGAAAGATGCTGAGCGTCTTGGAGCCCGCTAGAGCAGACGATGTCTCCGCCTACGAGTCGTGGATCCGCGAGCACGCGCCAATAGACGAGAACGAGACGCGTTTCCTCACGCGTCAAGCCGACCTGATGAGCCTCCATCGACGTCACAAGCGGCAGGAGCGGCCGCATGAAGTGATTTTCTCAGGCGACCAGGTGCTCCAGACGGCGCTGTTGGCGCTGCTGCTCTTTTTAGTGCTGCCCCTAATCGCCTTTCCCCAGATTCCCAGCGTCGGCGGGCGGTTGTTCATCCTGACAATCATCGGCGCGGCCGAGGTAGCAATGGTCTCGTCAACAAGATTTTCGCATCTGATGTCGGGAAAGGAATGGAGGATCTGTGGCATCGCGTACGTTGTACTTTCCCCCCCCCCCCCTCAAAACAGCCGATGCGTAGCGAGGAGAAGAACGGACGGGCGGCCACGCGGGCAGCTAACGATGGCGTGCAGGTACTTTGCTCTTATGGCAGTGATCGCAGGCGTCGTTTGAGGCCGGTCGATCGTTGACCGGAGCGCTAGCGGGCAAGCGAGGCAATATTCGTATCTGCACCATAATAGACTTTGTCAAAAGAAGAGAGGGCGGGTGTGCCTGGCACGGGCGGAGTTGACTGCCCTTTGAGCGTCGGTGGTACGCCGCATTAGCCGCGTCGGGTTATTGATTGGTCCCTGCTGTTGCTTGTTACGGACGGGTCGTCGTCGGCATGGGCCGAGCGAGCGTGGTGATGATGGAGAGGCGTTTCAGGATTGCTTTTTTGGGAGATACCCATGGAGCGTTTCGCCACATATTTGCGGGGGGGGGTTGCGGCTGGCGTTGCATTGGGGGGGGGGGGGGGGGGGGGCTTTTTTGTCACCGTAGACTGCCGGCCAACCACCTGGCGCGTGTGTGCGCGTAAGAGAATTGCCATGTGCGACTGATGGTGTGCAGCAGCACTGTCGCGGCCGACGGGCAGTGAAGCACACTCGCCGTCGAGCCCCGGCCACGACGCGGCTTCGCTTGTCTGGTTCTCTGCTGCTCTTTATGCTGCACCGTGGGGCTGGCGCCGACGAGATTGGCTCTGGCAGAGAGGCACGGGGCCGGATTGGCGCGTGCCTGAGCAAGATGCTGCAATGCAGGTGCGCGATGCGATGCGCCGCCGCGCCGCGCTGCAACGCCAGCCGTCATGCGAGCCATGTGGACTGCTGGACGGAGACTCGCGGCAGCACCAGGTTGAAGGCAAGCAAGGTGGTGAGGAAAAAAAAAAAAGACTAAGCGTGCCGGCGTCATCATTGGGCATGCGCATTGCTCGAACCGTGCCTGGTCCCTGAGAGGGCAACCACACCACCGCGGCGCCGGGCCCGCCTTCTGGGCTGGGCTCAGCCCGCTTCTTATCTTTTGGCGCCATGTCGATATCAATAATTTAAAATGCGCCTATCGAGAGCGAGACGAGAGGCAGATCAATGCAGCGAAGGCAGCGAGAGCCGGCGCCGACGGCCGACGGCCGACTGCTTGCCTGCCTGCCTGCCTGCCTACCTGCGTATGCAGCCGGGACGCGTTGGGCGGGCGGTTCCTGCAGCATTGGCGCTGGGGGAGGGGGGAGCGGCAGCGTTGGGTCGGCGGGCCGGGCGTGAGGAATCGGTCGGCGACTTGTCGAGATTTGATGTTTGATGTCGCGAGCGAGCGACTGGGCGATCCTGCGTGGCGCCTTTTTGGGGCCTGATGGCCTGCATTACGGGGGGGTCGCGCCAGCCAAAGGGCAGGCGTTCGTGCGGAGCCTGGCGCGCTTCTCCATGCCCACTGACTCGCCCACGCGCGAGCCAGCGGCCTAGGTAGGGCTGTGGCTGGCGCCGCGCACCTCGCTCTCGCGCTGACAGCGGTTGTTGCGAGGGCGCCTGCTGCTGCTGCTGTTGCTGCTGCCCCCCGCCGCCGCGCGTGCTGCAGGCGCGGTGCAGGCCTGGGCGGGCTGGCGGGCGCGCGTGTCGTCTGCACCGTCTGGCTGCGGGCCCGCCCCCTCACGGCTTAGCACAGCGGCGTTAATGTTTGTGGAGCGAGCGGCCTGAATGGCATGCAGCGCGCGGAGCTGGCTACCAGGGCTGGCCGAGCGGCGCGGCCCATTTTTGTGCGCTTCAGGGGATCCAGGGGCACGCAGCGCGCAGGCGAAAGCGGATGCCGCAATTTGCCCAAGCGCAGCGTCCGTGGGCAGCGCTCAAGCAAACCTAATGCTCCCAAGCTGGCGATCGCGTTGCCCGAGCTGCGTCAAGCTCTCGTCGAGCCCCTCTCTCCCGAGCGCGCCCTCAAACCGTCGTGGTGCCGCTGCGCTGAAACAACAGCCCGCCCTCCCTTGACCGTCGCCGCTGCGCCAGGGCCGATCTCCTCCACCACCACCACCAACACCAGCACCGCGCCGCTCTCCTCCAGCGCGCCTTGTCGTTCCCTCGCCCTCCTTGCCTCCGCCCTCGCCAACGCCGCCTCTCCTCCCCCGACGCACCACGCTGCCCGCCGCGTGCACCACCCTCCACCACCCACACCGGTGCTCGGATCCTGGAGCGTGCTAATCTCCCTCGCGCGCGCCCTCCAGCGACTTGATTTGCGGCAGCCAGAGCCAACCCACGCCCACGCCTCCAAATCCAACACTCTCGTTTCAGCCGCCCGCAGACGCATTCTTGTGCGAGCTTGAAATCTCTCGCCCTGCGCGCTACCGCCAACGCCCGCGCGACGACACACCACCACCCATCGCCGTTGCGGGAGTGTCCAAGCCTGCAATCCTACATTAGTGCCTCAAGCTCGCCAGCTCGAGCGTGATTGACCGCTGCCTACGCCTCGCTGAGCCCCAGGCGGCCGCGACACCGCCTGCTCCTGTCGTCGGCGAGACCGCGCGAGCGAGCGAGTGACAAAGAGAGAGGAGAGAGATCGTGACGCCCGGCGTACATGAACTGACCGGTGCCGGTCAAGGTAAGAGAAAACAAAGCGTTCTTGCGGTCTGCGACGGGGGGGAGGAATCAAGCAAGCAAGAAAAAAAAGGCTGCAATAGCTCTTGTTGCACCGGTACCTTGGGTGTACCACCAGCCCGAGTACTTCCTTTGTCCCCGCCGCGTCCGCTATCTCGTGGAACTGAGTGGTCCCTGACGCATCCGCGACAGGAGCTCCCAGGATACCGATCGATCTTCGCAGCAAAGCCGCCTCCCCGGCCCCCCTCCCTTTGCAGAAAAAAAAGAGCTTCTCTCTCTGCCCTTCGCGACCCTGCGCAAGTTCCCGCCGCAGAGCGCGTCGGCAGCCACACTCCTTCTTCGCTAGGTGTTTGTGCGCAAGATAGACATGTCGATTGCGATGCTCCAAGCTCCCTCGCGAGCCTCAACCTCTTCGTCCTCTTCATACGTCCCCGTCTCTCGTCAGAACACCATGTCGTCCCACGATGGCACGCGCTCCATGCGCCAGTCGAAACGGTATTCCGTCACCGCCCTCTATCTGTCCATGTCCGCAAAGGAAAAGGACTTGGAAATCGAAGATGATCTCGCAAAGGGTGGGTCAATTGCGTCGATGTTGCTCTATTTTTGCCCGATTGCTGACACTCGCTGTAGCCCAGAAAGCGCTGCGGGAACTCAAGGCCAGGATATCCTCGCAATCGAAGAAGAATTTCGTTCTCGAAAAGGACGTGAGATATCTGGATTCTCGTATTGCGTTGCTGATTCAAAACCGCATGGCTCTGGAGGAGGTAAGCCAGCCCGACACCTCACGGCCATAACGATAGACCGGGAACTGACGGTCAGAATAGCAAAACGAAGTTGCCAGCCACCTTGATGATTCGACCGAATTGCAAGAGGGTTTCTTTCCTAATGATGAGAAGACTCAAAAGTACGGAAACTTGCTGTTTCTCCTCCAGTCGGAGCCCCGTCACATCGCACACCTGTGCAGACTGGTGTCCATGGCCGAAATCGATTCGCTTCTCCAGACGGTCATGTTCACGATCTACGGAAACCAGTACGAAAGCAGAGAAGAGCACCTGCTGCTCACCATGTTCCAGGTACGTGGGAGGGGTTCGTCCTAGCTAATCCGATTCGCTAATTCTCCCCCTCCAGTCCGTCCTTACGCACCAGTTTGAACACACCCAAGATTACTCGTCCCTCCTGCGAGCAAACACTCCGGTCTCTCGGATGATGACCACGTACACTCGGAGAGGCCCCGGTCAAAGCTACCTCAAAGTCGTCCTCGCGGAACGCATCAACTCTCTCATCGAGCTGAGAGACCTCGATTTGGAGATCAACCCGCTCAAGGTTTACGAGAAGATGATCCAGGAAATCGAGGACAGCGAAGGCAGCCTTCCCGCGCACTTACCTCGGGGTGTCACGGCGGAGCAGGCGGCGGAGAACGAAACCGTTCAACAGATCATCGCACCGCGGTTGACCATGCTGATGGAAATTGCAAACTCTTTCCTCTCGACAATCATCGACGGGCTCGAAGAGACTCCCTACGGAATCCGGTGGATTTGCAAGCAGATTCGCAGTCTGTCGAAACGAAAGTATCCGGACGCTTCGGACCACACGATTTGCACGCTGATCGGCGGTTTCTTCTTCCTCCGTTTCATCAACCCGGCCATCGTCACTCCGAGGTCCTACATGCTGATCGACGCCACGCCAGCGGAAAACCCGAAGCGCACGCTTACGTACATTGCAAAGATGCTGCAGAACCTGGCCAACAAGCCTTCGTACGCCAAGGAGCCGTACATGGTCAAGCTGCAACCGTTCATCCAGCAGAACAAGGAGCGTATCAACAAGTTCATGCTGGATCTCTGTGAAGTCCAAGATTTTTACGAGAGCTTGGAGATGGACAACTACGTGGCGTTGTCGAAGAAGGATCTCGAGCTGTCCATCACTCTGAACGAAGTCTACGCGACGCACGCGTTGCTCGAGCGCCACGCCGTCGAGCTGGTAAGTTGAATCGGGATGCGTGCCGCTGTCAAATCCTCGCTAACTCGGTGCAGACCAAGGACGAAAACTCCCACTTGGCGGTCCTGCTGCAGGAACTCGGACCTGCGCCACCCCAGCTTCCCCGAAAAGAAAACAGAGCCATCAACCTGCCGTTGTTCAGCAAGTGGGAAACGCCAATCGACGACCTCACGGCCGCCCTCGACATCACCCAAGACGAGGTCTTCTTCATGGAAGCCAAGTCCACTTTCGTGATGATCCTGCGGTCCCTCCCCCAGAACACTTCAATCACCCGGAGGCCGCTCCGTTTGGACCGGATAGCGGAAGCCGCGGCAACGACAAAGAACGATTCGGTCATGGTCAAGAAGGGAATTCGCGCGATGGAGCTGCTCAGTCAGCTGCAAGAAAACGGCGTCATCGACAAGGAGGATGGATTCGCGCTCCTGCGCGACGAAATCGAGCAGGAATTGGTGCACCTTGGCTCGCTGAAGGACAAGGTGCTCGAGGAGACGCGAAAATTGGAAGAAGTCTTCAAGACGATCCGCGACCACAACGCCTACCTGGTGGGCCAGCTCGAGACGTACAAGTCTTACCTGCACAACGTTCGGAGCCAGTCCGAAGGCAAGTCGCGAAAGCAGCAGAAGCACCAAGTGCTCGGCCCGTACAAATTCACGCACCAGCAGTTGGAGAAGGAGGGCGTCATCCAAAAGAGCAACGTCCCGGAGAACCGAAGGGCCAACATTTACTTCAACTTTACCAGCCCGCTGCCTGGTACCTTTGTCATCTCCCTACACTACAAGGGTAAGTTGCACCACCGATTGAGAACGGCCGCATGGCAGATGCTGATTGGACCCCGCAGGCCGCAACCGAGGTCTGCTAGAGCTGGACCTCAAGCTCGACGACCTTTTGGAGATGCAGAAAGACAACCAAGAAGATCTCGATCTCGAGTATGTGCAGTTCAATGTTACGAAGGTGCTGAACCTGCTCAACAAGCGCTTCGCGCGGAAGAACAAGGGCTGGTAAGCCTGCCGGCGAACGGGGTGGTGACCACGCCCGTATGTTTGATGTTTGACTCTTAAAAGTCCGAGTTCACGATTTCGGGCTGCTCGGGCAAATTTTTCCCTTTTGATGTTTTTTTTTTTCGCTCTTCTCTCTTAGGGACTTTCACAACGGTTTGGATATGTCGGGATACCCAGAGGTGCTTGCGTTGCGTGGCTTGTATGATGCGAGGAACGAGGGGAGAATTAAAGGGAAAGCGATGAACTACTTGAACTCGGATCTGCCTGGAAGGGGAAATACCAATGTGGCTGAGAGCGGGGGAGCTTTTCTCGGAGCCTGCTGTCGACCATAAACACCATCCGTCATTTCCTTCGCGATCGGGCTACTCTTCGCTTTCTTTTCCTGTCCTATTGTCCTTCCAGGCCGTTCTCCATGTGCGTTTTCTCGTGGGCGTTCTGGCTCGAATTCCTTTTTGTTTCCCTTTCTAGTAATGAGCACTCGTGCCGGGGGAAAATACGTCAAGTTTCCTCGATGCTCCTCCGGATCTCTCTTTATTTTTTTTCTTCCATCGCCAGCCTGCGGCGCGTCTTGCGGAGAGTACCCGGGCTGATGACAAAGGACGCCGGCACGGCGGGTCCGGCAAAGCGACCTTTGATGAAGATTGCGAGGGCTTGGATGAATGGGCTTAGACGCTGTGGGAAGAGGAGCGGTGGCGGGTGGCTTTACCTTCTGCTTCTTTGACGCTCTTTCTAATTTGTTGCGAGGGCGGCCTTTGTTTGAACGATATCATGTACGATAATCCCAATGTATTGCCGAGTTCGTAATGGAAGGATGCACAGCAGATACGTCATGCGCATGGTCGGAAAGTGAGCGGCTGCAGGCATCCGCAGAGGCGCTGGCGCCTGCAGGGCATGCACACGCGCCAGCCGAGCCCGTCTGTCAAGAGAATGCCGGATCTGCAGGCAAAGGTGCTTGAGGTCACGCACCCGCGCGGGATGCATTGCGTGCCGTGGGCCTGAGTCACGCCTCCCGCTGCATCACGTCGCCGAGCTAGCTCCCCCAGCTCCCCCGACCACCGGAGACGTACAACTCACACACTTCCACTGCTCTCGCCTCCCATACGCTTTTCACCTCATCCTTTCTCACATCTCGGCTTTGCTTTTTTTTCCTGCGGCGTTTCCGGCTCCACATCGTTCCTGTCCTTACCAGCACGAAGCTCCTCCCCGCCTCTATCTGGCTGCGTCCCTTATCGGCCGTCGTCCCCAACCGTCCTCGACCCCGATCTTCCCGCGCCCCCCGACCAAGCTCGGTCCCGCACGGCACCATGTCGTCCTCGATCGCCATTCCGAAGCGCAAGAAGAGCAGTGGGGCGGGCAACAGCGTCGACAGTCCGGAGAGTAGCTCCTCGCTCTCCTCGTCCGTGCTGGGCCGCTCGCCTGTCGTCTCGCCTTCCACGTCCGCGCCCTCACACCACCACCAGTACCGCTCCGAGCGCCGCCAAAGCCTGCTGAGTGAGTAGAAGCAGCCTGTCCTCGCTCTGCCGCAGCAGAAGCATTGCCGTCCCGCAATTTCCCACCGCAACGCCACCGCAAACCACACATTGCAGGGATGGTGGGCGGTTGCGGGACAAAGAAGCACAGCAGGCTTACAAGGCGCCGGCAGGCTCGTCCATCTCCAAGTCTGAGCACACGGTCATCAATGTCGGGCATCCGGATGCGCCGCGGCTGGTAAGCAGCGCAATTCCCCGGGCGTCCTCGCATCTGCGCTTTGGCAGCTCGAGACTCGCTAACCCGACGCCGGCGAACCAGATTACCTGCGTCAGGTCATCGCAAGGCTTCGATTGGAACCAAGGTACGTGGAACGAATGTGTGCCAGGCAACGGTTTGCCGCATCATTCCCAGCCTCGTCGCCCCGCTTTGCCTGCTGGTGCCTAGACTAATTGAGGCGTGTCCAGACATCTTTCTGCCCTCCTACGCCGATTACGAGTCTTCAGAGCTCGAGCGCCGCCAGGACCCCGTCCAGGACATCATTCTCACAGATGAGGAGGTCGCTTCCATGTTCCCGTCCTCGTCGTAAACGCCTCTCATCGCCTTGGCGCATACTTATGATCTATCACCGCCAACTTTTCCCCTTTTTGTAAACAACCACGATGCAAGCATGGACACAACGGCGCACATATCTTTATTTCTCCTTCCCTTTTCAATTGGGACGGGGCGGCGCAAGGCAGACGATCGGCCGGCCGCCGACCCGATGGATCCTTGCGTGCAAGTGGACACTGCATGCGAGGGTTTCAGCCCTGCCGCGAGCTTTAGGCTACTTCGCCCCGTCTCGAAATTGCTTTATTTATTTTTTTTTTGGTTCGCTGGCTGATTTAGTCGTGCGAAAGACGAGTTAACCAGGTAACATAGCGACGGGTACTTTTCTCTTCTTTTTTCCCCTTATAACTGGGCGTTGGTTACAAACGGCGTCTGTTGTTGGAGTACGACGGGTCGGATTTGGTAGGTACCGGCGTCAACATCTCCGCTAGCATCGTCGTGAATGGTAGATAGTTGTTCTTCTCTCATGCAGAAATTTAAAGAATTGGAAAAATATGTGTGCTCGTAACGAAATGTTACCTCAGGAACAGTACATATGTTGGACGTGTGCGTGGGTGGTCCTCACACTCTTGCGGCTGAATGACTTTATGTGGGTGATCACATTGGTATTTTGCGATGTTGTCTCATGCAAAAGAGGGGTCTGGAACGGGCTGAGAACGAGCCCGCAGCGGTCAAGCTGTAGTATGACGGTCCAGTCACCCCGCCGAGAGGTGTGACACGTCTGGAGGCGCAGCCCTTATCCTTATCGGCTGTGCCCTAATCTCCAATCGTCGGTCATGCGGGCGCCCGAGCGGGACCCGGACACCTACGGGCAGCAACGGGTCCAGGCCTCCCGCTCCCGCACCGCGTCGTCCCACCAAAAAGTCCAAACAACAACACCGCTTGCTCGCGCCTCGTTTCTTCAGCCCTATACGAATGCTTGCGGGAATTTCTGACGCGCGCATTCGCCCAAACGTCAGTCCAGACCAATCCGAACAACGCGATCTTTACGCAGAGAGGCTACTCGCCCCAAGGCCCACCTTCCTCGTGCCCAACTGCGAAGCCCACGCGCACCAGCACGCGCGCGCGTCTCTCACTCTCTCACCGACCCTCCCTCGCTTTCCGCCCAAAATAACCGTCGCGCTGCCGCAAGATCCGCTTTACCTCTTCCGCGCACCTCCGCCATTGGCTTGGGCCGGATCGCCCCCGGCTACGTCCGTTTCTGGAAGCCGGTAAACAAAAGCAGCAGACACGTTCGTCGCTTGCTCGCGTGACGAGACTTTCTCGGGAGAGTTTGCGCTCACTGATCACCCCTCCTTCCGCCGCATCGCTCCACCTTTTCCCGTCACACGGACGCAAAAGCGGGCGCTGGAGAGCCACAGTTTGCGGCGGCGGTGATCGAGCATTGTCGGAATTGTCAAAGGGAGGTGCGGAATACAGACGTGCCGATGGACTCGACACACCGCCGGGTCGAGCTGCAGTCGGCGGCGGACTTGACCTACCTGATGGCCAACGCCAAGCGCGCCGCGCGCGCAAAGATTGACTTGCACTTGCCGCCGTCGGCGGCGCCAGAGGGCGGCGAGGACGTGCTGAGAAGGCGGGTGGAGGAATTGGTAGACGAGTACATCAAAAACGTATTCGCTAGCGCAAGGCATGGCATCAGCGTCAACGGCGTGGCGGCTGGCGAGGTGGAGGAGGAGGTCACAGAAGGTATACACACTCACCGCCGCCCGAAATGTCGGCTCAGCCGCCTGTTCCTGAACTAATGTGGTCTTGGAATAGAATTCGAGCCCATCGATACCCGTCTCGTGGACAAGATCCGCGCGCTCGAGGCGCAGAAGGAATCGCTCACCGAGAAAGTCGCGGACCTGCGCCGCGAGGCACCCAAGAAGGCGGCCGGCGCGTACGAAGCCGCATACTTGATGGAGGCGCAGAAGGCGGCGCGTCTGGCCCGCGAAAGGGAAGAGGCTGCGGTTCGCGCCGCAGCGGATGAGACGAGACTAGATGCCGGCGACATGCGTCGGTGGGACGACGTGCGGCAGATGTGGGAGAGGGGCACCCAGAGCCTCGTGGACCTGAAGGATGCGCTGCCAGAGACGGCGGCGCGATTGAAGCGGGCGGAGACGGTGGCGCAGCACCTGGAGGGCAAGTCATGAGTGGAGAGGTGGCAGTGCATAAACATGGCGTTTGGGGGCGTTTTTTTTTTCTATTCCGTTTAACTTTAGGGCTTGCTAGCTCTGGACACCGCTGTGACGCTGTTGGTGGGGAACGATACTTTTAGAATCCGTAATTTGACGCCGTAGGGCTCCGACCCGATGCCCACCACCACACGATACTCGCGATTAGGACCGTGCCGTTTGGATGTGCATCGCGCAATCGATTCACTGGGCCGTGCTGTCTATTGGCTGGGATATCGAATAAAGACGTTCAATGGGCGAGTCACGTGCGAGAAGAATGTTGGCAGCTCAAATTCCATTCATTTCGCCTTCTGAAGGCGGAGCTACTTTTCAAGGTACCAGCAGATATCGTCAAACCGTGATATCGACCCTTCTCGACGCGTGAGGCGAGCGAGACGCTTACTTGGACTCGTCGAAGACGTAGGTGAGGTGGCACTTGCCGCAGTACTGGCGGTTGTGCATGGCAGCCATGAAGACACCGGCACCGCACTGTTGGATGGTCAGCGCCGAGCGCATCGTCGAGGGGGGTTTGAATGTTACTGACCTGCTCCTGGGGGCACTCCCTCCTGAGGCGCTCGATCTTGCCGTCGCCGTCGACCTTGTAGTACTTGAGGACGGCGAGCTTGGTCTTCTTCCTCTTGTGCTTGATCTTCTTGGGGGTGGTGTAGACCTTCTTCTTCCTCTTCTTAGCACCACCACGCAGGCGGAGCACGAGGTGAAGGGTGGACTCCTTCTGGATGTTGTAGTCCGAGAGGGTACGGCCATCCTCGAGCTGCTTGCCAGCGAAGATCAGACGCTGCTGGTCCGGGGGGATGCCCTCCTTGTCTGTTCGTCATCGTCAGCGAACGCGCTCGATGGAAGAATTTTCTTTTCAGATGCCGACTCACCCTGGATCTTGCTCTTGACATTATCAATGGTGTCGGACGACTCCACCTCAAGGGTGATAGTCTTGCCCGTGAGGGTCTTGACGAAGATCTGCATGGCGACCTGCGATGTGAGGGTCAGTATGCGCGGGCGCGGACGGCGGCGGCGGAGGGGGTGGGCGCACCTAGACAACTGTTGGTTGCAGATGTCCTCCTCAGTCGATGTGCAATGTCAAGAAGTTGAGCGCGGCGCGGCTGAAATTGGGCTCTGTGGGTTAGCCGAGCGCCCTTAGTCAGCGGCGGCGCGAATCGGCCCCGCGTCGCTCCGGCAGCCAACACGACAGGGATACCCCCGCTCGGCAGGGCTCAGCTGGGCGCGACCTGGCAGCCTGGGCCGTATCCCAGGTGGTTTCACGTCATTGGCGATGCATATATCGGTTACCCGGACAGCTATCGACCTGTTGTGTTTGGGCTGACGCCTGACGCGCCTCACATCCTCCACATCACACATCCTCCGCGATCATCTACAAATACTGCAAATCCTCATAAACAATCCTCTCTATACACACTTCTTGCCTCTCCGCGAGGGCGCCACCAACCCCAAGCCAACACAGCCCACCTCAGCGGCACAGCGCGACCTACCGTTTCTGCACGACGCTGAGGCTGACGCGCCTGCCTGCATCTGCAGCCTGAGCAGAATCAATATATCCCATCGTATCATCTGAGGAAGTCGCGAGAAATCCGCTAGCCCGGCGAGCGCGGCTTGCACTGCGCGAGGTAAGTGCCCAGTTCCAAGGCAGACGCGCTGGAGTGACGTCGGCGCGTTTGCTGGCGCGTTCTATGATGCTGACCTCACCGCTTCACCTCCAGTACCGGAACCACGGAGAATCCACCGGCCAAAAACAAAAGTCTTCGACAAACCGCCCTCATCCGGACTCGACCTGCATCATTCGTCATGCTGTCCACTCCGTCGAACTCGAGCATCCAGCAGCGGCGCGCAATGCACCGTCGCCAGAACTCGACACCGACTATGTTCGAGGCGCCGCAGATGCGTCCTCTGCCTGCGACCATTCAACGGCACCACGCGCACCGAAGGGGAATGAGCTTGGACCAGAAGCCTCACCTTCTGTCCCCGTTCCCGGCCCGGATGCCCACTAACGAGCCGCAGCCTTCGCAGGGCGACAGTCAGGTAAGTATTGCTAACGTAGGACAAGACCAACAACAGCATACAATGCAAGCAGCGCAGCAGCAGAGCATGGCTCAGCCGGGCCACCACCACTACCAGCAATTTGCAAACCTTCCTCCCCTTCAGACCTCCTTCCCTCCTCAGGCGCAGCCTCAATCATCCTCTCACCCTCACCACCCCTCTGTGCAGCAGCTCAAGGAGCTCGAACAGCACATCCGGGCCGTTTACGGGGCGCACGCCCAGGTCAAGGTCAGCATCGTGCCCAGCCCCGTCCCATCATCGCAGCGCAACTCGCCAATGGTGCCGCCGCCGATGGACCACCTCGACCTCGCACCCATGCCGTCGAGCTTCAGCGACGCATGCGAGATCACCCTGCAGCCTCCGCCTGAGGACCAGGGCTTCGCCATCAACTTCAACAGCCACCACGAGAGCGACAACGGCTATGAGTCGTCGTTCTACTCGTCGGACGCCATCTCGCCCGGCTGCTCGCCTACCGCCTCACCGCGGCCGAGATCGATCGGCTCGTTCCAGCACCAAGGGCACCTCGCTCCTGCACCGCCTCACCTGTCGCTGTCGCGGCGGCCTTCTCTTCTTCACAACATGTCGCGCAGCTCGACCGACATGGACGGCTACCTCTCATCCTCGCCCACCAAGGCTCCTCTTTCGCCGCGCGCCATGTCCATCGCGGATCTCAACCTCGACGCCACGATCGAGGAGACGGGCATCTCGCCCGAAGAGGTGCAGGCCTACATCAGCGAGCAAGACCCCTCGACCCACCGCTGGACTTGCCTGTTCCCAGAGTGCGGTAAGACGTTCGGTCGCCGCGAGAACATCAGGTCACATGTTCAGACCCACCTGGGTGACCGTCAGTATAAGTGCAACCACTGCGGCAAGTGCTTCGTCCGCCAGCACGATCTGAAGCGCCACGCCAAGATCCACACCGGCGACAAGCCCTACAAGTGCCCTTGCGGCGCTGGCTTCGCCCGCCAGGACGCCCTCACCCGCCACCGCCAGCGCGGCATGTGCGACGGCGCTTTCCCTGGCGCGGTGAAGAAGTCTGCCCGTCGCGGCCGTCCGAGGAAGAATCGTCCTGAGATGGCCGAACGTCTCGACAAGGCCAACAGAACCCGCCAGGCACAGGCCGATCCTTACGGCTCGTCGTCCTCATCCGGTCCCTCCCCTGGTTCTTCTGGGTACTCTCCGGTTGCAAACATCAACGAGTACGACTCGTCCCACTTTACCAACCTGCAGTCTCTGCAGACGTCAGACTCGCAGTCGTCGTCCTTCAGGTGCGTTGTCTTCCTTCCTGTTCGTTTAGCTCTCGTCACTGACAATCAGATAGCATGTCCACCAGCTCTTCCAGCCCGTTGGAGGACAAAGAAGAAGACCCCAAGGAGACTGAAAACGTTGAGAACAACGATGATGACAACGTCGACGATGACGACGCCCTCAACGAACTCGAGCAAGACGAGGATGATTTCTTCCTCACGCAAGCGTTCGAGGGTGTCGCCACGCCGCCCCAATCGCCTTCGCCGGTGCCTGCTGATGTGAACGTGCTGCGCATCCCGAAGGGTAACAAGAACGGTCAGAAGAAGCGCACCGTCTCCGGCCGCACTGTCTCTGCCGCGTACAGCACGCCCCCGACTTCGCCCGTCATGGGTAGCAAGTCCGTCTTGGACAAGACGGACGACTTGAACTTTGACGATGACTTCGACGGTCTTCCGCCCAGCTCGTTCGACTCGACCAGCAACATATGGAACCCTTTCGGGAATGATCCATTCGGCAACGAGCTCATGATCAATACCTCGGGCTCGACCCAAGACGACTTTTCGTTCTTGGACAACATGAGCTGAGGCGACGGAAGACCGGCGACGCCGCCGGTACTCGAATAAGTCAACGTCGTGCCATTGAGGCCCAGCAGGGCTTCGTGACGACGTGACGAACGGCAACGAAGTTTCTTTTCAGTCGGCCGTGTAAGAAAGCGATTCGAGGTAGCGACTTTGTTCAAACGGAAACGGCGTTGCAGGGTACTCTTCTTTTGGGAAACTCGGGCGGTGGAGCTGGCGGTTTTTTTTTTTTTCTGTTTGGACAACTGCTGCAAGTATAGATCGACAGTTTGCGTTTTCCTTTTGCTCTTTTCTTTGTACTCTCCTTTGTACTGGGCGGCTTGTCGGGGTTATTGGCTGGACGTTCTCTTCTTGACCCGGGGTTGGGCTTTATTGGAGCGGCGATACCTTTTTTATATTATCCTTACTGTCGTTACAGCTTCGTGGGGGATAAGCTGGTCAAAGCAATGTTCTGAGAGAATAGCAAGGAGAAGTGATATAGTGAAATGAGAAATAGTACCAAACCCCAAGACAGAGACTGAAGGTGAACGAGTGTGAGATACGAAAACGAATTCATACCGGTGAGTTACGAAATTGTGCGGACGTTGCCGTGCCGTCATGGCTTTTCGACGCACGGCTTGATCTCCTTCGTATTGCGCGCGCGCGGCATGCGTGCGGTCCGTCCTGCTGGCAAAACTGCTGGCCGATTGGCGATGGACGGTCTCCTTATGATTGCGGGAACGGACGTGAGTGCAATAGCGGAAGTGTTATATGGGATCAACAACAACGAGCGAAAAAGACGCATCACCATCAAAATGAAAGGGCGACTCGTCTGGTCTTGTATTATATGGGCGCTGGGTGCGGGCACCCAGCCTTCCCAACCCCCTCTGTTCCGCCTCCCGATCAAATTGCAGCTTGCTTTCCAGCCGCCGCGAACGGTCAGCGGCGAGCGTGCCCGATGCGTCGCTCGTTGGGCGGATCATCTCCAGTCGCCACCACACATCCCCCTATCTCACTGGCTCTGATCCTGCTTTCGCTGGAGAAGATCACAGACCGCTCGCGACACACGCGGCGCATGGGCGCCCTCGCCCGCGATCAAAGTCCACATTCTGGAAGATGATTGGGAGTTCGGACGAATCGCCGCGCAGTGCGCGCGGGACGGGACAAGCCAGAGGGTGCGGTGGGAAGGGAGAGGAGGAGGTTAAGGGAGAGGGGCTCACAATCGGTCCCACGGCCGGACTCTCGGGTCTCTTTCCTCCCTCCGCTTTTGCGTTCACGCAACCGGAAGCGCCCAAAGCTTCTTTTCTGCCCTCGACATCGTCATCGTCATCAAAAAAATCATCCGTGCCTCGTTTGACTTGGCCGTTGGTGGTAGCCAAAGCTCCTCGCCTGACGGCGATTGTAGATATACCTCACCCGACCGGCAATTCTTGCAGGGAAAAAAAAATCGAGATGACGGCGAGACGTTCCTGACGCGTGGTGGTTGTGATGCAGACGTCATCCCTGCGCCTTCCTGTGCTCTCCCTTCCCCATTCCGCTCCGAGCGGACCCTGATGAGCCAGCAAGCGTCAATTGCCGTTCCCTCGAGTCACGATTCGCGGCCCACTCGTCCAGCGAGAAAGACAAAACCCGTGGGTGCGGGTGTGAGGATCGGCGCTATGTGGCCAATGTTCAATCATTTCTGTCGAGCACACTCCCTTGGCGGCAGGTGTTCAGGGTCCCGAACACGGCCCCTACACGCGGCGCGCCACGAAAGAATGGGAACCGCACGCGCGCCGCCGCTCCACTCTCGAACGAACTGCAAGGAGCTCACAGACCCCGGCGGTACATGGCTGCCGACGCGGAGATCGGGAGAGGGGCGCGCGGGATACGTTGCGTGAGTCGAGCGTCCGGGCACCCCTACGTGCCGGTTTCAAATGGGCATGCTTTCCGAGTGGTCGAATGGTTCTACTACATCCAGGAACGAGACACGAGCATCTCGCACAGTCGAGGCACCCGAGACAGAGGAGCGACCTGGGGCGCTTGCTGGACTGAAGGAGCCCTGAGCGGTGTGCGAAAAGTGGACAGCAAACACGCGAGTTCTCTTTCGGTCGTTGCCAGGTTGCTAGGGCGGCGCCGACAACAAGTTCGTTGGCGGCTGCAGCTGGGTTTTGGACCGGTGACCCGCTTGTCGCTTTCGCAGCTGTTGTGGGTTAGCAAGGCCGGTGGGGGGTGGATCATACGACAAGCGCTGGTCAGCTTGTTGGCGGCCAACATCGATTGCTCGTCAATCAACCTGAGGATGGCGAGTTTGCCTGAGGCAGGCTCCATTGCATGGTTCCCGTCGTCTCGCGCCATGTCCAGCCGTGTGGATGAAACGGCAGTTGATGCACGCAGCCGCGCCATCAACCAGAGGCGGGAAGCGCAGCAGGGCCAACCAGCGGCAGCGACATGCGGGGAGGCAACGGCAGGCGAAACAACTGCGGCGGTGCAGGAGACGCAAGACGCAAGGGACCTCGCCTGCTGGCCAACGGAGGACAGGCGGACGCGTTGGGCCCCGAGTGACAGGACACCGCCGTTAACTCCGCCTCCTCCAACAGTAATCAGCGCGGGGGGCCAAGCCGCGCGCAGCTGTGGCTGACGGGCGGAGGGCGGACTTTCGGCGCATGAAAGAGCGATCAGCAGGCCTTCGAGATTGGTGGGCGCTGCTCGGCTCCGGAAGCACGCAGCATCCGCAGAGCGAGCACGGGAAAGTCGGCCGGGGCGCTGCGGGAGCGCAAGGAAAGGCGTGCGCTGCAGGGCGCCAAGCGAGTGGTGATTGACGGGCGAAAAGCCTCCTGGAGGCGCGCGAAAAGAAGCCTTGCCAGCGCCGAGGGAGCTGCGAGCCCGGGGCAGGGCGCTTAAGCTCTCGAGCACGCCGCCCCATTGGCTTGTGCCCGCGCGATAAGATTTTTCCCGTTCGCTCCGCCAGCCCAATGGTTCCGCAGCAGCCGGTGGAACGACGACGACGACTCGGCCGCTCGGCCTCGGGCGGCTGGGACTGATGATTTTTTCTCGCATCCGCACGTTGCACGGATGGTGTGGTGGACGTGGGGCGTGGCTGGCCGCGCGTGGGCCGGCCATCGCACAACGGACTAGAGAGCCCTGCCGCAAGATTGCGGCGCAAGATGAGAGTTGGTTTACGAGTACGGCGGACTGGTCCTCTCGCACGCTGTTCCCTGCGACAATCCCCTACACAGCTGTTCGCCGTGGCTGGCCCCCGAACGCCGTTAGGCCGAAACCACCGCGAGCGGATAGCGCTGAGGTCATCTCACAGCACCGTACCTTGCAATAATGGCCTGTGTAAGCGTCATGCTGCCGGCCAAGACCCGCCATGCTGGCCAGCCTCGCTTCACATGCCGCCCGCCCAAACGCGCGTGGAAACGCAGCAGAAACCGCGCGCGCTGGACGCGGTGGGCCTGGCGTGCAGCAATCGCCCGGGGACGGGCACGGGCGGCGCTGGGCGCAGGCGGTTAGTCGCGTGTGCAGCAGCTTGGGGCGCAATTTTAATCTCTGTGCTCTGCGCCCGGACGCACCGGGAGCTAGCTAGCGCGGCTGCCTCACGCACTTACTCAGCCCATCTCCTTCATAACATCACCGCCGCCCCGATCTTTGTGCGCGCCAGACCAGGCCTCACGCTCCTCTTCTCCTCCACGCCCGCCGCCCGCCCTCGCATGCGCCCGACGACCGCACAGTAACAACCTCCCCATCTCCCCGCTGTTCCGGACCGCCGCCGCGCAGCAGGAGCAAGCCCGAGCGCTCCCGTCTCTCTTCCGCCCTTCGCACCTCGCCAGACTGCTCAATCCGGCACCATGCACACCCGTATGCCGTCCTATCAGGACTACTTGCCGCGCAAGGCCATGATCCCCGCATGGCGGCCCTCGCTGCCCGTGCTCGTGCCTCACAAGGTCCGCAGAAAGTGGCGCGCGACCAAATCCAAGATCCGCAGCAGACAGTCGCCCACCTCGGTCGTCGCCTCGCTCGAGACGTCGCTGTCGCCCTCGGACACGCTGCGTTCGCTGCGTGCCCACCAGTGGTCCCACTATGACGCTCAGTACCTCTTTCTGGTCATTGTCGGCATCTTCGCCCTGTCCGTCATCGAGGAGCCCGGCCCCATCTTCAAGACGTTTGTGGCCTCGCTGCTGATGGGCTCCATGATCATCCCGGCGACGAGGCAATTCTTCCTGCCCTTCCTGCCCGCCATCACCTGGCTGGTCCTGTTCTACTCGTGCCAGTAAGCAGCAACCCGGTCCCCATTGGCCGCCAGAGCGAGAACTGACCGTCTTCTGCTAGATTCATTTCCGGCGAGTACCGCCCGCCCATTTGGGTGCGCGTCCTTCCAGCGCTCGAGAACATCATGTACGGCGCGAACCTCAGCAACATTCTCTCGGCACACAAGCACGTGGTTCTGGATGTGCTGGCGTGGATTCCCTACGGAATTACCCATTTCGGTTCTCCGTTCGTGTGCTCCGCCGTCATGTTCATCTTCGGCCCGCCCGGCGCGCTGCCCGTCTACGCCCGCTCGTTCGGGTACATGAACCTGACGGGTGTCATCATCCAGCTATGCTTCCCGTGCTCTCCGCCTTGGTATGAGAACATCTACGGCCTCGCCCCCGCAAATTACGGAATGCCCGGCAGCCCAGCTGGTCTGGCAGCCATCGACAAGCTCCTTGGTCTGGACCTCTACACCTCCGCCTTCACCGCTTCCCCCATGGTTTTCGGCGCGTTCCCGTCACTGCACTCGGGCTGGGCCACGATTCACGCGCTCTTCCTGACCTACGTCTTCCCCAAGATGTGGCCCGTTTTCACCGCGTACGTCATGTGGCTGTGGTGGTCGACCATGTACCTGTCGCACCACTACGCCGTTGACCTCGTCGGTGGCAGTCTGCGTAAGTTTGAAAGCATTTTTCTTCTTCTGCCGCATTTGTCGACGGCTGTGGCTAATGACGATCGTACAGTTGCCGGTGCCATCTTCTTCGTCGCAAAGCAAAAGTTCCTCCCTCGCGTGCAGTCCGATAAGACCACTAGGTGGGACTATGACTTCACCGAGCTTGGCGAGTCGCAGGAATACGGCCACGTCATGACGCATTTCTACGAGGAGTTCCACCCCACCTCGGACAGCGACGAGTGGACGATCGGCTCCTCGTCCTCCATCTCTTCGGGCACCAGGAGCCCCTCGAACGGACCCCGCAGCCCTATTGATTCTGAAGGCTGGGAAGGCGACACCCTCGCCTCGGCCTCGGACCACGAGCGTGAATATCGGTAAAAGACGGTTTCTGGAAGGCCGTCACGGCTGTCATCCATTCCTGAGACTTGACTGCATACTTTTTGCCCGGAGCACACAAACACCACTGTAATCACGACGATGCTCGCGCGGGCTCACGCCAGCCCACTCATGCCTCTTATGACCATTGCATGGACGGAGTTTATCCTGCATTTTGCGCGCTGCGGCCTTTGTCACACCGCGATTTTGTTTCTTGCGACCAGACGCCGGTCCGACTCGGATGTCGCCACTGTTTTTCGTCGTTTCGGCGACAGGAGCGAGCCGAGGCGTGATCGGGTCGCAACCGCGCCTCATTTCCCTGCACGCAGCCACACTAAGCCACAATACGTTACGATCGAGTGCGACAACGCCGGCCGCGCGTCCGCGTTGCGCAGTAAGGCTGACACGGGAAACACGGTGCCAAAGTTCGCCTTACGCCTTTTTCACGGAGACCCTGATAGACCACCCGCACTGACTTCGAATCATTCGCGCGCGGCGTTATCAACGAAAGGGCAAACTATACTACTTTAATGAGGGTTTACAAGCATTTGTTCGGTTCAGAGAGAGAAGAGCGATATACCCCATTCCGGTCGCTTACCTAAAAAACTTGTAGATATAGCTTCATTCGCTTCTTCACATTCTTCTCCACACTCGCTGCCTGCCCGTTACGGTGACCGAGGGTACGGCAAGCGCATTTATGCGCTCTTATAACGACGACTTGGGTTGTTCATGCGGACGGAATACAGATCTTGGAAGAAATCAGAAAACGCAAATGGGGTGCTTGGGGATATAGGGCTTTTCTCGGCTGACTCTCCACCACTTTGTCGTTTTCTGTTTTACGTGCGGGGTCAGAGAGGTGTCCCGCACCGCGGAGGAATTATTAATGATGGGGTACGGGGAGAAGACATGCGCTCTGCTGCAGCGCGTCCGTTGTAATAAATACGTAATACTTAATCCTGCCTGAGGCTCAACCTTGTCATCCCGGTGATTGCGAGTTGTTTATTGTGACACGCAAATACATCCCTCGCAGGCTCAGATGTTCCAGTTTTCTCCTGTCGAAGCTCAAGCACACAATAGCATCTTTCTGCATCGTACCATGAAATCCACTAACGGGATAAGCATGTGTGAACGTGTGACAGTGTCAAGGATTAGTTTCAGGAGCGTATGTGGTGTTTACCCGCAGATGGCACTTATGCAGAGCAGAAAGCTTATTCGAACCGCATCGCAATTTATGCGGACACTTTTGTGCCAGTTTTTGAGCCCAAATCAAGGCTAACCCGTTCAGTCCTAACGCAAAGGACATGTTTCAGCTGTAATGGTAGTTCTAATCCATCCGTTAAGCAATGCGCAGGATAGGGTGGTATTGTGCTCCAAACCGGCACCGTCTGTTCTGGGTAATTACTGCAAGGGTGATTTTGTTGAGCAATATTCGTAGGTCAATATTTACTAAAATCACTACGAATGATAGTGGTGAAGGCACCAAAAACACCAGCTCCACTCTCGCTCTGCGCTCTAATCGCGCGGGCTTGGTAGAAACAACGAGAAATTGAAATGAATATAGATGATGGTTTGGTTAGTATTTTTTGTGCTTTTCTCAGTTTGTGGGAATAAACTACTCATCTTAGGTGAACATCTGGTAAGAAAAAAACAGGATTAATACCATTTGTTCCGCAGCCAGCTACAACAACCAATGGAAATCTTTTGCGCCTGAAATTAAGCAAAAATAATGAATTACGGTACTACACATTGAAATAAAGACCGATACAACTTGCGCATAACTTGCCTATACCACGCTTGACGCGAATGCTTGGGACTTAGTTGGCAGCGAATATGAGGAAGCAGGGGGATAACCCCGAGCGGCAATGTCCGGAAATACAGCAAGCCTATAGGTGTCCTTCACAATGGCGTCATAAGTATTAATAAGAGTACATGGTATGCCAGCCTCCTAGTGTAGGGCACGATGCGCACCGACAAGCAGGATCCCGGCTAGACGCCGCAACATTCAGCAACGGGTGCACAGGCGATGGTTACCCCTGCCTCATGTTTCTCCAATGAGCAAGGAATCGTCTAAATGACGCACGCGTCTCGCACAAAACTCGGGCGCCGCTTCGTCTCATGCGTTGCAGGGAAAGGCGACAGGAATCATCCGACGACGTCACGCATCGGTGTACAGGGGGTTGCTTCGGCAAACGGGGATGGCCCAAGGGAAAAGCGAAAGAAAGAAAGGGCCCATCAAAGCAAGTTGAGCTGGACCCCGACGTTGTAAATTGGTGATTCTCATTTGCGTCCGTGCCGGATTACTAGGAAATTCACTGTTTCTGGTGGCCTGACGAAATTAACAGGTCCTCATACCTTGATGATAGCGGTGCTAGACGATCGACCAACACTATGCCCCTATCTGCCTATCTGAGATGCTCGTCAAAGGTCATGTGCCGTTTAAAATCAAAATGAAGCAAACACATGAAGCGATTTATGAAACAGATCAATTATCCCCCCATCTAGGCCAAGTCCAACCCTTTTACCAAAATCTACATTTCCAAAGCGACATAGAAATACACCAGAAATAAATACTCAGCCTCCAGATGTCGGTCAAGATAGTAAACCGCTATTTTAGTATAAGAATTGTCGAACTATAACAGTACGACGTTGCACTATAGTTCAGTTTCGGTGTGGCCCGTCCTTATATTTCCAACAAGAATCACAACATACGGCCCAAGGGATTGGTCTACCCCTCCAGTAGTAGCTATTTTGAATGTAAAATGGGTTGGCTTTCATAATTACCTCGACTAACATTGCCTTGCTTGCCAATACTCGGCACCTAAAGCGCATCTAGCACTGATCAGTCATGTGGTCGTGTACTGATCATGACCGTGAAATATGGCCGATTGTGTAGCCGCTCGGTGGCGTGCAGAGTGACGTATCAGGCAATTGATGCGCTACTATTGTGATTATACATTACGGTAGTCTTGGCCTTTCTCCTATGCACTGCAACTTGGGCAGAAACAAATCGCCTGCGCTTTGCGTCTGCGCAGAGGGTCGTACGTGGACTAGAACATGAACGGACTCGCAACGCCGAAAAGACGGGAAAACATGTCGAGACCCGACTGCATGCAAAGCCCCGGGTAGATCTCGTCTGGTGCGGTTATTTTTGGGAGTACAATTGACGAGAGAAGACAAAAATGACTAAGGAGTGGCCAAGAGTAATACACAAGCAAGGGGTTATCCGGCTCTCAGGATGCAAAGAAGAGAGTATATACAAAAGAAACGAAGACATCCAAGAAAACGACGAAGGAGTGACGTGCAAGCGAACCCGAACAAGAGCAACGCTGCGATGCGTGATATCTTTCGCTTTACGAACAAAATTTCAATACGCATAATTCTGCCTGCCAACGGCCATCTCATTATCCAACGGCCCCAAGAATCGATGCGAATGCCCCTATACGGCAGAGTATGTCCCGTTCGAGATCCTTTTGACGATCGGAACGTCCTTCCATGTAATTGCGGGGCTGCTGGGCGCTGCGCTTTCATCCGCAAACGGATCATCCTCAGCATCTGCCGCCTCGCTCGATTGCACCATCTGCGAGACACCCAGACCGCTGCCGTGGCCGCTTGCATTATCACCGATCATCTCCCACCGTGCCTCGACATTTCCGGGTTTGGCCTCCGAGTCGGTGTAGAAGCGGGCGCGGAGTTGCTGTCCAGGTTGATCCGCGCTCAGGGTAACATCCCCGAGGCGCCAGTAAATCAAAGACTTTTCCTTCGAAAAGGTGCCGACCGGCTTCGATTGGCAGTGGGATGATTTCGAACCCGAAGGATCGAGGTGGATGATGAGGACGACATTGCTCAATGTGACGCTCGTGTGACCGGCCGCGAGGTGGAAGGCGGGGTTGAGAGAGTAGTTGAGGATGACGGACGTTTGCGTAGCCTCGACTTTCCACGCAGGAGTCAAAGCGATGGGAGCAAACGATGCGATGTTGCTCTCGTCGAGGTGCACCTGATATTTGAAGGCAACTTGCGTGCGCGTGATGCTGGAAAGGTTGACGGTGTAGTCGCCAGCCTTGTCCGTAATTTGGTCCACGAAGGTCGGGTTCGGTGCAACCTTTTCGAGAACCGGGAAGTTTTCAAGCCTGATCGTCTCGTGCCCAAAGGGAACCGAAAGATCCGGAGGGTTGTACGCCAGAGCGAGTTCGCCGATGACGACGGCCCTGGTCACATGGCCGTGCTCGAACCAAGTGCTCACTGTCTCGACAATCGACGAATTGAGCCCCGGCTCATGCAGGTCCGGGTGGCGAACGGTGTGGCTGTACGAGCTGCTGAGCGAACGACCCGATCGGATCGACTGCGTGTCAGAGGCGGCGTGGTCCTCGCCGAGGTTCAGACGGTGACTAGCCGGCCGCAGGGGAGACTGCGGCCGCGCCGAAGGCGGGGATGCAGGAATCGGTATTTGCGGAGAGACTGATGACAGGTTCGGCGAAGCAGAAGGCAGGGGCGAGGCTGAAGGGGATGTGGCAGCCGGCAACGGTGGAGCGTTGGTCGGCTCAGCGAAGGGTGGTAGGTCGGGACCCTGGGCGGTGGAGGGGACGAATATCGTGTTGCGGACGTCTCGCCTGCCCCTCGTGGTATTGGATCTCTTCGTTGGTGCCGCTTGCTGCACGGCTGTCAGCACCGTAGATTCATGAACATCACGTAAGACTGACCATTCGAAGGGTGTTAGCGACGTTTGCCATCGCGCTTTCCGCCTCGCCACTATCCTCTTCCTGGATCGGAGCATTTCTGATGTCCACCTTGAATTGCGGAGGAACGCTCTCGCTGAAGGGGAAAAAAAAGTCAATCATTTGGGACTTGTCGTCGATGGGAAAAACTTACGCAGCTGCGTCGGCCTCCGCCTGAGCAAATAGATCGGACGTGGCAGATGCTGCGGGCACCGAAAAGCCATCCGCATCTTTCTGGGGCTACCGGTCGTTCTTGTCAGCAAATGTTCCTTTGAATCCTCGTACGGATGGACTGACCTCCAGCGGAACGCTCGAAGCGGTCGTGGGTTGCAGTGGTTCTTGCAATTGCGAAATACCCGAGCTCTGGCCACCGTTCATCATCTCGGAGTCCTTTGGCTCGTCTTCGGGGACTGGAGAAATGCCATTGGTCCGATCTGCCGATGCACTCCCTCTCCTATCTGGAGAAGCGATCGATTCGCCGGCTTCTGGAGAGCTCGGGAGCTGACTTTCTGCGAGCCGCGAGGGCGACGACGGGCGGTGGTCTGCATCTCTCGACTTGTTGCCCCGGCTTCCGAAAGAGCTGAAGGCGGCTCCCAAATTGGGGGACGAGGATTTCCTGTCCGGAGAAGAAGTCCGAGCGTAGGGCGCCGTGCTCTTTCGACGGCCGAGGACGGTTCCCAAGCGCTTCAGGCCGTGAAGTCCACCGTGCTTCTGCTCTTGCACTGCTGGGCGTAAGCGAGGTTCAGCAGGCACTACAGGCGACCCACCTGAACCAGATCGCTGGCTCGATCCGTCGTCCGGGGTGGGAGGAGGCTGCATTGCCGGGGTCGAACTGCTGCTGGCCTGTGCTTGATTCCTGCCCCTTTGCGTCTCGAGTTTGGGCTTTCCACTCGTGGTCTTGAGGGCGAAGGTCTTGATCTCGTCGGCCGTCTGCACGTCCAAAATCACGCCCAGGCACTGCTCGGAAGGACCGCGAGACCTGTCAATGGCATCGAGTTCCAGAGTCTGGAACTGGGTGAGGGCGTCCCGCAGCTGGTTGATGCGGCTCTCGTCGACCGACTGGAGCTGCTCGAAGACGAATGGGGCCGAGGAATTCCATTGCTGGTTGGCATTCTCGACATCCGTGCTGGCAGTCGCGACCTTGCCAGCCGGAGCCTTGGCGCCTTTTTCCTTCAGCTTGTCTGCGCGCTTCTGCGCGCTGTCAATCTCCTTGGCCATGTGCGCCATGTTGCCGCTGATGTTGGACATGGCCTGCATCTCGCGATTCGTCTTGTCAAAGTCGCGCAGCGGGCGCTCGACGTCGGACTCGAGCTTGTGGGCCAGCGAGTGGTGCGATTCGGCGAGCGCCTCAGTCGCGCCGACGATGCGCTGCCACGGCAGCGTGAAGACGCTGCGATGGGGGGTCAGCCTGCGGCGCACGGCGGGGAGGTGGCAGGAGCGACGTACCCGAGATCAGCGCCCGCGTCGGGCTGCTGTCTGGCGGCCAGTTTGCGAAGGCCTTGGGCATATTGGTCTTCGAGGCGGCGGCGCTCCTTTCCTGCCGTCAGTCTCCGGAGCGCGGCGGCGGCGGGGCGGCGCGGCGGGGGGGAAGGCGCGTACCTGCAGGAAGTCGGCGATGTCTGCGTTGACCTTCTGGATGTGCTTGACGCGGTCGTTCAGCACTGCTACGGCCTGCGTAGGCTGGAGCGACTCCTGTGGCCGGGCGTGAGCGTGCGCGGCGCAGCTTCCCCGGAGCTCCACTCACCAGCATGGCCGGGTAGTCTTTCCTGGACAGCTCCATGGTCGCGGGGGAGCGGTGCGGGGGAGGGCGCCGGATTGAGCGACGGGACGATCACATAGAGCCTGCGCGGCGCTGCGCAGACTGGGCAAGCGGGGGGGAGCTCTGCTTCGAGAGAGCGTAGGTGGTGTTCGAGGCGCGAGGCCGGTTTGCTGGCTGACGTTCGTCACGAAGACACACCACAGACCACCGGGGCTATTCCTCTCCCGCGCACCGCAGCCAGGCACTTCCGCGCGCCACTCCTAATTTGCTGCACCAACGAGCCCGATCCGTCCGCAGGCCGCCAGTGTCGCATAGAGTGCTGCCAACCCTCCTCTGCCTGCCGGAGCCCAGAACCTCTGCGCAGACGTCAGCCAGCGCCGCCCGGACGCGCGCTGCGAAATTGCAGCCCTACCACACGGCAGCCCAACCGGCGCAGCCGTGCCCGGTCCGCCTCACTCTCTCGCCATGGCTTCCGCCGACGCCTGGCGCGCCGCCGTGGGCTTTTCGGATCGCCTGGCAACCATCGTCAACATGTACGGCAACCCTTCGGCCGACGGATTCAGTCGCATTTCCGCGACACGAAGCATCCGCCGCCGCGCGCCTGCTCTGTCCCAGGCACGCCCGTTCTCGCCAATTCTGTCCCGTGCTCATTGAATGTGTTGGTGCAGAACATCATGCTACAAGCGTGCGCACCCAGACGCCACTCCGGCCGACGCCAGCAAAGAAGCTCGAGCCCTGGAGGATGCCGCCTTCACGCAGGCGACGACATACGTACGTACGTCTCCCACGGCTGGCGGCGCCACGGACGTCTAAGCATTGGTAGGTTGACTACGAGCTGCGCTGCGAAGCCGTTGTGCAAGAGCTGTCGTCAAAGTCGCCGGCAGCAGTAGGAGAAGCCGAGACAGCAGAGGTAAAATTCTCGGACCACGGTGCTGGGCTATTGGCAATAAATGTCCGTCTCTACTAACTTGGATCCAGCATGACGACGGCATTCCTGAGAACACGGGCTTTCACATAGGCAAATACAAGAATGTGGCCCATCACGACAACGGCCTGTTCTCCGAGGTCTACAAAGCCAAGCGTCTCGACGGTGGTGGCGACCCTCGAGCGAGCAAGCTCGTGGCGCTCAAGGTCACCGTGCCGTCAATGATGAGCCCGCCGCACGACTCTCAGAAGGAGGCGCGGCTGTTGGAAATGGCGAGGTCGGAGCAGAATTGCATCGTGCCCTTGCTGGAGACGTTCTGGCAAGCCGGCGGCCGCTTCATCTTGGTCTTGGAGTTTATGCGCTGCGATTTGCAGCAACTTCTGAGCAGAAAGGAGCTCACCCGCCCCCAGGCCACGACTTGTCTGCGCGACCTCTTCAAGGCGCTGCAGCACCTCCACTCGCTCGGAATTATCCACCGCGATGTGAAACCTTCCAACCTCCTCCTCAGATCACCAGCAGGCCCGGCTTTCCTCGCAGATTTCGGCATTGCGTGGAAGGACGGCGTCCGTGGCTCAGAGCCGGCAAACCAGAAGATCACGGACGTCGGGACGACGCATTATAGGCCCCCTGAGCTTCTGTTCGGCAATACGGCCTACGGGCCAGCACTCGACATGTGGGCCGCAGGATGCGTGGTTGCGGAAGTGGCGTGCCTCGGAGGAGGGCGAACCCTCTTCGATTCTGGTGAACTCGGAAGCGACCTTGCCCTCGTCAACAGCCACTTCCAGAGCCTGGGGACGCCGAATGACGACATCTGGCCGGTAACGCGCCCCGCCTCACATTCTACAGCCGTTGCTAACTCGCGTGTTCAAAGGAGGCCAAGGGGTTTCGGGATTGGGGCAAGGTGCAGTTCTACGAATACCCGCCCAAGTCGTGGGTCGAGCTGTTGCCCGACTGCGAAGACAGCGCCAGAGACCTCGTGAGCCGATTGGTCGTGTACGAGAGCTCGCGGCGACTGACAGCATCCGAGGTAAGCACTACCAAGACGTCTGCTCGTCTGTCCGTCTCTGACCGCTGTGTAGGCTCTGCGCCACGACTTCTTCAGGAACGGGGCCTGAGCGCAGGACAGGGCATGTGCTCGCGTGGGCTCATTCCGAGGGCCGTTGGAGCAAGTGCAACGGGGCGGGAACCGCCTTTCCTGTCGTGCAGGGTTGATGCCGTCTGGCTCGGTCCAATGAACAGAGATTTCCGCAAGTCAGGGGGGCACTTCCTCTAGAGTAGTAGCATGCATCGTGCAGAGAGAACGCAATCGCGATCTCCCAAGTGGATCTGAAGAAGGCGGCTGCGTCATGATTCAAGTAGCTCGCGCGGCGGATGAAGCTTCACGATGCGGTGAATCGGCGAGTGAACAAACGCGCCCGCCAGCGTCATTTGGTAGATTGCGCTGTCAGCTAGCACCGGCCGGCGCACGAAGGCCACGCCGCAGGTGGGCTGCTGCTCGCCGGTGCCTGGCGGGTGGCGCTGCCAACGTGGTTGCGCTGTGATGTTTTGGGCGTGAACGGAGTCCCTGCAGCAACCTCGACCCGGCGACTCGAGCTGCCCCACGTCTCACGCCGGCCGGCTCGAAAACAACCATTCCACGCCGTACATCTCCGTCGACGACGGCAAAGGACCGTGGATAGTCCCGCGAGCCCAACCTTTTCGCCAGAATTCCCGCCGCCTCGCCTCGCGTCTCCGGTACGACAGCACAAGCACAAGCACAAGCAACAAGCACAAGCAGTCCGTTGCGCCATCTCCGCCCGCAGTCCAATTAGACCACTCGATCCGCGCATGATCTTCCCTGCCCGGAAGCGGACTTTAACCTAGCAACCGCCGCCGCCATGGCTTTCCTCTTCAACCGCAACAAGCAGCGGAGCAACATGGACCTGGTACGCTCCACCAAGGAGGCTCTGCAGCGCCTCGCCGCCGAGGAGAAGCCCCAGCCGAAGACCGAGGAGGACCTGTCGCGCAATCTCACGCAGATGAAAATCGTGCTCCAAGGGACCCCGGGTGAGCCGCCTTCGCGCGAGCGCGCGCTCTTTGTGTGCAAGGCTGACTTTCGAGAGCAGAAGCGGAAGTGAGCCCCGAGCAAGTCTACCAGCTCGTCAACCTAATCTGCGCCGAAGACCTGCTGCTGTACCTCGCCCAGAACATCCACAAGCTCCCCTTCGAGTCCCGTAAAGATACCCAGATCATCATCTCGAATGCCTTCCGCTACCGAATACCCAACAACTCCGCCGCCGAGCCGCCGGCGATGCACTACGTCCTGTCCAACCGGCCGGAGATTATAATAGAGCTCTGCTACGGCTACGAGCGCAGGGAGAGCGCCATGGCCTGCGGCGGGGTGCTGAGGGAGGCATTGAAGCACGACGCGGTCGCGGCTCTCATCCTGTACGACGAGCCCGACAGGCGGGGCAAAGACATGCTGGCGAATATAGACCCAACAGTGCCCTCGTCAGGGGACGGGATCTTCTGGAAGTTCTTCGAGTGGATCGATCGGGGCGCATTCGAGGCGTGCGCGGACGCGTTCAACACATTCAGGGTACATCTCATGGACCCCCGGTCTGAACATCGAACGATTGTGACATTAACGCGGGCGCATAGGACATCCTGACGAAGCACAAGGCGCTAGTCTCGGACTATCTGCAGACCAACTTCGATCGGTTCTTCAAGACGTACAACGCGGTGCTGGTGCAGTCTGACAGTTATGTGACGAAGCGGCAGTCGATCAAACTGTTGGGAGAACTACTGCTGGACCGGGCAAACTACAACGTCATGACGCAGTACGTCGCGTCAGGAGAGCACCTGAAGATCATCATGAAGCTCCTTCGGGACGACAGGCGCATGATAAACTACGAGGGTTTCCACGTGTTCAAGGTGCGTGCAAGGATGGGGAAGCTCGGCAGGCTTCCGAAGCGTTATGCTGATCGCTCCCGGCACAACAGGTCTTTGTGGCGAATCCGAACAAATCAGTGGCCGTGCAAAAGATCCTGATCAACAACAGGGACCGGCTGCTCAGGTTCCTGCCCACATTCCTCGATGATCGGACGGAGGACGACCAATTCACGGACGAGAAGAGCTTTCTGATCCGGCAGATTGAGCTCCTGCCGCCGGCACCGGTCGCGCCGGCTCAATCCGCAGCGTAGCGCTCGCAGCATGATGGCAGTAGGCATTCGATAGCGTTTCCTGCGGCGTAAAGAAAGAGAGCAGCATGGCGATAAGGCGTTTGGCGTGCGAACGGACGGGCGCAGGGGCAAGCGAAACGCGATCACGTGCCTGCGAGGCGTGGAGGGCAACGGAAGTAAGGTTGTGGTAATAAGGCGGCACGGCGGGGGGCGGGCGACCCCGGCATATTTCCAAGCAGCCTGCGGGAAGGAGCAGGTAACTTGTACTGTAGATACGATCACATCAGATGACGCTTCACAAAAAGCGTCGCGTCCGGGCCGCGGTGACATGGCAGAAGCGGAGCCGCAGAGGGCAGCGCGCGGCCGGGTCCAGGCGCAGGGCAAGTCAGGCAGGGTAGGGCAGGGTAGGGCGGGCGATGGCGCTATGGCGGGACAGAAAAGGGTAGATGGGAGCGCTGCAGGCGCGGGTAGGCACAGAGAGAGTGGCCGGGGGACGGGCAGGTAATCATTATTTCGCTTCTCTCTGCGCCGCTCGGGCCGCGCTGGGATGGCGCTTTTGCGGCTGCTAAACACGTGGTATGGGTGGAATCCGGAGGGGCCTTAGCTGCAAGCTGGGCATCGACGGGCGCCGGATCGCGTTGGGCGGTGGAGCGGCGCCGGTGCCAGGGCTGGCGAAGGGGCGCGGAGACGCAGGCCAGTGGTCTCGCCGGCTGCAAAGCTTGGCCTTCGTCATCCTTGGGGCTTCTGCTCGCCGAGCGGACGGACAGCCGCTGCTCAGAGCGGCGGCGGCCGCTATCCGCTAGCTGCGCGCCTCGATCCACACGCATCGAGCGTCGCCTGCCCGCCGCGCGCCTCCCATCGTGCCGGCGACGTGGGCTCTGGCGGGCGCTGGGAGGGGGGTGGGCAAGCATCCTAAGCGGGCCTCATCAGTGGCCCCCCTACTTGCTGCTCCGGGCAAGGTCGCAGCCGTCAAGGGCAGGGCAGCGGCAGCAACCACACGCACCTTTTAGTCGCTGCCGCGGAGGACCCTAAAGCGCCAGCGCCGCCTGCCCTCGCTCCTGCCGCGCTGCCCTGCGAATCGCCCCTTCTAAGCCCTTTGTCTTGGCCCGCGTGCGACTCTGCGTTGCTGTGGGCTGCGTAGCCGCTGGTCGAACCCTGTACGTCATCGTCTGCGCTCCTACCGCCTGTCCTTTGAGACCTTGCCTCTCGCGCATTCTTCGCCGCGCACCTCGCCCGCCGATCGCCTGCCTGCCCGCCGCCAGTCCGTCAGCGAGCAGTGTCACTCTGATGTGGTCTTCGCACAGCATTGGTCCCCCATCACACGCAGCTCCCTTCGTTCGGCGACCCCAGAGCAGCGGGCGGTGGCAGGAGACGGGGACGAGATGATCAGAAAATCCCCACCACCATCGCCAACCACTGCTCAAGCTCTCGACAGCGCCGCACCTGAGCCCGACCCCAAACTCGCCATCCGCACCGCGCACGCGAGCCCGCCCGACGCCCACGGCAGCGCCAGCCAGCAGCCTCGCCCGCCGCTGAACCGCTCCTCGCACGCGTCCACGGCAAGCGATGAAACGCCGCCGCTGAACCCTCTTCCAGGCCCACCAGCGTCCGCCGACGCCCCCGCTGCAGACTCTGCCAGCGCCAGCAGTGCCGATGCCGCCGGCGAGAGCGTTGCCGTGCCACCAAGGTCGGCGACAACCGCAAGACCGCCGCCAACCCCAGTTGCCGCGGAGCTGGATCGCCTGAAGCAGGCCGTCCATGCAAAAATGGTCCTGAGTCAGCAGCGCGCTAAACTGAGCAGCATGGGTGGTGCACCTCCCAGTCCAAAGTCCATGGGCGCCCGCAGGGTCTCTCCGATCAAGGAAGAATCTTCAGATGCCATATCCCCTTCGCTCGATGCTGCGTTCAGCAGCCCCATCCCCACCGGCTCCCTCACCACCTCGACCGAGTCGACCGAATCCTCCAAGACCGTCCGCGGCAGCGTCCCCGCTACCCCCGCCCAGATGCCCTTGCGCACGCCCTCGTATCCGTTCCCATATGTTCCTGGCACTCCACGAACATGGTCATCTTCCTTCCATCAGCCCTTCACCACCCTATCCCCCACCGTTGGCGCAATGGACGTGAGGGAACCCGGAACCCCACGAGACAGGCAGTTGTCGAGTGTGAGCACGCCCTTGGTTTCCGCCGCTTCTTTCATGCCCCCAGGTGCCACCATGCAGTCCGCAGAGGATCCGCAATACCCAACGCCGAACCTGTATGATTTGACGCTGCTTTTGTCGTCGGAGCCCGGGCTGGACGCATGGTGGAAAGTGGTTACGAACATCATGAGAGACTGGTACGGAGCGGAGAGGGTCACGCTCGCCGTACCTGCCGATCCCACAGACATTGAAAACGTGCCGTGGGGCCAAAAAGCTTCGTTTAACTTAATGGGGGCCATCAATCGGACTTCGTCGTTCAAGGCGACGGAGCAGCTGCAGGGTAAAGACGGCAGGGTTGAAGAGACGAAGGCAAAGGAGGGCAAGTTTGAAAATGTGGACATCTTCCAACAGCAGCAGCAGCAGCAGCAGCAGCAGGAACTCTCTTCACGCAGGATGCGCCCCAAGTTGGAATCGAGACATTCTTTTGCCGGGCACGAGCGAACGAAAAAGGATACGGTGGGCGAGCAAAGAACGTCCGGGCCCCCACCTCGGCCACGAGGTCCTACGAGGACTGCGAGCCATACCCCTCACGTAGTGGGCCAAGGTCACCCGATGACCCCGCAACGGGACGTCCAATCCTCCGATCATCCATCCATGCCAAATCACCAGCGTCTCAAAGAATCCACTTTCAGCGACCCGGACTTCTCCAGCGTGGGTGAGGACGTCCCGAAGGGACCGTACTGGCAAGTCTTTCCGGTTCTCCGGGCATTGGACCACGAGCCGCAAGCGCTCATCGACAATTCTGGAATCAACCGGGTGCTGGAAAGAGGGAAGCTGGTCACGCTCACCAGGGACTACTCGAGCATCGATGGCTCGAGGCGAGACTCGGGCGCCCATTCATCCAAGGGTTCGCGCGGCTCTCCAGAGACACAAACCGCCAACAGACCGCAAGCAACTCCCAAGGCAGCTGACATTCGCAGTCGAGCTGGCAATGCATCACACTTCGCCAGCGAAGATTTTTACCGTTTCAAGCTTACGACTCAGTATGAAGAATACGAACAGTACCCAAGTTCACCATGGGCACAATCTCCTGCTCCCTCGCCTGCGATCCAGGCCAATCCGAATGAGAATCCCTTTTTTGCAGCTGCGAACGTAGATGAAGAATCCTTCAACCCGCAAGGTTCAGGATCTGGCCCGGACTATTCGGCACCAGTCGAAGCGATTGGCGTTGACAGAGCCAGCACAGTTACGCACCTCCCTCTGATCCATCCCATCTTGTCACAGGTGATGCAGCCCTTCGAAACAGAAACCCCCGCCGAGACACCGGCCGAATCACGCTTCTCCACCGTCTCCTCCGAACCCGCCGCCCCAAGGAAGGCACCGATAGCCATCCTATCGATGCTCTCTCCCATGGTCCCGTACCCGCAGAACCTAACGCAATCGCTAAAGCTGATCGCGCCGCATCTAGCGACCACTTTTTCCAATGGTCTGCATTACTCGTCCGCGCACCGTACGGCGGCCGGTACGCGCCACCGTCGTTATGGCTCGGGGCAAACTACCGGCTTCGGAGCGACTCCTGGTGACGCCGAAAGCCTCGATGATCTGATACACCTGGATATTGACGTTACCGATTCAGCGACAGGGAGCATAACGAGCCCATCCGAGTACTCTGTACGATCGAAGAACAGCCCGGGCGGATCGATCGCGGGGACTCCCGGGTGGGATCACTCTGCCATGGGGTTCTCGAGTAGCAAACACTCCGTCGGGAACACGCCGGGCCACATCCTCGGCAGCGAAGCTGTAGACAGCTACTTCGACGCGAAGAAGAAGATGGGTCCGAGCAGGGGAGAAGCGACCCTCAGGCCCAGCGGAGGCACGCCTCCCCCCATGGATCAAAGGACTCCTGGCGGCCGCAAGGTCGTTTCCATCCTGCCGACGGAAGAAGAGGACGTCACGCCGAGGTTGGACCAACCTCCGACAAGTCAGCCTCAAAGCAAGGATGGAAAACAGCAGCCGAGTCCCGAAGCCAAGGCATCCGGCAGCCCTACGCGCGCTACACATGCCCGAAGACTGAGTCTCCATTTGAAACAGGACCAGGGCCGGGCCGACCAGCGCCATCACAGCCTGCTCCACTCCTACGGCGCCGACTTCAGCTCATCCTTCCAATCCCTGCCTGCAGCCACGACGCCCGTGAAGACGCCCGGCGCTCAATTCGGCCACGGGCGGGCTCCTTCAATACCCGAACGGCAGGATATGCCGCCTCCCTCAGAGCGCCTCCTCAGAACGATCATAGATTCCCTACCAGTGCAGGTCTTCACCGCAGCCCCTTCGACCGGCGCGCTAACTTGGGTCAATACCAAATTCTTGGTCTATCGCGGACAGGACTGCCGCCAAATCTTGCAAGAACCTTGGGAAGGCATCCACCCGGACGATCGGCCCGAGTACATGAGCATGTGGAGCAGATGCTTGAGGACGGGCCAGCAGTTTCAGCAGAAGGTGCGTGTACGCCGCTTCGATGGCAACTACCGCTGGTTTTACGTCCGCGCAGCACCGCTCAAGGACAAACGGCAAAATATCGTACACTGGATCGGAACGAACATGGACGTGCACGATCAGCACCTCGCAGAGATAAACGCGTCCAGACAGCAGGAGACGGCCGCGTCTGAAGCCAAGTACCGCGCGCTGGCAAACTCGAGTCCGCAGATAGTATTCGCCGTCAACAAGAGGAAGGGCATCACCTTTTGCAACAGCCAGTGGCTATCCTACTCCGGCCAGACTGAGGAGGACGCGTTGGGTCTTGGATTCATGGACTATGTCCACCCGGAAGATCTCGTCAAGTGCCGGTTGCCCGCGTTCGACAAGGACGGCGAGACGCCGAAGAACGTCCCGCTGTCCATGCCCTCGGATCTCCGGCGTTCGACGTCGGCATCCAGCGGGTCGATCTTCTCGGACGACTCGAGCACCAACAGAACAGTGACAAGTCCTGGTGGTTCGACCCCGTCAACTATACACATGCCCCAGACCAGACTCTCAAAGCTCGCAGATACTGGTATCCTGAAGGTCACCAGAGACTCGGATGGAAGACCGTCATATTCGACCGAAGTCCGCCTGAGATCCAAAGATGGCACGTACCACTGGCATCTGGTGAGGATTCTCCTCGCGGAGCCGGTCCTTCAGGGCGAGGAGGAGGAAGAAACATGGTATGGAACCTGCACGGACATCAACGACCACAAGCTCCTGGAGCAGACTTTGAAGGAAACCATGGATGCGAAGTCTCGCTTTTTGAGCAATATGTCGCACGAGATCAGAACTCCGCTCAACGGCATCACCGGTATGGTCAATTTCCTCATCGACAGCAACCTTACTTCAGAACAGATGGAACACGTCAACATCATCCGCAACAGCACAGAGGGCCTCAGAGACCTCATCAACGACATCCTCGACCTCTCCAAGGTCGAAGCCGGCATGATCACCCTCGCAATGGACTGGATGCATGTAAGGTCGCTCATCGAGGAGGTCAACGATCTGACTTCCGCAATGGCGATCAACAAAGGCCTGGAGCTCAATTACATTGTAGAGGAGGACGTACCGTCGATGGTCAAGGGGGACAGATTCCGCATCCGCCAAGTTTTGCTCAACGTGGTCGGAAACGCCATCAAGTTCACCCAGCGCGGAGAGGTTTTCGTTCGCTGCAGGATCGCGGAGAACCAAGAGGTTGCGATTCCGGGCAAGGAATCGCTCGTCCAATTCGACGTCATTGACACTGGCTCCGGGTTCACGGAGAAGGAGGCAGAGTTTTTGTTCAAACGTTTCAGCCAGATCGACGGCAGCAGCACTCGACAGCATGGAGGTACTGGTCTCGGCCTGGCTATATCGATGCAGTTGGTGGAACTTCATGGTGGGAAGATGAAGGCAAGCAGCGTTCCTGGAAAGGGCTCAACGTTTACTTTCACAATCAAATTCACCCTCCCTTCGGAGGCTGAACAGCCTCCGCCTGAAGCCCACAGTCCAACTGCCACCACGATGCCTCCGCCCGAGACCGGCGCTACGCTCTCGCCGTCGCCCATCGAAACGCTCAAGTCTCCAGCGCGTTTCACCGAGTCGCCGAAGCCGTCGTCCGCCTCCTCGTCGGCGAGCTCTGACCCCTCGGTCAGGACGGGAAGGACGAGCGTGCCGTCAACGAGGTCGTCGACTTCGTCGTTCAGCTCCACCGCGAACGCTGCCAACATGAAACTGAGCCTGCCCGCCGACAGCTCGAGCAAGAGGGAGGACTCGGCGAATTCGAGTACGTCGAGTGACACTGCACGAGCGCCGAGCACTTCGGTCTCGTCGCCGCGCACGTCCTCGCCTCTTGCCGGGCAGCCGCCCATGTATTCCATACTCGTGGTCTGCCCCTTGGCCATGAGCCGCGACGCAACCGTCAGACACATCGAGATGACCTTGCCCAAGGCGGTCCCGGCCCAGATCACCGCCAGAGACTCGGCTGAAGAATGCCGAAGGATGATCAGCGGGGAAGACCCCGTCATCTTCACTCACATTGTGCTCGTCCTGCATGATTCGAAAGAGGTGATTTCGTTCATCGATCAAGTGTTCCATTCGCAGCCACACTCCGGCACTTCAGTCATCATCATCTCAGACCTGGTGCAGAAGCGCGAAGTCATGGCCGAAGCCTCGGCGCACGACTACGACAAACTTACCGACGACCGCCGGCTGCGCTTCGTATTCAAGCCTCTCAAACCGTCCAAATTCGCCGTCATCTTCGATCCGCAGAAGGAGAGAGAGATCAGCACGGACCGGAACGAGAATAGCGCACAGCAGGTGGCAGTGAACCAGAAGATGGTGTTCGATGACATGAAGCGACGACTGGGCAACAAGGGGCACCGTGTGCTGCTCGTGGAAGACAACAAGATCAACCAAACTGTAAGTCGGCTCCCCAAGGCGTGGATCGAGATTTCCTTGGCTTACAGCAGTCGCAGGTTCTCCTCAAGTTACTCGGCAAGACGTCCATCAACGTCGAAACTGTCCTCGATGGCGTCGAGTGTACGGACAAAGTATTCTCGAAAGAGCATGGATATTACTCCATCATCTTGGTGAGCGTTCCTCGGTGCAGTCTGGCTTTATATGCGGGGTTGAGATTAACAGGAATGGCAGTGCGATCTTCACATGCCGAACAAGGACGGTTACCAGACCTGCAAGGAGATCCGTCAGTGGGAGAAGAAGAACAGTTACCCGCACCTGCCGATCATCGCACTATCGGCAAACGTTCTGGGGGACGTATACTCTAAGTGCGTGGAGGCCGGATTCAACTCGTACGTGACGAAGCCGGTGGATTTCAAGGAGCTCAGCGCGGTGATGACTCGGTTTTTGGATCCGCCAGATCCGGCCAAACCTCACGAATTCATGCGACCACGCAAAGAGTGAGGTACGGGATTTCCGGACACTGGAACGAACCTCGAGGATGGACAGGGGTGCCATCAGAACTAGCGTTGCATAACATCAGCCGGAGCAATTGGATTTCGGAGGAGAGGGAAAGAAAAAAAAAAAAGAGACGTGCGCAACGCCGGGGCGCAAGCAAGCATACCTTTAATGGAATGACGTCGGTCTGGTTCGGATCCCTTTTGCGTGGTTGGTCATCATCTCTGACCTTCCGGTCGAGGTTCTCCACCATAGTCTGCGCAGTTCTGATTTTTCATCTTTACGAAATTGCATTTTCGCGAGCAAGGGCGGGGCGGGATCTCTTTTTTTTTTTTTTTGGAATGGAGTAATGTCTAGGCTACGGCATCTCTACACCGGCGAACTGGAAGGACAGGGCGAGCACGGGAAGGTACATTTCATACAGAGCAGCGGTACAGCGTGGTCTTTTTTGGTTTTTTTTCTGCTTTTTTTCTATATACATGACGAGCTATGGCTACGGGTGAGGGTTAAAAAAAGATGGGAGCGTAGTGGGGGTAGGCGCGCGGTGTCCTTTTTTCTGCGGGGGAAGAGGGCGGCGGCGACGGGGGAGGGGGGCAGGGTCTGCGATTTGCGGGGACTTTGGGGGGTTGGCATGGCAGCCTGATTTTTTCTCTTCGTCGGCCTGTATTATACCACACCTAGCGGGGCCACGATGGCCCAAGAGTAGACCAAGAAACGACGCATGGCAAGTAGCTACCTGCCCAGAACCGGTGAAGGCGAGCGTGGAGTCGGTGGCGGGGACTACGTTTCGAGCACGGGCGATTGGGGCAGCCGCTTGCTCGGCTGCGGCTGTGCTCCCCTTCCTTTTATAGCCGGGCTCTTGGACCAGCCCGTATTGTCTCATCGCACATGCGCACGAGCTTCTCTCCAGTCAGTCAGCATTGTCTGCTGTCACCCTTCACGGCGCGCCTTGGGCTGTGCTGGACACAACATCGTGGACCGGCGCCGCGTCGCACAAAGCCACCTACATCCCCTCCCAACTGCCGCTAATCCTGCGCTTTCACTGGTCGCGCGCCTCGCCGCCCCCGTCGTGTGATCGCCCGCTCCAGAACGGTTTCATCATCGCTGCTCGTCGCTTGCTTGCAGCGCCCGGCGCCAACACTACCTCCTCCCGACCCAAATAACCACCACCACCACACCACACCCTTATACTTCCGTCGCGAAGCGAGCAGCAGATCGACCCTGGGCCTTTCATTCGTCTCCTCGGCACTCGTCGACAGCTCGCTACCACCCCCGTCATCCATCCTGTAGTCGCCTGCCGCTCATGCGGCTCCCACGCCCACTTCTCGGCGCGCCTTCGCCGCTGAACTGCCTCGTCCTGATCCTACCCCTCCTCGAGTCGACGTTAGCTCGCGCCGCCGATGTCGAAATCGAAGTCACAAAGTCCGCGTCGTGCTCGCGGAAATCGCAGTCGGGCGACAGCATCGAGGTGCACTATCGCGGCTCGCTACAGAGCGACGGCAGCGTGTTCGACGAGAGCTACAAGCGAGGCAAACCCTTCTCGTTCACTCTCGGCGCCGGGCAGGTCATCCAGGGCTGGGATCAGGGCTTGTTGGACATGTGCATCGGCGAGGGCAGGAAACTAACCATCCCACCCGAGCTAGCTTACGGCAGGAGTGGCAACGGACCCATCCCGCCGTCTTCGACACTGAGTAGGTGCCGCCTGTCTAAGGTTGGCTTGTCCGACTGCGTTTGCTGATTCATGATTAGTTTTCGAGACGGAGCTCATGGGCATCGAGGGTGTGGATCCGGACGCTGAGCCAGAAGGCCCACCACCCCCGCACCCGGGAGAGGAGCAGCACGGCGGCGAGGACGGGCCAAAGCACCATCGGCCAGACGATAACGGCGAATGTCGACTACTCGGTCCTTTCGCGCTGTTGATTCAGGGCGCGCTGGGACTGCTGGCCCTGCTATCGTTGGTGTGGAAGCGCTACCGCGAAAGGCCGAGACGCCCGGTCAAGGTTTGGGCTTTCGACGCTTCGAAGCAGGTTGTGGGGTCCATGATGTTGCACCTGGCCAACTTGTTCATGTCGATGCTCTCTTCCGGGGATTTCAGGGTCGCCGCGGAGGAGCGCCTGGAGAAGCACAAGCCGGGATTCGCTCAGGACAAGGACATGCCGAACCCGTGCTCCTTCTACCTCCTTAACCTCGCTATTGATGTAAGTCGGCATCTCGCTTCGTGTTTGCGTAGTATCCATCTCTCTGACAACCTCACAGACCACGATCGGCATCCCCATTCTCGTAGGACTCCTCCGTGTTCTGCACGCCCTCTTCCTGCGGACGCCGCTGGCGACCCCGCCCGAATCCATCAAGTCGGGCCACTACGGGCAGCCGCCGCGGACCAAGTGGTGGCTGAAGCAGTGCTTTATCTACTTCCTCGGCCTGTTTGGCATGAAATTCTGCGTCTTCATCATCTTCCAGCTGCTGCCGTGGCTCGGCTGGGTGGGAGACTGGGCGCTACGCTGGACGGAGGGCAACGAAGTGGTGCAGATTGCCTTCGTGATGCTCATTTTCCCCCTCATCATGAACGCCATGCAGTACTACATTATCGACTCCTTCATCAAGGACCCGGCCGGCGACGACTCACACAGCCAGCTACGCTCTGGAGATGGGTCGGAAGAAGAGGAGGAACGGAGGCATCTGAGACAGAGCCTGGACGACGACAGCGATGACGATGACGACTACACGTTGGGAAGAGACAGTATCGAGCCGCGGAAACGACCCAGCAGCATCAGCACCCAAGACGTTGCGCTCAAAGAGGCGAATCCGACACCTGTGCCTCAGTATGATGACTCCACGATCGGGGCGTCGAGCTCGAGCAGTCCGCGCAGCACGCGGAGCGGGACTTTGGAAGGCAAAGACGAAGAATTTACCGGACGGAGGTGAAGAGGATAAATACACATACAGATGGCGGCGTTGCAACGGAACGGATACATTGATATCACAAATTTAGAGGCGGACCGTCGTTCTGCTTCGGAGAAACTTGTACATGGGATTGGGCTGCTTGTATTCTTGATTCCCGGGGTCCTGGCGGTAATCGTTTGTTCATGAAAGCACGAGCATTGTTTTGCGGCAAAGTCATTTTGAGCATTCCTTCGATGCATGTGTGAAATGGAAAATCGTACAGACCAATCTGTTTGTTAGAAGTCGCAAAAACCTTTAAGATTTGAATTTTTGGTGTAGTTTCTCTACCAATGTCCTCGTGGGTCATCAATCTTCGGGGCACCACAAGACGCCATTTGTCAAGTATGAGTGGGCAAGAACATGAAGCAACTCTTGCTAAAATCTACACTCTCGGAGCTCTATAAACTTCAACGAATTAGAATCCAAGCTATCCTGCTAGTATAGCAACAGTTAGGCTTCTAGATATCTATTTAGATGATTAAAAAAAATCTAAGCTTATTTGTTGCTGCGGTAGCGGCTGAATTCCTAGATGTCAATCTGCGAAATAAATATTTCAAATATGTGAACCTTGAATTACACGGCAAGAGTCGTATCTAAGATGAGCGATTGGGATTGGGTAATTATTTGCGGATTGTCCCGCGAATGATCTGTACTGGTACACCACTGATACGTACACACAGTTGCTTAGTTTTTGCCCGCAAGTATACGGCAAAGCTTCGGCGGACGGCATGACCGTACTCGATCAACCTATGAACAAGTACCTTTTGGTGGAATACCAATTCACCCTCCAGTTTGTGCAGTCCTCGGTACAAATACAGCGCAACAAACTCATTTGGCACAACACCTTCAAGACATATTCCAGTTTGAGGGGGAAACAGGAGTACAAAATAATCAATCGGTGGTATTTCCTTCTCACACTCTTCGTATCTCGTGAGCAGTAACCTCTTTAAGCGCTCTCCCTGATGGCAGTCAATGCGGCTGCGACAGCTTCCTTGGCCTTCGTAACCTCCTCGGTAGGCGCGGCGCCATGGTTGGCCTCCTGCAAAGGTGTCAGGGCTTCTTGTCTCAGAGCTAACGTTACACACGAGGCTTACAAGCTCATCGTTGAGCTTCTCAAGGGCATCCTTGATCTTCTGGTGGACGGCGGGGAGGACGTTCTTGGTCTCCTCAAGCGCTTGACGCTGGGAGGGGAAAAAAAAATCAGTAATTTCAACCGGTTGGGGCGTTGCGTTAAGGTCTTACCTCCTGCTTCAGCATGTACTCGGCATTCTCGTCACCCGGAGTTTCCTCGAGTTTCTTGATGCGCGCTTGCTGCTGCTCGAGTTCCTTGTGGTAGCTAGTCTCCTCCTTGACGAGGCGGTTGACGGAGGAGGTGGCGACGGCGAGCTTGGATGGGGGAGCCATTTTCAGTGCTGCAGTGAGGACGCTTGATCACGGTGTTTTTTGTCCGGGCAATGATGCAACTTCTCCCTAACAATGGCGTGGGGTGGCTGATTGGCGGGGCTCGCGGTGCGCGCCAAGACCTGCGCCAATTACCTTTCCGCTTCAGGCGGGCGCGCGGCGACGCGACGCGGTCGCGTAAAGCGCGTCGTCCACGGCGCTCGGATCAGCCTTTGATTGCCGCCGAAACTTCAGCCCGCCCGCGCCTGTCAACAACACTCTACACTCCACTCCCTCAGCATGTCGTCCCCTGCACCCAGGCGCTCGCAGCGCAATTCCGCATCTGCTACTCCCAGGCGGAGCCAGCGCAACTCTCAGATTCCTCTCAGCAGTCCCACCGCTGCCAACCAACAATTGCAATCAGAAGCCTCGCAAGCCTCGACACCCAGAAACCGCATCCAACAGCAAAACGTTCCCACCTCCTCCCCTCTGTTCTACAATGGCTCCACTCCCTCTGGCAGCTCTGCGGCCGCCAACGGTCCCGCCAATGGCACCGATGGCGACAGGACGCCGAGAGCGTCGGCTATGAACGTTGGAGGTGAGACTTGTGGAAAGCGTGTAGATAACGCCGAGATACTGACATTATACCGCCGTAGACTCGTCACCCATCCGCTATTCTAGCTCCAGCCCTACGCGCGCTGCCAACGCGCAGCGCGAACCCCGCAGTGCCAGCAGCGGCCTGTTTGTTCGATCCTCGCTCTCCGGCCCGCCCGGCTCGTCCGCACGCAACAGGCGAAACGACATAAACTCAGACATCTTCGGCAGCGCCCGCGGCCGCCGTATCTTCGTCGATGAACGCGGCAACACCGTTGGCGCCGGCGGTCAGGTATCAGATGTCGCAACCTTTTCCAACCTCGACCCTCACACCTCGGACGCCGATGCCATGGGCGGTACCTCTTCGAGGGTCGTTTGGGGTACCAACATCTCGGTTGTCGACTCCATGCACGCCATGAAGGACTTCCTCTTCAACTTCCAGAAGAAGTACCGCCTCGTCCAGGACGGCACTCTGCAAGAAGGGCAACAACTGCCTCAGGATCATCCTGGGACAGCAAAGGAGTACGTGGAGATGATGAAGACCATGTTGGACCTGGGCGTAACGGTTCTCAACCTGGACGCGCGCAACCTCAAGTCCTATCCTCCTACGCGAAAGCTCTGGCATCAGCTGCAAGCCTTCCCCAACGAAATCATCCCGCTTATAGATGTGGCCCTCAAGGACGTCATGGCCGAGCTGGCTGAGAAGCGCATGAATGAGATGAGGATGCAGCAACAGCAAGGTCAGAGGCAACAGAGGGCGAGGGACGGCAGCTCCTTGCCGCCAGTCCCCAGCTCCGATGTCGATTCTCCCGCTGCGTTCCCCAACGACCCTGCCGGTGCCGCCGCCGAGGTGCCAGACTTGGTTCGTGAGGTCGAATCAAGGATCTACAGAATCCGTCCGTTCGGCCTCGATCAGACAATCAACCTTCGTGAGCTGAACCCAGGCGACATGGACAAACTGGTCAGCATCAAAGGTCTCGTCATCCGGACGACTCCCATCATTCCGGACATGAAAGATGGTAAGCTTGGCTTCTCCGCTCGTTCATGAGGCGCATGTTGACATTTTCCAGCTTTCTTCCGCTGTTCCGTCTGCAATCACACCGTCAAGGTCGACATTGACCGCGGCAAGATCGCCGAACCCACCCAGTGCCCCCGTCCGGTTTGCGCCTCGCCCAACTCGATGCAAATCGTGCACAACAGGTCTGGATTCGCGGACAAGCAAGTCATCAAGCTCCAGGAGACGCCCGACAGCGTCCCGGACGGACAAACACCGCACTCCGTCTCCTTGTGCGCGTACGACGAGCTCGTCGACGTTTGCAAGGCAGGTGACCGGGTGGAGATTACCGGCATCTTCAAGTGCAACCAAGTCCGCGTCAACCCCAGGCAACGGACCGTCAAGAACATCTTCAAGACTTACGTCGACGCCGTGCACATCCAAAAGGTCGACAAGAGGAGAATGGGCATCGATACGTCCACGATCGAAGAGGAACTCTCCGAACACGTCGCTGGAGACGTCGAAGAGGTGCGTAAGGTCAGCGAGGAGGAAGAAGCCAGGATCAAGGAGGTTGCCGCCCGCCCGGACGTCTACGAGCTGCTCGCCAGGTCATTGGCTCCCAGCATTTACGAGATGGACGACGTGAAGAAGGGCATCCTCTTGCAGCTGTTTGGTGGCACGAACAAGTCGTTCGAGAAGGGAGGCAGCCCTAAGTACAGGGGCGACATCAACGTTCTCCTCTGCGGTGACCCGTCCACCTCCAAATCACAGCTGCTCCAATACGTCCACAAAATTGCACCACGTGGCGTGTACACCAGCGGCAAGGGTTCTTCGGCTGTCGGTCTCACAGCATACGTGACACGCGATCCGGAGACACGCCAACTTGTGCTCGAGTCCGGTGCGCTCGTGCTGTCAGATGGCGGCGTGTGCTGCATCGACGAGTTCGACAAGATGTCGGATGCAACGCGCTCGGTGCTGCACGAAGTCATGGAGCAGCAAACCGTCTCCATTGCTAAAGCCGGCATCATCACGACGCTGAACGCCCGCACTTCTATCCTCGCGTCTGCCAACCCCATCGGTAGCAAGTACAACCCCAACCTCCCCGTCCCACAAAACATCGACCTGCCCCCCACCCTCCTCTCGCGTTTCGACCTCGTCTACCTTGTCCTCGACCGCATCGACGAGCAGAATGACCGTCGTCTCGCACGCCACTTGGTCGGCATGTACCTCGAAGACACGCCCGCCAATGCGGCCGCCAATGAGGTTCTCCCTGTGGAATTCCTCACGGCGTACATCTCGTACGCCCGCACTCAGGTCCAGCCTCGTCTCACGCAAGCCGCGTCGGACGAGCTCGTGGCCGAATACGTAGCGATGCGCAAGCTGGGCGAGGACATCCGCGCGGCCGAGCGCCGTATCACGGCGACGACGAGGCAGCTGGAGTCGATGATCCGACTGTCGGAGGCGCACGCCAAGATGCGGCTGTCGGCGACGGTCGAGGCGTCGGACGTGCGTGAGGCGGTGCGGCTGATCAAGAGCGCGCTCAAGCAGGCCGCGACGGACGCGCGCACCGGCCTCATCGACATGGCGCTGCTGACCGAGGGCACGAGCGCGAGCGAACGCCGCAGAAAAGAAGACCTCAAGAACGGCGTGCTAGCCGCACTCGATGACATGACCCGCGCCGGCACCGCCGTCCGCCTTAGCGATGTCATTAGGCGCATTGGCGAGGGTGCGAGCGTGCCCGTCGAGGGCCAGGAGGTCGTCGAGGCCCTCAGGGCGTTGGAGGCGGAGGGCAAGGTGCAGGTTACCGGAGAGGGCGCGCGGAGAAGCGTTAGGAGGGTCACAGGTGTTTTGTAAGCCTTGTGGGTACGGATCTTTGTTATACGAACCGCTTCACGCCCTTTAGGTGGGATAACGTTGAGTAGTCCCCCCCTTTTTTGTATGCGGGGATGGGAGTTGTCGAGTTTATTTCACAATTGCACGAGATATCACGCTTAGTTGGAGTTTTTGGGTGGCAGCAAAAATGAATGACATACCTGTACTGGATCTGTTTGATATTTGACGTGAGGCAACTTCATGTGATGGGTTCACCGAGAGCTCTGCTAAGTTGCTTGTTAGTTTTATTTACTTGCAAGGAGACATTTGTTTGATCTAGAATGCGGTGTTGAAGTAGGACAGTGATTATCCAAAATAAACGCATTAATTAGGCATAGTTCCCCTGAGTGTACATAATTTGCGACTTCAGTAGAATACCGGGACGCTAAGACTAGTAAACTGCACGTGCCACATATAGCGGCTGTTAGCGGCTGTTAGCAACGTGGTTTACAGCACGTTCAGCAACTCTAGCACTGATACCGTTAGCAATTCTATATATAGAATTTGGATATCCTTTGGACTTGATTAACGCGTAGATAATTTAATAGAGCCCTCGCTCTTGGAAGCGACGGCATTGAAGAAAGTAAGTTGAAATTCACGCGCCTCCTAACATTCCGACTCGGGCGTGCCCAATCGCTTCTTTTCGGAACTATATTGGATTAACCCTCAGACATAGCAGGGCTTATGTATACTTAACGATGAGACTAATCCTAATCGACATTCTATTCTGCAATTACCACGTGCGGCCTTCGGTACTTTAGCGCGTATTCGTTTACTCGTTCGGCTCATTCGTTCATCTTCGGATTTTCGTGCCTTTACGCTTAAAAGCCGAATGATGGAATGTACGCACGGACATTGCTAGCGGTACTGGGGGTGCTGGTGATGCTGATGAAGCTGCTGGAGGTACGAAGGCAACTCGAGTTGCCGTTTTGCTCACATGTCTATAACCTGGACCGACAGCTCGGCCAGTCGCTGCCAGCAGGTGGGGAACGTCACCGAGAGGCTGTCAAGCCCCTTGGAACGTCATTCCCATCATGGCTTCAACATGCGTAAGCAGAATGGTTGATAGGAAAATCATTACCGCTAGGTTGTGGAACCAGATATGAAAAGCGGGCAAATGGAAATGAAGAAGAACGGTAGTTGCGCGTCCAGACCGTGGACCATGGATCCATACTCCTCACCGCAAAGTCAATGTTCATCAGAAGACGTTCTTAATAAATTATGGAGAATGTGACCTCGTTGCAAATCACTACCTTTCTTGGCCGGACGCTGGCTGTAATAGTCTCTTTCCCCGCTCTTCAATAAATATGTCAGGGGCCTCCTTCCGCCCCCTTCTAAACGTTCCCTTTTATCTCTATCTGAAGGATTTATTGGATCGTGCTCATGAAATTAAAACCCTCCCAGTACTCAAGAATATAGGAGCGATAGAAAAAACGAGCCAATTATGAAATTAAACAAAAAAATAATCGTAGATCAGACGAGCCGCCAAAAAAAGAACGTGAAGAATCGGCCGCCCGAAGTGATGTGAAGTGCGAGCTCATTCAATAGTACATGCCCTTTCCACATTCAGATACGTCTATTTCTCGTCGCCCAGGCCCAGAACCGAGCCCAAAGACAGACCGCCAATCTTGCCGCTCGTGATCTCCGACAGCGTCTCGATGGCGCCCACCAGTGACGGGAACTCGTCGTCAGAGGCGGCGGGCCGGTAGGCGGCCTTGGCGATGGAGATTTCTAGGCCGGAGACGTCCTCGGCGGGCACGGCGGAACCGTCGGCCTGTGAAACAACGGGTCAGTCGGTGTCGTTTACGCAAAATGTGTATTTGAGGCATGTCATGGGGGTTGACTCGTGAATTCCGGCATAAGGTTATGCAGGGGTATAGTATAGACTTTCGGTGCGAATAGCGAGGGAAATGAAGTAGAGGCAAGAGGCTTTCGTATCGCAAGCGCTTGGAAAGGGCTCGCGGGGGCGCGTGCTGTTTCTTGGCGAACTTACCTTGGCTATGCTCCAGGACAGGTTCTCCTTGAGGTACGGAACGACTTCCGACGGGTCCATGCAGCCCAAATCCTCGCTGGCAACGCGCTGCTCAATCTCGCGCGTCAGGGACACGGCGGCGTAGATGTAGTGGCTTTCTCCGGAACCCATGGCCGAGTCGTCCATGACGAAAAGCGGGGAGGAGCCCGCGAGGTGGTCATCCGTCATCCAGTCGGCAGCGTCGTCGCTGTGGTCGCCCAGGAAGAGGTAAATGACGCCGGGGCCGCCGAGAGCGCACTTGCTCAGCCTGATGTTGGCCGTGTATTCGAAGCGGTGCTCATCCTTCTCGGCGGCATCGGCATCGATCTGGCCGGGCTGGATGAGCTTGTTGATGATTCCGGTGACGCCGCCAACCACGCCGCCGACATCGGTGCGCTTGGTCCGGTGGCTGACAGTGCTCTGGCCGTACATCTTGTTGATGGTCGTCCTCATAGCTGCCTGATCCGCGTTCACGAGCTCGGGGTAGGTGTAACCAAAGGCCTCCACATCGCGAACCTGGCTCGACGTCCAGAAGTCGCCATTAGCGCTGGAGTGGAAGGGGTACAGTTCGGAGTCCTCATCCAGAACCTGGCCGGCGCTGACCATGTACGTGCCGTAGGCCTGGGCTTCGGGCTCGACATAGCTGTCGGGGTTGAGCACTTGCCACATGGCGAAGATACGGTCGATGTTCCTGCAAAGCAAGGTTAAACGACGGACCGCCGGATTCCGAGAGGCACTTACGCATGGTGAAGCATGAAAACCGGGTCGAAGGACGAAAAGGGGACATGGTACATGTTGCCGTTGTTGCCACCGGCCCAGATGTGGACCCAACCGTGGACCGTCTCCAGGCTTTGGTACTGCTGTCCCTTGTAGGAGGCCATGTTTCCAAGGATGGTGAAGTTGTGGTAGTTGGTGAAGAGATCGTACAGGGCATCACGGAGCTGCGGGCGGCCCTTGTCCATGGCGGTGACGAAACTGTTTTGGTCCGACTGAGCGTCTTCGGCCTGGGTCGGCGAGTACCTCATAGTCTCGGGGTAGACGGAGAATTGCGGAGTGCCCTGCCCCCTGTTAGCTATGCGTTGGATCATTTGCACTTTGGTTCGATTACCGAGTCGTAGAGGGCACGTCCGTCCAAGGGGTGAAACTTGTACGAGTACAGCGGGTTGTCGATAGTCTCGCTCCCGTTCGGCAGCATGACGTCGATGGTGGGGGTGACGAAGAAGTCGGGGACGGTCGTCTCGCCTTCGGAACGAAGCACAGCCCAATCCCAGAAAGGCAGCCTGAAGGTGGCGGCGGCTTCGGTGTAGTTGTCTCTTTCAGGGCTGTCGGGCCATTCGCTAACGATTTCGGCCATGAGTCCCTGAAGCGTTTGCTCGTAAAGCGCCAGGTACGGCCGGTGCCACGGCAGAAACAGGTTTGACGAGTGCATGCAGTAACCCGAAGTCTTGGATCCTTTGGATTCTACTCCGTCCCACGTCTGATAGGGCTTTCCATGGATGCCTGGCTCTTGATCAGCACCGTCTTTCGACGCGGGCGTGGCCGTGACTTACTGGCAATCGAGTACCACGAGGTCCTGTCATCCTGGTCCATCTGCTGGAACCTCTGCATGGCCAAGAGGAACAGGTTCCACTGGAACTCGTCCTCTGCCAAGTCGCGAATCTCCAGGCGTGGCTGCACATAGCCCTGGTCGATTCCGGTCACGGCCAGGGATTGGCCGGCCGACTGTTGGCGCTTCGGCTTGGGGGTCAGCGGGGAGGCGGCGGCGGTGGACAGGAGGCACGAGCCGGAGATGGCCAGGGCGAGCAGGCGGCGGGCGACGGTATCACGCATGTTGGGCAACTTCTTGACTAAGGGGAGAGAGCGAGGGAGGTGATGAAGCGAGCACGGCGGCTTGCTCAAATTGGGAAGCAAACAAGGGTAAATAAACGATCGACAGGAAAGAGAGGAGAGAAATGCAAAGCAGCGCAGCTATGTCTGAGAAGCGGCGGGGCTTCAGGTGTTTTTAACGCTCGGTCAGGGACAGTGTAGCATAAGATGAAGGCTAATGTCCGCAGTGGTGTCATGCTCACGAGGCACCGCAGGCTGTCCGGCTCCCCTGGAAGCCATGGCTGCGGCCCGGTTCAGGCATGGTGGAGGGGCCATGATGGGCAGCAGATCGTGGAGACGGAGCAGCACGGGCCAGCGCCGGGCGGCCGAAGCAGCAGGTTTAGGCCCGGTCAGTCTTGATTCGGACATGCATGGTGAGAAGGGGATAAGGCGGTCCGTGTGGGTGGTGAGGGGGAGGCTGGCGGCCACCATGAGCCGGGGGGACCCTGGCGCGGGGCTTCGATTGCGATCAGCGGCAGGGAAGCGGGCGATCTCTGTGACATTGCAGGACCCGGGGGTGAGCGTGGAGAGAGGTCGTCGGCTTCGTCCAGCGCCGCGTCTTGCACTACGTCGGCTGCAGCAGAGTCGCGCACCAAAACGGCAGGCGGGCACCACGCAGCGACTAAGCTTAACGCGCCGCCAAGCGACTCGACCGCCGGCGCGTTCCTGGCGGATGGCCAATGTCTCTGGCCGGGAATTGTGGCTTGCTGCCCTCGTCAGGTGCAAGGGCGGGTGGCCGGAGGGTGAAGGGTCGATGAAACACCCGTCCGGTCTTCGAGAAGAGGCGCCGTTGCACTCGCACAACCGCCGCGTCCTGCCCGCCGCCTATTCCTCTTCAGCCCGCCCGACACCGCCATCTCGAGTGCTCCGCATGTGCAGCGCGCGTGCATGCCGCCTCCTCCTTGCTGCCCCTCCAGCCTTCGACACGCTCTATATCCGTCGCCATCAACACCTCGTTTCACACAGAGTATTGCCGCACCACAGCTCGAGGTAACGACTCTGTGTACGTGAGCAACAAGAGGCTCGCCCTACCGCTGCAGCTCGCCTCCGCGCGTCCGAGGGGCGTTGGCCACTTGACGGCTCGGGTATCTCTTCTGACAGGTTCCGCAGAGTCGGTCTGCAACACCGACGTACAAAGAAGGACAACGTGTCGGCTGCTTATCTGCTCGAGGCCGCGCTTTGGGAACTTGGTGCGTGCCGCCGGTGCTCTCCGCCTTGCTCCAGAACGAAGAAACGTGCGCACCCTCGAGGAATGTTCCCTCGTATGCTGTATATTGTCCGCGCCCCCTTTGCTACTCAGCCCCACCACGTGCTTCCTCTCATCTCTTGTGCATTCTTCCACACGGGACGCCCGAATCGCAAAGGCAGTCGTTGTTTTGTCTTTCCGCACCATCTTGTCTGTTTGACTACGCCTGAAACGCCCGATGAGGTTGCCATGCCAAGTCTGGGACTAAGGCCATGATCGCCCGGGAACTGGACGCCTGGTTGTTTATAAGTAGTATGCAGTCCAGAATGGCCAGACAACGGCCAGATGACGCGCAGTGCTCGACGCAAACCATTGCATGTGCCGAGTTTCTCGTTGTCGGCAGAATTCATTCAGTTGCCCCAACATCGAGACAAACGCTCGGACAGTCCCAATACGAGCCACCAGACCGTCATCTGAGAATAGAAAATATGGAAGAACTAAAACGTCCAGGCTGACCAAATAATGCACGGTTGCCCAAAAAGAACATAGATATCGCCAAAGACTTGTTTCGCCAAGGAGTTGCCGTCCAAAGTAAACATCCCTCCCTGTCGCCTCCGCCTGTCAAAATTCTGCTCTCAATGCCTCCAGGCGGACCTACCCGTCAAGTGAGGGTTTCTTCTTTTTTTTTTCCCTCCCTTTTTTTTTCGCCTGGGCATTACGAGTTCGCACCATCGTCATCGACATCATTTCGCGTTTCTGTTCCGTGGAACGCATCACCAAAGGCATCGCCTTCGAGTCCCAGATCAAGGTCGTCGCCACCAGTATAGTCTGCCAGAGCATCGCCAGCAGTGTCAAAGGCGCTGAAATCCGTCGCGTCGAACATGCCAGGTGTATTACCGGCTGCGGATGCCGGGGCTGATGTTGTTGTGCCATCCTGCCCCTGGGCGCTCGTCGTGGTGAGGTCGGGTGTGTCGATGGTTCCTGTTCCACCAGCGGACCCGTCCTTGGCTTGACCGGTCTCGCCTCCGAGATCCGAATCATTCATGCTGTTCGAGCCCACCATGACCCAATCATCGGCCGCTTTGTCCGTCGTGCCCTCACCGCCCATTCCTGACATGTCGATGTCCAGATCCATGCCTTCGATTAGGTCCATACCATTGTCCCCATTGGAATTGTCGCTTTGTGCGGGGACGGTGGATTGATTCTGGCCTTGCGCTTGGCCAGGCTGCGCCGTGCCACCGGGCGTGGCGTTGGCCGATTGACCTTGGCTGTCCGGCTGAGAGACGGGAGGCACTTGCAACGAGCTGCCTCCCGGCGTCGACACCAATGAGTTTGAAGTGTACTGCTCGAGCAGCCCAGCGGCGGTATTATCACCGTCCATCGCCGAATCTTCGAGCGAGCCATTGGACTCCCCAATGTTGGCCGCGTTCTCGGCGCCGTTCGCCTCGCTGCCGTTTGTCGCGGCGGGAGCCAGCGGTTCCTCGACCAACCCACCCTTCTCGACGCAGTTGACGTTCTTGCGAGGGGCGATTGTGATGCCCAGAGTCTTCTCGACGTCTGCTACGACTTCATCGACCTGGCCAGTGGTCTCCTCTCCCTCCGACTCTGGGGAACCAGACTCGTTCTCTGCTTTTTCCCGGGCAGCCCGAGCATCGGCGAACGCTGCGTCCCTCAACCGCCTTTCGGCCTCGACGTAAGTCTTACTCTTCGTGAGCTCGGCCATCTTCTTTTCGTGCTCGGCCCTCATCTTCTCCAACTCTGCTTCTTCGTCTTTCAAGAACTTTTTGACCCGGTCCTCAAAATCCGCGTACTTCTCTTTGCTCAGCTTCTGATACGCCTTCGGTGCCGCCGGGGGCTTCGGACCGCCCGGCAGCGAGGAAGCGCCGGGTGCGTCGAAAAGCCCCTCTGTCAAGTGCGAAAGCTCTCCCATGAGGCCCAATCCCAGGTCCACCGGCATTATCTGTCCCGCGGCAAAGGGAGACGAGAATACTTCTTCCATCCATTCGTGGTGCTGAATGTACCGCATGGTGCTGATGTCTCGCGGCGTGAGGTTGTCGAGCAGATCCCCGATCGCGGTATTTTCCTCTTCTTCGATAGTCGTGTCGTGCGGCATACCGACGGCTGCCGCAGGCATGCCAGCCGGAACGTTACCCGGCAGATGCGGCGGTGCGCCGTTGCGAGGCCTCTTCGCGGGCGAAGGACCGATCGCAGAAGCTTGGCCCGGGGGGTAGAATTGAGGTTGTCTGAATCCGCCAGCAGCCGCCTGCATCGGGTGGCCGGGATACATGCCCCCGGGCGGAACGTGGCCTTGCTGCATCTGCCCGGTGCCCGGAAAACTGATGTTGGGCCAATTGTGCCTGTCGTGAAGCATAAATTTCCTCTCCATCAATTGACCCTGGCTCTCTAAGAAACGGCGCTCTTGCATCATCTTCTGCATCTCGGCGTTGATAGGTATGCGGTTTGCCGGCACGCGAGCTTGCGGCTCGGCGGCAGAGTAGTGGACGAGGAACAGGGCCTGGTCAGGGATCGGGCCTTGCGACGCAGGGTTCCTCGAGATGATACGGTAGCGATGTCTCTGGTGGGAAGTGACTGGCTCGAATCCCGGGCGGTAACCGCTGCGGCGAACGAGGATTTCTACAGTCTTCAGGACTTAGCAGGGGTGCGTAGCGTGTGGATTCTGGAAGCTCACATATCCGCGCTGCGACTCGTAGGTGAAGCTCGACTCCGGGTCCGCCCATATGTAGCCATCGCTGGCATATGCGTTGGACCGTTGGTTGACCGGTTGCCACTCAAGGAAGACGGTGCCATCGTTGGGCGGGTTTTGAAAGTACTGCCATGCCATGGGAGCCATGTCCTTGACGACCTTGGGCGCTTGGAGCAGGAACTCCACGGCCTGATCGACCGATATGTGGGCAAGGGTCGGGTAGCGGAAGGAGGAGATGAGGTGGACGTGCGGCAGCTGGTTGGCAGCAATTGTCAGTTGAAGTCGCGACTCTGCGCGGATGCGCGCGACATACCAGGAACTGCGGCACGCCGAAGCTTGGGTCCTGCATCTTGAGTGGGCGCGCAAATTCGATGCGCGAATGCGACAAGGGACGGCGAACGGAATTCGGGCAGGGCAGAGGGCGGGTAGGCGATATGCGGGACCACGTCGACGCGTTGAGCTGCGCTCCGGCGGAGAGCTTGGAGCGACGAGCCAGCCAGGCGTGTCGTCCCTGCCACGGCGAAAAGCCAGTCCGATACGCGCGCTAGTCCCCAAAGGGACGGATCAGGGCAGAAACGTCAACACCACGCTCATCCGCCGCGAACGGCGCTCGAGCTTTGCGACTGACTCGCGTTTTGCGATTACTCTGCAGCTGTCGATTAGAAACGCCGGGTTCTAGACGATGCGATTTGCACGCATGGCGCCTCGGTCGCCGTCCAAGCTCTGCGGAGGACGCGAACTTTCTCCGAAAATAACTGCTCGTCATCAAAGATCTGTAAACATCGTTGTATTACTATAACTGCCTGAGCCGGGAACAACCGCTGGTTCGTGCAACATGCGACACGGACAGCGAGCTTCACCGGGGCATTCGAATCGAGTCACCGCAACGCAGTTATTCCAACTCCGAACAAACTAAAAGTGCCCACACGACCACCGGCGCCGGTTGCTCAAATATCGACATGTTATTCTGTAAAATATAGAAGAAGAAAAGTTTGACTCCCATTAGCCCAGGATCCTGAGGCCCCCCTTCGTCTTGCTCTGCTTCTTCTGAACACCGGCTCCGGTGCTCGCGTGTCCACCGTGGCCGTGGCCTCCGTGCTTCCCACCTCTGTTGTTCTTTTTGTTATCCTTGGGCACAACGGCCTTGATCTCGGTAGTGCTGCGCTTGACGAGGACAGGGTGGCTACCGATATACTTGCCCTGCATCTCCTTGGCGGCTTGGAAGTAGTCATCTCCGTTACTGAAGCTCACAAACCCGTATCCCTTGCTCTTCGTGGTTCGCTTGTCTCTTACAACGCGCGCCTTCTGGATAGAAGTGAAGCGAGAGAAGGCTTTGTAGAGGGATTCATCGGTAACTTCGCCGGCCAAATTACCAACAAACAGGCGAAAGTGAGCCGGGTCCCATTCCAGCAGTGTGTTATCACTCCACGTCTGACCTCCGCCCTGGCGCACGACGGTCTTCTGCTTCCCATCAGGGCCCGAGACGACGGCGGCGACGCCCGTGTCCGAGCTGACCGCCGACTGGAGCTCTTTACTGCTAAGCGCCGCTTGCCCTCCCGCCTTTTCGCCCAGGGGCGTATTGTTCGCGTTGGTGGGCATCTCACGCCCCTTGGCACCCTTCGCGACGGCATCGTCCCTGTTTGCGTACGCACTCTGCCACTGCGCGATCTGGGCCTCATATTCTGGATCGTACGCGGCGTTTCCAGCTCCGTAGCCACCGCTCTGGCTCTGGCCAGGGGCTGGGAAAGGATTGCGGATCTGAGGCGGCGTCGGGTTCGAGTTCGCGTACGGGTCGGCACTAGGCTGTTGATAGTAGGAAGGTTGCTGCTGGTAGGCAGGCTGCTGATACCCACCACCGGCGTAGCCGGGTTGGGCTGCCGGGTAAGCACTCGGGGGCTGTGGCCCAGCGGAGACGGTAGGCGGCTGCGACTGCCACGCCTGGGTGTTGGCGGTCACGCTGCGGGGCTTGAAGCCTGTAAAGGCACCATAGCCCGCCGCGCCTTGGGACTTGCCATTTGCGGCAGAGGGGTTGGAGAACTTGGAGAAAGTTGCGGGCTGCGCGGGTGGCGGCGGACGCGCAGGGAGCGACGGGTGAGGTTGAGGGGTGGAAGAGTTGGACTTGGAACCTGGAGGCGGCGGATTGGACATGATGAACGGCTGCGCAAACGCTCTTAACGGAGTTAATGAGACTTACTGCTCACGCTCCTCCGTCTCCGATGCCGGTTGCTGCTGGGTCAGAGGGACGCGATAGGGCGGAGCTGTGGTGCGGGCCGTGCTTCTGGCGCGGTTCCAGGCGTCGCAGCTATGGGCCGTGTGCTTCAGGTGTGTCCCGAACGGGGCGGCGCCACTCTGGAGGATTATTGCGACGGAGGGGACGTTATGCAGTGCGCTGACAGGCGATTCCGGGCGTGCTGACGAAGAAGCGAGGGCCTGGTTGACGGGAGGCGGCGGAGTTTAGGGCCACGAGCGCGTGGACGGCCGATGATGAGCAGTGGGGCTTGGCAGGCGCCTCTCGGGCCGTCTTGGGCCAAGTGTGACGCTGCGCGCGCAGGGCTGCACGGTGCGGTGACGGTGATCGGACTACGGTATGGGGCGCCCAGCGGGCAGCGGCGGAAAAATGACCTACGGAGATGGGTCTCCGAGGCGCGCGGTGCTGGTCGGAGCAATTGGCAGGCTCTCCAATCCCGGCGGCGCTGCTTCTGTCATAGCCGCACGGCTGCAAAATTGCATGTCGAGCGAGCCCCGCCGCCGGCCGCCCAGCCCACCCCACCATCATGAACGCGCCCATCCCGGCGTCTCAACCGCCGTCTTCGCAGATAGTCCGCCCGGTATTGTTGAATGACTAAGAAAAGACTCCCGCGCCCGCCGGACATTTCTCCTGCGCTCGCGGTGGGCTGCGAGCACAATTGATTGATTGATGCGGCGCCGCCCTGCAGAATGCAGACGGACTTTTCCAAGACGGCGCTCCTCCGCCGCCAGCGGCCTCGCCCGCGGCCGGTCACGACGCTGTAAGGTTCGAAGCGTAGACGTCCTGGGACGAAAAAATACCTCCTTCCCAAACCTTGTGACGCAACGTGGGGCTGGCGCGGCCGCCTTATAAAGCACCCTGTCACCTCCGGCATATCGGCGCCCTCTACATCCCACCTCGCTCCCAACCTTCTCACCCTCTCTCGTCCTCCTTGCCTCTCTCCAAGATCCGTAGTTCAGTCCCACATCCACCATGTCTGCTGAAACCGCTGTGTAAGTGCCGCCCGTCCTCGCTCCGTTTTCCTACCCCGCCGCTGTGCCGCCGCCCCGCCGTGCCTGTTGAGCCTTCAGCTGGTCCCCGGAGCGCTCGGCATCTGCTCAGATGCCGACCTCGTGGCTGCTCCTGTCTGTTACCATTGACGAACCGATAATCTGACTGTAGCGCGCGTCTCTCCCGCATCGATGTGGGAGGACCTGCGCGCCCTGTTGCTAGTGGAGACTGGGGTCTCATTGGTCTGGTAAGTTATCTCCCCCGCGGCAGCCCTCATGACGACTTTCGCTGACTTCCCCAGGCCGTCAGTAAGTAGAAACGCAGTCGCCGAGCACGATGCAGCTCTCTGACAATCGTACAGTGGGCCAGAACCTGATCCTGAACGCGGCCGACCACGGCTTTACGGTTGTCGCCTACAACCGTACTGTCTCCAAGGTCGACCGCTTCCTCGACAACGAGGCGAAGGGCAAGTCGATCGTCGGTATGTATATGGACGTCCGCCAGGCATGCGAACCCGCCAAGCTGACCGGAAATAGGCGCCCACTCCATGAAGGAGTTCGTCTCCAAGCTCAAGAAGCCCCGCAGGATGATGATGCTCGTCATGGCCGGCAAGCCCGTCGATGGTACGCCCCGAGAGCAATTGGATTGCGATTGCGGTCGCTAATCGTTGGCAGACTTCATTGAGCAGATCCTCGAGGCCGGTGCCGAGCGTAAGTCAATCCACAATGAAATCGTTGAGCACGCGCGAAGCTGACCGCGCCACAGCTGGTGACATCATCATCGACGGCGGCAACTCCCACTACCCCGACACCAACCGCCGCACCAAGTACCTGGCTGAGAAGGGCATCCGCTACGTCGGCTGCGGTGTCTCCGGTGGTGAGGAGGGCGCCAGATACGGCCCCTCCATCATGCCCGGTGGTAACGAGGAGGCCTGGCCCTACATCAAGGACGTCCTCCAGAGCATCTCCGCCAAGAGCGACGGCGAGCCCTGCTGCCAGTGGGTCGGTGACGCGGGTGCTGGTCACTACGTCAAGATGGTGAGCTTTCCCCCCTCCCGGTACAGATCTGCCGAAGACGGCCGCTGACTCTCCTGCCAGGTCCACAACGGTATCGAGTACGGCGACATGCAGCTCATCACCGAGGCCTACGACATCATGAAGCGTGGTCTTGGCCTGAGCAACAAGGAGATGGGTGACGTCTTTGCGAAGTGGAACAAGGGTGTCCTCGACTCCTTCCTGGTCGAGATTACCCGCGACATTCTGTACTTCAACGACGACGACGGAACTCCTCTCCTCGAGAAGATTCTCGACTCTGCCGGCCAGAAGGGTACCGGCAAGTGGACCGCCATTAACGCCCTCGACCTGGGCATGCCCGTCACCCTCATCGGCGAGGCTGTCTTCTCCCGCTGCCTTTCCTCCCTCAAGGACGAGCGTATCCGCGCATCCGGTCTCCTCAGCGGCCCCGAGCCTAAGTTCGAGGGTGACAAGCAGGCCTTCATCGACGACCTCGAGCAGGCCCTCTACGCCTCCAAGATCATCTCCTACGCCCAGGGTTTCATGCTGATGCAAAACGTAAGTCGAGACGCCAAGATGACTGTCTCGGGTACGGTGACTAACTGTCGACGGACAGGCTGCCAAGGAGTACGGCTGGAAGCTCCAGAAGCCCGAGATCGCCCTCATGTGGCGTGGTGGCTGCATCATCCGCTCCGTCTTCCTGAAGGACATCACCAGCGCTTACCGCGAGAACCCCGACCTCGAGAACCTCCTCTTCGCCGACTTCTTCAACAAGGCCATCCACAAGGCCCAGCCCGGCTGGAGGAACGTCGTCTCCAAGGGTGCCCTCTGGGGTATCCCCACCCCGGCCTTCAGCACTGCGCTCAGCTTCTTCGACGGCTACCGCACCAAGGACCTGCCCGCCAACCTGCTCCAGGCCCAGCGTGACTACTTCGGTGCCCACACCTTCAAGATCAAGCCCGAGTTCGCCAACGCCAAGTACCCCGAGGGCGAGAACGTCCACGTCAATTGGACTGGCCGCGGTGGCAACGTTTCCGCCTCGACGTACAACGCGTAGACGGCGAAAGCGCGAGGGGAAGGGGAGAAGGAAAAAATTGAGGACATGATGGATATAGACGTGGTACACGGCGCATGTCCTGTTGTGTGAGGGATTATTTTGTGTTACGCGTAAATGGCCAATTGAATGCACGAATTGTCAGTGAACGTGAAGTCGCGCGATGCATGTGATGGTGTGTGGCGCCAAGGAGATAGGTGCCCGGCTCCGGAGTTAGGCGTGTAGTGTGTTGTCAGTTTTGGGCGCGGGCGACGACGGGAAGAGCGCGCACGCTGACTCGCACTCTTCCGACAAGTGACTTCGTGGGAGCCTCAAGCTCAACGCGCACCCGCCATCCACCCTCGTCCCGCGCTTGACCGCCCCCGCGCGCCGATTCCCTTTCTCGTCGCTCCTTTTGTTCTTTTAATGCGTTTGCATGCCGCCTCAGCCACGGCACTGAGGGAGCACGCAGCTTAAGAGGAGGCCCATCACTTTGCGCGCAATGGCAGACGGCAAGCGCCTCTCTTCTGCCGCGAAGGTCGCAACGCCTAAGCTCGGAGACCAGTCTATCCTCAATGACTCGCACTTGTTCAAGGTCATAGGCAAGCGGTAAGTCGAGCGCCTCGGCCCAGCACCATGAGGGAGCTTCCCCGAGAGGATGCGCTCTGCTCCTCATCCCCCCCGCCGCCCTGCGACAACGTGGCTCACACGTCGGCCCCGCAGTGTCAAGATCACGACGACCGTTGCCAACCATGTGCTCGAGGGCACCGTCTTCGCCGCCGACCCTGTCCTGAACGCCATCGCCATCAACACCGCTCCGGCCCCGCCGAACCCGTCGACCAGCCTGGCCACCCAGCCGGGCAATTACCACGTCGTGTCGATCCCCAACATTCAGAAGTTTGAACTCCTGTCGAGCAGCGGCGGCGGTGGCCAGGATGGCGGCGCCGCGGACGGACCTGGCGGCTTCGAGAGCATCACGCCGACCATTGCCTCCCTGGATCTGAGCGCGCTGAAGGCGCGCGAGGAGGCGGCCGTGCGCAAGCTGCTCGAGAAGGAGGAGCACAGGAACAAAGAGGTCACGTCGGAGGTGCAAGAGCTCTACGATGCCTTCAACCGAACGTACGTACCGCCACTCCCCCCCCCCTCTCTCTCCGGGAACCCCCCCTGCTCGCCGGCTCGACCGGCTCTCCATATCCCCGCTTCCGATGATGAAGAAAATAATACTACGAGTGCATTGAGTTCCTAACAGTCACAGGCTGCCCATGCGCTGGCACGGAACCACGATGATCATCAACGACGCTGTCCTGCTGGGCCCGCCGTACACCGTGAGCGACCTCAAGGCCGCCGAGGGCAAGGAGCGCAACATCGACCACATCAAGAGGATCATGGAGGGCTACCTGGCAAAGAAGAGGAATGCGCAGGGAGCGAACAGGCCCGGAGTCGCTACGCCCATTCCGCCGCGCAAGGGTGGCTGATCCGGCGGTTCACGCTCACATGAACAATCGACGATGCGAGGGACGGCCTTTTTGACAAAGGGTCGCGTAAACGATGGTATGGGAAACGAGTATAACAGAGCAAAAGGCATATCTGCGGGGAGGGAGCAGACGGCTGGATAGCAAGCTACGGGTTGGATGGTGGAGGTCGCCCTGCAAGGGTTGGAGAGGACCTTTTTACGTGTAAGAAAGCCCGCTCGGAGCGGAGTAAAGGAAAGTGAACGACAATGGTCTTACGGGCCTAAATCAAGACATTTTCAAATCAAACCAGATTTGCTCGAGTGATGGAGGCTCATTTCATTCTATTTCCCTCTAAATCGCGTTTTGTACATGCTTTATTTCTTTTTTTCCTTCTGTCTACCTCGGATTGGCCACTCAGCGTCTATTTGCCAACGTTGGTGTAGCGCAGGTACGGCTTGAGCTCCCTGACATTACCAAACTTCTTCTGGGCGTCGGCAGTGCTGACGCTGGGAGGCACGATGACATCCTCGCCCTGGTTCCAGTCGATGGGGGTGACGACGCCCTTCTTGTCGCCGAGCTGCAGCGAGTCGATGACGCGCAGGACCTCGGCGCTGTTGCGGCCGGTCGAGGCCGGGTAGATCATCATGAGGCGGATCTTCTTGGCCGGGTCGATGACGAAGACGGAGCGGATGGTGAAGGGAAGGCCCTTGGTGGGGATGTCGCGCATGTCGTCCTCGGTGACCATGTCGTAGAGGAAGGAGACCTTGCGGTCGGCGTCGGCAATGATGGGGAAGCTGAGCTGCGTGTTGCTGAGCTCGTTGATGTCACCGACCCAGTCCTCGTGCGACTTGAGGTCGTCGGCGCTCTGGGGTCGAGCAATCGTCAGCAATCGCGGGCCATGACAGAAGGGGGACATGTTGATGACGAAGCGCGGGGTGGGTGCTTACAAGACCGATCATCTTGACATTGCGCTTCTCGAACTCAGGCTTGAGCTTGGCGAAGGCGCCCAGCTCCGTCGTGCAGACGGGCGTGAAGTCGGCCGGGTGCGAGAACAGGATCGCCCAGCTGTCACCGATCCATTTGTGGAAGTCGATCTCGCCCTGTGTCGTCTTGGCCGTGAAGTTGGGAGCTGGGTTGGACAATGATGCGTCAGCACAATGCACCTTTACCTCAATTGGGTGGATATGTATCGCTCCGTACCGAGGGAGCCCAGGCGCAGGCGCGGCTGCTCGGCGGGCACCTGCAGGAAGCGGCGGAAGAGGGGAGCGGCAGGGCGCTGCACGTTGACGGAGGAGCGCAGCGCCGGGCGAGCGGTGGCACGGAGAGAGGCGTTGAAGGCGCGGGGAGCTGCGCGGCCAAGGTAGGAAGCCATTGTTACGGATGCAAGGGAGACGGAGAGCTTGTCTTGAATAGGTGGGGTCTGGATTGTCTTGGAGTTTGGTCAGAAACATTAATTGACCGACGGCCGACGCAAGCGCGGGATGGCGTCAGACTGCCGCAACGCCCTGCGGGGACCGGCATCGTCGTGTCGGCAGCGCCTCGGGAAACGCATTTCCGAAGTCGGAACAAGACGCTATGCAGGTACACAATCGAGGTCGTGAATACACTCCTTGGCGGTCTTAGACTGTCGGATAAATGCATGCGTGGGCGGAGTCAGCTGCCGCAGATGGGATTGAACTTCCCCATTTGCCCGCGTCTCAAATGCGCCACAGTCCAACAAAGACCGTTGGACTCCCTCCGTGCTACTTGCCCCGGGTTCAAGAAAGAGTCCAGGCTCGCCGAATGCTGCTGTTACGGGCGCTGTATCATTTTTGCCTGATCGAGCCTAGTTTGGTCTGGCGCTACTTTTCCGGACGACGCCCAGCTGTTGAAGTCAAATGGATCGACAGAGAGGGACTGTGCACATTCAGAGGTGGGGTTAGTTCAACGGCTCTATTACAATGTGCGACGCTTCGTACTTCGATAAGTAGTTTTCTTTCAAGATCATCCCTCCCGAGACAAGGCTTGCATTGGCGTCCATGGGCAGTGTGAACGTCGAGTGTTTCGTCTTTCATCCGCGACACATATGCATAGTTGATCCGAGCAAGCCGGCGGCCAAGCCAGTTCGCTGGTAATATAGGGGTCGGTCTTTGGGCATTGGATTCTGCAGTCAGAGTTGATGGTCCTTTGAGCTCAAAGAATGCTGCAAGAACACAACACAAAGAACAAAAATGGTGTATCAAACGCTCCTTTTTATGTTTTGTCGGGGTTACGAGGCCAATCCATGGTCCTCGGCGGACCGCCATCTATGCCAACCAGTTCTCTGAATGACAGCGGTCTTCTCACCCAGTCTTTCCCGTAAAAACTCCTGTGCACCAGCCTTACCCAGTGTGATGCGTATTCAGAGACAAAGAAAATGTTGAGAATTAAGCCCTCCCCAAACGCCAGCCGCGCTCGCTTCTTTAGATGACCCATCTGTAACTTGCGTACCTGCCCGCCGTCTCCGACTTCCTGATGATCTTGACGACCTGGCCTCTCCTCAGACCCAGGTACCTCGCGACCGGGTCGCCCTGCTGGATACGCGGCAGCTGGCTCTCCTTCAAGCGGTAGCGTTGCAGGAGCGCGGCCTTTTCCTCGGCGCTGAGCAAAACGTGCTTGGGGACGAGCTCGTGGTGGGTGATGTTGACGAGGAGGTCCTGCTCCATGAAGATCTCCATGATGAGCGGGTGCAGGGAGGGGATGATCTTCTGGGCGGCGCCGGTGACGGGGACGGCGGTGATGAAGATGCCGGAGCTGAACTGGTTCTCGTTGAGCGTGTGCCCGAAGTTGCGCAGCTGCTTGACACCGATGTTCTGGTCGCCGTTGAATTCGATCCAGATGTTGCCGATGGTCTCATTGGGCTTGCGGGGGTTGTAGTGCTTGCGCTTCATGTCGTCGCTGGGGCCGGCGGAGAAGGCGAGCTGCTTGCGGCTGCAGGTCAGGTTAACGGGCGGGCTGGGCGGACGAGGATGCGCAGGTCGACGTACTCAACGTAGCCGGTGGGATCGCCGAAGCGCTGGCGGAACTCGTCCAGGGTGAGCTTGTACTCGGACTCGGCGATAACGTAGCCCTGCTCGGCAGCACGTTAGCGGAGGAGGTAGGCTGGCGGGATGGAGCGCACCCTGTCGGCGACCATCTCGTGGGCGGTGCGCCATGCACGCCAGAGGCGGGAAGCCTCGCGCTCGGCCTCAGTGTTCCTGCCGTCGTCCATGGTTCGGGGTGGGCGTGTGAGGGTGTTGCGGCGGTGGTGAAGGTTTGGAAGAAGAGAAATCGAAAGCCAAAGCCGCGCCTCACCGCCTTTGGATCTGCCGCTGCCTTGCCCTCCCCGCGCCACCGCCAAACACGACCGCGACACCAAGAACCATGTCCGCCCCGCAGATCCCGAATTTGCTCGACTCGCTGCGGTTGGGACGTGGAGGCTCGCGCGGGCGCGGAAGAGGGCTTCGCCATGGCCCGACGGCGCGTGGCGCCGAGTCTCAGGACACCATCGTCCAGCAGACCGACGGCGACGCCCTGGGCTCCCGCGTGAGTGCCGTGGAAGCGGGATATCTCAGCGACCCATTCGTAAAGGACTTCGTCACCGAGGAGGTGCAGAGGCGGTTTCCCATCATCAACAGGGGTAAATAAAGACATCGTCTTCGTCCGCCCGTTCAGTCGCCTAATCTGCTTGCAGGCACTTATGTGCGGACCGTGGCTATCGATCGGCTCGTCGAGCAGTTCCTCGCCGTCGAGCCCGACCAGCCCAAGCAGATTGTGTCGCTGGGCGCTGGAAGCGATACGCGCCTCTTCCGGATTCTCTCCACGCGCGCCTCCGTCCCTTTGATGTACCACGAAATCGACTTCCCAGTCAACACGAGGCACAAGATTGCCGCCATCAAACGCACACCCACCCTTCTCTCCGTCATCACCTCTCACCTTCCAAAGCCCTCTGAACTCAGCATATCCGAGGACCTTACCTCGCTCCATTCCCCTATCTACAACATCCATCCACTCGACCTTCGCTCCTTGGCCTCGTCCACATCGCTCCCGGAGCTGCCAAACCTATCGCCGACGACGCCTACCCTCATCCTTTCTGAGTGCTGCCTCATCTACCTGGCCCCAGACGAAGCCGACAACATCGTTGCCAACCTCGTCTCGAAGCTGATCCCGGCCCCGACCCCAGTCTCACTCGTCCTGTACGAGCCCATCAAGCCCGATGATTCTTTTGGTCAAGTGATGATATCGAACCTAGCAAGACGCGGCATCGTGCTGCAGACGTTGAAAAAGTATTCTTCTCTGCTCCGCCAGTGCGACCGCTTGATGCGCTACGGCTTCGTCAGCGGTCAGGCTTCGGCTGAGGTCAAGTTCATCTGGGAGAACTGGCTCAACAAGACGGTGCCGAGCCTGAACGATGAACGGAAAGGAACCGACGATCTGGATGAAGAAGAGGAGTGGAACCTCCTGGCTGCGCACTACTGCGTCGCTTGGGGTTGGAGAGATGGTGAGGATGCTGTGTTTGGTACCGCTTGGAAGCAGCTGAAGGCCCAGGAAATGAAACCTGAATAGTTTATCAATCCTCGTACCAACAACCTGTCATCCCAAAATGCCAATCGACGCCCTCTATCAATGGCCAAGGTATATCAAGAGGCTTGAGACAATTCTCTGGCTTCCCCGCCAAATGCACATTCCCGTCCAAGACGTCAGGGAGCAAAGGTGGCCATGATCGATATCAGGCCTAAGAGGAGTTGTAGGTGGGTATAGGATCTTGCGATTCGCCCATTCGCAATGTTTCTATACTCATCCTCCTTCGACACATCCTCGGGGATTAAGACTTCTCAAAATCGGCCTTGAAATCACATCTCCGCTCGACAGCAGTTCCCTCAGAGTGGGCGTCGAGTTAGTGCACGGAATCGTCGACAAAGCGCCTCCACACGAACCTATCTCATATGCATTGGGATCTGAACAGGTCGACCAAGCAGGAACGTTCGGTGGCCAAGGCATGAAAATACATACTCTTTGTCATCGCGAGCACCCAAACACAGCTCGCCTGGACTAAGTACTAGATTCTAAAATTTAAGCTAATTATCACGATAGTAGAGTAACTACCAAGTTCAAAATGTTTTGATGCAGTAATTTGACCCACACAATTCAAGAGTCGTATTTAAGCATTAGGTAAGCTGCGTCCAAGCCACCGACGTACAGAGCCAAGTTCGGCCCATTTTCGTTTATTGGACGAGGCTGAGACGGTGCCTGATCTGCTGCTGCCTGAGAACTTCAGCTGTCATGGCTGCCAAATAAAAACCCCAACCCCACATTCAGCCCGCCTGGTGCCTTTTTGCTTTCACATCCTATACTGCAGGGTCTGCAACACCAACCATGCCAGAGGTTGCTACCGCCCCTTGCAACACGTCAGCTCATCTATTTACCGATCGCACTTTGGCGAAAAAATCACCGGATATGCAGGTGTCCATGGTGGCAAGCGACGACGATGAACATCCCAACTCTGGGCCAGAACCTCCCGGGAGCCCCAATGGGCAGCACTCAGCAGCTCGCAGTAATGACCAGGGGTTACAGGAAGACATTCACAGTTACACGCTGATCCCCCGCCCAGAAGGGCAGCATAAATCCCACCTCCGACGCACCAAAAAGCATGTTGCATTTGCCGACTTTCGTGGGACATATTGGTCGACACTCCAATGGGCTGCTTCAGTGGACAATAGTATACTCAAACACTTGAACAAGGTGCAGGACATGCTTGCATATCAGAGGATAACCGGGTCAATCTCAGTTTTTGATTTTTCAGCGAATTCACTGGCCGTCCACGACAAATTGGATGCACCGGACTCTGCAGCAGTAGTCTCCGGCACTTATCGAGTCATATTGGCGGAACCTCCATACACGTCACCTCAAGTGAATACTCTAGGAAGCCGCTACCTTGTCCATCCTGAGTTTTTTGCCGAACATTCTGCCCAAAGCTTTGACGAAACGCGGGCGTGGATGACCGGATTTTGGGCCAAAGACTATGCGACACTGCGATGGCTGAGGCCAGTGTATACGAGTCCCGCAACAGTCATCGATCCCTCTTGGCGACGGTTGAGATCGTACGGGTTTCTGGAAACGTGGAACCCGTCTCGCTTTACGGGGGCTGGATTCATGCATGGATTAGCCAGCTGGGAGGAACGCGCATCGCTGTTCTTGCGCGCAAGAGAACAAGAATCGCCCGAAACCCGTACGTTCTCGCCAAGTTCGACGAAACCCGACAGTCATGTCCAAAGAACCTTCTCGCTAAACTCCAGCTAACCAGCTTCTGAGCAGTCTTTGTACAGCTCGATCATAGTCCAGAGGCAGTCAACACTGTGGCCGATACATATGCTCGATACGACCAAGCTGCTCTTGCTGAAGAGGCCAGGAGGTGCTGGTCGGATCCTCACCCAAAGAAAGCTGGAGAAGAGAGGCTAAGCCTTCACTTTCTACCCACCTCTGGTATCATGAAGCAAATGATGTATTCCTTGAAAGGCGGTTCGGCATCTCCAGAAAATATCGAGAGGAATGTGCTCTCAACGCTCATGAAGACAATATTCAAGGACAGTCTTATGATGCTAAACCTCCTGGAACTCAAAATCAATGAAATCAGGGTACACGCCTCCGGCAGAATCTCACCGCAGCAACACCATGACGAATGGCAACGCATCATTGGCAATTCTCGTCAAGCCATTCGGGAAATGCTTCATCAGACCAAGCACACAATCGAAGTGATCCGGAAAATTTCGACGGCGTCTACTTGGTCATTCTACAGGCTTCATGGATCGTACCACAACCCAGACTTTGACTCGGAGGAGATGAGAGCCATCTATAATGATTTTCAGGGCCTTATGAGGGACGTTGAAGCCTGCAAAGAAGACGTGATTGAAGTATCGAACTTACTTGTGAGCAACATGTCAATGCTTGTTAGCCAAAAGCAGATCGCCGAAAGCGAGAAACAACTTCAAGAGTCTGAATCAATCACAAAGTTGACGGAGCTCGCCTTTTTCTTCGTTCCTTTGGCCTTTTCCGCAACTCTTTTTGGAATGCAAGTCGAGGTAAGGAGCACCGCAGGCGGGCTCGACGTTAGCGAAAGTAGTGCAACAGGAATTTGAAAATGTCGAGCTGAGCACCTGGGTCTATACCGCCGCAGGATGCGTCTTGGGATCATATGCTGTCAGATTGCTCGTACGAAGTCGACTGGTCTACTGGGCCAGGGATCGAATCGTGCCGTGGGCACGGAGGAAATTATCTCTTCCTCCACCAGCACCTATACCGACAATGTCTTTTGTGGGCGCTTCATGTGGTGTGCAAAAAGATCTCAAGCTACTACGGCTCGAGGCGTCCAAGGATTTTTGGACTGAGCGTCCGACTTTCTATCCTCGCATTGACGAGCGCAATGCCCATAGCTCTTTTATGGACTGTAGGCGAGGTAGCATCGTCGGTAAGGGTCGGACTTTCTGTTTTCTTTGCATTACTTGGAATCACACTACTCGTGGAGTGTATCAGATGGCTGTGGCGTCAGTACATGTTTTCACGCATGTAGGGGTGATCAGTTTAGCATCCTCGTCAGGTCGTTTGATGAGGTTGGAAATTTCGCTACTGCCGTAATGATATGAGCATATCTAAATCGTCATTGATGCGACTAAATGTGTGCACAATGACTAGATCGATGCGATGCACCGAAGTTATCTATCTTCCCAAAATGACTCTAACACAACGGACTACAGTACAAGCCTTTCGGATATCCAATTCAACTGGCCGTTCTTTTACACATTCAAGTATCGCACTTTTTTTTTTACCACATCACACTTGGTATCTAAATGCCAGGGAAATACTTTAACTCCACCCCCCACCCATTTTCCATATCCGCACCCAAAAACGCTCAACCGTAATTGAAAGGGTTCCTGCACAGCGGACAGCTGCTTCCATTGCTGCTCTTGAACCACTTGTACAAGCAGCTCGTGTGGAACAAGTTCTTGCATGTCGAGCACCTCTTGCTCGGCAGCTGCTTGTCAGCGCTGATGATGCTGTAGCAAATCGCGCACTCCGTCTGCCCCTTGAGCGCACCGACAACGTTCCTCCTCCACGAGATCAGCCCGTCGACTAAATTGCCGTTCGAGAAAGTCACGACGCCCTGGCAGTTGCGCAGCCAGGCCTGCCACTTCTGCTCGGACACGGCGACACGGTTGACGCCCTCGACGAGGACGGGCGCGAGGGGGTAGGTGGGAGGCAGCCGGATGACGATGGTCATGAACTGCTCGTCAACCTCGTACCCGGCCGTAACCTCCTTGCCGCGCTGGTTGACCTTGACCGTCAGCGCCTCGTCCGATGCAGCGTTGTCTGCGCTGTTGGCCCACTCGCTAACTGCCGTGAGCGCAGCCGTGATGATGGACGGCGAGATGAAGCGCTCCGTCCAACTCTCGACGGCCAGCACCGTTTGACGCGACTTGCAGTCGATCCACCACGACTTGGCGAGCGAGGGCAGATGCTGGAGTGTGAGGAAGTAGAGATGCGCGGTGAGGTAGTGGGCGTCGGCTAGAGGGGTGTCCGCCGCGTGCGGGTCGTACTGCGTAATGTCTAATTTGGAAATGTCAACAGGCTTGCCCCTGGTGTGGCCCAGGAACTCAGCCAGAAAATCGAGGAGCTGCGGCACGTGGCCTTCCTTCTGCAGGTGCTCGACGTAGTCCGTCTTGACCTTGTACGACTAGAGACGGTGTTAGTGGTACGACGCCAGACTTAACAAGCGTACGGCTTACAGAGTTGACAAAGTGATCGAAGATGAGCAACCAGCTAAAGAGGTAGCCGCGAAGGCCGAGCGGCATCGCTCTGCTGAAATCCCAGCCCTCGACGACATCTTTGGTGGGAGGTTCGAGCACGAGCGAAAGCAGCTCGTCAGGTAGCTGCACCGTCATCTTCTCGAGCGCAGCGTTGATGGAGATTTCTTCCTGTGCAGCTGGTATTTGCTTATGCAAAATGTCGAACGCTGCCTGCTGCACCGAGCTGGACTCGGTGACCAGGAGCGGGAAGAGCTCTTCGGTATTCTCCAGTTGAGCGACGGAAATCGAACCGATCTGCCGTGACAGGACCTCGTTGACAATCTTCAAGGGTTGGTGGTTGTAATCATCCAACCCTTCCGATTGCTTTAGCAGCTCGATCAGCCCGTTGGACGCTGCAGGCTGCGACGATTTCCAAATCTCGACCAAGTCTTCGTTCGGATCCTCGTCGGCCTGCAGGCCCTTGAGCGTAGAGTAGAGCTTGAGCGATGCGTGTATGCACGGGATCGCTTCTTCATACCCGAGACCCTGGTCTTTGAAGTGGCCAGCCGACGACCAGAAGGCGATCAGAGAGTTCAAAATGCTCTCCCAGTGCTCTCCGTAGATGTCCTTCATGAGCGGGAGAAGCAGCGAGAAGGCGCGGTAAACCTCGGCCCTGACCGGGAGAGGGATGGCCTCGCCATCTTGAAGTTCGAGCCATTCGCTCAAGTGCTTGACGAAGAAGATGAGCCGCTGCTTCGCGATGGTGTCGGTGATGCCATCTTGGTTGGCGACGATGACATTGAGCAACACGAGCTGCTTCAGACCTGTCGAAAGTGTCAGTACGGTACCATCGCGATACTAGTGAGCTTCGTGTCAGCGTACCCCCTTGCGCGTCTCGAGAAATGTCGTGGCCGGTCAATTGTGCGATGAGCTCGTTGCACATGCGTGATGCGGACCCGTGGGATGCCAGCGGGGTGCTGTGGCCGTAGAGGAACGATGCGATGAGGAAAGTATCTGCTTGGAGTTAGGAGGCCATGCCGTTCGAATCACGTCGATTTTTCTTACCGTCACTCCTTCGAATCCCCTTCAAGTCATCTTCCATCTTCGCGGTCTCCTTGCTCGGCCAGCCGTGCATCTCGATCGTCTCAGAAATGGTAGTAGCGTAGGCTCGCGCATTGTAAAAGGCTTTGGGCGACAGGCCTTTTGAAGATTCCCTGAGAGCGTTCCATGCGACACGAGTGAAGGAGTGCTCGGAACCATTGTCTCCAGACCACGATTCTCCCGATTTTACTATCCAGTCGGCGACAAGAGCCTGTATGTCAGCGACCACCTCGACGACGTCATTCTCGGTGTGAGCGTTGTACACGTTGAAGATGTCGTTCGAAGTAGCGCGGCTGATGTTGTCACTCGTCAGCTGAACAGTCAGGAGGAGTTGCCTATATAGCTGAGCTTTTCTTTCGACGGGCAAGTGGTCTGAGACGGAAGCTTTGGCAAGGAGACGTGCAGTGTACGCAGCCATCCTCAAAGCTGGGGAGAAGCCTTCAGAATCCCGGGACATCTTTGCCGGCTGCTGGCTTGGCTCGACTATGTAGACGCTTCCGCCGAGTGGGTTCGTGATGGCAAAAGTTGGGTGCGGAGGAATGGCCAAGAAAGGCTTCAGCGCCGCCTCCCAAGCATCGTGGGGAGGCAAAAGGTTCTCGGAGAGCTCCTGCTTTTCCATATCGTAATCGCTGAAGAGGTCCTTTGCGAGCTCCACGAGTGTGCTCGGCGAGACGGAGTCGGCAGCTGCCTCGACGAGTCCCCTGGAAATGACGTCGAAGATGGAGCTCTTCAGAGCGGCTCTGCTGTTGCCATCCGAAAGAGTTGCCTTGATACGGATCTCCAGGTCGGAGGCTTGCTCTGCAACTTCATCATTGGGATTTTCCGTGATGGACACCAGTTTTTGAAGCAGGGCAGAGCCACCGGGTGTGGGCACGTATTTCCTGATGAGATCAGGGCTCTGCTGCACGATGTTGGAAAGGCCCTGGAGCGCGTTCTGGGCCTGGCTGGAGATGGAGAGCGACTGCGTCAGATCTGACAAAACGGTGTCTATCGTATCGTCCGCCAGGACGGAAGAGCCCTTGAGCAGCTGCTTGGGAAAGCTCCAATCCGCCTGGCCCTGAATGGACAGCCGGAATCTCTCGAGGATGAGACCCTGAAGCTCCGGATTCGCCACGGCGATCTGATTGCGAGAGTCCAACGCGGACAGAAGCTGGGCCAGAGAGGTGAGCTTTGCCTGCGGCTCAGGCTCGTCGACGCACGCCTTCAACGTCCTCGTCCAGACGTCCTCAAATTCGGGACGATCGCTGTAGGCACGCAGGATGGAAGCCAATTTGGAAGATGACGGAGACGAGAAGAGCGACGGAAGGTCATTCGTAACAAACGATGTCAGGAGGTCGCTGCACTCGGTGTCTTCAAGCAGAAACGACTTGAAGGATTTGAGCATCGCCTCTACTAGGCCCGCCGCACCGTAAGGCTTGCCATTTCGGGACTTTAGAAGCTCGAGCGCTTCCTTGAGCACCTGCGAAGATGATCTCGCAAGCGTCTCGCGAACAGCCTGGGACTGAGACTTCTCGAGAAGTTTGGATGCTACGGCAGCCCACCTTTGACCCTCTTCGTCGACCTGGTTCTGAGATGTCTGGTAGTCTTTGGCCTGAGCCGGTTGTGACGTCTTCATGTCTTCGATCAAGACGCCAGTCACCCGCTCCCATCGGGCCTCGAGGACTCCAGGCATGGAGGGAATCTCCAAAGCTTGACTTATTAGAGTCACCGCTTGAGGAGCCGGGACGGCCCATGTGGCAGTCTCTTGGGATGGTTTGACGTATTGGAGTACGAGCGGCAACACCATCTCGGTCAACAGCTTGCGCTGCTCCTCTTCAGAGAATGCTGAGGAGAGTGCAGTCGTAACATTGAAGTACGCCGTGTACGCAGCGCCGATGTTCGAGCGAGGCTCGTCTTTGCTGATGATGCCATTGCGGATTGCATTGAGTATTTCGACGGCCTCGGCCGGATCCGAGGGCAACACTTCTTTGGGCAGGCTAGACACTATTCTGCTGACATTCTCCCAATATTCTCGGGGGCCTCCTTGCGATCCACGCTTCAGGAACTGCCGCAGACGCTTGGTCACCGGCGTCTTCTTTGATGCGTAGTGCTCCGTCCAAACGGTAGGGTATATTTTGGTGAGGGCGACTAGCGTTTCCGAGAATTCGTACGCCGAACCGGTTTGATCCGAGTTGAGTGCGTTGGCCAGGTAAGCCTTGGAGATGGTCGGCAAGTTGCTCGACAGCGCATCTGAGGTCTCGAATGTTAGCGTTGATGCAGTTCGCGACGCAAGGTAACGGGGCCTACCGCGCTGTTTTGCCATGCAGGTCCTCAGAAGTCTGTGGATGGCCCGTCTGACGGCAGGGTCGCTGTACGAAGAAAAGTCCCACAGCCTGTCGTCCTGCACGGCCTCCTCGTAGCTGCCCTGTTCCTTCGCGAGCTCCTCGGCGGATAATTCCGTGAGGAGGCTCGCAATGGCCGCGATGCTCGAAGCGATGACCCTGTTGTACTTTGCCTCGGCGTCGTCCGGGCTCGTATTCCTCTCGTCACTCAGAGTGCTCGACGTCTCCTTGTCGATTACGTTGCGGCAGTAATCGAGGATCTGTTGCTGGAATGCTTTGCGGACATTGTGCAGCTTTTCCGGCGTCGAAAAGACGGACTTAAAGGAGGCTTGCGCGGCCAACGAAACGGACTTGTCATTATCGTAAAGACCCGCCAGCCAGGCGCCCACAACCTTGGGCATGTGCCTCGCAATGCGCTTCCCACAAGCCGTGGCGATGTGGCCTTGGACGGCGTGCGCAAGCTGGCGGACTCGTCGGGAAGTGTCAATGGAGGTGCGAGGGTATATTTGGATCTGGAAGAAGACGCCTGTATCAACACTAGTGTCATATATATACATGCTCGAGAGGAACGCACCCAGGCCTCGAGCACAGCCTCCTCCACCGGCGTGGCCGACGACGTGACGGTCGCCTGCAGATCCTCCAACGCCTTCGCCTTGGTCGTGCTGTCCTTCTTCGAGAGGTTCTTGAAGGCAACGACCGTGTTGGCGTCGGAAATGGACGAGAGGTCTGGCGGCTCGGATACGTAGGAGAGCGGAGAGGCAGAGGCGCCAAAGGCTGAGAAGGACGCACCGGAGCCGAAGCCGAAGCCGCCGCCAAAGCCGGCGCCGGCGGCGCGACTTCCGCCGAGCTGTGATTTGGCCTTCTTGCTCATGGTGTTGGCGGGAAGGCGGAGGCGGGTGTTTGCCGCGGTGCGGGCTGGCGGGGGAGTCGGAAATTAATAATGGCGGGACAGCAATGACGCAGCGGCAGGCAGAACTCGCGCCAGGCAGAACTCGCGTCAGGCGAAACTCGCGTCAGGCAAACTTGCGCCAAGGCTCGCTTGCTCCCGGCGCTAGCGCCTGACTCGCGCCAAGGCGAAGAGGCGGCTCATCTGCGCTCCATTGTCAGCAGCGGCTTGCTCTCCCCGGCGGCGAACGGCAATGTGAAGTGCTGCTCCTGGGCGCTCACCACGTCGTCAACGCTGCTTCGCTCCCATCCGCCCCGTAAAGCTACCCGGCGAGCGTCCGGAAATCCGCCAGGATGAAGTTCAACATCGAGTCCGTCAACACCACCCCCGTCTTCCCCGTGCATCTGCCTGACGCGTTGCCAGCGATCTGCCGGTGCTGTTCCCGTACCCGCGCATCTACCCCGAGCAGTACAAGTACATGTGCGATTTGAAACGCACCCTCGATGCCGGCGGAAACTGCATCCTGGAGATGCCCTCGGGCACCGGCAAGACCGTCTCGCTGTTGTCACTGATCATTGCCTACCAGCAACACCAGCCCGAGAAGCGCAAGCTGATCTACTGCTCGCGTACTATGTCTGAGATCGAAAAGGCTCTGCACGAGCTCAAGGCGCTGATGAAGTACCGGACCGAGCAGCTCGGCTACGAGGAAGACTTCCGCGGTCTGGGCCTCACCAGCCGCAAGAACCTGTGCTTGCATCCGTCGGTGAAGCGTGAGAAGAACGGCGCTGTAGTAGATGCGAGGTGCCGCAGCCTGACGGCCGGCTTCGTCAAGGAGAAGAAGGAGCGCGGCGAGGACGTCGATCTTTGTGTCTACCACGACAACCTGGACTTGTTAGAGCCGCACAATCTGATCCCCCCGGGCGTCTTCACCTTCGAAGACATCCTGAGGTACGGAGAAGAGCACAAGCAATGCCCGTACTTTACGGCGAGGCGAATGATGCCTTTTTGCAACGTCATCATCTACTCCTATCACTACTTGCTCGACCCGAAGATCGCAGAACGAGTGTCCAAAGAGCTATCCAAGGACTGTATCGTCGTCTTCGACGAGGCTCACAACATTGACAACGTTTGCATCGAATCGCTGAGTATCGACCTGACCGAGGACTCTTTGAGAAAAGCCACGCGCGGCGCGAACAATCTGGAGCGGAAGATTACCGAGATGAAGGCCACCGACGCCGAGAAGCTGAGCAACGAATACGCAAAGCTTGTCGAAGGTCTCCGCGCGGCCGACGAAGCGCGGGACGAAGACGCCTTCATGTCGAATCCGGCCCTGCCAGACGACCTGCTGAAAGAGGCGGTGCCTGGCAACATTCGGCGAGCAGAGCACTTTGTATCCTTCCTGAAACGCTTCATCGAGTATCTCAAGACTCGCATGAAAGTGTTGCATGTGGTTGCAGAAACGCCTCCATCCTTCTTGGTGCATCTCAAGGAGCTCACTTTCATCGAGCGCAAGCCTCTGCGATTTTGTGCCGAGCGCTTGACTTCTCTCGTGAGAACGCTGGAGCTGACCAATATCGAAGATTATCAGCCCCTGCAGGAGGTCGCGACGTTTGCGACGTTGGTGGCTACGTACGACACCGGGTTCCTCCTCATCCTCGAGCCGTACGAGGCGGAAGGTGCCACCGTGCCGAATCCGATCTTCCACTTCACGTGCCTGGATGCCTCCATCGCCATCAAGCCGGTGTTTGAGCGCTTCAGTTCGGTCATCATCACCTCCGGAACAATCTCGCCTCTCGACATGTATCCGAAGATGCTCAATTTCTCGACGGTCGTACAAGAATCCTACACCATGACTCTGGCTCGAAAGTCATTTTTGCCCATGGTCGTCACCAGAGGAAGCGACCAAGCAGCCATCAGTTCCAGCTTCGGAGTTCGCAACGACCCCAATGTCGTCAAAAACTACGGTGTTCTGCTCCGAGAGTTTTGCAAGCTTACTCCCGACGGCATCGTCGTCTTCTTCCCCAGTTACCTGTACATGGAGTCCGTCATCAGCCAGTGGCAGGGCATGGGTATCCTCGACGACGTGTGGCGCTACAAGCTGATCCTCGTCGAGACCCCCGACGCCCAGGAGACCTCGCTCGCCCTCGAGACCTACCGCACGGCGTGTAACAACGGCCGCGGTGCCGTCCTCCTTTGCGTCGCTCGTGGCAAGGTCAGCGAGGGCATCGACTTCGACCATCACTACGGCCGCACTGTACTGTGCATCGGCGTTCCTTTCCAGTATACCGAGTCCCGCATCCTCAAGGCCCGCCTCGAGTTCCTGCGCGAGACGTACCACATCCGCGAAAACGACTTTCTCTCCTTCGACGCCATGCGTCACGCCGCGCAGTGCTTGGGGCGTGTCTTGCGCGGCAAGGACGATTACGGAATCATGGTCCTGGCGGACAAGCGCTTCAGGAACAAGCGCAATCAGCTGCCCAAGTGGATTGCGCAACATCTTTCAGACGCCGACTCGAACATGAGTATCGACCAAGCGGCAGCGATGGCCAAGAAGTTCTTGCGAGATATGAGCAAGAGCTTCGGCCATCAACTAGCAGAAGGAATCAGCGTGTGGGGAGCGGAAGATTTGAGAAAGTACCAGAAGCAGAGGCAGGAAGATGAGATTAAGATGCTGATGGATGCACCGGATCGGGAGGTGCAGATGCGGGATGCCGCGGATGAGTTCGACGAGGGGGGAGATATGGATGAAGTCATGGCTGGAGTCGAGGTTTGAGGGTTCGAAAATAAAACGGTAGAGTTGGTATGAAAAGCCATGTTAGCCCGATGGAACGGGCATATCCGTAGCAAGGAGTTTGGGTTAGGAGACGAGCACGTCCCAAATTGAGTCTGTACTAATAGAAAAGAATGCAATGAGGACTGTATGCCCCTGGAGCGCCACCATGGCAATTCTTTGAATTTCCAACAAGCTTGAGCCATCGCCGTATCCCATGACGTTTTAGAGAGGTAAATAGGTAAATCCAAGGTACAACCCATCTTGTTAGACCTAATCATCACTTGACGAAGCCCAACTCCTTGGGCCCTGCAAGTCCATGTCCTTGCGCGAAAATCTGTATCATTATTTGTAACCGGTATCTAGAAGCTCGAAATCATCAGGAATAAAGTTATTAGCGAAGGAACTCATTATTGTGGCAAATTATCCGATCAATTCTACTAATACCACTGATCAGGAGAGCAATGAGGTTCAGAGAGAAGGTGGGCGGAAACGAAATAGCAAGCTTATTGATCACCACGGTAGTAGCTGCAGATAAAGGTAAGGTAGTATAACTAGTTATTTCGACAGCTTGAATACAATATCATTGACCTACACGGGTTGTGTTTCGACGTGCTAGTGGTGGGTATTTTTGATACGATGAGTTGGGCTTGAGTTTTACTCTTTATCAGTGGCTTTGGTGCTTAGATGAAACATACGTCCATGGACCACAGGAATGCATTATGGTCCATTCACATGAACACTTCAACTTGTAAGGGAATAGGTGTCGTTGACTCAGTAGGGATCAGTCAAGCACGACTGATCGAAATGATTTCTGCGTGATGCTGCCAATCGCGCATACCTCCATATTCATCGTTAAGTCCCATATCTCTACCTCCCTACAACTCTTTGAACTCCGCTCAATGCCGGAGCTGCACCCTCCTCTCCTTCAAAATACTACTCCTGGTAAGTCTTCGCCAGAGTCCACATGTTCTCCATCTTTGACCTCGTCAACGCATCCTTCGCCTCGGCGTCCGTCTCACACACCTTCAGTCCAAACCACTTTTTGAACGCTCGGTCCCTTTCCTCACCCTCCCATATCAACGTGCACTTGTTGTAGCTCAAATCCTTGAGCTCTCCATTCTCATCCACCGACTGCAGCCACGATGCTTCCGCTTCCCTGTTCCCTTCGCGAACGCTCTGCGGCATCGCGGTCTCGTGCCATTTGATCCGGTTCAGCATTAACTTTTTGTAGAACCTTGTCGAGTATGCACCGCCCTCGACGATGATCAGGTTGAACTTCGGATTCAAGATCACGATACCCGTCAGCTTGCTCTGCTTGGCGTTTACGTCGATTTGGTATCTGTGCTTGCCGAAACAGAGATTGTCGACCTTGAACACACACATGATGATCTGTAACAATCCGTTATTATCGTCGAGCGCGAGGAAGTTTGAAGGAAACTTACACCCTTGGCTGCGTCAGCTTCTTGATTAGCCGCCAACTTCTCGTGCCGTTGCTCCTTGGTGAGCTTGCGCGCCTCGTTGTCCTGCTCGTGCTTCGCCGCGCGCTCTGCTATCTCACGATTCACGCGAGCCTCGACTGCCGTCGGGTCCTTGACCGCCTGCTCGCCTAAGACGCGCATCAACTGCACACACGGAGCGTTAGCAATTCATCGCCATTGACAAGGGGGGTCCGACTTACATTACTCTTCTTGACCTTCGGTGGGGGCGGTGGTTCCAGTCCCAGGCGGATCTTGGCCTGTTGTTCCTTGTGCTCCGCCATGCGCCGTTGACGACGGAGCTTCCCTTGCTCCTTCTTCGTGAGGGGTAGCGGCTTGAGGCCGGGATTCTTCCTGTCTTGCGGTGGCTCGAGGAGCACCGGGTGTTGCACGTATATCGTTACGATGGAGTCGGAGCCTTCCAGCTTGGCATTTTCTAAATTGTAGTCCGAGCCGACCAATCCCTCATCCCACCATTCCACCTCGGGCGGAGCTGGTACCAGGTAGTTTTTGTCGCTGGCCTCGTCGAGACCGACCTTTTTTGCTTGCTCGGCGATCCTCTTCTTCATCTGCTCGAGCGCCGCCTGTCTCCGCAGAGCATTGGCCTGCTGGATGAACTTTCCCTTTTGGTTGAAAACGAGCTGCTTGGATTGCCTGCCCTTGGCGGTGGCGCCTCCGACGTTGGGGTCGTAGTAGGGATTCTTCTTCAGCTCTTCCAGGTTCGGTCCCGACAGGTCCAGCTGCTTCTTGTCTTTCTGCACCGGCGATTCCGTCCGCCGGTTGGCCATTGTCGTGGCAAACTTTGGCTGGATGGCCTGCTTCCCCTTCGCCCCTCCCGACCCAGCGTCGCCCAGCAAAGCGGGATGCAGGCCGATGTTCAATCCTCCCCTAGCACGTGACGACGCATCTTCGAATTCCGTGGCCTGCGGCGTCGGGTTGGAGACTTTCTTGGTAGCGGCAGCTACGCGTGCCTTCATCTGTTCGATCTTCTGACGCGCAGCCTCTGCGGCGCTTGGCGCTGGAGGTGAGGCCGCTGCCGGAGTGCCTGGAGCTGGCGAGGGAGACGGCGACGCCGAACCGCCATTTTGCGCTTGGAGCTTGGCCTTTACGGCGGCTGCGCGAGCGCGAGCTTCGGCGATGGCCTTGGAGATGTCGGGCTTCGCGCCAGCTCCGTTCGCGGGCGGCGCTGGCGAAGCGTTGTTCGAGCGCGAGCGCTTGTGGTCGCCGCCGTAGGCATCGTCCGGATATGGTCGCTTCCCTGTCATCGCGGCGGGCGTCGGTCTGAAGCTCGGAGGAGGTTGGGGTCGAAGTTCGAAGGAACGGAAATTCTGGAGGTGACGCTGGAGCAGCAGCGCTGGTGCCTGGGCGGTGAGCGTGGCGGTCGCGATGGGCACGGCAGATGCAGATCTTCCGGCAAAGCGCCGGCCCAAATTTTTGGCAGCACCTCCACCGCGCCTTCACTTTGCCGTCGCGCGCGAACTCTCCAACCCTTCATGCGCGATCTCGCCGCGCCGCCCACCCCCTGCTGCTCACACCTCAATCATGGCGCGTAACGCGGGAATGAACATCGCCGACCCCGTCTCGAGCGCTATCAAGGGCGTCGAGTTCGGGGTTTTGAGCGCCGACGAGATCAAGAGCTTGTCGGTCAAGCGTGTCACGGCCGCGGTCACGTTTGTGAGTCGATCTCCAGAAGCAGCCTGCTGAACGACTCTAACGTAGGTTCCAGGACACATTGGGCCACCCGGTCCCCAATGGACTGCACGACTTGGCGCTGGGAGCCGCGATGGGCTCGCCTTGCGCGACTTGCAATTTGGACGAGTTCCGTTGCCCTGGACACACCGGCCACATCGACTTGCCTGTCCCCGTCTACCATCCTACATTCATGGACCAATTGCTCCGCCTCCTCCGCGCACAGTGCCAGTACTGCCACGGTTTCAAAATGTCGAAAGTGACCACGCACCTTTACTCTTGCAAGCTGCGCTTGGTCCACCACGGACTTTTGAAGGAGGCCGCAGAGCTCGAGATGATCGAGGCTCCGAATGTGAAGGGGTCGAAAGAGGAGGGCGAGGACGTCGAGTCCGAGGACAGTGATGCCGACGCGCAGGACATTATTCAAAAGCGTGAGGCCTACGTCAAGCGTGCCCTAAAGGATGCTGGCATTCGCAAAAAGTCCGAGTGGTCGCAGAAACGGGCCGAGGCGGTCGCTGAGGAACGGAGGTACATCATCAAGGACTTCCTTACTGACATCAACAAGCCGCGTAAGTGCGGCAACTGCGGCGGCATCTCGCCCAACTTCCGCAAGGACCGCTACGTCAAGATTTTCAAAAAGGCCCTCAGCAAGAAGGACAAGAATGCGATGATACAAAAGGGCATTAAGACCGCTGCGCCGATCGTCGAAGAAGTCGCCAGGAAACGGGCGCTGAAGGCCGCCAAGAACAAGGACGGCTCCGATCGCATGGACGTCGACGAGGGCGTCGCCGACATGGAAGAGGAGTCCGAGGGCGAGTCGCTCGACGCGGACGAGGAGATTGCTGGAGGCCTGATCGCTGATGCGTCCACGACCGCGACGAAGAAGAAGCAAAATGCCGAAGAAGATGCCGAGGGCCAGTCCTACGTCAGCTCTTCGGAGGTCCTATACAGCCTCGAGCGGCTGTTCCAAAAAGAGCAGGACGTCCTGTCGCACGTCTACGGTCCGCGTTCGCGCAGGAAGGGTGGAAAGGTCAGCGCCGAGATGTTCTTCATCAAGGCCTTGATCGTGCCACCGAACAAATTCAGACCAGAGGCTAAGACGGGAGACTCGATCGCCGAAGCTTCCGTCAACTCGCTCTACAAGGGGATTCTGTCTGCTTGCGACACGATCAACCAGATCGTGCAGGAGATCAAGAGCGGCTCTGGCCTGCAAGGGCGACCGGCGAGGACGTACGACTCGCTCCAGGACGCCATCGTCGGACTCCAAGACGCCACCAACTCGCTGATCGACCGCGATCGCAACCCCACGCAGGGTGCCGCTGGCAAGAGGAACGAGGATGGCATCAAGCAGAAGCTCGAAAAGAAGGAGGGTTTGTTCCGTAAGCACATGATGGGCAAGCGTGTCAATTTCGCGGCTCGATCGGTCATCAGTCCCGATCCCAACCTGAATTCCAACGAGATTGGCGTTCCGCCGGTCTTTGCGAAGAAGCTGCACTATCCCGAGCCAGTCACGAGCCACAACTTTGACGAGTTGAAAGAGGCCGTTCTGAACGGCCCCGACAAGTGGCCGGGTGCCGTCGCCGTGGAAGATGAGAACGGTAGCGTTATACTCCTCGCTAAGAAGAACTACGAAGAGCGCGTCGCCATCGCCAACCAGCTGCTCGCGCCTTCATCTGGCGCCAGCTTCTCCGGGGCGAGGAACAAAAAGGTTTATAGGCATCTCAACAACGGCGACGTCGTCATCATGAACAGACAGCCGACCCTGCACAAGCCGTCCATGATGGTTCACAGAGCGCGCGTCCTGCCCGGAGAACGCACGATTCGCATGCACTACGCCAACTGCAACACCTACAATGCGGATTTCGACGGTGACGAGATGAACATGCACTTCCCCCAGAACGAGCTCGCCCGCGCCGAGGCCGCCATGATCGCGGATGCCGACCACCAGTACCTCTCCGCGACGGCGGGAGCACCGCTGCGCGGTCTCATTCAGGATCACATCACGATTTGTGTCCTCCTGTGCTCCAGGGACACCTTTTTCAGTAAGGGTGACTACCAGAATCTAATCTACGCGGGCTTGAGGCCCGAGGACAACCACACGACCTCAGGCAGGCTCCTAACCGTTCCTCCGGCCGTTTGGAAGCCCCGCCCTCTCTGGACCGGCAAACAGGTCATCACGACCCTTCTGAAAAACATCAAGCCAGAGTCTCACGGGCCCCTCACATTCACCTCGAAGTCGCAGACCGCGGCGGACAGATGGGGCAAGGGCTCCGAAGAAGGCAACGTGCTCTTCAAGGACGGCGAGCTGCTCACAGGCATCTTGGACAAGAAGCAGATTGGACCTGCCGGCGGCGGTTTGGTCAACGCGGTCTACGAGGCCTACGGTCATACCGCTGCCGGCCGCGTGTTGAGTGCTCTGGGAAGGTTACTCACGGTACGTTCGCACCAATCGCGACCCCGAATACTTTTGCTGACAAGACGTATAGAAACTGCTTCACATGTGGGCGCATTCGTGCGGTGTGGAAGATCTGATTCTCACGGCCGAAGGTGAACAGGCTAGGAGAGAGGCGCTGCAGGCCGCGGAGACGGTGGGCCTCGAAGTCGCGTCGAAATATGTCTCTCTGAACAGCGGTGGCAAACTTCGATCCGACAACCCGGAGCTTTTGAGGCGCTTGGAAACCGTGCTCCGCGACGACTCGAAGCAGCACGGTCTCGACCAGCTCACCAATGCTGCTTCCGGCAAGGTTTCGTCAGCAGTCACGTCGGCCTGCCTGCCGAACCACCTGATCAGGCAGTTCCCGGCGAACCAGATGCAGCGTATGACGGGTACCGGTGCCAAGGGCAGTCCGGTCAACGCCAACCTGATTTCCTGCAATCTCGGCCAGCAGGTCCTGGAAGGTAGGCGTGTGCCTGTCATGGTCAGCGGCAAGACGCTGCCGTGCTTCAAGCCGTTCGAGTCGAGCGTCAGGGCAGGCGGCTACGTCGTCGACCGTTTCTTGACCGGTATCAGACCCCAGGAGTACTACTTCCACACCATGGCCGGTCGTGAGGGTCTTATCGACACCGCCGTCAAGACTTCCCGTTCCGGCTACCTGCAACGCTGTCTGATTAAGGGCATGGAGGGCCTCAAGGTCCACTACGATACCACCGTGCGCGACTCGGACGGCTCGATGATCCAGTTCCTCTACGGCGAGGACGGTTTGGATCCTACCCGGGTGCGGTACCTCAACGACTTCCGCTTCTCTGCCGAGAACTTCAAGTCCGTCTTCGAGTCCATGGACGTTAGAGGACAGCTGTCGAAGCTGCAGAATGAGGAGGCGAGCGAGTGGAACAAGACCGCCTCGAAAAAGTACCGCAAGACTGGAGACCTCGGCTGCATGGATCCCGCGCTCGCCCATTGGAACCCCAGCCGCTGGGCGGTCACCTCGGAGAGCTTCTTCCAGGCGAAGAAGAAGTACCTCGACGATAATCCCGACAAGCTCATCAAGGACAAGAAGCAAAACATCGAGACCGGTCTGTCAAAGAAGACGTTTAACGCCCTGCTCGACATCAAGTATCTGAAGTCCCTGATCGAGCCTGGTGAGGCCGTCGGAGTGGTTGCGGGCCAGTCCATCGGCGAGCCATCCACCCAGATGACGCTCAACACTTTCCATTTGGCCGGTCACTCGGCGAAGAACGTCACGCTCGGTATTCCCCGTCTCCGTGAAATCGTCATGACGGCTTCGGCTGCCATTTCGACGCCGAGCATGACGCTGTACGTGAACGATGAGGTCACCAAGGAGGAGAGCGAACGCTTCGCCAAGGGTATCAGCCGCCTGTCGCTCGCTCAGATCGTCGACGATGTGACCGTGAGCGAAACGATTGGTCGCGGCGTCGCGTACACTCAGGCGAAGATCTACAGGATCCGCTTGAATTTCTTCCCCGCCAAAGAATACTGCCAGGAGTACGCCATCACCGTCAGGGACGTCGAGCGTGCAATCGAGACCAAGTTCCTCCACCGCTTGGGGAAGCTCGTTCGGGACCTCATCAAGAAGAAGGGCCAAGAGAAGACGCTCAAGACGGCCGCGAAGTCGGATGCGCTGCCCGAGGTCGGCAAGTCTTCTCGGACGGTGAAGCAGCACCAGGGTCGCCCTCAAGCCGAGGGAGAGGAGGCGGACGAGGGAGACGGAGTCGACGATGACGAGGATGGCGACGACGACGACGACGACGACGATGCCACCAACGACAAGCAAAAGGCCAACCGCCAGATGGCCACCTCATACGAGAACCCCGACGATGAAGAGGAGGCGATCGCAGCCGAAGGCCGCCGGAGGGACGCCACTCCCGAGCCCATGGATGAGGACGAAACGTACGGCGGCAGCCCCAAGCCTGGTCAGACCTCTGATGACGACTCAGACGACGACTCGGCATCCAAGCCGCGCAAGATTAGCAAGGTTGCGGTTATCGAGAGGGAACAGAGGTTGATGTCAAAGGTTGAAGACTTGACGTCGTTCAAGTTTGACGACAAGAAGGGCCAGTGGTGCGAAGTCGTGTTTGAGTACCCCGTCGCAACCGCCAAGCTTCTGATGCTCAATCTCGTCGAAACTGCCTGCAAGGATGCAGTTATCCAAGCCATCCCGGGCATCAAGGCCTGCTTGGCGACGCAGGAGAAGGTTGGCAACGTGGACAAGAACGTGGTGCTGGTGGACGGATCCAACATGATTGCGCTCCGCGACTACCAAGACGTGCACGATCCGCACAAGATGTACACCAACGACATCGCCCAGATCCTCCGCCTCTACGGCGTGGAGGCTGCGCGTGCGAGCATCGTCAGGGAGATGTCGGCCGTCTTCGGCGGTCACGGTATCTCCGTCGACAACAGACATCTTAACCTTATCGCCGACGTGATGACCAGAGGCGGTGGCTACACGGCCTTTAACCGCATCGGTCTCAAGAGCAACGTCTCGCCGTTCATGAAGATGAGCTTCGAGACCACGGTCGGCTTCCTAAAGGACGCGGTGTTGGAGGAGGACGTGGATACTTTGGACAACCCCAGTGCCAGGATCGTCGTCGGCAAGCTCAACAACGTCGGCACGGGCTCCTTCGATGTTCTCACGCCGGTGGCTTAGAAGAAGAGAAAATAAAAGTTGAGTCGTTTTTCATTGCGACATAGCAGCAAGATGGATGGCGTTTCGCTGGGCACGGTACGGGGTTAATGGGAAAATCATGTTTGCGAGTTGTTTGTAAGTTGAGCGGTTTTAGTATGAATACAAGCTATTTTGCTCTTCGGCCTTCACTCAATGCTTTCTCCGCCCGATTGATCGAGACCTGGGCAAAGGGAACGCGCATCGCTTAGGTAAGTGTTCCTATCTTTGCCTTTGCCTTCGGATAAGCACGAGAATCTGAGTCATCGCCCGTCTCTTATCAGAGGGGATGCTGCACGATTGGTGTGTACAGCTGACCGCAAGCATGAATTTGTTTTCCTGTTTCAGAGGCCTGTCGATTGCCAAAGACAGCATACCAGTGGATCACATCATTCGTACGAGCGCAGTGATCCCTTGTTCTAAGGCACTGTTATTCTTCGCGCGAGCGGCTGGCCGCGGAACCTCCCTGTGAGAAGTCAGTCTATGTTGGTTCGAACAGCACGTCAGAGCTAGGCTGCGACGCCAGGCCGAAAGAGGACTAGAGCAGATGTGGACACCTGTGGCAGCAGTACCTTGGTCGAGATTACAGGGGGGGTGTCGCAGCGGACGGAAGGCTACCTAGCGTGAAGGCCCCAGGCGTAACTATACCCCAGCTCTTTCATAACATATGCGGGTAGCATCGTCCGGACGAGAATGTCGAGTTTAAAATTCTACATGCACGTCCGGACGATAGCTTCAACTACTCATGACATGAGCAAAAAAAAAAAAAAACAAATACACGCTAGCTGTCGGCCGCGAGAGGGGGCTGTATGCGGAAGAACGTTAAGAGGAGGCTGTTCTTGCTTTTGTTGATGACAAGGTTCGGTCATAGCGCTAGGCAGAAGTGACGGGTCGTCCCAGCCACAATCGAGCAGGCACCATTCAGCGAGTGAGCTTCTGAGACATTTCACTATCTTTTGCATCAGGACAGGTGCTGATTGGCGGACTCTTGCAAGAAAGTCTGCCTCGCACGCGGCAAGTTCCCTGTGGTGACTCGAAAACTGCCTTGTTGGGCATGTTGCCTAATCCGGGCCCCCGCAAGGTACCACCACCTCTCGCCCCGCACTTGACGAGGCCATGTCTCGGAGAATTGATTCAGAAAAGATGCTACGGATCGACCTGATCTGGCCTTCTGCCTGGTGCCAAGCCTTTTTGGTATCCCGCTTCTGCCTGGACAGGTACTATCTGAGGCCCACAAAATGCGGGGTGAGATGGGAGTCAACGGTTGGGGCTTTGAGGAGTGAAATGGCATATAAAATGGCAGCTCACGAGGGGTTTCCCTCGATAGGTCTGCGCTGCCTGATTGCTTCATCCAGCAGGGAGCAGCACGCATCTCTTGAACGAAACCTCGAGCACAGCCAGTCGAAGAAGTGAGTACACGAAGCACACGACGTGCTAGAGGCCGAAACTGAAGCAGAGTGCAAAGACGATTCTCCCGAGTACACAATGGCGGACAACAAGAACAACCAGACCGACTCGGCCGGCTCCGGCGAGACGGACCTGCGCAAGCAGATGGAAGCCATGATTCGGTACAAGGTTGAGTGCGAGGATCAGTATGGACCGAACTTCGATGTCAAGCAGGACGGCACTCCCTTCGATCTCCAGGTCTCGCAGGACCCCAGCGCCATGGTCGACGTGCGCGAGCCCGTCTTCGAGATCATCACCGCCCTTGACGTCGCATCCAACAGGCCGAAATTCTACGGCGGCCTGTGGGGCGAGAAGTTTGGGGATGAGAACATCGAATCTTGGGCGGCTCAGGCGGCAAAGGCCCCGGGGCTGTTGAGCGATGACGAGGAAAAGGAGAAGAAGAAGGAGCCAGCTACGCTGGAGAACAAGCGCATCCTCAAGATCGGCGAGACGAGGATGGTCCTCCACTCGGCCTGGCTGCTCGAGGCCATCAGGGAGGTCGTCCAGTTCTACCCGAGGTAATTCACGCACATTCCCCCAGAGTCCCTGCATGGCTGACTGGTTGCAAAAGCCAAAATCTGACGGGCGATACCGTCACTGTCCACGAGCCGTACTGCGCCCTCGTGCACTATATCACCGAGCTGCGAGACCTGAAGAACCGGCTCGCGCTCGACCGCGTGACGGACCCGGACCAGGAGCCGGACGACCTGTCAGTCAAGTACGAGCACCTGCGCATCCTGCTCGAGTTCCTCGACCCGCACGTCGAGCGCCTCGTGCTGCCGGCACGCCGGCGCCTCAAGCGCGACGAGCCCACGACGACGTTCGAGGATCTCTGGTACCTTCTCCGGCCCGGCACGCTGTCGTATTGCACGCACGACGACGAGGTGCTGGGCTGCGCCGTCGAGAGCGTCGAGCTCGAGAAGTCGGACAACAAGGAGGACCAGAAGTGGACGGTCAAGGTCTGGTTCCTCGGCCACCGGTGGAAGACGGCGCGCATGCGGCGCGCGCTGCTGGACATCGAGGTGCCGTACTTCGAGGGCGAGAAGGAGGTGATGAAGCTGCCCGTGTACCCGCGCGAGTACTTCGACAAGCAGGACGGAGGAGAGCGCAGGGCCAAGTTCCAGAAGAGAGGCGCCAAGGCCTGCGACATTTCGTGGAAGGGTCACTCGTACCTGTCGTACAACGGCAAGTTCATGGACAAGGCGAAGCAATACGTAAGTGATGCAACGCGTGCTTGATGGTGCAAATGCTAACGGGCGTGCAGTACGAGGGCCCCATCGTTGCCGAGACTGCCATCCCGAGGCGCGAGAAGGTGCCAGAGAACTTGTGGGAGTTCAGCTGGGATAACTATCTCGACTACGCAACGGAGAAGAGCCTCAAGAAGGACAAGTTGGCGAAGCACATGCAGCCGGTGGGCATCGACCCGGCCGCGGTGACGCAGGACATGCTCTCAGACGACCACTTCTTCCTGGTGTCGCCGGTGATGCTCGCGTTCGCGCTGAACCACAAGACGTGGATGCCGGTGCATGTGGACAAGATGCGCGCCATGGGCCCGCCGGCGTACGTGCCCGACGCCAACATCGGGGCGGACAACCTGCGCATCATCCGGGCGCTGTCGCACCGGCAGGTGTCGACCAAGCAGTCGTGGTCGGCCGACTTCATCAAGAACAAGGGCGAGGGCGTCGTGGTGCTGCTGCACGGCCCGCCCGGCGTGGGCAAGACGTACACGGTGGAGAAGACGGCCATCAGCACGCGGCGGCCGCTGCTGTCGCTGACCATCGGCGACCTGGGGCGCAACGAGGAGAAGATCGAAAAGGAGCTCGCCATGTGGTTCGACCTGGCGCACCGCTGGCGGGCCATCCTGCTCATCGACGAGGCCGACATCTTCCTCGAGCGCCGCCGCGCCTCGGACCTGGCGCGCAACGGCGTCGTGGCCGCCTTCCTCCGCAAGATGGAGTATTTTGGCGGCATCCTGTTCCTGACGACCAACCGCGTCGAGCACATCGACGAGGCCTTCATGTCGCGTGTGCACGTCGTCATCGGCTTCGACAAGCTCGACCGCGAGCGCCGTCGCGTCATCTGGCAGAGCTTCGTCGACAAGCTCAAGCGCGAGATGAAGGGCAAGCTGCGCGTCAGCGACGAGGCCGAGCGCTTCGTGCTCGACGACGAGGAGATGGGCGAAGTCGACTGGAACGGCAGAGAGATCCGCAACGCCTTCCAGACGGCCATCTCGCTCGCCGAGTTTGAGGCGCTCGAGGATCCGGAGCACGACGACGAGGCCGAGACGGTCGTGGGCGTCGAGCACTTCCGGCAGGTCATGGAGATGAGCAAGACGTTCAAGAGTCACGTCGAGACGATGAAGGAGAAGAGCAGCGACAGCGAGTGGTCGGACTTTTGAGCAACGGCATGACGGCTGGTGTTGAATCCTATTTTTTTTTTCTATTCAGCAGACCCGTAGCAATGCTGGTGTAGGTATCAGTTAGACACTATACGAAGCCTTCACTCTCTTCTGCACTGAGCTCCGGTGTTGGTAATGAAAAAGACGTGATTCGTACAGCGTGCAAGGGTGAAGACGGTTTCGGAAGGTCCGAAGGATGCTATACGAGTGTGTTGAGGTTCGAAATGAATCGGTGATCAGCATGCAGCTGCGGGCCGTCGGGGGTTCTGCATCCGATGACGTCCCATTATCTCCAGCGGCTTATTCCCTGGCGGGTGGAGCAGCGCCAGACGAGCCGTGTTGCCGCGCGGCAAAAGAAGAGGCAGCAGGTACGTCCGTAGTTGAGAAGGAGCCAAGACGACAAGCCGCGGCGATCGCAGCGGAAATGCATCCCGTTGGCTGCGCCGAGTCGACTTCAGGCATGCCGTTCTAGACCGGGACGAGGCAGACGGAGTAAGGGGCATGCCTGCTCCCGCCGCCTGGCCCCGACGGAGCTGGTTGCCTGGCGCGAGCGCAGCGCCATTTGCCGACCGCCAAAACGTGAATCGTGGAGATCTGGAAGGCAGAGGGAAAAAAAACGTTGTCGAAACGAGCGCGGCATCCTCCGCGGCGTGCTCGCTTGCGCAATGTCGGGGTCCGGTGTCGCTGTCGGCGCAAAGCCGCCCGAGATCTGAAAAAGCAACCAGGCCGCGGATCGCATCGAGACTGCGGGAGGTCTGCGTGCGATCCCTGAACTGGCTGCGCCTCGTGGAGAGCAGGCATCTCGCAGCCCGTCCCGCCCTCGGCCTGGGATCACCCTCGCAGCCAAGCCTCACCACCAGAACCTGACGCCTCTGCCGCAGGAATTCCACGCCGGGCTGATCGCCATTATTCCAGAAGCTCAGGAGCAGCGCGTCGCAATACGGCCGTCATTTAGGAGTTTAGTCCGCTCCGCTGCGACCCCTAGCCAATCCCTGCAACACCACGCCACGTGGTGATATTGACAGCAATCTGCTCCTTCTCCTTTCCTCGGTCTTTGGCGCGAAACTATCGCATGCAAGCAAGCATTCCTTCTCCGCACCGACGAGATGCGGGGGGAGAATGGAATGGCCGGGGCCGATCCGAACCGCAGGCCAGCCGCATGCAGAGATCAATTGCCCGATTCTGCTCCTCGTACTCGTCCTTGATCGACCTCGCCGAAATGTCACGCCTGCCGTTCCCTCTCCCCTATCCACCCGCCTCTCCACGTCCTTCTCCGTCCGCCGCCAAGCCAGAGATCACCGACTACCACCAACGACGGATCGAAAACCTGCTCGCGCTCGAGCAGCGCCACCTTGCAAGCCACAAAAGATGGGAGGAAAAAGAAAGTAACAAGGGTCCTGCACAGACCTGGCCGATTTCCCTGCCCTCCGCTCCGCCTGTTGCATGTTTCGGTCTTCGCATCCATCCCGAAGATCAAAGGCTTCGCCCAGCCGTCTGCCCGGGCAGTAAAGAGGCGATCGTCTCCCTCCCTCCCGCCGCGGCTCGACCTAGACCTCTCTACCTCGACCTCCCATTCCTGCCTTATCTTTCACATGCAATCCGTCACCTATCAGGCGTGGCGCCCACGTGGGATGCGTCTGTGTAGAAGATAGCTAATTCCATCGCACCGTGCACGGACATGGCTAACGATTAGTTAGCGGAATACCACCACGTGCGCGCGTACGTGCGTGTGAAACAAGCCCAGGGGAACTTCGGGAGGGGACGTTAGTTCCTTGGTTTGTTCCTTGGACCTTCTCGAAGCTATTGGCGTGGAAATCGGCCGGTAGGGCGGCGGCACAACCGCAGCTGCTGATATCAAATTCGTGAGCACAGGGCAACAATATCGTGTGCAATACTGCGGAGCCGCAAGGGCGATATTCCCGGCACCGCGTGTTAAGAGCGAAGTCGATGTGGGTGCGCCGGCGGTGAGTAAGAGATCGACCGAATAAGTAATCACCCATCTCTCTCGCAAAGGAACTGAGCGTGGGGTGGAAAGGGGGACCGTTGCGGCGTTGATGAGGAATAGTGAGGGTGGGTTGGAGAGCCAATTGATTAAGGGGCAATACTCCGTACACTCGGGAAGCATTGCTGATGGGAAATGCTTTCGTGACGGAGTCGCGAACATGGACAACTGGGAACAATTCGATTCGAGGCAGGCGCGGCCAGGGGGCAGGCAATGCAGCACCAACACGTCGAATTTCGAAGATCAGTGTGCACTTTCTTTTTATAGAGACGAGCGTGTTGGACCGCAATAAAACGGCTAAGATTGTTCGAGAATGGAAGAGAGAAGCGCAGGGCCGCTCGCCCCGAAACACCACCAACGAGTCGTATCGTGTGCATCCAACGACGACATGCGTCACGGAAGGGGACAGCCTTCTTCCCTGTCCATTATCATCGGGTGCTCTATTTTTTTTTTTTTACTCCCTCATCGTCGGCGCTCGCTCGCTTGGAGTTCGCAACCGAAACGAACGACGAGGGGGGAAAAGGGAAGGGGCCAGGGAAAGAAGAGAGAAAAAAAAATAAGGGAAAGAACCGTGCGGGCAGCAAGGCGCATCTTGCGTCTGTCAGGAGTCTGTGACATCTGATTGATTGAGATCAAGCAACGCAAAAGACGCGAGCGGCCCGTGAGCTGTAAACCCACGAGGAGGCCGACTTGCGGGCTTTGCGGCATGGGCGGCAGGCGGCGAACAGGAAGTCGAAGCGCGTCCGCCGCCCGCGCCCATCGCCTCGCCCGCCGCGAAAGCTGCCGGCCGCGGTGCCGCCGGCAGGTCCAACCTCTCTCTCACTCACCGGCCCTTGCCCTGGCCTGCGTCCTGGGGGATAATTGCGAGACAAGCACATGCGTAGCGAGAAAGGCCCTGCGCACGCAAGAGGCAGAGGGGCTGCGGAGCGCAAGCTGCAACCCGTGCAAAAAGAAGGTGGAGACCAGACTGCGAAGGGCAAGGCTAGCGACCAGCCTGACTAAGGCGGAGCTGTTGCTGCTGCTGCTGCTGCTGCCGTTGCGGGCGACCAAAGTGGGAAAACATGACGCGATGCGGCCAAGTATAAAGGCAAGCCACCTCAATCTCCCCTCGAGTCAAACTCCTAGCCAGAACGGGGCCGACAGCCTTACCGCTCCCCCAGAAGTCAGCCCATTCTTCGATGGCGATGGGGACAGATCGAGGCGGCAGAAACAACACTAGGCCTCAGGTGGCGGGCCCACTGCGAAGAGCGTTAGGACGAGGTAGCGAATGGCAGCGAGCCGCGCGTGCGATTGCGTCAAAGCCAGCAGAGGGACGGACAGCTATCCATGCGGCAAAGCGCGTGGCAGCAGGCAGCTGTGTGTGGTTCATCCACCACCCAAACCCGCGCCCGCGCGGGAGTGATACGCCCGTTCCGCCCAACAACCAGCGGCCCCTCCCCCTTCCCAATGGCCTAGCAATACTTATCGCAGCCCGTCCCGCCTTCGTATGTGTCATCCACCGGGCGGGGCGGGGGGAAGCGCGGCGGGCCACCCTCGTCGTCGACGGATGCAGGCAGCCTTCCGGGCGGAGCGTCGCATGCTGAAGCGCCAATCTATTTGCGTTTTGCGCTTCAGAGAAATAGGCTGCAGATAAGATCCTCAAACCCTTCCCATGCCGCTTGCCGCATGCCGCATGCATGATGTACCCGCGCACGCACCGCGGATCATTATTGGAGGCCGCCAAATGTCCCAGGAAGCTATGGCTTTTCATTATGCTTTTTTTTTTCTGTTGCTGCTGTACACGCTGCTCCGTCATCTCTCGTGCCGGGCGATTAAGGCAAAGGGGGAAGGAGGTGCAGAGAAGGGATGCGGGGGAGGCTGCACATGAAGATGCGTACGTGTGGAGAGTTTCCTTCTTCTACATCTGGAAGCTCGGAATCCAACGAAAGCAAGGGTACCGCGTGATAAGAGCAGAGTGAAATAAAGCCTGCGGGAATCTCATTCAGGCTGGGATCTAGACGGCTATCATCGGCTGAACAAAAGAAAAGAGAACAGAAAAATAGGTGCAAGGAAAAGGAATATAGTCCTGATGAACAAGCACTTTTTGCGAGAGAGATGTCGGGGAAAATATAATAGTATAGACGGAGAACACCTTGCTGCAATGCACCTCCCAGCATGCGACGCCATATAAAAAGCCCAAAACTGAGCCACCTCCGCGGCTCGTGCCGTGACATTGATCCCATTACTCCCAGAACGCCGTACCCTATGCAAGTCTCTATGAGCAAGAGACCCAAGAAAAAGCCTGATGATGTTCTGGCAGGTCACAGTGATGTGTGTGTATGTGTGCCCTTGCAGACGCGTCTGCCAAGAAGGCCTCCGTGCATGTTCCGTTTGACTGCGTATCGGGCGCTTCCGCCCGTGGTTTTTTGGCGGATTTCGGTGGGGAGAGACAGAGATAGAGAGATAGATAGAGATATAGAGAGAGAGGAGCAAGGAAAAGGAACGGATCTGGGCAATCTCAAATCTTCAAACCTCCCGGATCCTCGAGTGTGACCTTCGAGGATCCGGGAGCGTGAAACATTGAGCGTTGTGGATGGCCCCCCCCACGCACTGCGCAGTGCGTGGGGGGGAGATTTCAATGTGGGTGTTGTGCCGCGAATCGACGTGGTGGACTCATTCGCAGACCGGCACGCGCGTTCACATGTCTGCGAGGACAGCGCCAGCGACGCATGGGAGGTGGAACGAGAAGGTGGCTTCGTCCATCCCACGGCGCGCTGTAGCAGGGATGTGTCGCAGGGGAGAGGCTCTCGAGCGAATCGTCGTGGGCGCCGAGAAGCCAGCTGCTGGCCGTTTAGAGGATGACGCACTTGGGCTTGTGATCCTTTCCTCCTCTGCCGCCCTTGTCGTCCCTGTAGCGACGATCTCCTCGGGGACCGGCGGTGGGCGTGCGGGCACCCTTGCCTCCCTTGGGGTCGGAGCTCTTGGAGTTCCTGCCGGCCTGCTGGCGTTGGCGGCGGAGCTGGCGCACGACGTCGTAGAAGGCCTTCTCCACGTTGACGCAATTTTTCGCAGACGCCTCGACGAAGTCGCATCCCAGTTCCCTGGCCAGCGCGCTACCCTCCTGGGTGGAGACCTCGCGCTCGGTGACGCGGTCGCACTTGTTGCCGACGAGCATGATGGGCGAAGGGCCGAAGGATCCCGAGCCGGCGGAGGTGGCGCTGAGGGGGGAGCCGGGGTAGGTGGGGGAGCTGGACAGAGCGGACTCCTTGACGCGTTGTATCTGATGGTGGAACTTCTGTATGCGTGCGAACGAGGAGCGCGACGAGATGCTGTAGACCAGGACGAAGCCCTCGCCGTCTCTTATCCACTGGTCCCGCAGCGCCGTGTACTCCTCCTGGCCTGCGGTATCCAGCACCTCCAGCATGCACGACTGGCCGTCGATCTGCACCTGCTTGCGGTACGAGTCCTCGATGGTCGGGTCGTACGTCTCGACGAAGTGGTTGAGACAGAGCTGCGGATGGCGTGGTCAGCAGAGAGCAGGAAAGAGAGAGGGGGGGAGGGGAGGAAGAGGAGGGGGGCGGGGGCGGCAGCGGGCTCCCTACCTGGATGGTTAACGCGGTCTTTCCCACACCTCCGTCACCCAACACCACCAGCTTGTACAAGGTCATCTTCCCCGCCATGGTGGCTGCGTGCTGCGGTGCGCGTCGGGGAGCCTGGCTGGGGGGTTGCGACGGTAGAGTCGGGCTTGGGCTCGGAGTCGGGCTGCCGGGCGGTATTTACTGGCGACGAGCCTTGGGTCTGTCGTCGCTCGGGGATGCAGCGGCGGCAGCTACGGGACTAGTTGGGCGGCCACGTGTGGGGGGGCGGCGCTCGTCGTGCGTTGCGGGCGTGCAACGAGGGGCAGCGCTGCGGTGAGGTTGGGCGCGAGGGCGAGTTGGTGGTAGCACGGCGCGGGCTCCGCGGCTCCGTGGGCGTTCTGGGGGAGCAATTGAGCAACGAGGGAGGCTCTCGGGAGGGGGAGGAGGGTGAAACGAAGGTGAGGAGCGGTGGCGTGTAAGTACGACCTTTGGGCCCTGTGCGAGGTCGGCTGGGAGTGGGTGATGGGCGCGGTGCTGCTGGCTGGGAGGGAGATCTGGGCTAGCGACACACGTGAATGGGCTGGTGCTAAGGGTGCGGGTGTCAGGGCTGCGGGCGCGCGGGCATTGCTCGCCGCACTGGCCAGGCGAGAGGAGAATTTTCGAAAGGAGGATGGGATGGGCAGCGGTGCAAGAGTGGAGTAGAAGAAGGCCGTGGCCATTGGCCCGGCGAGGCACTGGGGGACTGGGAGCACACTAAGCGTCGTGGCTCCGAGCCGACGCAGGCGTCTTGATCCCTCCGGAGCCAGGCAGCGCGCTCGATTCCGGCCGGGAGATCAGCTGGGCGCGAGTCGTGGCCGCGCGCACACATGGCCGCTCAGGGCCGCTGTTTGACATTCATTGCCGCCGTTGCGCGTTGCGCCGTTGAGTGCGCGCGCCTGCGGATGGGGAGCCCACGGCCCGTTTGCCAGGCCATGACTCTCGCTGAAATGAGGAGCTGCAGGCCCTGCAAATAAAGAGGACAGACCCCACCTATTCCCCAGAGAGCGCGCTGGAGCACCTTAATCAAAGGGCCGGGATGCGCTAGGCCGCAGCGAGCAGCAGCAGGGAGCGCTCGCAGCGCTTCCCCGACGAGCCCGCACGCGGGCCGACGCCCGCCAGGCGTGCTGATTCGTACGGCACACGCCCGCACGCCCCAGCGCGCCGCGGCCAGCAGCGTCGGCAGCCCGCGACCGCGCTGACTCGAAATTGTCCGACCTGCCGGGCTAGCCAGCGCCAGCAACCGCCATGCCGGAACCACCGCGTCCTTGGCCCGCCCTGGCCGCCGGGCTCGCCCCCAGCAGCTCGCTGCCCGCCGCACGTGACGCGCCTCTGCCCGCCCCGTTAATAGCAGCACGCCCCAGCAGCAATTACTGCTCTTATTGCTCTGATTTCCGAGCGGGGAGCGGCCCGCCGTCCAGATGGCGGGCGTGCGCGCGAGCAATCATTTCTTGGGTAATGCGCTGCGTCCTGCTCACTAAACACTTCTCTTCGCACGAACCGTGTCAAATTATCACCGCGCAGGCGCCAGCTTCCCTCTTCGGCGGAACATGCCTCACGCCCTCTCTCACTCTTCTACAGCTTCGGCCTCGCTCTCGCTTCCACCGCCTGGTGCGCGCCCCTGCCCTTGGCCGCAAAGTACTCCTTGACCCGCGCCCGCGCGACCTCGACCGCCCCCGCGTCCTCGACCGTCGCCGGCACCTGCACCTCCTTGTCCTCCTCGCCGTGCACCGCGTTCTCCACGAGCTCGCGCAGCACCCGCCGCAGCGTCTTGCCGCTCCGCGTCTTCGGGATCATGCCCTTGCCCTGGATCATCCCGCCGAGACTGGCAATTGACCCGATCTGCTCGCGAACCGAGCCCTGCACCTCTTGGAACAGCTGCTGGTCTGGCAGCGCCGGCCCCGGGTGCTCGTGGGTCGCCAGCGTCACGAACGCGAACGGCAGATGGCCCTTCAGCGCGTCGGGAATCCCAACCACGCACGCTTCCGCCACGCCGGGATGCGATGTGATCGCCTGCTCGATCGCGCCTGTCACCCTGTCAGTTTGCGTCTGAGCGCGCGCGCGCCGCACGCCGGGAACTTACCGGTGCTGAAACGGTGAGCTGCAACGTTGATAATCTTTTTTTTTATTTCGCCCGGTGTCAGCAGCGAACCTCCCTCGAGACCGCAGGCAGCGGAGCGGCACTTACATCATCCGACCTGGACATTACATGCACGTATCCGTCGCTGTCGACCATGCCCGCGTCGCCCGTGTCGATCCAGCGCCCGTTGAACCTCTTCATGTATCCCTTGTAAAATCGCTCTTCGTCCTGCCACAGGGTGGTCATGCCGGTGGGCGCGAGCGGAATCCCGAGCACAATGTTGCCCATGGTGCCCCGGCCGACCTCGTTGCCGTCGTCGTCGACAACCTTGACGTTAAAGCCAGGCATCGGTTTACCCGCGGACCCGGGCTTGATCGGCAACGGCCTCGGGCTCTCCACAGCGTCAAAATCCCTCCCAGCTGCTGCATTCAACGCGAGCCCCGAAATTGGCGAGCCGGACTCGGAGCTCCACCAGTTGTCGTTGACGACCGCGTTGGCGGCGCAGTGTTTATCCAGGAGCCGCTGGTACATGGCCACAATGCTCGGTTCGCTCCGCTCGCCCGCCAGGAACAGCGCGGTCAAAGTTTTTAGCCCGCCACGTGCGCCGGTCTTCTCGAAGTAGGTGTTATCCCCGTCTTCTCTCCGGATCGCCCGCAGGGCTGTCGGGGCGGTGAACATGGTCTTGACCTTGTACTCTTCGACGATTCGCCAGAATGTGCCTGCGTCCGGCGTGCCGATTGGTTTACCCTCGAAAAGGACGGTGGTCGCGCCGGCGAGCAAAGGTCCGTAGACGATGTACGAGTGCCCGACCACCCACCCGACGTCCGATGCACAAAACATCACATCGCCGGGTCGTTTGAGGCCGAACATGTACCGCATGGAAAAATTGAGCCCGACGGCATGGCCGCCGACTTCCCGGAGGACCCCTTTTGGAAGACCAGTGGTGCCTATAGATGATTAAATCCGGGCATTCAGGCTGATTTCCGAAGAGAACGGCTTACCACTCGTATAGATGATGTATAGGCCGTCTGTTGATTTTACCGGGACGGGCTCCGCCCTGACGCCTCTGTTTCTACCGCTCTTGACAATTCTTTGCCAGTTTCTCTCCCCATTCTCTTTGGCTACCGGATCCCAGCGGAGCTGGTCGCGTTGCCAGACGATGGTCTTCGGGGGTTTGAAGCTGCTCTTTTCGACAGCATCTTGAACGAGTTTTTGATAGCCAAGAGGACCCTTTGCGCCTTCAATGCCGCAGGAAGCAGTTAGAATCGCGCTCGGTCTGGACGCCTCTATTCTTTGCGCCAGAGAGCCGGAAGAAAACCCTCCGAACACCACCGCGTGAATGGCTCCCAGCCTCGCAGCTGCTAGCATAGCAAACAATGCCGCCGGGATCATTGGCACTGGACGCCGTCAGCTACTTGATCAATTCGTCGGCGAAAATCGAGGAAGTGAGACAAAAACAGACTATAAATGAGCACAACATCGCCCTTCTTCACGCCCTCTTCTCGCAGAACGCCGGCCAGAATTGCAACCTCGTCCAGCAACTGCTGGTACGTAATTTTCTCTTTGGAGCCCGAGACGGGCGAGTCCCAAGCGATGGCCACGGTGCCGCCATTACCGGCGAGCACGTGGCGGTCGATGCAATTGTAGGTGATGTTCATCTCGCCGTCGGGAAACCACGACCAATGAGGATGCCGGACGCCGATGCCGGGCAGGGTCTTGGTGGTAAGATCGAGGGCGCGCGAAGGCGGCTTATCCCAGTGCAGGCGGGCGGCCTGGGCGCTCCAGAAGGCTTCTGGATCGCGCAGCGAGAGGCTGTGGACGTCATCTTGTGGGTGACGAGCATCCATGGTGTGGCAGCGAAACAGCCGCTTTGGGCGGACGGCGTGAAATGAAACTTGGAAAGCGGCAGGACGGCTGGGCGCAGGGGGGGTTGGTGAGGGGGGCCGCTAAGGTGGGTGGCTGAGTAGTAGCGGTGGGAGGGGGGGAGAAGGCGGATTTGTTTGGTCCGCAGCAGTACCAGGGCTCGCGAAAGGGAGGAGCGGACAGCAGGTGGTTCGCGGATTGCGAAAGTCAAAAAAGTATTGATAAGTGAGGTCGGGCCTGCGGCAGGGCGCATGGAGCCGAGGAGTGCGGAGGAGTGGGCGTTCGGCTTTCCGGTTGAGGCTCTGGACAGGGTTGGTGGAGCCCAAGCAAGACCCCGCATCTCGCCCACACGTCCGTTCCCGCCCCCGCTGTCAGCCCAGACGCCAGCTGCTGTCGCCCAAGGAAACGCCCCAAACGCGCCCGCCCGCCGCTGAGCGCGGTCAAGCCTCCGGCCACATCTGCGATTGGTCGCTGGGCCTCGATTAGCGCATGCGAGCGGGTGAAACGAAGCGCCGCTGATGACCATCACACGCACCGCAGCCCTCAGCTCAGATGGGGGCTGTCCGCGGTGGATACATGGCCCGTCATGCTCCTGTCCGAGTGCGGGTCCTGCGCGACGTCACGCCCAGCGAGACGGCTCTTACGCGCGATTACACAAGTATATTGCGCTGCCGTGGCCGTCCCCTTTTTTGCTCCCTCTCCCATCGACCTGCGGCATCTTCCGTCGCCTTCAGCTCTACCTCGCATGCGCTCCTAGCCACAAGCGGCTTGATGGTGATGCTCCAGGTTGTGGCGTTGGCTACGTCCAGTCCATCGGCCCGTTTTGTCTCTGGGCGCCGCCGCCTGCCCGATCAGGAATACTCTCTCTCTACCTCGGAAAACAGCTCGATGTCAAGTGCGCATGTTCTTGTACCTTTGGCAATGTAGAAGCTCTGCTGCGGAGTGGCAGCCGTCCTCTCAATGAAGCTCGACGTGGGCAAGAGATGTGGTCTTGTCCCACCAGCAGCGGTCTTGGCAAGATTGACTCATCACGATTTTGGACTTTTTCTCGTCCCACGTCTCTACATTTCTACATCCACCGATACTTACTGCGTGCAATCACGACACTGCTACCTCGCATCACTAAATCATGGGCTCGCCGTTGACCGCCGACGAGCTCGATCGCTACTTCGATCACATCAGATTGCCGCAAAAGTTCCGGCGTGACAAGAACCCTGCGTTGGATCTCGCATTCCTGACAGCCCTGCATGTCCATCACATCTCAACCCTCCCCTACGAGAACCTATCCCTGCACTATGCAAAAGATGTCGACGTCTCCCTGGACGTGCGTGAGATCCTTGAAAAATTCCTGGCCAACGGACGTGGGGGCTACTGCATGGAGCACAGCATATTCTTCAACCATGTGCTGCGAGTTTTGGGCTTCCAGGTCTACCTGACGGGAGCGCGGGCCAGGCCGCGTAAGGACGGCGTTCCGGTCGGGGACTACATGGGATGGTAAGCAAAATCATGCCAAGTGCACATTCCACCACCACTGACGGGCAAAGGGTGCATGTCGTGAACATCATCACCCTCGCCGACGGAACCAAGTGGGTGTCGGACACGGGCTTCGGCGGAGACCAGATGCGACAGCCCATACCGCTGGCCGAGCACCACGTCACGCAGAACATCGGCCCACAGCAGATCCGGCTCGCGCGCGAGAGCATCGCCAATGCAACCAACACGTCGGCCGAGAAGCCGGCAACCTGGATCTACCAGTACCGCAACGGCTCCGAGCAGGCGTGGAACTCGTTCTTCTGCTTCACCGAAACGGAGTTTTTGCACCAAGACTTTGAAGTCCTGAACTACTACACCAGCAGGTGCCCGCAGAGCTTCCAGACGTTCACGCCGCTGGTGGTCAAGTTCCTGCGCAGGGATGTCGACGGTGGGGACGAGACGGGGGAGATCTACGGGAAGCTGATGCTCGTGCACGGAGAGGTCAAGGAAAACCTGGGAGGGAAGACGCGGCTCGTCCGCTCGTGCAAGTCAGAGCCCGAACGCCTGGGTGCGCTGCGCGACGTGTTCGGCATGACTTTTACGGAGGAGCAGCAAGCTGGCATCAGGGGAAGGGTCTCGGAACTTCTGCCGAATTAGGGGAAACGATGTGGATGTGGGGTAAAGCTTGGTTTGATGCATATTCCACCTCTGTTCGTTGCTTGGCGGCTTAGACTTTTAGATGGCATAGACGAAGTGCTCTCCCCGACAAGCAATTGCCAGAAAGAGACTCGGGGCAAGAGGCCCACCGGCGGGCACCAAAAGACGCCGGACGATGATCAGATACGCAAACGGGCACGCTATGGGATTCATGTCTTCTGCTGGACCGTGTCGCCTGGCCTTGGCTCTCGCCTGATGTATTCCCCGGTGCTAAGCAGGAGCGGGGAATAATGGGGCAGGTCAATAGTAGGGCACGAGCGTAGCGACGACGTGCGTACAAGATGGTGCGCGAGTGGACCGGAAGGCTCCCGGGGAGGTGGTCCTTCCGGATGGACATCCGCGCGCGCTAAGCCGGATGCTGGCGCGCTGGAGAGGGCGGCGGATGATGCGCCGCGGGCGGCGCGGCTCCGGTCCCGCAGGCTTTACCCATGGCCAACGGCAGGCAAAAAGGAAGGGGAGGAAGGAGTCGTGGCTTCCAGCAAATCAAGACGACGGCCAATGGGAGGGCGGGAACAGGATCTGATCAGCAAAACGCAAGCGCGGCCGTGCACCAGCGCGCGGCAAGCAAGAAAAAGGTAGCAAATGAGGCGCTGAAGAAGGGCTCGGGGTTGCCGAGCTGGTCCCCTTCCCGCCACCGCACGCGCACTACGTACCGCCCGCCCGTCGCCGCGCCGCCGCCGATCCATGCTTCTCCACACCTTCACCAGACGTCCAACGACGTCGCCCCCCCCCCCCCCCCCCCCCCCCCCCCCCCCCCCCCCCCCCCCC